TCCAGAGACGTATCGCACACAAGAGACTATACCGCGCTGAGGCCACCCGTATTATTCAAAGCAACTTCAGAGCATACCAGCAAATGCAGGCCAACCCGTGGTGGAATCTTTTTGTGACGATGAGACCACTCCTTGGAGCCACTCGCCAATCAAACGAGGTGAAGAAGCGTGAGGAAGAGATTTTGAAGCTGCAAGAGAAGATGAGACAAGACGAAGAAGCCAGACTCAAGATTGAAGACGAACGCAGGCGCGCCGAATTCGAGATTCAGAAGATTCAACAAACTCTCGAGAGCGAGAGATCTCTTGCACTCGACAAGGAAGACATCTTCCGAAGACTGCAAGACAGAGAGTCTGAGCTGAGCGAGAAACTGCAAGGCGCTCTGGAAGATCAGGAGAGGCTGGAAGACCAACTTGAGGGACTCATCGAAGCCAAGAAGAGGGCAGAAGACCAAGCAGATGAGTGGCATCGACAAGTGGAGCAAGCAACTTTGATCATCACCAAATTGGAAGGCGAGAAGACCGAGTTGAACTCCCGAATAACCACCCTGGATGCTCAGCTTATTGAAGTTGAACAGTCTCGCTCACAGACTACCGAACTGGAGGAGAAGCTTGGTCAAGAGATCAAGATGTTACAGAGCCACGTGAGTCTCAAGGAGCGCAAGCTCCAGGATCTCGAAACGAAAATGCTCGAGAACGACCATGAACTTGATCTCAAGCTCTCGAGTGCCAACAAAGACCTTCAAGACTCGAAGAAGAAGATCAGAGATCTTGTGGACGAGAATCGGTCGATTCGCCAACAGATGTCTGAACTCGCCTCCACTTCGACTAGCTACGAGGATCTAATTCGACGCAAGGATAGTGAGCTAGCCATTCTGAAGACTGATCTCAAGAGGTTTCAAGACGATCGAAAGCGATTCGAGCAAGAAAAACAGACACTGACAAGCCAACACAACGACATCCAGAGTCAACTACGCGGTACCTTGGCTGAAATGGAGGCCATGACATCGCAAAAAGCCCAGCTTGAGCGCGAAGTCGCAGATGCTAAAAGAGCTTTGGAAGACAAGACCTCAGCAGACACCCAGGCCGAGATGTTGCAGAAGCAGATCGAAGATCTCAAGAGCGAACTCTTCGAAGTGCAGACTGACCTGAGCCGGGAGCGTCAATCACGCGATGATGTCAAGAAGATCGCTCAGAGTGAGTATGAGAGTCTCAAACGAGAGTTTGATGCCCTTAACGACTCGAAAGTCACGATTGAGAAGGAAATGTATGCTCAGTCGGACGTGACGCGCAGGACAAATGAAGCTCGCGCCGCTGCAGAGAAGGAGCGTAAGGACTATCAGTCTGAGCTTCAAAACCTGCGAAAGCAGTTCCTCGAGCTCCAAGAATCCAAGATCGAAGCTGAGGCAGTTGTCGAACGCAATGTGACACGTCAAGCCAACGAGCGACAGGCTCTGCTTCGACGCGACTTGCAAAACATGGAGAGAAAGGTCGAAGATCTCGAGGCAGACAAAAGCCAGATGGCGATAGAAGTGCAAAGATTAAAAGATTTCATCTCTGGCAACGATGCGTTCCGTCTCCATCAAGATCAACACAAGGAGCGCCTCGAACGTGAGTTAGTCACCATCAAGGGTCGTCTGACGGCATCTGAGAACGACAACCGTGTTCTTCTGAACAAGGTCCAGCAAAAGAACTTGGATATCGCACGATCAAATTCTCGTGCGGTTGATACCCAGCGCTCAAAGATCAATCAACTCAATGCCGAGAAGATGAATGCTGAAGAAAATGCGAAGAAGCTCATGCGCCAGCTTGAGGACGCTCATCTGACGATCAACTCCCTGGAGAAGCAAAAGGAGAAACTCACCCTCAGTCTGGAGGATCTCAATCACGAAATCACCCGCGAGCACCGCACAACCAGGAACGCCGAGCAAGCCTCTTCGACCGTCAACCTTCAACTTGCCGAGGCGAACCGCAAACTCGAGACTGAAAGACAATTGCGTACACAGGCTCAGACAAACACTCGTGCTGTACAGTCTAGCCTTGACAGCGCTAACAACGAGCTTTCTGAATGCCGCGAGCAACTTGCACTCCTGCAGAAAATCTTTGATCCAGATATGAAGAACCTTCCATCTAATGTTGATGGCATGAAGCCCGATCTGGCTCGCACTGTCGATCTGGCAAAGAAGCTGGAAGGGTCTCAACAAGCCCTTCATATCGCGAATGAGAAGCTCTCGCGTGCAGAAGCACAATTGAACGATCTGCGTCTCCAACACCAGGACGAGATGCAAGAGAATGATTTCAAGCATGCCAACGCTAAGCGCGTTCTGCTAGAAGAGATGAACTCAAACCAAGTCAACGCTCGCGCATCGCCTGTGCCTATGCGTAGAGACTGGGAGTCTAGAAAGCCTTTCTCTCCCGTGCACACACCATCTAATCAGCGCCATTTGAGCAATTACACTACAGACTCTGCACGTTCGGACCGTACAAACGACACTGCTACATTCAACAATCGCATGGACCTTGCAGCAGAGCTTGAGATGGTTCAGAATCAGCTGCAGATGTCCGAGATGCATAACAGACATCTGGCAGCTCAAATCGGACGCAGCCCTTCGAAGCAGCATATGCAAGATGAAAGTCCTTCGCTTCGTAGAGTGCAAAAGCTTACCCTTGAGAACAGCAGATTGCATGACATGTTGGACGACTCTGCCAGAAAGGTCTCTGCTTTGGAGAACAGCATTCGTCTTGGACAGCTCTCTCTGTCGGAGGTACAAGCCAAGTCTCATGAGGAGCTGTTTGATCTCATCAACTCTCAAGAGCAATCACGCAAATCTCTACTCGCTTCGCACAACATAGCCATTTCTGAGCTCGCGGATGCAAAGACTGCATTTGACGAGATTAAACAGAGCAAAGCTTCAGCAGATGTTGAGCTTCGCGACGTCAAATCCGAGCTTGCCGACTTGACTTATGAGAGAGAACAAGAGGCTGCAGGCCACCAGCAATTGCTTGATGAGTTCTCTGACCTGCAGATAAGACTCGATGCAGAGACATCCAAGCTGCTTGACGTTACTTCCAGCCTCAATCTCTACCGTGCTCGAGCCGACGAGTACTTCGGTAAACTCGAGCAGGCGGAAATCGCAGTTCTTAAGGCAACCAGAGCAGAACAATTTGCAAAGACGCAAGCTAGAGAAGTTGAAGATCAATGCGCGAATATCATGTCAGAACGCAAGCACATGGACTCTCTGGTCGAAGACTTGCAGCGCCAAACACAGCAGTATGAGGAAAGAATCGAGGACCTTTCTGCTGATCTAGACGGCGCGCTTCAAGCAAAGAAGCGCCTACAGAATGAGCTCGAGGACTACAGATCTCAACGCGCTATGGATATTGAAGACAAGGAGTCGTCAATGGAGCAAACTCGCAAAAAGTATCAGTCAGAACTTGCAGCCGTTAGCAACGAGCTGGAGATTGAACGCGAGAACGTTATTCATGTTCGCGGAGAGAACGGTCGTCTTCGTGATGAGTTGGAGGAGTTGCGCAACAAATGGGACGATGAAGTCTTGAACAGCTCCACCTGGGCCAAGGAGAAGTCGCGTCTTGATGTTGCTCTGCAGGACCTGTCTAACTCTCGTGACGAGGCTGTCAATGCTCACAACGAGGCTCAGAGCAAGATTGTCGATCTTCTCAGCCAAGTTCGCAGCCTTCGCACCAACGTCGACGATGTCGTTGCTGAGAGGGACATGCTCGTCAAGGAGAAGAAGGGGCTCGAGGCACGTCTTAGCGAGGCTGCCGACCGCCTTGAGGATCTGTCTCAGAACGGCTCGCCATCTAAGCGCAATGCAGCATCCGCAGACCGCGAACTGCTTGAACTCAAGTCAACCCTTGCTCACCAGGAGGATGTCGCCGCCGCCGCAGTAGGCAAGATGCGAAGAGCTGAAGCACTCGCCCAAGAGATCCAAAAGGACATTGTCACCGAACGCGAGAACAACGTAATCCTGCACAAAGAGAAGGCAGCTCTGGAAAAGTCAATGAAAGATCTGCAACTCAAGTGCATCGATCTCGAAACCAAGGGCTACTCGAGCGTCAGCCAGGACGTCCGCTTCCTCAACGGCCGCATTCACGAACTCGAAGCTCAACTAGAAGACCTCGAACACACACGCAACACCGAAGCCCGCAGTGTGCGCAACGTCGACCGTACAGTCCGCGACCTGCAATCTCAGATCGAACGCAGAGACAAGAGTGTGTCTCTCCTTACCGAAGACATCAACAAATCCCGCGACAAGATTTCTAATCTCCTTGCTACCATCGACGAATTGCAAGCTTCAGACTCATCCAACCAACTCGCTGCCAAACGCGCAGAAAGAGAGTTGCGCGAGGAAAGAGAAACAAGACTTCGCTTGGAGAGGGAATTGGAAGGGCTCAAGGGCCTTCAACTTGAGAGGGGAAGTGTGAGGAGGAGTGTTCTTGGTGGTGGTACTGGAAGCAGGAGAGGTAGTTCTATTGGGCCTTTGCCGCCTTCGCTTGAGGTGCCGCAGAGGATAAGCAGCATTAGTAAGGGCTTCTTGTAAATGCCGATAAGGGAAGCAAAGGCATGAAGGGATGAAAAGATGATGGAAAGACTGATTTCGTATTCTACTCTTGGGAAGGCGTCTTTGATGATTTTTAACGATCGGGGAAGGTGGTTGTTTTGGATACTGATTTTTCTTGTTAGTTCTGCTCACAAGGACCTTCCTTGAATGAATTTTCGTATTTCTTCACAGATGTGTGTCATTTTGAGACGTGGTGTGATAATTTATGCCTCAACCCCTCTTCAACAACCACCAATAAAACAATAATGCCGGCCCGCCAGCCAAAGCAACCTCTTTCCCAAATCTGTCCACGAGCTTCCTCCTGAACGTCTTCGGTACCCTAGGCTTAGGTGCTTTTCTGAAGATAGGATTACCCCAGTCGTCACTCTCATCATACACCTCCTCTTTATTGTACAGCTGATACGCAGGATTGTTACCATAATATCCCGCTTTTTCTATCAGTGGTGTTCCGGTGGGTCGAGCTGTAGGCAGACCGTAGCCTGGTGCTGGACTGACGCTGCGGGTTCTGGCATTTGCAGAGCGAGCGGAGAGTTTGCCATTCGAATGTTCGGAGGACATGGAGTTTGTTGCGCCTGAGGGAGAGCGAGTGCGTGGTTTTGTGTATGTGTTCGGCTCCGTTGTTGGAAGGAAGTTTGGCATTGAAGCTGCGGCTTCTTCATTTCTGACTTGGACCAAGGTGTTGATGGCCAGGGCGATTATCGAGAACGCCGCAAGGATGCCATAGACGATAAAAATGCTGAGCTGGTCTGGCAGGAGGCAAAGGTGGGTTTGCAGCGTCGGTCCGTCTCGAAGAGATTCCCCGTTTCCATCGACTGGGTTCCAGAGACTGACTAGTACGAAACCTGGTTTGCGGACGCCCATCGCCCAACTTATACTCTTGACTGTGATCTCATGAATACCTCTATCGTGTCTCGAGGCGTAATATGGATGCGTAACCTCACAGTAATCATGATCATCACCAGTAAAGGCATGAGCAATGTTACCAATTTTCTGAGCAACTATGGTAGAAATCTCCTGCGTCAAGACATTCTGGTATTGATAGCCGCCGGCAATACGTATGGCATTGGGCTTGTCGATCTCGAGGTTCGGCGCTCTAGGCGGGTATTTTTCGCGAAGGGGACCACAAGGAGTGCCCTCTGGGCGGTACAGGGGTACATGACTGAGGAGGATCGTTGGAAATTCAGGCTTCGACTCTTTCGCTAGCTCTTCCTTGGTAGGCAGGCGACCTAGATCCCGAGGATGCGTGACTTCGTGAGCCCATCTTCTGTGTGGTATCAGGCCCTGTCGTTCTTTGAGCTCTGCGCGCACAGCCTTGTATTTGAGGTCTTGGGCATTGTCAAGAAACTCCATAGTAGCATTCCAAAGCTCTGGAGAACTGTCTGGTTGGCCCATGGCACTCAAGCTTACGGCGTCGATGCTGACAAAGGTGTGGTTTCCTACGACATCTATCCTGTCACCTTCGCCAAAGTAGGCTTGGTAGCGGTTTCGGATCGGCACTTGAACGCCGTTTCCAAAGCCCAAGTCGTGGTTGCCGGGTAGACTGGCGACGAACTTCTTGACCTTGTGGGCAGGCAGACCTCCAGTAACCTGGTTTTGATCAAAGAATATCTTGCCGAAGCGGTCGTATTCGTTGAGCCAGTAGTTGTCGCCATATTTTTTCCATTGCTGCTCGGATGGCTGAAAGCCTTCGAAGTGTGTAGACCATTCTCTTCCTCCATCAAACAAGTCACCCAAGAACAAAGTGGTGTCAGGATCGATGTGGCGTTGTAGCAGATAGTAGGATCGCTTGATGTACTTGTCGGTCGCAGCAATGGTCAACGAGGAGAGGGGCCATGGTCGACCAGGATATGTGTGTGGGTCAACGAGCTGAGGGTCGGCGATCAGGGCAATGCGGTGAGGTTGCGCATCTGAAGGCTACAAGTTCAAGATGGATTAGTCTGGGAATTTGGATGAGGGCATGCGACATGGGCCAGACGTACCCATTTCTCCCATTGGTCCCAATTGCAGGCATCAATACTGCTACTAAAGGCAGTGCGCTCACCCCATAGCAATACAAAAAACCACAGCAAGAAGATGGCGGTTGGTAGTCTTAACAGACGTCGGCGGACAATGGCCAGCTTGGTCCTCGGTTTCCCTTTGGCGTCATACTGCGACTGTCGCACAAGGCGCTGCCACATGTTGGTCAAGCGGCTCTCATCTTTAGACGTCGAGTAGGACGTTGCATATTGATAGCTCATGGTATCGGCAGGTCTGCACTCATCGTTGCGAGCTGCTGCTAGGTCGAGGAGAAGCTACTGAGACTGTTCAAACTGCCTGCCCCTTTTGACACGCGTGTGCTCCAGACACAAATCGACCTCGGCGTCAACAAGCCCCACCAATTTCACCTACTATATATTTGATTATTGCTCACTTGTCTCTGGCATTATTCTTTGTAATCAATCTTGTACATTTGCGTTTTGTGTGTCAAGCTATCTGCGCTCGCTAAAATTGCAGCTCTCTGCCTCAGAGCCATGAAAATCCCAGAACGCCTTCGCTATGCTTCGTCCCGTAATTCGCAAGAACCACTTCATAAACCTCGCTCCCTGTGCACCTATGCGCGACGTGCTAAGAGAAGCGGACCTTGAACTTGAAGTCAATAGTGAAAGCAGGGTCGCTGACACCCACCTCTTGTCCGTCAGACAACAGTTCGTCCAGCTTGCGCTTCAAGTTAGGGCGAGTCTGCTCCTCGAGACTGGGAGGTGCCGAGTAGTAAAGTGACTTCTCTTCAGTTCGGATCGATGGTTTCTTCAGCTGTGCCTCGGGTCTCTCGGCCAGATGTTCAACAAAGTCTTGCAGAGTCCACTCCTTCTTAACAGAGATCTCCTTGGCCAGGTTGCCGCACACCGGACAGTCGTCCTTCTTTTCGTGTTCGAACGTGTATGTGTAGATGCTGTCGTCTCCGCTGTACATCATGTAATTGTTTGCTCCGGGGTTACCCAAGAATGGGTTTGTGCCAGTTGCAATCTTGAATGCCTCGTTACAGCACGAGGCGGCAACGATGGCATTGGTTGATGCGATTGCAGGAATGATGTTCTTGACTACACCTTGAGTCATGGAATATGTGACACCTGGGATGTTGAACTCCTGTGCACGCTTGAGAGCCTTTGCGAACAGCCACGAAATGTGCTCTGTATCATCCGTGTCGAGAGTAATGTCTAAAAAGGGTCAGTAACGTGACCTCGGCTGTATGCATATTTTCAATCTTACCCTTGCGCTCTTCCTCCCAAGCGATGAGATGAGCCCACTCGATGCAGTGCTGAGGTTGACGAGGAATGGTAGCCAGGGTGCACAGAGGAACAGCAGCACGAGGAGCGTGCATATCCAGCTGGCACTCAATGCAGCTCGTGACGGTAGGAAGAATAACTCTGGACTGGCCTCTGAAACCTTCAGTACCGCCGTCGATCAATGGCTTCAGGCTGTCGACATTTTCCTCGTCTACCATTCCCACCAGAGTAGCATTGATCCATCTTCTTGCTTCAATACTGTCAAGACCGCAAACGATAATGTTGAATTGAAGGTAGTAGTCCTCGTCCTTGTCCTGAATCTTCCCGCAATAAGGGTTGATCTTGACTCCCTTGACGCGATCCTCGACGAAACGAGCAGCGACCTCAGCCTTGTATTTTCCGACATCGGTCTCACGGAAGAGGAATTGGCGATTGAGGTTGGAAACGTCGATCGTGTCTGTTCCACCAATCAGCATGAGGCGTAGGAGATCAAAGGGTTCGACGCACCCATATCAATGACATCGATGTTCTTGAAACCAGAGAGGGCGAGGTTCTTGAGGATTTCGCATCCGAGGCCGCCCGCTCCGCTGAGAATGGTCAGGTGGATACGCAAGACGAGGATTGGATCATACAAACATAACTCTGTCCCAAGTTAGCTCTAGGCAAGTAATCAAGTGAGTTCTTTCCACCTACAAGATCTTTGCTGATTCAAGGCTCTGAATAACACGTTCGCCAGGCACAAAGTCATCTGGGTCTGTGAAGGGACCCTTGCGAGAGAGGATTGTGTCTAGGTGCTTCCTACAAAGGATTTAGCCTGGGACCGGTGTTGGAGACGCCATGTCTTGTACCATCTTGAGCGATCTCCTGTGACGCCTAGAGGAACATCAGGCTGCGACGCAATTTCCGTAGCCATGCTGGAGCTGGGTTGATTGATTGCAAGGTGTCTGGGTGCACGATTGAAGATGACATCGGTACTGTCGGCATTAGCGGCGTTAGAAGTAGCGCATGCTCGTGGTCCAAGCGCCTCGCTTGGAGTTGACATGTTGAAGTGCTTCTGACCATTTACAAAATCACGTAGAAGTCGCAAACATATTCGAGCCATGGGCGATTTCTTGACAGCTGTGTCAACTGTTTCACTCAAGTCAAGGCAAAATATCAACAAGCCCATTATCGAAGAAGTCATCTCAGAAAGACCTAAACCTCGTACTGTTCGAAAATCACCTGCTTCGACCGACGAAGCATTACACATTTTACGTTCAAGTCCTGATCAGGATGCTCTCCATGACCTTCTCTTGTTCTTGAGCCAACCATCTCAACAATCAGCTGGCTTCGACATCAAGATCCCGACTCCATCATCAGCCAAAGTCGTAAATGAACTAATAAACACAACATTACCGGATTTCTGGGGCAGCGATGATCAGACAAATGTCTTGCTTCTAGACTGCCTGAGAAGTGTAGCTGGTATTGGCGGCGTACTCGCAAAGCTACGTCTTTCAATATCAAAATGCCAGTCGGCACGCAAGGGTGTACAGGGGTCAGAGTCGACACAGCCATTGTCAGATCTTACATCGATCTTGTTGCAACTAATATCCTCGGACAGCCTGGCTGAAAATGTGTATGACGATATCAACAGACTCGTTGAAAGTCAGGCGAAGCGAACGCTTCTGTGGAAAGAATTCCTCACATTAGTCGGGACGGGGAAGATCATTGCATCTGCAGCAGAAGCCGAAGACACTGTCAAGTCTGCAGGAGGTCAACTTGAACCCTCTTGGCTCTCAAATGGCTCCAAATACTCTGCATGGCTAGGAAGAAATGTCTGCACTATGTTGCATAAAACTACAAAAGACACAAGCACATTCAAGGCCGCAGCTCAACTTTTTGGCAAGGCTCTCGGTATTGGCTATCCAGGTAGGAAGACATGGCTCCTCAACAAAAAACAAGTACTAAGTATATTCCAGTTCGAGTTGTCGAAGAAATTCATACACACATCACATTCATCTCGCCTCATGCAGGCTCCAAGTTGCAACCAATGCTGCAAAGCTTACAAGCTCACGAGCAACGCCAACTCCTAGACCAGACTTTCAAGATCCTATCGAAACAATGCCTACCTCTCATGTCACCTCCAGACTTTGACGAAACTCTGACAGAGTCGCCCTCTACGATCGTTGCTGCCTCGGCTACGATCATGGAGCTGATAGGAAACAGCGAAGCCATGAGAAGCCATCTCGAGACATGGTTGTCTGATCCAGCACTGAATGCTTCAGAGTCGTTTGCTCTGCGTCGAGCAGCTGTTTCTGCATTTGTTCATGCAAGCAAAGGGACCACGAACATGCTTGAGGATCCGATTCAAGATCTCACGGAGAAGGTTATAAAACGGTTTGGTGACAACCTTTTCATCAAGCATTCGCCAATCTTGCAGCAGGAAGCTTGCGCTCAAGTTCTGCTCTTGCTCGCGGGTTATGCGCATCGAGCCCAGCCAATGTCTTTGTTCATTATGGCTCGCTCGAGCGCACATCTGAACGGAATGTCAAACCGCCTGAACTCATCTTCACCACGGGCTCGGTTCCTTGGCATGATTGTCGGAATGACTATATCAGATCTAGTCGACAAACCAGGATCAAAAATGAACTTTGACATTGATGATGTGAAAACAACCGAAGGAAAGTGGTACCAGCGTCTTGTCAAGGTCGACGACAAGATCGGTGATCACACAAAGATCAAAGAAGTTTTCGGCGCCAAAAAGGTCAGAGAATTGGGCCCTGCCACCACGTCAAGTCCTCACTCCGTGAAGAAGCCCATCCAAGCGAAGCCGAAACCCAAGCCTCTCATTCAGGAAGAACCTCAAGGCCCTAGGATCATGGAAGTGCTGGACGATTCTGAAGAAGACGACGATCTCGTGCCTTACGCCAAACCAGACTCTGACCCTGAAGATGAAGACGAGGACCCGACTATGATCAATCGCGACAAGCCTAAGGCTCCAGTGTACATACGCGATTTAATGGCTGGATTGAATGACTCGGAAAACTACGACCGACATAGTTTGGCTTTGAAGAGTGCTGCTGCTTTGATCCGTCGCAAGTCTTCATTCGGCAAGGAAGTCAGTGATCATGCTCTCGAGCTTGCATCGATTCTGGTAGGACTTGGCGACACGTTCGATATGGAAGACTTCCTCGAGCTGCGTCTGCAGGCATTGATTGCGGTGCTTGTATCAAATCCAGAGCAGATGGCGCCATGGTTTGCACGACAGGTCTTCGATGGAGACTACTCACTAAGTCAACGTACCACGGTTCTGAGTGTCCTGGGGTTGGGTGCGCGAGAGCTGGCTGGCTATAAGGATGAGGACGAAGACCTGAATCCAAAGATTGCAGCAACATCGTTCCCAAGCAAACAGCTTCCTGAGAGATTGCACAGGATGTACACCGCTGAGCGCAACGCACCGGTCGCTCGCATTGCATCCAACCTCGAACGATCCATGATACAACCGATGGCCCTCGACGCAGCTGACAAAATGTCAGGTCCCAACATCCTGAAAGTCAGAACATTCTCTTCGCGCATGGAAGTCGAAAAGAAGAGGAAGAAGATCATCCCTAACGCATTAGCAAAAATTGTCGCAGAAGGCTTCTTCTTCCCCCTGACTGGACGTTGGTGGCAGAATCTACAAGCATATGGAGTGGAAAACGTGCATTTCCAGCCCTTCTTGCTGAGTACATATCTCAAGACACTATCCCTGGTCTTGCATGCAGCGGGGTCAGGAACAATAAGCCTCCCACAGATGACAGCAGAGTTCTGGGAGTTGATTTTGAGTGTCAGGACGAATGCATTGGCAGATGTCAGTGTTCTGGAGGCTGTTCTCTTTGCTACTCTGACTCTTCTGGATATGAATGAGGACAAGCGCAGACTGGCAGAAGAGCATTCGAAACAATTAATCGAGACACAAGAGTGGGTTGAGCTTGTCTTCGACAGAGTTGGTGGAGGTGACGAAGAGGGCGAGAGAATACGCATGCTTGCTGCTAGCGTTTTGATGAAGACAAGAGAAGTGGTGGACAAGTACCAACGCTTGCTGGTTGGCGACCTTGTAGACTATTGAACAGACATGATATGTATACTAGTAGCTCAAAAGACTCAAAGTCATCCAAGAACATCATGGTCGCACGAAATGTCGCATCATAAGATTGAGCCAAGTAACGAGCAGGGTCACTCAAACGACTTCGACCTGTATTCACGACATCATCAACCTCTAGCTTCAACCACAACCACAAAACAACACAAACAACAACATGCCTGATTCAGACGACGCTCTCTTAGCAAGACTAAACGCCCTACGGAAATCTCCAATCACACTCTCCAAAACAAGCCCACTCGATCTGCCATCAACACCACAACGAACCACCGACTCAGACCTGACAGCACGATTCCGCAGCCTGACGCCTAACAGCGCGATCGCATCACCACTCGCAGACACAGAAGACACGCCACACAACGAGGAAGATGACAGAACAATCGAGGAACTGTTGCAAGACCTTGGGCCTGAGGAACAGTGGTCTGTGGATCGTGATGAGGGCGAAAGGATTCGAGACTTGATGGCTGAAGCTAAAAGTGCTTTGCCCGCTGAAGACATTAAAGAAGAAGGGAACAAGGATGTAGATATTGAGATTGGAGTTGTTAAGCCAGAGCATGACGACGAGGATGAAGAACAGAAAGAGGTGGACGAGGACAAGAGAGATGAGGAGGAAGCTGATGACTACGTGCAGCGTGTACTCGCCGAGCTCGCGCTGGAGAAAAAGTACGGCGGTTCTGAAGGAGAGGAAGAAGAAGAACAAGATGATGAGAACAAGGAAGACGACGAAGACACTGGACTGTCTCTGCCTTCAGCGCCAACGGAACTGCCATCATCGCCTGCTCCCGACCAGGACGCCAATATCGATGATGCTCTCTCGGCAAGATTCGCTTCTCTTTCGCTGCCTGGAGTGCCTTCGTTCAATCCGGCAAAGAAGCCTGTCAATATTCAAAAGAGCGTCAAGTCGAACTTGCCCAAGTACACAGATGAAGACATGGAAAGCTGGTGTTGCATCTGCAACGAAGATGCCACTGTAAAGTGCATGGGCTGTGACGGAGATCTCTATTGCCAGGAGTGCTGGAGAGAAGGTCACGGCAATGGGCCTGGTCAAGAGAGGGGCCACCGAGCACTTGCTTACGCCAAAGACGCTTCTTGAACGATTATTAGATATGGACTACTCTGGTTCTTGGTCCTTGAACTTCTCCCTGACTGATGCGACATCAATCCCGCACACTTCTGCCTTCTTGACGGTTGCCTTGGCTTTGCCTACCACTGGCACGTCAATCATCTTGCCGTCCAATGTCCAAGCACCCCGACCCTGGGCATCTGCCTTTTCGTCGGCAATGACGACTCTCACGGCATAGTCCACCTCTTCCTGGCTTGGGCTGAAGATGTTTTGAACCAACTCGACCTGGCTGGGATGAATGCATTGTTTTCCGTTATAACCCATTCTCTTGCCACCCTCACTCTCCTCCTTGAGGACCTGTTGGCCCTGCTCACCGCGAAATGCAGTCGTGACCAGATCGATGGTCGACGGAAGGTTGAATGCTCTCGCTGCCGTCGCAATGGCCGACCGCGCATACAAGAACTCCTTGAGGTCTGGCGTACGTGTGATACTAAGATCAAGGGCAAAGTCTTCAGCAGCGAAAATGAGGCCACTCAAGTATGGTGAAGCTTTGCAAATAGCAGACAAGTCCATGACTGCCCGTGCCGATTCAATCAAGGCTATTAACCTGAGTGGAGATTTGGCATCGGGGCCATGTCGTTCGGGAAGAGCATGGCGAATGACATCGGTTACAAAGTGGAGATCAGAAGCACTGTTGACTTTTGGAATAACAAGGGCGTCGAGGTTCTGTCCTTTGAGGACTTGGGTCAGGTCGTCGAGGGCATAGCCGCTATCGACCGAGTTTATGCGTACGGCTTGCTCTTTTATTCCTGACACTCGTTCTCGCGATAGAATGGATTGGAGATTTGAGCGAGCTTCTGCCTTTTTGCCTGGAGTGACTGAATCTTCTAGATCGTAGCAGATAGTGTCGACGGCCACGCCTCGTGACTTTTCGAGGAAGCGCATGGATGAGCCGGGCACTGCATTGTGTGTTAGCTAGACTTGTTGCAAATACAATTGGTATTTTTACCATAGAGAAGCGCCCGACGGACAATTGGTGAGGCCGCCATGTTGCTGATTTACGATGTATTGCTGAGAGATTCATGAGGAAGTTGGAGACTGATGCCATCATGGTGGGGGCTCGCTATGGCCGAGGGACGCAATCGGCATGGCGGAGGAAGCTCTCCCCACATTTTGTCAAACTCGCCGACGTGCATGACGAGCCAATGGGACGACATCAGCCTCCTGAACACGAGTCAACAAGCAACGACGCGTCCCTTTGCCTAGAGCTGGCTGGATAGCAGCTGCCTCTTAATATCTCCGTGTCGCAAACCACCTCACTCTACCAACACTTTTCCAATCGCCATGGACAACCCGCAACCAGGCTCGCTGAGCTGGCGACTAAGTTCGCATCCCATCACTCTGCTCTGCTTCCTCGGTTTCCGCCTGTGTAAGCTCCCCAACTCCAGCACCCCTACCTACAAAGTCCACGAAGCCTAATGTCTATTCCCTCAAAACAGCAAGTCTCCTGACCTACCTCTTCGGCCTCTACTTCAGCGAAAACTATGTCCTCATCTTCATCATTACGATCATCCTCCTGGCCATGGATTTCTACTATCTCAAAAACATTGCTGGCAGAAGATTGGTTGGTCTGCGCTGGTGGAACGAAGTCAATGCCCAGTCTGGTGATGGTAACTGGGTCTTTGAGTCTGCCGATCCGGATAGCAGACAGATCAATGCTACGGACAAGAGGTTCTTCTGGCTGGCGCTGTACTCACAGCCTGTTAGCTGGGTAGCGCTTGGTATTGTCGCCATCTTCAGATTGCACTTTATCTGGCTTAGTCTGGTTGGTATGTCGCCTGATATTATATATTGGCTCGGCTTATGGTACGGCTTGCTAACAATCGACTGCTAGTCATCGCCATCGTCCTTGCCGTCACCAACACCCTTGCCTTCTCTCGCTGCGACAAGTTCAGCCAGGCCACGAATATTGCAACTGGTGCCTTCTCTGCTAGCGGTCTTGCGAGCAATATCGGCGGTGCCATGATTGGCCGTTTCTTCAGATAGACAAAGTTGGGTTCAAAATATATTTCCTTCTTGGTTGCATTTGTATTGCATGATTGTTGTTCTGCATATGTATCCCCCCTGTGTTTTTGTCCCAAGCATGCAGGAAAATGCAAAAAGCTTCTTTGTCTTGATTGCTTGTCTCTTTTTCCTTTATGTGTGTACTTGTGCTGTAGCCCCTTGTCGCTGTCGCCATGTGTCATTCTTGTAGTTCTATGTCTCTTTTGTGCATAGCCTTCCTCCTTCCTCATACTCTTGCCATACACGTCGTTGACTGTCCATATCTCTTGTAGATATACTCGCTTTGACAGGATGCATGGCTGAAGAAAAGCAGACACGCTCCATCGTAGTTGCCTCCTTTAAACAAGCAACATGGAGTGCTGACCGTCGGTCGCTGGAAGACTCGCCAGAGGGCAGAGCGAAAAGCACTGCTTTGACCCAGGATGCTATTGCTGGCAAGCAACGAGTATCGCCATGGATCTCGAAGGTCGTCGATGCTTGAGACCATCACTCAGTGTCTACAGAGCTAGTCGCCGTACGATGCTACCAGGCATGAGACTTTGTACAGTGCGAAGGCAGTCGATAGACGGAGGTCTATAGCCTTACGAAAGGTCGCGCAGGTGAAGTAGGAGGTCTCGAGGGCGCTAGTAGGTACTCGTCAGGGGTAGTTGTGACCACGAGCTGTTGACAGCGTGGGCTCCATCGCATCGCAGAGGTCTTGACGACGGTGGGAGCGGGCCACGAAGATCGAAACGATGCAAAGCAGGTGGACGACCTGGAGATCTCCTCTGGCTACTCAAGCAGGAGAGACTGGACACGACAACGACGACGACGAGAGTGACGAGGACGACAACGACAACGACGACAGCAACAAGTGAAGCGACGATGCAAGTAATACGGTTGCTTCGGTGAACCACTCGTAGAAGGCACGATCGAAGGCAAGCACGATAAACGACAACGCTGGATGCGGACGGCGGACTTGATCGACGAGAGCTTGAGCACGCAGAGATAAAGGACTCGTTCTGAATCGATTGCGAGGACTATACAGTAACAGGACGATGACTGACGATGGCGATGAGTCGAGAATATTGCATACATACGAAGACTCAGGGGCAAAGCGACGCCGCCACCACGACAGCACGACGGCATTGCGGAAGCATCGCCTATATCACGAAACACAACAAAACAAGCTATCTTCTACAAGTCCCAGCACCAAGGCCAGCAACTCATCGAAGAAAAAAAAAAGGTGGTAGCTCATGGCATACCGTGAACCCATAGGTTCATCAAGATGGTAGTCTCTCGACATACCATCAGCTTATGGAATCGAACCACAGCTCAAGTCCCTATACATCAACTCAGATCAGCGCAAACAATCATCAATAAAAGCAAAGAGTGACATGAGGCGAATAGGGGGGTTGCTCTACCGTTTCCCACCAAGCTCAGGACCAGATCAGTCCTCCCAGGCCAGACACGTCTCTTTGGCAAGTTTACAAAGGCCAAGTAGCGAGACTTTCTCATGTTCTTGGGTCTGGCCAGAAGGGCTCCTCTCTCGGCAAGTTTACAAAGGCCTCAAACAAGAGTGTGCGAAGTCTTATTAGGCCCCAGGAGTCCCGCAAGTCCCTTTGCCGGAAGGGCAGAGGTGTAATTGTCGAAGTGCAGCCGAGGAAAGGGTGATACATACCAACTTGTGTGGAAACGCCCGGTGCGTTGGTCGTGTGTTGTGTTGTGGTGAGGAAGAGAAAGGAAGAAGTGTTTAGGAGGGAAGTCTTTATAGTCAAGGCAGCTTACTAACATGGACCACGGACACTCGGTATAGGGATCACGGCCAATAGGGATGCGCAACGAAACTCCCTCACACCACAAACACCATCACCTATCCCAATAACCTACGCTAGCGACCCTACCAATGAATTTTGAGAATGCGAGGCACCAGCTCGTGAATGCGAAAGTGACGACACACTTACGAGAAACGATATTTCAGCTCCGCGCGTATACCACACGTGCAAACACGAACCTCGCTTCGACAGGAGTCTCGACTGAACCCAATGGGAAACATTACAGGAAGATTGTGTACATGGTCGTATCATATCAAAGTCCAATAGATCATGGAGAAGGGTGACGATAACAAATACTCTGGCTGGCTTAGGGGCCATTCAGTTGAGTCTCCGGGCATGGTGGTCGTGCTATTGAGCATGGGAAGCGCTTGTAGCTCGGCCTGATTAGATCTTGGTGTTGTGTATCGCGAATCCTAACCATACACTCAGTGGTACCTGTCGAGAGCATCCATCGTTCAGTCATGAGAACAACAACAGGAAAATGTCGTTTCCTGTCAAGCGACCGAAGTCTCGATATAATATGTTCAGGGGTAACATGCATGATAGAGCAACTGACGTTTTCGAGCATCAAGGCCGCTCTAATGACATTATTAGCACATTCTGATCACACCTCTACAGTAATGAACGACAAGCCAGCATATAGATGAACGTTGCTTCGTTATAAAATGACAAACATTGTGTATCGCTATACATTCGTAAAAGTCTTCGTAATCTCTGATGACCCCTTGATACCGTCTTCCTCATCATCACTAATATCATCGATGATCAGCGTCAGCCTAGCTGGTGCAGCCGACGACGCAGGTGACCCAAATGCACGATCCCAAGAGTCGCGATCAGTCTTATATGCGGGTGTTGGCGACCCAAATGTGCGATCCCAAGAATCGCGTTCAGTTTTGGGCTTGGGTGTCGGCAGCGCGAATGGTTCTTCTTCAAGATCAGGATGTTCTTTCACAGTCTGTAATGAGCTTCGAGGATCTTTGATAGTCTGTAATGAGCTTCGAGGATTTACAGCAAGCTTTTGCGGACCGATAACAGGTGAGAGTTTGATGAAGTCGTTAATACCTTCCTCAAGGTACGAATCGACAACGACAGCATTTGATCTGACATTGTTGCTGTTTATTCGAGCCAACATGCTTGGTAATTTGGTGGAGTTTGTCATCGACGTCGCGATGATGCCGAAAGCCATCTCGGCCACAATGCACGCGATGATATCGTAATTGGTCGGATCGAAATCCTTGAGGGTTTTAAAGGTACCAGACCCCACTATGCGGAAAGTAGCAGCCAGACCACCCAATATTCCCACAAGGGTGATGATTGAGACGGAAGCCTTGACTTTGAGGCTAAGCCGAGATGTCCAGATGACGACAGCAGGAAGCAGAACGTAGACCCAGGTCACCAACGCATTGAATATCGATCCAGCCAACCACCATCTCAACATGTTTGAGTAGTGCTTGCATTGTCGGAGACTCGTCTTGCGGGCTATGTCACCGGGCGCCCCACAGAAGAAGAAGAGATCGAGGAATATCCTGATGACCGCGTATACGTAGAAGGAAAGCGTCATGTTGGTGATGAGCAGACGCTGCCATCTCTCTGCAAAGCATCTGTTCAAAGAAAGCGCGAAGGACGTCTTGACGCAGACCGACGTCAACAACGAGAGTTGGTATGAGGTGATGAACATGTAGGTTACCACATCCGAAGTGGCGTTGATCATGACCAGCACGCAACTACACTGGCCGCTGAACAAAATCTGTATGTACGGTGAGTCCAAGCCACTCTGGCACGAACAGTGGACCTACCACTCCCAACATCAAGATCCAATCATCCCAACGCACACGACCGATCATGAATATCTTGACGCCATACCGCACAAGAACCGAAACCCATGAGAGTACGAGACAACAGATGACCAGAGCAAGCAGATTAACCATATTTCAGGCCTCAAAAGGCGTCGACGCCTATCCAATCGAAGATATCAAGGCGTCGACAGGGTCCTTGAGGGGTATCGTAGTGTCAATTCGATAGAAAAGAAGCTTAGGTTGGAAGGCGCCACTATACATACCCTGCTGTGGTTTTGATCATCTTGAACAAGCATCTGGCCCGAATCATTTAGGACCTGTGCGGAAGCGTTGTTTAGTTGGACGTTAGTACCATAAGAGGTTCAACTGCCGCGCCGAAGGATCTCAGAATTGCCAACGGCTGAGCCTCGTGGAGATTCACTCAAGGTTGCAAGTCGGACAGCAGAGAGAACAGTGAGAACGCTTTCATGTTGCATGAAGGCATCTATGTAGCCGCTGAATTGTTGTATATTGGCGTAGCGCTGTCTTCTCGTTCGAATGATAATAGTTGGTGGAGATAATGGTGAAGTAGACGTCGCAGGTGGAACAAGGGTCGGCAACTTGGACCTCACCATCAAGTCATCAAACGTTCAAGCTATTGGAATCGGACCCCCGGCGTCTCGGCTGCACCAACGTCTGAATATGCTCATCATTCCAGAAGGCCATGCTGCGAGTGGGACGTCAGAACAAGTTGCGGAGAGACGTCCTCTTGACTCGCTTCGGTACGGCAAACGAGGCCGGCCAAACTGGGAAGCCCATTTTGCACGACGTTGAGTCGACTCGTCCAGTATTTCCCCGGTAAAAGAAGTCTTTCGCAGAAACGATTAAGCGAACAACAATCAAATAACTTGATTATCCAGCACGGCCGTGTATCAGTTGACTTTGGACGATGCTTGTCATGATTTGCTGGTGTGCGTCCAATTGTTGTTGTGTGTTTTGGTCTTGCAAGACAGAAAAGAGGCTCTCCGCGTCGGTCGACAATGCCTGAGACGGAAGGTGTGATTGCACGTCATCGGTCCCCGACTTATCAATCAGCAAGTACAACATCGATGACTTGACTCAAACTATACCATACAACCTCGACAATTCCTTCACGGATCTGCAAGCGATTCATCAACCGTCACTATTGCGAATAAAAACATTACCATGGGAGGTGGCGAACACAAAGAGGCCGTCGTGGTCACACTGCCCATGCAGAAGCCAGACGCCGCTATCGAAAGACTCCAAAACAAGTTCCCTCATCTCAAGATAACCTATCGCAATGTATCCTGGACCAAAGATCGTGCGCAGATAGAAGCAGAAGTCCCCAAGGAGATTTGGAGAGAAGCAACCGTGTTGTTGACATTGTTCGCTTTACCACCTAAACCAGAGGATGCTCCCTTGCTAGACTTTATCCAGCTCTTCTCTGCCGGGTCAAACCAGCTTTCCACTCATCCCATCTACACAGATACCGACATTCCTATCGCGACCGCGTCCGGTGTGCATGGACCGCAAATTGCCGAGTGGGTTGTCATGACCCATCTCATTCACACTCACAAGTACAACCAGCTCTACGAAGCTCAGAAGGAGCACAAATGGGCCAAGGAAAACTATCGTGTCAGGGACTCTGTCGGCATGCGTGTCGGCGTGCTCGGCTATGGAAGCATCGGGCGTCAGGTTGGCAGAGTCGCCAAAGCCATGGGTGAGTTGATTCTGTATCCGCACTACTGCAAAACTAATGAACCTGTAAAGGCATGGATGTCATCGCATTCACAGCATCGCCAAAGGACACACCAGAGAAGAAGAAAGACGTCGGCTACATCGTTCCTGGAACCGGTGACCCAAATGGCGAGATCCCTTCGGCTTGGTATTCTGGTCTCGACAAGGACTCTTTGCACAACTTCCTCAAACAAGATATTGATCTTTTGCTCGTCTCCGTACCACTCACCAATCAGACGACTCATTTCTTGTCGACAGAGGAATTCAAGATCCTTAGTAAAGATGGCAAGAAACCCGCCTTTATTGCTAATATCGCGAGGGGACCCATTATCGACCAGCCTGCATTGATCAAAGCCTTGAAGGACGAAACTTTGGCTGGAGCGTCTCTTGATGTTACAGATCCCGAACCTCTTCCCTCAGACAACGAGCTGTGGGGCTTGGATAATGTCATTGTCACACCTCACATCAGCGGCAATGGCGAGGCATATGTCGACCGTGCTTTCCAGATCCTTGAGTTGCAGCTGGAGCACAAACAGAAAGGCGAAGACTTCATCAACGTCGTAAACAGAAAGAGGGGGTATTAATTAGGCACTGCGTAATAGGTCTTACGAAGTCATTGCTATCTAGAATATATCGCAACAACTCATGACGGTCCCACCTCATCTTCATTTACTCATTGCAACAAGAGCCTGTATGTAGCCACCTCGAAAGCCCTCAGCTCAATGTCAAAGGCACCCTTGGAAAGATGCACTTCTTCAATGTCATCCTCCAGGACATTGCACTTCCAGACTTTGGCAATGGGCACCTTGCCAACCTCAATTGAACCACGGCACCTTCCTCCCAGACTGTCGTACACGCGAACAATGACATTCCTGCCCTTGCGCTTGGGAAGATCACCACGGCTGACATCCTCGTCATCCTCGCCACGCTTGATGGTATCGAGGACCAAGCCTTCATCGCTATCCTTGGACAACTTGAACGAGCTCATTAAGCCCTTGACGTCTGACACGTTGGGGTGTGAGTGCACTGCCATGGGGTTGTTGAACTCGAATCCTGCACGAACAGTGCGGTGATCGAGAGGACCCTTGTGAGGGAGGATTGCCCAACGAATCTTGTGCTTACCCATGTCGGCATGAGCATCAGGAGCCTTGGGTGCACGTAGTAGAGAAAGACGCATCAAGCTGCCGCAGGTTGCGAATCCGTATTTCGAGTCGTTGAGGATACTGACACCGTAACCATTCTCCGAGAGATCAGCCCATTTGTGGCAGCATACTTCGAATTTGGCCATGTCCCATGTAGTGTTGTAATGTGTGGGACGTCGAACAATACCATATTGAGTCTCGTAAGAAGCCTCGGTGTTAGTGATTGTGGTTGGGAATTCGACCTTCAAGAACTTCATGTCCTCGTGCCAATCGACTTCTGCTTCTGTCTCGATGTACGAATGACCTCCTACGGGCGTAGAAGAGAGCGAAATGGTCATTGTGATAGACGACTTCTCAGAGATCTTTGTCGTTGTCGTGACTGCAACACGATGAGGAGTATTCTCGCTAATGACTGAAGAGCTTGTTGCGTGAAGCTCCTTCCTCGAGTTGAGATGGAAGACCTCAACGTCCCATGCCTGCCAGTAAAGAGGCTTGTCATCAAAGATGACCAGTTGGTTCGCCTTCTGGCCCTTGGGAACTACCTCTCGGCGTGCTTGTTTATCATAAAGCATGGTGATGACACCGCGGGAGATCTCAACAAAATATTGACTGTTCGTCAAATGGAAAACGTCGTCTCCCTTGTCTTTAATCTCCACAGAAGCAGACATTTGACTCATGTCCGTTACGGAATTGATACCAGTTCCACCTTGGAGCAGACCATAACTACTCGTCTGGTCGGGAGACGGCAGAGCGCTTACTTCGTTACGATTCCATCCGAGGGTGTTTAGTGCGACAAGTTCGTTATCGTGGCACAATTTATCGTCGAACCCGAGAGCATGAAGAGCTTCGGTCAAGAGCTTCTTGCCAGTCTTGAAAACCTTCGCGTAAAGCTTCAAATCGTTAATTAAGGGCCACTTGGTATGTATGTATGACTTACCTCGTCAGAGTCATCGTAACACATTTCAATGCAGCTTCCAGGCAAGCAGTCGTGGAACTGACATAGCAGAACATTCTCCCACATGTCGTCGATGTCTTCTTTGGGGTATTTATACTTCTTGCCATTGTTCGCGACGACGTCCTGTATACTGGCCAAAGTTGCGAGGTATTCAATGTCATGAAGCATGATCTCGGCCTTGCGGTTGTTACGCTTGTTGTTGGCCTGGGTCGTGTACGTGCCTCGGTGGAGTTCGAAGTAGAGTTCACCATACCAAGTCACAAGGTCAAGTCCTTCTTCGACTCTCTTCTCAAGGCGAGCAAAGAAATCATCGACCGAGTCGCCCATTTTGACACGAGGCAAGAGACCGACCTTGTCGCTCATGCCACGGCATCTTCGAAGCTTCTCGATATGCTGCCAGGTAGGACCACCACCACCATCTCCCTTTCCGAATGCAAGGAGCGAAGTTGGATCCTGATCCATGGATTTGTGTTGGGTGATACTGCGTCTCACATCACCGAAGTTGGCTTCGGCAGTGTATGTTTCAGCAGGTGTCATGTGGCAGACAACCTGACTTCCGTCAAGCGCGACCCAGTTGAAGGTAGTGTGCGGGAAATTGTTAATGTTGTTCCAGCTGAGTTTCTGAGTGAAGAATCTCGTCATACCAGCAAGACGGCAGATCTGAGGTAGTTGGGTTGAGTAACCAAAAGTATCGGGTAGCCAGAAGGTAGTGCATCTTGACCCGAATCGGCTCTCGAAATAGCGTTGACCATAGATGAACTGGCGGACCAATGACTCTCCACTGGGCATGTTTGTATCATGCTCGACCCAAGATCCACCAATCGGCTGGAATGTACCTTCTTTGACCTTGCTCTTGACACGATCGAAGACAGAGGGGTACAACTGCTCTAACCACTTGAATTGCTGGGCTTGTGAAGCGACGAAACGATGCTCTGGGTATCGTTCCAACAGGTTACATTGGTTAGACCATGAGCGGGCGACCTTGCGCTTCGTCTCTGCCCAAGGCCAAAGCCAGCAAGTATCGATATGACAGTTGCCGATAGCAGTAATCAAAGCAGGCTCGTCTGAGTCGTAGAGTTTGGAGGAATCGACATCACCAATGTACTTCTTTGCAATCTTTCTGCATTCTGTGATCGACTCATTGCTTCCATTGGCAGCGATGAAAGTATCCATGATAGCATTGCAGACTTGAAGAGCTTCGTGCTCCTCCCAGGAATCTTGTGGGAACTCCCTAGCGGCATCTCCAATGATCCAGAAGTCGATAAACAGAGCTCTTGCTTCAAGGTTGATAGCTACAATATCGGCTTTCTGCAACTGGAAGTACCTGTCCGGACGAGGTGGTTGGATGCTGTCTCCGCCAGGCGCGTTTCCGAACATGCCGTTGCAAGCCATCTCGATGTAGAAGACATGTTCCTTGCCGTCACGGAACGACTTGGGGAGGATCCACTCGACACGCTCGCCTCCTCCGGTAAGACCTTGTAATGGTTCTCCCTTCTCGTTCCAGATGAGGCCCTCATTGTTTGCGTCCCAGTGAAGTTCCAGGTGCTCCTCATCGGCTAGAGAGGATGGAACGGTAAGACGGACGCGGAACCAGTGAGTCGACCAACTGGGGCCAAAAGACTCGCCAACATGAGCAGGACGGAAGTCGTGCGAGGTTGCATCTTTGAATGTGGGACGAGAGAGGTCAGGAGGAGAATAGACCTCGAGCTTGATGTGAGGATGGCCCGATGCACGTTTGGGCTCGATTTTACTGGCTATGTATCAGCATTTTGGTGTAAGGCCGTCTAGAGAAGGTTCATACGGTAGCAAGCCTTGGTTTCTGTACTGGCCATTGTCTGTGAATTGCCTCAGTCTATCGGTATAGAGGTTGTGGATCTGCTTGCCGACAGGCTTCGCAGCCATTCGTGGATAAGACGAAGCTGATGCCATGGTGGGATGAGAGCCGCCGCCCATTGTGAGGTGAATTTTCGGAAGCTACAAAGATGGACGATAAGACAGGAAGGAGCTCGAGGTGCTGGGAGCAGGATTCAGGTACAGCAGCTGCAACTGGCCATGCACCTGCACTTGCACCATCGATCGTCGCTCAATGCGGGGATCTCCCTCGTCACGCGTAATCGTCCCTGAATTGAGCCGCTATCTCCGGTTTTGCCTCTTGCCTGATCACGGCTACTACCTCCTCGCAGAAACCACGACACGTGTGGACCACCGATTGTATTATGCCGTCTTCTGCTGTTCTGTTGACCTGCATCTCTGCACAACATGACAGAAAAGAAGTCGCTCCCTCTACGCGCCCACCTTAGTGGTTGCCTACCTAATGGAGCACTAGCGTGAAGCTCGGATGCCAGCACGCCCTTCACATGCAAACTCCACATTTCATTCAAGTCTCCAAAAGCCTGTTGCTGTTTCCAAACCAAAACACAAAAAATTGCTCCGCCATGCAGTGGCCAGACTGGCTGAAGTGGAAAGACTCCGACAAGGAAAAGAAGAAACCCATCACCTGGTCCGACTCGCTCAATGCCACAGACTGGTCACAATACTCCTCACCTCGCACCATCCTGCCCACTGCTATCTTGACCTTCTCCACTCTCGCCCTGATCCGCATCTACCGCAGACACCTCCGCCGCGTACCTGAAGCCCAATACATCACACCTTCGTACTTTCACAAACGCAGTCTCTACGGCTATGTTACTCGTGTCGGCGACGGCGACAATTTCCGCCTGTTTCACACTCCTGGAGGCCGTCTCATGGGATGGGGTTGGCTGCCCTCAAGAAAAATCCAAGATTGGACACTTAAAGAATTCAAGGACAAAACTGTCCACGTTCGTATAGCAGGTGTTGATGCCCCTGAGACTGCTCATTTTGGCAACAAAGAACAACCTTTCGGAAAAGAAGCCTTAGAGTGGCTGAGGACTTTATTGCACAAGCGCTATGTCAGGGCATACATCTACAGACTCGATCAGTACCAAAGAGTCGTTGCCAGTGTATCATATTGGAAATGGGGCTTCTGGAAAACAGATGTTGGTCTCGAGATGATCAAGAATGGCATGGCTACTGTCTACGAAGCAAAATTTGGCAGTGAGTTCGGCAACAAAGAAGCAAAATATCGCAGAGCCATGGAAAAGGCTCAGAAAAATCAGGTTGGCATGTGGAAGCATACCCAGCCCAGCTTCATTGGCAAATTGATGGGCCAGAAAGGCGAGAGATTCGAGTCACCACGAGAATACAAAACTCGCATAAGTCTTCTGGACAAGGCCGAAACTGGCCAGAAGAAATAAATCAAGCATACAGAGCCTGGCTCTTGGTTTTTGGTGTCGACCATCGATGTGTCAAGCATGCCTTTGGAATCTGGATATCAGATCTCAACTCAACAGCCACGACATACTTCGCCGATCTTGCTGAATCATCTGGGCTTTCTGGAAACAAGTCCAGAAGCGGGGTATAAACACCTTTGTTCTTGCTAAGATGCTTGCTTCTCTTTTCCTTACTACTTGGTTTTCAAAAAGAGTTAGACTGTCTGGTGAGGTTCCCAAGCGTCTCTTGACATATCTACTCTATCCGAGACAGCTTGGGGACGAATTTGGATGCTGTCTTTGTCAACAACCACCACGCTCATGTCCTTGAGCCAGTACGGCAAGTCAACACCATTGGTTCGTGTACCCACATTGTATCCGAGCTCGACCTCCTGACTAGGGAAATGGATGGCTGGGCCCTGATACTTTGTCGCTTTGCCGCCCATTGGTTTGATCGGATGTTCAGTAAAATGTCTCGGCTTGAGCAACATGCCAGCACTATTCTTGAAGACTTTGGCCGCAAATTTTAGGCAGCGCGAACGTCATGCCGTGGTAGTGACGGAGGACAAGTGATCTGTTACGCTGCCACAGCTCTTAACAGACGCCTGAAGGGTACACTCCGATGTTCTATACTGGCTGACGTCGTCTCATGCATATCTCAGGTTCGAATACGCCTAATGCAACTTGGCCCGTCAGGCCTTGCTCGTGTCATAAATTCGGACGTCGTGTGTCCGGCCACCCCTTGGGGATTATTGTGGCTGGTGAGAGACGCTGTTGCTCGACCCTTTAGCGAACCTGAGGTCAGATTATGCTTTCCCCACACCTGCTCAAGGGGTTTATGCAGCGTGTCCCTAGCACAACTCTACTTGTGCATATATTATGGCAAGTATTATGCACGAAATGCAGCATAAACTAGCTAACAGGGAAGTTGAACATCCGACAAGACGTTTCGACTCCTACATAAGCTCATGAACCTATAGGCTCGTGAAGCTTTCCATGGTGCTCCGGAACACGATGCTCGGAATCGGAAACAATGATCTGGAGCGACGAGCGATTCATTTTTGAAGGCAGGTCATGTCGTCGAGTGTACCATTTTGAATCCTCTTGTACTGTAGTAGACATATTTGAAAGAAAAAAAAATATCATTTGCGGACTTATAGCTCACGATGATTTCCAGTGGAGTGAACGGTAGCGCTCGCAGAAGAGCAGTCAGAGTTGCGAACTGTTCGGGAGCTGCAGGTGTGTTAGAATGATCCTCATAACGACGGTGACCAGATGTTCTCATGATGTACTAGGCGACCCTGGCTATCAGATGCTCAGACAAGCTACACAAGGACCTGTCGACTTCATCACTGGCGACTACCTGGCGGAGGTCAACCTCGCTGAAAATGGTAACAACAACTTCTCTAGAATATTTCAAGAGAGCAAGTGCTTACACATGCATAGCTGAGGCAATGGCTGCCGGCAAGCACAAGGGCTACGCCGAGACTGCTTGGGACGGCATCAACCAAAGTGCTGAGGTTCTCGCCGAGAAAGACATCAAGGTAATACTCAATGGCGGTGCACTCAATCCTAAAGGATTGGCTCTGAGAGTAGCAGATATGGTAGGTATATGTTTTGTCTCAATACGATGCACTCTATAGGCTGACATGGTTCCACAGCTCAAGACTAGGAACATCAACCTTTCGGTCGCTTATGTTGAAGGAGACAATCTCTTGACAGAGGTCAAGAGTCAAGTCGAAGCTGGCAGGCTTCCTGTGCATCTGGATAGTGCCAACTCGAATGTCATTCTTCATGACCACGTCGATGATCTGATCAAGCCAGAGCGTGCAGTTGTCTCCGCAAACGCCTACCTCGGTGCTCGCGCAGTCGTAAAGGCTCTCGAGAAGGGTGCCGACATCGTCATCTGTGGACGCGTTGCAGATGCCAGTCCTGTGATAGGAGCTGCATGGTGGTGGCATGGCTGGAAAGACACCGACTACGACCAACTTGCCGGTGCTCTCGTTGGTGGTCATCTGTACGACCTTCTACTCATAACATCTTTGACCAAACACTAACAGCAATCCAGAATTGAGTGTAGTGGTTACATGACTGGAGCCAACTTCGCTGGCTTCGACGAATACCCTCTGGAATCCCTCATCGACCTGCCATTCGGCATTTGCGAGATCGAAGCCGATGGTACTGTAGTTGCGACAAAGCACGACAACACCAAGGGTATGGTCAATGCAGATACTATCAAGGCACAATTCCTGTACGAGTTGCAAGGAGACATCTATCTCAACCCAGATGTCAAGGCCTATCTCCATGACATTCGTGTTGAGGATATTGGCAAAGACCGGTACGTGCACTCAAGGACACTGACTCAACTCTGGTTTGACTGAACATCTCTCTAGCGTACTCGTGACAGGAGTGAAGGGAGCTCCTCCACCTCCTACTACGAAGTTGGCTGTATTCTACAGAGGCGGCTTCGAGGCACAACTTCTTTTCAATGCAGCTGGCTACGCAACCGATCACAAATTTGCGTTGTTCAAACAACAGTTTGAATGGAACTTGAAGAGAGTTGGTGTCTACGATCAATTCGACACTCTTGAATTCCAGCAGTAAGTTGATATGAATCCATGGCGAGCTTCCAAAAACATAACCTCACCTTCGATGTAGCATTGGTCGACCTGCACAGAACCCTCAGACGCAATTCGCCAGCACCACTTACTTCCGACTCATTGCACAAGGACCCAAGCAGGAGGCTTTTGGAAGATTACTTCTGGCTTTCAGGGACTTTGGTATGCAGCATTACTCAGGTAAGATCTCTCCAGTGGTGTAGCTTGGTGTTTATGTATAAGCTCACAATCACACTAGGCATGCACTGCTCTCTCGACTTCCGCACTGCCATGCCGAGACCATACCTTGCCTACTACCCCGCCATAGTCAACCAAGACGGCATCAAGGAGACAGCCACTATACTCGACGCATCAGGCAACATAATAGAGACTATCGATGCAGGCCACCCATCACGCTACGAAGACCTCGAGCAGCGTCAAAACTACGAAACCACTTCACCCATCAACATCAGCACTCTTGGAGCAACACGCACCGTCCGTCTCGGTGACGTTGCTCTCGGCCGTTCCGGCGACAAAGGCGCAAACATCAACATCGGTCTCTTCGTTCGCGATCCTAAAGCCTGGGACTGGTTCCGCAGCTACCTGACCAATGCCAGGATGAAACAATTGATCGGCGGTGATTGGAAGGAAGACAAGTATTTCCTCGAGCGTGTCGAGATGCCTCATATCCTTGCTGTCCACTTTGTCGTGTATGGTATTTTGGGAAGAGGTGTGAGTTCAGCGGTGAACCTGGATAACTTGGGCAAAGGCTTTGCCGATTATATCAGAGACAAGGAGGTTGAGGTGCCAGAGCAGATTCTGGCGAGCATTGGGCCTAAGCCTACTTTGCCTCTTTGAGTATGGAGTGGGTCACGAATGGCTGTTTTTTTCTTTTTTTCTGGAGTTGAGCAGTATCATTCTTGAGTGGTTACATCAGGGGTGAAATAGGAGTTTGACGTATATGCATGTAACGACACAACAATTCTCAACTGAAAAATGGTTTGCTGGAAGGCAACAAGCACAATCGCTCCTGCTTGAGATTTACAGAACACAAGACTGATCGCATAGGAAAGTAGAAAACTATAGAGGTGAGATGGAAAGAAAGATATGATTCTCGCACACATAAATAAAGACAAATGATCCAAAAACTTCCGACGCAATGCTACTCAGATCAAAGCACTAAGATGAACCAGCATCCGGTAAAGACCACAAAAATGAGACACGTTGATTTTAGTTGTCCGTCACAGTCTCATTCGAGAAGATCGAGATGCTGTTGAAGAGCCAATACGCAGTCTCAAAGGCTTTGGGGTTGATTTGGACATATTCAGCACAAGTAGCAATGCCCGTCTTTGAAGCGCAGCCATCACTCTCCCATGTATTGCCAGCCCAGTCTCCACAAAAGTCAGTGTTGATGACGAGTTGAAGGTCCTTGAGATGACTGTCAAAGTTACAACCATTGCCAGAGAAGACAGCCTGAGGTTTGGAGGTCCAAGTTGAAGGGTCAGGAGTGTTTGCTTTGATGTCGTTCGGAATGTAATCACGAGGGAAGAAATAGATGCTGACACCGGCAGACGTCCAGAGCATGGCGTAGACACCGCCTCCCTGAGAGTTGAAGATATTGCCGGCAGTAGAGTGAACACAGCTCTGATTGCCAACTGTGAAGGTCTCATTTGACGGGGCGCGAATCCCACACCCAGCGTTCTTGCTCTGAGTTGGAGCATTAACGTCACAGTCAGGCGTCATGAGAGTGCCGGAGAAGAGGTCAGATTCACCACTGCTAATGTTGCCAGTGATTGCGCAGTCTGCTGAAGTGTGTAGGGTGGCTGTGTTGTAGTCGTGACCATTGACCTGCTCCACGATATCTATTTCGCCATTCAGAGGCCAGTTGGAACCAGTCAACCAGAGAGCCGGCCACACACCACAACCGCTAGGCATGTGCTTGATATCAGCGAGCACAAGAGCGTGATTGTAAGACTGTTTTCCAGTGAGACGAACAGATGGGCGATTGGCGGTGATTGTTGTATGGTCGACACCAATATAAGCAGATGGGGCGGAACCATCGTTATTGAGGACGACGCCGATCAACTTCGCGGGCGCGGCAATCAATCTTGAGGTGTAATTGACAGACCCATGAGTCGGATCGGAACCATCATCAAAATCAAAGCCATCAAAGAACGTTGGACCGCTGTGCTGCTCAACGAGTTGATATGCAGTTGCGGTTGCAGCCAGAGCTGCAATGGAAAGTTTGAACAAAGACATGATAGATATCTTGTGTTGTCGATTTTTGTTAATGTTGTTGGTGTTCTAAGAGATGGAGTGAGAGGGTGGTTGCTTGGGATAAATAGATAAAGGCAAACTTGAAAGAAGGACAATGGCCACAAGCCTGGAATAAAGAGAAACAGCTGGACTGCTCGAGTCAATAAAAGCAAGACACAATTGCACAAAGCAAGTTCCATCACCGTACAAAGGTAAAGAGTGGTTGGCTGAGATGGTAGACAATGAACGTATTCTGAAACATAATTCGTTTTGACTTTTTGCATTATTAGGCGCCTATAGTGAGATGGCGAGTATCTGGTTACGCATTTTGAGTGTGAATTTGAAAAGAACAAAGAACCTTCCTGGAAACCCCTCCTCCAACAGAGGGCTCTTACATCTGACGCAGCGCGCAGAAAGGTATGATGGCATAGCCATGGTCATAATCAGGAATCCAGTGAGCATTAATTTCCGGGATTAGTCGTCTACTACAGCTTGCCTTCAGCTTGGGCTTCTCTGACTGTCTCAAAGACCTAACAACAATTAGTAAATCTTATATGAACAATAAAAATGTTTGTGAACACTCGGGTTCATACCTTGAGGAGCTTTCGTCTAGCACCAAGAGCATTCACACCCTTCTTGTCGAGAGCATCATCATCAAGCTGGACAAGGTCTTGCCAACGCATGTCCTTGAGTTGATCTGTGTACTTGTGCAGTCTCAGACTACGCAGCCAGCTGGGAATGTCACTCAAGAGCTGGAGATCGGTTGGGTCCTCTGGAGGCTTGGAGCTGCCGCGTCTACCACGAGGTGATCTGCCACGAGCTTCAGAGTGGTCAGAAAGATAACCTTCGTGACCACCCATGCCGAAGTTGCCCATGTTAAGAGCGCCCATGTTCGCGTTAAGTAAACCGGCATCGTACGTGGACAGAAAACCGTTGTTTTGAGTCATAGGAAGATGGTTCATGTTAGAACCAGGAGGACCAGAGATGGCAATACCTGGAGAGCTTGGACGAGAGCGGCCACCCTGCTGAAGGGCAGCGAGCTGCTGAGCTTGCAGAGCGGCAGCCTGTTGAGGAGTTAGGACCTGACCGAGTTCGTTGGTCATAAGGATGTTCATGTTCTGTTGTTGCTGTTGCGGGTATTGAGGCTGACCCTCGTTGGAGCGTGCGCGGCGGAACTTCTTGACGTCGTCAAGCTGGATGCGGTTGTTGACGGTAGAGAGAGCAGCCAACTTCATGGCGGTGGCATTAGCAACCATGTCGGCGTGTGCGGCACTTTGCTGCTGTGTGTTGAAGTTGGGAAGCATGGGGGTGTTGACCATCGAAGCCCAGCTGTTGTTGGGATTGTAAGGCGAGAGAATGTTCATAGCGGGATCCTGGTTGGGTGCAGAAACGGTAGTGTTTTGCAGGTTGGTGTCACTAGACAGTTGGAAGGGGCGAGGCGAGCGCAGAGGCTGGCTGAACTGGCCCATGGGTTGTTGACCCTGGGACGAGCGGGGTCTGGTGATGGGAGGCTGGTTCTCATTACGGCTGTTGTTCCAAGGCGAGGGAGAGAGCGGCACGGGGGCATCTTTCTTGTCATCGAAGAGGAGAGAGGAGCGGTCGCCGACGCGGCTAGAGGTGGGGGTGTTGCCAGTGTGTTCCTTGAAGTCGGCCTTTTGCTTTGCGATGGCGGCGGCAGCATCAGGGAAGAGAGAGTTGATGGTGCTGGGGTCGAGGCCCGAGTTGCGCTTTGCTCCAGGGGATGGTGGGGGCTTAGCACCGAAACCGAAGGATGATCTGGTGCCTTCCATGTTGAGTCTGCTCATGGCATCGTTCAGGCGGGTGGACATGGGGTCTGGTACAGCATGATAGGTTAGCCAAAGGCACGGTGATGCATGGCGTTGCAAACATACCCTTCTCGCCAAAGTTGGCAGGAGACAGAACACCAGACATGGGATGACTCTTGGCCATCTGCTGCAGGACTTGGATGAAGAAGCGAATCTGCACCTGGGTTGTCTGCTGCAGCAAGGCGTAGAGAGCAGCAGTGCGCTCAGGTTCGCTGAGAACGCGGAACCACTGCTCGATAGCGCTGAGCTCATCCTTGAAATCTTGATCCAACGTAGCAGCAGCCATGTCCTCGAGGGTTGTCTCGTACTGGTCGATGTCGGCGATCCATTGCTGAGCGGCCTTTTCAGCAGCATCGTCCTGGCTGCCGAGCCCAACACCGCTGAAATAGACCTCGCTGGCAGGTCGGATGCCGCGTGATGCCAGAGGGGACGAGGTGGAGAAGGCGCCCATGTCGGCCGAGGCGCGCAGGTGGTGGCCGGGGTTCATGCCGCGAGAGGAGGGCGGGCGCAGAGTAGAGCTCGAGGCATCAGGCGTGCTGTTGCGGTTGCCGATGCTGTGCGAGGACGACGACATGGCGAAATTTTGTGGAAAGGAATGTGGTGGTGGCTAATAAGAAATATTAACTGACGGAGAACCTGCAGTTCCTGCTGTCCTCAAAGGCCTCCGGTCGTAGCTTTGTTCTGAACGCGGCTACCGTGCGCAGACAAACCAAAAGAGAAGAAAAGGACAGAAGCGACGATGGGTTGGGTGTCGGAGAGAAAGAAGGTCGAACAAAGCAGCCCTCGAGACGTTGCTGCCCTCTCACGCTCAGACTCCTGATTCCTGCTGCATCCACAAAATGTCAAACTCCCGCCCTGGCGCTAAACTCGCCAATTGCTGCCGCTATCTGCTCTCACTATCATTCCAGCACCGCTTGTAACTTTTCTCTGCTTGGTTGGTCAGTATATTCTGCCTTTTTACCTACGGTATCTTACCATCCATCCATATATTGTCTTGCTGCGCCTTGGTGTGTGTTCGCACGAGCTGCTGCTGCTGCTGCTGCCCTTGAGTCGTGGCCCAATCTATCCACGGCTGCTCAGCCACTGATAGCCCTACGCCATACAATATCGCTGTTACACCCGACTCTCTGCACATCCACATCATCGTATATCTGTTTATTGCTATATCGCTCTGTCGTGTCTCAACCTGACTCTCTCCGCCTGTTCTTCCCGGTCCTCTTCCCGAATCATCCTCCACGCCAAGCTGACCGTTGATCAACCTCCATCGTCAGGTAAATGATTTGTTTACCATCACAATTCCATAAACATGCAACGCCGCGGACGGATGCAGCTATCCGCCGAGGGCTTCTAGCCTCGGTATAGACCTTTGTGCCATTTTATGCCGACCGAGTCTCTCATAGATCAGGCCCCCTGGTCCCCTTAACTGTCAAAAAGCACGTTGCATCTAGGCCTAATTTTTGTTTAATGCTTTTGGACCCTTAAAAGGTTAATTTTGTTTAACCATCGGTCATGAATTTCTGCGCTGGATCACACGCGACAGTAATCAAAAGTAAAGTGAAGTTTCGTATGTCAGATATATCTTCCAATGGGTTGTGCGAATTAACTCGATATCTGTATGGGCTTTGCAGTCGTTATTTTTGCGTCTTCCTATCCATCCTCTCTACTGAATCCTGATAGTGCCCATGTCTCGAAAATACAAAAGTTGTTTGCTTCCTCTGATTTCCGTCTTCAAAGCTGCAGCGTCAAACACTGTTGGAATAGACCCTGGTGCCTAGGTTGTATGCTTGTACCTCCCCAGCACTCTCAATGTCAAAGACAGAGTAAGGTAAACTAGCAAGCCAGGTCCACATCCTCCCTCATCTCTCACGACTCGTTGAGTGCCTTTCTGGCAACGGCAGCTACAGCTTCGAGCTGGAGGGCTTCGGCCTCAAGGCGCATAGCCTGGGCACGGAGGCGCACGATACGAGCGCGCATCTCCGCGACATCGACCTGCATGCTCTCGTTGAGGTGCTTGGTGCTCTGCACCATGCGTGCTCCGGCAGGACGAGTAGGGGTGTTGAACGAGCTGAGTGATTTCATGTCGGGGGTGATATTAGTCCGGTGAGTGCCGTTGTGGACGTGAGCAGAAGTAGGGGTAGGTGAGCTCATGTTGCTAGAGGAGAGACCTTCTTCGGTGTTCTCAGGGGTCTGGGCCTGAGCTTGTCCCTCCTTTCTGTCGGCACTAGGACCAGGCTCATTATCGTGCTCCTCGAGGGTTGTCATGTTGACATCTTGCTCCTGGTTGCCCTTGGCGGCCTCATCAGCCTGGTGACGCTTGACGTTGTCGACAAGACGCTGGATATCACCAAGCAGAAGTTCAGCGACCCTCCTCTGAGGGTTCTTGGAGTCGACCTGACGCTTCTGAACCTCGTGGACCATGAGCTCCTGAGCGACTTGCAGCTTGCCAGCCATCATGGTCGACAGTTCTTCGAGGCCACGTAAAAGCTCAACGCTCCAATTCCACCAAATTTCCTCAACGCTACCAAGATCTCCAATGCGGATCTTGGCTCCTTTCTTGAGCTCGACACGAGGGCGGATCTTCTTGGGAATGCAGTCCTGGACCTCACAACCCCAGTTGGCTTCGATGCGGGTCTTGCGGTTGATTTTGACATTTCTGTCTCTGGGGTGGAGCTCTTCGAACTTGCGACGTTCAGGAGTAGGACGTGACATGATGTCGAATTTGGATTGAAGTTCGGCTCCGAAGAGTGAGTGCAGCGATTTGAGTTCTGACTATTACAATTACCATTGGTTTGACCAGGGTTTTGTGAATGTTTGGTGTGAGCTACTGACCTGACTTGTATGGCTTTGCCTCTTCGATGCTTGGTGACCAGCCTTGATTGCCTGATGGGAGAGTTGAGTGTTGCCTGACGAACTCAAGCAGGTGAGTGAATTATGCTGTGTAGTAGCGTAAGTGAGACGCTCGACAGAAAGCAGGACGATAACGAGGCAAGAGAAGATGTAGAAGAAGTGGTCAAGAAAAAAGCAGGGTAGATGGAAGGTAGAAGAAGAGTAAGAGGTGCATGCAAGCGGCAAGTTGAATGCCCCTTGTGCACAAAGCTTCTCTTTCACTGGACCTAGCTCCAAAACTGCATAGCGCTGCGCCGCCATTCGCGCTCAGCAGCTAGCATCAGAGATATCCCCTTCAGTGACGCACAGCCCCAAGTGACGAGTTGAATGCCCCTTGTGCATACAAGCTGTTCTTTCACTGGATAGTGCTCCATATTCTCATCGTGTTGCGCCGTCACTCGCGTTGGACAGCCAGCTTTGAGCCATGCCTTCAGTAACATACAGCTCCGAGTGGCAAGTTGAACGCCCCTTGTTCGTGGAGGTTCTTCTTTCACCGGACATTACTTCGTAAGTTCATCGCGTTGCGCCATCGATCGCGTTCAGTAGCCAGCTTCGAGACAACCCCTTAAACAGGGAAGTGATATGGAGAACGTCAGGTTGAGCAGCATTGCGAGTACGGATTAGGCAGACAAAGATGCGCTGATACTTGTCGGAGTATAAGCTGAGAAACCCGTGTCCACAAAGAAGGCGATGCCCAGGGGTGAAGGCAAGACAATGTAAGGACGGCGACGTCGAGCCGTCAGGCACTGCAGAAGCGTAGTCATACCTCCCCGTGTACTAGAAGATGTAACGCATGTAGCTATAAAGATGCACAATGCTATAAGGAACAGGAAGATGTCCACTGAGAAGCGACAATACATTGGTTCTCAATGGACATGCTCCTTCTCCGATAACATCTGTGCCTTTTTATAGTACACGTTTTGCTTGTTGCCGCAGGTGGAGTGAGATAAAATGAACGACTGACTTACTTGATAGTGTCTGAGCTGACAAAAAAAAAAGACTGATAATGAGGATCAGAAATGCGAGTACGCGTAAACACGGTCTGGTTGACGCCAATGGCCAGTCAAAGTTACAGACGGATATTTTCATAGAGTGCGCCGATGTTATCGTGATAAGCCAAGACCGATACATTCCGACACACCCCATGGGCTTAAGCCTATGACTTGTATCATACTCGGACTATGCAGAGAGTAAAGCATACGCTATTAGAATGCACAATCTTGTTCGGGAATGAAGACACATCCCCAGAGAGTCAATGTTTCGTCGCTTCTCAGTGGACACTTTCCCATTCTCTGATGACATTGTGCAGCTTTACAGCGTAAAATTTGCTCTCTGGGGCCGTAGAGAGAAGGGTATTTGGGCTCGCTTAACAGAATCCAGCCTACTTAGCTCCGATATCGATGCACGCCGCTGGGGCTGGATCTCGTAGTAACACAACAATCATAAGGACACGAAGACTCAAGCCGGAGAAACCTCAGAGAAAGTGTGTCGGGTAGCGTGAAGAAAGTGTGCTGTCCTCATGCTTCTTGTCCGTATGTCCGTATGTTTGCCTGTCGCTTGCGTCACTGCGAAAATCCACAACACTGCCGGTAAACAGAGCAACTCGACGGGAGGCTACCACCTCCTCGGCTTCTTCTGGACATGGCTCTGTGCTTGGAGGTGACTGTGCATCTCGATAGCTCGTAAATCGTTCGGTGTTGCCGCGAGATGTCGTAAAGACCAGAACGAGAAGAGCTAAGCACGATCCACGTCCATGAACGGACCTACTGAATAGCGGAGCTTTCCATGAGAGCGGTTCAAGCACATCGAGTCAATCTCCTTCGGCTTGAAAGTGTGACATCGTGTCAAATTTCGGAAGCGGTAGACTGTGTGGGTGACTGTCGTGGACTGGAAATGACAACAAGCGTGGCTTGCTTGCTCCATGGAAGGTCATGCCGACCGTCCGTCCGAGGCCGCTTCAATTTTTTTCGCAAAACATAACGAAGATCAAGATGGTGTCTGCCAGATTGAGAGCCTGACCCCAGCTCTGCCATATGCAGATGATTGCAGCATCTCACGATATAAATGAGACTATGACACCCAATCGAGGGCTTTGGTGTCTGAGATACAGTAGCATATTGCGAAAGATCGATTGCTGGATCTGCGCGCTCCGTCTCGATGAGCGGTCAATGAAGTGATGGCGTCAAACAAGAGGAGCTTCCTTGATTGTAGTTGGATGGAGCACGGGGTAAGGCTGAAGCCTGAGATTCTTGGCAGGAACCATCTCATTTCCCAAGCAGGAACGCGAGGATCAACCAGCGTCCGTTTTAGCACGCCATCATGGAACAAATCGAAGGCTCATGGAAGCTTTTGCGCGTCATCATGCTGTCCTTAATGTCCTGGTGTGCGGATGACCAACCTCGGGGCGAAACCAGCACCAAACGCCCGGCACTCGAGAGTGTTCCATGCTTGCTAAACTGACACTATGCACCGTCCTTCTTATCTCCTACCCGATGCAGCAAGAGGTGCACTGCTGACACAGCCTAGAAACCCGCAGCTCCATCGACGAATCCTTCCATGTATCTACCAATTTGTGGCGCCTGCAACAATGTGTGAGCTGCGCAGCCAGCTTCCATATCTGATCAACCCCAAGCGACTGTGCCCCCCATTTGGAGAGGCTGTGTGTTATTCTTAGACCGCCTTTCTTGTTTATCTGCAAGATTACCAAGCTCTCACAATGACGCCCAACGAACTGGGTCCGGGTGAGCACTGGCTCACTTTTCCAGAAAATGTCCTTGTCGGAGACGACTCGTTCACAGACCGTAGTGGGGTTCATGAGCAGTCTGGGACGGCGTTGCGCGTCAAAAGCGCCTTTGCTCTGTCATGCAGGTGTCTGCGAACTCAAGAGTTTGGAACTAACCCATCCCCGAGTCATTTTCCTCAGACCCTGGTCAATCGCTGGCTCGTGTTTTTGAACGCCATGCGATCCGTCCGGTCAGTTTAATAACGGCCCGCGCATCATGTGTGTGTCCATCTAGCCAAGTCTTGTAGGGCTGTTGCGGCTTTGCTTGCTTACACCGGAGGTTATCCATCCTTCCATGCATTGCAGTACGCGCGAATCAGCATGGAGGGGTTCGTGCTTGACCGTCATGGTAATGTTCCTTGCAGTTGAAACGCAGCCTTCCACAGGTAGGTCGGTTCTTCGGGACATCTTTCGCTCCCGGACTTCCATATGAGCCATGCCAGCCCCCACTATGGTGTCCCTTCACCGTAGCATCCTTCGCACCTCGTGTATATATACCCAGCCGATACCCTTGACTTGACGATCATCCATCGACCTTCACATCCAAGTCTCCCCCCACCTCAACAATGGACACCTTCAACTACTCCAACCGCCTAGTACACCAGCCATACTCAGAGTCCTTTGGCTCGCCAGTACTACTCTGCTCAAGTCCTGACAACCAAATCATCGACCACTGTTATCCGGAAGAGTTTCAACCCATGTTCAATACTTGTCAATCACCTCTGTTCCGTCCCATGCAGCCCATTGTTCCCACCCAACATGAACCTTACTCAGGACAATGTACACCAACATGGCCAGAGTCATATCCATACCAGCCGGTCTTCATGGACTACAACTTTGGTGTTGTCCGCTCCAGCCCTTCTCTTCTTCCTTCTATCGAACAAACCACCTTAAGCCGACCAGTCTCGAGAGCACCTTCATTCAGATCCGACACAAGTTCTTCATGGATGAGCTGCCCAAGAAGCAACCCTTCCCGCTCGTCGTCTCCTAACGCTGGAGAGATGTCCAAGTACGGAGCTCCCAGTGAGGATGGCACATGGAAGTGTGCTTACCCTGGATGCACATCCAAGTCTGTCTTCCGACGAGGATGCGACCTGCGCAAGCATTACCGCAGACATACAAAGACCCTCTTCTGTCGCCATATTGGCTGTCGATCTGCAAGCGAAGGAGGATTCTCTAGCGAGAAAGACCGAGCACGCCATGAAGCTAAGCACGATCCCAAGATCGTTTGCGAGTGGGATGGCTGCAGTAGAGTGTTCAGCAGAGTGGACAATATGGTGAGTCTCTATAATAACACGTATCCCGATGTGCCAACAACTAACAATTCCTGCAGAGGGATCATGTCCGTCGTATCCACCGCCGCAAGCTCGTCAAATAAAGAGTTGCAGAACGCTATTTATGATTTACGATATGACCTTGGTCGATATAATGTATGAGAAGGGTCACCATGCGGATTATATGGAATGGCCGTCGGCGTATGTGTCTATATTAAATATTGACCGGCGGACAAGCTTGGCGAACCTATTGGACGAGAGGTCTTCACGATAGGCAGGTGTTTATATGGGGAGAAGGAGGGTCTTGGGGCATTCTGGGACTGTGATCTGGATTGGGGCGCATTGGTTCTGTGTTTCTTTTTTGGTTTGATACCCCTGCATTTGCTGCAAATCATGGCAATAGAAGGACAAGCGTATACCGCAACGAGCTGGGTTGTTCATCTATCTTGTATATTGTTTGTTTGCACCATGATCTGCAACCTCTGAACACGTGCATCCACAGGTCGGGTAATCAAGGCCAACCCACCAACACGGCGGTGAACCAAGCTGTTGGATTGCATGAGTCGTGCTGCCAGCGCCTATGCCGACGAGTTGCGTACTCGACAACCATGACACTATTTTTGAAGAATTTCCCGATTCTGCTAGAACAGCGAGATCCGTCGATCTCATGTAGATTGATTTCCAGTCATCGAGGATGGCACGTGAATCGCCAGGGTCATGGTAGCGACTTGGTAGCGCGAACCAGATGCATCGCATATGCAGATCCAGACCTCAGCTGAAAAGTAATATGTTGGTCTGAGCCGAGAGACGTGCGAGGGAAGCCTAATAGATTGTCCAATTGTTCGTGTTTGACGTACGGCTGGAAGGAATGATCAGAATCGATTGATCTTGAGGTAGGTAGTAAGCGGTCTGGCGAAGTGTTCGCAGCAAGCTCCATGCAGCTAAGGGCCCAATTCAGCAGCGTTGCCGTGACAACGAGAGCTTGTAAACATCCAAGCTGGCTTTCTCTTTTCCATAGTGGCTTGACCGTGAAGATAATTGCGACCAAGGAAAGAGATGGCAATCAAGATGGCTCCATCTCGCTATGTCGACGACAGCGACAGCGATGACCTCCCCGAACTGGATGCACTCATCAACAAGCATGTCAAGGGCCTGCCCATCGCGACTGCGCCGAAGCTCACTGCCTCAAAACCAAGCATACCTCGTCTGGCACCGCAAAAGTCAACTGAAAGAACAAAAAAGCCGAAGATCGATGACTCAAAGACAAATGCGCCCACCAAAAGCTCAACAAGAGCAAAAACGTCCGGCCAGCAACACACCGAGTTGAAGTCTGCTCCAGAAGCCAGAAACCCAGTACCAGAACCCAAGTTGCAGCCAAGAGCTCGTGGACAGCCTGCGCTCAAGGAGGTAGAGGTGAAGATCAAGGAGTCAAAGCCCATAGCTACATCGCACACAAAGGTCAAGCCAGCATCCCGACGTCTACCGCGCATAGAAGGCTCGGAATCAGAAGAGAGCCATGAAGAAGTGGAAGAGGAGGACCTGGAGGAGAGCATATACTGCGAAAGCGACAAGGAGGCAGATGTTCCAGTTCTTGCTCCAAAAGCTGCAAACAAGCCGACGAGAAGGCTTGTGGCTGGTCGAAGGAGTCCAGATATGGATTCGAGTGATTCGGACGAGGACGTCTTCCACACTCCTCCAAGCAAGCAACCGCAAAAGCCTTCGAAGGAGAGCTTCACTACAAAATCTTCAGACGACCTCACTCAGAAGCTTCTACAGTTGGATCTCGACGATTCAGATAAGGAAAATGACAACCTTGCCATACTCAAGTTGTAAGTTCTCTTTCAACATATCTCACTTGCGCCTTCCATTGACTCTTGATAGCTCTCCTCCGCGTGCAGCAAGGCCGATCATGTTAGACAGACCAAAGACTCCCCCTCCGGCTTCTCCTTCAAAATCTCGCCTTGTGTCTCCCTCGAAGAAGAAACAGCGCATTCCCACACCCCCTCATGCACCAAACTTCGAGGAGTTCTGGAACGTTCATGCAGTGAACACTTGGAATGACGAGCACTCTCCTCAGAAGCCCCTGATGTCGCCCAAGAAGAACCGAAAGGCACTGCAAGAAGACTCAGATTCACCCTCTGCATCTCCAAAGAAGTCACAAAGCCCTACAAAGAAGAGCCGTGCTGAAATGGTCGCAAAGAGAGACTTTGAGAACAAGAAACACAAACTGGCAGAAGACTTCTTTGCCGAGCTTGATCACAAGATCACTGGAAACAAGATTGAAGAACTGGCTGCATTGACTGGCGGCGTCAAGTTTGTTTGGAGCAAAACACTGAACTCGACTGCTGGTCGAGCAAATTGGAAGCGCGAGACATCAAAACACAGAAACCTCGATGGATCGATAACAACAACTCAAAAGCATCATGCCTCTATCGAACTCGCCGAGAAAGTCATCGATGACGAGGAGCGTCTCCTGAACGTCGTGGCTCACGAATTCTGCCATCTTGCAAACTTCATGGTCAGTGGGATTAAGGATCAACCACATGGCCACCAGTTCAAGGTATGGGGCAAGAAGTGCAGTGATGCGTTTGGTCACCGTGGCGTGGAAGTCACTACAAAACACTCGTACCACATCGACTACAAGTACATCTGGACTTGCACGAATGAGATGTGCGGCCATGAGTTCAAGCGCCACTCCAAGAGTATCGACCCAGCCCGCCACTCATGTGGTGTGTGTCGCAGCAAGCTTGCTCAGACAAAACCAGTACCCAGAAAGCAGGCTGGCCCGACTACCTATGCAGCTTTTGTCAAGGCCAACTTTGCAAGTCTGAAGCAGGAGATGGCAGGAGCCCCTCACAAGGAAGTCATGGCTGCCTTGGGTCAAAAGTATCGAGACCAGAAAGCCAAGGGCGAGTTGGGTGTCTCCACACCACCAAGTGTAGTCGATGACATGGCGCCGGCATTGGAAGTATTGACGTTAGACAGCGAGTGATGTGGTGGTTGCATGGTTGTCCCAGCTCTTTCTGTGTTTTTCATTTCATGATACCCTTGCCGTCCTGTTTTTATATTCTCAGGAGTTCTACATATTTGTTTCCACCAAACCCAATGTACATGTCTGCACAAACCATCTCTATATTCAAGACATTCATTCTTGAACGAACAGATCCCAATCCTTGATTTCAAAAGTCTGCAAAATGCGATCGCGGAATGATGTTGCGGCATCCAGCATGGGTCCTTGCTTTCCAGCTGAAGGATCAACGTCGTCTTTGTTGTATTCGCCGTCCACGTGGGGGACGTTGATGCAGATGACTAGGTCGGTCTGTTGGCGCTCCAGGCGGATCAGTGTGAGCAAGATGCCTGTGAAGTCGGGGGCTTTTCCGCGAGACACGGCGTCTGCTGATGCTGTGTGCGTGGCGAAGAGAGTATAGGCGGGTGTTTGAGATCTATGATGTGGACGTCAAAGGTCAGTAGGCAAATCTTGGTAGACGCTGAAAAGTGCACGAGGAAGAGATGTAAGGCGAGAAAATCCTTAGATCGTTTGCAATATTCGTAGAGCATCTCCGAAAGTCTTCTCAAGAAGATCCGATAGAAAGGAGCCGACTCACGGTAGTTTGTTCAGAACTGCAGAATTTGAAGTCCAGAGTTTTGTGCCATTAACATCATCCTCGACGATATCCTCGAGATGGTATTTCAGGGCATCCAGATCCGGCTTGTCGACACGTTCCAAAATGTCAAAGACGATGCTTGAAAGACCATCTTTGTCCAGGTAGACTTCTTGATTGTCGGGCACTTGTCTGATTTGGCTGTTAATGGTTAGCGATTGCGCTTGTTGTGCCGGAGACCTGGGTGCTAGCAATTTTTACCTGACGTCTGCGAAGTTGGATGGAAGTTCGACGGTCATGGCACCGCCGTAGAGCTCGGTTTTGTTAAAGGGCATGATGATGGTGTTGACAGTGAGGGTTTCTTGAATATCTGGAGTGATGGTATTATGGTTTCTTGGGGAGACGTCAAGCACAGGATTTGTAGTCGCTGGTCCTCAGGCAGCAATGCGGTCTTAGGCAGACATCGAGTCACCGTCACACCACAACCATCTATCATTCGCTATTCTCACACTTTTTATATTAAGCGCTTTGTAAGCACTTTTGATCAACTAAACGGTGAATCACTGATGCAGGATACTATATTCAAGATGATTTGATTGTGTTTCAGGACCATTGCGACTACGAGGATACAATGGCATGATAATAATGTTCTATCTATCCTTCTCCCATCTATTCTTTGGCCGTGAGCTCGCCGGCGTGTGTTTTCCACGGTCACTTGTGCCCGCGGAGGAGTCAAATGGCTGTTGATTTGTTTGTTCGTTCCCAACCGGAATTGCCCGGAGCTTGAGATGCGTGAAGCACATGAACTTCTTCTGGAACCGAAGGTGTATAATAGTAGCGGAGGGATTGATGGGTATCATGTACTGAGGCCGGTTTCAGTTGTTGCGAGGATTGCACCTGCGATGCTGCTCTGAGTGGCACGGCGCAACCGCTATCATGGCGTGTGGTGTCTGATGCAACTTGTGGTCGAAAGCGCATCGTTGTTGTATGTATCTTGATGAGCAGTGGGCAGGAGCCATGCAGTTGTTCAGGTTGCTTCGGCCATCTCGAGCTCGTAGTCGTCTTCTTTGCGCTTGCCGTTGTCTGTCCAGGTCAAGCCAGCGGCAGCCTCGGCCTCCTTTTGTGAGTAAGGCTCCTCCTTGAGCTGGCGAACTCTATGATACAGGTCAGTGCTGTACAGGATATTTTAGAAGAGCGAATGAAGGCTCACCTGCGCTTGTGAGGCTTTCCCTTTGTGTGTGCGACAAGGTTTGCTTCAGACTCGAACCATTTTGCGCACTCGACACAGTAGAACTGTCCGAGGCCAGGGAGATCTTCAGCAGCCTTTGTGCTCTTGTACTTTTCCAAATGCTTTTCCTTGTGGAGGTCGTCGTGAATTTGGTCCAGATCGCGCGTGTGACGGCGAGTCTTCTTCTTCGAGTCTTGACCGCGAATGGCAGGCATCGTGGCTTCCAATAGGCGAGTGAAAGTGTCGCTCAAGTGTGTATAGTATTCAAGGTTCTCGAGTCTCGGTCACAGTCGTCGTTCGCCGTGGTCACGCAAAATTGGTCGTTACAAGACTTTGGCGAAAGTTGATGCAACCGGCATGGAATTTTTATTTCCGTTTTGCCAAGCACTTACTTTCTAGTTTTGCAGCCAGACTCAAGATGAATGCAGTTCTCGAGACTCGAGTCCCAGCATCTGTAGATAATACGTGAGAATCTACACAAATGGCATGTCAAGAACTGCTCCTTTGTTGTTACTTTCATGGTCTTTGGATGATCTAGGTAGGTCTACCAGTATGATGGAGCAGCAAGGTCAAGCGTTTAGGATGCGTTCCAGACAGTCACATGCGAGGTTGTCGGCTCCAACTTTTGAAAAATTGCTCGCAGCCGATCGAGCCGGCCGAGTCCTCGTCTTGCCGACCGAACAATCAGCGAGCGCCGATTTGAAGACACCTGCCAACCAATAAATAGGCGGGCTTGTCCGAGGTTTACCGGCACGGCTTCGTGAGAATCCGCACGCGGCAGCTGTGCTGTTTCGCAAGCTGGGCATGGCAGCCCCTGGAAGCTTGACGGAATTCATACAAAACAGCTTCGGGATTCGGGAAGATGGAATTGCAGACCACGATCACGATGATTGAATAGCTATGAAATGCCATCTGATGTCAGAAGAAGACACAGGCAACGAATGAGCATCGAGCGAGACAAGCAGACAAGCTGGGCGGAAGCGAAAAAGCACAGAGGCGGCGGGGGTGTGTAAAACGAGCAGCTAGACCAGCCTGAACCGTGCGCTCGAGCCAATAGGAGCTGTTTTGATGAGGCCGGTCGCTCAGACCGAGGGCCAAGGGAGAGACTCGCTCTGGGTGCTATCTTCTCTTAAATAACTCTACCGTCTTCTTTTCCTCAACACCTCTCCGCTTCATCACCTCTCCCCACCCCCGTGTGTCCTTCTTTTAGCCTTGTAGGCATCTAGGTCACTGTCAATAGCTATCCCGCCGTTGACTATCACAATGCAGTCGGCTCGTTTGGCAGCGCGCAAGCTGGTAAGGCTTTTTCACAGCTCGCTTCCTCCCGGAACACCTCACTGACAAGCTCCAACAGCTTGGCCGTCGCGCCTTTGCGACTGTCGGCGACTCGCCTCTTTCCAAGAAGGTCGAGATGACCAACTGGGAAACCGGCAACTACATCAACTACGCCAAGATGAGCGAGAACCTCAGCATCGTTCGCCAGCGTCTTAACAACCGCCCTTTGACCTACGCCGAGAAGATTCTCTACTCTCATCTTGACAACCCTCATGAGCAGGAGATTGAGCGTGGTGTCTCTTACCTCAAGCTCCGTCCCGACCGTGTTGCTTGCCAGGACGCCACTGCCCAGATGGCCATTCTCCAGTTCATGTCCGCTGGCATGCCCTCCGTTGCTACCCCTTCCACTGTCCACTGTGACCACTTGATTGAGGCTCAGATTGGTGGCGAGAAGGATCTTGCCCGTGCTCAGGACATCAACAAGGAGGTCTACGACTTCCTGTCCACCGCTTGCGCCAAGTACAACATCGGTTTCTGGAAGCCTGGCTCTGGTATCATTCACCAGATTATCCTCGAGAACTACGCTTTCCCCGGTGGTCTTATGATCGGAACTGACTCTCACACTCCCAACGCTGGTGGTCTCGGTATGGCCGCCATTGGTGTCGGTGGTGCTGATGCCGTCGATGTCATGGCCAACCTTCCCTGGGAGCTTAAGGCCCCTAAGGTTATTGGTGTTAAGCTCACTGGCGAGCTGTCTGGCTGGACTTCTCCTAAGGGTACGTTCTTGCATGTCTTGAGTTTTATTGAGCCTTTTACTGACTTTGGTGTTAGACATTATCTTGAAGGTCGCTGGTATCCTCACTGTCAAGGGAGGAACTGGTAAGTTAATACTCTTCAAAAACGTGTTCTTCTTATGCTAAATATCTTCGAGGTGCCATCATTGAGTACCACGGACCCGGTGTCGACTCTATCTCTGCTACCGGCATGGCAACTATTTGCAACATGGGGTATGTTTCTCTTTTAGTTCTCCTTTCTGTTACCAAAGAAGAAAAGGGGCGCAATGCACAGCATCCCCAGAAACGAAGCGCCCCTCTTGAGAGCCCATCGCAATGCAGAATGTTTTGTCGACACGTGATGCCTCCACTGAGAGTGTGCTACTCCAACAAGGGGTTCAACATCTCAATGGTGGACGCAACACGCACACAAATTATCTTGCATTGCGATGGGTGTCTGCTGGGGATGCGTTCGCTCTGGGAGCATGACGCATGCCCCTTTTCATGACGAACACTTGCGACTCGAACATTCGCTGACAACCAATACAGTGCTGAGATTGGTGCCACCACCTCCCTCTTCCCCTTCAACGACCGCATGTACGACTACCTGAACGCCACCAAGCGCAAGCAGATTGGTGACTTCTCGCGCACCTACGCCAAGGAGCTCAAGGAGGACCAGGGCGCTGAGTATGACCAGCTCATTGAGATTAACCTCTCCGAGCTTGAGCCTCACATCAACGGTCCTTTCACTCCCGATCTTGCCACCCCCATCAGCAAGTTCAAGGAGGCTGTCAAGGCCAACGGCTGGCCCGAGGAGATGAAGGTCGGTCTTATCGGATCTTGCACCAACTCCTCTTACGAGGATATGTCGCGTGCCGCTTCCATTGCCCGTGACGCTCTCGACCACGGTGTCAAGGCCAAGTCCCTCTTCACCGTCACTCCCGGTTCCGAGCAGATCCGCGCTACCATTGAGCGTGACGGTCAGCTCCAGACCTTCGAGGAGTTCGGTGGTATGGTTCTTGCCAACGCTTGCGGTCCTTGCATTGGACAGTGGGACCGTCGCGATGTCAAGAAGGGCGAGAAGAACTCGATCGTCTCTTCTTACAACCGTAACTTCACTTCCCGTAACGATGCCAACCCCGCTACCCACGCCTTCGTCACCTCCCCCGACCTTGTCGTGGCCATGACTGTCGCTGGTACTCTCAACTTCAACCCTCTCACCGACTCCCTCAAGGACAAGGATGGCAACGAGTTCATGCTCAAGGCCCCTACCGGTGACGGTCTTCCCGCCAACGGCTACGACCCTGGCATGGACACCTACCAGGCTCCTCCTAAGGACCGCTCCCAGGTCAACGTTGCCGTTTCCCCTACCTCTGACCGTCTCCAGATCCTCGAGCCTTTCAACGCTTGGGACGGCAAGGACGCCACCGACCTTCCCATCCTGATCAAGGCTCAGGGCAAGACCACCACTGACCACATCTCCATGGCCGGTCCCTGGTTGAAGTACCGTGGTCACTTGGACAACATCTCCAACAACATGTTGATTGGTGCCATCAACTCCGCCAACGGCGAGGCCAACAAGGTTGAGAACTTCACCAACGGTGAGTTCGGCACTGTTCCCGGTGTTGCCCGTGACTACAAGGCCAAGGGCATCCGCTGGGTCGTTGTCGGTGACTGGAACTACGGTGAGGGTTCTTCCCGTGAGCACGCCGCTCTCGAGCCCCGTCACCTTGGTGGTCTCGCCATCATCACCCGTTCCTTCGCCCGTATCGTAAGTACCATCCACTTCAAAGTCGAAAAGATAAATTTACTAATATGTTCTTGCAGCACGAGACCAACTTGAAGAAGCAGGGTATGCTTCCTCTCACCTTCTCCGAGCCCGCCGACTACGACAAGCTCAACCCCGATGACAAGGTTGACCTTCTCTGCACTGAGCTCGCCGTTGGCAAGCCCATGACCATGAAGGTTCACCCCAAGAACGGCGAGTCCTACGAGATCAAGCTTTCGCACACCTTCAACGAGGGCCAGATCGAGTGGTTCAAGAACGGCTCTGCCCTCAACACCATGGCCAAGGCCGCCAAGCAATAAATGATGCATGAATAGTTACGGTTGGGACAGCTATTTTCTTCAAAATCATGAGCCGGACACAAACATCCGGACTGGGGTGGTAGAGGAGATATCACGCACAGAGTGATTCACAGAACGGGGATGAAGAAGTGGTCTTTATTGTGTTTATACCTTGTACTCTTGGGCGTATCTGATTTCCTTTTCTTTCAAACCATATATCCCCGAATGAGTTTCCTATGTTCACATCTCATCACCCAAGATCCCTGCCGAGACTGCTAAGATTGTGACGTGAGAGACGATAGTCCTTTTGATTCACGTCGTACACACACCAGTGAGTTTGCAGCCCTTGAATGCACTTTGGAGCTGCAATAGTGGACCGTCGCATCTAAATCCGACAATCGTCCCAGGAGATTGTACCCGCAATGGCTCTCGACAAGACCTGTCATGCGCTTGCCAATGTACCAGTTCTCCTCCATTGACACCCGCTAAAAACAACTAGCACACCTCGAACTTAATGATGCAGGAATCGCCCCGTGGTTGACCTTGTAAATAGAGCATTCAGGGCCTTTTATCTGACAGCCAGGCAGGCAGAGATATGTTTATCTCGGGTTTCGTCACGAGAAGATGTTGGGCTGTACAATAAAGGTCAACTCGAGTATGTACCCATGAGAATCTTCAGCTTGTGTGTTGAGCTGGCGAGAATCATAGCTCTAGTTCTGTGATCTAGTGATTCCTGCCTTATCTTTGAACAGTATACGTATTAACCAGAACGGCAGATATGGCGTCAACCATAGGAATGGCTCCAATCTTTGGCTTGCGTATCGCTAGTCATGCATTCACTTTTGAATGACTTTTGTCGATGTCAACGTCTTGGATCGTGATTTCTACCAGATTTGAGGGATTGATCGCGCTTAACTGTGGCTACATTGGCACATAGATTCCGGTGAGACTGGACAGAGCCACGCAGCTATTTCGACCTTCTGAGAGCATGAGTGTGGCTGTAATCTGGATGGAACGTGGTCTTGAGGACTTGGTAGCTAGAGTGTTTGAGAAAAATTGGTTTCCGTATGCTTCTAGTCTGATCACACACGTAGTAATGTTACTTGAGGTGATGCAGTTGTTCAGGGGAAACATGCAGGTGTTATTTTCGTCCGGATTCACGCTTTATGCGTCGCAAGCCAAGCGTAGAACACCTCAACAATTGAGGGACATGATAGTGGCTTCACGAGCTCATAGCCTTTGCGAGGATTTCTGATCTAAACCAAAAAATACTTTAAATGATTTTCATTCGTGTGTTCAATTAATGGTATGGAGGGAAGTCGAGCAAGCAGGAAAAAATGTCCGTGCGGTGCCAAGGCCACTCGCTTAGCGGTGTGCGCAGAATTGGGCGACTTCACAGTGCGAAGAACTTGGAGATCCCGCAACCTCGACAAGTTATTCACCTCCAGACGTCGCAATGGCCAGTAAGTTGCGACAGTATGCTGCCAGATGTGCTGATGGAATGCTGACAAAATTCTACAGAGTCCAAGAACTCGTCGCAGCACAACCAGGCTAAGAAGGCCCACAAGAACGGGTACGCAGCGATATCCTTATAGCACCTCTCGACCGCACTCCTCGCCTTCAACCAGATTGATGAGAACGAACGACTGACACGACGACACGCACAGTATCAAGAAGCCCAAGACCCACAGATACCCTTCGCTCAAGGGTACCGACCCCAAGTTCAGACGCAACCACAGACATGCTCTTCACGGCACCATGAGAGCCCTGGTACGTGGCGCAGCTTCCACTACCACCAACAACGCGACGCCATACTGACAACCTCTGCAGAAGGAGGTCAAGGAGGGCAAGAGAGAGTCCGCATAAACGCATCAACCACATCACGAAAGTCAAAGAATCGGCGTCTAGTGTTATGGGTTGGAAGCTTTGCTAGAAGGAGCACGAAATGACTCCTCGCGACAAATGCCATGAATCTGGTTGTGCAATGCAATGCGCCTCTCGGTCACGTCGCCTCTCGTCCTGGTCCATTCCCACGTCTTCGTTCACTCCCATCTCCACCGTGATTAATCCTCTTCAAACCAAACAACAACGGCATAAGTGTGTACAGCAACTCGCGATCTCCATGCAGAATTTGCTGAAGGATTTTCCATCGTGCCAATATCGACGACCCCACCATTACCAAACACTTGACCTGTCATCCATCGGGTACATGTGCATGGAGTTGGGGTTACATCTATTCTCTCTTTTTTGCTCTAATTATACGTATGTGACAATTCCACATTCTCCTTGAATCCAGAAATATCAACTTCTCTTTTTGTTGTCGAGTTGTGTATTGTGAAGTTTCCGCCGACTTGAAAGGCAAGTACGCGTAGTTGCACCTTCCGTTCAATATGAGCTTCCATTTCACATCAACATTGCGCGTTCATCACAACACTCTGCCCCCCGAAATCGCATCTTCTTGATCTTTTGTCCTCGTATCCCGCACAGGCAAACCACCATCAAACCAGCATCATGGCGGATGTCTATCAATGGCGCAGAAGGATCCAGCCTGGCTTCCCAAACACACTGCTGCCTGTCGGTGAGCAAGATGAGGCCGATCCAGACATTACGAGTGGATTCGGTTCGTCTCGCAAGAAGGTGCGACCCAAGATCAGCTCCTACTTCTCCCATCGCGGTCCTTCCAGTCATGGCAGATCCTCTGTATGGTCTGCGGATCGGCGAGCCTCTTTCAAGGAAACCATATCTTCTCCATACCAGACTTGGCCCGAGGGATGCGAGCCTGACCCCGACCAGACCATGGACTCCATCATGCGCACCCTGATTGCTGAGCCCTATCGTCCCCTGGACGTCAAGCACAACTCGCCCCTGCTGATGATCTTCGAAGGGTTTCGCAACCTTCGTGACGAGAACTCTTCTCTTTTGCGAAAGCTGAAGTATGAAGCCGAAACTCGATTCGAATCACACCATGAACTGGAACTCGAACGACAGGCATGGCAACGAGAAAGAGAACAGTACCAAGCCGAGGTCAGGAGACTCGAGCTCATCATCTCAAAGAACAAAGAAGGAGTTGCAGAAGTGGTGCGCGCCAGACAAGGAAGTTTGCTGGGCAGAGAACACAGACGCCGTACTACCTCAAGCGCAAACACGAGCAGAGATGATTCAAGAGAAACCGTCTTTGAATTCCTTGAGAGGACAAGGATCGAAGATGAGAGAAAGCAGGAAGCAGCCAGAAAGGCCCAAAGAGGTTTGTCAACTTGCTGACATCTCAAACCTGGATGAAAGACGACTCACAATACGACTAGTTCCATCCCGTAACCGCCCTATCTCTCCGTCGCAGAAGATGGCAATACTGTCACACAAGTTCTCCACGACTAACCACTACAGCGACTTCGAATCGCCTCCTAGCCCTCAAGAATTCACAAGTCTCTCTCAGGCCTCGATGTTTGAGATGCTGGCTAGACGACCTTCCTTTTCTGATACAGACTCATCAGAGAACGGTTCGATCCAGCATCGAGATGCGGATACTGTTGGAGAAGAAGCGGCAGACTACTCTAACCTCAACGAAACCTTACTGAGTAAGAACGGCAGCATCGAGCTTGAGGCCCAGCCAACGCATTACTTCGACTTGCGCACACCATCGATCGCATCACGCAGTACGGAACAGCTTGGGTCTCGCACGCCCAAGGTGCGTCCAGAGTCACTTCGTTTGGATCATGCACGAAGATTTTCTTTCGAATACGGTGATGAGAACCGTTCCGCTCAAGCCAAGACACAATATTCCGTGAACTCTCCTCTTCAGCGAAGCGTTTCTGTAGGCCAGTTTGCTACAAAACGTACAGCTCTATCTCCGTGCGATGCTTCTAGCACGCTGGCTGCAGACGGTCTTGTTTCGTCTCCAGTTGTGGTGTCCGTGCTAGAATTTCCGGGCATATCTAAAATACCTAGTCCTGTATTCGACTCATCTTTGGCAAGACCAAGACGGGAAGACTCAACTTCAAGCTTCCTTACCGCTATCAGAGCCCCTGAAGGCGGGTCAAACCACAGCAGAACAACTTCAAGATCAAGCAACCCTTTAGACAATCCTCGCCTCACATCGAGTCTTCAAAGCAGCGGTGATTCTGCCAACGTCCAAGGCAACTTTAGACGTTGTGGTAGCGTACACGAGGTGAGCATGGCTGTCGCTACCGCCCGTGCTGCTATTCCTTCCGATTCGCCAAAGCCAATCGCAGAGTTACGTGCCTCGTATCACGACAACGCATAAGGCAAGAGCACACGATGCCTCAATCAAGCTGGAAAATCCATAATCGCAGTATGACGAAGATGCTTATCATATGGCGATTGAGTGTGTAGATCGTGGGAGGCTGGAGCATTTGTGGTCATGTGGACTGTTAGAACAGTAGGAATGGCGGTGCGGGGCGTGATATGCAGTGGAAGAATCGCTTCTGTGTGGCTGTGCATGGCGGCTTCCATCAATCGTTTGAGCGTGGCTGTCTTTGGGTCGCTCGAACGAAAAGTACTGGAACCAATAGAACATGCCATACACATATTTTACGATCCCGCTCGCCCTGTCAAGGGGAAAGGTCCATTGTGAACTGTAACGTCTGAGGTTGCCGGATTACCGCACGTAGAAACCGGTCTCATTGGATGAGAAGTACTGTGCTCGAAAGGGGGGTCTACGCGTCCAGAGGGCACAATGTTCTTTGTGCTGCAGGTCTCTCTTACTTCGCAGGCACAGTTCTCCGGAGCTGTTCTCCATACGTTGTGGTGATAAAAGCCTCACACCTCATACATGATAATATTAGGGAGGCACTTGCTGCAAGCACGACGGTGTCCTCGGAAGGAGTACTGCCGAGCTGCAATAAGGTATCTCTGCTATTAGGGCCAGCCGTGTGTGTACCTTGCATTTCCTTCTCCTATGCCCCGTATTTTCCATCCGTTCCAATTCGCCCCAAGGCTGTTGCATGTACTGTAATTTGACAGAGACTATAATCTCCACATGGTTTCAATACAAGTAGCGGTCCGACCATGTGGAGTTACAATTGAGGGGGGTTTTCTCCTGGAGACGGAAATTCAAGCAGCAGATAGAGTGCCATGTACAACACTGGTTTGATGATGTGATTCATTCTTCTCCATGTTGATCATTACACGATGAACACTGGTGATTTTCGCTAGCTGATAGGTACGCGCGCATGTGCTTCCAAATACTCGAGATGAGAATACTTTCTATCGTCCATTGTCCGGCAGACGTAGATCCCTTTGATTTCCTTCTTCGAAACCAGGCACCAGCCACGGGTCACGAATGGCGAGCTCCTGTAGAGGGTAAATACAATTCAAACAAACAACCGCCACAGATAAAGCACGGAAGACTACCTCTGTACCGTGTTGAGAACATTCGAACTTGCGGCATATTCAATAAGGTAGCCACATCCTGGCCTCATATCATATCATATCATCCGTGCCGAATTGGGTTGCAGCAAATCTCCCGCAGAACGGCTCACATCGAATCAGATGAAGAGGGTTCTTGGAAAAGAAGGGCCTGGAGCGCGGTCGAGTGGTTCAAAGCGTGACAGCAGTGACAGCTGCTCAGCCACAGCCACAAACCTACTTGCCTCATTCTCTCATAAAGTTTGGCAGAAGAGGGGAGATGGATGGTACAAGCACCGCCACATACGATAGTCGTTGACGGCCGAGTGTGGCTGAAAGCAAGTGTGGCACAGAGCTGAGGTAGCTTACCAGCCGACAGCTGCTCGTCGTAGGAAGCAAGGAGCCACGTTCCGGTTGTCGCTGCGCTAGATGGTTCGTTTCAAAGGTCAACTTTGAGCTTCTCCACCCATCCTCGATTGCAACACATCGCGATAGGATTTTGACCATTTATTGGCACATCATAGGATCTTCGGGTTGCGTTGGAGATCAAAAGTCTTTCCGGGAGTGTGGATACACTTATCGCTTCGCTGTCCACCGCCACTTCGCTGTGGCAGACGCATGGGGGTGGAGAGGGGAAAAGATCAACGGATCACAAGCTTCTCGGAATTGTTACGGGCCAACTCACTCGCTGATCGATGCCTCGAGAGCTGTTGCACTCGTGCGGTGCTTTGGTGGCTTTCGCGAGAGAGGAACGAGGCGCCGTTTGGACGAGCGACCCAAACGGTACGAAGCGGGGCCTTTAGCGCCAAAGCTTCCGATGACGAAAGTTGCACTTTTGACAGCGCTCGTTTGATACGGCAGGACGTGCCCTCTCTTTCTCCTCTGTGTGTTGACCCTTGTGAGGCCATGCTCAATTACATTATGAAGGTTAGTGGTAATAATAGAGTGGCTCGACACGATATAAGGTTCTGTTCAGCGCATGATGTTAGTGGCTTACCAAAGTCTCGATGGCCTAGCAGACAAGCACATCTCAATCTCGGTTGGTGTTGCAAAAGGGAAATTGCTTTGAAGCAGAAAGACGGCACAGCAAAAATGTCTTCTAGAAGACGTAGGGCATGATGCCGATGGCAGAGCGGTAGCATGCTGGGTCAAGGATTGAAAGGAGATGTGGCTCCATCGGCGAATTACCATCGTAGACTGAGTTCGTTATTAATGCAGGGTGAGATTGGACAGCATGCAGAGGTATCAATGCTCGGGGAAGACTGTACTGTATGCGTCAAGCCGTTCACATATCGTGCACATCCCTAGATATGGCTACGTCACAAAGGTCAGCAGTCTGCCTCGCCGGATGTAATGATTGCGAAATGCGACAGCGAAAGGCGAACCCATGAGGGCTGCAAGAAAAAAAAGGGTCGAGTTGGCGAGTATCAAGTGCGTGCTAGCGGGATTCGCTGGCTCCCTGCGCGCTGTAGTCGTAAGCTTCAGCGCTGTTGACATGGGACACGGTGCTCACTGCTTCAGGTTAGCAAAAGAGGGATGATGATCGAGCCGCATTTCTTGTGAGAGGACGAGATCGAAGATTGCCGTGAAAAGCTCGAGTCAGCGCCGCAGCGCCTGCGGGGATGCGTTTTCAGCCACACGAGGGCACACGCTTTCCGCTTTGGCAAGCGTGCATGTGAGAGCGACAATCGAGTCGAAGCAAGTCCGAGAAAAAGCAAACTGTGGCACGAGTGGAATTGTTGACAACGGAGACAGTGTTCGGCAGTCGAAGTGCTTTTTTGCACAGCCATGTGGCTAGATGTGGCGTCGGCTGGAATGAGGTGCATATGGGTTCATCAGCCAGCAAAAAGACGGCGAGTGATGATGAGAATGAGGCACACGGAGCAGGCAGTCGCTACGTGTATCGAGCGATGCTGGCCGCAAGTTGCAAGCGCAAGCGAAGCAAATCGGCAAAGCACGGGACAGGTTGAGCGTCGCTTCCATGCTGGTAGCGTAAGTTTAGGTCGGGCCACAATTCAGCCTGCAGTTAAAACGGCGCGCATCCTGTGGCTTGTGGTTGCGCCTTTCCCTTATTGCACGCTGTTTCATCGACTCGCCTGGTGACGACCTTATCCGCAAGAGTTGTCTTTCGCCTTTTCATATAAGCACCTTCCTCACCTCGCGCTCGCAGACCCGGTGCCTATACCCTTGACATTTTTCAATATCGCATGGTGAGCGTCTAGCAGCCATGTTCGAGCATAGGTAAGAGAGAGCCACACTGCCACAGCTGGCTGCGACTCCGCGCGCGCATCCGTGGCTGACATGATTTGTTATTGCTGCTGCAGACAAAGCTCGCAGAAGCCGAGCATCGAACTGCAGAAGAGCTTCAAGCCATATCTCGAGGCCGTCAAGTTCAATCCCAACAACCCTCAAGCCCACAACAACGCGCCCTCGCTGAATGCCCTCGACGTTGCGACTCTGAATCCTCGGTATGTCCACTCCCTCTTCCACCGTCCTGCTAGCCCAGCCGACTCCTTCTTGCCCACCCTTTCATCCTTTTTTTTTCTTTAACCAAACACTAACCTCCTCATAGCCAATTCGCCGAGCACCACAACATCAAGGATGCCGACCCTACCCCGCGAGCAACCTCGACGGAACAATGGAGCTTTGGTAGCACCGGCCTCACCCCCTCGGTGCTGGACCCCAACAGCTCCTCGTTCAACACGTTCGCAAACCAAATGCCAGGCTACTACACTCCAACCCCTGGTGGTACAAACACTCTATACCACCCACAAGCAGGTGACCTCCATACTCCAGGATTTGGCATGGGCCTGAACACGCCGCTGTCCATGCCCACCTCGGACACGTCAGCCCTTCATGCTCCTCAACTTACTCACATGCATTCATTTGCACATGCAATGCAGCAGCAGCACCATCACCATCACATGAATCCATTCGCAAACCCTCACGCGTTTCAAATGCACCATCAACCAACCTTCCCACCCCACAACTTCCAGCATCAGGCCCCAGTTTTCGACCAACTAGACAGTCAAGCTACTGACTCGCCCATGTGCGGTGGTGAGATGAACCTTGACGTCGAGATGTCCAACCAGGCTCAGGTCGATCCCATGTCCCCTCCTCATCTCAACAACGCTGCACTCGTCGCTCTTCCTCAACATCCATCCAGTGAGAACTTCCGTTACCGTGTCACTCTGAACGCACCGACTGCTATGGTGAAAACTGCCGACGAGATTCCCGTCACTTACCTCAACAAGGGACAGGCCTATACACTGAACGTGCACGATACTGCTCCTCAGCACTCGGTGGTCGGCCAACTGAAGTATCGTACTTTCGTGCGTGTCTCTTTCGAAGAAGATTCGCAGAGAGCGCGACCTGGAGCCTGCTGGCAGCTCTGGAAGGAAGGTCGTGGCACCAATGAAGCTCACCAACGTGGCGGCCGTCTTCAAGCCGTCGAATTCGTCGACCAGAACCAGTCCAACGATCTCAACCGACCCAAGCTAGAACTCGAGTCTTCTTCGTTCGATGGTTTCTGCGTAACCTGGAGCCCGGCTCCCAACGCTCAAGGAATTGAGTGCCCCATCTCTGTTCGCTTCAACTTCTTGTCCACCGACTTCAGTCATTCCAAGGGCGTCAAGGGCATTCCGGTCCGTCTGTGCACCAAGACTGAGCTGTTGCTTGACTCCATGTCTCCATCTCAACAACCTGCGCACGAAGTGTGTTACTGCAGAGTCAAACTCTTCCGTGACCACGGTGCCGAACGCAAACTCTCCAACGATGTCGCACATGTGAAGAAAATGATCGACAAGCTTAACCAGCAGATTTCACAAATCGAGTCCGGCATGAGGGATTCGAGCAAGCGCAAGAGAAGTGGCTCCATTTCCAAGATGAATGCAATGCCTGCGCGACCAGGCAAGGCCCCTAAGCACAAGAGAACTTGGTCCATGTCTTCTGCAGCCTCGAACGGGAGAACCTCCGCTGAGGAAGACCTACAGACGAAGCTTATTGGACTGCAAGACATGTTTGGCTCTACACGTCCAATCAGCGTTTTGTTCCTCCGAGGCGCAGAGGAAGACGACCCGGACCTTCACCCAGTGAGCTTGTCTGGAGATACTCAGGGCCTCACCAGGGTTGACACCAACGACACAAACATGTGGGATGGTCAGAGCAAGACCAGCTCTGCCATGGTCTCCCCCACTCCAAGCAACCAATCGCTTCCTTCGAACTTCCGCCGTCCAAGCGCTTTTGGACCGCCTTCTCGTGTGAACTCCAACGAATGGGGTCGTAGCACTTCTCAAGTTGCACCTATGGATCTCAAATCCTCGAACCCTCAACAACTGGCCAGCCCACCTGATCAACCAGTCAAGATGCAAGCTCATTCACCCAGCGGTACTTTTGCTGGCTGGTTCGAAGCAATTGGCGTAGATTCCTCCTACCAGCCTCCTCCTGAACGCACCAACAAACCTTGTAAGTCTCTCTGCTATCTCAAACTAGGATACGGTTACTGACAATTATAGTGGCTTGTTTCTACTTGCAATCCCGAGCCCAGGGCAAGGGGCCTGAGGATAACTACTACCGAGCAGTTTACCTTCCGCAAAGAACACTCAAGGAGTTTGTCAGCGCGGCCGCTACAAAGTTTGACATTGAGTCTCAGAAAGTCGTCCGAACAGTTCGCATCAACCAAAAGGGAATTCAAATTCTCATGGATGACGAAGCAGTTCGTGAAATGCCCGAAGGTCAAGATATGAAGGCCGAATTCGCAACAGTCGACGTACAACAGGGCCAGTGGCAATCCAGGTCACCATCCTCAGGATATGAGCTCAGACTTTCCTACTAAAGCTCAAAACAATACCAAGCTCGCCAATAACGACTCGTCATGAATCAACTTGCCGCCTGGGTCCTGGAGACTGAAGGATAATCATATTCCGCCTTTGATCAGAGATCAGGCGATTTGAGATACCCCCGTCCTTTCTCACCATCGGACTTTTCCTTGTGTTGGTTCGAGCGATACCCCTCTATTCAAAACTTCCTTTTGGTTTTCGCGATTCTTTGTTCCGGCTACTAATGCTTTTGATTTTCTTTCCTTTGCTGTACTCCGGATGCGGGCGCACAGAAGAACGATTTGTTTGTTCAGTGTGCACAATGGTTGAGCGCCTTTCGAGAAACCCTATATCTTACACTGGGTACTCGAGGGTTTGCCTGTCTGTTTTGAGATACCCTTCTTTGCTCTTCTCCCCTTCGGCTATTTCTTCCTTACCATTCCTTATCTCTTTTGTTGGTTGCTTCCAATGTCAGCACACAATACCCGGCCGTTACAGTGGTCACTGGAAATGGTCTTTCCTCGAGTAGCAACATCTTAGTATCTTAGTTCATAGGATTCGCAATTTACGGCCGTATCCTTGATACCACCTTTGCCTATCTTTAACGCCATAAGGGTTAACCGCACATCTGGCAGGCAGGCTACATACTTTCACCCACCCGCCTCTGTCGCCGTTCCGAACGGTGCACGTCGAGTTCGACGCCACAACTACTTCGAATCTTCGATCGCTTGTCCCCACTCCTCGAAGACCGTTGGTTACGTGTGGCGGTGCGCTGGGATGAGGCGTCAAGCTACGGATTTGGCTCGTGTTCCCGGTAAATGATTGCAAGTCCGCCGCCGTTTACCGGCCGCGTGCGCTTCACCCACGCCGAGCCTTTACCAAGAAGTCGGTTCACCAGCTTGCGTGACTCGGCAGGTCATCACCGAGTCATGGGCTTTGCATATCACATTGGTCTCACGAGAGAATTCATCACTCGAGTTCACAATACCACATTCATCATGGTGTTGGCAATTAGGCAACGAGGAATGATTGATCCATCGTGTCGATTGTGTATTGTTTCGGAGAAACCTTTGTCTCGCTTGGCCGAGACAAAGGAGACTCGCAATCCTACTGCATCCTTCGATCTTGCGATCCCGCGATCAAGTCTCTCGCTGCAACCCTTGCTGTGCTCCGGCGACGCCGAGATACGGAGATTTGGATGATCATCTTTGCTCTCCCAAAATGAACTATGCATCCACGACGACAATGACCCCTCTTTTGCTTTGCTTGTGTTCGATCTTGCGTTTCGGCTTCAGCATGGGCTTTGTAGACTTTACTCGAAGAATGCGATGTTGTGCCTATGAGGCTCTTTGACACATTGACCTCTTCGCCAGCGTTCATCTGACTGCGATGGATACAGCACCTACGTAACAGATCAATATTCAGTACTCACGGGTGGGTATCTGTTGCATGCAGGGGCTGCTATGTATAGAAGGAAATTTCTAGCTGCTGTGGCCCAGCCACTCGAAGTCAACGGTATGTGCATGATGGAGATCTTTGACGACGGTGTTTGAAATGTCCATGCCGATCTATCTTCGCTCATAGGCTTTCGATCAGTATCTACCTGCAGAATGAGGTCGCATCATCGCATGCCCACAATGGAGCGGTCTCTTCCCTACTATTTCATCGTCTCATTGATGAGCAGTTGGAATTTAAGAGAGACGTCACAGGAGAAATGTGACACCGCTTGTTGAAGTGTCAAACAATGCCAAGCAGCTTTGAGCTTTTCCGCCCGCCGCCAGTATCCCACTACAACAGTGGATCTTGGGGCAAGGGTCAAAGCAACGATACGTCCTAGCTGCCGTAAGGCGCGTAGCAGAGCACGATCTTTAGAAGAGTTGATGCCGACAAACGGTTTACGAAGTTGCCTGCCGTTGGTAGAGGGGACTTTCTCTTGCCCGCTCTTGGCGAGGTTGTGGTTTTCGTTTGACCCTTGTATATCGTTGTTGCTATATCATGGACTGTTTAGCGGCCGCAGTTTAGATGAGCATCTTCTTAGGTATGACGCGGGCTTGCGCGTCCTTTTCTCTTCTCTTGACCTTGCTCGACATTTCTCGTTGTTTCTATATCCAGATGATCTTCTCTGCTGCACAACCACGATTGATTGGGAGCCACATCTAATGCCACAACTGATAGTGGCTGGTGAAAAGTCAATCAATGACCTGCAGAGATTGTGCCCAAGGATCATCTCTGTAATCTGCGAGGTGGATCTCGACCCTGTTGTGTAAATGCCTTTTTGCTTGGAGGGTGCTCTTGGCCTCTCCCTCTATGTCATGTACCTTCGACTTCTTTCGCCCGTCTAGTTTCCGGATAGGCGAGGAGGGTGTACGCAAGAGCCAAGAATGATATACAAGCACCTAAGACACTGGGCCAAGAATGATGCGTGTGCCATGCAGAAAAGTACAGTCGCTCCGCGTAGAAAACTTCCGTCTTGGCTTCCGAGTCAGTCGTGCTTTTGGTCTGGAGCTCTGCAAGTATCGCTCCCATGCTGCCGAGAAAGAGATAGGGCGACGGTTGCATGGTCGACGGAGACAACGCATGGCTAAAGGGAGACTGGTGATGCGGTACTCATGCTAAGCCGGATCTTCCGGGGGCTAACAAGAGGGTTATGTGCTTTGTGACTGCTGCAGTACTGGCGCCAAGTCTTGTAGCCTTCCCTTCGTACTGCAGGCTATTGCAGATGCAAGGCTTGATAGATCCATGCTCTCCGAGGAGCAACTCGTTGCAGCGGGTGAGCCATTGGCATAGGTGAAACCTCGTATAGAAAGACCGTATTCTGTTCCCGATATACAGAGACCGCTCCTGATTTGACGCCACAATCAATCGAGCATACCACAGTGGCTCGTCCGCGGAGGAATGTTCAATGGCTGAGGGAAGGGTTTGAAGAAGCGACGTTAATGTGCACCACAAAGTGTTCCTTGCGCCGTCTCCACAACCATGGCGGAAAAGACAAAAGAGAGCAAAGGTGGTTAACCGGAGTGTTATCCGCGCAAGAAACCGACCCCACGTGCATGATTGGATGATTAGTATTCACGAGGTTCAAGAAGTCACCAGCCACTTTGTCGCCGTTGCGGTGTGCGGATTGAGTTTCAAAGGCTCGTGATGGATGCTCAGCTCGGCCGAGTTCTCGCAGCGGTACAGCAGTCTAGCTCCAAAGCCAGATCGAAAGTCTGGATAAACATGTTCAGGGAGAAGGAAAAAGCAAAGTAGGCAGTTTCATGTGGGAGAAAAGACTGGTTGCAACAGCCACATCCACCGGCTCTTCCGTGTTCTGCTAGGGAGCGGTTCGATCCCATGATCCTGCAGCTTCCTAAAAGAAGGATATTCTAAAGGCCAGATGAATGCTTAGCGAGTGGATCGTACAGTGTGGACGGGACTGAGCATGCTAGTAATGATGTCTATATAATTGATTTTATCTCAGAACCAAGCACATACGGCCACAGTCAGCTGAAAACTGGGCATCCCGTCCGCTCTGCCATACATAAGCAGTTGAACGGCAGATTAGTACTACGGTGGGTGACCACGTGGGAATCCCTGCTGCTGTATGTTTTGCGTCCTCTTTTGTCCTCGACTACTCAATCAGTATCGAGTCCCATCTGGTTATGCTCTCACCAGCTTTTGTTCATGGAAGCTGATGAACACTTGTTTGAGTTCGAATCGCGAGCCAACTGCAATGTTTATTCAAAGTCGCGTTATCAAGGTTGAATTCATGTCCTCTGGTCTGATGGGAACATCAGTGTTCGAACGAAGGCGAACCAGACAGCCGAACTGGTTTGGGACAATCGAAAACAATTCCTCAGCGAATCAACAGACATGATCCGCAAGATACCAATCATCTAAAGGTGCTGAGTGGTATTCCACCAAGTTGACGATGTTTTGGTGCAAAGGGTCAAGGTTGTACCAACAACGAACCCGTGTAGATGTTGCTTGGTCGTGTGCCTCCCTGAACAGGTCAGTTGAATGTCGCTCCCTTATTCATATCACGTCGGCGATACACACAAGGTGACCTTTTTCGAAAAATTGAAAAACCTGTCCCCAACTTATGCCTCCTACTTTACCACGTTAAGTAGCCAAGATGTCTAGTCGACTTCTACTATCATTGATGATTCAGGAAATGGTTTCGAATCGTGACGGACAAGCTGAATGGGCACGAGCATTGGAAATGGTATCTTGACAATTGTACGACAAGATTGCAAATATCATGAAAGACACCAAGCTACAATGCTATCCGCACAAGTCTTGAACAATAGTTTTGGAAAGTCTTATCTCCGAATGCGATCTGATCTGCTTCTTAGCCATTCGGGGGAAGCGTTGATGAAGTGGCCGAGTATTCTTCATACGGAGCCTTAAGAACGATGCAATCGGAGAATTTGCTACTGCGAACGGTTGTTTTGAAGTCTGATGCACACTTTCAAGCCAATGCGTAGCAACATCCACACCGCTCGATCTGTGCGATTGCTCAATTATACATCCAAGGTCTGGCACAGAAAGCCTTTGGGGTTATGGTAGATCCAGAAACATCTGATATATGGTCTTTCAAACATCCGGAACTTCCATGTACGACGGCACTTGCATTAGGTCGTGGGTTCCATATTCGGTGCGAACAGTTCAAAAACATTTTGCCAAGAGCTGATCTATATCCAGATCTAAGAACTGTTCAATATCGAATTCTGACAGTAAAGTAGTAAAGGTAAAAAGGGGTATCACAGTAAGAAGAAAAAGATGTGAAAGCGCAAAAGTCAAAATCTGATGCATCTGCTCTCTTCGTGGGCAGCCTTGCACTCAAGACCACAAACACGTGAACCGCACTTTAGGCATCTGACACGGCCCCAGTATCCACACATCTCGCAAAAGACTCTTTGAGGAGGAGCGGTAGCTGGACTAGGCGCAGAGCGAGCGGCATTGTATGAAAGTTGTGGTGCTGATAGCAGAGCCTCAATTTCGGCCGTGGTGGCTGTAAGTGGAGCAGGTGGTGAGAGCAGAGAGTCGTGTTGTAGTTTGTTCAGATCGGAGGGAGAGTCGACAAGGTAAGGCTTGAGGAAGGAAGGTATAAGAGGGGCCGAGGGCGTGGTGGAAGCAGCGTTGGACACGACAGCAGTTGGGGCGGGACTAGGCTCGACAGCCGTAGGGGTTGGTTGTGGTTGTGGTTTGCGTCTTGCGATAGGCGTTTTGCTTGCTCTCTGCGGTGGTTTTGGGGGTTCTATGTCGACTTCCAGACCATGGTGCTGCTTCAGAGCCAGTGCAGCTTCATCCTGGTCCAAGTAATGAGAAAAGTCCTTTCCTGAAGCCAAGATGCGGCGAGTGTTCTGAGTCTGGCGGCGATTTGATTTTGGTGGGGCGATATTGACGGGCTTGTGGCTATCCTTGTCGAGATCGTCTAGATGTCGTTGGATGGCAGTCTGTTGACGGACGCTGAGATCGCCTTGACTGAGACCGGCAGCCGAGGCGCGCACACGCTTGCGACTGGCAGGATTGATGGCAGCTTTGGAAGGATCGTATCCAGTGTCGACGACATAGCTCCAGCCCGGAGCTGCTGCCTTTGCTGTCGTTGGTAGCTCCTCGATGTGTGGCATGATCTATGTTTTTGGCAGTGAAATGCTAAAAGCTGAATCCGAGGTTTCATTCACTTCGTCATACTCGGAAGTCTCTCGGCGAGCCTCCCCGGCCTTGACCCCACAATTGGTCCATTCATGTGTTTGACGGTGAAATAACATCGTCAGAAGACGGGCGGACGAGAGGAGATGTTGATTAGGCAGTTATTTGAGATTACACAATTCATTTTGCTCTCTGAAATCATAGTCGCCTCTTAAGAATGCTGCTTGCCTCTACTTTGCCCTTCCACACTCGATACTCACCCAACAACTATACCAATATGCAGAGCCAACAGCCTCCCCTCATCAGATCAGCTCCTAAACCTGCCGCCGACCCTGCTCATGGCGCTGCCATGATCTTTCTCCATGGTCTCGATGATGATGCCATGGGATGGGAGAGTCTGTCTCCCTTCTTTGTTTCTGCTCGAAGCCCTTACAACAAGAACTTACACCACATGCAGACATAGCCACACAGTTTCACCAAGGGAACAAGCTACCTTATATGCAATGGATCTTCCCAAATGCACCACATAATATCGATGCTAGGCAGAATGCCTGGTATGCACCCTCGTCCTTGCAACCCGCCCCTGCTGGTCGTCCGGAACTCGCTCCAGAAGAAGACGAGGAGGGTCTGAGAAAAAGTGTCGAATATGTCGAATCCCTCATTGATGATCTCACGTCAAGAGGAATCCCATCCAATCGCATAGTCCTCGGTGGCTTCTCACAAGGCTGCGCTCTGGCGTTGCTTACTGAGCTGACTTCGCGCTATTCTGGAAAGCTTGCAGGCATTGTCGGCTTGATGGGTTACCTACCGCTACCCGAGACCATTCAGAAGTTACGCACTGCAGGCGGACTGCCTCACGTGGTAGGCCATGTGCCCATGTTCCTGGGACGTGGAACTTCAGACCGATTGATCCCGCGTAGCAAATGGACCGAGGGCCTGAACAAGTTGAAAGAGTTGGGCGTCGATGATGGCGCGTTGGAGATCAAAGAGTACGAGGGCTTGGCGCATGCGCTGTCACCTGCTGTCTTGCAGGACTTGAGTAAATGGTTGGCAAGAGTGGTGCCCCAGCTGGAAGATTGAGGGCGGTATAGCTAGCTTTTATTTGTGAATACGTAAATCACGGGCCGAGTCTCTGAGTGCTCCCTAAGGGAGCCAGAGTCGGGACCGGTCTGGGGGCTGCAGTTGTTGGCAGCACACCATATCTTCCATATGTCTTCTGATCGACTGATACGTAGTGAGGCAAACGACCAAGCAAATTGAGCTTGCCCTCGATCCATCGCAGAATCTTCTCGTTGGGCACAAGGAATTTGATGTAGCCCAAGCCCCAGAGGTATCCAACGGCAAGACCGCACAAGTGACCGAGGAAGCTGGTGTTGGGAATAAGAACAGCGACGAAGAGATTAACGATCAGGGGAGCGGTCCAAGTGGGAATGTTGTAAGGACCGAGGGCGAAGTTTGGGTTCTGTTTGTACGTCTTGATGGATTCGGCAGCCAGGAGCAGGAAGACCCAGACACTGCAGACAGGATTAGTCGAAGCAAAAATAGGAAGAAGAAGAAGAGTGTCTGACCTTGCGCCCATGACAGCAGTGTTTCCTCTAAAGATAAAGCGCTCAATCAAGGTGTAGCTTCCTCCAGGAAGGAGACCGAATGCTAGCACAGGTGTTAGACAGAAGGGCAATTGAGCAGATGGAGTAGAACGAACGGCCTGTGAAGAGGAGCAGAGTGGGCAGAGAGCCATGTTCGGCCTCGAAACGTTCGAGCAGGGGAGTCAAGGCGAATATGTTGACGATCATGTGTATGAAGCCAGCATGAAGCAGAGGGAAAGTATTAAGTCGGTACACTACGACAATGGTCAGACAGGCAGCAGCGAGTGCATGGGAGGATAGTAGATACTGGTTCCCAAGTTCATCTCGTTTGGTATCAAAGCAGCCCATTGTTGGAACCAGGACAGTCTAAGACTGGCAATCCAAAAAGCGACTACAACAAGGAGCAGCGCACGCGTGCACAAGGGCAGACGAAACAGATACGAGCGCACACGACGTCCGTCGAATTGGGGCAGCGAAAACGACGGCATTGCAACCAAGCACCGAGCGACGACGAGGACAGCGAAAGGATTCGGGTCAGGAGTAGACAAGGACGAGTCGAGTCAAGTTGCTCGCGTCGTCGGCGGTGGAGAGCAACAGAAACGCTCACGCTCACCCCTCGAAACCACGCCCTGACCCTCTGCAAGTTCAAGTTGTCACGACCTCCTGAGCTCCAGCCCGACCGTCGACAGCAATGGCTGCCCTACTGTGTAAGATGGCCCATCAATGAGAACAATAACATGAACTCATCATCAAAGAAGCAGGACTGCTCAGTCTCCGACACAGTCGCCGTCTTGCCCGAGTGCCGCCGTACCTGTCGCTTCTGTGCATCGTCATTGGCGTCGCCTGGTTGTTGCTGCTTCCGCTCGACGAATATTCACGCCGCACCTACGTCTCCGAGAATGCCATTCTGCCCGGTCAGGTCCACACCTACTTCGGTGGCAGTGAACACAATGTCTTCCGCGCATACAGACAGGAGGTCGCTGCAATGGACCAGCTCACCCCCGAGGACCGCGCTCAAAGGCTATACCATATGCTCGGTGTCAATGGTTTGAAGCCCGATATTCAGAACTACTCTTATGACATCTCGGGTCAGAACAAGACGGGCCAGAATGTCTATGCCCTCCTTCAAGGTCCGAGAGCAGATGCCACCGAAGCAATGGTCCTGATCGCTGCATGGAGAAACATGGACGACAAGGTCAACTACAGCGGTGTTGCTTTGCTCTTGACTCTAGCAAGATATTTCAAGAGGTGGTCTATCTGGTCAAAGGACATTATAGTCTTGATCCCCTCGGACAGTACCTATGGCCCCCACGCCTGGGTCGATGCTTACCATGACACACATGACACCACTGCCGTCCAACCCCTGAACATCAAGGCAGGTGCTCTCCAAGCTGCCATTGCCGTTGACTACCCTGCTGGGCCATGGGGTCATCGCTTTGAAAAGCTCCACGTTGTATATGATGGCGTCAACGGCCAATTGCCTAACCTCGATCTTGTTAACACCGCCGTCAACATTGCTCAGGGCCAACTAGGTATCACATGTACCATCCAGCGCATGTGGGACCACAAGGATAGCTACCGTGAGCGTCTCGACACAATGCTCAGGGGTATGATGAACCAAGCTGTAGGCCATGCGAGCGGCCCTCATAGTGTCTTCATGCCTTATCATGTTGATGCCATCACCTTGCAAACTGTTGGCGATGGCTGGCATGATGAAATTTCGCTTGGAAGAACTGTCGAAAGTCTGTTCCGCAGCGTGAACAACCTCCTCGAGCATCTGCATCAAAGTTTCTTCTTCTATCTGCTCATGCAAGCTAATCGCTTTGTGAGCATTGGTACTTATCTTCCCAGCGCCATGCTGATCGCAGTAAATTTCACCATCACTTGTATATTGCTATGGGTGCAGAGTGGTCGACCAGAACGTCAGACTCCTAACCCGGCGTCGCCCAAGAGCGAGAAGAAGCCGGAAATGACTCTTGTCAAGGAAGGCGAGAGTGTGGCTCTGGTACCATCTGCAGACCTTGAAGTGGTTCCAAGGGATCTATTCAGCCCTCTAGCTATCGTGCTCGGCATCCATGCTTTGGGTCTGGTGCCATTCTATATCTTGAATCAGATTCCGGAAAAGGTATTTAATGATTTTCAGCACACTACATGACCTCTTGCTGACATGGTGTTAGACGTCTCTTACAATGCTCGCGGCTCTCGTGGTACCCACCATCACCATGCCTGCAATCCTCGCTTTCGCCCTCAGCAGCACTCTCCGCCTTCCACCTCAGACCTTCAAACTTATTCAATGCTTCTCTCTACTTCTGCTAGGTGCTGCTCTCTCTACACTCGCGACACTCAACTTTTCACAAGCTCTCTTTGTCGGACTTCTGGCCTCTCCACTATCGTTTGTCCGACCCTTCTCACCACCACGAACATGGCCAGTTGCCGTGAAGGTTGTGTTAGGAGTCTTGTCTGTGGCAGTCATGATCGCCACTTCACCACCAGCCGCATTGCATGTTTTCGGACTCGTGACAGGCAAGAGCTTCGACGAGGTCATTGCAGCTGCCGCTTGGGCGTGGAGAGTGGAGAGAGTATGGACGGGGGTCACAGTCTGGGTTCTGTGGTGGCCGGCATGGGTATGCGGAGGTCTCGCTCTTTGTAGTGGCTTCATAGGATGAATTACCACCACAATATTCTCCGACAGGACTCAAGACTTGCGAGTCGAAAGAGTATTCAAAAAGTATAGATGTTCGATTCCAAGCGTTTCTCTTCTACATTCGCCAATGTGATCTAATGAGTCTGACTCCTCTGAGAGAAGACCATTGACCATTCAAGCCCAAGCTTTCTCATCACTTCCAATCATATCTCATTCCTTGACGGTCTCTTCTTCTTCATCTTTACATCTTTGCCAGGATCTCCTCTTTGAGCTTCTTGAGCTTGTCCTGGTTACCCTGCTGCTGAGGCCAGCTAATACCCAACCCCTCCTTCTCATTCGGCTTAGGGATCATGTGGAAGTGGACATGATCAACCACCTGATGAGCAATTCTTCCATTGTTCTGCAGGATGTTGTAGTCGCTTGCATTGACTGCTTGTGCGATCTTCTTTGCGACGGGCAGGATTTCTGTGAGTTGGTCGTCGGGGATGTCGTGGAGTTTTGCGCCGTGGTGTTTGGGGATGACGAGCTGGGATTGGATTTGTTAGAAGATTTGGTCAGGGGGGGATGGGTGGACAGGACTCACGGCGTGACCGTAGCTTAGAGGGTTGATGTCGAGGAAAGCGAATACTTTGTCGCTTTCGAAGAGTTTCATCGAGGGGATCTCGCCTGTATTGACATGAGCTTGTGGTATTCCGTTGTGAGCTTTGGTAAGAGAATACCGTACCCTTGATGATCTTGCAGAAGATGCAGGCAGCAGACATGATTGGTGATGCAAGATGGGAGTTTTGAAGGTTGGTATGTACAGTTTCTGAGGTGTTACAATGTGCTATTCCAGATCGATAGAAGGAAGGTGAAGGACCCCTCCACCACTCGTCCGAATGCCGACCGAAAGGAGTGACGACTGCGGGGTGGAGCTTGGACGACAGTTGAGTTTCGTCCTTGCCTATTTCAGAACATCTACTTTTTACTAAACCTGCCTAAAGTGCTCTTGCCTGATATCTTTTGCTCTATCAAAATACTTTTACATCCAGATTTTCAGGACGGACTTGTCATCTGTTATGACTGGAACTTCCAAGCATCACACTCAAAGTTGGCGTAGCATCTGAACTCGTTGCTCAGGCCCTTCGAGTGCTCTGGAAGGAAAGTAGTGGTACGCATGCCAGCCTTGCCGTAAAGCTTGTGAGCAAGTGACTCCATGCGCTCTCCGGTGCATTGGATGAGTCTGAGAGGTGCCTCCCATGTCTTGGCCAGCCAGCGGATAGTGAGTGCAGCTGTGATATCTATCAGTACACCAATCGAAGTACAGAAGATACGAGCAACTTACCCTTTGATTGACAGTCCTCGTTCAAGAATGGAGGATCGCAGATAATCCTGTCGAAGGAGCCCTTGAGGCTGGCTGTTGTTGTTATTAGCTTGGCTACATCAGAACGGATGTGAATCCCTTACGATCCAACTTGGTAGGCTGCTTGTAATCGTAGAAAGTAAAGTCATCCTTGAATACTGCAAATCTCTCGTCGAATTCCAGAAGCATGAGCTTTGGTCGTATAGGGTATCTTTCACGGTCGTTCTGCATCCTGCAATCAGTGTCTGGTTGTCTCTTGTTCCATCTTGCATAATAGAACTTACAAGCAAATTTCTCAACTGAATGTAAACACTCGGTGCAGAAACAACAGCAATCTTGCTGTCTTCTGTCACACCATCCAGTAACTGCTCAGCCAGAATCGTTGCTGTCTCATCCTTGTACCAGAACTGACTGTCCTGCCAGCTCTCTGCAAACAGATCCATAGAAAGAGGTTTCGAACTGTCGAATTCATCTTCGGCCTTTGCTTTCAAGTCTTCGAATTGTTTTTGCCTTTCGTCTCTTTCGGTGTAAAACTCTTGGAGAAGAGCAAGAGTGGAAGGATCTAGTTGACTGTTGGATAGCTATCAGTACAAAACTCATCGAGAATACGGCTATGTATGAGAGGACTCACGGACGGTCATCCTCGTCGAAATCGTCAGTAAGTCCCATGTTTGCTTTGATACAAACTTATGTCTGTAGATGTGGTTATGGTAGATATATGGAAAATTCTGGGCCCGTATAATTTATTTTCTCGAAGCACAAAGATGTGCTCAAACAGGCTCGTCTTGGCATCAGTCGAAGGTCACCCTGACTTTCGAGGAAGCTGCTGTTTGCAAAACAGCCCTAATCTGGTGTTCGCGGAGCCGAGGCTCACTTGAGCATACAACTGCATTGCGTGAGACCAAGACGATAAGATCTTATTCAGCATACTAAACACAAAACAGGTGGCTGTCTGAGATATCGGACAATCCTCTGTATCAAGACATCATATCAAACATCATAACAACTTGTCATTTTCGTAACCATGGCTTCGAGTCTAGTACATCTACCAGAGATCGAGCGGATCAGCTCGCGAGTAATAAGAATACTAGGCGGCAACCCAGGAAAGGCAAGAATCATGTATCATTGCCAATGAGGTAAACTCAGCTGACAGTTCCCCTCCCAGTTCACTCTTCAAGGCATGCAGTTACACAAATCTTCTACAGTAAGCGAACAAACTAACAAGACAATTCAGGAACAAATACCTACCTAGTAGGCCAAGGATCCAAACGCCTCCTGATTGATACAGGCGAAGGAAAGCCCTCCTGGCTAACCTCCCTCAAAACAACACTCGAGCAAGAAAAGGCTTCCGTCGACAAAGTGATTCTAACACACTGGCATCCCGACCACGTAGGAGGAGTTCCAGACTTACTCTCCCACATGCCCAATATCCAACTCTACAAAAACCAACCCACAGGAAATCAAAGCGATATCAGCCATGGTCAAATCTTCGAGACCCAGGGAGCTACCTTGCGAGCCTTCCATTGTCCGGGCCATACTACCGACCACATGGCTCTGATCCTAGAAGAAGAAGATGCCATGTTTACAGGAGACAACGTGCTCGGACAAGGAACAGCGGTATTTGAAGATCTGGCTGCATACATGAATAGTCTGCAAAAGATGCAAGATGAGTTTTCTGGTCGGGCTTATCCGGGACATGGGCCTGTGATTGAGGATGGAAAGGCAAAGATACGCGAGTACATTTCTCATCGACAAGAAAGAGAAAATCAGATTGTGGATGTTTTGGGTCGAGAGACGGAGGATAGAAACAAAGGATGGCAATCGATGGATCTAGTCAAGGTCATCTACAAGGGTTACCCTGACAACCTGCACGCCCCGGCGGAAAGGGGTGTTTTGCAAGTTTTGGACAAGTTGAGAAAGGAAGGAAGAGTACATGAGGACGAGGGAGTATGGTTCTTGCAGTCAAAGCCTGCTCTGTAATGAAGACCAGTGTTTGGTCGTTGATATTCGTCTGACCACATCGAGTCTGTACAGCTGCTAATTGCCCAATATCATAATTCTCATCAACGCCCTTCCCTGCTTGCTGGTATGCTGGATACAACCATAGCCTTAAAATGCTCCCGTTACGCCGATAGTGCCCGGCATTATACCTAAATCTCTTGGACAATGTAGAAGAGCATGTACGCTTCTGCAGCCAAGACCTCTTTCTCCTCAACCAATACGACTTTACTGTCGTCAAACAAGAACCATTCATCGCCCTCTCGAGCGTAGCTCACATAGTGTCCACTGTCCATCTTGCCTTTGTGTACGATGACACTGCTGAGTTCATATATAGGCCTTGGGGATGCACCTTTGTCGGCGTCGCCATTCTTTGCTCCGTTGGTTTCGTTGCTGCCCTTTTTCGAGCGTGGGCGACCGACGTATGGTTGCAGATCCAATACGGTCGGAAAGTGCACTTTGGCATCGAGCTTGATTGAAGTAGATGACGATTTTGAGTGTGAAAAGCGTTTCAAGTGTATCGGAAGGACAGGCGGTAGTCGTGATAGAGCGAATCGCTTGGTGGCAGATTGTTGGCTGTCACATTCTCGACAGCGGTATTCCGAAGCTTGCAAGATTTCCGGACTTGTGAAACGATCGAGACAGTCAGTCAGATCGATGGCTTGAGGTGCTACCGGAGCTTCATTCTTTTTCTTCTTGGGCGCAGAGCTTTTGAGGTCGAGAGAAAGATCCATGAAAGGGTCGAGGGCAGTCGTGACGTTCTTGCACTTGGAGCACACGACTGTACTTCGCATTAGACCACAAAAGGCGCGGTGAATGACGCAGTTACAGTCTTCGGCCTTTTCTTCCTTCTCGTCTTCTTCAAGGTTTGTGGTATGAAGCGAGTTCAAGATGAACTGCAGGTATTCATGGGCATCTTGTTGTTGGTAGCCAGCCAAATTACCGCCTCCTTTCCAGCTTCCCTGAAGCATGGCTACAGCACCATAACCTTCTGCCTTTTCGGTACTGTGGAACTCGGTGATTATGTCGTCAAGGGCACATGATGTGCATGCTTCTCGTTCGCAATCGAGGGAGCGGTGGCCGACGGAGAGGTAGAAGGCGCGAATGAAGGGGTTGTGGATTAAGGATTGGAGGACAACCGACATAAAGCATGTCTGTCCCATGTTGTAGAGACCACGAAGGCCTTTGGCACGGCATGGTGTAGGTGCGGCATTGGCGGCGAGAATCTTGCTGTCGACGTCGGACATGAAGACGGTGTGCTTGCGCTTCTTGCCTTGCTGAGTGCGAATCTCTTCAAGGGTATTGTCGTAGACAAAGTCATCGCATTCTCGGCAGTAAACATTGCCCTTGCTCGATTCCACACCTAGCTTGTGATTAGGATGTGTTGGCTACTGATATGTGTGTTTGTCCTTACAAAGGTTGTGCTTCTTGTCGTGCTGTCCACGTTGTTCTGATGGAAAGACAGTCGAGCAGTCTAGACAGAGGTAGGTGGGTCGAAGAGAGATGGCTGATGACTTTGAGAGATGAGGGCCGATTGCACCATTCTTGTGTATTGTTTGCATCAAGGTTGTGTAACGCTTGATCAGGTCGGGTTGAGAGGCTTCGAGTTGACTCTTGACATGATCTAGCAATTGTTAGAGCTGGTGCAAACAAGTTGTTATGGAATCGTCATACCGCAGCCATGAGTGGAGGCCGAGCCAGGAGACGGGAAGCGGATGTCGGCCAGGGAGTGCTTTTTGGTGAGCACTGGGGATTGTGATTTGTTCTCCATGCTGACACGCCTCTGGCTACATTGCCTGCGATACGAGAGATTTTGTGATGATGGAGTTATTCAGCTTGTCGCAAACCTCGGAATCGCATGCGACATGCTCCAGGAGGGCGACAGCCACTAACTCCGCCTTGTCTCCAGATTGAGCCTTCGCTCCCGACCTCCGACGCAAGAGCGAGCGTCGAAATCCAGCATCGAATTTTTGCACTCCTCCATCTACGCATGCGCTTTTGATGCTCTGAATTTTTTTACAAAGAGAATATGACTTCTTGTTGGTGCTCACATTGCAGATTTGTGCAGCGCCGCCTCCAACACAGCCGCCTGCCAATACAAGATAGATCCTGCTCTGCACCGCGATACAGGGCTCAATTCCAGAGCAAGCAGTTCATGCTCATTGGAAAAAATATATCAACACTTTATCCTGAGGCTTACATCATCAGGCGCTCTGGCCGAGTGGTCTAAGGCGTTAGACTTGAATTCCAATTCAGTAATCTAATCTCTTCGGAGGCATGTGTTCGAACCACATGGGCGTCGTCATTCCTTTTGCTCTTTGCTGCGCTCACCTAAAACTTGCTACTCTTCTTCGTGCAATTGTTTTGTTCTTTCTTGAAATGATACGAAAGTGGTGACAAGGCTCCATAGCCCATATTTGTCTTGCAATTGCTTTTGTATTACAGAATCAACATCAGATCCGTCTTCGTGAAAACTTCTATGGGTATCTACAAATATGTACAATTATCAGCAACTATTGACTCTGTTTAGAACATGAGCTTGCCGCGCGTGGGAGCGGCGCATTCGGTCGGTCACACCATGCTTGTCTGGTACTGTTGTCTTCTTCCATCGATGAGATGCATGACCGAATTGCTTGCGATACTCCCAATCAACTCGATCTGCTTTTCGTTCCATGTCTTCCAATGACTTCATGAGTACCCGTTTCGACTCGAGGTTTTCGCTCCTGAGCGTGAAAGCCGCTTCGTCGAGGCTGTTCGCGACTTCGTCACCTTCCAGTTGACGAACAAACGGTAAGATCCATTGGAACTTCTCCGTGCTAAGCCAAAGACCTTCTCTAAGAGGACGAGTCACTCCAGAATAGACAAGAGCTCGAGACATTAGGCTTGAAAGTGGTGCGTCTCGGTCCTGAAGGTAGTTCAAGCAATCGCATACCCTCCTGAAGGCCATGCTTGAGGTCAACAGTGGTGACTTGGCCATGGCGTAAGCAGCATGGTGCACTAGCTGTACCCTCTCTTCCGACAGGGAATTGTTGGCCACCGAGCGCAAATTCATTGGCAGAGAATTGCTATAATCTGGTGTGTTCAGTAGATCGAACAAAACGTCTGACCTGACTGCGCGACTGTCGATAAGAGCGAACAACAACTCGGGTATGTCCGAAAGCCCTTGGCGGCCTTGTGAGCGTCGGAAGACATTCAGCGCCCATTGCGTTTTCTTGATGTTGATGAAATGTCGCATGAGATCTACAGCCACCGGATAAGGAATATGGACGTCATTCCAGGTAAGTTTTGCGAAAAAGTAATATGTCCACACAGGTGACTTGTAATGCTTCAGCACTTGAAGCAAATCACTGAGCCAACCAGCATGATCAATCTTGTTGTCGCTTAGCAATATGGTAAGGTGAACCCAGGCTCCTCCCCAACTTGGATAGACACCTTTGCGATCGGGCTTGCAACGTTCACGTAGCGTTGATTCAATTGAATCAAATAAGGCTTGGCGTGTTGGGCGAGTTGCTCGCTGAGTAAGGGAACGATCAAGGGCTCGAGATATTGTATATCGTAATCCGTAGCTTTGGAATGGTTTTTTGGAGGCGTCTCGGCTATGAACCGTTGGTGGAGATTGTAGTGGGAGGCAGCGTATTGGTTCTGTGGCTGGCGTTGTATCATTTGCGGAATCTGGTATCTCAGATTCTAGAAGATCAGGATCTGGTACCTCGAGTATAGAAGGCTTTATCCAATTGTGAAGGACGATGATAGCAGCATCTGCAGGGTGAAATGAACTCAAATGAGGACCGAGCTCAGCGATGGTGAATCTTGAAGCGAGGAAAGGGTAAAGAAGCAGGGCGCATGACGAGGCCGGTTGGAGGATTGAAGGACGGAAGAGTAAGAGGTCGTCGAGCCAGCATGTGAGCCTCTCGGTGCACTCATTGCGATCAACTGTTTGACCAGAGAGAACCTTGACGAATTTTTGCGTAGCAAGGAAGATGACAGTGTCAAACTTTTCAGAGGGAATGGAGTTCAAGATGGGAATTAGCTCGTCCGATGGTCCGCGCCGAGTTGTTCGAGTCATGATGGCTTTTTGGAGGTATTTACCCATGACCTTGGAGCGGCCAGAAAGTGGGAAAGCCGCAGCTATCAGCTTGGAGACGTCTGGCGACGGCGGCAGAGAAAGTGCATTCTTGAGCAGTCTGGTATTGAGATGCTCTGGAGGAGCTTTTGGCGCAAAGGCATCCACCAAGGATTGATGAAGCATCGCATTGGCTTCCAAGAGCAATTGACCATCAACTCGTGCAGGAGCCTCAAGCATATCCAGAATGTCTGACAACTCTTTCATTGGCATAGTGCTCAAGGCAATCTTGTCGCACACAAAACGAACGCAGTCCAGCACGACTGCAGGGCGGCCATTGGTAGCGAAGAGATGGGTGAGGTAGGCATGGCAGTTGAAGGCGTCTTCATGGTCCAAATCGCTCTGCAGAAAGGCCAAAATTTGGTCAGGAGGGGATTGATACAAGAGGGAGCGAAGAGCAGCTCTGCTGAAGGTCTCTGAAACATCAGAGTCAGAATGCATGCGAGCATATGCTCGAGCCAGCGAGTCCAGGGTGCGACATGAAGCCAGTAGGTTTAAGTACTCTTGGAAAGAAGGTTCAAGATCAGATTGGTGAGATTTGAGCGGTGTTGAGACGGCACGAGAAGCGCAAGACTCTTGGAGCACAAGAGTTGGTTCAGGATTTGGTGGAGCGGGAGCAGCATAGTCTGGTAGATTTGGCGCACGCGACTGTGCGGTGGTTGGTGGAGCCCATAACGAGGTCATGTCGACACCTCCCGAGCCGAAGAGAGCGCCAAAGTCAGGCATCAAGCCTGGAGAGGGGCTAGCCATACTGAGGCCAGCCATTCGTCTTCTAGCGAGGCGGCGACGGGCCTCCATTGGCCCCGGGACATTGCTGCCATGGCGTCGGGTGTTGATATGGGAGTGGTTCACCAGACAGGTATTGGCGAAGCGACGATAGGCTGTAGCGAGCGTATCATCGGAGATCCAGATGTACGGCTGGAGTCGACATGGCATGGAAGGCGCCTGGCAATTCGGCAATTGACTGATCGAATGTCTTCTGTGCCAACTCCAAGCGCAACCTGAAAGTGCATTAGATATTCGCGAATTGCGGGCAGCTGCGTTGCGTCGCTGTGCCAAGCCCGCGTCCATCGCAGTTTCCGTCGCATCTCGAAATGTTCCGCCGTGCACTGCGACTTTGTTCGTTCATTCTCCGCCTCACAACCACCCTTTCCTCATGATTCTACGATCAACAGCCTTGCGGCAAGGTATGCTGCTTCTCTCGCTATTGCCTGTTCCATAATACTCATGTCTTCGTAGGCCGCAGAGCGGTGGCCAGGCCTACACGATGCCTTCACTCATCAGCCACTTGCTTGCAACAGAACCCATCCCTTGATCCTACCTCGTACTCGTTCTCTTCACGAATTCAACCTCCAGTCGACGGTAACCAGGTCGCTCGTGACTACCAGGCCTTCAAGCATCACCAGGAGGTTACCAACCGCATTGGATCTGTCGTTTCTCCCAAGTACCAACCGCATACCCAACTCACCCAACCTCCTTCGCCAGACGACATCTCTCTTGAGCTTCTTCTTGCCTCGCAATCCCATCTAGGTCACTCTACCTCGCTCTGGAATCCCGCCAATGCTCGCTACATCTTCGGTGTGCGTCAGGGTGTCCACATCATTTCGCTCGACCAGACCGCCTCCCACTTGCGCAGAGCATGTGCTGTTGTTCGCGGTGTTGCTCAGCGCGGTGGTCTGATTCTGTTTGTCGGTACTCGTGAAGGTCAAGAAAGAATCGTTGTCAAGGCTGCTCAGCTTGCTGGTGGTTGTCACCTGTTTGACCGCTGGATCCCTGGAAGCATTACCAACGGTGCTCAAATTCTGGGCAGGTGTCGCACAAAAGTTGTTGACGAGAACGATAAGGAGATCAAGGGTTTCGAGGAGCAGCTTGAAGCAAAGGGTGCTCTTAAGCCTGATTTGGTCGTCTGCCTGAACCCTCTGGAGAACTACGTTTTGCTGCACGAGTGTGGTCTTAACAATATCCCCACTATTGGTGTTATTGACACTGACGCAAACCCTACCTGGGTCACCTACCCTATTCCCGCCAACGACGACAGGTACATATACTTGTTGATATCTCTGAGTACGTGATCACTGACCCGTTCCAGTCTCCGTTGCATCAACCTCATCGGTGGTGTCCTTGGACGTGCCGCTGAGGCAGGCATGAAATCGCGTCTCGGCCAGGCTTCCAATGGTGTTGTCACATACGCTGCGCGCCACAACCTGTCTCCTCCAACTGCTGACCAAATCGCCGCTGCCTACCAAGCCGAACGCTCCTTTGCCAGAAACAATGCCTTCGATCAAGATGCTGACCAACGCATCGTCACTTCACCATCTCCTGCCGACGAGGATGTCAGAATTCAAGAGAAGGCTGACGCGACCATGATGAGTGCCTTTGAGTACGCTCAGTTCGCTGATTTCGACGAGACCGACACGGAAGCTGCGTTTGAGATGCACTACCCCAGCCAGAAAACGCCTGAGACGGCAGAGATGGCTGAGTTGAGAGAGAAACTTCGCCGCACTCACCGCGCTCTAAACGTACCTGTCGAAGGCGAGTCTGAATACTTCGAGAGTGAGCAGGTTGATGCCGAGACAGCAGTCGAGCTTGAAGCAGAGGCACAGGACATGATGGATGAGCCACTCACCCAACAGGAAGCTGCTGCACTGCACTCCCAGGACGGTGGTAAGGGTGCGAACCCCTACGAGGGTCGCAGCTACCGTAGCGCTCTCAAGATTCGCAAGAACGCTGCCGATGCTACACTTAGCAGATTGGTCGCTCTCAAGAGAAGAGCATACGGCGAGGAGCTATCTGCCGAAGACCAGGAAGTGCTACGCAAGCTGGACGAAGCAGCCAAGAAAGCGCCTGCGGTCAACGAAGGCGAGTTTGCTCTTCCTCCGAGACGCCCTGCGTAGCCGCCTTTTGTACAAAGTCATGTAAAGCATAGATTGGGTTTTGGGAAAGAGAAAAGCCTGGCGTTCATCTGAGTTGGTGTGTATGAAAATTTTAACCTTCGTAAACCAACATTTCTTGTATTATACCACTTGTTAGGAATCAAAAGACTGAAAATCACTTTTGTGTTGTTTTTCCAACGTAGCGAAACTTTCCATGCCCTTGGATATGAAGCAATCGCGTCTAGCTGATCAGGCGCATAGTCAACTCGACACTACATATAGAAGTTAGCATAAGCTTTTCAGGAAGGTTAAGAACAACACTCACGTGGCAAAGGTTCCAGCGGAGACAGGCATGGCTCTCAGCAAAGTAGGACCCAGTCCTCTCCAGAAGCCTCTCATGCCCTCGCCCCTCCAAGTTTGGGCGAAAGTATCACGCATACTCTTGTACTTTTGCTCGGCTCCGAAGCCATCGCTTTGCATCTTGGACTTGATAACATCGAAGGGATAACTTCCGAGCCAGAGGGCCTCACCAGCCAGACCACCGTACAGCGCAATCTTCCAGGTAGGGATTTCTTTGCGCTCGATACCGTTGCGCTTAGCATCCTGATTCATCATAAATTCAAAAGCAGTGAACCAAACACCGTAAGCCTGGGCTTCACGGAGCCAAGTCACGCCTGTACCGCGGTGGAGACCCTTGAGCACGCCTTCATGGGCGCAAAGCTTCTTGACGCAGTCAATGGGGCCGTTGTAGAGGCGTGCTGCTCCATGGGGTTGTGTCTGCAGACGAATACGGATGTGTTCGATGGGTGAGGACATTAGTGTATTTGCGATACCGGCAAAGGCGCCAGCTGCATAGTATTGGCCGTAGGAGAGAGGTTGGGGTGTCTCGAGGATACCACCGTTCTTTGCTGCATTCTGGCGCTCAAAGGTACGGCGGGCGTAGTGGAAGGCTCCGAATTGTACGGATACCTTGAATATGTTAGACTGACTTTCTCTTGAGTTGCATCTCTTATCCTTTGTGCCGAGTTTCGGATGAGTAAAATGGCAGGAACCCACTTACGCATGCACCAATACCGATCAGTGGTGTTAATGTGCCCTTGTAGAAAGCGGTTGCGCCCTCATTCTTCAAGATCTTAGAAGCAGCATCTGCTGCACCCGAGTATTGAGATGTTGTCTGCAGGCGAACCTTGACAATGTCTGTGAGATCCTGTCAGAATCACAATCCCACAACTCAGGTATTCCTTAAACGTCTTATCTTACCAAAAGGCTGACCTGTGAGAAACAGTGTTAGCGGTATACTTTCAAGGAACCATCGTTTCTTCCCCGAGCAAGATGATGTCGGCCTTTGTCAGAAAGCGCAGAAGCAGTTTCTCGACCCATTGATTGTCCCTTGCTCTTTCTGCCCTCTCACTCTCCTCCTCAATCTGACTCCCCGCGCACGCCAACCTTACTCACCAATCAATACTTGTGCGATACCACCGACAGCACCAGCAAACAGATCCTTGACAGCGCGGTTGCCACCATCTCTTTCGATCTCCTCTACTGCATCTGCCATTTTTGTCCCTTTGTAAATTGATCAATCGAGAAAGTGGAAGTAAGATATGGGAAGAGATGATAAAGGCACAAGGCGTCGTCGCTTCACCCCGTTCTCAACGCCGTGGTCGGCCCTGCCTTCCCTTTTTGTCGGACGCTTGCGTGCTCGCTCCTTGCCCACCCATGACACATTCTTATATTTCACGTTGATACTTCGGCCAGCCAAGACCATGGAATTGATTCCACGAGTCACGACGAGAAATGATTGACTCGGTGTATGTGTTAGATATATAGAGACAATCTGGAGCACTTTGCGTTTGGGTTGCGCGAGCAGATATCTCCTCGTCGGTGAACAGTGAGATAACACCATGGATGGCCCCAATCTTTTTCCATATGAGCAAGCCCTCCGGCAAATGGTTGTGCGACGTACGACAGATGATTATGTCTCGACCAGAGGCAAGAAAACACACGATCTTCATGGCTCGAGACGGTAAAATGAGAAGTTAATGGTGTCACCCTGCCCATCAATATCATTGGCCATTACAGCTGCAAGATTGACAGATTTCTCGATGTATGTAGTGTCTTGCTACTCTCGAATTGCGTTCAAGACATGGAGAGTTTGTGTCAGATGATATTTCTTGCTGTACGGTGCATATAATGTTTCGAAGATATGATTCATGATGCGAGACAGTTAAGATTACGAAATAGTATGGTGTCCGCCGGTGCTTGTTCGAAAGGTAGTTGCTTGTTTCATAACTTCGTCGATAATGCATAGGCCTACTCGGCCTTCCACCGGCGGCCACCACCCTGTTGCCAGAGCCAGACGGCTTCCGTGGCATAAGCCCTTGCTCCCATGTGTCTTCCTCCAGCAGCGCCTTTTCCCTCACTCTCAGCCAGACAGATCTCGAGCACGCTCTCTTTCTTTACTTCAAACCACAGTCCTCTTGCCAGTTCTCCAAGCGTATCTTCGGCACCGACCGTGTTTTGACCCTCCTCTCCCGGGTCACCAAACTCGCCTTTACCAAGTCTGTACAGAATGCGACCGAGCGTTTGGAAAGCGACGCATCGTTGAGCAGGCACACTGGACCTAGCTAACATGGCTAATTCTGGTATCGTATAACCCGCAGCATCAGGAGCGTCGCCATGATGATGCAGACCCATTGTGACCGGAATCTGTGCTGCAAGACTTGGTGGGATCAATGCGCCAGTGAAGGCGAAACGAATGTCTTTTGGGTCGAGAGATGTCTGGGTGACGGAATATGCATTTGACGGTGAGGAAGTCATCCACTCCAACTTCTCTGGATCAGCTGGCAAATCTGGGAAGTACTTCTCGTGCAAGTCCTCGAGGAAGTTCGGGTCTGACGGGTCAAGTGATGGTGGTTGAGGAGGTCGCGGGAAGTGGATGGTCGAATCTGTTGGGAGAGCGACTTCTGATGCTGCCTGATGACCAGGATTATCGTGTTTGTGTTGTTTTGTAGATGTCTCATTTCCGTTGCGAGCATCACTTCCAAATGTTGCGCCTGCTGGTTCTTCTTCCACCTCAGCGAACTTGACAGTCTTTCGAGGCTTGTCCGTTACGTCTGTCTTGACTTCCTGCTTCGCTTCCTCGACCTTCTCTTGCAGCCCAGGGAAGTCCTCGTTACTTCCACCTTCTTCGATGGTTGCGCGACTCAGCAAGCGTTGGATTAGAGAAGGATCCAATGATGAAAGTAGTTCTCTTCGCTCTTCCTCAATATCTTCGGGCGACATCTCAGCAATTCTTTGGCGATTCTCCTCATCTATACGCCGCCTCTCGGTGGTCATGAAGTCGTCATCGCCATTGTCCAGGACGTTGCTTTGGGGCTGTGGTGTTGGCGCAGTAGAATCTGCATCTTGCTGTCTGCTTTTCTTGAATTTGGACTGGACATTGCGCTTGCGATGGGCAGGAAAGCCACCTGGAGAGTTCTTGAAGGCGGGTGGTTGCGGCGGCGTAGGCGCGGCTGTTGGCTTGCGTTCCTGGACGTCGGCGACAAAATTGAAAGGATTGAAGGCCTGAGGGGCGCTGGCGACTTCTGGTGAATTCTGAGCGTCAAAGTCGTCTATATTGAATTGCTGTCCGCGTAGTGTCATGATGTCTGTATTTACAGCTCGAGCTGTCAAACATTTTTAGGAAAAGAGAGATCGGACTGGTTATGCACGAGGCTGCGGGAGCCCCACTTTTTCGCGGGAGCCCTATTCTTAATTCGGGAGCAACATCGATCACTAAAAGTAGGTGGACCCTTGGACGACGTTCACGCACACTGTACACACAGTAGATCATGGATTCATCATGTATCATGTCAAGAACAAATGATCATGTTCATAAAGAGATTGTTGTTCTGCACGTTGAAGCAAGCACGCACAAAATCTTGATTGAAATTGTACCAACATGTTCGTCGGCAATCCTAGCAAGCCAAGCTTTTTCAGTAATGCTCGGGATCTGATCTACTTGCAGTTTTGGTAATTCGAGTGGTGACTCAAGACGTGCAATATGGGCTTGCAAGAATGCTGCAGAGAAAGAAGTAACAATCTAGGCATATGAGAATCTATCAGAAGTGAACAAATGTCTACCGGCTGGCATATATGTATGGTTGCAAGCAATAAGCACACCTCACCCCCGAAAGGTTAGTTAGGACCCAAATTATTTCACGGATGTCACAGCACGTTCTTTAGCGCCCCTCATGCCTAAATCATAACTGGCCTTAGCTGGGCTGTTCGTTTGATCGTTCTCGGCCACTTGTTCCCGCAGCCAGCAACGCAGAAACCCTGGGCTCACGCTGAGCTTCTAAGAGCCCATCACCGCGCACTTTCTGTCTCGCTCTTCCTTTCTCCTTCTTCTTTCTTTCTCTTCCAATTTGCCGCGTGCTCTTCTTGTACGTCTACGACTTCCTTCCTTTCCACATCTCTTCAAATTTGTGGTCCTCCATCAGTTGCCATCAGCCATCGAGCACTACATCAAGGCCAAGTCTGTTGTCTCTTTGCCATTAAGATCAGTGCATTCGACTGTTGGTTCTTTGTCGTCGTCGCTTGCTCCGCTGGCCGTCCAGGTTTCGAATTCCAAACCGTCGTCGGCTTCTGGTGGTTGCTAAAGCCTCCCGCGCAGCTTCGAGTGGTTTGACCACACCCATATCTCTTCGGCTTAGAGGTATCACTCCAATACTAGCGATTGCATCTGCTGTTTTGCAGGTCTGATTTTGCAATTTGCATTTTCCAATACGGTATTCTTGCTGTATCGCTTGACCCTCTTCAGCCACTGTACCACCTGCGACCCTTTTTCGTTTTTGGTGTTCGTCATGGCCGCGGTCGGCGATGGACAAAGCTCCAGGGGCTCCTCGCCCATGTCTTCTCCGCCACAAGGACTTTCTGATACCATCAGTGTCGCGCCCGCGCAGCCTCAGTTTCTGCGTCCTGGAGATGTTGCATTTCCCCAACTTTCTCGTCCACCACAACCACAGCCTGCTACGTCAACGTCTGCAAATACCACAAATGGCAACGCCAAGGCTGCATCACATGATCCTACCAAAAAGGTCAAACAAACGCGCAAGAGGAGAGATCCTGAGGTAGTGGCAGCGGAAAAGGCAGAAAAGGCTAAGAAGGCAGCAGAAAAGGCAGAGAAGGCCGCCGAGAAGGCTGCTGCTGCAGAGGCTGCTAAGGAAAAGAAACCTCGCAAGCCTCGTGAGCCCAAGGATGTTAATGCTCCAACAGCTGGCTCGCGTAAGAAACAGAAGACTGATGCATCGACTAATTCTACTCCTACTGCAAACCGTCAACCTACTCTTGGTGACATGGTTGGTAAATTCCAGACGCCTCTTCCACCTACTCCGAGTGCGCAGCAAACACAGCCTGTACAGATTGTGAAAACCGAGGAAAAGAAACCCATCGTTGCACCCGCACCCGCACCCGCACCGGCTCCTGCACGGCCTGCCTCGAGTGGTCAAAGATATGACCCCATTCGCGCTTCTATGACCGTGGACCCTTACTCGACACCTGCACACACTTCGACTGCTTCACTTCAAGTGTCACCACATGCGCACAGAGCAAGCGCATCACCTGCAATCGCAAGTCTGATCAACCCTCCTGCTCCTAACGATATACTCATGTCCCCTCCTGTGGTTCCATCTGTACCTGCTCAGGCAAAATCACCTAGCGTTGCTGCCACCATGCCGCCTCCTTCCAGCGTCAACCGTCAACCAGAAGTTCAACCTGCGCCAAGCACCCTCACGAACAAACCACCTCAACCAATCTTGCATCCACTGCCTGTGGTGATGGATGACGCCATGGACATCGACGCTCATGACGAGCAAAAGCCAGCACAGATCGTTGCTAAGCCTTCAGACAAGGACAAGGAAAAGGAGAAGGAGAATCAAAAACCCGCCGCCAAACCATCTTCCGCACCAGCACAAAAGGCCAAGCGCGCCTCACCTCCTGCAGCTACCGGTAGTGGCCTTCTTTCTGGTAGTGATATCTTCGGAGGTCCATCAGCCGTCACCGAGGATCACAAACGCCATGGAGTGAATATTGACATCGAGATTCCCCTCAATCCAGCAGGTAACAACACGATCAACATTGCCCAAGAAATCCTGAAGAAGTATGGAAAGAATGCCATCAATCCTCGTGCTGCAGCACACCGTGAACGTCTATTGCAAGTCGCTGCTGCAGCCAACCGTCTGGAGCCTGGCACTGGTGACGATATCTCTGTCGACCTCAATTCTGAGGCCGAGAATGACAGCAACGTTGAGATGGGCGGTATGGAGGAAGAGAAGAAGGGTGAAGACGAACCTAAGAAGCGCCGCCGTAGAAAGGTGGAGGATTACGACAAGGAAGATGACTTTATCGACGACACGGAGTTGGCATGGGAAGAAGGTGCAGCAGTCGCTAAGGATGGCTTCTTTGTCTATTCTGGCCCGCTTGTGCCGGAAGGAGAGAAGGCCCAGATCGAGACCTCTGCACCTTCTGGTCGTGGAAGAGGTCGTGGCCGTGGACGCGGTCGTGGAGGTGCTACCGGTGTCACTCACGCTCAACTCGCCGCAAAGAACGCCGACCCTTCAGCCGCAGCAACCACTCCCATGACTGGCCGAGGTCGAGGCCGTGGTCGCGGCACTGGAGCCACTCGCAAGCCACGCATTACCAAAGCCGATAAGGAGAAGATGGAAAGTGAGAAGGTGCAACGCGAGCGCCAGGCTGCTGCGCTTCCACAGGCGAACTCCGCCGCAGCTGTCTTCCTGACCCCTGCCACTATGGCGCAGGTATGAGTTACGGTCTGAACGTATTGCTTTGAGTTGTTGTCGTTATTGTCACAAAGCGCACGACATGGAGTTTATGGAGCATGGTCAAAGCTTTTCTAGCGATCATAAGATGTCGCTTGTTGCATTGCTCTTTTCTTCCCTGTTCATCAAGGCGGAAAGTGTGGAGTTCGGGAGAGGAAGTGGCTACGGAGTTTCCCAAGTTTTTTTTCTTTTCCTTCTTTTCTTGTTTTACTTCTTTTTCTTGCTACTGCTCTTCCGTACAAGGAGAGCAGCTTTCATCGCTTGCATGAATGCACAGAGCAGAGGTTGGAATGGCTTAAGTATAGAGATTAAGGTAGCGTTGATTAAGTGGAAACGCGAGCTGCACACGAAAACGCGTCCCACGAAGAACCATCAATGAAATGCCAATCCATACCAATAAACGATTAGCCTTACAAATTACCATCCATTATCTGAGCAATCGAATCACCACGAAAGAGAGTCAGAGCCTAACAATAAAAGCAATGCTCGCCGTCAAGAGATCTGAAAAAACCCCGACTTGTGCAGTCAATGTGCTGCCTTGCCGCATCCAACACAATGGCCCCGTTCACGCAAGCACAAGACATTGGACACCAGAGATTACCTCCGATGGCAATCAAAACAGCACAGCGACAGCATACTTCCGCGGCAGGAAATTGAATGGCAGAGTCTTGGACTTGCCTGAGGGGTACAGAGGTATGTATCTCGTATTGTCAAGTCTTCTTCACTTGCTTTCATGTAGCAATTCGAATTGTACAAACACCATGCTAAATCTCTTTACACGGCAAAGAGAGAAGAAAGACTAACAAGACTCCTTTTCATAGGCGCTATACTCCAGAAAACAGATACAATCCTTCCCAACACTACATCCACAGCACCAACAACGCTAGACCCTGAAGAACAACAAGAAGAAGAGCCAGCACCAGAAACAAAAGTCCTTCAAGAAGTTGCAACATTCGATAAGATAACAGTGTATGGCCATGAGGTACAACCAGACGCTCAAGAAGACGTGTACATAAAAGGCATAAACGAGTGGATCGGTTTGGCTGGTGCGGTAAGTCGCTTTCTGAGAGTCGAGTTTGCAGTGAAAAGGAAAGCAAGCTAATGCAAGAACAGATGAACTCGTTCTGATGGATAGGGAACGATGCAAGTACTCTATGAGGATGTGCTGGTTGGTCAGAGACAGGGTATGGGGCGTTTAAGGCGAAATTAGTAGGCTGAGATCAACAGAGATTGGTTTGGCAAGGATTCCAAAGTATTTCTTTAAGCCACAGGCATCACGATTAGTTCGAAAGAGTCGATAGAGCTTGTAACGTGAAATCGATTCTATTGTACAGCTCGAGGCCCGAGCAGGTTCTTCTGCTTCGAAAAAGGCCATGCATTATTGTCATATGCCATCAAATCCCAGTGCCCCTTTGTCATAATGCGCCGTAGCGCCACTTGATGATGATCTAAACCTTGCTCTTTTGCTTCGCTCATGCAGCCCAAATCTCTTGACCCGAACTCTCAATCCAGTTTCCGAGCTTGTTGACGCCGTCGTCCCAAGCACGCAGTCTTTCGCGCATGTTGATTATCTGACCCTTGTCCAACACCTTGGGCTGGACCCATGTTATCCTTGCAACTTCTGCGACCTGGTCGATGGTTCCACGCACAAGACCCAGGCTGAGGGCTTTCATGATGAGGTGCTCGATCTCGTTCGGTTGGACCTTGGTCTGCTGAGCGATCTCGGTGAAGGTCATAGCACGATCGTGGGGTGGGCGGCGGAAGACGGTCTCGGTCAAAGCGGACAAGCTGATCTTTTGGTACAAGAAGTTCTGGTGCTCTTTAAGCAGATCGTTTTTGCCCATGTGTGCAGCGAGGACGTCGTAGGCGCCCAGGTCACCCTTATTGAAGGCAATAATGAGATCACGCAACCAAGCGTGCTGAGTGTTCTGTAGTGTGTCGAGGATAGGGTGGAGAAGAAGTTCACCGAAGTTGTAGATGGAATCGGAGACGAGGGCAGCAATCGAGAGATCGTAGGCGATGCGCTGACGGTCCTCAAGGGAGAGAGACTCAAGATCGATACATGCGAGGTAGAGGAGGGTAGTGCGGTAGTAGGCGGCAAACTCGTGCTTGGCTTGGTGGTAGTCGGCGCTGACACGGTAGAAAGAGGCGTGAACAACGGACTCAACCGAGTCGAATGTGTCAAGGATCTGTTCGCACTGGTCGAGGTCCTTGCGAGCCTCGTCGTACTTCTTCAAGCGCAACTCGACAGCCGCTACAGCGGTCTTTGCGTAAACGAAAGCGTCCTGTGATGCGGGCTTATCGACGCTTGAGGCAAGGTTGGTGAGGAACTCGAAACGCTCGTTGTCATCTGAGGAGACAGTGTTAGAAATGAATTGGAATGAAAGAGGACACAGAGGATACCTTTGCATTGTGAAGCAGTGCTCAGACCGAGGGTAACAAGCTGGAGTTGGTTGATCTTGTCGGCGAAAGTCTTGATGAACTGGTTGTAGAGCGGCAAGCGCTGCTTCTGGCTTCGGTCATCTTGGAAGTAGAGGACGAGGTCGTTGGTCAATTCGTGCCAAAGCTTGCGCTCCCAAAGATCTTCGAATTGCAGAAAGTAGTGCTGGACGTCTTCGGGGGCGGCGTCACGCTGATCGGCCAGCAGGTTTGGGATTGTGTCGACGTCCATGTTGGCTGAGAGAGGGAGATGTGTGACTTGTGGAGATCCAAACGTTGCGACAAACAGAGGTTTGGGTTGTGGTGATAGAGTTGTAGTGTTGGATGGATGATTGCTTGGTGTCGTTTAGAGCTCACACAAGTGGAAGGTGCTCTCAGTGACGCTGCTGCGTGCACGCACCTTCCGCCGTCTGGCAGCAACAGTCGCTCGCGGAAGTCTCCGACTCTCCGAGCGGACTTGCTTGGCTGTACCTCGCATTGCTGACCATTCGGGACGTACAATCGATATAGACCCCAATCTACGCAAACATGAGCCAGATCGCGAGCAGCATGGCTCTGCAGAGGCAGCTCGCCAGATCCGGCCCCCAATTCGCAAAGACTTCGCTCCCGCGCGTCCAGTCGCGAAGCCTTCAGGACATCGCCATCACCAGAACCGGCAAGCCCATCATTAGAATCTCTGGTGGAAGGTACCACTCACCTGCCCGACACGCTCGCTCTTTCCTTACTGACTCAACTCGCCAACAGATCCTCGCTCGGAGGTTGGTCCCATGCTAAACGACTCTTCCAATTGACCCATCTCGACTGACCCACCTCCAAGGCCATACCGCTACCGTCTTTGGTGCCACTGGTTTCCTCGGCCGCTACATTGTCAACAGACTCGGTACACGCTCTCGAGACCCGATTCGCCTACTCAATTGCTGAATCCACCTTATAGCTCGTGCCGGATGCACCGTCGTCGTTCCCTTCCGTGAGGAGATGGCCAAGCGCCATCTCAAGGTCTCTGGTGACCTGGGTCGTGTTGTCTTCCTCGTACGCCTCTGACTATACCTGACCATTTGCGCCGACCTGCGCTGACAAGCATCAAAGGAAATGGATCTTCGCAACACCGCCTCCATCGAGGAGTCCGTTCGTCACTCTGACATTGTCTACAACTTGATCGGTCGTGATTACCCTACCAAGAACTTCGACCTCGAGGATGTCCATGTTGAGGGTGCCTCTCGTATTGCCGATGCGGTTGCTAAGTACGATGTTGACCGTTTCGTCCACGTTTCATCCCACTCCGTCTCTTTGGATTCGCCCTCCGAGTTCTACCGTACCAAGGCCCGTGGTGAAGAGGTTGTCCGCAACATCTTCCCCGAGACGACAATCGTCCGCCCTGCTCCTATGTTCGGCTTCGAGGACCGTCTGCTTCACCGCATCGCCAAGGCTTCCAACATGTTCACATCCAACAACATGCAGGAGCGCTTGAACCCCGTTCACGCCATTGACGTCGGTGAGGCCCTTGAGAAGATGTGCCACGACGACAGCACCGCTGGTGAGACCTACGAGCTGTACGGTCCCAAGCAGTACTCAATGGCAGAGATCAAGGAGCTTGTCGAGCGCGAAATCTTGAAGAGCAGACGTCACATCAATGTTCCTCCTCAGATCATGTCCCCCGTTGCAACCCTGATGAACAAGCTCGTTTGGTTCACCACCATGAGCAAGGACTCAGTTGCCCGTGAGTTCATCGACCAGACCATTGACCCTACAGCAAAGACCTTCAAGGACTTGGGCATCGAGCCTACTGACCTTGCCAACTTCACATACCACTACCTCGTAAGTTGCTGCGTTGCTTTTAGCCCCGCGAAACACACCGCTAACAACCACCGCAGCAAGCATACCGTAGTTCATCCTACTACGACTTGCCTCCTATGACCGAGCGCGAGAAGAGAGAGGAGAAGAAGTACCTTCACGTTCTCGACGACCAGTAAATATTTCGCGGAGCGGCTGTTGTATCCCATTTTTTATTTGTTCTATTGTAGAAAACAATACATTTTCCTTCTAAGCGTTCAAGAACATTACTGAAGCTTCTATCTTGGCTATCTGATCTGGACTTTTGACTCAGAGCTGGCTGTGCTATCGCCCTGTAAGAAGTTTTCTAGGATTGTGTTTTAAAAAGGTATGGAGTAATCTGCCAAATGAATGTTCAAATCACAAATAGGAAGTAGAGGAAGAGATGTATGAACAAAAAGGTTTCGAGATTGAGAAACTGTGGCTAATCCAGTATGTACAAAGAAGGGGCGAAAGGCATTTGACTAGCTCATTGTACGTACAATTGTGAGGAAGTTTTCTCTCAAATGAACCAGGGAGTCAAAATTGATCAAGAAGAAAAAAAGAAGAAGAAGGGGGGAAAAACAAGCAACCAGAAAACCCCTCCAAAACAAGGGAAACATTGCCATGTTTTCGTGTTCATAAAAAGCCTTTCGTCTCAGTTGCTGCTGCGCATAAAAATAGAGGGGGTAAGGGAAAACAAAAGTAGAGTTCTTGGAAACTCCAAACAGGGAAACCATGCGCGCCTCTCCCTCTTTCCGTGCTGTTTGCCACGTCATCGAACCCAGCTGACAAACGTCTCTAGATTGAAAAACAGGAACAAGGTGGCGAGTGGACAAGATAGATGATGGGAATCAGGGGAAGAGAAAAACCAGTAGAAGATGAAGAAACATGTAGAGCTGTGCTGGCGATGAAGAACTCGAAAAGAAATGGGTATCGTGACAAGACGAGACAACACATACAGAGGAGACAGGAAGAAAGAGATAGGTCGGGGGTGAGTGGGGGAAAGGACAGAGCTCCAAAGCCGCAAACTCATATCTAGCGTGAAGCAATGAAATTCAAAGGCCAGAACCGGAGAACGAGAAGTTTCGAGGGTACTGCCATATCCTCATTCTTCTTCGATCTTCTCAGGAACTCTGCTGGCACCTTCCATATTTGCCGCATGCCCTGTTGGTCCATGGTGCTGTTGTGGTGAGGAGACATTAACGTATCCGCTGGGAGCGTTCATGTTCTGACCATGCTGTGCGAGCGCGTCGAGTGACTGCTGACGCGGGGTCGTCGATTCTGTCTTGACTCCGTGGACGCCAGGCGGATGCATCGGTGACTGGGACTTCTTTGAAGCCTTCTCAGATGTTGTCGAGTGCACAGAGTGCTGTGAGTTGGTTCGAGGTGATACTCTGCCGTTCTGTTTGAGTGGTTAACCATCCGCGCTCACGCGTGAATTCGTAGCCGATTGACTCACCAGCTTGGCCCATCTTAGACCACAGCTGTTGCAAAGGTCTCGTTGTCCGCTTGGGCCTCTCCTCCACTCGGGTGTGACTCTGGTGTGGCAGTTGGCACAGTCCTTCTGCATCTGACCAGCACCCTTTCTCCTCTTTCGTTTCTTCTTTGCAGCCAATAGAGACTGAACTTCCTCTGCTAGCATGCGATTCTTTTTCTCTAGCTGTCTGATCTCGTACTGCCAAGAAGATGACTTGGTAGTTTTGAGTTCGTCAAACAAGTTGTCCTCAGAAGCCAATGCACCATCCTGGCGACCAAGCTGAAGTCCATTTTGGCCTGAGTAAGTGGGGGCTGCACCATCGGTAGACTGAAGCTGGATCAATGACTGTGGAGTATTGTCGCCCACGAGCATTGGCGTCACAGGTGTGAATCTTCCAGACAGCACAGATTCCGATCCACGTTGACTCAGCGCTGGTCGAGATGATGAATTGCCCCGCTGGTGCTTGATGAGACGGGTTTGAGCAACGATAAATGTCGGTTTGAGGCCTTCCGTCGCATCTCCAGGGTACAATGTCGTGAAAGCTTGAAGGACGTGTCCACGGCGATTGATCATCTCGTGTCTGACCGATGCTTTCTTGCCAGTTCGAGCGTGCTCCAGAACACGTCCAAACTCGGCCTTGGAGTCTGCTCTCATGAGAGATTGAATGCTTACTCCTACGAGCTCATCCGGTTGGCGATCAAGCAGCTGTCTGACGTTCGATGATACGAACAGGAACATGCCTGACGTCGAGATTTTGGTCCAAAGCTCATTTTCCCCGACTCCGTTGGATCCAGTCAACTCGTTCCTGCTGAGCGCATAAACCGGACGCTCTCTTCCTACCATGATAATCGATTTGCGACCTTTGCCTTGTTCCGTATGGAGCGATCCGTGACCCTCGAACCACATATAACCGCTGTTCTTCCTGCGAATTCGGAAAACCACGTTGACTGAGGCTCCAGTAGAGGTGTCTTTGAGGTCTCTGGTTACTGGCACGATATCACTAGGGTGACAGATCGATGAAAGTGCTGTGCCAATAATCTCTCCAGGCTCGTATTCGAGCACCTTTGTCGCCGATGGAGAAACCCACTGGAACAGACCCTTGAGAGACAAAACATGGATGACATCGTCTGTGTTCTCGAGCAGTACCTTGTCCCACATGCGTTTGGCGAAATCAGATTCTCCGGTTCCGATTGTGCTGAGAATGGCAGAGACGTCGTCTCTCGGTATCGTCTGGCCAAGCTCTGATCGGTTGACAGTCGACTCGGGAGCGTTCATGACGTAACGTGGCATTGTCATGCCTCTTTGATAGTTGATCGAATATGTGCCATCAGGGTTTCGATCAGTCACGGCGTTTGGCTGTTCTACCAAATCGACTTGGAATCCCACAAAGAACTTGACCTGATCTGTATCCCATGCGATTGGAATCATCGTCAGTAAATTCATGAACGGTTGTCCTCCTCGTCGATAGTTGATCAGTGAGATTTGAGCTTCTCTTCGAAGGTTGATCATGTTTTTGAGATAAAGTACCGAATCATCGTCGACATATTTGCGTCGGACGCCAGCTTCGACATTTCCGTCTGGCGATTGCAAGAATCTGCAATTTCTGCCGAGAATCATATGCCGAGTGTAGCCAGTAAGTCGTTCGAAGTTGTCTGAACAATAAACGATAGGAAAGTCGTCCTTCTCTGCATCGCACACTACAAAAGCGCACGACAAGTCGACCGAGCCAATGTTGATTTCTGGATTTGGTCGAGTTGCGACACGCATCTGTTCACGAATCAGCTTTCACGACCCGTAACGTCCTGACTGTAGTACATACCAAAACCCCAAGCATGTCGAAACCGGTTGAAGAATAGGCATTCTTGTATTGAGAATGCATGTGGGGCCTGCCGGTCATTGTGGATGGCCATCCGCCTGTTTGAGAGTGAGCTTGAAAATCACGCACAAATTCATGCAGCCAGACAGACCTTCTGGTGTAGGCCAATTGAAGCCTTGATTGTTCGGGTTATATTTTGACGGATCGGGTGAACGATGTCCTGAATCCGAATTTCGGCCTCTATCCATGCCTACGTCTTGTGTTGAACCAGGTTGGGGATTTTGAGGTTGCGCTCTGAATCCAGAATGTTGCCTCTGGTTCTGCGGTTGTTGTCGATTGGTGTTTTGTCGTTGCGGTGTGGGCTGGCGTGATTGTTGATGTGTGTTTTGCATATTTTGGCTTGTTGATGATCTGCTCTGCGAGTTTTCGAGTGACGGCCTTTTAGAAGGATTTGGATTCCCACCAGCTTCTGGAGATTGTGTGTACATGTGGTTGGGCACAGAGGTATTGAGAGGAGAAGCCATCATTCCGTGGTGATAAGAAGGGTGATTATACATGGCCATCGGACGATCGATATTCGGACTGTTGTAACCGATGGATGACATGTGCATAGGTGTGTTGATGTAGGGACTGTTAAGGTCCATGTCCATGTTGGAGAGATTTGCAGGAGACTGGTAGGATGAGGTTGGCGGCATCATGGGCATAAAAGAACTTGCTGAGGCGAAACTATTGTCGATAGCCAGGTCGCCTCCACCGGTGGAGGTTTGTCTGGCTAGATTGCTGGGATTGGCCTGGCTGGCGGCCATATAAGCTGTAGCGTCGACCATATCTGAATTTGGGAGATTGAATTGATAGGATTCCAGAGGACCAGTCGGAGATGTGCCGGTAAATTCCATCATGGACATGCGTCTTGGGTCGTCAGTGTCCATAGGCTGAGTCCCTTGTGGTTGCTGTTGCTGTTGTTGGCCCGGATGATAAATTTGAGGCATGCTTTGTCTTCGCATGAGTTTGGCGTTTTGACTGACGATGTCGTCGAGAGATTGTCCGACCATGGCGTCCATGGCAGCTCCTTGGGCCATGATTTGTCCATTGGCCGACATGTCCATCTGCTGCATGCCATCGCCTTGGTGCCCGTGCCCTGAGGCATAGGGATTATAGCCGCTCATGATTTACGGGCCTGGGAGGTCATCCGCGCAAAGGGTGTCGAGGTCGCGGCACCGACGAGATGGGGCTTCGCGCGCGGGAGGCTCAAGGACGTCGAGGGGGTGAGGCGAGCCGGGCGGCGGCGGTGTTTCGCGCGTGTCGCGAGTCGCTCGAGCGTGGCCAAATGGTTGATGTTGGGTTTCGCACAGTCCCAAAGAAATGGAGGAAGCGGCGTGACGATGGGTTGGCTTCTCCGTTCGTGTAGCAACAGAAGAATTGAAAGTCGGGCTTTGGATCGAGTGGGTGCGTCCGAGCCTGGCAAGCCGCGCTAAAATCAATGCAAGACGTCAGAGCTCTCGACAAGTCTCGAGATCTTTTTGCTCTACAAGACACTGTAGCTCTCTATGCGGGGCATTTAATTCTGTCAAGCCGACCTTTCATGCCTGAGGTCGAGCTGCTGGCATTTGTTTTGTTGCGACCCTTTGCCTCTGCTGTACATGCTTGGTTCCGGCAGCGACGGATCTGCATTGCACCGGAACGCTGGGTTTTCGCAGCGAACGCAAATTATCATCCATGCTTGAGCTACACCCATTCAGACAACAACTTTATAAGCTTTATTGGCTCTATCTACTGCTAAAGCAGCCGACACAAAGGTGTCGACTTCCAACTATACCTTAAGGTGGTAATTGCAAAGCACTCGAGACGTCTCGGCGAGCGAGGCTCTGCTTTATCGGCCGCGGGGCTTAGGAAAACATGTCGGTGAAGGCTGTCAGCTGCTTCCTTCGGGAGCCATATGTGCTTAGCATTCCCATGGCACTCGTACTCTGTATGGATCGATGACAGATTTACATGCTCACTTTCCTTGACTACCTACTTAGCATTCCATAATGTATATTCTGTAATGCCAGGTCAGATAGTGGTCGCCAAGCTATTTGAAGGTACACCGTTCCTGGAACATCAGATCTCAAGGAATCCCAGATGTGGCGTGTTTTTGAGATCAGATCTCTCACGATGCAGAAACGCCCTTGCGACGGCTCCAAGGGGTTTTCTTTGGTGCGCATCGCGATCAAAGTATGATGAGGGCAGGTCGAGGCTAAAGGACAGGTAGGGCAGGGTCGGCCCTATTCACGTGATTCAAACACTAGCTAGGATGCTTGAATGTCGGGGTTTGCAAGCTCCGGTGTGACGCTGATTGCAACCAAGAACGTCGCTGAGGCAAGTGACAAGTGACAAGCCATCAACTCACTACCTCTCTGCATCAGTCTATCACGTTCCGCCGTCTCGACCCTCCTTGAGCTGCGTCCAAATACACACATATCACAAATAATCAGCACATCATGGCCGACACTGCCGTCGACTCGTACGCAAACACCGTGCCGCCGCACAAGAAACAGCTCTCATCATCCATTCCGAACATCGAATCTCTCGAAGGCATCGGCGCAGACTCTGACGATCAATACTCTACATTCAAGAAGCTCCAAAGACAGCTTGAGTACGTTGGGAACCGCTGCCCTGGATAATTACATGCTAACAACAGGCAGGTACATCAAGCTGCAAGAGGAATACATCAAGGATGAACAAAGATCGCTGAAGAGGGAGCTCGTGCGTGCACAAGAGGAGATCAAGAGGATACAGAGTGTGCCACTTGTCATCGGACAATTTATGGAGGCCATCGATCAGAAGTCAGTACGCTGGACACTTGACAGAGCATCACATGCTAACCGCTTCCAGCACTGGCATCGTACAGTCGTCGACTGGATCCAACTATGTCGTGCGCATCCTCTCAACTCTTGATCGTGAGCTGCTCAAGCCCTCATCCTCCGTCGCCCTTCACCGCCACTCAAACTCTCTCGTCGACATCCTCCCTCCAGAGGCAGACTCTTCCATTGCTATGCTTGGTGCAGACGAGAAGCCAGATATCTCCTACGCTGACGTCGGAGGATTGGATATGCAAAAGCAGGAAATTAGAGAGGCCGTCGAGCTGCCCCTTACACACTTCGATCTCTACCACCAGATCGGTATCGATCCTCCCCGTGGTGTTCTCCTTTACGGTCCTCCTGGTACTGGAAAGACTATGCTAGTAAAGGCTGTGGCCAACAGCACTACCGCATCCTTCATCAGAGTCGTCGGATCCGAATTTGTTCAGAAGTATCTGGGTGAGGGTCCTCGTATGGTCAGAGACGTCTTCCGTATGGCTCGCGAGAACAGTCCTTGTATCATCTTCATTGACGAGATCGACGCCATTGCCACCAAACGTTTCGATGCTCAGACTGGTGCAGACAGAGAAGTTCAGCGTATCTTGCTCGAGCTGCTCAACCAGATGGATGGTTTCGATCAGACCAGTAACGTCAAGGTCATCATGGCCACCAACCGTGCCGACACTTTGGACCCCGCCCTTCTCCGTCCCGGTCGTCTCGACAGAAAGATCGAATTCCCCAACCTTCGCGACAGACGTGAGCGAAGACTGATTTTCAGCACTATCGCCGGCAAGATGAGCTTGAGTCCCGAAGTTGATCTTGACAGTCTCATTGTTCGCAACGATCCTCTGAGTGGTGCTGTCATTGCTGCCATCATGCAGGAAGCTGGTCTGCGAGCTGTCCGAAAGAACCGCTACAACATCATTCAGCAAGATCTCGAGGACGCTTACACCAGCCAGGTAAAGGGAGCGTCTGAGGCAGACAAGTTCGACTTCTACAAGTAAGCTTTGTTCTATCAGGGTGAAGCCGCTGTGTACACTAGGGTAGCATGGAAAAGGGGCGCGGGTTCATCATGGAATGGTTTGCTCGCTGGGTACGCGACTTGCAAGCATTCAAGTAGACGATCATAATGGCATTTACACATATCACGACACAAGGAACAACACATGACAATGTTTTTGACCGTCTTTTTATTTTGTTCGCTAGAAAAGTCCAGTGTTTACTTGTCTTCCGACTATACGCCGAATGGGACTGGTACCGATTGACACAGCATCAACGCATTTAAGCGGCAATGGTGACCTCAACCTCAACACCGGCCTCGATGTTGATGATGATCTGCTTGACGACCTCAGTGGGGGCGTTAAGGCTAGAGAGACAGGATTAGCATGCTGATCAAAACGACTTGTAGTGTAGCGGTAGAACTCACTCGATGAGACGCTTGTGGATTCTCATCTCGTAGGTGTCCCAGGTCTTGGAACCCTCACCACAGGGGGTCTTGCGGGTGGTGATCTTGAGGTTCTTGGTGGGGAGACGGACGGGGCCCTTGACGCGGAGGTCCTTCGACTTTGCGCGGTCGATGAGCTCAGTGCAGACCTTCTCGAGGGACTGAACCTTGCGGGAGGTGAGGGTGATGCGGATCTTGTGGATCTTGGGGGCATCGGCCTGGCCGGTCTTCTTGGGGTCCTGGAACGACATTTTGAGATGGGTTGGTGCTGTCGCGAGGTGTTAGTCGACTGTCGCAAGGTGTCGCCGGCTGTAACAAGGCAGTCTCACCTGGTCAAAAGACGGATATGGCAATCAAGACTCGGGCAGAATGTCCACGGCTAAGTGATGATTGGCCTTTTGGTGATGGTCGAAATCGAGAAGCGAATTTGCGTCCTCAGAAAGTTCTGTGTGGGTCATTCGCGGGTGCCAAGACCAGCGCTTTCCCAAGTTGGTGACCGTAGCCGCGCTTGGACCCAAACCATCTCGTCATACAGTCCGCCATCACTGTCTCAACTTTTTGGCCATGTTGTGAACTTGACTTGCTTGTTATCATATACGCCAATTTCCAGCTTGGACCACCGGGTATCTTCTTTTCCAATTCTGCTTGAACAACGACGGGTCCTGGACGTTCAATGAATCTGCCATCACTTGCTTCATATCCTCCAGCGAAAGTTCGCAAGGACTTAGGACCAAGTGAATGGGAAGCATGTCTTGACGCATGGCTGTCACTTTCAGCCCTTTATCTGCGTCTCGGAAAGCAGGACTTCGAAAACGCAGCCCGAAACGAGCAATCTTTGATTCCCTTTCTTACATCTTATTACCAAGTTACAGCTCAAGAACGCCAGCAGCATGGACAAAGTCAGGGCAAGGAGCACAACCTACGGAGGGCATGTTTCATTCTTACTCACAGAATCCTCTTGACCACTTCCTCTCCTCCGACTCCCCTGCTGCAATGGGAATTTCTCTCCGATTTCAGTCATGTCTACATGAAGACCCAAAGCCTGGACTTATTGTTACAGAAGCTCTGGCAAGCTAGGCACTCTGATCTTGATCGTTCTTTACAAAGCTTCCTGTCATCGACGATCAAGCAACTTGAATCATCGAAGCCTGATGTAGCTGAGATCAATGTGAAGCGCATTGTTCCTCTCCTTTTCTCTTCTAATGAGGCTGGTGCAATCGTTCTGACCAGTTCCGAGCTTGTAGACGCCATGTCATCGGCGTATCAGCGCAGCTCGCCTGAATTACGGAAGTCACTTGTCTCGGTCTTGTATCATGGTCTCCTGTCTTTGACCAAAGGCGACAAGCCCAATTACTCTCTGCTGTTCGACCATCTCTACGGCCTGAAGAATCAAGCTGGTAGTTCGCAAGCATCGATCTTGGCAGATCTGGTAACCAACACTTCTTTGCTATCCAAGCTGAGAACAGCTGTCGCTGGAAAGAATGCAGAGCGAGCACAAAACCTAGCAAACACCCTTTCTTCGTTCGTCTCGGCTTCAATTGCAAGGCCCAAGAAAGTGCGCAAGGTTAATAAGGGGAAAGGAAAGGCAACAGCAGAAGAGTTTGGGCATGGTGCTTTCTCGGGCGAGCACCACATTCATCGTATGAGCCTCATATCGCAGATTCAGGATCTGTTCCCGGACCTCGGCTCAGGATTCATTGTCAGATTACTGGACGAGTACCATGAGGACGTGGAGCAAGTGACTGCCCATCTTCTAGATGACTCGCTACCAAATCATCTACTATCACTCGATCGAACTGAAGAGCTGTCTACATCGAAGGCAAGCGCTCAGCATATAGAGCAGCAAAAGGTCGAACAGCTGGCACCGCGCAGCACACCGCCTCCACAGCGTCGTAATGTCTTTGATGATGATGAATTTGACAGACTTGAGGTGGATGCTTCACGCCTACATCTTGGCAGGAAGAACGCAAAACTTACAGCGGATTCTCTTTTGGAGGACAGAAGCTCTGCGCCTGCCAAGAGCGCCATTCTTTCAGCTTTGGCTGCATTCGACTCGGACGATGATGAACGTGATGATACTTATGACGAAGCTGACGTGGGAGGCTATGTTGATGCAGCCAGACCAGATGGTGAAGAATCAAGAGACACCGATACAGGAAACCAGGGAGAGAATGAAGAAGCACTGTTCCGTGCCTGGCGCATGGATCGAGGAGTCTTTGAGCGGTCATCAGAAGTTCGTCGCAGCCCAGCTCGTGCGGCTCTCAAGAATGAGACAGGAATGCAGGATGAGGCCATTGAAGGCTGGGCAGTCATGCTTGGCCGCGACCCCAGACGACTTAAGCGACTCGAGGCAAGATACTCTGCTTTCAGTGGCGCACAACCGGAGTTGGAGAGGACCGCTTACAGAGACAGCGAAGCCACGGAAGACTCAGATAACGGTTCTGGAGGAAGAGGCGGAAGAGGAGGCGGACGTGGAAGGGGTCGTGGTGGACGCGGGCGTGGTAGGGGCGGTCGAGGTGGTGGTAATCCGGCCGGCCCTCCTAGCGAAAGCAATACTCAGGCTGCTAGACAACGAAAGGAGACACGCGGATCAAATCGTAGGGAAGGGAGAGCAAGAAAAATGGCCAGAGCTGGCTTCCCTGGTTGATGCATCGGAGGGCTATGATTGTATCAGCTCTATGAGGCAAGGCGATGCTACCACAACTTATGCAGCACAAGACGCTGTTAGCCAGCAAAAAACTGTACCATGATCGTGTGCTATGATTTGGTCACCTGCGAGTAGTAGACAGAGACTCCAAATCGGATCTGCGGTGTAGTGAGACCGTGTGAAGCTTGCATGTTTGTTGCTCTGATGTGAAAAGCAAGTGCTTGATACACTCGCAGTGAGTGGTCGTTTCCCGGTCACTAGAGCAAAGATTACATGCGATTCTCCTTTAAGGTGTGAAGGAAAGCGCCAGCATTCTCTATGCAGCAAGGTCGTCACACTCCACAAACGATGGCGCTTTCCATCTGACGACTGGACCCCTCTTGCTTATTTATTTGCAACACAACACCTTGCTTCTTTCATCTTCTCTTGTTCACGACAGCAAATTGACAACACTTGCGAAGAGACAACATAGACCAACAAGAATAGAATCGTCTCTAGCGATCATCTCGGACAAATCACCACTACAGCGACTGCATCTTACAAGGACGCGCAATTACCGAGAAGCAATCTTGTAGGCATCAGAACACTCTTCTAGAAAGAGCACGCATTGCTATAGCCATCGTATAGCAGCTCTCAGCGCAGTGATCCATTGTAGCTTTGGCTTTTGTACATGGAAGATACTGATTGAATGGTCTCAGCAGCTGTGATTCGAACAAAAGAGACGAAGGGATGCATTTAACGTTACAGACATTATCATTGGATTGTGGTATATATGCAGTGCCTTAGACGAGCACGATATACAAGTATCCCCAAATCCTTGATCAATAGTACAAACCCTTCTGCCACCAGGCGCATCTCGCAGCGGAAGCAGGATCTCTCATCGGACTAATGCTTCTTGGTCTCAAAGCCAGAACAGTTTGGTTGCTTCCGTACATGGGGAAGAAAGGCTCACCCATGATGTTCGGGTTACCAGTCTTTGCAAACTGGGTAATGTATTCCTGCATAGCAAGAGCGACAGAAGGATATTGCACGCCGAGACTGATTCCTCCGGCTCCAGAGACTGCGCTACCATTGCCATTGTAGTAGGTGTATGCGATATCCTGACCATGGATCGAAGGTGGCACATCAAATAGATAAGCGTGGGTCTGGTTGTTGTATGCCTCATTGAGCCAGACAGTGTTGCAAGTAAAGACAAACTCCGATAGAATGGCTGCGGTGCGACCAATTTGGTTGGTGTAGTTTTGGGCTTGACTGCCGTCGAAGATTGGTGGGTACAAGACTTGAGTAATGTAGTTGAGGGTTTCTGGCATGTAGTTGAGGGCAGGGAAACTCGTTTTGAGATAGGTGTCCAGGTCAGAGTTATTGCTGATGAAGGGGTTCGTGAAGAGGAGGCCTTCATCTGCGTTGTGACCGGTCATAACGGAGACGTTCTTGTCGTACTGGCCATGGGCGAGCAGCTGGCCTGGCAGTGCAGGTACAAAGTCGCCATCTACACTAGGTCCGTAGATATACTGACCAAAGGGGGCTGAGCCAATTTGTTGTGCGCTGGCAGCGATGATTGCTGAGGAAGGTAATTGGCGTGCTTCGGCCAAGGTGGATACGTTCAACAGAGCGAGGAAATCATTGAAGGTGTTTTCCTCTACGGCTGGGGACGTTACAGGGAAGAAGCCAGGTGATTGTGGCACTGCACCTGCGAACGGTGCTGGACCTTTAAGGCCACCAAACGCCTGCTCGATAGTCAGCTCTGGGCCTACAAGATTGGTAAGAATAGTCACGAACTGTTAACTGATGCATGATAGATCCACCTCCTGCCGACTCGCCAAACACGGTCACATTATCTGGATTGCCTGATCTGAAGTCAGAGACAATTATATATATCAAAACACCTGGCAAACTCACCTCCGAATAGATGGATGTTCTGCTGAACCCATTCGAGAGCGAATCTTTGATCCCAAAGGCCCGCGTTTGCGGTTCCGTTCTCCTGGAAAGTAGGACCCGAGAGCCAGCCCATAGCGCCTAGTCTGTAGTTCATGGCCACATAGATGACACCACTAGAATTGTCCATTTGAGACCGCTCGAGTAGACCGGCAGGATCTCCGCTGCCAGCCTTTGAACCAGAGGTATATCCACCTCCATAGATCCAGACCAAAACGGGGTGCTGTTCATTGGAGTTGAAAATGCCTTCAGGAACCATGACATCGAGGAAGAGACAATCTTCGCTCTCTCTGGGATCAATTGCGGTAGCCGCAGACGAGTTGCTGCTGGAAGTGGAAGTGTTAAATTCTGACATGGTGAAGCTGGTTTTATTGTCTAGCAGATATTCTGGTATCCACTCCTCGGCAATGGCAAACCATGCTGGGTTGCCCTGAGGGCAAATGCGGTTGACACTTCCGGTTTGCACTTCGGTTCGGTTCACAGCAGGAGCTTGAGGAGCCGCGAAACGAAGGTCGCCGACTGGAGGAGCGGCATAACGGATATTGGAGAAGTTATAGTAACCGCCGGTCACCTGTTCTATATAAGCTGCAAAATCCTTGGCAATTGAACAATCGACTCACGTTGAATGACGAGGCTTGTTGACGGGCATATCCAAGGTCCACAATTGGCAATGGTTTACACGAACTAGAGTTCTGAGCAGACACGACCGCTGACAGGCCAAGTATGGCTGCTGTTGTTAGGAAGGAGAGGGCACCCATGTTTCTCCGGACTCGAAAGCAAATGGTCAAGGAGGATGCTTGGACTAGACGAGAGAATGACAGACAAACAAGAGGGAATAGAGAGCTCTTTATATGTGGGCTATTCGGTAAACTCGGACTCTCATGATGAGCTCATGGCAATCTAGAGGTCGGAGGACATTGATGCGAAGCCACTGGGAGCGGCTCGCTCAGCATAGTCCTCGGTACTAACGAATATCAAGCGAACATCTATACCCCTCACCTCGACCGAGGACCAGAAAGGCAAGATTTTGTAAGCCATCTGCTTATGGGAGCACCTTGCTTAAGCTTTGGCCCTACAGATGACGCGACGGTGTCAGCGCCCCACACAGAGCTGGAGGCCGACCATTGAAGCATGGAGTCTCAGCATATACGCCTGAACGTTTGCAAGATGAATTGGCAGTGGTGGAGCGCGGTTAGTGATCAGATCCAGATCCAGATTGAGATCAACGGTGCGAAGCGGCACATGAAGTGCGGGGAACAATGAAGGTGGACGGAAGCTGCCCGAAAAAGCGAATCCGATTGTCGAAATATTCGGCTGTCGAGAGGTCCGAGGCAGGATGTGAGTCGTGACGCGTCAGAGGCTGTTGTCGGGTTCGAAGTCAATGCAAGCGAGACAGCAGTCAAATCAAAAGAGGAAGGCTCGAACAAGAACGACCCTGAACCTATTTCCCCGCTTGCTCATGGCCCATGGGGAGATTCTCTTGGCGGCAGACGCCGCAAATTTTGGAAAGTTGCAAGTTTGGCCATCTAGGTAGATTGCAGCTGCCCAGTATTTGCCAGGACCTTAGCAAAGAAAAAAATGAGCGCAACCAAAGACGTGGCCGCGTCGCAAGGACAGAAACGCAAACGAGAAGAGAAGGATGTGACCAACAAGAAGACACAAAGCGACAAACCAATATACAAAAACCTGCAACTTGCCGAAAAGCCTGTATACAAAAACTTGCAGATTGCCGAGGCGCTCAAGACGCAGTTCAGAACAAAGAAGCAGCGCATCGACAAGTCACAAAAGAACGAGAAGCCAAAATTCAAGAACCTCCAGATTGCCGAATCGCAAAAGACAGTATCTAAAGAGGCACGAAACGACAAGGTGCAGAGAGACGAGTCGCAAGAGCATGAAAATGGAGTCAAGAGACCACACAATCCACCGAATGCTCGCCAGAACAAATTGCTACAGGTCCGCCAGAGTCTGCCTATCTGGCCGCAAGCTGCCAACATTCGCAATGCCCTCCTCGAGAACCACGTCCTGATTCTTGCCGGTGAGACTGGTAGTGGTAAATCGACCCAGGTTCCTCAGTTTCTTCACACTTCTGCCTGGTGCACTGGACGTATCGCCGTCACTCAGCCCCGTCGTGTCGCCGCTGTCTCGCTTGCCCGTCGTGTCGCCGAAGAGATGGGCACTCCCCTCGGAAAGAGCCCACAAGCCCTTGTTGGTTACAACGTGCGTTTCGACGACAATGTTGGAAAGAACAACAGAATCAAGTTCCTCACCGAGGGAATGTTGTTGCAAGAGATGTTGAGAGACCCTGCCTTGGCCGAATACAGCTGTGTCGTGGTCGATGAAGTCCACGAACGAAGTGTCAATGTAGATTTGCTCTTAGGTTTCCTTTGTGGTCTCGTGACCGGCACGAGCGAAGCGGCTAAAAAGCGCAAAGGGAAGCCTCTCAAGGTTGTTGTAATGAGTGCTACAGCAGATACTGAAAAGTTGAAGGACTTCTTCAGCGAAGGCTTCGGGCAGCCTCGTGTCGAAGACAGCATACCTACTGTCGACAGCAGTACGCCGGCTTTGGGCAGCAAGGAGGCGCCTGCCGAGGAATTACAACAGCCATCTGTTCCAAGCTCAAACAAAATTTCAACATGTTTTGTTGAGGGTAGGATGTATCCTGTACAAACAGAGTATCTTTCTGAGCCCACACGAGACTTCTCTGAAGCAGCTTTGTTGCAGATTTTCCAGATCCACCGTAAGGAGCCCATGCCTGGAGACATCCTGGTCTTCCTTACTGGCGGAGACGTCATCACGAACCTGCAGCAAGCAATTGAAGACATGATACCGAACGTGATCACTAAAGACTCTGGCCTGCCTAAGCTGCTTGTGTTACCACTATACGCAGCACTTTCTCAAGCACAACAACAGGCTATTTTCTCATCTGCTCCTCCAAACACACGCAAAGTAATTTTGGCGACCAACATTGCCGAAACCTCGATTACGGTACCTGGTGTTCGTTTCGTTATTGACAGTGGGAAGGCCAAAATCAAGCAATTCCGCAATCGTCTTGGCCTTGACTCACTTCTTGTCAAGGACATATCCAAGTCTTCCGCTATTCAACGTCAAGGTCGTGCAGGAAGAGAGGCAGCCGGAAAATGTTTCCGTCTGTACACAAAGTCAAACTTTGAGGCTCTAGAGAAGGACACCGTCCCAGAGATTCTGCGATGCGACTTGAGTTCGGCAGTGCTCACCATGAAGGCGAGAGGTGTTCATGATGTTATGGATTTCCCGCTTCTGACTCGTCCATCGAGAGAGGCAATGGAGCGTGCTTTATTGCAATTGCTCCAACTTGATGCTTTGAATCCTGAAGATGGAAACATAAGTGACCTGGGTCGTAAGATTGCAAGACTACCATTGACCCCAGCTCATGGAAGAACAATCATAGCAGCCGCCGATCCGGAGATGGGGTGTCTACTACCTGTGATCGACATTGTAGCCTGTTTCAACTCCGAAAACATTTTCCTCGAAGTTAAGGACCAAGATGCGAACGATGAGGCCAGAGAAGCACGCAACAAACTCTCGCGCCGCCAAGGAGATCATTTGACTCTTCTCAGCGCCGTACAAGCCTACGCTTCAGAACGAACCGACCGTAAGCAATGGGCCAAGCAACACCTGGTCTCGCACCGCTCTATGCAAAACGTTATGGATGTCCGCAAACAACTCCGCGCCCAATGCCAACAAGCCAAACTCCTCACGAAAGAACAACTCGCCACCGCCGACGATGATGATGACCTCAATACCATTTCAGAGTCCACTGGAAACAACATCTTGAAGTGTTTCCTGCGCGGATTTCCCGCCAATGTCGCCAGATTGGTGCCTGATGGCAGTTACAGAACAATCCACGGGCACATGGCTGTGGCCATTCATCCCAGCAGTGTCTTGTACGGCAGAAAGCTTGAAGCTATCTTGTACAATGAGTTTGTATATACCAACAGGACGTATGCTCGCAGTGTCAGTGCTATACAGATGAATTGGCTGGAGGAGGTATATGCGGCACCGGCATAAGAAAAGGTCGAAACACACTGTATACAGCAATTCAATAGCAAGCAAAACTTTCTATGACAAGTCTGTTCCCCTCCATTATCGTACTCCGGATATCGATGATGTACTTTCATCTATCATTTTGCGTTCCTAAAGCATGTATATGGCCGAGTAAAAAGAGACCGAGAGCACTTTAAAGCTCAAAATAAGCTTTCACGATCGGCAATGGGTTTCCTAAAGGGGGTGTCCGACAGCGCCGAAGCTTACTCCGAAAGCGGTCCCACTAACTTTTGCCGGGTCATCGGCTAGACCATTAGACATTGTTCAGGTAGTGAATCATCGTCGGTCTTCGTCGTTCATTCGTTTCGTCTGGTTGCTAGCATTGATGTTGTTATAGAACCCCAAAAGTGCACATAGTCTGTCCTGCCCAACATGCGTCAAGTCGGATCTGCTCTATGGCCGAGGCTTAGAGCTGTACAGGTCTACGGAGCCAATACTGGCGTAGGCAAGACAGTGGTTAGTACGTTGCTCTGCAAAGCTCTAAGGAAGAGATTGCCAGACTATAACGTACACTACTTGAAACCAATCTCGACTGGACCGCTCGACGAACAGGACCACAGGTAAGCCGTCTGTATACTTGGTCAAAGGTTAAATGCTGATCTGATTGTAGGCACATAACGCGATACTCTCAGGACATAACATCCAAAACACTACTTCAATTTGACGACCCTGTCAGCCCTCATATTGCCGCCAGGATATCCAAGGAGCCCGTCGACGACCAGAGCATCTTGACTCGTGTTTACGATGAATTGCTCAACTATGCTACCGGGAAGGATGCTGTAGCAGTTGTTGAGACTGCAGGTGGTGTACTCTCTCCAGCACCTTCTGGTAACGTGCAAGCAGATCTCTACCGACCTTTGAGACTACCCGCATTGCTTGTGGGCGACCATCGCCTAGGTGGAATTGGCTCTACCATCTCATCTTGGGAGTCACTCCATGTCCGTGGATACGATGTGAACTCTGTTCTGCTCTTCGAGGAATCGAGATACGACAACTACACCTATCTCAGAGATTACTTCGAGAAGAAAGGCATCTTGACTCTTTCTTTGCCACCACCTCCCGAGGTCAAATCTACTCAAGCAGAGGACGAGGAATCTATGAAACAATATTATGACTCAGCAAGCAGCTCATTCAGCCTGGAACAGTGCATTGACAATATGATCAGTACACATAACCAAAGACTGTCTAGTTTGCAGTCGCTGCCTAAGAGAGCCGATACCAGCATCTGGCATCCTTTCATGCAGCACACCGAAAGATCAGAGCAGAACATCCTCGCTATCGACTCAGCCTACGGTGACTATTTCCAAACTCACAACTCTTCCGGTTCTGGTTCGAAAGAGGGCAATCAACTCAAGCCTGCTTTTGATGGTTCAGCATCATGGTGGACACAGGGTCTGGGCCATGGAAATCCTGAACTGGCACTTACTGCTGCACATGCCGCTGGTCGTTACGGTCACGTAATGTTTGCCGGTGCTGCACACGAACCTGCCGTGTCACTCTCAGAGACGCTACTCAAGAACATTGGCAACCCGCGCCTGTCAAAAGTCTTCTTTAGCGACAATGGAAGCACTGGTATGGAGGTTGGTGTCAAGATGGCACTCAAGGCAGCTAGTAAGCGCTATGGTTGGTCTCCGGATGATGAGATCTTGATCCTCGGTCTCAAGGGCAGTTATCATGGTGACACCATCGGCACTATGGACTTGTCGGAGCCATCGACATACAACAAAAAAGTTGAATGGTACTCTGGCCGTGGCCATTGGTTTGACTTCCCACTCGTCAAGATGCGAGACGGCAAGTGGGTTGTCGAGCCTCCTGCAGGTATGGAGGAAGAGTTTGGCCCTGTTCGCTCCTTCTCCAGCCTGGACGAAATCTTTGCACTCTCTGATAGAAAGGCCGATGCAGAGCGTTACGAGTCTTACATCAAGACTTCTCTCGAAGCTTTGACTGCAGAAGGCAAGAAGTTCGGCGCTCTTATCATGGAGCCAGTCATCCTAGGTGCTGGTGGCATGCTCTTCAGCGATCCTCTCTTCCAGCACATGTTGGTCAAGGTTGCACGTGAGCAGTGTCCGGAGCTCTACGGTAAACCCGAAGCTACATCGGAGTCAGCGCTGGAATGGAAGGGCATTCCTGTTGTCTTTGACGAGGTCTTCACTGGCCTGTATCGTCTCGGCCGTTTCAGCAGTTCGACATTTGTCGATGTTCAGCCCGACATTTCTGTGCACGCCAAGCTGCTTACTGGCGGCTTGCTGCCCCTGTGTACCACTCTCGCCAGTGAGAGCATTTTCGAGGCTTTCTTGAGTCCTGAGAAGTCGGACGCTTTGCTTCATGGCCACAGCTACACCGCTCATGCCGTGGGCTGCGATATAGCCAGATACTCCCTCAAGACCATGCAGGAGATGGATGAAGGCGCTGCCTGGACTAACTTCAAGGCCGCCTGGAAACAAGAGGACGATGCCAAGCCGAGTCTCTGGAGCATGTGGTCGCAAGACTTTGTGCGTGACCTCTCGCTCAGATCCAATGTTGAGAGCGTGTTTGCTCTTGGCTCTGTGCTGGCAATCTCGCTCAAGGATCCTGCTGGTTCTGGGTACACCTCGACAGCCGCAACTGGTTTGAGGGACACCCTCCTTCATGACTCGTCGTCTGAGAACGCCATCCACTCGCGCGTCTTGGGCAATGTCTTGTATTTGATGGCCAGCATGACCACCTCGCCGGACACCATTGCAAGCATTCAGAGAAAGGTGCAGACTGCAATGAATTGAGGAGGTTCTTTGTATAAATCTATATTTTGCTGTAATATGTTATTACACTGAAACTCTAGGTATCCGCACACATGTAAAACAGATTTTTTAGAACAGTAGGAATTCATCAAGATCTAGAAAATGATCGAAGTATGTGTATGATCGAGCTCAATGTATTGAATGTCTAATCTTAACGTTCAACACCTTACGCCCTGCGATTTTGCGATCCTGTATATCTCGGTGCATATCCTGTCAACGTCGGTCTTCTTCAGCGGTACGCGGTGGGTGCCGTCCCACTCAATAAGTGTCACACTGTCAGGATGACAGTACTTTCTCAGCAGATCCCTGTGTAGATGTAGACCAGCATCATTAAGTCCATGTACATGTATCGTCGGTAGTTTGAGGATATGCTCATTGGACCCCTCATAGTTGAAGCCTTCGCTGATCTCGCCAGCGCCCAATGTAGCCGGTCCGACTGAGTACTCGGACAACTGCATCAACGGCTGCCTTCCAGCCAACAGCACTGCAAACTTGTAGTCTGTATCTGCGTGGCCTGTCTTCTCAACGCGCACTTGCTGATCGTACAGCAAACTCGCCGCAAGCTTAGCGCCCTGGCTGAAGCCCATCAAGCCCACCCAAGGTCCTGTACCAGGATCGCTGCTCTTGCAAGTGTCAATCGCATACATGACTTCCTCGATGGCAGTCTCGTCATCGATATCAGGGTGTTCAGGCAGCCAGCGCAGCCAGCGACGGAAAGGACCATAGTCTTCGTAGACGGATGCAATGCCGGGACCCGGAGCGCAGAAGAAGGGGCCATCTGCGAAGACGAGGCGGAAGGTAGGTAGGGCTTTGATGAGGCTGCGAGCTTGGAGTTGGAAGACTTCGGCTGTCACGCCGCCGCCGTGGAGGCAGAGGATGCGAGGAAGGGAGAGGTCGATGGGCTTTGGTGGTGTGGTAGCCATGGCGGATAAGTGTGCCTTCGAGTGGCTGTTTGTGTATGTATAAACCACGATAGACTCTTCGGTGGATTATATGGTCGCAGTACGTGTGCTCGGGGGATTAACAGTCGGGGGATAACCAAGGTGTCGAGATGTGGACTGTAAGGTGAGCAAAGAGAGAATGGCAGCAGATAATACTAGACCTGTAACATCTTATCCTTGGCCAGACAACGCGACCTGCGTATCGATCGGATGCATGTGTTTCATTGCTCACATCATCTACCCGAACCGGCTCTCCATGTCCCTTACCGCTCTTGCCCAATCCCGGCACTCCAGCACGCTGCCCGATTTAGAATATTTCCGACAGCCAGCGATCGTGCCTTCGGAGACTTTGCACTTGACGTGCCAATTGGTAAGTGCGAGGTCCTTACATGTTGCACGGCTTGTACTCGAGAAGGAGAGAAACTCAAGTCGCTGAGGTGTAACGATGATTTTGAGCTCGGACCTTTTGACTCTACCATCTTCATGCCCCATCCTCTCTTCTATCCTCTACGATCGCAAACATAATATGCATATATCTTTCAGAACTTTTCAAGTGTCCCACGTCAATCGCTCAATCGATGACATCGTCCCTCAGCTCGAATAATTGCCTGATGACCTCGTCTGCCTTGCTACGAATGGCATTGTGGTACATGACATTGGTCGTGAAAGTCTTACATCCCTTGATCTTCTCCGCCGTCTCACGAGAGTAGTCATAGTCGACATACATCTGTGATTGATAGCGTCAGTCTGCGTCTTAGTTAATCTCACTAACTCAAAAACTCACATCTTCTCGGTACACGGCTGCGTATACAGGAACCTCGTTCTTGCTGAGTTGCTCTTCGTCAAACAATGCTGGCCAGTCGGAGTCTGCAGCTACTCGATTGGCGACGTCTTGAATCTTGCGAAGCTCGCTGTAATCCTCGAACATCCAGCTAAAAATCTGTGCTGTGTCAGCCAGTCTCGAAACTCATCAACGAGTCTCTGAACATACCATCTCTCCTGTGAAGTAAACAGGTCCCTCCGAAGTAATTTCGAACTCTGGGAACTCGTTGCGCATTCGCTCAGCAGACCAGTTGGGTGCTTTGCTACCACATTGTTAACAAAGTGCAGAATTAGTAGACATGTTGTACTTACCCTTCGCAGTAGATCTGCTCGTGCAAGATAGCATATATGACTCCTTCATCAAAGGATGTGAGTGCGTCGATGGCAGAGAGTGTACCTCTAGTCAAGTGGCCGAAAGCCTCGATATCGTAGGCCGCACGCAGCACAGCTTCGTGCACGCTATCAATGCCTCCATGCATTCCAAATATGAGGCCCATCTGCTGGAAGCGTCTTGCAGTCAGGTTGCCCCCAGTTGGCAACTTGATAACGCCGTCACCAAAGCGCTGCAAGTATTTCACGATCGTCTTGACCCTGTCAACATCCTCAGGGTATTTCTTGTAGTAGTCCTGGTTTCGTCTGGCCACTCTTTTGTAGAGCGCCCTGTAGACTGGGTCGGGCTGCTTGACAAGCGGTTGAAGACCACCATAGATGAAAGCTTCGCGCAGTCCCTGTGGGTAGAATGAGAGATACGTGATGCTACAGAATCCGCCAAAGCTTTGTCCCATGATGCTCCACTTCTGCTTCTCAGGTGGGTAATCTGCAGTCAAAGATTGTCGAATGGCCTCGCAGTCTCGCACAATACTGTCAGCGCGGAAGAGCTTAAGATATTTGGCTTGCACATCATTCTCCCCACGCAAGCCCAGTGTACTAGGAGTGATTGGCGTGCTGAGACCAGTGCCTCTCTGATCGAGGTAGAGCATTTGGTAGCCTTTGTCCAGGATAGTCCAAGTAAAAGGATAAGCACTGGGGTGTCGACAAGGGCCTCCAGGACCACCGTTCAAGAAAACCATCCACGGCAATTGACTCTTCTTTCCATCATGGTCGCTGGGATCTGCAGGAGATTCATGCTTTCTGACACTACGAGCAAAGATACGAATGGTTCCAGAGTCCGGCTTTGAATAGTCCTTGGGCACGTCGAAGAAGTGCTCAGTGACTCTCAGCTTACCTGTAGTGAATCAAAGTGTCAACACTTATCGTCCATGGATAAACACCTTGCAAATGGAATATGTAGAGAAGGCTCAGATGATTTGTTTGATCGTACCAGGTATCTGATGAGTTCTCTGTTCTACTATCTTCGCCGCAGCAACTTTGATCGAGGTAGCCATCTTGTGCTGGCTGTGTAGGCAGACAGCGAAAGGAGGGGTCAACGGTTGAGTTGATGATAGACGATTGATGAGCCCCGCAGCAATGGCGCCCTGGCTAGTTCATGCCTGTGTATTGTAGTGCAACCTTCCCTGAGAAAGATAGACAACGCTGTACAGAAAAACTTATCCAGTGATATGGACTTGATCAGAACATATTCGCGTGAATTTCACCGACCTATCTCCTGTGATCTACTCCGTATTGATCCCCCCAATGCTCAAGCATGATGGAGGGGAGGGGGTCTGTTTACAGGTGCGTGGATACCCACGTGAGCTCGGAGTCTGCTACGCCGACAATCTCCACCGCCAGCAAGATTTGTCTATCAGAGATATATTTACAGCTTGTACGAAAGCACCTAAATTATTTATCAAGACATCAAATTTCCTAGACAGCAATGGCTAAGAAGGACAAGGCCAAGAAAGAAGCTAAGAAGGCTCGAGTTGCAGCCAAACAGGAAAAGGTTGCCAAAAAGTCTGAAAAGAAGGCCAAGAACAAAAAGGATGCCGACGACAGCGATGTTGAAGATGCCGATCTGGACGCAATTCTGGCAGAATACGCAAAGAAGCAAGAACAATTCCTAAAGGTCACCGAAGAAACTGTTTCTGGCCCATCACCAAGAAGTGCTTCCACCTTCATCGCCTCTCCTTCAGACAGCAGAGAACTTTTCCTGTTTGGAGGCGAACACTACAATGGAGCCATCGCAAACTTCTACAACGATCTGTACATCTACAGAATCAACTCGGATGAATGGCGCAAGGTAACAAGTCCTAATTCGCCCTTGCCTCGCAGTGGCCATGCTATGTGCAGAGGCGGCAACACTGGTGGCATCTACATGTTTGGTGGAGAGTTCAGTTCGCCAAAACAGGGCACTTTCTATCATTACAACGATTTCTGGAACTTAGACCCATCAACCAGGGAGTGGACCAAGATTGAGACTAAGGGGCCGTCTCCAACCGCCCGAAGTGGTCATCGTATGGTGGCCTTCAAACGCTACATCATCCTTTTCGGAGGATTCCAAGATACGTCTCAACAGACCAAATATCTGAACGATCTCTATATTTATGACTGCCAAACATTCCAATGGCATGTTCCGGCCCTGCCACCAGCAGCTATGCGTCCTGATCCCAGATCATCCTTCTCCTTCCTGCCTCATGAGACTGGAGCGATCCTGTACGGTGGATACTCCAGAATCAAGACTTCGACCTCAGCTGGAAAATCGAAAGGAGGCAGACAGGCTTCCCGTGTTATCATGAAGCCTATGGTGCATCAAGATACATGGTTCTTGCGTATCACACCACCTCCTGCAGAAGCTCCTATGAACACCTTGCCAACTGTTCGTTGGGAAAAGAGAAAGAAGCCAGTCAACTCACCCAACCCAGCTCGCGCTGGCGCAACTATGGTGCATCACAAGGGAAGAGGTATTGCATTCGGTGGTGTACATGATGTCGAGGAGGACGAAGAAGGTATTGACAGCGAGTTCTTCAATCAACTACTGGCTTTCAACATCGATCGTAATCGTTTCTTCCAACTGAGTCTCAGGAAACCCCGTGCTCAGCCAGCAAAGAAGCAAGGCGGTGGCAACGAGCGTGGTGGCAGACGTGGAAGAGGAAAAGCAGATGAAGAAGAGCTGTTGCGCAATCTTGCACTTATTGAAGGCAAGGGTTCCTTGGATGATGGTGAGCTCCCTATCAAGCGCGGTGACGACTCCGATGATGAGGATGTCAAGATCGAGAAACCTGTGCAATACGAGATGCCCCATCCCCGATTCAACGCTCAACTCGCAGTACAAGACGATACTCTTTACATCTATGGTGGTACCTTTGAGAAGGGCGATCGCGAATTTACCTTTGATGAGATGCACAGTATCGATCTCGGCAAGCTTGATGGTGCCAAGGAGATCTTCCGTCGCGAGCTCGAAGACTGGCAGGGCAGTGAGGACGAGGACAGCGAAGATGAAGATGAGGACGAGGATGACGAGGAAGATGAGAGTGAAGGCGAAGGTGAAACCGCTGGCACTTCAACCCCTGCAACTTCTGTCGCACCCGAAGAGATTGCCAAGCCCGAAGATGTGGCCAAAAAGCAAGCAGCAGAAGACGAAGAGCCAGAAGATGAAGCTGCTACTGAAAAGTCTGATGGTCTTCCTGGCCCGCGTCCCTTCGAGTCTCTGCGTGAGTTCTTCTCTCGCACAAATCATCAGTGGCAAGACATTATTCTGGAAGAGCACAAGTTCAAGCACGCGACTCAGATCACCGAGAGATCAGTCAAGGAAATCCGCAAGAGCGCATTCGAGCGTGCTGAGCAGAAATGGTGGGATGTCAGAGAAGAGATGCAAGTATTGGAAGACGAGCAAGAGGCTGCCGGCATTGGCGAGGTTGTTGCTCTCGAGTCCCGCGGTGAAGGTAGTGGTGGTGGCGGTGCTGGCAGGAGAAGATAGTTGGATACACACACGCAACTTGAACATGAAACACAAAGAGTGTGGCAGCACAAACAATTCGAAGAATGTGTTGACATTCAGCTTATGTATGTTAATTCGACTAAAGAGCGTGGTAGAAAACAACCTTGCAAAAGCCACAACAAACAGATTTCTTCGTACTTTGCTTACTTCTCGAAGAGAAACCCCTCCAAAACGCAGCGGCCACCTAACAACATCTTGAGATGTTCATTCCACGGCGCTCTGCCATCATAGGTGATATTAACATCTACTTGGTTTGGACATAGATGTCAGAGCTACCACTGCTCTGGTAGCCCTCGGTAGCCACAATTTGATAGTAGTGCTGACCGAGGTTGAGTCCAAATCTGGCCCAGGCGTTGAAGTGGTTCTGCATGGTGACGGTGCCACCGACACGCTTGCCCTGGCGAACGGACCAGTATTGCTGGAAGGTGCGTGTACCATCGATGGAAGGCTGGTTCTAAAGGTAAAGGTACAATTAGCATGTTCCTGACGTGAGAACGGCACATCAGCAGTCAAGAAGCCATCTGGTGGCTGTTGATTTGCACTATTTGTACCCTTGCCTTACTTACGGTGCGGGTAGATACGTAAACGTTGTAGTTACCGCCGTCAGTGGAGAACGAGCCCTTGTATTGAGCACCGCTGCTGGGGTCATAGGTGCCAAAGGACTCGATGACATAGTACTCGACCAGGGGCGATCTGGTCCAACCATAGACAGCAAGGTAGCCGTTGCCCTGAGGGTTGAAGCTTCCACCATAGTTGATGGTGCTATGAGCATCGTCAGAATACTTCAATTCAGGCAAATCAATGATTCTTGGTGACTTACCGGCCAGTGCCAGGGTTCCAGCCCTTTCCACCGACAAAGTTGCCAGTGTTCTGCCACTGGACAGAGTAACGTGAGCCTTCACCAAGGGTGAACTGGGCATTGCCACCGCCATCAGTCCACCAAGAGTAGAAGTAACCATTGTGGGTGCCCTCAGCGCTAGGAGTTCCTGCACGCTTGGAAAGGAGAGTCGAGTTGCCGTCATCAACGTCCTCGGTGAGGAAGTCGAAGGGTGCTGCCAGTGCCGCAGTAGCAGCCATCAAGGCACAGAAGAAGGATTTGAAAGAGACCATATTGATGAAGACCAGCCTTGGTATCAGAAGAGTGTTTGCTGAGTTGTATGAGAGTCCATTTTCATGGCGAGTCTGTCCTAATTTATAGGTTCTCTTTCTGTCTCATCGCTCTCTACCTGACCTCACAAGCTCTACCCACATCGATTGAGCCTAAACGAAATACTGTACACCAACCACTCGCTGATCAACGTTGGACGTGGTGTTGGTTCCTTGTATCTCGCCTATGCACAAGATGGAGTAGATTCTGTTCTATTTCTCTTGGTATTCTTGGCTCGACAAGCAATGTGAAGGGCATGCCAATGCTATCTTGTATACCCGCGTACGGCCGCACGCCGGCTAAAGCAATTAGTACCTGCCAAGGTTAGGCTTGACACGAGAGGGGTATTCTTATTAGTGATCACAAGAACCCAGATCAACATAGTGGTTTGCCCGTGGAATTGCAGAGAAGGAAAGAGAGAAGCTTGTCGATGTAGGAAACATGGAGACAGCCTTGTCGCCAAGCAGACTATTGTATCAGAATAGGCGAGCTACAGAGCCCCCTCCTCGTCGAGAACCTGTTTACATAGCTAGTCCAACGTAGTGTGCTGTAAAAGGTAATACCACGAGAAGTCCTATCGTCACGGCGTGACTTGTGGTCTCTGAGCTTTAGGAAGTTCAGGCTGTTCGGAAGTACAGATGAGTATCCTCCTCACCAGAACGACGCGGTTGTTCGTAGCGACAACATCCTCAAGCTGCTGATCACATACAGTGTTACAGATGGCGCCGAAATTGCGTGACAAACAGCCGCAAGCCATCACGCACGCGTCCCATGTCACAAAGAAATATTTCGGGATATGTTGCCAGGAGTCGGTCGTCATGGATAACTGGCTTGGCTGAAGCCATGGATCATGCTGAAGTGTCCAAGTTCATTTTAGGGAGTAGATCTGCACTGGGCAAATCTATGTTCAGCGCGAGCAGCGAGTTGAGGTGTGAAGTAGCGAGGAAGATCCGGCAGAATACCCACCGCCTTCTCAGCGACGTAGATCTGATTGATAAGATCGTGAGCCCTATATCTAGTGAATCTCGGCTGCTCCTTCCTCCTCTCGCTTCTGACAGTCTCGACTCTCGAAGTGCAAGCAACATATTCAAGACTTGGTGAGCTTTGAGTTATTCGTCTCGATAATGAAGTCTATGAAAGCCATCAAGCGTAAAGGCACATCCATCTAGTGTCTAGATGTCGCATTGTATCGGTAACCTGTCGCGCGCTTCGTGCTGAATAATGACTCGCTTGTCAAAAGATCACCCAACAGGACTTGGACTTTCGCTTGAGCCTGGCACAGAGCGTTGTCTGTGGGCTCTGTAAACAGTCTGCTCCACTTGGTGGCTGACTAGTGGTCACCATCATCATTCGAACCCCTCCAGGGCCGACCGAGAATAGCCTGGCTACAATGCCTGTTGAATGTATTTTCTGACTCCCATGGCGGCTAAATCCATTTGTTGTGATTCACGTCTTCTATAGCTTGGCATCATCAGAGTCACACCTAGCTATGAGTGGAGATGGATGTAGGGGATGGGTCGAGGCCTAGAAGACCCTCATCTGCCTCGTCTGCATTCACGATGACTGATTGGGATAGATCAAACTAACCACTATGCCCATGTAAGGTTGGCAACGAAGCGTGGTACACCACAATGATATCAACACATCGATGGGGGCGTCCATTATTATGGGTACCTCCGATACAACTGTATTTCCTCGAGCGAAAAGCACACTGCCGCTTCCTCTCAGGGTGGAACGCACAAAAGTACACGATGAACAGCAGGAAGGAACGATTGAGAGAACCTATCAGATGCGAATTCGTCGATCCAGCAGTCTATCGTATTGTTACACTCTCTGTATGTCCTTTACAGGTGATATCAAATCTCCATCTTGGCTGACAGTCCTGTTTTCCCCATCCTCATGGTCTTTCATCTCTCGTACAGGGTTCTCTCCATCTTCACCGCCCAACATCTCGATACCTTTCTCCAGTACATGACCTTCGTTGACTCGTTCCTGCTGCTTTTCGCCCTTTTCCGGGTCTCGGACAATGTTACTGTTGGCTTCAATGGCTCCCATTGTTTGCTTTTCCTCCGCCTTTCCATCAGCACTCTGAGCACTTTTCTTGTAGACACTCCAACCTCCTCCCCAGCCAAACCATCCTTCCGCCCATGGACCGCGTGCAAAGCAACAGATTAATGCGGCACCGATACTGGCAACACTGTAGCTGCCCGACACGACCCATCCGCCTCGTGCGTATAGGTGGCTTCCAGCAGCGGTACCGACAAGCTGGCCACAGAACGTTGCAACCATAAAGGCTGTGTTGACACGGTTGCGTGCTTTGGGTGCGATGCTGTAGATTGCACTTCTGTTGGCAATCTGTGCTGTCTGCAAGCCAAAGTCGTTGAGAAAGGCTTGAATGACTGGTCCTGCAATCGTGATGCGGCCAGTATAGGTTCCAATGCAGATACCTAACATACACCAACATTCGCCTAGAATAACAGAAAACAGAGGCACGAAGCGATCAATGACATATTTCGCCCAAAGAGGCCCTATCAACATACTCGCAATTCCGATGAGAGCAAACAGACCGATGGTCAAAGAGTCGTAGTGGTAAGGTGCGCCCGCAAGGAGGAAAGTCAATGTCGTCCAGAAACAGGTGAAAGTTGCAGCTGTGAAAAAGGTGATAAAGCAGGCCTGCACCAGTACTGGCTCTTTAAAGAGCATCTCGAGAATCGAACAGAGAATTTTGAAGTAGTTGATGCCGTCAGGGTTGGTCGAGGGATAATCTGGCATGAAGAACCAGAGCAAGACGAAGATGACATATTGGAGTCCTAGAGCCAGCCAATAGATATTGCGCCATGCTGTTCGAGTGTGGTCAGCTTGATTATCGGTCAAGTTACAGAACTTGACTTACAGGTAAAATTAGTAAGTACACCAGACAAGAGTCTAGCTATCAGCATGCCTAGCAAGAGACCTGACGTGACAATTGAAAGAGATGCTGCTCTCTTGCTGGGAGGTGCAAGATCTCCAACCAAAGGTAGCATGAGCTGTGGTGTAACAGTAGTGACAGCAGTGATGAAAGAGATGGCAGTAAAGACAGCCAGGTTACTTGTTACGCAAACACCAATCCTAGACATGCCAACATCAGCAACATCGACTTGTCAACAATCTCATTAACACGTACCACATGGTTGCAGTAAAGAATACGAGTGACAGGACAAATGGTCTCCGCGGTAAGAGGTCGCCCAATGGACACAAGAACAAGAGGCCAGCTGCGTAGCCTGCCTGCATAACAGTAGGAATTTGTGAGGCCCTCTCGTAAGGCACATTAAATTCATCCGCTAAGATGTTGAGGATAGGATGACTGTAGTAGAGATTGGCGACTGTAAAAGCACCAGCGAAGCCGAACAGTACGTTCAAGGCCATGCTGAAGGCTGGAGGCTTCTCTGGGTCCCAGCGACATCGCGGTGGTGTGTACGTTATGACATTGTAAATGCGCCTCCATATTGTGTTCTTCTCTGTATCCTTCTCTTGTGTCCCTTGACCTTCCGAACCTGAAGAGTATCCTTGGTCCAGTGATAGGTTCGACGGCGAGCTGTGCTTTACATCCTCTGCCGCCATTCTACCTGTTCCGCCGCGCTGCAAGCGACTTCCGGCTACGATGACAAAGGGACGCAGATTGTTGCTCTAGAATGGAAAGGAGAAGAAATATCATTGACACGGGTAGCACGACGTCTATGTACCTAGTAGAGTATGCATGCCATCACTTGTCCACCAGCCGCATTTCCGATGAGATCTTTCAAAATCCGTCCAGTGTTGATCCTCGTTCGGCCCTCCGCCTCCGCATTTGACATAGATAAAGGCTTCAACCTTGTGAGACTCGTCTTGCAAAGGCATCCAGAATGTCTGATCGATACAAACGTGCTCAGCGAGACTATTCGACACCTTTAGCTGATCATTTCTGTAATGTTCTCCGCTTGCTGATGGTGCTGGAAAAAGTAGGTACGCTGCGAGAGTGATACAACATGCGAAGCGGCTGCCGGTCAGAAAACCGCAAATACTGAGGTTTCGCACGAGGTGAGGTTGAGACGAAGTGAGCCCGAGCGCCGAAATTTGGCCCGAAACAGCTAGCTTTGGGCTCGTGCAGGACGCCAGCACGACGCCATGCCAAAACTAGCCATCCACGTAATTTTCGCTATCAAGTTGGAAAAAGTTTCTCACCAGCCACCCCAAGCACAAAACGTATGGCTCTCATGCCCTAGCTAGGCAAAAGAAGATGATGGTCAGTACGGGGGTCGAACCCGCGACCTTGGCGTGCCATTATCATGGGTGGATATCCACCGGATATTAGCACCACGCTCTAACCAACTGAGCTAACCGACCTGTTCATGTCGACAAACCTTTTTGGTTATACATAAGTACCTCAAAACATCATGGTAGCACGTGTGTGCAACCTGACACCACGTACGAAAATAACGTATCTGAGCAGATAATGATATCAGACCAACAGGAGTAGTCAGAATGACTCAGTAGATCAAGGAGACATGACTTTGCATCAATCCGATGCACGACCTCAAGAATGAGTTGCGTTGAGTTTTATAGATTGGAGTTTGAAAGCCCGACTAGATCAGAACGTGATATTCCAACAGGCATATCATTACTTGTTTTGCTGGAGCTCACAGTATACGACGCAGTCACATGGTAGTCTCCACTGACTTCTGCTAGGGATATCATATGTCTTCTAATGGTATAGAAGGACTTGATTGCTCGTAATTGTGATGCCGAGGATATAACCCTGACCGTGGGTACCAGATAACCAAGATGTCAAAAGGGTGAGACACAACCATGTCTTGAATGCTCGGACGCTTGCAAGAGTATAATCACTAGAAGTCGTGACCTGCATAGATATATCCTTGCCCTATCAATGGTATTCCACGCATCCGGTAGTGTAAGACATTTGGGAGCGCGATCAGGAGGTTGAAGAAGAGACTTTCCATCGAACCAGGGGATTGAAGAAGGATCAATACGTACTGCCTGCTATCGACTCACCGAATATCCCGCCGGGCCCAACGTCTGGTATGGCTGGCGGTGGAAGGATCAATAAATTATGCGTATTTGCATGTGCAGGAACGGATTGTTGGCTAGCCTTCCCCACCAAACCTGACTGTTGTCGCAAGAACATGTTCATACGCAAAGTCGGGTCCTCGGTCGACAACCCGAGCCTATTACTTGATTACTATTCAATAGAGGCAGTCGTCAGCAGATAGTAGGGTCGACAAAAAGAATCCAGACCGTTCAAAGACGATCTCGAACTATCCGCTGGGGTTCCGGCTCTGAGACAAGCTAGATCTCGCCGGCAACGGTGAAGGAAGCCAGACCAGTGACACAGTACGAGGAACAGCAGGTTTAACCATGAAGTATCAGAGCTTGAGAATAAACACAAAGCTTCGTGATTTGTTTGCACTGTATCTATATGTGCATGGTCAGAAAAAGTGCAATATACAGCACAGCCGTTGAACCCGTTGGGTGTCATTATGAGCTTTGGGTCCCGTATACGGCAACGCCGACACACTTGGTGGAGCATTCACCGCATCGAGTTAGATCTGCGACGGCATCTATAACGTATTCACGATTTTGTCCGATCCTTGGTAAAGTCGCCGACCGTTGGTCAATACAAACGTTGGCGAACACGTCTTTTTGCTTATAGCGAAAGAACGCCTCGCCGACGGATACCATCTGGGGGCGTAGCTTGATTACAATATATACAGACGCTGCCTTGCTCTGGGGACAGAGCTGATGACATCTTCCCCAAACGCATGAATGATCAACTGACCATAAACATAACGACCGACTTACTTCTTTGAAATCGTCACGTCAAGCCTTTCTCACCATCTGAATGACAACCGCCACTGCCACGCGGGCTCGCTGTGAACAAGCAATGTTCGATTCGCCTGTGATGGAGAGCGTGGATGTACACACCGCCATACTACAAGAAGTGGCCAAGAAGCACGCCGACCTGATTGATGGCATGAAGGCACTGTATGCCACCTTGATCAAGATGCGTTACCTTCGTGAAGATGAGGTCATCTATCCTCCCTACGGAGTGGCCGGGAAGCCTGCGGTAGCTGTCGAACAACTAAGAGCTGCCGGATTCGTGCCCGAAGTAATCGCTCTTATGGAACTACTACCCTACCCATCAAATGAGGCGCTGGAATACTGGTCAGAGCAAGAGGAGGGTATACCAATTGCACCGGATAGTGGCGCCATGTCATATCTCGCAGGACACGAATGGGACGGCACGATAGCAACATCCAGACAACCACTACGGGGTGGTGAGACTGGTTTACCGGCATGGGCCTTCAAGATCACGTTTTGTGGCGAAAACTGGGGCACGGAGTACTTGTACGACACAAGAGATAGTAAGTCGAAAATTGCACAGGTCGAAAGCGATCTTGTAATATCAGGTAGCTAACAGCTGCTCACAGAGAGAATGAGACGATGGGCCTCGAAGAGTGAAAGTACAGAATACGAACATCAGCCCAATCGAGCAACAGAACAATCCTGGCATCTTCTGCGAAACGAGCTCCTCAGTCTGGACTGGATTCCATGGCGCGACGAGGGCGAATGCTACCAGAGCCTCAATATACATGCACGACCAAGCCTGCTTTCTGGTGTAGGCGCAACAAACCGTTACGAGGAATACGATGGCGAGACAGAAATGCTGCACAGTGAGCATTCGAGATTGAAACGGCACGTCGAGGCCGCGCGAACGAAAATTCCTGCATTAAACGCTGCTTTAAAAGCACGTCAACAACGACAAGGTTCTTTGAGTACCGAGGAACTCAAGCAGCTGGCGACTGAGCACAAAATCTCGATACAGCACTCTCCGACCCGACAGGTGCAGCCAGAAGGTTGGGGCATAGGAATGGTATTGGACGGCGTGGAGCGGAATGCGCCAGACAATAAGGCTCTGCGACAGAAGATTTTGTCTATGCGACACGCCAGCGCTCAGCAACTGCGCAACACAGCAATGGAGTATGGATGCCCTATTCCAGAGGTACCAGCGCCACCTCCTGCACCACCACTCGAAGTGGACATCAAGGTGGAAGTGGCAAAGGCCGTGCAGAACATGTTCACTGTCAAGCGTCAAATGTTCAAGGAGTGTGGGTGGGAGGAGAGGTTCGACTATGAAATGTTCGAGGCAAGGCGGGACGACTTGTTAAATGAGTACCATGCTTTCTTCTCGCTACTTGGCCCCAGGGGACAGAACGTCCATGATCCTGTCGAGGGTGTGTGGTTGAGAGACTGGTTCAGACAGAAGGCTGGCGAGAAAGCTGTTTAATTAATTGAGATATGATATCCACGAGAGAAATGAACAAGATTTAATGCGCGAGGTTCCTGCCTAGAGGCTGAATTGTTTTGATTCGTGTAGTCGTTTACTCGTAAAGATGGTGGCTGGAGATATAGATAGTACGACCATCAAGGTCATGATTACAGCCCGAGTCCATCTTCGTTCTTGTTTTGTGTTATGTCTCGGTAGCAGGGCCAGATCAGAATCTGATAGCCAATCAAGGATCGGTGTGCGGTGTTATATCTGTCCAAGCGGACGCTTCTCGGGAGCATGGTCGTCTTTTTCTATGCCTGTGGCCGTAGAGTGCATGGGTACTTTCGGCGCATCACGCTTCTGACCACTGGGTCTTTCTGTCAGGCTGGGAGCTCGCGGTCGTCTTTTCCCTTGGGCTTTACCGCCAATGATGGGGATGTGGTAGGCGCAGGAGCGGTATACGTAGAAGAGGATATCGTAGACAAGGAGAAGAGCCCATGGGCCCATTGTAACAATGCCCAACAACAGCTAGACAGAGATTGGTTAGTCCACATGTTCCCATGTCAAGAAGAAAGGAGAGAGGTACAAAGATGCTCGAGATCCAGCCTTCAATGTCGCTCAAGTGCGTGGGCAGTAGCGAGTACCAGCCCATGGTTGTGTGAATGGCAAGGATGAAGCCTGTCCTTGGCTGCGACGGGTAACCGGAATACGAATTGAGATGTCCCGACTCAAGTACGTTCAATGAGACTCGTCAAGTATAAGAAGCAGTTGAGGCTGACAGATTGGTTGATCTCGAGAGCCGCATGCAACATGGTTCAACGTAACTGTCGTCGGTAGCGAAGGTGTCGCCAAGGCTTCGTCATCCTCGAGATGCCATGATCGAGGGGTCGGTCGACACCTGCGTTACCTCGAGACTCTGGACAGTCATCTGTATCAGGCTGTCCAGAACCAATCTTCCAAAGAATTCGACCAGTTCAGATCTACAGTGGCTTGACAAGATCTCGCACAATCCTGGTCATTGAGCCGCAACTCTGTCAGGTCCGCCACCGCGACCGGCGCTGCAAACACTACCGCTAACCATAATCTCCTCCATCGACCCAGTCGACTTGCCAATAAGACAAGACTACAGAAAATCTGACTGATACACAGCCGTGCTGCCTGTTGTGAATAGCTTAGTCGAACAAGGAAGACAAGCTCATTGGATAGCCTGAGCCGTAGCCGATCACATGCACTACCCTGACGGCTGCCTAGCTGCCACACCCGCAATAGGTAGGAAGGATTGGGGCGTTACTCACAATCTACAGCTCTTTCTGTTTCTGCTTTCTGTTTCTTCTTTATATACCTTCGTTTCTCTCTTTCAACATGAAACCTTTTATGCTGCAGTCCATTCACAAGACTATGCCTGGCTCACCTACTAGAGAGTTCCTGCGTCAATTGACCAGCGCAGACGCTCTCCTTGAGCTGGACGCTAGGCTCCAAGTATGGAAAGATGAGGATCCTTTCAACGAGGATCCACAATTTCCCTCCCCACCCGACACCCAACCGCAACCTTCGAGGGTCGCCAGAAGTGATTTTGACTGGAACAGCTATGCAGACTCTCTCGAACGCTCTCGACGACGACGCCTTGCAAAGCAATCAGCACCGCCTGCTTCTGTAAGGGACTACCAGTCAGCCATTCTCGGTCATCATGAGGCAGGCCTGCGAGACAACGATCCATATTCTCGGGAAAACGTACTTGCTCGAGAACGCATGGAAGACCAACGATATAATGCGTTGGCGGACAACATACGTCTTACCCACTCCTCACGCCAACGCCTAGGGGAATCGTTGGACCGAATCCCAGAATCTCAGGACTTTCCTGTGCTAAGAAATCGCTTTGAAGACGAGGAAGATGAGACCGAAGCCGAAGGATCACAAGCACAGTCCGCGCGTGAACGTGCAGGATTACCAGACCGCTTTGTACGACAGCAAGATTATGGTATCCCAGATGCAGCAGATAGCTACGTTTCAGACCCACCATTGCCTGCTGTGCAGAAAGACAAGGAAGCACAAACAATGGACGACATGGCTTTTCTGGCTCAGTGTGCCGAGGGTGGCAATGCTACTCTCACCATAAGAGATACTCAGACACAAGAGACCAGGGTGCTCAAGAATCTGGATCTCGCCACGATAGAATTGGTAGCGCCAGTGCTGGCTTTCAGTTTCGAAGAATCCAGGAGCGGACCAAAATATACAATCGAAGATGTGTCACCGACAGCAGTTATAAGCATGCTTAGACACATCTACACATGTGAGAATTACGTTCCGGATGACTGCCTCCACGAGCAGATGTCTGCTCTACTACACATAGAAATCTTCCACCTGGCGTCGACCTACGATATCAGTAGCTTGAAGACTATGGTCAAAGCCCGTATGTTCCTCGAGCTAGAGCTCTCAACCAGTTATCCTGGCCCGCCAAAAGACTTGTGCAAAGCGCTTGCATACGCTTACGAGCACCTGCCAAACGAAAACGACATCACAAAAACGCTGGCGCACTACTGCATCACTTGCTTCTTGCAACACCGACTCAACGAAGACGAACTGTTTACGACTTTTCATTACAATTGCCGTCCCTTCCAGCGTGATCTGGTTCTCATTCTACGCGAAAACAGCTTCGAGGACGATTGCGCCCCTAGCCTGATACAGCTCCCCGTCAAAACCTCCGACATCCCCACACGCTGGCCCGCCGTCTTGGATGCGGATCCGCAAGGTAGCTTTTTGGAAGACGAGTTCGACAATGAAGTCAGACGCCGCACCAACATATCCCAGCTGGACAAGCTGAGAATTCACTTCCGCATTGCGCTACCAGTGAGATAGAAAGTAGGGGAAGAAAATCTTTTGGATAAAAACGATGCAAAAGAAGGAAAAAGGCATGAAGGACGTGACGTTTTCTTCCGCTTAAGCTTGCTGTCTTCTGCGCTTGCCGATCTGGGCTGAGAAACCAGTCTTGATGGCAGAGACGGAACGTCTGGAACCGCAAGAGTTGCAGGTGACGAAGTAAAGACGGTTCTCACCCTTGTTGAGCTCTGTGTCTGGCGAGCGGCAGGTCTTGCAAGTAACGTACTCGACTGTTTGGGTTTGGTTAGCTTCTTGGATGGGATTCCTTTTTGTTGTAGATAACAGAAATGCACAAAAACGATGAGCAGCAAGGAAATAAAAGAGAACGTACCAATATATCTTCTCAGAACGTTCTCCAACTGCTTCTGCTGGAAACGACCCTTGATAACAAGTTGACCCTGACCAGCGACCGAACCAGAAGTACCCAATTCAGAGAACAGGAACTGAGTGACGTGCTCATCGGTTCTCTTCATACGGCGACAGATTTCGGAAATGTTTGCGAAAATGGTCTTCTTGTTTCCTTCACGCAAGCACTGAGGAGGAGGAATCTTGTACGACTTGCCGCCGCTAGAGGCAAGGTCGGGGTTGTGGTGGTTGAGCTGGGAGAAAAAGCGGGTGAGCAACAGAGGGTACTCGATGGGTGTGGTGTTGCTGTGCTGCCAGATGCCAGTTCCCTTTTCCAGATCGCCCTCCTGGTTGGTGGATGATTTTGCGACGGGCTCGTCCTCGTTGGCCTCCTCGTTAGCACCAGCCTCGGCCAGCTTGGCCTCAAAGTCGTCGGCCTCAGCCTTCTTTGCCTTCTTCTTCTTTTTCTTGAGGGCCGAGGGGTCGAACTCGGCGTCGGCGGCAGGAGCCTCTGCATCGTCGGTGGACTTCTCCTTCTTGGATGACGACTTCTTCTTCTTCTTGGCAAGGCCCTCGAACATGGCGGTCATCTCGTCGACTCCTTCTGTTGGTGGTGCGGGTGGTGAGCTGGTGTCCTCATCTTGTGCGTGTGTGGCTGCGGGGAGCTTCTTGATCGTACCAGCAGAGTGAGTCTCGGCGCTCGACTTGTCGCCATGTTGCTCGGTGGCCTCGGTGACCTGGCCGTTGCTGTCGACGATGGTGGTGCCCTCGCTAAAGGCGACAGACTTGCGCGGCTTGCGCTCTTCCTATATTCGATTGCAGTCAGTCACTGATATTCACTCTTTTCCTGAGCGCGCGTGTCCGGATGTACTGACAATATCAGCCATGATTGCGGTGTCTGTGTGATCCAAAGAATGCGTTTCGTGTAGTGTAGAGGCGGTAAATGGCCAGACAAAGGATGTGGTTGTCTCGCTGACTCAAAAGTTGCTGCTGCAGGCCACAAACGAATGACGCCGCCCAAATCTGGTCTTGGCACTGCAAGAAATAAATAATTGGTAACAAAAAGAGCCAGAGAGCACGTCTGCTTCCTAATTGCCATGCTCTTTACCATTGATCACTCTGCCCCTGCAACATGCGATTGATATCATATGCCATCAAGATAAACCTGCAATCACATACAAAATTCTGCTGGGAGTTGCAGGTATTTTCGTAGCTGCAACGTGATAGTCGCTAGCACACAGGGGGTCAGAGGCATGCGCAAACTTGGACATTCGCATCTTTGCTGCATATGGGAACTCGCTCTGAGTGGGTTCTTGTACTCCTCAGTCTCTACTTGAATGTCATGTCAAGGACTGCTGTGCTGCGCTGTGCTGTGCTGAGAGGAAGGTCTGTTCTGACTTTGTGCGATAGGCCCATCGCTTACATAACTCTGTTGCATCCACAAAACATTTGAGGACACCTACCCAAATTATGATCAGTAGAGGTTGATTGACACGCAGAGCGGACGGTCTCGTGTTCTCTCAGCCTGATGCTCAATGCAGTCGTGGCGCTTGTGTATCAATACTAGCCGAGGGCATGCAAAAGACATATCTAGACCTTGGAAGGCGCAGAGATGCATTGGCTGAAAAGAACATCCGAGTACAAAAGGTATACCAGAATATCAGAATCGTCCCACTGACATACGTCGGCAGGGCCACGGTACGTGGTATAAGGCTCAGAATGCCTTCCAGTCCTAATCATAATCTGTGTGTGGTTGCTGGATGTGCAGATCTGTAGGGAATCAAATCAATGTTGCTGTAGAGTCATTGGAAAGCAAGCATGACGAGTGTGTGCAAACTTTGCAGATCACAGTATTCTCGAATCCTCATTTCTAGCGATATGGCAGGAAGAGAAATCATGGTCGTGCACGCACAACACAGTAGCTCTGGTGAACATTTGAAGAAGCGAACTGAGGTTCCACAGCTACGGAGCAAGTAAAGTCTAGAGACAAAGGAACAAGCATATTAGGTTGAGGCAACGAAACGACTTCCAACGCCTGGAAAAGAGAGGTCAAAAATGAATAAATGAGACAAGGAAACAGGGAAGTGTGTGCGAGGATTGAGAACACTCTGATCATGCTTGTAGGGTCTTACCCAGCGAGACCAACAAGCCTTTCCAACGACAAGATATAATCCTCTGGGCATGGCTCATTCCCCCCTCTCAGTATGTTTGCCAGAGCCCTGACCATTACCTGAACCGTCTCCCGGCAACGAATATCTTCGTCGAGCCCATCGAGAATAGGCAACACAAAGACATTCTGAGATCGAGGATCGATCAACTTGTGAAGCAAACTCCTGTCCTGTAGACTCAGACCAGAGTACTGTGGAATTGGTACAACGGCACTAGTTTGACTGTCTCCTGAGTATCGTTTCAGTTGCTCCAGAGTATACAGCAGTATTCCAATGATCTTGATCTGAAAGATCTCGGGCATTTCCTCCTGCAGAGCTCGAGCCTTGATCTGGTGTTCTCTGACAAAAGAGTGCAAGTAGGCAGTCTCATTGTGCAGGGCTTCTGCGGTGGCATCAAGGCTGCTGTGGTCAGGAGTACGAGTTGTCATCCAGTATCCATAGTCGAAGAAGATGCGCTCAATGCGGCTGTGGATCTTTGTAAGATGCAAAAGGTCTCGCTCTGCTTCAGGCACGGCTGCCCCCAGAGCGACAAGCAGGAACGGCTGCGACTTAACCTGCTTGATCATTTCATTTCTGTATCGTGTAAAGAGTGCTCTGTGTTCAAGTCAGCGATAACACAAGGTGACATGCATCTCGAAGGCGAAGCTTGGACTCACTGGGACTCCTGCTGCAACATTTGAAGGTTGTCTTGACCATGTTGGCTGGAAAGTACACCAGAAGGCTCAAATGTCGACAAGATTTGCGTGGTGGTTTGCTCGACCAGCCTGGTGTCGTGCTGATCCGAAGGGTCTTGCTTCCACCAACCTCCGAGCTGAGCGACATTATGAAGACCTTCACGCTGTAGCCACCCGTAGAATGGCATACGTTGCTGAGTTCTGGCCGGACCAACCTTCTGCCCATCACGAGACATCTTGAATGGGTAGCGAGATCTGTCTCCGGAAGAAATCGTGGTTTTCAAGATCTGATCATTGACCCACCAGATGTGTCGACAAGCACGGTCTTCGTCGTCAGGACAAGTTGAGCAAGTTGGAGCTTCGTCATCAGAGACAGTGACAAGAATGCGCTCTTGGAGTTCGAAATGAAAGTCGTCATCGCGCTCGAAACAACGGACCATAGACATTCTGTTCTTAGAGAGCGCCTCTACAGCGTTTTCCTGAGATGTTGGACTCATATCTCCGATCTCGTACGATAGTCCTGTCTGCACTGCAGTCACGATGCGACTGTGATCTATTAGAAGACCTTCATCTACCAGAGTTGTGAGTCTGCGTGGGGTCATGCTTACGATGGACCTGGCTGTTGAGCCTGAGGAGTGCTTGGTGTAGCCATGTTGTAAAATGTAAACGATATTGTTAGAAGTGACTCTTGTCCTTGAATAGAGTGATTTCGTTGCACAAGACGATGAAAGGCGAGAAATCGAGCATCTATATATCATCAACATGGTTACCGAGCATGGGGTCTTGATGCCTAGAGGGAAAAGCGTTGCACCGAAGACTTCTCACCAACCACAACAGAACAACTCACTGTTGGCAAAATCGCTCGATTAGTCAACCCCACAGTCTCCCTTTCCAGGGACATAGTAGATTTGACAGCGTAAAACATGATAGAAGATACCCTTCACCGTCATTGACAAACAGCCAAGAAGGGCATTACTGCTGTATTGGCTGTTGGGTGGGGTGATTTAGCCGGGCATCTGTTGGAGTACTCTGAAGCTTGATGAAAGAGCGGGAAGTGGCCATGGGTACTAGAAAGTGGTTCCGTCAATATGGTCCAGGTAAGGCGAGGAGTGTTTAAGGGGATTCCAATGGTTGTGCTCAGGTGGCACAGCTGTACAGTCAGGCCCTGCCTCAAGTCGCAATATAGACGTGTATGCATGATAGGAAGGCTGAACGCCATCTCGTCAAGCGATGGCATGGCAGCATGCAGGTTCAGTCACCTGAGCGGTAGATACGGAAGGCAGCTCAATGGTTGCCTGTGCTAAGCATGTTAGAGTAGAGGGGCTGGCCAAGCCCTGGATTGTCATTCAAGCTGCGCAGTACAACACTGCACTCGAGCATTGCAACAAGTGAGCCGAAGTGCGTAGATCTGCAACGCAGGGAAGGGGTACACGGGAGAAGTATCAGCAATACTGGTAGTGCAAGAACTGGCGGCATACAGCGGTTGATGTGAGGTCTGGGTCTCCCTCGGTAGAAATTGTACACAGGCATCGATGCATCTCAGCCGTGACCAACAACAGTGCGACAATAGTGCCACCAACGATGACTGTTGCTTGTCAAAAGCTTGATTGTGACGAAAGCGGAAAGTGGGAGTGAAAAATTTCATATAAGCGCTGTTATGTTAGCCGCCGGGTGTAGTAATGACATACCTCACAAACGGTGCTCTGGTCAGCTAGCATGACCGATTGCAGTCCGAGACCGACTAGACGGTTCGGACGACACCACCAGACGATGGACGAGAAGTGCTCATAGTAGCTAAGGCTTTTAGTGACATGTTATCCAAGGAAGTGTGCTTCTCCCAACAGTTGGCAGACAACACTGCATTCAAACCTATCAACCGAACGAGTTGCTGATAAATCAGAATTGAAGGTAGAGATGAGGGTTGCAGCAAAGATCAAGGCATAGAGAATGCTGACGGGAAAAGGTTGAGAAGCCATGATTTGGGCCGTAAATTTCATGATGAGAACCTAAGAAAGACGTAACGTGACAGCCGCGCATGTGATGGCGGCCTTTCAACTCCTGAGCGCCGTCCGCAATGCCAATGCCCTCCTTGTTGTACAGAATACGTGCGTACGATTGTCGACCGCGGTGTGATCCGCACCTGCTCCGATGTTGTTTAATCCTGTCTACCCTTGAGCAATCTCTTGGTGACCTTGTCCTTCTCGATGATGTAGACGTGTGCTCCCCAACCTGAGAGAGCGTCGCGGTCAACGGCGTTGAGAAGAGCTTGTGAGATGGTTTCGAAGAGGTCCTCAGGGCCCTATCATGTATGTCAGTATGCAGAATTTCTCCCAGAATATATCAATGACATGTCATACAAGATCGGGTTCCCACAAGCCTTCACAAGTACCGAAGAGCTGGTCGCTGGCAGTTCCACTGACGATGAAGTCCTTCGCAAAGTCGATACAACCGATGCTGTCGAAGCCGCAGATGAAGGGCTTTCCGGTAGTGTGGTTGATTCCAGCAATGACGGGACTGATGAAGTATGGGCCAAAACGCTTCTCGTAAAGAGATGATGAGACCAGGTTGGCCATGGTTTGAGGTGAGATCTGGCGCTCCTCGCGCAGGCGGTACATGTTGACCTTGTAACGGAACAGCTCACTGACAGTCTGGACATCGGTGGCGAGACCAGTCAGACCGAGATATACGTCGCCGTAGTTGAAGATCTTGGGGAAGTTGTTGGAGACAGTCAAGGCTTGAAGACCGAGGCGGAGATCGCAGGCGATGGCGACACAGTCCTTGCCGACCATGGCAACACAGGCACCACCGTCTATCAAAGTGGTCAGTGAACGGTAATCGAGCGGTGACGAAGATGCGACAAACTTATTGAGAAAGGGTTGGACTAGATGATCATGGTTAGCTGGTTGCATCCGTGGTAATGAGGTATGTGTGGACTCACCATGGTTGTGATGAGAGGATTAGATGAGGATTAGAGGTTGAAATTGTGTTATGTCAGAGGTCGACAGAGAAGGCGCGACCTGAAAAGTGACAAAGACAGAAAACAGCGTTGGATAGGCAGTTGCACGAGATGGTTGCTGTCAAGCTGTAGCTAGGCAGGTACGAGCACTCTCGAGCATACCGCCCGGCCACTGCATGACGCCGACGCCGCCGCCTGAGAGCTTGCGGCCCCGGAGAACGGCAAGTCCCGCGTAGATTCTCCAATTCCATCTCGAAACATTGAATCGCTCTTTCCGCGCCGACGAGGTCAGATCAGGTCACTAAACAGTCAATATGGCGACAATCAACCCAGAGCATGTGCGCCTCGCACAGTCGCTGCCCCCGCGACTCCTCAACTTCTTCAAGCGCTACCCTCCGCCCGCTCTTTCCCAATCTACCACCCTCGTCGCCAACACTTCTTCGGCCGATGCAAATGCAAACACTCCTACCTCGATCTCAGAAAATGCCGTCTCTGCATCGACTTTACAACCAGAAAACCCTTTCATGCCATTCAAGAACCCCATCACTCAAAGGTGGCAGCCCGCCTCATTCTCTCTTCGCAAGCAATCCGAAATTATCAAGCTCGCCATCAAGCACAACGTTGTCTCGTTGCTACCATACACACACAAACTGCCCGAGGAGGTTGCTCGTCGCCGTGCCGAACACGGTCTTCGCGTCAAGGGTACTGGTGTTGGTCAGAAGGTCAAGGGAAAGATGTGGGAACGCACTCTCAAGGGCAGATTGGACCAGCGCGAGAAGGCTATGGTTGCTATGCCCGAGATGATCCGTCACTGGAAGGAGAGAGGTCACGGAAGAGGCTGGAAGAAGTGGCCCAAGAACTAGTCGTCTACTTCTCAATCATCTTGGCTTCGACGACAATCTGCACAAAATCGGCGTTTTATTTGGGGGAACACTTGTATCGGCATACCACGATTGTACATTACTTTCAAACCAGACGGCTCGCTGGCCTGTTTTTCACTTTCCCTACCGCCCCCTTGTTCTGCTCAGAACCAGCACCTTGGTCTTGGTCTTGATCTTTCGTACTGTCATCATTCATAGGCAACCTCATCAGTGATGTAGGTAGCCACTCTACTTCTTCTGTTGCTGCATCCTCTCGTGCTCCTTCTTGACAATAGTAGGCACTTTATCCTCAATACTCCTCTCCTGAGGCTTCCAACCCAAGACCTCCTTGAATCTTCTGGCCTTGCCCCTGCTGTTCCAGCCCCAGCTGATTGCTTCGAAGCCAGCCGTCTTCTTCGCTGTCTCCATGTCCATCTGTTCTGCCTTGATTTCCTTGAGCAGACCTTGCTGCTTAGCACTTTCGGCAATGACCTTGCTCAAGTCTCCCCACACGTGCTCACCATTCTCGGTAAAGTAGTAGCCATTCTTGCCCCAAAGCTTCGTATCGGTGTTGTTCTTCGCTGCTTCTTCGACCAAGAGAACAAAGGCACGAGACAAATCGTGAACATGCACATTGTTCCACATTGCCTTGCCGCCACCGATGATGGGTGCAGCCTGGATATCCAGCACGGTTTTTGCAAGCTCGTACACCTGGCGACCGCGAGTGAGAGAAGGTCCCCTGCCATCACCGTAGATAGTCGGAGGACAGACGATGGCGGTTTTGATTACACCAGATGCGTTTGTGCCTGCGTTGATAACAATCTCATCGACGTTCTTGTGGAAAGCATCCTTGGGAAGTCCAATCAATTCGTCTACGCCGTCTAGATCGTCAAAGACTTTATCTGTGTGTTCACCCAGCTTGTCCGCGGATGAGTCGAAGTAGGTTAGGATACCAGTTCCACCAGTGTGAAGCCAGTAACCTGGCTTTGACGCACTGTGGCCCGAGGCGAGACCTTCAGCGATAGCCTTTGCAGCTCCTTCGTGATCTGAGGCATCCGCGGTGTCTGCCACGTTATCAGCACTTGAATCGCTTATACAAAGACTGAAACTTACGAATGACAATGTCTGCTTTGGATGCTTCTTCCTTGAGCAAGTCACTGCTGTCATTGTCTCCTTGTACGGTCTTGACTTTAGGAAATTTGTCCGTGACAGATTTGCCCTTTTCAGATGTGCGAACTAGAGCCGTGTAGGAGTACTCAGGATGCTTGTTATAGAGCTCATAGAGCGTATCGCCGCCGATGTAGCCAGTGGCGCCAGTAATGAAGATGTTGACCATATTTAATTTTGCTAGAGTGAATTGGATGCTCGAGGAGCCAGAAGATGATCATATGTTTATATGTAGGCACTCGTTAGGGCTCAATGTGACGTCGTGGTATTAGCCCTACTCCGGAGATGCATTCCGGCATCTGAACAGCGATAGAGATTCCTCGATCGATCGGAGACCTTTTTGCGCTTTTGATCGTCTTCATGTTTATGTCTATGTTTGTGAAGCGAACCATTGAGTCCGACTCTTCGCTATTCGTGGCACTCAGGAAATGTAAATAAGTGTAAAATGCTTTTCCAGTAAAGTCTCTAGTAATAACTCAGCAAAGAGACAGACAAATTCTTACTCCCCCTGTGTACCCTGTTATTCCCAACTCCCCATATCCTCGTGATGACCAAGAGCTCCGATGCAATTAAAAAGAAATGAGAAAGAGTTCCGTGCTGAATCTTAAGAAAGAGATATCATGCGTCCTATCACATCTACTCGACAGTGACACTCTTGGCCAAGTTTCTGGGGAAGTCGACGTTCAGACCCTCAGCAACAGCAAGCCAGTAGGCCATGAGCTGGAGAGGAATGACGTTGAGCAGACCTTGCAGAACATCGATGGTCTGGGGTACCTCGATCTTGTCGGTCTTGTCGCCAGGGAATTCGGCGTCGTCCTTGCTGCAAATGACAATAGGACGACCCTTACGAGCAATAACCTGCTGGTATGCGTTGAGGGACTTGGCGAAAAGGCTGTCACGGGTAAGGATCATGACAATAGGCAGAGACTCGTCGACCAGCGCAAGCACACCGTGCTTGAGTTCACCTGACATGACAGCCTCGCAGTGAAGGTATGAGATTTCCTTGATCTTCAGAGCACCCTCCAGAGCAGTGGCGTGCTGGGAGCCACGGCCAAGAAGGAGCAGAGACTTCTGGTTCTTGAACTTGAGGCACAAGTTCTTGATGTCCTGGTCCTGCTGAAGAATTTCCTTAAACTGCTCAGAGATCTTGCCGAGGCCTTCCATGATAGCCTCCCTTCTAGCCTGCTTGGATGCACGGTCCTCACTGAGTGAAAGAGCGAACATGACCATGCAGACGAATTGAGAGGTGTAAGCCTTGGTGGAAGCAACACCGATTTCAGGTCCAGCGTTGATGTGAACACCACAGTGGGTCATCATGGAGATGGAAGAACCGACAACGTTGACGATACCAACGGTCAGAGCACCGCGCTCGAGACAGTGACGGAGAGCCATAAGAGAGTCAGCGGTCTCACCAGACTGAGAGACAAAGACGCAAGTGTCGTCACGGAAGACGGGAGCCTGTCTGTCGAGGAAATCAGAGGCCAGCTCGACTGAGATGGGAATCTCGGTCAATTCCTCGAAAACACCACGAACAGCCATGCAAGAGTGGTATGAAGTACCGCAAGCAATGAAGATGATTCTACGGCAACGACGGATGGTGCTAATGTATTGCTTGAGACCACCCAGGGTAATGGTCTTGTCTTCGAGGTTGAGACGACCACGCATAGCGTTGACAATGGATTCCGGCTGCTCGAAAATCTCCTTCTGCATGAAGTGGTCGTAACGGCCCTTCATGATCTCCTGGAGCTCGATCTCGATGGTCTGGATGGCACGGACGTTGGAGGCGCCAGAATCCTTTGACAGACGGTGGATGTTCAACTGGCCATCGTGGATGTGAGCAATATCGTCATCCTCGAGGTAGAGAACCTTCTTGGTGTGCTCGACAATGGCCGAAGGGTCGGAGGACAGGAAGAACTCAATGGGCTGAGGAGCACCATCCTCGGAGAAGAAAGCGCGCGACTGAGAGCGGTGGAGCAAGCTCTTGTCAGGAGGTGCCAGGAGGTTGTTGGCCTTCTTGAGGGCAACATTCTGGGAAGCAGCTTCGGCAGGCAGAGGGCCAGCATCACCAAACTCCACGTCAACAAAGTCAACCTTCATCTTTCTTTGTGTGCGGACACCAATGACCAGGGGGGAACCCTTGCGGGCAGCGACAACCTCGGAGGGGAAGTGGATGGACTTGAGCAGAAGACCGAAGGCGCCCTGAAGCTCCTTGATGACGGCCTTCACGAGGGTGGTGAAGTCGATGTTGGGGTGCTCGTCGAAGATGTACTTGGCCAGCTTGGCGATGGCCTCGGTATCGGTCTCAGTCTCGAATCTGAAGCCCTTGGTCTCGAGCAGGGCTCTCAATTCCTTGTAGTTGGTGATGATACCATTGTGGACGACGGCGAACTCCCACTTGGGGTCGGATCTGCGTGGTGACTTGTGTCAGACCTGAATACGTTCGTGTTGCAGCTCTTTCTCTGGTGCATACCTGTGAGGGTGGCAGTTGAGACGCGAAGGAGGACCATGGGTGGCCCAACGAGTGTGGGCAATACCAGCGTGCATGTCAAAAACCTTTGTGAGGTCGGGCTTCTCGTCCTCGATGAGCTGCTTCAACTTGGCGACCTTGCCAACCTCCTTGAAAGCGTAGACCTCATTTCTCTTGTCTCCGTCGATCGCCAGACCAGCTGAGTCGTATCCACGGTATTCGAGACGCGCAAGACCTGCTATGAGTCAGCTAACTGCGCTTGCCGCTGGCCTTGTGAGAGCCCTGGGTCGCGTGAGAACATACCGTTCACAAGAGTGTCAAGAATTGTCTTTCTGTCCTTCTCCACCAAGTAGTTGATGTAGCCGAAAATGCCACTATTGCTCATGTCAGAGAGTCCTCTAAAAGCATTCTTGGTCTCGTTGTCGTGGCCACGGCGCTCTTGACTTACCACATGATGCCGTGTAAATAAAGAACAGCGTATCCTCAAGACCTAAATGCGGAACAGAAAACAAATGGGTCGCAAAGTTGGGGACGGATATGAACCTGAGAAGTTCAGGAGGTATTAAGAAGCGAAACAGAGAGATATGAGAAAGATCAGTAGCGTTGAGGAGCAGAGGGGGAAAATGGGAGATGGCGGAAGGGGCAAGCAACGAGCTCTTATAAATAAGCACGGCCCAAACACAACCCAGAACTGGCTGCAAATGCTGTTTCTCAGGCAATCTGTGCTGTCCCCGACATGTTTCAGGGCCCAGCAGCCAATTCTGAATCCCCCCTGGCTCTGCACGCCTGACTAGCTGCCACCATTTCTTGTGCCGCGAACCCTACATAGTACTTGCTATCTTCTATCTTCATCTACACTGGTCTTTGACTCTCGTGTTCCTGCATATAAATACCGTCGCCGCGTCACTGAGGCCACTGGCTGAACCGGTCGCGAGCCAAGAGGTCCCCAGGTACTGAAAATAGGTTTGCGCATCATGGGATCAGCCAGAGGTCAACTGCGCCCTGTGATTGATCCGAATGGCGAAATGCACTCGACACGGCTTGCTAGCATTTACCTTGTTGGCTGCTGTTGTGCCTGTAACCATCTTTCGACCTCAGGGCATTGGCCAGCTGAGCCTCTTTTGCGCTCGTAAGCTGCGTCTCGTCGTCACCTTTTGGAGAAAAATAAAAACGCCTGTCAATCGGCTGGAGACGACGAATCTTTAGGTTGGGCCCGCCGTAGAAGCTCCAAGCTGAGTTTCTGCCCTCGTCTTCCGCTTTGCAACCACATATCCCAAGAGCTTCGTTGTCATCTTCATTTTCTTGAGTTTATTCAATCAACCTAGCAGATTGCCTGATAAAAGCAATGCCTCCCACGGTCATTCTGATTAGACACGGCCAAGCTCTGCACAACGTCAATCATAAGTGATCCCTCCACCGCCGAGGCTTCTACGAGAATACCATGCCTGACGCGTCCTGCACAAGAATATGATATCCCCGATCCGGCGCTCACAGAGCTGGGGCAGCAGCAATGCCGCAAGCTCGAGCAGCACCTCCGTCAGCATCTGCCGCTCGCTGACAAGGTCGAGCGCATAATCTCTAGTCCTATGCTTCGTACCTTGGAGACTACCACTCTGGGTCTGGACTGGCTTATCAAAAGGGGTGTCCCTGTAGAAGCCGCTGCCCTCTGGCAAGGTAAATACGCCCCTTCCCATATTTGTTCAATAATCAGTCTGTCCGACTCGCGTATCTTCAAAAGACTGTATAGCCGTTTCTAGCCTATACACGAAAGCCGATGCAGGGCGCAACACCGTTGACCGTTGATGTATTTTTGGATCCGCTCATTGCATGCGATCTCGCATGCTCGGTACTTGTCTGGCAAACATGACTATCCTTCTCTTCATGCATCAACAAGCCTTCTTGTCGGCTAGGCAATGGGAGCTGGCCTCGGTATTCTGTTTGGTTTTGAACATTCGCTTATATGGCTGCGAGTCAGTCACGCAAGACTATCTTGCGCCGTCTCCAACCTATAGTTTTGGCTTAATATTATCAGGACTGAACCTCGCAATAGTATGCTGTCGCAATGCAGTTTGCGTTGAGCATGCGCATTTGAGGCGATATGTGCTACCTTAACCAACAGCTCTCTGGAAATAGAGCTGCTGGACATATTTGGACCGAATCACTCCACTACAATTTGTGAACACTTCGGTCATGAGAATACTTAGACTAACCCTACACCCTCACAGAGAACTCGGACAAACCCTGCGACACTGGCAGCCCTCTCTCGGACATGAAACCACAATTCCCAAACTTTGACTTCTCCAAGGTCGATCCTCTGTGGCCTTCCAAGACCGGCCCTTACGCCTTCACACGTTCTGCAACCATCGCTCGCGGCCAATCCTGCCTTCGTGATCTACACTCACGCAAGGAAAAGGTCATTGCGGTGGTTTCGCATTCTGGCTTTTTGAGATGTGCAATCAGTCTTTGCAAGTATGCCAATGCTGATTATCGCATCTTTGACTTCAAGAATACAGAGCCAGGCAAGGACCTAGAGTTGAAGGAGTGGAAAGAGACAGAGGAGAATGGAGGTGGTCTTGGTGAGAGTGAGAAAGGAAGGGCAGACATTGAGGACTCTGACTTCCCAGAGGAACAGGCTGAAGAGGTCAAGCAGCAGTTGGGTGGCAAGACTGATAGTGAGGCCGCGGGAGAGGTTCCTGAGAAGTAGAGCTGGAGCAAAAGGTAAAAAGAGATACAGATGTACAGTAATTAGAGCTGTGATTTGTCCACTATGATCTCCTCTGGGTAGACTGCATTTAAACATAACATTATGATCCTCCCTGGACTCCTATGCGCCTGATGATGCTGTCATGGTTATTTCCCCCAGTATTATCCCCATGATAGAACACTCTGGTATGCTAAACCGAAAACTCCTCCATGCGAAACAAAAAGAAACCCGCTACAATTCCATATCATCATCATCATACGAAGCAACATCGTGCGAGGCAAATCCACGCTGCTGCTCAATCTGAGCATTCATGGCTTGTAGCTGCTCGAAGTTGCGTGCCTGTGTCCACGAAGCATGTGAATCCTCCATCTCCTTGGAACGACCCTGCTGCTCGACTTGTGACTGCCATAGCCCACCAGAGCAAGAGGCATACACTGGCTCGCTGTGTGCAGAGTGGGCATAGCCAGACTCCATGTAAGGCTCCGCTTGTGCGTCGTCCACCTGGGCACGCATGCGCTCTTCATAGCGTAACGCTGCCAACTGCTCTTCATGTGCCATGCTCGTCTCTTGCTGCCATTGGTGGGAAGGTCTTGGGGGAGAAATGCGCCAGAGTTCAAGCAGGCGCAGTCGCTGTTCGTAGTCTGCGTTGGTGAAAAGCTTGACTTGCGAATTGCTCAGCGAGGTCGGGTCGATGTCGTGGTTGCGCAGCATCGACGCCAGGTGGATGGGTGTCATGTTGTTGCTGATGCTGTCGAAAGGGCTTGCACTCAGAGGCGAGTCGGCTCGTGAGGTTGTGGCTTGCTGTTGCTCTGGTACTGCTGAGACATGCATGTAACTCATGGGAGTGTAGTGCTGTGAGCTGTAGTAGATGGGCTGAGTGGTGTGACCGAGGAATTGCTTGTCAGGTGTGGATTGGGGCAAAGTCTGGTTCAGACTCATGTTGTGGGCAAAGAGTCTGGCCAACTCGTCTTGTTGATACTGCGACATGGTGACGACGTTGATAGTTCCGATATCCTGTTGCTGATAAGTGCTCTGCACAGAGTATTAGTCGGCTGTGTGTCTTGGGATAGACAGAGTGCTTTGATTTTACGTGTTGTGCAAGAGCGACAGAGATGGTAGATCTGATCAGGCAGAAACGCAGGGTAGAAAGGAAGATGCGGAAAGTGAGTGAAGGTTGCAGAAGCTATATGAAACAGAGAAAATATGAAGAATTAGGACAAGAAAAGGTCGGGATTGCGGTGTGGGAATGAAACGGACTGGTATTGCTCCAACCTGATGTATCTCTGCCCAACCGTGCTCCACCTTGGAGGAGACTAATATGAAGTGGAAACAAGCGGTGTCCAAAGGGGTGGCGGGGTAAATGAGCAATCCGACTACCAATTGTGCAGTCGCAGGATGAGAGATACGAGAGGGAAGTGTATCTACAGAGCTATGTTAAGAAAAGCTAGCAGAAAGATGCAGTGGTATAAGAAGATATATGTGTGGGAGAGGGCGGGGTTGGAAAAGTTGGTGGGCGGCAACTACGTCGTCATTGATAACGAGGCTTGACTATGTCACATGGTTCCATTGTTAGACAGAAGCAGTGAGAGCAGCAAGACGCTGGTCATTATTGTTATGGCAAATGCTGTGCTCACCAAGTGATCATTAAAAACAGATATGGAAAATGAATCCCATGTCAGCCTGGAGTACCTGAGAGGAAGGGTGATCTTCATAAATATACTCCGTACAGATGACACAGTGACAGGGTGACGGCAGTCGGAGCTTGGCGTGCGTCTCGCCGCGCGAGATGGAGCTCGTCCATAGCGGACTGGGAGAGCTGCGTCGATACATCACAGAATAGCCAAACACCTAATCTTTGCATCTGAATCTACCGTGTTTATTCACTCACTTATCTGATTCAACTCACGTTGAGTCTTCGCCTCTTCTCTACATCATCGAACCCACCTCGCCTTCCTCTTCACACCGTCACCAACCGCAACCATGGTCAGTAAACGCCGCTTCATGTTGGCGCACCCAAGTCTGTTGCTGACGCCATCTCTAGACTTCGATAGGAACGGGCTACGATCTTTCCAACTCAGTCTTCTCTCCCGATGGACGTAACTTCCAGGTGAGTCTCCCACATCTGGTCGACAATGAATCACATCAACTTACGACCGATCTAGGTCGAATATGCCATGAAGGCAGTCGAGAACGGCGGCACTTGCGTTGGTATCAGATGTCGCGACGGTGTTGTTCTGGCTCTGGAGAAGCTTGTCACTTCGAAATTGTTGAAGAAGGATGCAAACAAGAGGATAGCCACGGTCGATCGCAACATTGGTGTCGTATGTGCTATTCGCACTCCCTACTAATTTCCTTTAGCTGACAGTAACCTCAGGTCTCAACTGGTCTTCTTCCCGATGGTCGCCACTTTGTCAGCCGTGCCCGCGATGAGGCAGCATCGTGGCGTTCTCTCTACAAGCAACCTATCCCCGTCGCCTCCCTCGCCGATCGCATGGGCTCATACGTCCAAGCCTACACCCTTTACTCATCAGTCCGCCCCTTCGGTATCACCGCCATTATCGGTGGATGGGATTCCGAGCTCGAAGTTCCTGTCGATGCACAAGTTGGCTCTGGTCCGTCAAGCGGAAGTGGTGGCAAGATGGCCGATGCAAAGGAGGGCGGTCCATACCTCTACATGATTGAACCATCTGGATCATACTGGGGATACTACGGTGCAGCTACTGGCAAGGGAAGACAAGCAGCCAAGGCGGAACTGGAGAAGCTGAAGCTCACCCCCGACCAGGGCGGTATCAGTTTGGAGGAGGGTGTCAAGGAGGCGGCAAGAATCATCTACGTGGCACATGAAGACAGCAAGGACAAGGAGTTCGAGCTTGAGATGACATGGATCAGCAAGGTTGATGGACCTACCAAGGGCAGACATGAGGAGGTACCGAAGGAGATGCTCGAGGAGGCAGAGCGCCTGGCCAAGAAGGCACTTGAGGGCGACGATGACGAGATGGAGGAATAGATAATCGATCATGACATGTACGATACAGCACGCAGAGTGCTGAAGGTTCAAAGAAGAGATTAAAGCAGGCAATGCGTACACGGAAATGGCTATTTTACATTTTGAAGAAGATGATATCAAAGTAGTCTTTTATACACTGGGACCCTTGTCGAAAACGTTGTTGTCGCCGAGCTTCTGTCTCTTCTCGACTCTGTTGTCGACAGCTCCCCAATTGATCGACTTCCACCATTCGATCAGGTACTTTGCCTTGCCGTCCACGCCGTACTCAGGCAGGTAGCAGTGTTCCCAGGTGCTGACACAGAGAGCAGGAGTAATGAGCTCAGTGCCTGGAGGGAGCTTGGGTGTGTCTCTTCCGCGTGCTGAGGTGGAGCCAAAAGAACCAGCTGAACCGTTGTATCCAATCGCTGTGCTTTGGTCGACGCCCTGTTGGCGATAGATGGCTTCGGGGTATGGAGTGCCGGCGTTGTAGGTGGTAAGGATTCTGTATTCAGGCAGGGAGGAAGTGTTTCCAGCGGCTGAAGTAGAGCGCTGCTTTGCTTGGACCAGCCAGACGAAACCAGGACCGGTCATTGCGTTTGCGGTGGTCAGCATTGTCCTCCAGAGAGTGTCGATGCTGCCGAATGACTTGATGAGGGCTTCCTTGAGGAGGGGGTAGTTATCGAGGCTGTTGGTATCCAGCGAGGGCGACAGCGAATCGAAGAAGAAATGCGTGTTGTGGGCCATGCTGGCAGCGGAGAAGACGGCGGCCATGGAGGGGTTGCGGGCAAAGGAAAGGACGAGTTGCTTGGTGGTCGAGTTCTCATGGTCGGAGCCTGAACAGCAGGCAGGTTAGAGTGGCTGGTGTATCAAGTCGCGTGGGTGATGGTATAGCAACCTTTTGTGGCTTTGTTCAAACGGTCGACGAGGAAAGCCATGTTCTTGTTGTATGCAATGTCGTAGGATTCCTTGCTCAAGAAGCCAGCGATACCCTTTGCCTCAAACTCCTCCTTGTAGATCAGGTTGGGGACCTCATGAAGCGATCTCGATATTGAGGCATGGAATTGTCTCGCCTGCGCAAAGCGTGGTAAGTAATTGTAGGTGGTGTATGGATTGTCGAAGCGGACGTACGCTGATGCGCGATTCAACCAAGGGAGCCCATGCGCTTCTTGAGCGTGCTAATGTGTGTAGAACCATTGCTGAAATGTAGTATATGCCGACGGCGAGGGTCAAAAGTCTCGAGGCCCTCGTACAATTCAAAGTCGCCGGACGGGAATCTCCGTTGCGGTCTACAGTCGTTTGTGCTACCGCCTTAAACTACGATCGCATACGCCTGGATGAAGGGACGGGCTGTTCGCTGTAGAGAGTAGATTCTGTGAATATATTGCTAACTACGGTAGCTCCTTCCCTCGGATGCAATGAGCGATGTCAGGCATTGAGCATGCAATGGTGGAAGTTGCAGCCGGGGATGGCTGAGAAGCGCCGATCCGAGACGGCAATCCAGGTAGTTGCAATATTTGGTCAGGTCCTGACAGGTACATACCAAGTACTTCGTCTATTTCTCAGCAACTTTGCAACCATGCCGACCACTTGACCCGGCCAGATCAGCATTCTTCATCAGCATCCACCGTAATACTCGTCGCATCGCATAGACACTCGTTCGAAGCCTAGCATCTTTTCAACCACCCCTTTCCCTTCCCGCGCGTCGTCACCACGATCAACATGGCTAGTACAGTCAGTAAGAGGCAGCAGGCTCGCAATGAGCGTATGCTGCAGGATCTGTTAAAGGTGCCTGGGAACGACAGGTGTGCCGATTGTGCTGCAAAGAATCCAGGTAAGCAAGCCTGACCCAACACGGCACTTTCTGGAATCTGCCTGCTGACATTGTCCAAGCATGGTCGAGTTGGAGCGTGAGTAAAAGTCGCCTCCGTGTTTTGGTCCATTCTGACAACAATAACAGCTGGGAATCTTCCTCTGCATGAGCTGCGCCGCCCTACATCGCAAAATGGGAACCCACATTTCCAAAGTCAAGTCGCTGAGCATGGATAGCTGGTCTCCTGATCAGGTCGACAACATGAAGCGCGTAGGAAATGTCACATCAAACCGCACTTTCAACCCACAGAACGTCAAGCCCGACATTCCCACCGATGCCGACGAGGTCGGCGGTGTCATGGAACGCTTCATCCGCCAAAAGTACGAGCACAAAGCCTTTGTTGGCCCAAGACCCAGAAGCCATACAGTTGGAGGCACCAGTGTCAGTTCGAATGAGGGTGTTCCACCACCTCTGCCGCCAAAGCCTGGAAAGAAGTTTGGTTTCTCGCTCGGTGTCCGCTCCTCGTCAGCCACTCAACAAAGATTCACACCTCCCCTGTCGCCCGCATTGACTGGTTCCGATGGTCGCTCGACGCCGCCTATTGGAAAGATGAACAAGCCATCGCGTGTATTTGGATCCAATGTAGGAAATCAGGAGGAAGAAACCTTTGACACAAAATTGGCATCGTTGAGAGAGATGGGCTTCTCTAACGCACGCCGCAACTCGATGGTTTTGAAGAATGTAAATGGGGATTTGGACAAGGCAGTCGAGACGCTTGTGCGCTTGGGTGACACGACTTCAGGGGCACAGGGTACCCTGACACCCATGTCAGGCAGTAGCTCTAACGCAAACGGCATCTTCATCGAGAAGCAAAGGGCACAGCCAGAAAAAGCCGCTTCCTCGACAAACCCCTTTGATGCATTGGACCTGCAACCTCCACGCCGCGCCTTTACTCAGCCCGCTCTCTCGACTGCAGCTCCGCAACCTTCGTACAACCCTTTTCTCCAGCCTCAATCACAAGCACAGCCTCAGGCACAGACACAGCAATCCCTTCAAACCTCTTTCTCGGCTATGCAAATCTCCGGCCAACAGCCTCAGCAGTACCAGAACAATCCATTCATGCCTCAGCAAATCCAACAGCCTCTGCAGGCTCCTGCTTATCAACCTCGGGATACACAACAATACCAACAACCTCAACCACAGTCTAACCCTTTCTTGAGAAAAACTCAATCCCAAACATTTGCTCCCTCGAATCCATTTGGCATTCAACTATCTGCTGCTCCACAGAACCCATGGCTCGCACAGCCTCAGGTTCAGACACCACAAGCCCAGTCACCTGGTGCCTTCTACCAATCTCAACAGGACTTCTTCTCCGCACAGCCGCAGCCACAACAACAATCCCAATACCAGCAGCAGCCCCAGCAGCCACAACCCCAGCAGAACCTCTATCAACAACCGCCTCAGCAGCTGCCTCCTCAACACACCTCAAACCCCTACGCAAACATGCCACTTCAGCCTGCCTCCAATCCTTTCCAGGTACCTCAGTCGAGTCAGCCGGAACCCTACCAATCCTACCAATCTGCTCAACAGCAGATGCCTCAGCAACAGCAACAACTGTACCCACAACCTACTGGTCGCTATGGCAAGACTGACATCATGGCACTCTACAACCAGCCTCAATTGGCGCCACAGAGACCTCTGCAGCCACTTCCTGAAAACGGCATGGCTCCACCAATGCTGGCCCAGCAGCAAGTGCAGGTTCCACCTCATATGCAACAGGTGCCGCAAAGAAGCGCCACCATGCCAGTGGGAAGTGGCAGCATGAACCCCTTCGGCTCCGGTTTCTCAGCACAACAGCAAGAGCAGCAAGTCAGACCAGGCGCCAGACACGTTAGTCAGGAAAGCAGAGACTTCGTAGGCATGGGCAATGGAAGACCCCATAGCCCTGATGCATTTGCAAGTCTAAGTGCAAGATATGCCCGCTAAAGACCATGTTCCTCCTTTTTCGAAGATATACCCATTGTTTTGTTCCAGGTCTGGGTAGTTTTTTGTTCCTTCTTCTTTTGAGTGTTGGGAAGCGTCGACTCGTTTGAGCAAGCAGGTTCTGATCTTCTTTCCCTCCTCTTTTGCGTTGGGCCCCTGCTTAGCATTTTTGTCTTCTCAGCCCGTCGGGCTTTCTTTGAGAGCGAGAATTTTGTCGTTCACCCCCTTTCTTGTACATATAGTTGCATCCTTTCTTTTCTTCTTGCATTCAGCGAATGAAAATAAGATTATCGCTTTTCTGTTCTTAACATTGGGTCCTTAGACGACTTTTGTGTTTGCTGTCCTGTTTCATGTGTTCTTTGTACAGCGTGAATGTGCTGTTGAACTTGGGATCTGATGCCGTCCGCTGCGCTTCCACTACACATTTCTCCATAACTCTTTTCCATCTGAATTGGTATGTGGTTGCTATACGTATGCCCGAGGCTCCTCGAATATCACGAGAAAACACCTACTTCCTGATTTGAGACATCATTGAGGAGTTGTTCATGGAACGGCAGGGTCACCCTACCTCACGATCAACCACACTACAGTAGGTATGAATAAACTGTGCGACAATTTGTTATAGGCCTTTGGTTTGACTTTTGCGATTAGTTTAGTCAGCACGATCACATATTTTTCTTTCATAGTGTTAGGCGTGGCATGCCAAAATAATGAGAACGCTCAACGCAATGGAACTTATATAGAACTGCAACACATATCTCTGTCGTGCTGTTTAACAGGAATCCAGCTGCACGGTCAACGGTTGGTTGATTCACTCCCTAACCAAGTACAATGTGACTCATGACAGAGTCAAGAAACAAGATATTGAGTCTAATCAAATCATTTTCATCACCAGATCTTCAGGTCTCAGGCTTACCCATGCCAGCCATTTCAACAAGCTCTTCCTTGTCCTCTTTGTACCCGCCGAAGAAACTCTCGCTCTCCTCATCATCTTTACAGTATGGTGGGAGACCAGCGTACTTATTGATCCAGTTCAGCACAACCTTGTGCCAGACCAAACTGTTCTCTGGCTTGAGGACCCAGTGATTCTCATCCTAAGGCAGATGTGTCAGTGATCATCCTAGACATGGTCGAGCGTCGTTTGTGCCATTTCAACTTACAGGGAATGTGAGGAACTGGCTATCAATGCCGCGGGCCTGGAGGACGTTGAAAGCGGCGAGTCCTTCAGAGATACACAGACGATAATCTTTCTCGTTGTGGATGACCAGCTGGGGTGTCTGCCAGTGATCGAGATGACGGCTTGGATCGTTCCTGTTCCAAGCATCCAACGATGTCTCTCCAAAGGTGTCTTTGGCATCATCTGTGGTTTTGTTATTGGGTGGAGAGTACCAGGGTAAACCGCCCAAATCCGTAAAAGGAAAATAAACTTCTTCAGTCGCAAGAAGGCCGCCAGCAAAGGAGAAGATGCCATCGTGGCAGACCATTGCTTTGAACCTGCGTCCAAGGTCGTGACCGTTGAGCCAATTGACCATATATCCACCGTAGCTCGCACCGAGAGCCACTGCTCTTGTCATGTCAACTTCGGGCATGTGCTTCTCAACCCAATCGATAACATTGACGAGGTCGTTGTATGGTGCACCGCCCCAATCCTTCCTAAAGTTGAAATCGATGAGTATAAGACTTGGGACGCAGACGAAGGGAAAAGCTCACCTGATCGCGTCAGTGAAGGCCTGGCCATAACCTGTTGAGCCAGTGATATTTGGTGTAATGACCACATCTGGAAAGTTAGTTGAGCTGGTCTACCTGATGGTCAAGGTGACTTACATCCTTGCTCTGCGTAGACAGCAGGGTTCCAACGCGTACTCCACGAGTCTCCCCAAGATCCTTGAGGACCACCATGGATGAGGAGTGCAAGCGGGTACTTCTTGCCTTCTTCAAAGTTTGATGGCTTGATCACCCAAGAATGTACAGTCTTGTTCACAGTCGTGTCTGAGGCAGGTGTATGGATCGAAGATACCTGAGAGACTTTCAATCCAAGTGACGAGCCGCCTTTAGACGACGAATGTGTCCACTTCGCAGCCTGGGCATTAGCCTTAGAAGTTCCGATGATGCTGTACGATGAGTAGTCGACGAGCGAGCTGTTAGTATAGAACACGTCCCCTGACTCCAAGGGGCGGATATCAGAGACATAACCAGTATTTGTAAGCGGACGCACCACTTGGCCATTAGTAGGATCTGAAGTCAATGCAAATAGGCGACCGTATCCTTGATCTTCTGCGGAGAAGTACAATGTCTCACCGTCGCAGCTGAAGGCCAGGTTCTAACGTAGATTAGCTTGCAGTAGATTTTTAGTCCGCACTGAACATACTTGTGGGCTCTTGTCTAGGCTACCCTCCTTTGTCTGGCCGAACAAACGTTGAACCGAATCCTTCTTCAAGTCCTCGATCAAGAAGATTTGAGACTTATCGCTCTCGTACCCAGCAGTGTACATGCTCAGGAAGACAGCTTTCTTGCCGTCGGGAGAGAAAATAGGCGATGAGCTAGCACCCTTGAAGTCTTGAATCGTATACTCGAAGGGCTTTGGCGCGGGATCCTCAGTAAAGCTCTGAAGCTTAACATAGTATACATTGCACTTGGTACTCAGCGCAGGGTTGGTCTTTGGGTCTTTGGAAACAAAGATGATACCGGACTTGCTGACGTCGAAACTGTCTGTACCTCCAAAAGGTGGAATGGGACTTTCGAGACCAGCTCCTTTGAGGGCATTGACCCACTTGCTCAACTCGAACTTGCCATCCTTGGCCTTGGTCAGGGTAGCATACCACAAGGTGTTCTTCTGTGGAGTAACGTAGTCATCCCAGTGCCTAACGAATAGGTTCTTGTAAAGTTTTCCAGTGGAGTGAGTCGTGGGAGCCGTTTCCGAGTTGTATAGAGAACCGTCCGGGGAACATTGAGCCGCCAGAACAACCGCGTAAGAAGAGTCGGACAGTTGCACGATTTTCAAACTACCAGCGGGGGCGTCAATCGAGCCAGCGGTGTATGTCGAATCCTTCCAGTCAGAGGAAGACTTGGTTGTTGCAATTAGAATAGAAGTCTTGCCCTTGTCCTCACCCTTGAGGCAGGCAAAGACATCCTTCTCGCCAGGCAACCAGACAGGCTCGCTAACGCTGTTGTCCTGAACCAGAAGTGTGCTCTCATTTGACTTTGTGTCCAGGCTTCTCAGCTCGACAGTCTTAGCGTGGGAATCGAAGGAGTACGTGCTCGTGGTATAGAGGACAGAGCTGCCATCCGCGTTAGGTACACCAGCTGAGCGGCGTGGTGCCGAAAGCAACACCTCTGGTGTGAATTTGTGGGCTTTGACAGTCATTGTGTGAATGTTGCTTAAGAGGAAGTAGAAGCAGTCTCAAACATCAAGGTAAGGCAGGCATATATACGAAGTGACTGCGCTAGGAAGGCCCCGCATCGCACCTTCCTCTTTGGGTAACCATGTTGGTGCGTCTTCCCGTTGTGCTAAAGTCTGTCACACGTGTAGCTGTAATGATACGAATCACTTCAAAAATCGAGGCTGCCATTGCCGAGGGCAATCGAAAGCTTTCTCTGGATATAGCTTTGGTTCAAATGTTGACTTGTAGGACCATTGTAGCTTGTAACATCCGCAAGACGCATGAGTCAAAATGGTTCTACATTAAATTCAGCCAGTCCTCGAGGTATTCATCACTGCTGTGTCTAGTTTCGTGTAAAGACGAGAGTCAAGTATGGTGAGCCAGCTCACCTAGGCAAATCGACTTCAGTTTCGGCGTACATACATTAGTTGAGACAATCGAGGAGCTTGGAGACTATAGCTAAAGCTAATCTTCCAACGGGTCTCCATCTTCTGGCAGAGCTGCAATAACATCATCGACCATGGCGAGCAACTCATTCACATCTGGTCTCTCCGACGGCTCAACTCTCAAACACCTCCTAACCACATCCTTGATCATCTCAGTGATAGGAGCGTCTTGTGCTCGAGCATCTGAATTCGTGGGCATCTTTTGCTTTCCTCTGCTCTTGTTTGCTTGTGCGTTGTGCTCATCGGGGAATCTCCAATCACCGCCCAAAACACAGAGACTCAGACTTCCACCAGTTTCTTCGCTGCGGGCTTCGAATGGCGATTTGCCAACTAGACAGGCATATAGTGTACATCCCAAACTCCAGATGTCGACCTTGGTGTCGATGACAGAGTCGGTCTTGACGTCGAAGAGTTCGGGAGCGCGGTATGGCATGGTACTGTGTTCGGCAGCTGTATCTTGGACTTGTAGTGCAAGAGCGCGTGATGTGATGGGAGTGGGCGAAGGGGCTAATGAGCCGAGATCCATGAGAATGGGTGACTGGCCGTCGTCTGAAATCATGATGTTGCCTGGATGTCGTCAATTTTGGACGTCTAGTGTATTGCGCGTGTGCTCCTTACCAGGCTTGATGTCGCGATGTGCATATGCTCTGGTTTGACCGTCGGACATGCCCTCTTGTGCCATAGAGATCTCGCCCTCCATCAGTGGCTCGGCATCTCCTAGCTCCTCATCATCGTCGCCATGGTCCTCTCCCCTGTCGGCTCTTGCAGCATCGGCTCGTACCCGCTTTGCCCTTGCTTGTGCGCCTTTACCACCTGGAGCGCCTCCAACCTTGTAGTTGTGCATAGCTTGTAGTGCGACGCAGACACCACGGAACAGGACCATCAACCTGCGCTCAGGGAACTTTGCGCCATTGACGAGGTTGGCATTGATAGCATCCTGCAGGTTACCGCGACGGTAGTATGGAAGAAGGATATAGACAGTCTTTGCTGAGGGGTCGCTGCGATCCGGGATGACGGCATGGTCGAGAGCGTGGATGATGTTGGGATGCGGCTGGAACAAGCTGTATGCTTCGACCTCTTTGAGAGCCAGGGCCACCGACTCTGCTCCAAATGGACACCGGATCTTCTTCAAGGCGTATAGATTCGGCGACGGTGGTGATTGGACGAGGTAGACGTAGGAGAAACCACCCTCTCCCAGGAGACGAAGGATCTTGTATGAGCGGCCATTGATCTTGAGGGCGGGATTGCTCGGGAAGCAGTTGAAGCAATTGGTGAGCTGCCACATCAGATCCACCACGTACGAAGACATTGTTGCCGACATGGAGTAGTTGGCCAAAGACACAGGTTGCTCAGAGCCGGGTATGCGTGTCTCTTGCGAACACGAGCAGCTACGAGACCCTGCGGCTCCGTCGAGGTTGACATGACGATCTGCCAAGACTTGTAGTATGCAACCATCTCAAGACTTTATATATCGACAGCAGTGTCTGCCCAGATACTTGAAAATCCAATTCTTCACCTCCTAGTGCCTGTCTACTCTATCTCTAAACCCTTCCTCTTCGTCTCCATCGCCGTGTCGGAACACCTTGTCGAGATCTTGAGCATCGTCAGCATCATCGTCAAAGTCGTCGCGGTATTCCTGGTCGCTACGCAGACTAATACCATCGTCGCCACGAATTGCCTCGGTTGCTTCCCTCTCCATAGCATCATCCGAGTATTCGTATCTGCCCTCCTCGTCAAACTCATCCCCATCCGGAGCTTCACCACGAATAGCAGCTTCACGCTCTTCAGCCTCCAGCTCTTGAGCTCTGGCTTTCGTCTTGGTGTACATGATCCACCCTGTAGCTACACCTGCAGTCAGCCCAATCGCGATGCTGAGATAACTGATGGCCTTTGTTTTGGCATCCATCTTGTCTCCGCTGTCGGCAATACGTCCGAGCTGGCTACCCACGAATACATGTAGAATCAGCTTGGGAGTTGCTGCTGCCGTTGCTGCCATGAATTGTGGCCATTGCACAGTGGGAATTGTAGAGATGGCTCCGTTCGAGAGTGAATAGGGTAGTGGGCACAGTCTGATCATCATCAGAAGCTTGATGCCGTCATGTTTCAGAGTCAAGGCGAGTGCTGCGAATCGCTTGTCGTTTTCTGTGAGTCGTGTCACGTATGATCTTAGAAGCGTGCGTGATGCTAGGAATGAGGCCGTGCTGCCGATGATTGTACCGGATGCTGCAATGAGCCATCTGCCATTCAATTAGTTGCTAGGCCATTGTGGAACATGCATCCTGATGATAACCCACCCCTTTGGTACACCATAGACGAACCCAGCAAGTGTCACACAGGTAGAATACCCGATCAGCGGTGGGAAGCTGACAAAAAAGGTCGCAGCCCACAGAATCAACCAGCCGCCTGTGATATTCCTCCAGCGCTTAGCCACGGGCGACATGGCATGGAAGATCTTCTCATTGTACACAAGGAATAAGATACCAAGCACGAGTGTTGCAATGCCTGCAATGACTAACAGGATGCGTTTTGCAGGGCTAAGGCCGAAGAATGTTTTTGCAGCATTGCGTTGTAGCTTGGCTGCCTGAGCCAGTATGCCGCCTGACTTTGCTCGGCGATTTGAACGGGGAATCGAGGTTGATCGTCGAGAAAACACGGGCGAGTTGGATTGAGAGCGGCGTTCTTGTTCGTCTACAGGTAACGCCAGAGCCCGGGCGGTCGAGTTGTAGTCGGTCATGTCTAGGTAGGGTGAAGGACGAGGCTATGACTTCATCCGGTGAGCCACGCTCTGAATGACGAGGAGATGAAAGGGTACAGGAGCGGCTAGGACCTGTACTACTGCTCGAGTCAATATGTATATATGCTGGGAGATGAGCAAGAGACGATGTTAGCGGACAAGAAGAAAGGTACAATGAGTAGGTAGAGCGGACTGCTGTGGATGACGCCGGCAGCTGCTTCAGCTCGTTCCGTAGATCCCTGACTTATCTCCGTTCAAATCTCCGCCCCGAGAATGGACCCTGCCTGACCCTACTTTTACCTATATTTGGAACAGCCTCGAACATTTGATGTCGGCTAGTAGAATCCTACTCAGGCACTGTAAACAACACGCTTTGAGACTGTGAGGCCATTGCACTACAGCCATGCGCTCGCATTGCTATGAGAATAGACTAAACAAAATAAACATTAGCCATGAATCCGAGGTCCTGTAGACGCCGCTCCCATCTGTCACAGCAATGCATGTGCTCCCAGACAGCCTGCCTACGCCCCACGCTCCATCTCATACATGTGTAAACTCCAATGCTGGCAGAAAAGTATGTACAATGAAGCCAGAAGAAAAAAGAAAATGCGTCACTGGGACGGAGAAGTGAAATGCTGCATCTAATGCCAGGTACAGATGAGGATTGTAGCCTGCCAGCATTGTTTAGACATGCTACGATGCTAGGATGCTGCTGTGGCCTTTTTGCGACCGAACAGCGTCCTGGATCTGCCTCTTGCCTTCTTCACAGGCTCAGGCGTCTCCTCCCTCGGAGGTGGATCCGGCATATATTTGGGCTTGTAAATCCTGTAGGACGTTAGTATCGAGTACACTTGACATATGTTGTAAGAAAGAAGACATACCAGCTGTTACCCGCCATGCTCATACCCTTGTCCGCAGCCTGGCGGTAAAACTCTGCGGCCTTCTTCAGGTCCTTCCTGCATCCAACGCCTTGAGTGTAACAAAATCCTGCTTCGGCAAGAGCGTCCGTGTCGCCCCAACTTCCAGCGATCTCGAAACATCTGACCGCAAGTGGCTTGTCCTTTGGAATGCCCCACCCGTTCATGTATGACATGCCAAGCTCATAGATGGCAAGTGCGAACTGGGCTTTGCGTGCCTTTTGTTCCTTGGAAACTGCACCTGAAGTGTCGCTGCTGGTGTCCTCGATGAATTCCACTCCAGCTGAATCGACCGCGCGTCTAAGCCACGATACACCTTCGGCTTGGTTGGGACGCATACCCCACCCGTGTCTGCACGCGAGAGCATATAACAGCATCGCTGTCGGAAGCCCTGCCCGCGCAGCCAAGCGAAGATGATACGTCGATTTGCTGAGGGAGCCTGACGAGTGGCACTCTATGCCTTTCTCGAGATGTTGCTCCGGTGATAGACCAGCTATTTCAGTGGACGGGCTGTTTCGAACATGCGATCCTGCTCTGATCGTACGGTTCGTGCTTTCAGACGCAATCGATGGCGTCTGTGGTGTGGTCTTTTTGGTCAGTCGGCTGGGTGAAGGAGCCGGACGCTCAGCTGACTTGTTTCGATTTGAACCCGGTGCTGGACTTTGTCCGCGTGGTGTGCCTGGAACAGGACTGAGCATGGGATTGTCAAGACCCGGGCTTGGTAAGGGGCTCTCGACTATCTTGGGCTCCAGGCTAGATGGCTGTTGCTCCCACTTGAATTGGTGGTGTGCCCACGAAGACCTTGCTTCAACCGAGTCTCTGTCGAGCATGCGTCCACGAGGCAGTGAGTACTTAGAGTATACGTAGGAAGGTGCACCCGGTCCTGGGTGTACAACTGGAGTCTCTTCGCCGCTGAAACATTCCCTGTCCGATAAAGCACCAGAGATGTCTGTCGCACTATCTGAATTCTGACGTTCGACGGGCGCCCTGACACGCATGGTTTGCCTCGAGTTGGCACTCCTGGCAGTTTGCGACATGGAAGAGTCATTAGATGCCTGGCGTTCTATGGCACGGCGTGTATCAACCGTCAGATTGTTCTCAGCGCCAGGCCTTGCGAGCGAGTTGCCTCGCGGTCTGGAAAAGTTGAAAGACGGGCGAGGCAATTCTGAAGTTACAGAGTACTCGGACAGATTTGATGGAGAACGCGAAACGGGTAGCATCTCAGGGCTGAACGGAGCACGGATCTTGCTGGATGGTCCGACCTCAAGTGCTGCAGATGGACTACCATTGTCCTCTTCGGCGCTGTCGATGACCGATCTAATGCTGGCAATACTACGTGCTGATCTTGGATGTGCGGGTGACCGAGGAGGCGCCAAACTATTGTCTTGTCTCCTCGAAGATTCATTGGTCAAGGTCCGTGGTTGCGAAGATTGTATTGAGTCGATACTGCTAGTGAGACTGGGTAATGCGGGAGAGGCGTCGTCGTTCTTGAGATTCCTGGAGTCGAATGGCTCTGGAGATGAAGAGCGCGGTACTTTTATGCCAAAATAGCCCTTCTCTTCGTGCTCGGTGCTGGCTTCCTGGATGGGTTCTGGTATGTTAGGCACGTCCTGGTCGTCTCGGAGAACATTTCCTAGCATGGGGTATTGTGAAACAGGGCGGTAAACAGCACCATTGGGTGTCTGTGCCTGCAACCGGGGTGGTTGCCATTGGTCTTCCTCATCCTCGTCCTCCTCTTGATCCTCATCGTAGAGGCTCTCGACGCCACTCGACACAGATCTAAAGTATCCAGGTCGTTTTGCGAGCTCATCGGCGATGTCCTGGTGTGGTAGTCTGCTCATGCGTCTTCCGGCCTTGGAACTCTCCTCCAGCTTTCTCGCCAGGGCGCGTGAGTGAAGGGCGAAAGCATCGAGCGGAGAGAGAGCAGGCGGGATTTCACCTGCTCGAGGCGAGGGCAGGTCCATGTGGAAGTTTGGGCGAGAGCGACTGGGTAGGCGGTCGTGACCTCGAGCACCGCTCAAATCGAGGTTTTGAGGACGGTTGGTCATGATGGGTAGGCAATGAGCGGGGTTCCAGATTAATTGCGTTTTCAGCAAGTCTTAATTGGTCGCCCTGTAGAGTAGTCGATAATGTGTTGATTTGCTGCAAGGGAGGGTGTCGCCGGCGGCCAGTGCAGGTGCATAAAGCGAATTAATAGTCGTCAAAATAGAGAGATCAATGCGGACTAGAGTGCTGGCTAATTCGCATTCGTGGGGACTGTATAAAAAGGAGTGGACTGGTAGAATTGCGAGACCAAGATTGGATCGCTGTCGGACCAAGAGCGTGGCGATGAGACGCTGTCAAGGTAGTCGTGTCGAAGTACTGGGAAGGAAAGGAGTGTGTGGTGTCGTGTCGTTGGCAGGTAGCAAAACGTGAAGAAATGGAAAATAGCATACGGATAGAAGCACAGTAGAAGCCAGACGAGGGCTGACTGTGAATACGAGATGCGTTGATTGGGCTAGTCAAATCTACCAAGACCACCTGCGAAGATGGTCGTCCCCCGTGACTGCTACTGCAATACACATGTGGATCTCGTGCTGCGGCGCCAGCCATGGTTTACGGGACCCTTGAAAACCGTCGTCTGTTTTGCCGTGCTTGGACGTCCATCCCTCTGTCCGTTTGTGCAATGTCTGTTTTGGTTACGTCGCCTGCATAGCAACAATCACGAATGTACCACTTTGTCTTTTTCTGTTATCCCCTGGTTATATTTTTACGTCAGTTTGAGGGCTGAGCAATCGTCCTTGCGTGTGCTGACAGTCCTACTGTGATGACTGCTATTTAATGTGACTTTCACGCCCTTGAAAGTGGCTTGGGTCTGGAGCCTCGGCTTCAAAACCCCACTTTTGTTTTGGCTTGACAAGAGTTCGCACGCCCTGTTGCAGCATCGCAATTATCTGAGCCCCCTGAGATGAATTCTTATATACACAATTGATTTGGCCAAGGTCTTTACAAAAACTGGGTCTCAGCGTATTCGACAATGATCGTCCATGCCTTCTGCCGTCATTTCTTTGCAGGTACTGCCGTTACAACGTCTTCCGTCGGACGGACTGCTGAGCGTCCCAGCGCTTGACCCGCTTTCCGATCTTGGTCGTGAGAGAAGTATATCATTATTATTGGCCGACTGCCGTTTACTACAATATTCATGGCAGCTAAAATACACCCGACAAAGAACCCTGTAATAATGCTGCCAGACACGAGCCTGTTCGCCGAGCTGTACGCGCGGAGCAGTACATCAAATTTTCTCCCATGTGATCGATCGGTCGCTTGAAGAATCTTCGGATTCAGGAGTGTGCTGATCCTCGTTTCCAGGCGCGTGCTGCAATCCCAGCATCCAACCTACAACTCCACTAGGTATCCACGATCCGATGAAGTCGTAGATCAAGCTACCCCTGCCTACATGCCATGTACGACTGGGATTGCTGCTGTGTAACGCATCAAACATCGCCTCGTGAAGTTTGCGTATGGGTGTACCCAAAGCACCCCTGATCCTCCTGCTCTCGTCTCGTCTTTGTTTGCTTCCCGCAATTTCAATGTTTCCAAGCTTGAAATGGCAGGCGTGTAAGCCTTGAAGACCGAGCTCCGAGGACAAAGAGGCAGCAAACGCGCCTAGCGCAGAAGACACAGTGCTTTCGATTGCACGATAAGGTGGTCGCAAGGACGATATGACGTTTGGTGTGAGAAGGAGTATTTTACTCTTGAACTCGGTCACAAGCGGAAGCATATATCTTGCCACGGTGATGGTGTGCAGGACTTTTGCATTCAGAGCAGTCGACCAAGCTTCTGGCGAGAGCTGGGCAATCGATCCGACAGTCACAGATGAGACGTCGGGAACGAGAATGACACCTGCTAATGTCAGACGATGGGCAGAAGCTCCGTCGAAGGCATGGTGGTGGCGGGACAAGAAGTGGTGGAAGCGTTGCATTTGGCCTTCGGCTTTGTCGGGCTATTGCATGGTCAGTCGGGGCATGTCATTGTGGCTACCGAAAAGCACTCACATGGATGAGATCAAGGTCAAAGGGAAGCACATCCGGGCGCAACTGCTTGCGCAGGTGTTCTTCATCTTCTCTGGTGCTGGTGATGACATAGACGATGAAGCCACGACGCTCAAGGTCCATAGCGATAGCTGTAGTCAAGGGTGATGTAGGAGAACCAGCAAGGACCACAACCTCTGTCCTTGCACCATTGTTTGACTTCCTAGCTCTTCTCTTTTTCACGTGTGTCGACCTCTGTATGAACACCAAGACAGCACCTGTACCGACAAAGGCAAAAATACCAGCACTCAAAGCGGTATTGCGCGATATCCATCGGTTGATTTGGTTCCAGTAGGTGGCAGGACTGAGTGAGCGAGGTGGAGGCGGTGGCGGAGGACGAGGCCGCATCTGCTCAGGTAACCAGTCTCTTAACTGCGTCGCAACATTTTCGAAGTGTCTCTCGAGACCACCAGCAAGGTCGTTGTACTGCTGCCGTGCCGAGTCGATGAAGTACTGGGCGTCAGTCATGGCGTCCGGACGCGGTTCTTATGTTTGATGAGTGATAACATAGAAGTGGGCAGGTCTCGCGACCAAGTTCCTCGAGGGTCGTCGAAAAACACCGTCATGGTTCCTGTATGATGCGGGGTCTTTACGCAGGGAAACTGTGCCGAGCGAGTGCTTATTTTCGGTTTCATGCCTGAGCCTGCTGTTTCATGCATCTCTCTCCTTCACCCTGATATTTTCAGAACGACCAGTTTTTCTGTGAGCACAATGCCTAGATTTATTTGTCTGAGTGTGATCGTGTTCTAGAGATGAGCCAGCACGCAATGCCTCATCGTGGTCGTCTTGGCGCGCCTTCCATCTACGCGTATGGTCGTCGTGTGTTGCGGCCTCGCCACTGCTGACGAACCCGTCACTTGTTGTCTCTGCCAGCAACAATTTCAACCTTATCCTGTCTTGCAGTGACTCCTCTACACAAGTTATTGTCTACACGTTATGGAAGTGAAAGAGTGCTTGCCGGCTCCTAGCACACATTACGAGCGCCACTGATCTTGCTATCTAACTACCACCAGCTCATTTCGGCGCTGAGACGCCCTGTCACATCAAAGCAACCATGTTTCCACACGGTAACAACATCAGAGTGGGTGGCCCATCAAATCACCAAAAATCCTACCCATCGTCATTTCAAGAACATGACGCCCTGTTTGGCTCATACGAGCACCTTATGGACTGTCCGCAACCCGAAGAGGCTCTTCTCCGGCTACGAAAGATAGCTTCTCTCGTCAAGCCTCTAATGAGAAAGCGTTCTTGGAAGGTCAGAGTTCTAAGCGAGTTTCTGCCTGACGATGAGCGTCTGTTGGGCCTGAATATTAACCGAACCTACAAAATCTGTGTACGTCTACGATACACCCACAACCCAGGCACCTTCCTTCCCATCGAACAATGCGTTGACACGCTACTCCACGAACTTTCTCACATCGTCTTTGGTGCCCACGATTCGAACTTCCACGCTCTCTGGGACGAACTCAGAGACGACCATGAGACCCTCTTACTCAGAGGCTACACTGGCGAAGGTTTCTTAACTGGTGGCAGAAAGCTTGGTGGTGGTCCTGTGCCTCCACAGCATGAGATGAGGCGCTTAGCGCGTGCCAACGCAGAGCAGCGTCGTGTGCTTCAGAAGGGTTCCGGCAGGACTGTTGGAGGGAAGCGAATACCTCCAGGCGCAGATCTTCGCAAGGTTCTGGCAGACGCAGCAGATCGAAGAGCCACTATTGATCGAGGATGCGCATCTGGCACCGCCCAGGCCATCAACCTGGCAGAACAGGCTGGCAGGCATACGTTCAAGACCAAGGCAGAAGAAGACGATGCCAATAACCGCGCCATTGCAGAGGCATTGTTCGATCTTATCGAGGAAGAAGAAGCTCAAAAAATGAACGGCACTTTCAGTACGCCTCCATCTACTGGCGGTCTGACTTGGTCTAAAGAACATGGACTCGCCACAACGGCATTCAGCACACACGGTTCTGATTTGGTCAGTAGCGAGGAAGAACAGATGAGGTGGGCACTACAAGAAAGTCTGAAGGATGGCCAATCTCGAAAGCGTCCTCTATCCGTGAACGAGGATGTACAAATTCTCACCAAGCCACCACCTCTTGCAAAACCAGTACTTGCAGGACTTGCCAAGAAGGACGCGCCATTAATCGATTTGACCGAAGATGACGAAGACGAAACTCCCACTGAAAGTCCGGTCGTCCACCAACCACCTGACTCTGGAAGCTGGACATGTCGGATATGTACATGTATCAATTTGCAGACACATTTAGCCTGCGATGCTTGCGGCGGAGAGCGCCCAGCATTTATGACCCCAGCCATCAACTCTGGTATTGCTGGTCGTAGAAATGACGCGCACCCTACGGCATTCGCAGAGAAGAAACAGGCCAAACAGGAATCACTGGGATGGAATTGTAGAGAATGTGGAACTTTCGTGGAGCACAGGTGGTTTTGTTGTACCCTCTGCGGCCTAATGAAGCGCTCATGAACTTTGAAGGACGACGATGAGGCGAAGAAGCAGAAATGAAACACGATGTCTTGCTCGTGACGTTTAGAGTAAACTCAACGGCCAAGCCACACGATCGATGGCCCCGTATTATTTCCTCACTGCCTCGACAACGGACAATATTGCTCTACCCTATCCACCGAATTATGTAGCTGAATACGCGATTTTTGCGCACTTTGCAGCGTGATGAGGAGATTTCGCTGAGAATTCTGAAGCCTGCAGCTCATCCGCGCTGGCCCACACGACGCTGGTGCTGTACCGGTGTTCTAGCTATATAGCAATCCAAACAGTGTCTCAGTTCTCACAACATTGCATTAAAGTAGTCACGATCAGCAAAACGTGGTCGCAGCTCAACTCAAAAAACAAAGCTTCCAGACCAGGCGCTATGTCCATATATTAATAGTGATTGCTTGCCGCTCGTTGATCGCTTACAGCGACCGATAACAATCGTTCGTCTACGGCAATTAATCTCTTTCGGGCTTCGGACTTTTTGTCACCCTGCCAAACTTTCCTCGACTGGTGGAAGCATTCTTCTCTTCTCCTTGCTTGCAAGGCTTCAGGATACATTTTCTGGTCTCGATATCGAGAATTACGGGTACGCAATGTTTGACCGATGGGTTCGTGAGCCCTACCGCCTCGCCACTACAGACGATTATACCTCACGCTTCGCAACTTCATGGTTTCTCTCGCCTCTGCAACTGGCTGTATGGCGTGGTGTCGTCGCTTTCTATGCCTTTATCGTCATTTTCGTCATTCTGGGCCATGAAGGCAGTTTTTATGCAGGCCGATCATTCAGTTATTTCACTGTGCTCGGCTATTGGGGCCTGGCTTTCTTCTACGCCGTTTCATGCGCTCATTCAGCAAGTTTCTGGTTGTATGGTGAGTCCTGGTTGCAGAAGTGGCCGAGGTCTCTTCAGTGGTTGCATTCGGTATTCTATGCCACTGTCACGGTATTCCCTTTTATTGTGACCGGTAAGTGGGCAGTAAAGTTGTGAAAAATGATACGATGCTAACATGATCGTGGCAGCTGTATTCTGGGGTGCTCTTTCTAATGGTGCTTTGGCCGACGAGTGGTCTACTTGGTCCAACATCTCTCAGCATGCGCTCAACTCTGTCATGGCATTTGGCGAAATAGTACTTCCTCGGACACTGCCGCATCCCTGGTTCAACATCGTTCCTCTGATCGTGTTGCTCGCACTCTACCTGGGCCTTGCCTATCTTACCCACTCGACTCAACACTTCTATGTGTATCCTTTCCTAGATCCGTAAGCATACATCTCCTGCTGATATTGAACTCATGTGCCTTGCTTACTGGAGCAATAGTAAGAACGGCAGGGGCCTGGTCGCAGGAGCTTGCATCGGTATTCTGGCCGGCACAATCGTTGTCTTTGTCATTGTTCATTACTTGATCAAGCTGCGCGAATGGATCACCGAAACCAGATTCGGACTCTACGGAAACCTGTCTACTCGCAACGGCAGACTGATCAAGAGTCAAACTCACGACACCGTGGAGTTGGACAATATCAGAACCAAAGGCTCTACAGTCTAGACTTGATGTCCCTCCTCCTTTCGCCCATCCGATTTGTTTTTCCCCCCTTTCTTCAAACACCATCCTAGTGTAAATTTCTGGTCAAGCGCATGGTTTTTCTTAGAGCAGAGGTAGAAGGAAGCGGTAACGCATTATGATTATATACCCCCATCAATAACGAATTTTCATCTTGACATCGTCAATAGGCCACAATCAGGGAGCTTCCTCTCTCCAGGTGTCTTATGTTCTCAGGAGACTCGAGAGCTATTCTCAAGCTTTTTTTCCCTATGCCTTGTTGTTCATTTCAAATCTGGTCTCTCCCTTATCTTGGCCGTCTTCTTCGTCCAGACCTGTCATACCATACGAGTTCTTCGACTCTCTCTTCGCCAACTTTCGTCTATGATAAATGACACTTGTGTAGATCAGAGTGCCATAGAAAAATGCTCTGTAGTCTCATCAGCATTGCAGAACCTTAGAAACATGGGGGATAACATGCAGTGCAATGATTGTTCCGAAAAAATTCAGCAATGTCTTAATTCCGCCACTGATGTTGATGAAGATCCCAAGAAGTTCGAGGATGAAGCAGATGGTACAGAAGACACTCAGGATAATTTGAGACGTAAGCATCGTCTTTGAAGGCAGGTTCTTCTTGTGGAACCTCACGATCTCGAACATGATCATGAACAGAGCGAAGAACCACAAGATGACGAGGATGACTGCTGAGATGTATCCGAAGGTCGCACGGTTCTCGCTGTTTCGTATTGTTAGTAAGCTTGTTTTTGCTGGGTTCCTGATATTTTGCATATCGCTTACTCATATCCAAAGGTATAATCCCAGTTGTAGTCTCTATACAATGCCAGGTACCATATGTAACCAATGATATTTAATAGTGTCGCTCCAATTTGAATTGTCCACATTGGGATGAGGACCTTTCCAGACCAGGCGGTCTTTCTGTTGTAGTTCATATCCGTAGTTTTGAGAGATGTCATATCGAAAGTAGAAGCCGTGAAGCGGGTTTGAATTGCTATGTATCTTCGACAAGAGAAAGTCGTTGTACTTATATTCACATCTCAAAGAAGCATGTACTGGTCCTTGGCAAAGGATCAAGGACGGTACAGCAGCAACTTCAGATTTTATGTTGTTGCCTTGCGTCGCCTCGTATTTCCCCTCGACCAGGAAGCCGCTAAGGATTGGATCTTCGTTGCAGCGTCGACATGGCTGTGTTGTTCCTTCGATCTGCCAAAATTTGCTGACTTTGCGGATATGATCGTCGTGAATCGTGGCTTATGTCAATTCATCCTTCCTCCACTTTTGATCTATTTATAAATGAAGCTGGTTCAACCTCAGCAGCACAACAACGTCAGGCTATAGCTCAATGGTTACCTGATTCGGTACACAGCCTGCTGGGCAGAGTTTCATCCCTTTGCTGGTGCGGCCGAATGCCTGAGGCTGTGAATTAGCGGTCTTCTGTAGAACCACGATATTCAGCCGCAATGTCTGGGACCAATGACTTCAACAATGGCAAGTTTGATAAGACCGCAGAGCACTTGAAGCATTGGCAAGCGAATATGAAGGGACCGAATCATCTATATGAACAGTCAAGATTCGAACCTTGATGTTACAGGCACTTGCATAAAATCAACCTGAACGCATTCTGGCACTTCTCTCAGATCGACTCGTGCAGTCAATTGGACCTAAAACCTTAGGATCTACAAGGATTCGAAGTTCTCTTCGGAATGCTGTTGCCTGAATGGCAGATCTGGAGATCCCGTCTTCTAGCAGCGGATGCTCGGCCAAAGTGTCTTGCAAACTCAATATGGACTTTCTTTTTCCACTGGACATCGAAGGTGCCAGGATCCATGCTGATTATGATACACGAGACCGAATCCCAAGGCTGAGCAAAGTCGTTTTTGGGATTCGATCTTTCAGACAACTGTTCCTGTAGGTGATCGTTTATCAATGCTCCATCAGACTTGATCAACGTAGGCTGCGGTCCCTGATGTCTCTCAAGACCGGAGTCCACCGTCAATGTGCATCGAGATACTCGTTCCGATGACTGCACGACCTAAGCAAACAGGGCAATCATCCAGTCCTGCATCGTAGGGCATAGAGAGCTGTTGTCGGTCTTCACCTAGAAGACATGTTATTATACGTTGTAGTGGGGTAATTGTATGTCAAGAAGCCTTGCTGATAATCCACAAATACGCAACCCTGGGCCAAAAGGTCTGATTACTAGTGTGGTGGTAATTTTCGATATTCTTTGGATTTTGAACAGAACACGAAATCTCTTGGGCTGTCAAGCTCAAATCGATGACATGTAAACATCACATCGGCGGCTCCAATATAGTGTTGCTCACAGTTTGTCTTTAATCGTGTTTCAGTGCTCGACTTCTTCCGCATCTTCAACACATCGGATTGGGCAGTTGACATCAAGAGTGAGTGACATTCTCGGGCTGCTTGACATATTTGTTTCTCTCCCCATTCACGAGGTCCGGACGTGTTGGCCTCCTTTTCACTTCATCTCCTCATTTCGTTCTCACTGGTCTGAACAACACTTGTCACCACAGAATCTCCGCGAGGTTCTTTTGCTTTGTTCTCTCCTATCTTTTCTCCAGCACCATCCAGATCTCTACGTCTGCATCAAGAACTTGCCAGAACTGTTCATTTGCATCAATCTTCTCGTGAGTAAATCTTCATCACTTGCATTTATACAGCATTCCCCTTCACTCTCAAACACATCTCGAACACGTCAAGCTCCTGCAACACCCACAACAGTGCAATCTCGCGACACATATCTGATCTCCTCGACAGCCACATCATCAACAAACATCCAACTCGCGCCGCCGCTTTCAAGATGCCTGGTCTTCCACTCTCTGACACCCAGAACCGCTACCTGGCCCTGGCCTGGCTCTGCGTTGATGCCGAACCCAAGGTAAGCACTCTCACATCTATCACACAAGACTGTCTAGGGAAATTGCAAAGTACCTGCAGTGTACAACAGTACAAGCTTTTGAAGGATACCATAAATCCTCATTCATCTTGGGCATGGAACTGACTTGCCTTCTCTCCCTCTCACAGATCGACTACGAGAAGTTCTCCCAGCTCACCGGCTCGAAGACCGCAAACTCGGCTCGCGAGATGCTGCGCGTCACCAAGAAGAAGCTCCTCGAGTTCGACACTACTATCACTGCCACCAACGGCACTGTCGCACCTCCCAACACCCCTGCCGCCAAGGCTCCCAGAAAGAAGGCCACCCCCAAGACCAAGAGCACCAAGGGCAAGGCAAATAAGAAGCGCAAGGTCTCCACCGACAGCGATGACAGCGAGAACGACGAAGAGACTCCTCTAAAGAAGAAGACCGTCGTCAAGAACGAGCCTATTGACGAAGACACTGAGGCTGGTGCCGTTGCAGGTGCTGATGCCGAAGACGCTGAAGTTTGAAGCAACTTGGAGCTTTGCGGTATCTGAAAGCACTTGGGGTTCAAAACCATGTACAAACAGGATCAACGACAACGAGACGATGGAATGAACAGGGCGCAGAGAGAGATGCGAGCGCAAAGGAGAATCAACAATGCAGGATGTAAATTATCGATCAAACAAAGCCTTCATCGTGTGCAAACCTTCTCAATTTGACTTCCACATAGCGGTATGATAGACTTGATACGTGTGACTTCCCGGGACTGTATTACCCAAGCATAGTTTAAGCCGTTCTGCTTACTGGTGTTCCGTATTCAAAAATCCTTTGAGAATTCTCCGTGTAAACAGTAAAGATCGACGGGCTGGAGTATGAAAAAGGGGGTCCTGATTCGGAGACGCTCTGGTCGTCGGAGCAGCAGAGATGATAGGAGCGTGATTCAACCGTAGTTCCCACTGTTCTTCTTCCCAATCATCCAACAATCGGAAGGCAGGCACTGAAACACCCAAAAAGCCGTGGTTGTGCTTGCTGGCCAAGGGTGGGACAGTCTGGGTGGATGCAGCAGCGATGCCAAAAACGTCGTTCAATCGAAATGTAGAAATCCTGTTGAAACAAAATTGAACAAGTAAAAGATGTTTTGATTAGGGTATCAGCCTCAGACTATCGTTCGTTACGTCGTTAGAGATGTTGGAAGAAGCTTGAGCACTCCTAGAACAACAATCCTCCCAGAAGAGCACCTCCGGCAAGACCTCCCAAAATTGGAAGACCCAATCCACCTCCATAGCCGTATCCATAGGGACGTGCGTAACCATAGGCTGGACGTCCGTACATTCCGTAACCTCCGCCATAGGGTCCACCAGGATAGCCACCGCCGACACCTCCGTATGGCGCACCAAAGGGGTTAATCATGCGAACATTTTGTTGCTGGCTTTGGGCACCTTGAGGAGGAGTAAGGTAGCAGTCGCGGCCTTCGCGGTCTTTGCCGATGAACTGAGGCTGGCCGGTTTGCACAGCCCTTTGCATTGCCTGGCGCATTTCGAGATGACGCTGGTAAGCTCTCTGCTCTTCCTCGGCACGTTTCTTGCGCTGGGCTTCTCTTTCTTGGTGAGTGCTCGAGGTCATTTTGTCCTTGATCTTGCGGCCAAATTTCTTCATGCCACTAGGGTTCGAATCCTGGCGCTTAGGAGGACCTCGCGGATCATGAGCGTCGTCTTCTGAGCTCTCGGCGATGATGTCGGCATCAGTAGGCACACGACTCAGGCCTCTGATGCGGGCGCGCTTTTCGGGCGACAAGGAGGCCATGTACTCGTCGTCGTCGTAAGGATGGTGCCAGATGGAGCGCTCGGTGCGTGTGTCGACATAGAATTGATGGCTGGTCTGAGGATCATACTGTCTGATCCAGCCTTCTGGGACTTCGCGGCTTGCGTCTTCCATAGAGCGGCGGTGGTCAGGTGGAATGCCATTGCGAGTCTTGTGAGGCGTAGGGTCGGTCTTGCTGTAGGGAGGGGGCTGGTCTCCAGGGATCTGAGCTGCTGATGAGGACGCCATTGTTGTGATAATTTGTAGGTGTGGAGAGAAGAAATGTAAGAATGCAGAAGGATCAAAGAAGGATTAAAGAAGCCTGCTATCGGATCGCGGTTTCCTTGTTCCTCGCCTGTCACATGTGCTCTTGCCGTGCAAGTGATGACGCAAGACATCGTTTTTGCGCCACTCTGGGGAAAGCTCCAGCCACGATGACTTCTCGACTGACAGACAGCACAGGCCACTACGCGTGAGGCGCGTCCGCCTGAATCAATCTATTCGAGGTGCAAGTGATTGTTCTTCCCTCGAGGACGACTCACTTACTTCCTTCAATCGCTACCATGTCTCTCAAACGCAAGGCAGCTGACATTGCTGCTGCTGAAGCAAAAAAGCCAAAGGCCAACAGCTCCATCACCAGTTTCTTTGGCCCTCCCAAGTCCAACCCGTCAACGTCATCCACCAATCCGTCCAAAGGTCCAACTGACCCTGCCCCTGCACTCAGGTTCGACAAGGAAAAATGGATTGCCGGCCTGAGCAATGAACAAAAGACTCTTCTCAAACTTGAGATTGAAACGTTACACGAAAGCTGGCTTGCTGTACTCAAGGATGAAATCACGTCCAAGTCGTTCCTTGACCTCAAGAAGTTCCTCAAGAGCGAAGCCGAGTCTGGCAAGAAGATCTTCCCTCCCTCAGAAGACGTCTACAGCTGGTGCGTCTGATCAACATCTCCGTCGACTTTCTGTGCATCACTAACACAACCTTCAGGTCGCGACACACGCCGCTTAGTACCGTCAAGGCTGTCATCCTCGGTCAGGATCCCTACCATAACCTCAATCAGGCCCATGGCCTTTGCTTCTCTGTTAGACCTCCGACTCCCGCTCCTCCATCGCTCCAGAACATATACAAAGCATTGAAAAAGGAATACCCGTCTTTCGAGCCTCCACCCAACAAAGGAGGCTTGCTCACACCATGGGCCGATCGTGGTGTCCTGCTGCTGAACACCTGCCTCACTGTCCGCGCCCACGAGGCCAATTCACACGCTGGCAAGGGCTGGGAGAAGTTCACACAAAAAGTCATTGATATCGTCTGTCAGAAGCGTACTCACGGTGTTGTCTTCCTGGCTTGGGGATCTCCTGCACAGAAGCGCTGTGCAGGTATCAACGGATCAAAGCATTATGTTCTCAAGAGCGTTCATCCTAGCCCTCTGAGTGCACACAAAGGTTTCGTAAGTTTTTCCTCTCCTTGGAATCTAGAGAAGAAGAATCATCTGACCAGACTACTAGTTCGACTGTGGCCACTTTACCAAGGCGAATGAATGGCTCAAGGAGAGATATGGTGAGGATGGTGTGATTGACTGGAACCTCAATGTCGCTCCTGAAGACGCTGGCGTCTAATAGCATTGAGAGCTATATAGTAGCTGTAATTATCTGTACGAAAGTAGAGACGAAAATCCCATCCTTCGCTTCGAAATGCTGTTGCCAAAAATCTTGTTTGTGTAGCGACCCTGTCCTTCAAAGCCGAAACAATTTCTTCTTGGCAAGCTTGACCATTTTTCTTGCTGGACATTTCTCGCATACCAATCACAAAACAACAAGATGCCTGCAGTAAAGAGACAAGCAAAAGCAGACAAGCCCAAGAGGTTGAGGAAGCGCAGAGCCAGAACAGAAGGTGTGTTCTACTGGAGGGAGATCTTGTGGACATGCATTAATTGAAAACACTCAGTCTCGGATTCTTCAGACTCATCGTCGTCAGACTCCTCATCATCGTCAGAGTCCGACAGCAGTGATTCGGAGCCTACACCCAAGAAGCAAGTCGTGGCCAAGTCCAAGGTCAAGACAAAGGCCGTTGCAAAGGTTGGTGATACTTCGTCTTCCATCTCAAGTCCTGTTTCACGTTCCTCGCTTGCTTCATTTTCCATCAGTCAGGACTGGATTTTCTTCCAGGATCTTTCCCTGTCTTGTTGATTAATGCATGAACATGCGAGATAAGCTCCTCATCAGGGTACACTGACTGACTGTTATACAGTCACCATCCCGGTCATTATCACCAGAAGAAGATCAGACCATCACTACCTCCACAGATGGACCCCAGGTTGGTGATGTAGAGGCAGAAGATGCATTTACCTCATTCTACCTCCGCCAGATGACCACCGAGTTTGCCGAAGACCTCGACAAGATTCGCTCAGCAGGCGACTTCAACGACAAATCACTGGGTCTGCTGATCGGCGCACTCAAGCAGGGCCGCGAATGCTTCGACCGACACGACAGACTGGCTGTTGGTAAAGCTATCGTCGCTGCCAATCAGTGAGATTCTGCAGACCCCAAACCTTAGTGGTGCTCCTGCACTTCCAAACCATCTCAACTTCTTTCACGTGAACGAGATCTTGATATTGGGAGGTGTAGGGATGGTACCCATGGCGAACAGATGACAAGGATGCTACGGTAGCTGCTGATTTCGTTGAGAGGGACTACGGATGAGATCTATGTTACTGAGAAGAGTTGGTGCCAGGTGAAGTGCCCTAGCTCGGTACACTCGCCTACTCAATGCACTGATCTCTTATCCTATGTCCAATCGGATCTATCCATGGGCGGCATGTCTTATGGGCCAGGATGTTTGCCCTGTGTCCAAGGGCTGTCACATCAGATACGCGAGAGAGGTTAAGTGGTCTTCTTCAGAGATAGGGATGCTTGCACCGGGATGATCGATCTACAGACCGCGGTGGTACTTTATGGAGGGTATCTTTGCAGGGCTCAGCCCTCAACTGCAGGATCAAGCGAACTTGCAGCAAAACTCAGGGTCCTAGAGCCACAAGCAGGTATTACTACGTTAAGGTCGTGGAGACGGACATTCAGTTGTCGGACACAAATCCGAATGCGGGACATACACCGTACAGTACAGATGCAGAAGTACAGTACGCGGAGCGGAGAAGGATTCACAAAGATCTTCCGAACGCCAACCCTCGTCCTAAGCAGCGCATTTCCTATAGGTCAGAAAGCCCATCTTACGCATGACATTGCATTCCAAGAACAACCGTGATGGATGCTCTGCTGTCTAGTTATTCGCAGTCGCAACCAATCGTATGCTTCAGAACGTGCCTTTTGCCTCCTCGAAATTTTGCCCATATTGGGGTCAAGATAGGCAAATTAGGAAGATAGATCTGCAGGTAAACGCAAAGCCTATGTAAAGTGGCGGAACGAAGCTCCGTGTATGGTGCGGCTCGAAAGGTTGGCTTACGAGGTACGCACCTCGCAGGTCACTCGGCAGGGTTTGCCGCTGAGCGGAGTTAACAATGGCAAGCACGCGCGGGGTGGCTAGCTCTTTTGGCAATTCCAGCGAGCGAGATAATGCGCGTCTTTTTCGACACGCTGCTCCTGCCCAACAATCAGTAAAGTCTGGCGATACCGATGTTGTGCTGTGGTGCCTTTGTGAAGTGCCTCACTCGCTATCTACCACTCACCAAAACGTGGGGAGCCGAACACGTTTGGTGTACCTTTATTGGCAGACAGAAACGAATAATGGTTGCTGGCGTAAGTCCAGAGCAACATGGCGTTTTGTCTAACTCCAGCCCTCATGCACATTCCGGCGACTCGGCTGACGTGCTTTTTGATAGGCATAAGAAATCCTTTCGAAGGATGAAATGCATGTGTAAACCCCATTCTGACACAAAATATGAGGAGGCAGCGATTACTGATCATTGATTGACAGTGGGGGCTGCTAAAAGTGACGGATGGCGTTTAGTTCGTGTTTCCGTTGGTTTAGCACGAACCTCAGTACAAATTTTACAAGTTCTCAGGCATCAGATCTCTCGATCCTCTGCGTGCCGAAAAGTGCAAGATCTACCATGGTACAATGATTCGTCTCCAGGCACGGCCGAGAGGACTCAGCAGAGTTCTGAGATGGACATCTTTTCACACTCAAGCAATTGCTCGTTAATAACGAGAATCATACTCGAGTAGTGACTGCCTGATCTTCGTGGTCACAGTGACTCAGTTGAAGGTACCTTCTGGGCCCCATGAATGGCTGCCCGCGCGGGTCTGTTCTGCTGAGAACCTCAACTAGTGGCGGAGAGCAGTCCGTATTTAGATAGGGAAAAGAACAACCAGCTACCAACAGGGACCCAACGGACCAGCATGCCGTATCTTGCAGGAACTCAGGGGAGGTATTGTCGAGGGGAAGCAGGATATTAGCCGTACTCATCAATTTGGTGGTGGAGTCCTGCAATGCAGGCAAGGATGTGTACGCGAGGCGTGCGGCTCATCAACCGCCCTGAATAAAATGTCCAATCAGGCTGTGCATTCATGCGTGACGAAAAGGGTGTGCAAACGACGACGTCCGTCGAACAAAGAAATCGCCAAAATGATGGAACGACTCCTCGTAGGTTCTGTTGCGGCTCTGTTGTCACCAGGTGAACAGCTGAGACAAAGGCTTACGCCAGTTAATCTTTTGCCCGTCCCGGAAGTTGCAGAGACAGCAGCGGCGTCATCTGAGAGTTTCCAGCGACCGTTTGCTGGCCCACACCGCGTGTCTGCGGCCGAGATAACCACACAAATTCGGAGCTTTTCTACGATTCCTTTCTACGTCGTCGCCCCTCTCCTGCGGAATATGGCAGCGCGCTAGGCATGCATACCCCACGCCTAATCGCGGGTTTGAACTCCAGCATCGTGTTATGCCTAATATTACTTAGCGAGACGGGCGTGGTGTCGATTAGCAGGCTGGCAAAAGCCGGTCCAATTGTTGAAAATGTGCAGATTTCTCGATCCGATCTCAGCAATTTACTTCCAAGACAAAATGCCATTCGTCCACCGACTGACTCTTGATCATGTGCGATAGTCTCAAGACAGGTTCAGTACCCATGCAGGGTGGAAGGCAGCCTAGCAGATGTTTTCCAAGCAGATAACAACGAGATTGCTGGGGATATTTGGACCAGTGACGACCCTCCATGGACAACAGACTCCGGCACAGATCTGGTGAGCACAGTGCTAGCGGCTGCAACTGCAGTCCACTGCGCCGGGAAATGTCTTCCACCACGTTTTCTCAGATCTGGGTGGTACGAGATCTGAGGTGATGCTTGTTTTGCTGACTTGAGAGTAGGGCTTTCTGTCCACAGAGTCACAATCCTTGCTCACAGAAATTATTGTGCAACGTTGACACAGTATCGTGCCGTCTCCTTCAAAATGCTCCCGATATCTCAGCTGCTTTAAGCAGAACTGGCAGCCCTGGAGCGTTACTATTGGGGCTGCATCTGTACTATTGATTTTCCCCTTGCCTCGAGGCATCTCTTCGTGCTGTGCTAAGTCACGATACATGCAGATGCGGTGTACGAGTAATCCAGATAAGCGAGGTTTTCGCCACACTCAATCGACTTTCTAATTGCTGCCCCGGAATGTCCAAAGGTACGTACACGAACCTAAGGGAGCTAGCCCCTACTCAAGCACCACTGTGGAACCACAATATCCATGGTGCATTCGTGCAAGTGACCCAAGGCACTGCAAGGGTGACAAGGGCGAGTAGAATTGGTGAGATTTTGGCGTGTCGAACTGACAAGTGAAACGGAGACGCTTGCTCAAGATTTCGGAGCTATGACGAAGGATGTACCAACATCTAAACTGGTTCCCGCGTCCGGTGAGCTGTCTACGGGCGGGCCGTTGGGATCTAGCTTGGACTGGAAACTCTACGATTGGCGTGAACCGTACCAGATCGAACAAACCGCGAAAGAGCTTAGCTGCATCGAGTATGCGTTTCTGGGGATCTCGAGCGTTGAAAAGGCGTCAAAGTGACACTGGAGGAGCAGGCCAAGCCGAGCGTGGATCGAGAAATACATTTGGAAGCCTCTGACGATCATTCGGCCGATACGCCTCAAGCAAGATTAGGTCTTGAGCACCGAAAAGACGATCGCGGTACCTGCCCTTGGCCACGTCAGATTGTTTCTAAACGCAATGCTGATCTTTGAGGACACAAGGGTGAAAATGTCCCTTGATCGCAGCGAAGCAATCCGCTCGTATGGCACACGCATCGAGGTGCGTCGTGACAGGGATTCATCAAGCAAAAAGGTCTTCAGAATCGACTCGGTAGCAACTACGGAGCATGGATCTGAGCAGGCCCGAGAAATAGCGCGCGAGAATACTAGCAAGTTGAATATTGGGCCTGTCGAGCAGCGACATGGTGCAACAGCAGATGGTCAGAGGTAAAACGACGTTTAGCTAAACATTTCAGAAAAGTGACGTGGAAGGAGTGTGGGCTCGGCGGATGGGCGGGAGCCAGACTCAAGCGGGAAGGCGATCGGGGAACGTGGCCTGTGTGGTGCAGCTCTCAGATAGAGTCGATGCCAGAAAGCTCCGAGCGCATGTCCCGTTACTCCACTTTCAAATGGGCCAATCACTGGGGCTCCCAAGCCACGACCACACGAAACCGAAGAACCGAAAGCTCTCAGCATGAGCCGCTGTCGTGGTCCGGGCGAACAGAAAGAGTTGGCGCGATCGAAGCTCAGCCTTCAACCTCGGCGGCTTCCTGCCAATGACACCAGACTGCAAATCCCACGCCCTCTGGTCTCTAGCTCCGATCGAATGCCTGCAAGGCTTTTATCTCCCCGGCCACCCTCCTCATTCTCGTCCTCGTTCTCTTTCCCATCTACACTCTTCGTCTCTCGAAACATTTGTTATTAGACAAATTTGAGAACAAGTCCTCACTTCCTTTTCAACCTCAACACTATCACTCGGCTTACTGGTTATCTCCTTTGCCTCCGCACTCTACATATCACCGCGGCGGTATCACTCAGCACACAGGTCCAATCCTTGAAGCTTCTGGCATAATTCTCCGAGACCCCTCTTTCCAGGACCACTTCTGTCACCTTTTTCCCCGGCACTTTTCATTACAACCTCTACAGTTACACAAGTAATCCTCTTATCGCCATGCCTCCTCTCAGATCTATCCCCGCAGCCAAGCCCGTCAAGACGGAGCGCACCCACGAAGAGAATCAGGAGAGGTTTGTGCCACCGTTCTTCTGTATTACGAAGTAGGTGCTAACCTGATTTCAGAGCATACATCGCTGCTTCTCGTCGCAGTGACCGTAGTCTCGAGGCTCGAGTCGAGTCTGCTCGCCGTGCCTCTGAGATTCACAAAAGACGCACAGGAAGATCGCTTCGCGTTACCGAGCAAGACGTTATCAACGAGGAGATGTACGAGGAGGAGGATGACGACCTGCCCATGCAGTACCGTCGCCTCACTGCCCATCTCCAGACATCCAATGCCGATTTCGACCGTAGACTGGCTGCATACCTCACCAACCATGTTGCTATGCGTGCCGCCCTTGGCCAAACCATGGGTGATCAGTACAATCCCCAGCAATACCCTAACGCTCCTCAATTCGCCAACCAGCTCGGTCAATTCCCTCAATCTTTCCCCAATCCCATGCTTCCTCCTCAGATGGCCAACAGGTCACCCCAAAGCTTCCGTGCATCCCCCTACCCCCAACAGGGCTTCCGTCAGTCTATGCACGGCCGCTCGGCATCTATTGCCACTCCTCAGGAATTGCAGCAAATGAACAACTTCTCATCAGTACAAAGCCCTAACGCTGCTTTCATCAAGCCCGAGGATCGTCGCATGTCTCTGCCCATCCAATCGCAGCAGAATGCTGTCGCATCACCGCCACAGCTTACTCCTGCTTCGCGAACCTCATCATCTACCAGCCTCACTAACCTGAAACATGAGGCAGCCAAGCAGAGCAATGGTCAGGCGTCGCCAACGGGTCAAACCTCACCATCCGCATATTCCTCTTACAATAACGCCTCGTCTGCCTTTGATCCCAGCATGATGAACATGATGCCTTTCTCTACTTCACTGCCTAATGAATCACAGCAACTGCTTGGACCTGGATTCGATCAGAACGATGCTTTCTCGCAGATGCTCATGGGTAGTTACGGCCCGCAGCAGTCTCAGCCTTTCTACACCTACAACCCCAACCCCACAAAGTTCAAGGGCGGCAGTCCCTGCTTTGATGGAATCAACCAAACACTTGCTCCCGGTATGCTTGACAACAACATGGACAAGTTCAGCACGCCGATGTCGGGTGCCGACTCGGTTCTCACACCGTCAACCACATTCGGATTTGATTCGAACTTTGACCCTCTCAAGGGATTCTCGCACAACAACATCAGTGGCATGACAACACCTGGTGAGAATGACTGGTCAAATCTTCTCGACTCGAATGCTTGGGAGGAGCAGAGCTCGCAACCCGCTGTTGTCAACTGAGCTCTTCTTGGTTGTCACTCAATCTGCGTTTCTATTCTTTGATGTATTGATATATTGTTTTGGGGTTTTGGTGTTCTGATGATACCTCACGGATGATGGATTTACTGGGATAAAATGGGAGGATAATCTCTGAAACGGCGTTGTAGGGCATGAAACACACACGGGATTTACGACAGCGGGCTATGAGAATATGGATGGGTCTCTTTTCTTTTGGAGCGGTAATGACTGAGATTCATGAATACTGAACAATTACTCGGCTGCTTTGCTCTTGCAGAGCGGTTCAAATCCTTCGCACAACTCTCCCTACAACTACTTTATCCAACGTGAATATGATGCAAAGTTGTCCTGATTGGGATGGCTGGTTCAGGACAATAACAGTCGACAAGCGATGTAGCGGTGACGGTGGTGGGAAGCTACATGTGGATGGGACGCTTGCGGCGAGAACAAGGACGAAAAAGCAATTGGAAACGCCAGGGCGGCCAGGTCAGACTCGGACGCATGTTCCTGCACCAAAGGGCCAGCGGGAATTTCAAGCCGCAGGAAGCCTATTTGTCACGACACGCACGCAGCTTTTAGCCTCGCATGGGGAGGAGAAAAAGAGGGGGCACGCTCGGAGTCGCACTGCTGAGCAGCAGACGCGTAGGCGGCGTTTTGCCAAAGGATGTCAGCGACCCTGTCTTAGCTACTCTCGCCCTATCTGTCTGCGCTGCAGCCGATATGCGTACAGGTTGCGGTTTTCGATCCTCGCAGCCATCGGCCCCTGGCCCTGAGCCATGACCCACGTGTATCCATAGATCTCGCACACGACAGACAAGCCTTTGCGAACACGAGATCTTCAAGATCTATGGAGGCGCTGGCGGCATCGAGAAAAGCACATGGGAAAGGCGATCGCAGCACGCAGGGACGGGTAGCAACGGACGAGTGACAATCGCGATTCGCGTGCAAAGCAAAGTGAGACAGGGCAAGCCAAGATCTGTAGGCTGGGTAGGTCAGATTAGCTTTGGACGCTAGATCTGATGAAAAGCTGAGGCCTCGCTTTGGTGGGCAGATTCAGATTCAGATTGATGGGTTGCAAGAAAAAGCGACGAGATGGCGCCGCTGAAAGAAGAGGCAGCGTGAATCGCAGCTGTTGATGGCTGGTGCTGGCGGCTGCGTGGGTCAACCCCGCATGGCGCTTTTCACAGCTGCGATCGGGTTGCAGCTCAAACATCCGACTCGACGACAGGCTTGGCGCATTATCTCCGGCAAGAGACAGAAGGTGCCGTCTGCATCGTGCTTGACCAGCACAGTCGAACTTCTTGCACAAGGACATCATGACGCTTGCGGCATGCCTCCTACTAATTCCTCTCGTACCCTCCTGATTGCACCGCTTCCTCGTCGCTGCCAAAACCTCGCTGCCCTTTCTCACGCCGCCACTACTGCTCGAAACTCGTCGACGTCATCACCACTACGGTATCGCTCTAGCACACGACCAGCGACCACAGTAGCAGCAGCATCAGCAGCAAGACGAGGTAACGCCTGCAGCTCTTCATCATGTCTACCGCGAGGCTATGCCACCATAGCTGGCGATCCCATGTCAGCAGGCGTACCTGATTCATCCTCGTCGTCCTCGGCATCGCCACAAAATGACATGCCATGGCCGAAGGCACCAAAAGGCCATACACACCCGACACCATATCAGATCCTCTCGACCACCGAATCTGAACCATACAGCAAACGTCGTTTCTATGAACTGGTGAAATTATACCATCCCGACTCTGGCGCCTGTGAAAAGCACCATCATCACCATAGCGTGCCACAACCCTTGCGTCTTGAACGTTATCGTCTGGTCGTGGCCGCTCACACCATTCTCTCAGACCCGGATAAACGCAAGATGTATGATCGATTCGGCGCTGGCTGGAGCGGTGTCCCTAGCACAGTTGGTGGTAAACCTGGATCAGATACACCCGCCGGTCCGTTCAGCGGCTGGCGCCATCATTCAGACCCCAACATCTGGGGCAATGCGACCTGGGAGGACTGGGAGCGTTTCTATGCTCGTCGGGATGGTATGGCTCAGCAACCACGATATCTATCAAACGGCAACTTTGTCTTGTGCGTCATTCTGCTCGCAATGATAGGTGCTTCTCTGAACCTCAGCCGGGCAGAGTCTGAGGGTGACAGAGTCGTGGCAGCAAGGGATCTGGTACATGACCGCGCGAGCAAGGATTTGAGACGCGTCCGTCAACTATCTGAAAACAGACCCAAGGAAGAGCGTATCCAGTTCTTCATCAGGCAAAGAGAGGCTACTATGCATGGCATTGGCGTTGAAAGCCTTAGAGACGACAAGGTAGCAAAGTTATTACCCGAGCAGGAGACCTGTTTGAGCGACGAGTTGCGCAGCGGCGGTTCCGAATCATGAAACTTTTATGTGTGTATATATGTTTCTTTCCTATCATCTTTAGATGACTACATAACCAGGGACTGGCGTTTTGGCAGGCAGAACACCATGTTTCTACTCTCATTCTTTCTTCTGGCAAAGCACATGGCCATGGCTTCCGAATAAATCGTCTCGAAAGTAACATGCACCTGCTCGTCACAGTCAACGAATCTTTTCTGGAGAAGGATTGTAGAGTCTTCTATGTGAAATTCGTTCTGCTGGAGTACTTCCGTGAGCAATGCCCATCGCTCAAGTCATACGTACGTTGCGATTGGAAAGCACAGGGAAACTTCACTGATGTACAGGTACTGAGGATCTCCAATTCAAGAAGCATAAATTCGTTCATACATACACACATTACATATCGGTATTCATAACAATATGGTCGACCACTCTAGCCAATACTTTAAGCAACCACGAAGCCCTTCCAGCCATCGAGTGCATTTCGACATTCCTTCTCGTACATGGGGAAACCACCAGGGAAGTTGAGTTGTTCTCTTGGCTTGCCAGGGATGTTGGCACCCATGTACCAGGACTCAGTGCCAGGGAACAAGGTCTTGTCTGAGAGTTCGGTCACGAGCTTGTGCCAGCTGGTCTCTGCATCCTTGGTGGGTTCGATGGTCTGCTTGCCGGTCTTTTGTAGTGTGGCAATGGCGTCGACGATCCAGTCGCCTTGGACTTCGACACAGGTGGGACCGTTACTGAAGGCGGTAGGACCCTGAGCACCATACAGGAAGAACATGTTCTGCAAGACTGGTCAGTAAACGTTGTATGTGGTTAAAGGAAACAGCAGTGTATCGCTTACAGGGAAACCGTTGCAGGTCATACCAAGGTATGTCCAGGTACCGTTCTTCCATCTCTCGCCCAAGTCCTTGCCCTCGGTGTCCTTCAAGCCCATATTCTTCATGCCACCCGTAACCGAATCGAAACCAGTAGCGAGAGCGATGATGTCGAACTCCCTGAGCTTGCCGTCGCTAGTGACAATACCGGTCTCTGTAAACTCGGTGATTGGGGTCTCCTTGACGTTGACAACATCATTCTCTGCTCTGTCCATCATCTCGTAGAAGTTCTGCTCCAAAGAAGGACGCTTAGTTCCCCAAGCATGAGGGGCCTTGAGAGGAGCCAGAATATCACGCTTGCGGGGATCAGCAATGCGCGCTCTGGTTTTCTTGGCCCAGAAGTTGTAGGCTTGGTCGTTGGCCTTGCTGTCGAACAGGAGATCCTTGTAGTTTGCGAGCCAGAACTTGAAGCCGCCTTCTTCCCAGAGTTCCTCGTAGAACTTCTCACGTTGCTCTTCGTTGTCGTCGAATGTGTTCTTTTCGACAAAGTCATATGAGAATCCGGCGAAAGTGGTGAGACGGTTGCGGTAGATCTCGGGGTACTCTCCCTTAGCGTTTTGCTGTTCCTCCTTGGTCAGGTCGCGTTGACGCATGGGCAAGCAGAGGTTGGGTGTGCGTTGGAAAACGGTGACGCTGGCAGCATCCTTTGCTGTCTCTTGGGCAATTTGGATACCGGTACTGCCCGTGCCAATGACAGCAACACGCTTGCCCTTGACATCGACACCCTCATCGGGCCAGAAAGAGCTGTGGTGCAACTCGCCCTTGAAGTCGGTAAGACCCTTCCAGTCAGGGAAGTGACGCTTGGCTGCGAAGCCGATGGCGTTGATCAAGTACTTGCACTTTGCGGTGCGGCCATCCTCGGTCTTGACAGTCCACATCTTTGATTCGTTGTCGAATTGAGAGCCAATGACACGGGTGTTGAAACTGACATCCTTCTTGACATCAAGAGTGTTCTCAACATGGATGAAATATTCACGGAGCTCGTTGAAGTCAGGGTACTTCTGAGTCCATGTCCAGTCTTTCCAGACCTTCTCGATCGAATATTCGTAAATAGGGACTTGTGTATCGACGCGAGCTCCTGGGTAGCAGTTCCATCGCCAAACACCACCAAGCTCGTTTGCGGCTTCGAAGATCTTGACATTCAGACCGACCTCATCACGAAGCTTGTGTAGTAGATAGACACCACCAAAACCCGCACCAACGATGAGGACATCGCAGGTGAGTTCTTTGGCATATGTGCTGTTCTTCTCAGGGTGCAATGGTGCATTGGGATTGGTAGCACCAATGTCTGTTCGTAGATGTACCATGATGACGTATATTAGTGTGTTCCAAGATCAAATGAAAGATTGATAGAGAATTGCTTCTGGTCTCTTTGAGTCCGTCCATAGTCTTTATATCTATCCTCTGACCATCCTGCTACGCATTCGGCCTACCTTCCCGAAAGCCTTCGAATACCCCCCTCGTGGTCCTCTGAGCCTATCGGGATACCCAATAGAGGAACTTTGCCGCATGCTCTTGTGGTATCTCCAAGTAAACTCGTGACTTTGACATTTCGGAAACCGGGGACTCCACAAACGGTTGGGTGGGGGATGCGGGGGAGGCTCAGATCGCTGGTGATGAACAAGGCAGGTGCGCCGACTATATCTCTCGGGAAACCTACCTTGTTGAGCGCGTGTTTGGTTAAATCTGGCAGTCGGACGCAGTCCTACGTATCTTGTTTGGTTGGAAGGAAGTCCTTGGCTGTATACACTAGGATTTCAAGTGTTTTTGTCAGCTGAGAAGGATCTCGCTCGACCGGGACATTGGCAAAAGGGCCAAAGGAAGTCAGTAGTTCAAGAAAGGATTCAATAATGAATTCGAAAGCTTCTGGTCAAATTATCGGTGCTATTGCATGCTATGTTATGCTGGGGTATCATAGTATTAGGGGTTTGAAGCAAGGCCAACCCCATCAAAGAAAGTAGGCAGACTTTTGCTGCTGTCCAACGAGAAAACAACCCAAGTGAGAAACACAAAAGAAAGGTAGATCGTGCACTGTGAATTGCAATGGTATGCACGCACCGGACCACTGGAAAATCTGGGGTACTGAGGTACAGAATTGAAGATCGACCAAAGAGGAGAACCGAGACGCCGTCAACTCAGGGTAAACCTACGCGAGCGATCAATTCCAAGAAAGCTCCTCTGCGCCGCGCACTTAGACTTGGAGATCCTGGCCTGTTCTCAGCTTTGGCAGAAAGTCCATTTCCAAGATTGTGTATAGTCCTTCCACTCGCTTCCCTGACTGTAGAGAGCAACATCTAGGATCCTGAGAGCAAGCTACTGACGATGTCTTCCATGTCGGCCTCACTAGGCTCGTAGAGCAGGCTAACCTCTTCATTGTCTTCCTCGTCATCGTCAGGAACGAACTTCTTGGAGGCGCTGGCGCCCTTTGCCTTGTTAGATGGATTCTTTGTAACAGCCTTTGCAGGAGTCTTTCTGGTAGAGGCCCTCTTCTTGGTGGTGGGAGTCTGGGGTTTGACAACAGGTTTGCCGTTCTTGATCGTGACATCGCGAGCATTGTAGCGCGTGGTTGCCTTGGACACAGCTGGCTTGGCTGGCATCTTGACTCTGGTACGGTTGCCATTCTCATCAAGGGGTCGGTTGGTGCGCAAGGTTTGGTATCTTCTGGAACTCTTTGCGTCGGAGATAGCCAAACGTCTCATCAGTTCAGCCTTCGCGCCGTTGAAGTCTTCATGGCGTGCCTTCAGCAGATCCCTGAGCTGCTCAATACTTGTGGTCTTGTCTTCGTTGTTCAGGCGCGAGATGATTATGGCCTTGTTTTCCTTCATGCGGTTCAGAAGCATGCCACGTGCACGCAGGAGGTCGTGCAACTCATCGATGGTGCACCAGCTACGAGGTTCCTCAGAGAAGCCGTCAGCAGCGATGGAAGGCTGCTGAGATTTGCTCCTGCCAGGATTGGAAGGCTTGGCGATAGGAATAGGTTGAGTGTCAACAGCTGCTGTGGCTACGGGCTCGACGATACCATCGAACTCGTGAGAACGAGCATTGATAGCGGCTTCTGTTGCACTGATGTTCTCGTTACGAATCTGGTCCGCAGTGTTCTTGTAGGCGTATCTGCTCTTGGGCGGGTGCATGGTCTCAGTGTCTTCAGGTTCGGGGGTGATGCCGTTGTTTCTCTCCTTCTTTCTCAGGAGAGCAGCTACTTCCTTCTTCAGCTGCTTGTGAAGACGATTGAAGAATCTGTGCTTTCTCTCGTTGTAGATGCGTTCCGCGCGGGCAGCGTCGAGCGCATTCTGCTTGCGCTGTTTTGCGAGAGTGACCGCTTCGGCCAGAGACTGGCGGTACTCGTCTGCATCCTTCTTCTTCTTGGCCTTGAGCGCAGCTTGAGCCTCCTTGCGCTGACGAGCAGCAACTTTCTCGGCAGTGTTGTTCTTCTTCATGCGCTTCTTCTCCTCGGCTTCAAGAGCGTCACGCTTGGCTTCTTCCTCCTTACGCAATTTGTAGGCAGCAATACGTTCCTCACGTTCACGTTGGCGGGCCTCCGGATCAGGATCAATCTCTGGAGGGCATCGAGCAGTGCCATTACGACGTGCTTCATGGCGTTGTCGGCAAGCCTTGGCGGAGAAGCGCTCACGAGGAAGACGCTTGTTGAGGTTCTGAGCCGTCCAAGTCCAGCGCTTCTGTTCAAGTTTTTCCAATTCAATTTGGAACTTCTTGTCGGCAATTTCGTATGCTTCCTCGAGCAGTTCGTCCTAGAATAAGTCAGTCAAAGAACACATACAATGAGTATTGTTTGTGGGCTCCTACCTCTCCAAGGTGCCAGTCGGTCAGCTCCTCGTCGAGCAATTTCTCCTCGTACTCTTGTGTCTTCTTACGGATGCGCATCCAACGGCAGGCGACACTTCTAGCCTCGTAGCAGGTGAAGCCCTTCTCGATAAGACGGTCACGAATATCTTCATCCTTGTAGCCCTGCTGCTTCATGTCGACAATCATCTGATCTTCCTCATCGAGGTCGACAGTAATGGGCTTGAATGAGGGGGCATGACCGCCTTTGATGTTGGTGCCCATCTTGAATCTCTTTTGACGCTTGGCGGGGAGGACTTCATCTGCAGCAGGACGTTTCTTCGAACCCTTGCTCATGAACGGGTTCTGCTTCGAACTCTGGGAGACATTAGCTTTGTACGATTGATGTAATATCGATCTCAAACTATACCTTGTCAATGTCATCGATGTATTCGTCATCGTTTTCGACATCGTCTTCACCGTCAAGACGCGGAGCGACAGGACAGGTGTAAGGGATGAGAACATCGGCTACAATATATCAGATTCAGTAGTTCGGAGTGGAAGTACCAATGGCGAAACTTACATGGTGTTCCGAAGAAGAGTTCCTCGGTCGACATGGTAGCTTGATAAGTGGATGTACTGTAGGTGAGTGGCTGTGGTTAGTGGTCAGTAGGAAGCGGAAATTGGAGAGTAGGAGGTGGGAAGTAGGAAGTGGAAAGGAAGAAGTGGAAACTAGAAGAGCAGAAGGTGGTTGCATGTATCAAGAACAGATATAAAAGCACTGGGTGGATATGGTTGGGGGCAATTTGAGTGAGAACACGGGCATGGATATAGTTCTTCGACTCTCGAAGCGCTTCAACGCGTCCAAACAGGAAACAGCCGTACGAGGATCAAACCTACCTTCAGATGGCGGGGCGCGTGTCAATGACACAAATGGGTTGTGGCTAGGAAAGACAAAGGGGAAGAAAACAAGAGAAATATGTAACCTTGTGAGTGCGAGCCCAGTGTTGGCACTCTGGTGCACGGTCCTCGGAGTATTTGCCTAGGAACGCGAGTGACGGCGGAGCGGGAAAAGATTACTGTCGATACCTTCTTGGAGTGCACCTTACCAAGCATTCGTGATTAAAGGTGATGTCTTCAAGCTGGCTGCTGAGCGCGAGTGACGGCACAGCGTGATGGGTCTTCGGAGCAATGCCCGTTGAAAGAGAAACTTACACGCACAAGGGATCAGGACCCGTGACTAATTTCTGAGCCGCGAGTGACTGCAAAATACGATGAGGTTGTGTAGATACCTGGTGGAAAAGGCGTTTCCTGGGCAAGAAGGACGTAGACCCCAGACAGGAAGGAATCAGACCCTGAACGCTGGGTGCCCGGTTGCAATTGAAAGCTCCCTCACGCTCGCTTAGAGTGATGTTGTGAGCTATAGAAATGCATGCTTGCTTTCCGAGACATGGCCATAGAGATTCCACAAGATGTCGCCTTTCTGTGGGCAAAGGTCTCCTATCAGAAATATTGTGCAATCTTTAAGCAGATGTGTTACAAACGATGGCTCATGGGATCGAACGAAGTCCTCGCGTGCGTCAAACAATGCAAACAGCCCAGCCTCCTCATTGTGCTTTCCTCCTCCATTGTCGCATTCAGCATTCTCTCGTCCTCTGACCTTTTTCTTTTCTCAGCTGTTTCGTCGTCTCTTGGATACACCACCACGGGCCGTCCTTCCGTTAGTGTCGCCTGTCGTTGGCTCTTCGATCGGTCTCGAGCTTCCTCCTGTTTACAAAATCCTTAGCTGCTTTCTGTCGCTCCGCGTTCATGACCTCTCTGACACCAAGTCAAACTTCCAGTGAGGAGTATTCGATCAACGCATTGCTCTTTGCATGAACGGGTATCTGCTATCCTCATCGGCTTGTTGCATGAACGCGTCAAGCTTGATGGTTGGATGCAGAGATAGCACGAACAATTTCTTTACAGAGCTAGCGAGTAGGTACTTCTGAATACGAGCTCTGATGCGAACAGGTGGGTCGTAGCAAGTGATTGTAGGTTCAAAGCTACGTAAGAGAAGACACATGTGCATGCATCACCATCACCATGACCAGAAAAAGACGCTCATACAAGTCTTGGTATCCTCTATAGTCTATACTGATATTCAAGCACCCAATGAGTACTAGCCGACTACTAGGTCACCGCGTATCATTGTCACGTTCACCCAGGGGGTTCATCTGAGCAGCCCCGCTGTCGACAGTATCGCAGCAGAATCTGCATGGAGCCTTCTCACCTCCGCATTTAGACTTTGCAAAAAAAAAAAGCAAGAAGCCGGACCTCTGTCGTCAGCTCTACTGGCTCCAATCACTGTATACAGAGAATGGTCCTGGTGTGTTTCCTGTGTATGGTCGGAGCAACCGAGAGTATACGCACACTACAAGAAAGTGGCGAGTCATCAAGCATTTTCCGCTTTGCGTTTGAAGGGAGATAGAGGATCAGAAACACATTCATCAGAAAGAATTTCCCTTAGGGCTCTCGCCAATGGATTTTGTACGACACCGGATAGCAACATCATCCGTGGACCTGAAAGCGGGGTGGCAAGACTGTGCGCCAGTCATGTCAGCAACCGTCCACCTGCGGCAGATGATTTACTCTTGTCTCGGAAGATAGTTGCAGGTTAACAGGATGACGAACCGTGCTTGAGACGTCCGAATGAAGCGGCTTGCAGTCGTTACCGGATAGTTGCATCTCTCGACATGGACGTCGGAAACTTTTGCGATAGATCGTCAGTGCTCCCTCCTCGCAGTAAAATTGCGCGGACAATCAGTGGACGAAATCATCCCGGTCGTCAGCAAGTCAAGTTGGCGTTACCACGACGACTTCGCTGGTCCCAATCAATGCCAGTCAAGTCTGAGCGCGCCGACGAGGGCCACCGTGTTCCTTGTTTAGGGCGCGATGAGACCCAATACGACTGACAGCTCGCGTCTGCAACAACGGAGAGAAAACTCGCATATCACAACTGACTCCTGGTGTGGTGCTTCGTTACAACACAGGCAAAAGACACTAAGCGCAAGTATAAATGCCGGCGATGCGGCAGCTCTTCCTCGACAACTTCAGCCAACAGTTGGAGTGCCTCGAGCAGACTACTCCTCGAATCACTACCTTCTTCAACCAAAACATCGAGTCCAATATGTCCAGTCCTACCTCAGCCGACAGCGACACATTCGGTTGGTACGATACCACCAAGACGTACTGCATCATTGGCGTCGAGTCAAGTGATACCGGCATACTAGAGCGCCCCGAAAATGAACGTTTCCTTTGCCAAATCCAACCCATGGCTGGCCTGGGAGATGGCTACGACGAAGATGACGACACCCAAGCTGGATTGTCATTGACATTCAGCATTGACTCGTTCACCGATGTCACCGAGGGACACAAGTTCGGACGAGATCCAGAGAAGTGTGACGTTGTCCTGGGGAAAGAGAACGAGGATAACATCGATGGGGCGCACTTCAGAGTGCAGTTGGACTACACGCAGCAGGTCCCGGAATTGGACATATACAATTGCAGTCCAAGAGGGATTGAAGTCGACGACAAACTACTTTCTGGAATAGGGCAGCGTATACGGATATATCAGGGCGAGGCTGTCACTGTCACAGTCGGAGATGTGTCCCTCATGCTTATGTTCCCTGTTCTGGATTTCAGCAACCGCAAACTGCAATCAAGATGGGCAGAGTTGAGAACAACAGCATGGTCTCTGCTTCAGCCTTCTGTACGGCAAGCACTTGTCCCTCAGGACGCGCGTCAAAGATACCTCGACGCAGAAGAAGATTGTATCTGGCAAGAAGCACGGCCCTTCCGGTCCGAGACTGGCAGCATGACAGTAACGCTCGCCAAAGGCAAGCAAAAGCAAAAGACCGGCTTCCCTGTCGTTCTGAAGAAGCTACGGGACAGGAAGGGCGATGCCAGAGAAGAGCGTATCAACATGGGCGAGACAGCCGCCATGACCCGAGTACGGCACGAAAACGTCGTCTCTGCCTTTCGCGAACAGTGGCCTCAAGGCAATTCATGCTGAAAGGATTGCTGTGTGCAATCATGGATACAGTAAAAGTACATGCTATGTCAAGCTATTGTAATTGCGCTCTCTTCGTCGTTGGGCGTGATAGAAGTCGGAAAAGTCGTAAGAGATGTAAAGGCCTGTGTGGAAGACAGTAGAGATCAATCAAGGGTCTTTGTCAGCACCACCGTGGCCAGCCCTGAGATAAAGTTAGCACATGCAGAAGTATCAACAGATGATTGAAAGCGTACCAGAACTGCTTGTTAACCTTGTCGTCCTTCTTGCCCTTGTCGTCGTTAAGCTTTTCAGCAGCTTGGTTGGGCTTCTCGGCCATCTCCTTGTTATGTTGCTTCACATCCTCGGGAAGGTCTTTCTCGTCGGTAGGAGTGGTATTCTTGTTGAGCTTGGGTTCCAAGCCTTTCGTCGACTTGGGGTGTTCCTCGCTCATTCTTCTAGCCATAGTAGAGAAGCTCTTCTTCTGTTGCTTTGAGGAGCCAGTATTGTGGCCAGTGCTGTCGGCCTTGGTGGCACCACCACTGCCCTGACCAGCCTTCGGGGGAGGGGGACCAGGGTGCTCCTTATCGGCAGAAGGGTTGGCGCCTTGTTGTTGAGGCTTCTCACCCTTGGGGTCGCCAGAGCCGCTACCGTAGTCTTGGCTGGCCATTCTTCTGGCCATGGTAGAGAAGCTCTTCTTTTGTTGCTTGGAGGCACCGGTGTTGTGGCCGGAGCTGTCGGCCTTGGTGGCACCGCCGCTGCCCTGGCCGGCCTTAGGAGGTGGTGGGCCAGGGTGCTCCTTGTCGGCAGAAGGGTTGGCACCTTGCTGTTGAGGCTTCTCACCCTTGGGGTCGCCGGAACCGCTGCCGTAGTCTTGCGAAGCAAAGCGTCTGCCGCTTACGCTCAGGGCAGGGCTGCGAGCGAAGGTGCGGGGAGCATTGCGAATGAAGGTAGTTCGTAGAAGACTCATGATGGATTGATAGATGTGATGTTTGTTTAGATCAGAAGGAAGAAGGAAGAGAATCCGAAAAACAATTGAAGCAATCGCGTGTCGTCCCTGGTGAAGGGAAGCTACATCATCGAGGTAGGAGCTCCCATCGCAATGATGTCACCAAGCGTCTTCCCCACAAAGTTGCTACGAGTGACATCTGTCGATTTATGCAAGTCATAAACTGTGAACCATCGATTGGCATAAATGATATACATCAAGGAGGGATCAGGAGAAGAGCGGAACAGTAGCATGATCAATGTGCACATTGCGATCCGTTTACAAAGGTATCCAGGCTCGTGATTCAACAGCAGGTATCTCTCTGTCTCCAAATACAGTCGCTTGTTCCATGCCTTTCCAGAAACTCCATACAATGCAAAGATTGGCTGCTCAAATGATAAGCTCATCATCAAGCATGCTCCCATCGCCATTTGTTTCCCAGGTGCTCCAAGTATTTCGCTGTGTTTCATCCTTGGTCTGCCATGCATGCCCCGTAGTCTCTTGGTCCGCCCATCGCACATCGTCTGCTATGTTGCTGCTGGTATAGTACGCCGATCGTGGACCAGGAGGCCCAATCTTGACTTTCGCAGCCGAGCCCCAAGCACCAGGACTAGCAGGGTAGTACATGTACTTTTGCTGCCCCCAGACAATTCTCCACAACCACGCAGCTGAAGACACAAGCGGGGATATCAACGGAGTCAAGGGCCGTGATGCCACAGTTGGTAGAACATAAGGAAAACGCGGCGCGTGTGGGTCTACACCAAATCCACGCATCTTAGTCGCGTATCTGGGAGGACTCAAAATGGAACTGAGTATCCACTCGATTACGAGCCATGTCCAGAATATCGTGCATGCTAGTCCGAGCCAAGTCAATCGGAGGCCTAGCGGAGCTCGAGCATCGCGACGGAAGAACCAGCCCCAATACTCATTCCATGCAGCGCGAAGCACACTGGCTGGCTGTCCACATTGTATGCATTGTGCATGCTGATGTGCACTCTTGCTATCGCTCGGTCGGGATGTAGATCCTCTGGAAGCCGATGCAATTGCTGCGTCCAAGGCACGATCGTCCTTGTTCTGTGGTTTCTCTTCGGAGTGGGCACTTGTGCCACTCGGTTGTTTGTTTGAACTTCCTAGGACGGACCATCTCCGCCGTACTTCCGCGTCTTTCTGCAAAGCCGGCATGTTGTCTTTCGAATCAGGTTCAGAATCTTGTCTTTTCTTCGCAGTCTCCGCTTGAGCTATATCCTGCTTCTGGCTTGCGTTCGAAAGTGGGATTTGAGCTGAAGGTACATCAGGGAGATCGAGTTTCAAAGTATTGTCGGCAGGTGGGGCCATGACGCCCTCCAGGCTGGCAATGGTAGAATCACCAAGCGTGGGATCATCATCTTCTCGCCGCTTGCCATTGCGGAAATCTTGAAGTACAGCGTCTAACGCCGAGGTGGGCAGATTCGGTTCACTGATTGAGCGTTGTTGTGGATTTTCAGGAATTGGCTGGCTGGATTCTGTGTTTCGACGATCGAATTGAGACGTCGCTGGGGTGTTCGACTGACGAGCAGTCTGTGGTGTGTCAATCCAGGCGCCCATCACCACAGGAGTCTTCGCAGGCAGCTGTCGTTCAATCGGCCTTGAAGGGGTCACCAAGGGTTCCGAAGGTGCAGATTCTGGAATTTCCACAACTTCAGGTGCTTGTGATGAATCACCCTGCTCAATATAAACCACCTCGGGACCTTTGATGACCTCGGGAGCCTGCTGCGAGTCTCCTCGGAACAGTGACCGAGTATTCTGTTTTGGGTACTTGTCTGACCATGCAGTGTTCTGCTGGGGAGGATTATTTACAGGCATAGTATCTTTGGCTGCGGTAGGGGAGGGCGAAGCGCTTGGAGTCCTTGAAAGCCTTTTAAGCAATGCCAGAGAGTCTGCTTTTCGCTGTGCAGGTCGTGGAGTGGTCGTAGGCATATCTTGGGTGGTCTCGACAGTTTTGTACAGGGAGCGAGCTGACTGCCGCGGTGCCAGGGGTATATTTTCTTTTTGAGTAAGATTTGGCTTGAGAGCCTGAGATGAGACGGGCTCTGCATAAGTGTCTGGGTGTGTATGCGATACTGTCTCATTTGTCGACTGTTGTCTTAGTTGGCGGCGAGCAGATGAAGAAGCGCGAGCTTGGTACGTCTGAACCTCGCGTTCGCGGATCTGATCGATGGTCACACGAGAGCGCGAGGGTACGGCGGGTGTGGAAACGAGTAGCGAGGCGGCACTAAAGTCTTGATCTGGCTCCCACTGGTCGACGTAACTGTCGTGCTGTTCAACTATAGCCTGCTTTGAAAGGGTGCGGGCGCGTCTTTGCGGTGGAGAGAGACGGGCGGACGAGTACAGGGAGTCGTTCGCAGCATCTGCCCAGTCGATATTGGGACTCGATTGTATGTTGGACTGGGGGTCGTCGTGGATGTGACGCATCCAAGTGTGGTTTGGTCTCCCTTTCCTTCCCCATGCTCGTGGTGGGTTCAATGGCGGATCTGAGGCGGTACTGCCGGAGAGGCTAGCTGGATGGTGGTCAGATTGGTATGAAGAAGGGCTGTAGGCGTTGTTGCGCTCGAGGTTGTCGAGACTCAAGGCGGCGCGTGGCAGGGGCTTTGCTTTGCTAAAGGCGTGCGACTGGGTCAGGGCTGAAATGCGCTGAGCGTCTTTGGTATGCTGAAGAAGCTTGCGCCCAAATTCGTCCGAGCCATCGAGAGAGCTGAGGTCAGAAAAGTTGGAAGCCTCATCGTAGTGCGACATGGTTGCGACGACCGAGACTCGACTAAGAATTGATGTTTATAGCAAGGACACAGATGTTCGCGTGCACACTCATGTCCAACCCGGCAAGGAAAATGGTCTGCTATACTTCATAACTGTTGAGGATGGTTACGCGACCGAGGCTGGGCAGACGCGACAAGCGGTATAGAATGTTAACGTCGAGGTTGCTCGACATCTAAAAGAGTTGTTTATCGTCGTCTGCCTTTGTTGACGCTTTTCGGCGCGTCAGGGTTACCGACAAGGCCCAAGCTCAGCGTCTCCCCCACGTCGTCGTCGGAAGCCACTCAAGCCCCAAGCAAGCTGCGTCTACTCGTACCAGCAACTGCCCAGACGACTTTCAATCACCCAATTCTCCTCGCACATACGCCCACCATGGCCGAGTTCAACTGGCGCACAATCAATATCGACGCTCTCGATCCCGAATCTTCCACAAACTTCGACCTCTCCACTCTGACACCAGCTGTCCAGCCCGTTAGCCCTCAAGACGTCCAGGCACTCAGCCAGCAGATCAGACAACTATGGCGTGGAGGCGATGCTGAGGGTGCTCTGCGCGGGGCCCTCGAGAATGCCCCCTACGGAGCCGATGCTCAATCCAAGGACTCATATATGCAGACCGTCACCGAAGTCCTGCAACAGGTCCGCACCGCCGACATGGGTCCTTTATTGCAGCGCATCTACACATCCGACGGCGGCGCTGAGCTATGCGACGTCCTGATGAAGTACCTGTAATACCACTCCGCCAACATCCCTCTGCCCGACATGAGCTGAACCCATATCCAGATACAAGGGAATGGCCACCGGTGCCTCCACCACCAACCCTTCCAAGAACGTCACACCACAAGTCACTGGCTTCTCCCAGGTCCAACCGCGCAACACTGCCGAGAGCCAAGGCGGAAACATGGGTGTCTTTTTGAGCTGGCACGAGAAGGTATCTCTACTTCTATGGTCTGCTCACTACTTGTCTGGTACTGACCATACACTCTTGTACAGCTTGTTGAAGTCGCCGGTCCAGGCACCATCGTACGCGTCATGTCAGACCGCAGAACCGTTTAAAACATTTGACCCATGTATATTACGACAATACCCAATTAGATCCATCCAACATCACTCTTTCTCAAATTTCCCATCGGATCATGAGCAACATCATGCTTGTGTGCATTGCAGCTGGGTTGTCACGGAAGTTGACTTCGATATCAAAGACGATTCAGGTATAATAAAGATTCATGTGAGGAATGTTCATGTATTAGAGTCTTCTCGTTACCCTCTGTGCGAAGGCATGCTATCATTTTGTAAAGGTTCCTCCCAAAACGCCATGCATGCAGTGTCGAAAACAACTCTAGTGGGTATCTGCTGCGATCAATAAACAAAAGAAATGCCAACTCATCAAACTTCATTAATACAACCCATGCCTTATGGGGTGATCGTCATTAAAATGTGCCATTGGTGCACTCAGCGTCGAGCACACGACATGGACCTAAACCGGTCGCTTAGACGTGCGAAGGATTGACGGGCGGTGCACTCGAGTCAAAGCTGTGGTTCTGCATCTCGGGGGACGGCTCCTGAACACGAGTAGGCTCTTGAACGTGAGCAGCCTCAGGACGGTGGTGGGGTTGAAGGGCCTCGGAAGGCTCGCCAGTAAGTGGGTTGGTCAAGGGCTTCTCTGACGGGTGTCCTGCGACAAAGTTGGACTCGGCGTCAATGTTGTTCAACTTGGCCTCGCGGACGTGTGTGCTCCATGGTCCCATCTTCTCATCGTGGTTCTTGCCAACAATCATGATGGCAGCACTAACAACGACGAAGACCCATCCAATCCATCCGAAAACGACAGAGGTGACGATACGGGCGCTGTGTCTGTAGTCCAGGGGAGTCTTGCCGTTCTCCGCAACAAGTCTATTTCCCTCGGCTACGCTGATGCCGGTGACATAAGCGTTCTTGGTGGCGACAATGACAGTCATGGCAATACAACTGGCAAGGTGCACAAAGATACAAGAAATGGCACAGATCTTCCAGGCGACTCTGACACCATGGTCCTCGCGTCTCTCAGGCCAAATCAAGTCGAAGAAGAAAGCACCACCAAAGATGGTAGCCACGTAAATTCCAGCGAAGATGTTGTATGATGCGACACCAACGTAGTCATTGTTGTATTCGTTGGCGTTGGGGCCTCCGTGACGCTGAATCCACTTTTGCTGGCTGACGAATCGTGACAGGGCGTCAGTTCCGAGAGATTCTGAGACGACGCAAAAGATCATGGCGAGCTGGTAGACAATGAATTTCGTTCTTCGCAAGTGATAGACGTTGTTCCACATATTTGCATTGCCGAACTTGGACCATTTGAACTCGCTGAAGGGCAAGCCGAAGATGACGGGCGCCATCTTGTTTGATATTTGGTGATTGAGACTGTGGGAAGAATTGAGATGCTTGACGAAGCAATTTGTTTCGATCCTGTGTGGTTTGATAGCGATAAAAGGGTGGTGGTGTGTAACCAGGTTCTTCTGCCGTTGAGACTGATTTCTAAGCTGAAGAAGACGGCAGTCGGTAAGGAGGTTGGAAGGATGCAAAAGAGTATGGAACAGAAGAGGAAAGAGTGGTGGAGTGTGGGCGGAAAGCGAGCTTAAGAGGAAGACCAGCAGTTCACCATGTTCGTACTCTACCAGCCCTATCCCGGGATGCTATGCCTATCTGGTTATATTTCGACCAACAATTTTTCCTTGCGGCCGTCAACTCTTCATCTCACCAAGCGCCCTTGACGCAGCGTTTGCGAACGGATCGTTTCCGGTGAGCTTGTTTCCCGAATAGCGCCTTGTCGATCCTCAACGCCACCGACGTCTCAAGGCAATCCCGCAAAGTATCCCTGATCCGATGCGACCTCAAACACAACCGACAGCCGTCAAAGCAAAAAGAAGGCTCTTCTTTGCGACTACATTCGCCACCCTTGAATACCAAGCTCGAGTACCTTGTCAATCTGCAGCCGCTGACTCTCTGTTACAATCATGTTGTTCGTATGCGCAATTCGTCGTCCCGACATCGAATCTCCAGACACACAAGCACAGACGATCAACAATGCGACGTCATGCGGCTCCACCAGTATGCGGCTCGAAAATTGTTATGACGGAGGCGGATACGTGACCACGGTTGGTACCAAAGCAGACTTGCACCCAACCTCCTAACGTCTCATCTTACCCATGCACCCATGTATCCCCACACAGTCTTCAGAAAATTTATTCTGTTCAATCCTCAGATCGCGATAACGACTCGGCGCTTCTTTTGCGTGTCGACGTGTTGAGGATCTTGACGAGAGAAGTGAGACAACTTTACGACCACACTTCTCTTACATTGCGTGGATCAGAGTTGCTTACGCATTATGAAGATCTGATCGGAGGCAGAGCATGTGTAGGACCTCGGGTAGGATGTCGTTGCTCCTTTCGACCCCTCTATCTTAAAATATCCAGTTGAGTGTCGTTAAGCACGTTCTTCTCTTAGCCAAACAAATGGTGTGCCGTGTGTTTTGATACCGTTGTCTTCCCCGCCAAACACAGGCGGTACAAGATGTTGAGAGGCTCGAGAGAGATGACAATTGCATCACAAAGACTACTTCTTTTGGGTCCTCGTTACCAAGAAGGATATGAGGTGGTTTGAACTCCGGCGCGACCTATTCCACATTCGTTCAAACCAGACGATCTGATCGACGACTATGGTATGCACCAGCATGGCTGCATGGGATTTTCACCTAAGCGAGATTCGACAGCACGACTGGTTGTCATGCATATCGACTCGGAATCCTGGGTGTCCTTTTTACGGGCGTCATTTCTCGGAAGTGCGAAGCAATGCATCATCCTTGGTTGCTAAAGACTGTCATATTGCGACCATAGAAATGCACGACAATGTTCAGCAAGGAGTACTCTCAGCGGAGAAGACTTTTTTCTCAGGTCGTATTTACTTCTCGAAAACAATTCTGCACTTATAGCTCTTCAACAACCATAACATTCAAAAGACACCAACCAATCATAAGATGGTGATGGCAGTCTTCAGCACGCGGCGAGTATAAGTTGACGCTACAGCTGCTCACCTGGACTTCTTCGTCAACATGCTCCTGTGCGACGAGGATTTTGTCCTGGGACGTCTATGCGAGCGGACTTTCTTGCTTCGGATTAACCTCTATGCTTTGACGAGTGGCACTCTGATGCTGATAATGCGGCTGGACTACATACAATTTGCTTGGCACGACACGTGAGCATTTTCAAAACATCCATGCCGCTGGAGTGGCAGAACTGTCTATACTAAGAATTGTGATCCTACAGGCTCCCCTGAGCTAGCTACATTGATATTATGGCTACTAGCAAACTCGCCATGTACCACATCGAGACGAGAACGAGGATGACAAGCTACAGCGCCGAGAGACGTCCCTACTTGTTTGCAGCAAGCAATGATACAAGAGTTGTCATGTCTTGACGTTGACATGGCGCCATAAAACCCAGAAAATGAAGTGGCTGGTTCGATGCCAAGGCCATCGACACAAAACATGAATGTCTATTGTTTGGCTGAGTGGGGAAGCATTCTGGGGTCAGCTAGACACGCATCTCAAATTAACACGAACCGCAGGCGAAAGTCAGGCATTGCTCGTAGAAACAAGTAGAGAGCAATACACACCTGCTGTGGAAATCAATTCGATTCTCTCCTTGGTATTGTTTTGGAAAGTGATGGATCCAAGGATCACAAGAAAATCAGGCATGCTCGATCATTCTTTCTCTGGAGCACCGTTACGTCACCTGTCATTATGACGCTCAAAGCAAGCTACGACTTTCACAAAACGCGACATCTGCCTTCTCCCTTCCACCTTCCTCATCAACCTACCTAAATTTATTTTGGTATTTGCAAATATGAGATTCAATTTCGCGACCGCCGCAGTGCTCGCCCTCGGCGCACAGTCTGTCACCGCCAGCACCTGGTTCAGCAAAGCTGGTAAGTGAAGAATGTTTGTTGTTGACAGCTGGCTCGCTATGCGAGCATGGTCGGACGCGCTTCCAAGCACATGTCCGACCGTCAGTAGAGCTTGCTGCAGCTTCTCGACGCGACCCAAAAGCCGCGTCGAAGTAACTTGGTGTGCTCTGAGGCTGACAAGATTTGCAGCTTACAACAAATGGCATGAGACCGAGTTGGAGAGATGGCTCTCTGACCACGACGTTCCTTACCCCACCCCTGCCGACCGCAAGGACCTCGTCGACCTGGTCAAGAACAACTGGAACGACAAGGTTGCTCAGCCCTACAACACCTGGGACACCAACCAGCTCCAGAACTACATCACAAGCTCTGGCCAGCAGGTCAAGAAGGGCACTGAGCAGAACAAGGACAGCCTTGTTAGCCAGGTCAAGTCGTACTGGCACGAAACTGCCGACCAAGCCTCGGACGCCTATGCGTCAGTCCAGGACTGGGTCTTCGACAGCTGGACCGACTCGCAGCTCAAGGCTTTCCTTGACTACCACAGCATTCCCAACCCTTCTCCTCGCTCCCGTGATACTCTGCTCCACTCTGCTCGTTCCAACTACCAATCTGTCGCCAAGAAGGCTGGCGAGACCACTGCCTACCCCGGCAACTGGCTCTACTCTTCGTGGGCTGACTCTGACCTCAAGTCCTGGCTCGATGAGCGTGGCATTCCCGTTCCTCAGCCCAGCTCTCGTGACAAGATGATTGCTGCCCTTCGCCGCAACGCTCGCACCGCTGCCAACCAAGCTTCCAAGGCCGCCGCCTCTGCTTCTGCTTCTGCCGCCGGTGCCCAGCAGTCTCTGTCTGAGCAGCTCCTCAACTCTTGGTCTGACAGCCAGCTCAAGCAGTGGTTTGACAAGAACGGCATCAAGGTTCCCCAGGGCTCCAAGCGCAACGAGTTGATCGCTCTTGCCCGCAAGCACAGCGCTAAGCTCTCTGGTGACAACGTTTCCGCATCGGCCTCTTCGCTCTACGGTGAGGCTTCCAAGTCCGCTGGCTCCGTCTACAACGCCGCTTCTGGTGCTGTTGGCAAGTCTGCCTCCTCTGCCTCTGGCGCCGCCGCCAAGTCTGCCTCCTCCGCCTCGAGCGTTGCTGGCAAGTCTGCCTCTTCCCTTTCTGGCGCTGCTGGCAAGTCTGCCTCTTCCCTTTCTGGCGCTGCTGCCCAGTCCGCTCACTCCGCTACCAACGCCGCTGGCAGCCAATTCGCATCTGCCACCGACACTGTCTACGGTTCTGCTCAGTACTGGTTCGACTGGGCCAAGGCTCAGGTTGGCATCGGTGGTGAGGAGGCCAAGGCTTCTCTCGCTTCCATCTCCAGCGTTGCCTCTGCTTCTGCCTCCTCCCTTTCCAGCGTTGCCTCTGTTTCTGGTTCTTCCGGCTACAACGCTGCCACCGACGCAGCTGCTGCTTCCGCCTCGTCCGCTTCCAGCGTCGCTGGTGACTACGCCAACGATGCCTACGATGCTGCTGCCGCTTCTGGCAAGTCTGCAACTGACGCCGCTGGCAAGTCGGCCTCCTCCCTCAGCGGTGCAGCTGCCAAGTCTGCCTCATCTGCCTCGAGCGCCGCTTCGGTTGCTGCTTCCAAGTCGTCCTCGTCTCTCTCGAGCGCCGCTGCCAAGTCTGCCTCATCCGTTTCGGCTTCGGGCCCCAAGTCAGCTAGCAGCGCTGCCAGCAGTGCCTCCAAGGGTGCCGCTGGTTACGCCCAGCAGGCTGCTGATGCCGTCAACGAGGGCGCTAGCTCAGCCAAGCACAAGGCTTCCGAGGCTGCCCAGAAGGCCACCGACCGCGTTAAGGAGGAGCTTTAAGCTCATCAAACCCAACCCCAGTGAAAACGAAAAAGCCGAGATGAATCTTTACGAATCATGATGATCGAAGGAGGATATGGCGACGCCAATGTGCCTGTACTTTTATCATAGTCAACGACACTGATGACCAAAGAGGACTTCCTCTTGCTTCCCTAGCTAGTTTTACAACAATTTTTTTGTTCCTTCACTTGTCCTACTCCACTCGGTTTCGCCAATTTGTCGAAGTGCGGCTCCTCCAGCCTTCATACACTCTTTTGTGCTTCTGTTTCGTGATCGTGAGGGAAGGTACCTGCTTGTGGTAAGAACAGCCTTAGGCGCTCAGCTGCATCACGCCAACAATGCTAAGCGTCATATTCCAAGTGCCTCTCCGATATTACCATGGCTGCTCTGAGTACATGACAATCTATCGCATATGCAGTCGTGTTCGGCTCGTCTCCAGTATTCTCTTTGAAATGACTTGTGTGGTCTTGGTGTAGACTGTTGCTGCCGGTACGACCCTGCTCTTATGCTTCCATGCTCAATAATTCTCCAGGATGATGCTAAAGGTCTGTATTTCGTTGGTGATGCAATTCAATGCATTATAAGGATCATCCAGGATGGATGAGAGGGTGGTCCAATGCTTAAGAGAGGATTGACGTGTTGAACAATGGGTTTTGTGCAATCACTATTGGATATCATCACAATCTGTGTCGATCTTGAACACAAAACCACAGATAATTTAATGAGACACCACATTACGAAAGGATTTTGAGCCTCCATACACATCAGTAATGCCTCTTGGTACTACTTGCTGTGTCTTCTAATCTTCATCATCGAAGGTCATGGGAAAAAAGGGGCAGGGTCGCACTTCACCACCGACTAAGCTCGATTTTGAAGTTGCGAGCTTGTGATACAATGTCTAGCACTTTTACTTATTGTTGATCTGTCAAGCCGGTAGCCATGGAAAAGCCCTACAGAAACATCCATGTTTGAGGGATGTAAGCAGCAATATGCAACGGTCCTTCCATCTTCCGTCAATACCTTTCAACCAGCCATGCATGTCGTTCCTTCTCATCCATCTCGTCAAGCATCTGCTTCTCAGCTCTCTTCATTACGACGTAATCATCGATCAATTGAGGGTTCATCCATTGCTTCAGAGCCTCGGCTGTCTCGAGGTGATGTAGCGATTCCTCGAGCGAAGCAGGCATTTTTGCGACGATACCAAGCTCAGCTCTTTGAGCTTCAGTCAAACGTGCGGGATTCTTGGTGCAGTCCTTCATCTCCATGTGTTTTCCAGCCTTTACACCATTCAGTCCGGCAGCGAGTAAAGAACAAAGAGCAAGGTAGGGATTTGCGAGGCCATCCAGACAGCGGATCTCCCAGCGTCCTGCCTTGACCCTGCGGAGTGGCACTTCTCTGTTCTGCGTGCCCCAAGTCACCCAAGCACCACTAGTCCACATATCATCAGCGACGCGAGCGTAACTCACATCATTGGGTAGTAAGAAAGCACAAAGAGATGGCAGTTGCTCGAGCACTCCAGCAAAGAATGATAACTCCTTGCTTTCCAGTTCTTCCAAAGACAAACTGGAAGAGTTGAGCGAGATGTGGACATGCTGGCCTGAGCCGACGCTGTTAAGAGGTACTGGATGTAGCGTAGCACGTAGTCCGTGCAGACGAGCAATTTGTTGAACAACTTGGCGCGCTTGCACGAGTGTGTCAATTGCTTCAACGACGGGCAGAGGAGACAGTACGAACTCATATTGTCCAGGTCCAGATTCGGAATGGAACTGTTGAACATTGATACCAATGTTTGCTAATTCATCCGCAATCTCAGCAAGCACCGGCAATGCAACCTCAAATTGCTCTGGAGTAAACGTACCCCAAGCATGATTTGTAGTCCAAGGACTGTATTCGCCTTTCGTGTCTTGCTTGAGAAAGACCACTTCAATTTCAAATCCAGCGAGGAATGTGATCCTATGGTCGTTCGAGAAGCGCTCTGTCAAAGTTCGAAGACTGTTTCTAGGACAACAGTTTGAGCGACGGCCGTCGTCGTTGCAGAAAGATCCTATGACCGTTGCAGAAGCAAGCGGATCCCGAGAATGCGAAAGTCTCAGTGTAGTGATGTCAGGTTCAACATAGATCTGCCCTGTAGCAGTGACTGCTGAAGTGACATGATCGTTCTGCAAAGTACCTGTATTGCCTCGTGAGATGCCAATACGCTCGCCGTTTGTGATCAGGCGGTGGAACGCAGCGACCGGCAGCATGCGAACTCGTAGGGTCCCGAGATAGTCGAGCCACTGTACATAAACATACTTCAATCCTGAGTGCTGTTCGAAGAACTTTGTGAATACGTCCAAGTCGTAAGGCTTCTCGTGTGGCTCGGTCTCCCTCCACGCGAGCTGCAAAGGCTGAGGAGCCTGCAGAATCCTGGCTTCACGATTACTCTGTGCCCTAGTCCGTCGAGGTTGCATGTCCTACGCCAGATATTAGCCAAGAGATGCAATGAGCGAACAGATAAAGCCCGTCAAGAATAATGTCCTTCGCTATGCTTGCACACAATGCTTGAATGCACTTACCACTTCTATTCCTGGAAGCTCTGTGGTGAGATTGTACACTCGCTTCGAATTGTTGAAGTAGACATCTTTTGCAGCTTGGATGGCTTGATCGACTGTGAGGTCTTCATTCTCAACGTAGTCTACCAGGACTCTTTCGAATGCTTCCCTGAACTGCTTCAATGCAAGCCAATAGACTTCGCCAAAGTGGTGAGCATCAGTACTGAAGAGCAGTTTCGAGATAGGCGTGACCTCCATGCATTGACGCAGGATGGTCTCTTGTCCATTCCTGCTGACTTGTGGAAACACTTCACCAAGGTCAAGGTAAACGTTCTTATAAACTGTTGCAAGGTAACCAGCCTGACGCATGTAGGGATAGGATGTGTGAAGAAGGATGATCTGAACATCGGGAAAAGCAGTGATAAGAGGCTGGAGATGCGAGGGGTCCGAAAGAAGCAGATCGATATCTGCATCACCGAGACCAGTGTGAAATTGGAGTGGTTTGCTTATTGAGTCTTGCTTGGCTGCTGCGCTCAAAAGTCGACATGTTGAGATGACGAGACTGTCATTCAATCCTTTGGACTCGATGCGGAAGTTGTTCTGTAAGCAATTGGGCAGATAACTGCTTTGGAAAGCCTCAAGACCATTCGTGGCTATTTGCACATCTCCAGCGACCTTAACATCCAGACCAGTTCGGTAGCATATCACAGACTTGAACCCAGCGACGTCCGGATCGTTAATCTCGGTTACGATGGATGATTCGAAAGCCTGCAGGAAGGTAATCCAAGCTTCAGCACACATATCATCGTCGTGTATGGCTGGTCCGATGGGCAGAGTGCCTTTCCTGTACATCTCTCGCAGAATATCTGCAGCCAAAGTTTCGATACGAACGATGCGAAGTGTTTTGTCAAGGACGAAATCATCGTGCCAGTCATAAAGATAGACGGTTGTGTCATCCAGACCATCATCCATGAGAATAGTGTGAATTCCAGTAAAGCATTTCTGGAGGAAGCTCTCGAAGTCTCCTTGCAGGATGTCTGCTCTTTTCTCCATCAAGTCGTCCCATGTTGCATCACTGCCAAGATCATATAGCTCGCGTAATTGACGAACAGCACGAATATGTGATAGGGACGTCTTCGTATCTTCAAGAGCATCTCCTTGTGCTTCTGTCGTTGCGGTCAGCAGGTCGTGAGCTTCCTGCTTCGAAGGCAGTAAAAGGTTATGCGCATGGTTATCGATGACTGGGCATGATCGAACGACATTCCTCAGATCGTCCAGGGTAGCCATCTCTGCTTGCACAAATAAGTCCTCATCAAGTCAGAATGCTCATGCGGAACCCGCGACTGCAATGTCCACGTATGATCTTATCGATAAGAGTCCATGGGACGTCATGTTGCACCATCTCATTCTCGTATCACCTCATTGTTGAGCGAAGATAAGAGGCATTACTTCCTCTTCGGAGCATCTTCTCAGACATAGAACTGATATTTACACTTTCGTCATGCCTACTGTACTTGTCGTTGGCGCTACCAGAGGACTCGGCTTCGAGCTCGCGAAACAGTATGCCGAGCGAGGTGACACAGTCTACGGCACAGCACGTTCCAGCAAACCACAAGAAGCGCCCAAAAACATAAACTGGATTGATGGAATTGACGTAGCAGAAGAATCAGCAGGCGAGAAATTAGCAAAGTCACTAGGTGGCAGTCACAAGCTCGACATTGTGATACTCGCGGCTGGCTACTTTGGCTTCGAAACCTTTGACAAACTCGACTTCGAGAAGGAATTGCTCATGTACAAGACAAGTGCTATCGGTCCGGTTTTTATTGTGCACCATCTCTCCAAGGCTGGATTACTGGCAAAGGGCTCCAAAGTCATTATTGTCAGTTCAGAGTCGGGGAGTATCACCCTGCGACATGAAAGCGAGGGAGGCGGCAACTATGGTCATCATGCAAGTAAGGCTGCTTCTAACATGGTCGGGAAGCTCTTAAGCTTGGATCTCAAGGAGCACGGTGTTGCCGTGGGCATCATCCATCCAGCCTTCATGCGGACTGAGATGACCAAAGGTGTTGGTTTTGATAAATTCTGGGATGCTGGCGGAGGTACGTATCGAAAAGTCAATACTTGCTAAGAAGAGACTGACATGAGCACCAGCGGTGACGCCTGATGTTTCGGCCAAATCCGTAATCGAGTTTGTCGACACTTTCGACATTTCGAAAACAGGAGAGTACTGGGCACCAAGAGGACCAAAAGACATTGGAACTGCAGAGGATGTACTGGGCCCGAAGGATCAGCTCTCGACACCACTCCAGCTTCCTTGGTGACCGGATTGATTGCAACAAACTTTCACATACTCATGACAGCGAATTTCTTTTGAAGTTGAGATAATCTGTACTATGGTATTCATTAGACGAAGTCCAGCTCGTCATTACTTGTGTTCCCATATCTTGCAGCCTGTTCCTGAGCAAAACGAATCAACCATGAGCCTACTCGTTCTTCTTGATGACCTTCTTGCCCATGCTGAGACCAAGACCGTAATCATAGACAAGAGTACCACCTAGATTGGCACCGAACATCAACAGGACTCCCAACACGATACTTGCACCGACCATCCAGTTCTGAGGCTCGTAGGCAACAGGGTTGAGACCCTCCTTGATGTACTCCAAGCTGGATGCGTTTCTTCTCTTGTACCAGACCCAAGCAGACACGGCAATAACAATGTCGTTGACCAAGGCGTGTGCAATCAGGACTTTGGACTTTGCCTTCAAGTTTCCGCTCTGGTCGTAGAGACCTTGGTTCTGGACCATCTTTGCTGCTTGGGCGATACCAGAGGCAGCTGAGGGAAGAGCAGTCAGGACACCGAGTCCGAGAGCCCAGTAGCCAATTCTTGTAGTCTCGACGACGGCGGGGAGGTAGTTGGTCAAGGTCGAAGGTAGGTAGGGACGGACGACATGGAGGGCATCGAGACCGTAGGCGGTGCTCAAGAAGGCAATAGGCCAGTGGACAGTCGCGGGATGAACGGGGTGGCTATTCAGACCATTGTGTCAGCTCTTCGTGCACCTGGTCGTGTAGCACATTGTTGTCATTGCTCAACAAGTGACAGTGTGGGGAAAGCTTCATGACTTACTCGAGAGACATGATTGATGGAAGCTGTATAACAACAAAACTTGGTGGATTGTGAAAGAGTGAGATAGTAAGAGGCTCTCGGAGATTTTAGCTGGCTCTCGCGAAAAGCAAACAAACAGTTGTCTATAAATATTGATTCCTTCGTCGAGAAATGGACGAATCTTGATCGGCCCCTCCGCTTCCCGCGAATCGCTGCTTTAAGAATGGTCATAATTCGGTCATCCACCCTGCATCCTGCCGTGCATCTTGTGTTTTCGTTGTTGAAAGCAGGGATAAGCAGGGCTCTCCATGTGAAGGCTAGAGGACGTTGATATCTAGCTCCGTGTCACGTCCAGCCTCGCCATATACATACAGTTGTTAAGAGTATGCAGGAACGAAAGACAACTTTGAGCTAGGAGCTTGGGCCAGGCTGGAATGCAACGAGCACAATTCTCAAAAAAGTTCAGTGAAACCCCTCAGAACAGCAGGAGAGCAAGAAAGTAGAAGTAGAGATGGACTCAAGAAGTGCAAAAAGACGGTTTCTAGAAGGTCGTACTGGGGTTCGAACCCAGGACTCGGGAATATTTGGTTATTAGTCAAAATCCCACGTGCTCACCGCTACACTATACAACCGTGTTGTGGCAGCGAAACATGGTCTATCAGTATATGTATTCTGAGTCTCTGATGACACAGCCATTCCTTGACGGCCTTGCAACCAAGACCTTCATGCTCCCAATGAGATGAAAGGTGCTCAAATGTAGCTTTCGAAATGCACACTATCTTTCGAGCCAGATTCGTGGCCATAGACACACCCGATCTCCACTCGAAGCTGGAAATGTCCAGGGAGGTGCCAACTTGGGAGAACTGCCGATACATGAACGAGCGAATACAAGTATACAAGTGTTTATAGTCGTTTCATTGTGTACCAATCTTGTCTATGCTAGTGTCATACTCTAGCTTTGCAGCAGCTCCTTTCGTAGAAATCATGTTTATCATCAAGTCATCTCCCATGCGTCTTGCACCAAGTCGCTCAGTATCTCTCCCATCCAACTACACACCCCTCGTCTTCATCGTCTTCACCACTTTGCACGGCATTGTCGTCACTGCCACTTCCATAGCTCTGGTCCTCCTCATCGATAACGCCATTCCCGTCTTCGATCTCGGGGCCTCTCTCAGCAATTTCCTTTTCAATCAAGTTCTTCAACACCCCGCAGAACTCGGCATGCAGACGTACGAAGAAGTACTCGTCACCAACAATCTCAGCCAGACTGCGAGTCTTGGGGACATTTGCTAAGGGAGAGGCCGCAGAAAGCGAAGAGCGAGGGTAGCCATCTGGGTCTACTGATTTGGCGGACAAGAAACTTGAGACAGGTGTGACAGCTGCGGACGTAGGTGCTGGCTTCTGAGGATGGCTTGTCGAGGAAACAATAGAAGAGGCTTGCGAGTGAGTGCGCTGGGGCTGCGGCGGAGATATAGGAGGTGGAGTGCGTTCAGCAGATCCCATAGACATGGGTGGTGAAGGGGTAGCACTTGAACTGTAGCTACGTAAGGAACCGACATTTGCGGCAGAAAGTTCTACTGGCGAGGCTTCTGCGCTTTCCCCTTGTTGTAAGGTCGACAGATGTGTTTCGGCAAGTGTAATGATTGACTTGGCCCACGCTTCAAAAGCACGACGGACGGTCATCTGATGTCGAAACAGAGATCGCGAACCGACAGCTACAAACGCATATGCTCTCCGTTGTCCCCTAGCTCTTGGATCCGGCAGTCGAAAGACATGTGCAACGTTGACGGTCCTCGGGTCTTTTGGTCCTTGTGTCGCCAGATCAGTAGTCAAGGTTATGGAACCAGAATTCTGACCGCGCGGCAGGGACTCTACGGCCAGAGCTCTTGTGCAGGCATCACGCAATAGAGGATTGGAGGGCGCGCGGGTAGTGGCAAAGGTAGAATCACGCCATTTGCTGCGAAGTACGGGTGGAGTTGTTGTTGCGGCTGGCACGTTGTACGAGCAGTTGGCGCAACTCGTGCCGGTTTCGTTTGGCGGCGGCGATGTTGCAGTCGGTGACTGGACCGAAGTCGTCAAGAGTGCTTGCGGCCCGTGGATCTCGCAAAAATGTCCCAGTGATATCAGCGTGTCGGCCATCGAGGTTGATGACCAGGATCCAGGGTCAGCGTGCTTTGGCTCGCGTGGCATTGGCTGTGGGGCGTGTGCAGACGACACTCCGCCAAATCGTCCCGTCCACATGGAACCTCTTCTCACTTCCTCCAATCCCAGTGTGCTAAAGACTGTCACAAATAGCTGTAGAAATGCACGATATACTCCGAAAATGAACAGTGCCCACTGAGATGCGACAACATATCGACTCTCTCTGGACACGTCCCTGCTTTCGAAAATTATAGTGTATTATTAACCTTGTTCTCGCGATGGAGATGGAAGCTCTTGAGCGATCATGGTTCATTCATGTTCTTATACGTCCTGCTCAATAGCTGATTACTCGTACTCGTCACGTGCCAGCCAAGCCCCATAGCTATGCTCAGCTGAAGATAGCAAAAAATACCATCTAGCCATGGCGACCTGCCTCATAGCTATCTCCATCGTTTCGTCGTCCTCTTGCAATGTAAGCCTATCCCGTTCACTTCTTGGGCCCTGGTCGGTTGTTAGCGGCGAAGATTCAGAAAAGAGCGAGCAACCTACTTCCAATAATCGCGAATGTAACCTCGTTAGGGGCTAGGTTGTTGGAAGAAGCGCCCTTAAGCTGCTCCTCCACTGCACTTGCGAAGGTAACGTCACTGGTGACCACAGAGTTGAATTCCGACCAGACGACTATATCCTCTTCAGTGAGAACTTGCTCCAGCCTGAGCTGACGTAGGAAGTCAGGGAACGATAAATCGCGCCAATCTCGCAGCGACTCTGGTGCCGCGTCTCTTCCGTTCAGTGGCACCTGACAGCGCCAAAGTGGAAACGAGAAGAATTCACGACCCCAAGGGTCTGTCGAGTTTGGATAGATTACCAGAATGACATCGAATAACTTTGGTAGAGACTCATGCTCAACGGATGGCAGAACCGAGTCAGTTGGCGATTCTGACGGCTTGTCGAAAGGGGACTCCCAAAGCCCGGAAGGAAGCTGATCATCTGGTGATGGTGATTTGTTGATTGGTGTAAAGCTTGGAGCATTCTTGCGTGGACGTCCCCGAGTCGGTTTGATGGAAGTTTCTTCACTGAGGTAAGGCACGATGTATTTCGGCTGAGTGACGGTGTCCTCGGGAGCATCGTTCTTCTTGGTTGGTCTGGCCTTCGTCGCCTTCTTGGGAGCGCTCTTCTTGTTATAGTCGAAGAGATAATTGGAGAGCACCTTGTTGATCGAGCTCTCCGTCCATTTCTGTGACGTTTTGGACCAGTTCCATTGACCTTGGAATTGAGCAAAGATTTGATCCTTGTGCGAGGCATAAAGCTTGTTGCGTTCTTTGCCGATTGGCGTTGGTGCTATGGTTTTTGCGGAAGCGCGGAGTGCTTGCTCAAGGCGCTGTTCTTCGGCGGCTGAGAATCCATGCGTCGTAGCGATTCTCTTGCCATTGTGCGCCAGTTGGACCTCTCCTGTCGCTTTAGGCATGTTGAGTTGAGACTTCGGTAGACCCGATGGTGTAGAGGAAGAAAAGGATGATGATGAGAGGAAGCAGTGATGAGCTGAGTCAAGGTGGGTGATGGTTTAAATGTTTAGTTCTTGGATGAGAAGGAGGTGACCGACTGACACGTGCAAGCCTTGATGGTGACTTCCTCTTTTGAAAACAGCCAGCCAAGCCAACTCAACTTCACTTCTTCGGAACTGGGCGTTCACATTGCTCACTGTCTTTCCGGAGGGAGACTTTATACAGGAGCATTGAAACGACCATCTGAAAGTGAAGCCGTTGACGAACGAGGAGTTTGTATGAGGACCCGGCTATCAATTTGGAGGTTCACAGTTTTGAGGTGGCTCGAGCAAAGTATGACTTTAATGGTGTACAGTTCGAAATCTACCATGTATTATACTGTTCAGCTCCGACTTTCCAGTAACCACCCCACCATCATCATAGTCGTAGTACTTCGTCAAGCAATCATCTCATGATACTCAACACAGGTCAAACTGCAAAACGGTGATACTGTACTTGGCACATCCCAAGACCAAGCAGAACCATTCTCCGAGCTCGCTGACGACTCAATCTCAGCGGGGCGAGGAATAACCTCAGTCTTGTTTCCGACATAGTTGTATGAGTTGAGATCGCTAGCAGTGATGGAAGTGCCATTGACACCCGAGTAAGCAGAGGGAATGTTGACGCTCAGAGGCACGGTAGAATTCAACGTGTTGATCACCTTGAGGTAGACAGCATTCTTCTCCTCGTCGATGCTAGCTGCCCAGAACAGAGGGTTTATCTGTCCCTCCGTTGCGGTGACAGGTAGTGTCTCTGTACCACGATAGTGTGCAAACAGCCATTGTTGCCAGTAACTAGCACTCAGCACCGTGTTTTCGTGCAGAGCATCGTATGATATCATGTCGGGAGTCCAATTTGTGAAGTTGCGGTTCTGTAGAGAAGGTGCGTAGGAGGACATGCGAACGGTGTGAGGGTTGCGCTCGGCACCAAGTGCGTAGACACCCTCAGCGATAGCGGAGAGAAGACGAGGATACTGGACATGGACATCAATAGGGTACGAGTAGTTGACAACGCCAGAGGGTGTGTCGATCTGAATGACCGAGTACTCGCCCAAGAGAACGGTGACGTTGGTGTTGTTTGTTTCCTGTTGCCAGTCGTCCCACAAATTGAAATTGGATAGGAACCATGAAGGTTCTTGGTACCCATGCCAGTCCCACATATTGCCCTCAGGGATGGAGATGTTGTAATGAGCGGCATTCTCGTTGAAGGCAGTGCTGATGTAGGTGATGTCAGGGTATGCCTTCTTCAAGCCATCATACATGATCTGGAAGCGGTAGGGATAGGTAACACTGAACCAATCTTCATTACCAATTTCGACGAACTTGATCTTGAAAGGCTCAGGGTGTCCGTCAGCGATTCGCCTGGCACCCCACTTGGTGGAGTTGTCACCCATGCAATACTCGAGCTCATCCAGAGCTTCTTGCAAGATCTCAGGCATTTGCTCAGGAGGATAGGAAGCACCATTCTGTCCATAGACGTCCAGAGAGAAGCCAGCATAGACAGCCAGGACGGGTTCAATTTCCATAGCCTCAGTCCATTCAAGGTATTCAAGTAAACCAAGACCTTGAGTATTGTAGTAGTTCCAGTCTCCGACACGGCCAGGGCGGTCCTGAAGAGGGCCAAGAGTCTCCCACCACTTCCATCGCTGAGCAGGACTGTAGCCCTCTAAATTGTTGCCTCCAGGGAACCTCAAGAATTGAGGATTGAGATCATAGAAGCCCTGAGCAATGTCAGGACGAAGACCATTCTTGTAGCCCTTGAATGTCTCAGGGAACACCGAGACCAGATTGAAGTAGAAGGTCTGCCCAGCAACTTGAGCACCGTCAAAAGTGATGGCAAAAGTGTTGTTGGCGTCGGGAGCAGTCACATTAGGATGCAAAGTGGTCTCCAGCTGCTTGAAGTCGATATAGGTTGGCGTGACATTCTTGAAAGTCGAGCTTGCCCAAGTCTCGCCAGTCACGTTCGAGCGAAAAGATACAGTGATGTCGCTGGCGTTGCCTTGAGTGTCGCGAGGATAGTTGTTCAGGTAGAACAATGAAGCGTTGTACTGCTGGGGATGGACATCGAAGCCCCACCAGCCGAAGTTCTGGAACCCAACTTCTCCAGTGGCATTCAAAGGGAAGTCAATCTGGAGAGAAGTTCTCAGAGCATCCGAGAGAGGATGCAGAACGTCAAGAGTCATGCGTACTCCTTCACCAATGGGCGCCCAAGCGGTCATGACAGGATCGAACGGAACAATCGGATTTTCGGACTCGGTCACATATGTACCGACATAACCATCGAGAGTGCTAATGATTGCGTTGGATCCTAATTTGCATGAGTAGAGCTTGGTGGATTCGAATTGCTGAACTCACCCTGGAAAGCACGATTGGCAATCATCTCTGCGTAAATACCACCATCTCCAGAGTGGTTGATGTCCTGTTTGATCCGATCAGCTATGAAGATGTAATGAGGCTCCAGGTTCAATGAGGCTTACCTCATGCATGATACCATAGAGGTATGGAGAGGTAGCATTACGCTTGCTGCGGTCAAGCGTGTCGATGTGCAACGCGACTGGAGAGTTGTCATTGCGAGTGGCATTGATATAAGGCTGATACGAGGGAAGAGACGAGGATAAGGCAGTATCATTGTTGAACTGGCGTGGAGCCAGATGAGGCAGTCTCCTGGCACCCACTACACCAAAACCAGCAAAGATGAAAGTTGTGAGCACAAGCATCTTCGTTTGACTTGAACGTCGAAAAACCAAGCTGTCAACGGTGAAAGCATAGTGGGAATGCGTGTCTACCTATATATTGGTCCATCCATTATTATCCTGCTCTTCGAGGCCAAGATGCACTTCGCCGTAACCAAAGTGGAAGAAAGCGTAAATACTGGCCTGTTCTCATGGAGACCATGTCATAGACCACGCGAAACAGCGTGAGCCCCACCGGTAGCGGCGTAGGTCTGCAGAGAGGAAGGCGGGTCCACCAATGACAGTGGAGGAGGTGAAGGCTGGGGAAGCCGAGAGCCTGGAGAGCCAAGGTGCGGGGATGGAAAACCACACATCACGGCTAAATGCGGATCGCTATACCAAGCCGATGGAGGCATTTTGGAGCAGATCAGCGGGCAAATAGGGTTTGACACACCGATCGACGACCTGCAAGCAGGTTGCAATGAGCCGGCGTGCAGCATCAGAACGCATCCTTAATCGCTTCGGCAATGAAGTCGTATGCTGATGGCTGGGAGACCATGGTCTCAAGCCTCTTGGTCTCTAAAAGGACAGACAAGTACCAGGCTTATCGAATTGATTCATTTGCTCCACCAATGACCCGGTGGTTTCTTGTTTTGACCTCTTCGACCTAGAGATGCGCTGACATTGCCATTGACTTGAGGCTTTTGCGCATCGTTCCCATCCATCAACTTCCTCCACAACTCCGCGATCGGGATCCGCTTTGCTGGAAGCATACTGTATTGTAGACTGTAAAGACTCTTGCGATGAATTGGCGGTACAAATTGACCCGTGAAAAGACATAGGAACACACTAGGCGAGAGGTAGTGTTTCCGGATGCGATATGCGAGCTGTGCGTATTGCGAAAATGTTTCTGAGAAAGCAAGTGGGACCGACTGTGTTATGTTAGGAACCGGCTCACTTGTGCGTCAGACATTTTTAACTACCTGTAATTGTATATGTGCAGTGGGTGCAACTTCAGGTTTCCGGGAATCATGTTCGCGCAAAGTATCGGATGCAGGAAGGGTATCACGAAGTTCAAAACGTATGCCACCTTTAGGATCAGTTAGTTGAGTCACCTGCATGTACAATTGATCTGCTCATACCTGGTAGTCGCTGAGAATCCTTGATCCTCAGCATGAGTGCGAAAAGAGGGAAATGGTTCAAGCAAGCCAACCATGTGTCCAGAGCAGCCTTGAAAGCAATTATGCCCATGCGCGCGCCAGCAAAAGTTGCATAAAAGACACCAACGGTGGGAAGCAGGAACGTTAAAAGCGTAAACAGAATCGTGCCTAGGAGCAGCTGGTCAAGGTCGTAATCGCATGAGTCGATGCGGTTTCGGAGGACGTTTCGTTTCTTGCCACGAAAGAGATGGAAGAGCGAAACCATTATAGTGAGCTGCCAGTTGTATATGCGAGCTGAGGCGATGTAGAAGGCATAAACGTGAATCGTCAGAATGGAGAGCAGATCTGAGAAAAGTGAGATGGGCATGCTTGCGCCAGCGAAGCTCGAAAAGCCTATGACCTGAATGACATGAGGGAGAATTGGTCGTATGCTTGTCATACATTCAGCCCAGTAGTCGATTATCCAAATGAAAAGATCACCAAGAAACTGTGCCAAATCACTATTGAGTTTGAGGCCAGCAGGATAATGCATCAGCCACTTTAGCATACGTCGTAGACCATCGATGAACCAACAATCAACAACAGACTCGACTTGTCCGGCTACATAGCCTGAGTTCTCGATGATGTAGGATCCAATGGCAATTCCAATGACTATGTCGTTTGCAACGAGCCAGAGGCTGTTGTAGAAACGAATGTACTCGGGATGGCTGTTTGTGACACTTCCCCAGTCGGTTCGTCGTTTACGCAGTGTGAGATATTGAATTGGCCAGTAACAAAATTGCTGCAGGCGAATGTCGATCTGCTGCGCAGTAGCTGAGATGTCTTTGAGCGCGGCGGCATCTGGTAGCAGTCGCCATTCCAGAACTCTTAACCACGCTTCGCCAGCAACACGATGGCCAATTAAAGCCATTACCAGCAGCTGAGTGATAACGGGATAGACATAGGCGAAGAAAGCGTGATGGATACTGTAACGCGTGTAGTCCCAGAGGTCGGCGGCCGACTCAGCCATACGCTCACTCACGCTCATGCTACGTCTTGTTCGCCCCAGACCTACGAAGCCTATGTTCTTCCGCATCAACTCGTCAATCTCATATGAGCAATTGATCTGGTTCAATATCACGGGCAGAGCGATCTCTTTGGAAGTGCGTGCATGATGAACCACAGTATGCATGCGCAACTTGTCGACCAATTGCTGCTTTCGCGCTTTGTCGGCCGCCTCTTCTGCACCAAAGCTTCCAACTTGTGTTCTGCCTGCTCTTTCTTGGGCGTCCGATAGTGTCAAGGAGATGGGCGTGAGGGACAAATACTGCATGCTGTAGGGATTGGGTCGATCGAATGTCACAATCTGCAGCGAGATGGACGCCTCGCCAGGGCAATGCACTTGAGGTATTCTACAACGAGGCGTGTAGTAGACCTGGATAGACGAAGGGTTGAAGGTGAGCGAGGGTGCGCGCTCTGGGTTCAGCGTTCCCAAGACTTGCAAAGGCACGCGGCCACACCTGTCGATGATGCGGTCGATGGGATGAGGGCTGCCGCGAAACAGATTGCCCATTCGGAGAGCATTGTCAACGTTGCGTGCCTGCACGTCTATTAGCTCAGACAATAGCGAGTACGACCACAGCGTCGCCGAGACCGACCTCAACCTTGAACAAGATGGTCACAACGACCATGTCAAGGTCCGAGTTCCTCCATCCTATAATGACGCCTGGTTTCTCGGAACGAGCAATGTCGGTGGGCCAGAAGATGCGCATCAAGCCATTGGGGGCGATCATGAGAGCCTAGAAGGAGCCTCGTCGTTTCAATTGTTCACGTGCCGAAAGACCTAGAGCTGGACGAGGATGCTTCAGACTGTCAGGAGGAGTTCCTGGCGAGGAGACGAAGGGACTGACTATATCACTCTCTCGGGCAGCTATGCGCTCGATCGGGATGATGAGAACGACGAAGAAGATGCTTAGGGCTAGGAAGGCCTTCAATGAGCGCGTCTGCACATTGGGATTAGCTGTGCAGAAAGAGGAAGAGAGTAGAGCACAGGACGACGCACAATGACACCTTTGTCCCAAGCAAAGATGGCCAGTTCATACAGGCGGGTGACAAGATCCCAGCGAGCAGTGATGTACCCAGCTACAAAGATGCCAAGCGTGAGGACGGAGAATGGGTGCATGAATTGCCTCGCTCATGACCAGAGTCGATGTGTGTATGGCGGATGATGCGCGCTCTCTTGGCAGCAAGTCGTCCAGTATCGAGTGAGAAGTGGTGCAAGTAGAGTAGTCGCAGAGGAATATCAGCTGTGAAGCATGACGGCGACGCAAACGCAAGCAGAGTTCAGAGGAAGGACCTTTGGAAATTGCCTTTCTCCTGGTGAGCGTCCTGCCGCGCAATCGTCGCCCTTCCTCGTCTGCTGCTTCCTCCCTAAATCAACTTCCTCCGACTAACCCTGACTTGGTCTGTGCCCCATGCAAACCTCTGTCCAAAAGCGGAAGCAGCGAATCGCGTCAATTTCACCTTGGCTGCTCTTTCGCCTTGACAGACACCATCCTTGACACGTGAAACTATCACTCTGATGCTCTGATCTTGATCGCATAGACGTCGTGTTTGCCGTTTGCTTGTTCGTCTCGACGAACTGCCGTCACTCGCTTGTCAATCTCGCCCTGGGTTATGCTTGATATTATGCAGCAAGCCTAATAATTTTCCAACATCAAGCTTCAATTGCCAACTCTGATTAGTGCTGTATAATCAATGTTCGCACGCGTTCAGCACGGCAACGCTCAAGGTGGTGGAGGCGGCGGCAGGGTATGCTCTTTTTACCAACAAGGTCGATGCAAGTTCGGAGGTAAGAAAACTTGATTATTGCTCTTCAATCTGTGCCTCATGTGTGCTAAACTGCTTTCTCCAGACAATTGTAAATTCGAGCATCCTGGTGCCAACAGATCTCAGGACAGTGGAAATCGTTTTCAAGCTCTCGGCAATCAAGGCAACAACACTTTTGGTCAGGGAAATCGGAATAATCAACGACCCGCTGCTCCTGGTCGAGGGCAGCACTACACTAGCCAGAACTCGTAAGTCGCCATCTGAACCGTATCAGCAACTCGACTGCTTCACTTCTTGCTGAGCAACCACTTTGAAGAACCGGATGCTAACTACTTTCCAGTTATGGCGTAACGAAAGATGGCATCGAAAGCGATCTTCGAACCGAGAAACCGCAATGGCCATTCTCTGCGTACGGTCCGGGTAGAGATGCCCCTATACAACTGTTCGGAGGATTCCCGCTAGAGCAGAGTCCGGAGGAGATGAGAGTTCTCTACTATCAAGCTGCCGCAAGCGGCAATCCTCAACCTGCTGTAAGTGTTATTGACATTGATGATCCTACTCATGGTAGCCTAATTTCATTTACAGATTCAAGCCGAACAAGAACTTATCGCACAGACGACTCAACAAGTAGAACGTATATTGGCAGACCTGGATGGGGCAGTCAAGTACGTCTTGGACGGCGAGAACCAACATCCAAACCGCGCAGATGGGTGTCACACTGAAGCTGGAAATGTTTTCCACAGAGGTCGGAAACTGAATTCGAAGTTTTCACCTAACGCTACGGCGCAACCGCTCAGTCAGCCCGCTCAACCCGGTGCATTCGGCCAACCATCAGCTTTTGGCCAGCCTTCGAATCTTGGAGGCGGAGGAGGCTTCGGTCAGGCATCTAGCCTGGGTCAAAGACCAAGTCCGTTTGGACAACCGGCGAGCTCAGCCCCGACTACTGGAGCGTTCGGCTCTCCCTCAGCTCTTGGTCAGAGGTCTACCTTTGGACAGCCCGCAGCAGGAGGGTTTGGTCAACCATCGGCTCTGGGCGCTAAACCAAATCCTTTTGGACAATCAACAGCACCGACAAGTACATTTGGCCAGCCAGCAGCACCCACAGGGGCGTTTGGCCAGCCATCCACCCTTGGTCAGGGAAGCGCGTTTGGCCAGCCTGCTGGTGGTCAAGCACAGCCATCGCCTTTCGCGCAAAGTGCACAGCAAGGGCGTCCAGCGTTTGGTCAAGCCTCAGCGTTTGGCCAACCGTCAGCTCTCGGTCAGCAACAAAACACCGCTTTTGGGCAGCCTTCTGGCTTGGGTCAACAACCGCAGCCAGCTTTTGGCCAGCCCTCAGCACCCGCTCAACAGAATCCAGCTTTCGGGCAACCCTCGGCACCGAGTCAAACTCCAGCTTTCGGACAACCATCGGCACCGGGTCAGAACACAGCATTCGGTCAGCCATCAGCGCCAGGTCAGCAGGCGTCAGCCTTTGGACAACCATCAGCACCAGGTCAGCAGGCATCAGCGTTCGGCCAGACATCAGCGCCCGCCTTCGGGCAAGCATCAGCACCTGCGCAGCCAAATGGGGCATTTGGGCAACCTCCAACTCCAACACAGCAACAAAACGCTTTTGGCAAACCTTCGCCATTCGCCCAAGCACAAGGGAACCAACAACAGCAGCAGTCACCATTCACTCAAGCCGCTGCTAAAGCAAATCCGTTTGGGCAGCCTTCTCAACCCGCTACCCACCCGACAGGCAGTGCTTTTGGATCGGCGGTGCCACAGCAGCCGCCACAGCAACAACAACAGCAGCAGCAGCAGTCACAGTCATATGCAGAGCCTGTACCCCAAGGTGATTGGATCACTCGTCAACCTAACGGGACGTTAAAGAGCTTCAAGGGTGCACCTGTGCAGTACGTTGCCACGAAGGATGGTCAAGAGCCGCACTACAAGAAGGCCAATGGAAAGATGGAAAGGATCTGGCACCCCGAGGGCAATGCGGCCCACAGGGCAGAAATAGAAGCACCGGCAGAAGCCTACACTGCCGAGCATGAAGCAGCATACAAGTTTGTGGCAGAACAGGGTGTGTTCAAGGACGGAGTCATGCCAGAGCTACCGCCCAAGTGCGAATGGATCCGGTGGGATATATAAGATATCGAGTGTGTAGTAGTATCAGTTGCCAAAGCGGAACTGATTCCGCGAGTCGACGAGAAGATGATACCCATATCAATACACATTTTTCCACAAGATACATGGTCAACGATGATGCGTTCAAAGGACAGCATAATGAACGATATGTCCTGAACCCTGCTCACTACTCGATCTCGTACGATACTGAGGTCAATAAGGGAGATTTTCATGACGGAGTAGGGTGTTTCAAGAGCTCTTGGCCAAAACCCGCCCACCTCTTCCCCGCAAGATGATGCGTCTTCGATTGATGTCACGAACGAAAAGACCATGGAAGTGCGAAGACGACTACCTCGCGAAAGATCCTACGTCCACGGAAATAAAGATGATATTTCGAGCCCGGACACTGCAACATCCAACCCTAGACATGGCGTGATTAATGGGCTACTGGCTCTGCTTGGATATCTGGTTCAACTCCTGAAGTCAGTCTTGTATGGGTCACCCAAGGACACGCGACACTTGGAAGACGATGATGAAGACAAGAGCAATGAAGAGAAGATATTGCTAGGGTACATGTGTGGTGGAGTGATAGCGGTGCATGAACGGCGGCGCAAGCGAAGTACAGCTTTAGTCCTGTCCGGCAGTCGCCATGAAGAGACGCCTTCTGTGCTCAAGCACTCCTCGGCCGCATATGCCTTCCTGGGCTCAGAGACACATCCAAGGCTTCTGCGGTAAGATCTCTTTCTGTTATGACCAAACTCATGCTGACACAGCTCCCAGCTGTCGCTCCTACGGCCCGCCCATCGTCCTCGAACATGCCCCCCTCGGCACCGTCCACGCCCTTCTCTCTACCAAAACACCCTACCCGTCTCTCTCACATCCCTCAATACCTACCAAACATGCAACACTCGCTCTCCCACTCTCCTGGCTTCTGCAAACATCCTCGGCCCTTCGCTTCCTACACGACCAAAAAGTCACCCATGGCGCTATATCCCCATCCTCTCTCTTGCTTCGCGCGGACATGTCCATCGCTGTAACAGACTTTACAAAATCCACAATCAATGGTCATAACAATGGCGTACCCACCCGAGCATCGGACGAATTTGCTTTCCCCGTGGATGCTCTGCGCTACGACTACTTTGACGGAGAATTATCTGCGAACTCACAGGCTCTGGGGTTGGCTATCGATGCCTTTGACTTTGCGACTTTGGCTTACAAATTGTTGATGAGGAAGGCACCGGGCTGGGAGTTGCCCACGGGAAATGGCACTTGGGCATTGGAAGAGTTGCATGAGGCATTGGACGAGGCAGCGCCAGAGCTTGGAGATGAGATTGTGGTCGGATATGTGGTGAGGGATGCTTGGTGTTTGGTGTACGAGGAGGGCAAGACTATGCAGGAAGATGTCGTGCATGCGTTGCTGAGACATGGCTTCCAGGTCAGAGGTGATGACATTGTCGGTGTCAAGGAGGCTGCTAGAGAGTTTGCAGAGACATACCAGCCTTCTTGGAGGTTTGAGGGATGATGGTCTGACACACATTCGATTTTCTCACGACACGAAAAGTTCAAAGACGAGTAAAACTCAGAGGAAAGAAAATGATCTTCATGTAATCCTGTCTACATCTACCAAGTCTCGGCAGGGATCAAGCTGTCGCCTCTCGACCTTCTATTCCTAAACACCGGATACGCAGAACTGGTCTCGCTGATCTGCCTGCTGCCTCTTCTCTGCCTGATGGTATTCAGATACCCATTCGCCCAGACGTCATTTCCAAACACATCATCAATATCATCCATCTCATCCAACACGCTCTGTGGTGGCTCCTCATCGAAAACAGCTGCCAGATCCGCATGTGCACCAAAGCTCTCCCAGAAATCGAGGAAAGCATGTCGACGTCGTGGTCCGAGTTTAGAGCTGCGTTGCCAGAGGTATCTGCGTTCATACAGGGCGATCGCGAGTAAAAGGGGTGCGTTGAGGACGCGTACTGCTGTAACGTTCACTTTGTGGAACCAGCGGGGCGTGGTCAGGAACTTAATTGGGAGGAGAATGACCAACGCGGCGACGTTGAAGGGAGGGCGGAAAGCGAAGAGTGTATCTGACTTGACGCCTTCAAAAGTCAAGACTGCTCGTCTGAACTGGATTTCGGCTGTGGAGTTCTTTGCGAGGTTGGAGTAGGTATTGCTGAGCATTGATACCAGAATGGTCAAAAAGAGGGTGTTACCAATGAAGGCGAAAAGTATCATGAGCGTTGGTCCTAACCAGCTGTGGAACTCGACGGATTTGGTGATGCCGGTGCCATCAAGTCCAAACCAGATCCACAGCATCCATTTGGAAATAACGAGGAAGCTGTGTGACGCATAGCCATCTTGACTCTCGCTGAGCCAGCGCATGGCGAGCAGGAAGCCGCCAAAGCACCATACCGTGACTATCGTCAGGAAAGTGAAATCTCCCATCATGGTTCGCAGCGCGATGAACAGCATATTCTCAGGCATGAGGCAGAATGCAAGTCTCGGCATCAGGATTGGAGCTCCCAAGGAAAGAATGTCAAGGGCTTGTTTACCCGTGTGTCCGGAGTTGGTCCTTAAGCCATGCATGCGAAGTCCGAAGTAAGCCAGATAGATCAGAGAAAAGGCAATGTCCATGAAAGCCCACAAGTTCTCAGTATGCACCGACCATCCGTGTTCCAGGACAGACGCGAGTTCTTCGAGCACCCAACCGCTACCGTAAACACAGAAAATAAGTTCTACCGTTGTGAATTGCAAATGACCGGGTCCTATCTCCTCGGCCTTATTGAACATAGTTAGCAGATACAAGCCGAACAGTATGAGGAATTGGACGATCTCGATAACCTTGCGGTTACGAGGAACAATCAGACGATACTGATTGAGAATCGGTGCTTTGCGAGGGTCGTAAAGAGAGATTCGGCGGTTCTTGTAACGGTCTGGCAGAATATCGATGAAGGCAGTTGGGGTATAAATGATACGGCCTCTGTAGACAGCATCGACGATCTTCTGGCATGCAGATGCTGCCAAAAAGCTCTTCGACTCGGAGATAATAGCCACCTCGAGCGCTGTCAAGACTCGGTCGCGACCTGATGTGAAGAAGCCTTCAGTAAGCGCAGAGCGAGGCTTCCTACCTGTGTCGACTGAGGGAGGAGCATTCTGGAATGGCTCGAATCCAGACACCAAGACGTTAGCAAGCGTCAAAAGTCCTTCGCGGCCGCTGTGATCCTCGTCAAATCGGCGCAAAATTCGACTGGCCAGGACCTCGCACAAATTGGCACGAGTGATGTTGACAGTTTGGTGATGAGCTTGAAATGATTGTTGACGCAGGAATTGCACCCGATTGACCAGCAGACACCAGACTGAAGGAAGTCAGAATCGATCTAGAACGCGTTGATGATTTACATACCAATTGATACGTCGTCTGGGTCGTAGAGATGATCAAGCAGAGGTCGTACAACAGCAGTGTTCATACGAGGACTCTTGAGCTGATCGAGACTGTAAGGATCATCTACATCTTTTTAGTAACGTGCTGAATTGATATGTTGAGTTCAAATGTACCAATGCATGCAATCACGAGTCTTCTTATGCGATGAATGGTCGTGTAGATAGGTAATTGCCTATGAGGATTGGGTTGCCAAGGTATGCTGTCCTTACGAGGCGGATAGCATCCATCGTCGTCGGCAGCCTCACCATCGTCGTCGAGAAGTTGTTGCTGTTCTTCGCGGGACATGGCAAGTCTAACGGCCTCGCTTATGCTACGAGAAGATTGTTCTCTCGCAGAGAATCTGTCCGGCAACGATGGGCGATAGCGTTCCGGCGAAGGAGTGGTCATGGTAATATGTTTGTCGCCATTACCACTCTGCTGGTTCGATGGCTCGGCAGTATCCTCATCGAATGGCGGCGACGGGCTGCGATCACGTTCATGAGGGCTCGCTGTGTCCGGTGCAAGATTATACTGGATCGCACTCGGACTTGGGCTTGGACGATCATCCATCTTTGCAATTGTTATGCGCCCGTCGCTCAATGGCGTGGGAATCTAGTCGATGGAAGAAGATGTTTTTGTCTTGATAGCATAACCCGGGAAGCGACACCAAACGTCAGAGCTTTGTCACAGGCGGGAAGCGGCAGCGTTGGCTTCAGATAGCAACAAGCCAGCACGGGATACATATCTGGTCTGCAAACACGGCTCAGAGACTGCATGTGACCGCCAGACTGTTAACAAAATGTGAACGACTGACGCATGCAAGTATGTGCGGGCACGACAAGTACTGTGTGTATAGTGAGAGAATTAAAACGCTAGAAAAATCTCGCAAGAGGGATTGCGATCTGCGTTGATGGCAACGAGTGCTTTTGGCGATGGCAATCGTTCAAGACGGCTGACCTTTGATTTGAGAATACAGGACGACATTTGTTGTTTCTTCCCACCTGCAGCTACCACTTTTATCCAAGAATCTTCATCTTTTCTACCCCTGCCACATCTTGTTACTGCCCCTGATCTGGTGTCAAGATTCCAAAATTGTACTGACGAAGATCATCTTTTGACTGATCGTTCCTCCTTTCAGGTCTAGCGATAATCGATCATCCAACAGCAAGCTGTTCATGCTTTCTCTTCGACAAAAAAACTTGAAATTCCAATCATGAACGGTCGTCGGAAATGACAGGCTCAGAACTCTGCACATGTATCAGCAACTCTTATAATGCAAACGAAGAAGACTTTTAAGCATCTCAGGAAGTTTGTGAGACATACCTTGAGCTGTGTGGTCAAGCGAATCAATCCGTTCTTGTCCATGGTGGCCAAGTAGTTTGTGACGAACCATCTGACGCCATCCGAGTCTTGATAGAAGTGTCCATTAGGAGCTTCGCCGAGGTATTCTTGGATAATCGCATCCCCACCAATATGGAGCCGGCCTTCTTCTCCTCGACTCAGAACGTGACCATACCTGCCAACGGCGGGACAGATCTTGACCATCGAACCCGGCATGACAGTGCCAACACTCTCGAGAGTTCGGTCGGTCAAAGATACGCTGCGCCAACCAAGCACACCAAATCCTTCCGCCATTGTCAAGAACGATGATGCCCATTGAGTTTGCAGCGCGTGTTGTCCCAGAGCCACCAAACCTGCTTTCACGACTCCGCCACCCACAGAGAGGCTTTCAAGAGAGTCGAGGTCTTTTTGAGTTCGTGAAGGATCCTTGATCAGCTCCTCTAATTGTGGTGATGCGCAGACGAGTCGCGTACAGCGGTGAAGCTCAACCGCAGAAAGAGCCATCTGTGCAGAGAAGCCGGCTCCTGGAAACACGACGGCTGCACCTCTCTTCCAGGCGACCATAACTGTTTCTAGCGTGGCACTGCTCGACGACGGGAAGGTGACCAGATATCTCTGTTGAGGAAGGATATACTGATTGACAAGCGCCGTTCGAATATTGTGAACGGCCAGCGGGCAGCCCTTTGGACGGTGTGGGGAGCTTTCTTGAGTGAACAGGATCACCGCGATACGCTCGTCGGCAACAGCACGATCTTCTGGACCTAGTCTGTTTGGTTTGTCTCCTGCATTAGTTGCTCGAAGTCTGTATGTTTCTTCCGGTTCGAAATTGACCCAGCCGCGAAAGAAGAAGTCGACTTGCTCATGGCATACGATCTTGCATCTGACTGATGTTTTCAGGTCCGGGTACAGTTCGTCGAAGTTATACGCATCCCTGATGTTGGATACCAGAACAATGCTGGTTCTCAGCATATCGAGAGGGTATGCTTGCTCTTTTCCGCTGTTCACTGCCAGACTCATTGGGTCTAGGGGGACGAATGTAAGCTCAAGGATGGCTGCAACCCAGAAAGCAAGCGCCCACTCTGCACAACTTGGAAGGAAGGCAACGATGGTGTCTCCCCTTTCGACCCCGTATCCTTCCCAAACGATCGCAAGGTCTCGAGCAGCTTTCATCAGTTGGCGGTAGGTCCAAGTCAAACAGCCGCCAACAGGCTCCTCTCCAACGATAGCTTTGAGATGACCCCACGATTGGTGTGTGCAGATTAGAGCGACGTTGTCTGGGCCCTCGTCGTAACCCTCCTCCAGTTGCTGAAACATCAGATCTGAACCGCTCTGCGCGCCCCAACCGCCGTCGAGGATGGACAGTCGTCTATCGTATCTTGCAGCCATCACGAGCGTACCTTCTGTAAGTGCGCGAAGAAGCAAAAGATCAGTCAAATGGCCTCCAATGGTTTCATATAAAATCATACCTGCTGGATGAGAAGAGCGTTGAGTCTGGTAGTAGGTAGTAAATTGTTCTCGCGATTGTGAAACTCGGTTTGCCGACGAGAGCTTGTGGAACAACGAACTTTGACGACGATTGTACGTGATTGCTATTCCAGCAAATGGACCAGCTCAATCACTGTCCAAGATTCTCTACTAAACACGGCGTACGAGACATGTGCCAAACAAACGCCAATCGCACTGGCAGACAATGAACGAGGGCATGAGTGCTGAGAAAGCTTTGAGACAACAGCCTCCCCATCTGCAAAAGACAATCACAATGTAGCTATAGAAATGCACAATAGTTTCGGAAACAGTGTGGTCTCCACAGAGAAAACAACATCGACAGGCTTTGTCCAGAGCCAGGCTCATCAGCAGGCAAGAGCAGTTCGGCTTGCTCCTTCCACGACGCTCTGCGTCAGCTTTATTATCGCGCGCAGCTTCAACACTCTTCTTCTTCTATTCCAAAACACGAGACATCATCATCTGCACTACCACCTCTCATCTCAAAATCATCAGCAAAATACATCTTCCCAATAACACCATCAAGATGCCTGACATCAACAAATTTCCCAACGAATTGATGGTGGAAACCTTCTCCTACCTCAATCTCAAAGACTTGACCAGATGCATGCGCGTCAGCAAATCCTTCAAGATTATTACCGAGCACTCTGCCTTCGACAAGATCTTCTTCCGTACCAAGGTCATCAAATCTGAAGATCCTATCGATTTAGACAAGCTCCAGATCAACCCCGCCCTTGAACAGCTTTCATACACCTCTCGTTCTAAGATCGAAGATGCTGAGTTTCTTCTCTGCTACACGGAACCTGATGGCAAAGAAGGCGTCCGCAACCTACCCTTGATCGAATCGTCAGCCGCCAAACAGAATGCCACAGAGCCCGCCGTCACTCACATCTATCTCAGACCCTATGGCTACGGAGGTGTGATGGTCCAGTCAGAAGATGCTTTGACTGTCCAGGAGGTGATGGAAGGACTCTGCAACTACTACAAGTCAGGTCAACGCTACGATAGGTGCCACTACTTCTTCGAAGGATTCTACAAGGTCAAGCAGTCAAGCGGCAACCTTGTCGTGCTCGGGGCTCACTGGGGTTCGTAAAGGTTGACCTCGTTTGTCAAATGTTGGGGTGCAGAGGCGCTCAAAAAAGCCGTCTTTCCCTCCATTCACATCAGCTATAGGCTCCACGCATGTATACTAGACCCCGATAACATTTTGCTCCAAAACAATTCGCCTCCTTTGCTTGGTTGGCCGTAGAAACAGGGATTGTTCTCCAAATCGTAATTGTACCAAACAACAGCATGGCAAGAAATCACCTCGAGCTTCAAACATGCCCACAATACACGCTCTTCATAACGAGCCGCTACGAAAGCTCTCCTACCTCGATGGTCACTTTGATATGCCAAGTCCGCTCTAACTATAATAGGGAGCAAAGTACAGACCACAAGAAGGCACAATGCCTCGCGAAAGCAGAGTTATGCCAACAGAGAGCTGCTAAGTCTGTGATTCTCAATTGGGAACGTTTCGTTGACTCGGCAAGAGCCTATGTCATATCTTCATCGAGTGCGACTTCTCGAGTCGAATGGTGCACAGCGTCAAATGCACTTGCTCCCTACCTGAGATGATTCTTTAAACATGATCCAAATTCAACAAAACATCGACCAACTTCACTTCATTTACCTTCATATCCAAGTCACTGGCATCTCAGATCCTGCTTCAGACATGCTTACCATTCACAATCTTCCAAACGAGCTGCTCTTGGGAATTCTCTCATACCTCGACGATCATCTTGATGTGAGAGACTGTTCACAAACCAGCTCCATACTTAGAGCCATTGCCCATCATCCCACTCTTGACCACAAGTTGTTCCGCTCAAAGAATGTCAAACACAAGCTCGACATCCTGGACATGGACACCTTTGTTCTTCACCCAATGATCAATCAAACGATGTTTGCCAAAGACATGCTACTCCCGGAAGATCCCTACATCCTCACCACAGATTGCGCAGACGAGTTTGACCAAGAGCATGGTATCCCAATTCTCCGTACACGAGCACACAAAAATAACGCCACCTCGCCCCCTGTTGATTACCTCAACTTTGACGGCATCATCATCGAGAACAAGAACAACAATGCCGTCACAGTCGGTCAGATCTTCAAAGAGCTCATATCTCGAAACGTTCATGAAAGCAAACATGACGAAGATTGGGACTGGTATCAAATTCACGCATGTAATTGGTATGTCTGCTGGGTCGACTCCGGCAAGGTCGTAGAGCAGCATAAAGTGAAGTATGTGAAGAAGGCATGCAAGGATATCGTGATCGATACACTTTGGTACAGTTGATGCTACCTCCGTATCTGTTGACCAGAGCATGGCCAAGTCGTTGCTCTGTTACAAGGAGTCACCAACAATCAGGACGTTGGTAAGAAAACATCATATCCAAACCACTATCACTATAGAGCTGACTTCTATAGGCATCACCAACAAAAAGCAGACACCTACACATCCATATCCCATTGTTCAGACATACGCAGATCGCTACGGACTTATGTCAGCCCTGTGGAGAAGAAGAGTAGCCACAACGACACCAGTAGCTAAAAGAGGAACCTGAGATTGCACACAAATGAACATCATGCAAGATTTGTCTTCGCAGCCTCTCTAGTTCGTCATTCATTCTCATTAGCTATGGCCAAGAGAACATATGACGATATATGTGTTGCATCCTTTGATCCACCTCGCAACTAAGGCAGCTAAAGGCCCTTCTATTCTGTCCCTGATTCGTACTGATAGTCTTCATCATCCCGGGGCAGAAACGATAGATGTGATTTGAAAGGAGAGTCCATAGCTGTGCATTGTTCTGATCAACTAAATCAGATCAATGCTAGCGAAAGCACAAAACAAGAAAAGTGGCGGGTGAAACAGGATGTGACCAAGAGACATAAATAAACCAATACTTATCATACACGAATAGAACTTATCATACACGAATAGAACTTATCATACACGAATAGAACTTATCATACACGAATAGAACTTATCATACAGAAACTCATCCCCTCATCACTTCCAATTCGTAATTCGTTTCCACTTACTCACACGACGGCAAAAGGCATAACCTCTAGTCCTCCTTCTTGTCTTCCACTTCCGGCGTGGGTGTGTACTGCTCTTCCTGAGCAATTGTGCGGTCAACCCATCCCTCGCCTCTCAATACGCCCATGCCTTTGCGAATCATGGCACCTCTGACAGCCTTAGGTTGTGTCTCATACAAGGCATTGATGAGCGCCAGACTAGCAGCAAATAGCATGACATCTCCACCTTTGACACCCTTCCACCATCCCCTCTTGACGCCAACTTTCCAGAAAGAATCAAGACTCATTCGTGCAGAGTAGATGAAACTGCTACGCTGACCTCTTCTAGCAACAAAAGCCCAGAGACCACCCAAGAAGCCACTGAGGAACCAGCGCTGTGTGGCCAAAGTGTTGCGAGGAAGGTATGTTGCAAACAGACAGATGCTTCCCCATGCTGTGCCGATAGAACCAGTAATGAAAAGAGACATGCGTAGGATCTTCGCGGCTAGGTGGTTGAGTTGTTGCATAGGGTTTTGGAGGAAAGATTTATAGGATATAAGGGCGAAGACAGCGTAGATGACTGTGAAGAAGCGGGCGGTAGAGGGGAAAGAGGCGATGAAATATTTGACATATGTTCGCATGCATGAAGGGTCGTTAGGATGTAGGAGAGCGCATGAGGTGTTCGTGATGGCAGGGTGTGCCGGGGCAGTGATGGGCGATAGATGCGAAATCGAGGCAGGTAGATGTTGTTTAGCGGCGGGGAAGAGAATGGGCGAAACGAAAGATGGCCAACGGAGGCGCGAGATGTCGGCCAGGCCATCGACGATGTCGAATGTGGCAGGCCAGGATTTGTCGGCGGGATATGTTGACGGACGTTGCTGAATGTATTCGGGGCTGCGTTTCAAGATGAAGCTGCCGAAGTTTGTGGGAAAGCAGTCTCGATCGAAGACGAAAGCGTGTAGAAGTTGGCCACAAGCAAATGGCATAAGCATCCAGCTTCCCACCCAATCCGGCTTGCCTCTCTTGCCCCAAATACCCTTCTCTTCCGCAGCATTGTAGGCGAATTCAAGCGAACGGCTGAAGGTGTAGATGGCGACACTGATGCGCAACTGAGAGGCGGGACACACTCCCAAGAAGAGGCCGGACAGTGCTGCGCCTATGGCAGGAGTGTATCGTGATGTCAAACCAAGACTGATGCGAGGATTGCGACGGCGGAAGGGACGAGCCGAGGGTTCGAGTAACGAAGCACGGAGGCGGAGGAAGAAGCGGTATAGTAGGCGGTGGAAGAGAAGGATGAGAGATAACGAGGCTGACAGGCGCAGGTTGGATGCTTTGGGACCAGTATTCTTTGTATTTGGGCTATTCCATTAGAGTCAGTACTGTGAAGAAGTGCTTGAGGATTGTTCGCATACCTGGAGGGCCGCAGTCTGCGCGATATGACATCCCATCCTTTGAGGGCGGCATAAGTCATGGCAAAGACGCGCAGACTGGCTCGTACTGTCGAGACAGTGGCATCGTGATTGGATTGTACTATGGCCTCGAATTTGCGCGGTGGAAGAGCGCGCTTCTGAACTGAGGGGGCGCGTGAAGCGAGGTATTGATGCAGTAGTTCATACTCTTTTGCACTGACGGTATAGCGAAGCGCATTGCGTGTGATGGGATCCAGCTTCTGTCGGCTGCCACTAGAAGCAGAGCTGGCTGCTGACGAAGAGGCCGACTGTGCCATGATTGATCGCCCTTCCTTCCAAAAACACCATGAACATCAGGAAAGGGCGACAGGGATGAGGGAGCGGATACTTGAACAAAACAAGCTTCCACTCCATCAAACCCACGAGACGCGCTGTGGAGAAGCCGAGGTTGACTGTTGACACCTCAGGGGTCCAACGACTCTTTCCATCGGAAAAGCATGCCGGGCAAGCTTTTGCGTTAGGCACAGTCGAAGACTGCCGAGCGAACCAATCTTGCTCGTTGAGGAAACCGCTGGATGCCTTGCTGCTGTTGTTGTGAGCCTGGAAATTGCATTTTGGGTGTTGCTGCCAATCACATGAAAGACCCTTGGACGCTCTTTCCTGGCCCTAGAAGCTGGAGGATGCAACGTCTGTGCCCTTGAATTATGCTTTGCAGTCTATGATGCTGCATGCATAGTCGCTGCCTGAAGCCTTCAGGTTGACCGACCCATGATATTTGACTACGAGAGTGAGATTTAATCTAAACAACAAATTTTTGCTGTCACCAACATGGAAGACGCGACCGTGAAAAGGTCTGCCGCTCCTCAATCCCCGGCCGCCGTGCCCCTGTCGTGCACCTTGTGCAGAAAGCGTGAGCCACTTCGACAAACGGTGCATACCTCTCTCTGACCACTTCTAGGTAAAATTAAATGTGATAAGCAGAACCCATGTTCCAACTGTGTTGCCGCACAAAAAGAGTGTGTGCCTGTTGTTCGCGCCAGATTGCCGCGTGGGAGGAACGGAGGTCGAAAGGGCATAAACTCAGAACTACGCAACAGAATCAATCGCTTGGAAGGCCTTGTACAGTCTCTCAATTCTGGCTTGCTACCCGATAATCCCAATCTTGACTCTGCGTCAATAAACACGCACACAAATAGCGACACTCAAGCATTGCCTTTTCCAAACCCCTCCTCAACCAAACCGCAGCCTTACGACTCGCGCGAGGCCACTCCCGATATCACAAGGTGGCCATTGGGTTCGACACTCTGGACTCAGCTGGCTCACGAACTTAACGATATTCACACAGTACTGGACAACGAAGACGACGATGACGATCGCGACGAAGACCTTGACTCGAGCCCACCTTCTGTACCTACAGATAGCAGTGGGACGCCTGGAGACTTGATTTTCACTTCGCAGGCAGCTATCGCTCCTGCCGTGTCAAACAACGATATATTGGAATACATCAAGATATTTCGACGAAACGTCGACTATATTCTGAAGTTCGTTCACCTACCCAGTTTCGAGAAGCTCTTAACAGCAAAGGAGCCATACCTCGGTCATCCACCAGATAGCCCAGCCACTCAGGCTCTGATCGCAAGTGCTTTCTATGCTTGCATCTGTAGCATCAGCAATTCTCATTGTTTATTCGTCTTCAACAAAAAAAGAGAGGATTTGAGGAATGAGTGGCAGCAAGCAACCTTCCAATGCCTTGCACAAGTTGAGCTCGTCAAAAGACCCAGCTTAGTGACTCTGCAGGCACTGTTGCTGTACATAGTGAGTTAGACATCAACATTTGAGACAACCTAGCTGACGTACTGGCAGGCAGCTGTAAGGTCACATCAGGATGATCAACAGAGCTGGATGTTGATCTCGCTGGCAGTCAGAATAGCTCAATCGTTACAACTACACCGCGAAGAATCCTACAACCGATTGCCTTGGGGCCAAGCTGAAGTGCGTCGTCGTACATGGTATACGTTGAAAGCACTAGACTATCAAGGCGCTATGGATCGAGGAAGTGATCTGGTGATCGTTCCGAGAGGATGGACGACCAAGCGTCCGACCCCTAATGTTGACTCGGATTTCGCGCTAGACACACCTGTCATCTCTCCGAGCGCTGAAACGCCAGTCAGCATGATTTTCTACAATATTCACTGCCACAGCAACGGGCTTCTAAGAGAGCTAAACTGGATTTTACCAGGTGAAGCAGAATTACCGCCTACACCGATGCAGAGTTCATGGGCTGTAAGACAGGAAGCAATTGCACGACTTGAGCGTACCTTTGAAGAGGATGTCATATCACGCATACCAGATAATGGCATATTCCGCTTTGCTTGCGTCAGTTTCACCAAGGTCCTCCTTAGATGCGCACAATTGTACGCGGTTCGGCCCCTCCAACGGCATCCCGCGTTGACCTTGCCTCCTCCCGAACATTTGAATATCTTACTCCTCGCGGTGGAAGCACTCGAAGTCAAGCGAGGCTTGCTGAGTGAGACTACTGAGCCATGGCACTGGGTTATCAAAGGCTTTGTAGATTGGCACGGCTTGGCTGTGTTGCTGGCCGAGTTGTGCAACCCTGATCAATATGATCCACAGCTGCTGGAAAGAGCATGGGCAGTTGGCCTGCTCTCGTTTAACGAACTCTCGGGGCAGATTGCAGAAGGAACACAAGGTCCCTTGTGGAAACCAATCAAGAAGTTGATGCGAGTTGCGCAGAGAAAGCGCCAGGAAAGATCTCCAGCAGCGCTGCCTGAGATTATACCAGGACCATCTGATAACTTCGTGGATGATTTGTCGACATACACAACCTCGGCAATGAATCTGATGCCAATGCATCCAGTCATGGATACCAACCAGAGCTGGAATGCTGTAGCCCCCGACCCGTTACAGGCATCGTGGTTCAATTGGCAATCCTTTACCGACGATGTCGCAGCATTAAATAATGGTTATACTTGGGGTGCAATGGACTTCGATCCGATCTTCGAGGGCTTGTGAGGCATGGGTAAGCGATCTACGTACGAACAATGTATTAGTATTCTCGTGGTACCTCTCTCAACCTAGAAGCACATCTCCACTTACAGTCTCATATCTCGCCGTCTCATGTGCTAAGCCACATAACGCGCATAGCCACAGGAATGCACAAAATACTATTAGGAAACAAGACAGTGTCCACCGAGAGGCGACAACTTATTGGCGTTCTTTGTACACGCCTCTGCTCTCAGAAACCCTTATGTCTTTTTATAGTGCAATACCTTGCTACCTGGAAGTACGATGAGATATACAACAGATTTTAGCAACGAGTATCAACGAGATCGGCAGACACGGCAAGCTGGTGTGACCCTGATTGCTGATCGGCCCAAGCTTTTTTGACCCGATGAATGTGTCTCCTCGCGCTCTCCTTCCTCACTCCCCATACTGAAAAAAAGAAGCTATCTAAATGCACAATGCTATCAGAAAAAGAAAACGTCCATTGAAAAGCGACGGCCTATCGGCTCTCGATGGACATGCTTCTGCTCCCGTAGACAATTGTGCCTTTCTATAGTGTGCTGTAGCCGCCCGCACTGCATTTGCTGACAAGGTTGTTCAGCCTTATATCCTTCGCACTTGCCGCCTTAATATATTTGATCTTGCCATCTTTCCCAGAATGAAACCACATTCGTTCCTGGAAGTCGCGCGCTCACACCATGGCGGTAAGTCAGGAAGTCATCGAGCTTAGTAGGCTTCTTGAATCTCGCTTTGCAGCTGAGGAAATCTCCCTCAATGATCATATATCGCAGTCGCATTCAGCAACAACATCTCTCAGTCCCGCGGATGAAATAACGATAGATAGCTGTCACAATCTGGTCTCCTCGGACGCCTCCGAATTCAATGATCATGCATCGTCAGTCGCCAAAGGACACGAGATCTCTGTCCATCAACTTGCCGAAGATGAGGATTCAAATCACCGTCCTGTCCATCATGTCCCTTGGGCACTGCGTCGGAAGCACTTGCTGTGTCTCATGGTGATGCTTGTTTCCATGATCATCGCTTTGGAAGTCACACAATACTTCTCAATAAGAAATCAAGGTCTGGCAACCACAACACAACAAATACACTATCTATGGACTTATGGGCCCACCGCTGGTAATGCTCAAATGCTGTATCCGATTTTCCCCAGCTGACTGCATTCAGTGTTCTCCGTTCTGGCAGTGTTTTGGGGAGCTCTCGAGTACCAAACAAAGATCACCATGCCTTGGAAACTGATGGCAGGTAGCCCTCGAACCGCCAAAGATACTCTGCTGCTGGACTATATTTCACCAAACCCGATCGTAGTGCTCTGGAAGTCCATGCGCGCGAAGCATTGGCCCGTTTTGGTCTCGGTCTTTGGCTCTCAATTGATCATCTTGGTCACCATCATCTCCACTGGCCTGTTTGTCTTGGAGTCTACGATAGTCCAGCAGAAAGAAGTTCCAATGACCGTGAGAAGATTTGACGACACCAATTTTGATGCTTCTCTCGTTGATGCACTGCCAGTGCTAGCTGTCTCGAGCATCATGTCGGGAAACATCTCGGTTGCGTACCCGTCGCACACGAATGAGTTCATCGCGATCGAACCATTTGCACCTGTTCGAAACATATCTGGTAAGTAGCGCTTCCCCGCGTGCTAAGGACAGTCACAATCGGACAAGTGGTCACTTTCCGATCTAAGGCACAAGTGTGCAGACACTCTGAACATGAGGTTGGCCAGGAAGACAGCTTTTGACAGAGTGCTTTCTGGGAGAACCATACTCTTTGTGAAAGCATTCCTCCATCTTTTCAGTCATACTGTGACAGTCTCTAGCATACGGGGGAGACAGAAAATCGTGCCAACGCTAGAATCTAACTTTGGCCCAGGATCCGAACTGTCTAAAGCTGCCAATGTCAATGTTTTCTTGGCGGGTCTAGATTGTCACCTTGGTCATGTTGCAAATGTCACAATGCTTGCCGAGGATGACAACTGGCAGTTGGTGGCCAATTTATCGGACTCGATCTGTACTACGAATGTCGTTAACCTCGGGGCACGTTACGATAGCGGTAATGCCACTATTGACGGGACCTGGAAGACTGTGGGTGCTGCATCGCTACAAAGCTGTCAGGAAAGTGGTAGTGTGGGCTCGGGGTCATTGGTACTTACCTTTGCACAAGCTATCAAACCAAAGAAGAAACCTCCTGCCTTTTACGAGAAAGGTAAAACGGAACAGCTACCCATGGGCTCATTTGAGTTCAATGCGACCGTGCTTTTCTGCACGCCGACAAACAACATGGAGCAGGCTTTAGTGACCACTAACTCTTCCGAAGCTATCCTCGATGTGGCTGATGGGCATACCGGTTCGATGCTCAATCTGTCGTCGTGGGATATGGCGTTAGCCTTTAACAACTCCGTTTCTAGCGCGACCAGATCTTTTACGAACAGGGATGACCTCGACCTTGCAGCAGGTATGGCGCCGTATGACACATACTTCAAGATTTTACAGGCCATATCACCTGGGGATACAGCAGACTATCTGAATCCCAACCTCCTCGAAGCAGATTCTCGGCGCCTCTTCACCGCTGTCTGGGCTCAGATTGCGAATCAACACCTTCTGTCAAACACGACTCAAGTAGATGTGGGCACGTATCGTGTCAATCAGCTTCGTCTTCTCCTCCGACCAGTCACATCGTATATAATGGAAGCTGGCATGGTAGCACTTTTGATATGCGCGCTCGTCATGCTCTTCATCAGACCCATAGTCCCAGATCTGGAAGGATTGCCATCTCCAGGTCGCATAGCCGCTATACTAGCCCGGAGCAAAGACTTGCTGTCTACGTTCAAGCACACCGGTGTTCAGTCTAAGCAGCATATGGAGCATTTGATTTTACAACATCGATACACCATGGACTCACAGCTCGACGGTAACACAGTGACTATCAAAGAGCTTCGATCATTTCCCACATCCGCGCTGCCAAGCAGAAGCATAAAATGGTGGCGACCTATGGCCCTCTCGGTGTGGATGCAGGTGCTTCTTCTGCTACTTCCACTCGCCGTTGTAAGCTCGCTGGAAATTACTTATCACATTTCAGTAAAGCATCAAGGACTGAGCGACGTTACAGATCGCGGGTATCTACACTACACATGGACCGTCATACCTGCTCTGATCTTGACAATCATCAAAACTCTCGGTCAGTCTCTAGCTTTCTCTATCGAGATCTTGGACCCCTACCTGGTCTTAAAGGCAGGTAGCGGTACTGCAAAACAAACTCTGTTCCATGACTACCTCTATCAGACATCTCTGTCTAGATGCCTAAGCAGTGTTCGGTTCGGCAGATGGGCAGTACTCAGCGTCTCGATATCAACACTACTCAGCCCATTTCTCACGATCGTCGTTAGTGGTTTATTCGAGGGACAGCCTGTAGCCCAATACCAGAGGCTAAAAACCGATGCTGTAGATCATTTGACGAACTTTGACAATATCTCTTATCAGAATTGCGAGGAATATGGATGGGAGCAGGCCACGCTGAATGCCGCTAACCTGCTTATCCAACAAGCGATTCCATTCCCGGAAGGGACCTTCGATGATTACATCTACCCATTGATGACGGCTGTCCCTCAAAACACAAGCACGACAGGAGTGTTCAATGCCTCGTCCATGTTTGCCATTACCCCAGGTTATCATCCCCACACGGTAAGCTGGTCACTGTGCTTTCTTCAAGATCCAAGCGCCACGTCTAGAAATAGTGAGAGGCCTTCTGACGTTAGGGGAGCTGTGCGATGTCCTCGATATCATGACAGTCTTTGCTGACTTATTCACAGGTCTGCGAAGCTCTAGACCCTTCTGAGTTTCAGTACACGTTGCGCAACGATGGATCCAACGACGGTACCTATTTGCCAAATGGGGAGCCATACTATTACTTTCTCAACTTCACGCACCCCGCCTTCACGGGCTGTGATTGTTCTTCACCACAATACACCAGCACATACTGCACCACATCAGATCTTTTATCACTTGGTGTGAAATTGGATCCGAACACCACTGTCTTTCAAGAAACAATGGACGTCGCATATGCCATTCCGCTCGGCTGGATGAAGTCAAAAGGATGGCCTAATTCCTCCGCGCTGGCTCACTCAAATCGTCAGTGTCCTAATATAACCATGATTTATGGCGATTGGGATCCACAGTCCAATACCTCAGTGAATCTAGGGGGCGTCGTATGCTATTACAACATGGAAGAGGCCCATCTCAACATCTCATATGCACTTCCACAACAGACTGTGACTGCAATTTCCTCTATGAATTCCTCACTTGTTCAGGCAGACCCTAGCTGCTGGCCCTTCAGCCTGTACAGCATCAACGACTATCTGGCAAACAATGGAACATCATCGTTTGATGGACTCTTCATGACTGCCTTGAATCGAAGTGACGAAAAGACGCTCTCTACTCCTGGCAATGCCGATGCCTTAGCAGGTCGAGTCAGCAAAATCTACGATACATTCTTGGCCCAATACTTCAGCCTCAACCTGCGCAACACCAACTTCACAACCGAAGTGTCTCACGTGCCGCTGACACTTGTTGACAATAGCCGCCAACGCTTGTTCCAGAGTCGTGTTTCCACAAGCATACTAGAAGGGTTACTTGGCATCATTTGGGTGTGCACAGTGATTGCACTTGTCCTCTTTGACAGTAAAGAGCTGCTTCCGAAGGACCCCTGCAGTATTGCAGCTCAGGCAAGTCTCTTTGCTGATTCTGATTTCATCGATATGATACCTCCTGGAGCGGAATGCCTTTCTGACAAAGAGCTTGCTGAGACGACTCCCTTCAAAGACCATCTGTTCAGTTTGGGGTGGTGGGAGAAGGAAGGTGAAGCGGAAAAGACTTTTGGTATTGATATTGGTCAGGCTGTCTCTATGGGTCAAGGGGATACACGGTGGACATGGATCAAGAGATTGCTTGGAGTGTAAGTCAAGGGTGGTAGAAGAAGGTTCAAAAATTTATCGAAGCCAACGGAAGAAGTCATCTGCGCGGCCCACTAAATCGCTCCTTACTGGTGGTGCGGGAAGCAAATTTCTTGATATGGACGGTTGGTGTTGGCGAGTGTCGGCTGATCTATCTTCGCAGATGACGAGTGTCGCTCCTTCCTAGAAGCGTGTTCAGAGCGACCTTTATCCAGTCACGTCACAAATATGCACGTGTATATGAGCAAATTTACTCAAGCAAAATTCTTCTTGGCCCCTTCTGTTTAGAAGCGCCTACCTCATTGTCTTTATTTTGCTTTTGTTCTTGATCACTCGACAATCCAAACACTGAAGTGTTGCAACCATGAATCTCGCGAACCTTCCGTATGAGGTCTTTACGGACTTCAGTAATTTCTGGCGGAAGCTGGTATTGATCAAGTGGAATTCATTCCATGAAGCAGGTTGCCACAGAACTTGGTCCATCGGCTCAAACGGTTCGTATATGCTTCCTGAAGAAAACGATTTGTCCTTTGGTAGTTCTAGTCTGACTGTTTCGGCACCTATCCAGTTTCCGACACGAAATGGGACTATCATGGCCCCAACACCTGGATCCGACGATCGGAAGGAGAAAAATCGAGCATCCAGATCAGCCATGGGATCAGTGAATCGCCTGGTGCAATGGAGCCCTCGCTCTGGTTTACCTGCGGAATGCTCCATAAGTATTCGCCTTACGATCACGAATTCATCCTGGACGCTTGTCGTGAAGTCATAGATGCTTTGACAGCCCATCGAAACAGGGCTATGTGCCACTGCGATCTCTCGTATATAGTGACGGGAGAATCACGCCAAAGGACGACTAGGTTGTGCACGAGTTCCAAGGTCGTGCATGCGAGTATCCGAAACGCCATCCATCTACATGACAGAATCTGTTGTTGCGGCTGTTTCAACGCTCTCAAGGATCTAGGCAAGAAACACCTCGTCGATGTTCAAGCACGCCCGGATTTGCGGAAGCACGTCATGCTAAAGGGTTGGACCGATGAAGACACGCTGTTCTCTCTGGTTGTTCTCTTCTGCATAATTGGTATAGTTGCTTCTTCGATCGCAGTTCCTTCCAGATGAGATCCCAAACCTGGATTTCCAATGAGAAGGATGGAATTCCGTTTCGGATTCAGCACGAATGTGGTAGCGAGTAGGTTTTGGACCAAGTCATCTCATTGATTATCTGATGTCTCTGATGACTTTCACGGTTCAAGGCCGCTATGGCCATCTACCTGATCGTCTGAGCCGCAGTTCCTGAAAAATCATTCCAATCCTGAGTTACTTCGAGTTGTGCGATACAGCTAGTGATATGTGCTTTCCAATCTATTCCAGCAGGTATGCTAGTAGAAGGGCTTTCAGGAGCTTCACGGGTGATTATATATGCAGCTCTGTGCAAGCTCATAGAAGAAGACCTATCAAAGACAAGGATCAGCATAGTTCAGAGTTCTGCAGAATCGTGGAGGATGATACTTACCAGTGTCGACGATAAAACTTTGGCATGTCCCAAGTTGTGTCGACAATTGTGATGTCAAATGCTGTCTGCAGTCAAATCGATTGTGCCCAAATAAACTTAGCCGGATGGCTTCTCCAATTGGGTTCCAGTGTCGAGTAGATCGAGAGGCGACACGTCAAATATGTAAGTGTAACATTATCTGATGAGTTCAGAAGAATCTCTAACTACAACTTAGCTAGTGTAAGCGTTGTCTTCTGTTCCACCCACGCAGTGATCCTTGCAACCAACGCCTCGACTTCTGCCCTCGTATTACCAGCATGCAAGCACACACGAATACGTTCGGAACCTAGTGGAACGGTCGGCGGTACAATGGGTCTGACTACAAAATTCTTCTCCTGGCAGAATTTGGCCAAACCTCGAGGATCTGAACTGAGCACCGAGAATATAGGCGAGGGTGGACACTCTTCAAGGACTTGAAGAAGGTGGCGCTGGTGATGTGGTAGGCTCGAGGTGAGAGCAAACAACCTTTTGCGCAAAAGACTGATAAGATCGAAGAGATGCGTGGCGAGTGCAGTACTCTTGTCGTTCCACAGAAATGTGTAGGCTGCTCTGATGGCTGCTAACGCTGGGAATGACAAGAAGGTTGTGTAGATTAGTGGTCGTGCGTAGTTGATCAAGTAATGCTTGATGAGCGGACTGCAGAGTATGATGGCTGCAAATGCTGGTCAGATATGATACCAACATGGTCAATCGCAGCAACGAGTACTTACCACCGTTACAAGCCATCGCCTTGCCAAAAGTATGCAAACGAATAGTGATCTTATCTTCCAATCCAAGCGCCGAGACCAACCCCCTGCCTTGTGGACCTAGAACGCCTGTAGAGTGTGCCTCGTCCACAATGATATGTCCATTACCGTTAGGTAGTAAGTCATTCACTATCTCAACAATCTCCTTTAGCGGTGCGACATCGCCATCCATGCTGTAGATTGCCTCGACGGCAATGAAAATGCTACGTCGTCCAGATTCGAATTTCTCATCCGAAGCGATACACCTCTTTAGCACAGCTCGCAGATCCTCGACAGAATTGTGTATGAAAGCAAAATTTGCTCCAGCTCGGCTAGCCCTCATGCCATCGTGCACGCTTGCGTGGATGTAGCTGTCATACACTACTATATCTCCAGGTTGTGGTAGAACAGAGAATAAGCCCGCATTAGCATCGAAACCAGAGTTGCACAGTAAACCATCTTCTGCACCGTGGAAAGCCGCGATATCTTTCTCCAATGCTTCTGCGTACTTGCTGTTGCCATCGAGCAGTCGTGAGCCGCCACTACCGAGAGGAAAGTCGGGACGGGCAGCTAATTCGCGAAGATAGAGATCCCGGAGAGCAGAAGAGTTGGATAGAGAGAGAAAATCATTGGAGCTGAAGTCGATGGCATTGGCAGCAGGAAGAGTCAGGTTGCGAAGTGTTGAAGCTTGTCGGCGCCGTGACAAAGCGAGGGCCAGACTTCTTTCCAGATGTGATGCCTGCGAGGCTGCGGCGGAGGACAGGCCTTGACTTGTTTTCTTCTCCATACTTGTCGTTAATCACGATGATATTTTGGCAGGTATGTGTCCAGTCGTTGTTCCCCAAAATTTCCTTCGTGCCTTATTTGAGGATTGACGTTCTTAACCTTTTATTGAATAATCAAAAAGAAGGAAACCAAACTCCAACACCGGATCCAGTGGTTCAAGGAAAGAAAGTAGATGTCTTTAGGCCGATCATGCTAATGGTCACTTCTGCAAAATCGATGAGTCGTATGTTCACCACAAAAATGGTCGGGGTCGATGCTCAAGGGAGCCTCGGCCCGATCGACATTTTGGCTTCTCCGAACGCGGCACCCCCAAGCCCTCCGAGACCTGCACAACCATCGAGTATACATATCGTTGAGCGATTGACATCAACGAGAATTATCTGGTTTTCTTGTTTGCTACCCCGCTCATCGTCCTCCGAAAGCAACACTAACAAAACTCCTCTGTCCCCTTTTCTCATCCTTCTCAATACCAGTCCTGCTTCTCGCATGCACAGGCAGACTAGCGACGCTGTATTTACTACTCCTCGATGGCTTGACAGTAGCATCACTATCCACTTCTGAGTGTCTACCAGATCGTCGCGAGCCTTCACCATGTAACGATCTTGATCTATGCTTCTTGCTTGAGCTCGATTTTCTGGACTCGCGGTCGTGGCTACGCTCACGGTGACGAGGCTCATCATGCTTATGGCGGCTGTGACGAGATGCAACGCAGGATATGCTATCATCCGGAGCCACAGTCTCAAGGTCGTCAATACGAGGGATTGGCTCGTCAAGGAGACTGCCTACAATGCTGGTCTTGCGTGACTCTGGCAATGGTACACCAGCGGCTGATGCTCCTTCATATACTGATGCTTGACGCCCGAGAATGCTGCCGATGATACTTCCTGCCCGAGACTCAGGCAGAGCAATCTGGTGAGCTGATATTGTCGAGTCAGCTCTGGACATTGGTAGAGGCCTCTCAACCGCCGACACCAAGGACGGTCTTCTGGAGTCTGGCAATGGCATATCTGCGCCTGAGACAATCGATGTTCTTCTTGAGACTGGCAAAGCGTACTCAGCGGCAGAAACCACTGACGTTTTTCTTGAACTCGGCAAGGGAACCTCCGCTGCTGAGACGACTGATGTCTTGCGAGATCCAGGTAGTGGTACACCAGCGGCAGACTCACAACGCGACCTATTGACTTGACTAGCCTTGATGGTGCTCGTATCAGAACCATCAAATGGCGATTCATCTCTGTGGCTAGTAGATTGGTGTCTCGATGATCTCGTCGATGTCGTAGAACGATGTCTGGATGAACTACGATGTCTACGTGATCGATCCCGGGAGGTTTCTCGGTAATTGCTTCGGCGACCTACAGTCGAATGTTCCCGATGCTTGCTAGAGCGATGAGAGTGCCTGCTGGCTCGGTCGGGAGAGATGTCTCCTCGCTCATCTTGGTGAGGTTTGTGAGAATATTTGCTATGCTTGTTTTTGCTCGAATGTACCGAGTACATGCTCATAGCACTGTCGCGACGTGCAACCACAAGATCTTGTGGTGGCCATTCTTGAGCTTGTGCCGGAATGTATTCAATTTGACGATCTGTGTTGCAGACAGATGGAGGCGAGGTAACTGTCCGACGAGTCACTATGGATGGCCGTCGACTTACTTCAGAAGCTGGAACGTATTCGATGTGTCTTTCAGTTAGTGCTCTTGAATGTTGTCCTGACTGAGATCTTGATGGGCTTTGGACAACAACTTGCGACGCTGGTAGATAGACTGCCTCAGACTTTTCAGTCTTCTTGCTGGCTCTCGAGGTAGGTGCCAGAGAGACGTAGGTCGGGCTATGATAGCTCTTGCTGTCGATTGGCTGAGGTTCGGGAGCCGCTTCAATGGCTCGCACCGAGCGTGTCTTGTGTGATCGGAGTGGAATTTCGGACTCAACATCGCTGAATTGCTCCATCACTCTGGACGCAACCACAGAATCCGTGGTACTATAGTTACGATGAACTCGTGTCCTCGGCCGTGAAGCCACGGTCTCAGCTCTTTGTTCGGGCACTCTGCTCGCCTTTGCTGTTTTGCTCGTTGTCGCGGAGCTCAATACGGTCTTCGCCTTGCTAGTCTGAGCTTGACTCGGGACGATCTTGCTAGGTGCCTTACTGGGTGCTCTGCTCGACGCAGATTTCATACTCATAGCTTCAGCAAAATCTGCTTCCTGTTGTGCACTATCTTGTTCGCTCTTAACCATAGCATACGCGACTGCTGCACCTGCTGCTGCTCCGAGGATAGTGCCTATGATGGCTTTCCCGGTGATTTGAAATCCAGATTCGGAGCTTGAAGTTGATGCGGTGGGCATTGACGGTTTCCTGGTAACACTCGGAGCATTGGATCGAGTTGTTGTTTCGACGACGCTTGATGGGGATATACTCTCAACATCAGGCTGATTTCGGTGTGCCGATACAAAGGTCGTTCTGTCCTCATCACCCAGGACATTCACGATGCCTCTTCTCCATGTCAGAACACGGCTGCCTCCCGAGGTTGTAGTGTATCTGTCATCGTCATCCACTTGGTGATAGATTACTTCGATGCTATTGCCGTCTAGGTCGAGTACTGCAGCGTTGAAGATGCAATCATTACAGCCTCTAAAGGCAGGTGCGCCATTCGGTTGTCCGCCAGCGGTGAGTGCGGCTGCGTAGAAGTCTCTCACCGCCGATCTGCTAGTTGCGGAAAATGCCACATGTGCGTTACTACGAGCAATACTGTGACAATCTTTGTCAGCCCGATCACTAGAGGCTACCGCTCTCAACCAAGTTCTCACCCAGGTAGTTCAGGGCTCAGGAAGAAGTCAGCGTCGTCGGTGCCGAAACCAACAGAGTCGCCTTGGTTGCCAACGTATTTGTATCCAAGAGGTTGGAGTGCTGAGAGAAAGAAGGAGCACGCAGAAGGTACGTGAGAAACAGTCAATCCAACATGTGATACTGGCATGGCAGGCTTTGCACAATGGATGACCAGAGTTGAAAGGAGATGAGGGCAGAGATATATGATTCAGCCAGATATGCCAATCAGTCTCATGACTTACATGATCAATGGGCCAAGCGGCCATATCGACTCGATCACGGACACGTTGAGTTCGCGTCTAGACTACTGCACGCTCTAGAGTTTCTACAGTATGCGGCTGAAGAGGAATTGTTCCTGCGGCCGGAAGACGCGCCTCGGTAAGGTGGACAGCAGACAGGTGAACATAGTAGGCGGGTCCGGCCGGGAAGAGATACAGCGCCAATAGAAACCTAGGCAATGATCGCCTATATAATCGACCGTCTGTGCGGCGGCAGATCAGGAGCGGTATGCGCATGGTGAACGTGCCACGTAGAAAGGGCGTGCTTCATGCAAGCTAAATAGAGTGACAGCTTAGCAGACGGCAAATGCCCCAGTTGGTGAAACTATGCCGACCAGTGATCGCACCAACATTATCCGAAAAACCCCGTCCAACGAGAGATTGTCAAGTGGCCGAAGGCTTACGATAGTCTGCCAGGTCACGCGTAAGCCGGCCAACGTATCAGAAATAAGACATGTACTTGATCGAAGCAGGAACGACTCTGAGCGATGGAAGGTGAAGCTTGTTTTATTCTTTGACTCTATTAGTCAAATCAGAGAGTGTGACTTGACAACTCAACTGGACCCTGTTGACTATCCAAACCGAATATCCTGCAGACAAGCATCAAGAATAGACCCAGCGCTATACGAAGAGTACTAGCAAGCGATTGGTGCATGTGCGCTTTAGGGATCGATGAGCTGTATTGACGGCAACCGTCCAGCGAAAGCGCAATGATGCAGTAGAATCTGGCGCCGTCCACGTTTTGCTGGATAGGCGGCGTTCTGTGGGTTGTTATTGGAAAGTGAGATTCGTAGCATGTTGGAGACGATCGTTGCGAATCTAGATGACGTCCCAGACTTCTTCGGCGGCGTGGCAGAATCTGCTGCAGGCAACACTAGCACTCAAGCTGAAGTTGCTGATACTGATCGAGTCATCCTTGAACTCGTCTGCGAAGTTGTCGTTGCCCTTGGCCATAGCACCGACAAAGACGCAAATGCTCTCCTTGGGGGCGAGATCGCCGATGTAGTCGCTTACACGAACGACGGGAGCGTCGAAACTCAGAGTGACCTTGCGGCAGTTGGGAGGGAGGTGGTCGGTGATGGGGTTCTTGATAACTTTCAATAGCTTCTCTTGCGATGTAGTAGATCGAATGGAGAGCCTGTGGAGGAGCTGGACCATCAAACCAGCGAAACGCTTGAAGGTACGGGGAATGCGAACGGTGGGGCTGACTTCGATCAAGACACCCTTGGCTGTGTGAATGTAGATTTGTAGTTTGCCGGCCTTGTTGAGAGGCGAGTCGAGAAGAGTAAGGAGACACTGCGCGTTGGTCAGGAGTGAAATCAGAGACGAGAAGAAAGAAATGAGCTACCTGGTGAGTGATGTCGGGACGGGCGTCTGAGATGTCGCGGTTCATCTTGCGCATGACACCAATGTGCTCGTCGCTGTTGAGCAACGAGTACTTGTCGTCCTTGGCACCACCACGGCCGCCAGATGAGGCCTTGTATGTCTCGAGACTGGCATTGGAAAGCACGACGATGAGACGCTGCGAGTCTTTGTCGCTCGAAGGGATGGGAACGTGCTGCTCGGCTACGAGCTGAGGCAGGGATGGAGGTGGGAGACTTTGGGTGCCTTGAGGATCAGGATTGATGTCAGCCATGGCGAGGTTCTTGTTGGAAGAACTTCTTGAAACACTATGTGACGGTTGAGCAGCAACAAGTGTGCGTGTTGGAAGGGGATAGTGATGGTAGGAAGTTGCGCGGGCTTGTAGTGATGGTGGTTGGTGTTGTTGCTGCGATGGGAGAGATTGCAATGATTGCAGTGACTGACGCTGTCTCTTGGATTCACGGCCCTCGAAAGAAGAGCGTCTGCGCACTGCCGAACTCGAGTCTTCACTGCCTTCGGCATGCTCCTGGCCGGCGATCGGCTGCTCTTCCTTGATCATGTCGCTCATTTTGTCCTAAGAATGCTTGATTACTGTTTCTGCTTCTGGTCGATTTGCAAAGGCTTTCGGCGTCTTTTATCCAAAACTGGCTCGAGATGGCTGGAAAAATATTTTCTCGGTCTACGGATATCGCGAACAAGCGCGCAAGTAGACTCTAGTCACGTGAGGTATCCTTCGTCCTCTTATCGCACCTTCCTCATACGAGTTTACCCACCACCACCCGAGATGTAGAAAAGTGTCATCTCACCCACCGGCATACCAAACATGCTGTCTTTGTCACTCGAGTTCTAGCGAGCCCATTGCTCTAGGGTGTGATGCTCAGACTCGCCTCTCACATCAGCAATGGGACAAGAAAGGCCAAGATTCGGCGCTTTGAGAGTACAAGAAGCGCCGTCGTGTTAGTCTTGCACAAAAATTTGGCATAAAATGGTTGACCTCTCTGACGGCGTGATCGGTATGTCACGCCTCAGAAGAACACCAGTGCTACCCCAAAGGCGTAGTAGCGCCGACAAAGAGTCATCGTCTCAATTTATCATCCGGTCTTCGCTCTCAAGAATGCACGAGAGGAACTGGATTTCCAAGCAGCCATATACCACCTTAATTCACTTCGAAGCGTTGTGAAATTAGCTCCGTGCAAGCAGCGATAAATTTTTCTTCGGCTGATATCCTTTTCTTCCCTGCGGGAGAACATCCGTAGAACAAAGTCAATTGCCGTTAACGAAACTCTCAATCAGTTGTCTGTTCAGACAATGACCATACCCATCATCATGGATGACAACGAATTTCACTTCAAGAACAACAAGGTTACTTCTACTGGTACCTCAACCCAGCGACTGGAAATAGATCCTGTCGCGGAGAAAAAACTGGTTCGCAAACTCGACCTTTCAATCATCCCACCTGTCACATTACTATACTTGTTCAGCTTCCTGGATCGTGTCAACATAGGAAATGCTCGTCTTTACGGATTGGAAGAGGACCTCAACTTGTCATCTGACCGATACCAGACTGCAGTGTCTCTACTTTTCGTTACATACCTTCTCTTCGAGGTGCCCTCGAACATTATCTTGAAACACTACTGCCGTCCTTCGAGATGGATAGCTTTCATCTCTGTATGCTGGGGAATTGTTGCGACGTTGACTGGTATCGTGCAGTCCTTTGGAGGTCTCATTGCTTGTAGATTGCTTCTGGGACTCTTCGAATCGGGTCTGTTCCCTGGATTGGCAGTATATCTCTCCTTCTTCTACACCAAGAGGGAGATCGGACTTCGAATCGGCTACCTTTTTGTCAGTGCAGCATTAGCTGGTGCATTCGGAGGTTTGCTGGCCTATGGTATTGGTCACATGGATGGGGTTGCTGGCCAGAGTGGGTGGCGCTGGATCTTCATCCTCGAAGGCATACCAACCTTTGTTCTCGGCATCGCTTGTTGGTGGTGGCTAGCCGACGGTCCAGAGACTGCCTGGTTCCTGAACCAAGAGGAGAAGAAAATTATGGAGATTCGCCGATTGCAACAAGTCGGTGTGACCGATGAATTCGCCTGGCGAGACGTGCGCGCCGGTCTCAAGGACTGGAAGATGTGGGCATTCTGTTGCGCTCTGTTCGGCGCTGACACCATGCTTTACGGCTACTCAACATTCTTGCCAACCATCATCAAAAACATTGACCCAACATACTCAAGCGCCTTGGTTCAAGTCCTCACCATCCCTTGCTATGCTGTTGGTGCTATCAGCTATCTAATCATGGCACGCATCTCAGACTGGTCACAAAAACGCGGCGTTTATACCATTATTTTCGGCGTCATCTCTATCGCCGGCTATGCTATGTTGATCTCAGACGGTGGCTCAAGTGTCCATTACGCTGGCTGTTTTCTGGTCGCCTTGGGTCTGTACGTTGCTGTCGGTCTCCCTATCGCTTGGCTACTGGCCAACAACCCTCGGTTTGGCAAGCGCACCACAGCTACTGGCTTGCAACTCATGTTTGGCAACTGCGCTGGCATCATGTCATCTTTTCTGTATCCCAAAGAGGAAGGGCCTCGGTTCATCAGAGGTCATGCTGTCTCGTTGGGCATGGTGTCGTTTGCCATGATTGTTTATGCCTTCATGTGGTGGTTCTTCAGCCATGAGAACAAGAAGAGAATCAATGGCGAGCGTGATTACAAGATTGAAGACATGAGCGAGGAAGACATTACTGATTTGGGTGATGAGAACCCCAAGTTCCTTTACTCTATCTGATGAAAGTGTGATGGTGCATGTGTAATGACGAGTATATATAATACAGGGTTTAATAGAAGGCTTACTTGGATATGGACATTGACTTGCTCACTACAACCACCATGGCATGTATCACAGTTTAGGTGCGGGAAATGGTCATTGTCATCAAAACTCGTATGAATTGACTGTGGATTCTCAATCACAGTTTCGAAGAACTGCATCGTTCAGTTTTTGTTTATCGTCATCATCGTGAAAGTAGAGCAATATTTACGAGCTCATGCTGGAGTGCTGCTGTCTGGCCTGAGTAATCTCATCCTCCTTCATCTGTCTGAGGTTGCCAGTGTTGGCAACTCCGCCAGTGACGTTGGCAGCGACAACTTCCTTGAGATAACCGAGAGCACCAACGTTAGTCTTGTAGTACGAGATGTCTATATCGAGTCAGTCTTCCGTCCATGGAACATCATGCAGGGTAAGAAGGTCAACATACACTTGCTCTTAACCTCAATCAAGCTCATTCTCGGGTCCTCAGCAGTACCATTGTGAACACCATCACCAAGATCACCGAACCAAGCTGCAGCACCACGGCTCCAGACCTCCTTGATACGGGGATCGCTGTTGGAAGCGGTAGTAGCAGTACCAGATACCGAGATCCAGTCCTGGCTCTTGGAGTCTTGGAATGAAACGTTGACTTCCTTGTTTGCTTCAATGTCCTTGAACTTTTGCGAGTGTGCGTTGGCGAGGAAGAGGAAGTCGGGGCCGGTTCGCTTGGCTAGGGCCATGGAGCGGGTGACGGGCTGGAGGTGTCTGTTAGTATGAAAGTCATGGCGTGGCGATGTAGTTGAGGGAGACTTACTCCAACACCAGGACGGTATGTGCCTAGGAGACCAATCTTGAGGCCATCCACGATCTGGTAGAACTCCTCGAATTTAGTCGAGAAGTCGGCTTCATCCCACTGTCTCATGACACTAGGGTCATTCTTCTCGGTGATGTCCTGAGGCTTGACGTCGGAAGGCATGTTGTATATGTATTTTGAAACGTTGAAATGATTAAAAGTTGTCGTATATATGAGAGACTCTCTAATACAGCAGAGCAACCATTGTTTATATACCTGCCTTCGGAATCCGATCCTCCAAACACGCAAATCGATGACAGAGCTTCAGATGCATGACGAGCGGTGATATCACTGATGCATGGCATCACCAGTTTTCGTTCAAGTATCAAAATCCGAGGCGCATTCAATGTCCGAAGACTTCTCCAGTAGGGACTATGTAGCTACACGTAATGTTTGTAGGGTAAGAGTCGGTAGGGTAATTTGGTGCAGACATAAATAGTGATGGCGGTGATGGGTCGATTTTGCTAGCGTGGTTCACGCACAGTCGCTCCGTTCGCCGATCATTTGCCCATCAAGGTCGGAAAGTTTAATCATTCACACAACGTGTACGCAGGACTGTTGAGGCTCAAATAATATGCTGAAATAAGGATACAAGGCATCGAAGCGATTGGCTCCTGCTTTGAATGCAACTTGGGAATTCCCTCATTTCTTGAGAAAGCATTGTGGTGTCTTAGTATGGCAAGAAACGATCTAAGAGATAGGAAGCTGTATTATTGCTTCAGACAAACGACAAGAGTAAGGAACTAGCCAGTCAACAGAAACTGGATAGCACGAAAAAGGACCAATGGTATAATCACCCATGAGATAACGCCTCCAAGTAATGCAACGCCAAAACCTAAAACAATGTTCTCCTAGAATGGGAAGCCTCCGCCAGGGAATTGGAATCCTCCTTGCTTGAATTGGAAGTTACCACCACCTCCTCCGCGTTGATGGAAGAATTGCTGGTGGCCACCGCCGCCTGGGAAGCCAAATGGTTGGCCCTGGAAGGGGTTGCCTTGTTGAGATTGGTCGTTAGGATCGTCGCCGCGATCGAACCTGGCCTTGAGCTCTGGGTCTGAAAGAACTTCGTATGCCTCATTGATCTCAGCCATCTTCTTCTGTGCTTCCTCGGGGCTGATACCCTTCTGCGCAGCCTTGTCAGGATGATGCTGGACTGTCAGCTTGCGGTAAGCTTTCTTGATTTCTCGCTCATCAGAGTCTCTGCTAACACCGAGAACCTTGTAGTAGTCTTTTTGCTTCGATCTCTTGAGTAATGTGTGAGCCTTCTGCAACAGTTCTTGGACCTTTTGCGAGTTCTGGTGGTGTTCCTTGGCTTGGTTGAGAGTCTGGATCGCAGGTTCAAACTCGTCGGCGTCTATTTGGCGTGTAGCTTTGCCAATCAGGGCTGGAAGACAGTTGGGGTTGTGGGTCAAAGCCTCGTCACAGTACGGCTGAGCCTTCTTGAGGTTGTTCATCTCCGTGTAAGCCTCGCAGGTCAATTCGACCAAGTCATTGTACAAACGGTCGGGAGCGTTCTTGTGAATGAGACCCTCATCGCGGTATTGCTGTGTGGCATCTTTGACGGTCTTCAAAAGTCCCTCGTCGTCGGTGGTGGGGACCAGCATGTTGACAGCGTTTACGTATCTCCTCTTCTCCATGGCTTCCTTCATCTTCTTTAGTTGCTTGTCGATGGCTTTTTCGGCTTTCAGGAGTTTCCTGCAAGGCTTGGAATCGGGATCTGAGTGGAGACACTTCTTGACTTGGCCCATACCGTTGACAGGTTCGTTGAGAGCGTAGAATGATGTGGCAGAGATTTGGAGATGTTCACTCGAGCCAGAAGAAACCTGAGCGATGTGCATCAGGTCGCTAAGAGCCTCGACAATATCGCCCTTCTCAAACCGACACTTTGCTCGAGTGTGTCTCAGATCCATAGCAGCTGCAGCGACCAAGACTGCAATGTCGGCTTGTGCAGTACAGTCAGCCCAGTGACCCTCTTTTTCTGCCTTCTTGGCCAAAGTGGCAGCATTTTGAGCGTCGAGCAGTTCGCGAATCTCGTCTCCATCTTTCTTTCCAGCGGTCTCGTAGTCGGTCTTTGCACCAGCCCAGTCACCGTTCCTGCTCTTGATCTTTGCTCGCTGGACTAGAGCACCTTCGAAAGTAGGCTTGATGGATAGGACGCGGTCGAAGTCGTGGCTGGCCTGGGAGTGCTTTCCGAGCTGGAGATAGGCAGCACCTCGGCGGAAGATGGTGAGATAGTTCTGAGGATCACGAGTGATGGCGACGTCGTAGTAGGTCAAGGCATCCTGGCCGTTGCCTTGGGCGAGAGCAGCGGTAGCGGATGAAATCAATTGCGAGACAGGGACGTCGGCGGGAATATCGCTAGCACTCAAGGCTTGAGCGAGTGGAAGACTTGTCAAAGCGAAGGCGGCACCCAGAGCCAGAGTCTGCAGCGGGAGAATCATGGCGACGACAGCGAGTAGCGATAATCAACAAAACATGAATAACTGTTCGTCCGCTCCAAGGAAGCCAGAAGTTCAAGCATGTGAAAGTGCCACTTGGACTGTTCAAGGCGCTGTTGCTACCGAACAGATGCCACGTTGCCTAAAGCCAGGAGACTGCGGACGACAAGCTCACCTCCGACAACTTTTAATCGTCTTCTTCAAGTGCAACTTGTTCTACTGCCAGGAACATAGCCTTTGGGTTATTTGTGATCCGAAATGCCACATCTGTCTCATTGTCTTAGCCTAGCCACAAGCTATACGAATGACCTCTCTCTACTTGTCCAGTTCAGCCTACGTTCGCTAGACAACGTTCGTTGAACATATCGACCCCAGACTCTCACCGTATTGTCCGTATCGTATCCCACTCCGCGGCGAACGATAAGACGTCATGAGACTACGTCTTGCTCTCGTGCGAGTCCATCCGTCACACATCACCTATTCTGTATCCTGAGATTTTCCTTTGATTATCGTCTGATCTTCGTGAGCTTCGGAGCGTACCTCAAAGCAATCGTCGATTTGCTTCCTCACACTACGTGTGAAACACGCGACATAGACCGACTTCGAGCAATTCGCTCATCATGCCGCTCCGCCTTCGTGTCGATGGAACTGTCTTTCGTGATGGCCACAATCGCGAAGTCACTCTGCACGGAATCAACGTCGCTGGCGATGCCAAATACCCCCTAAACCCCGATCAATGTTCGCATATCAAGGACAAGTTCTTCGAAGGTGATGACGTCTCCTTCACTGGACGTCCTTTCAGCCTTGAAGAAGCCCACACCCACTTTGACCGCTTGAAGAGATGGGGATACAACACAATTCGCTACATCTATACCTGGGAGGCTATCGAGCATGCTGGCCCAGGAAAGTACGATGAAGACTGGATCCAGCATACCATCAATGTCTTGCGCCTGGCCAAGAAGTACGGCTTCTACGTCTTCATGGACCCTCATCAAGATGTTTGGTCCAGATTTACAGGTGGCTCGGGTGCCCCTATGTGGACTATCTATGCTTGCGGTCTGAACCCGCAGGCTTTCCTCGCTACACAAGCTGCTTTCGTTCAAAACACATGGCCGAACCCTGCCGAATTCCCCAAGATGGTTTGGGCCACCAACTACCAACGTCTCGCCTGTCAGACCATTCTCACCCTCTTCTTTGCTGGCAAAGAATTCGCCCCCAAGGCCGTGCTGGATGGCATGAACATTCAAGACTATCTCCAAGGACACTTCCTAGGCGCTAACAAGATCCTGGCTCAACGCATCAAGGAAGCAGGCGACCTTGAGAACGACGTCGTCATCGGATGGGAAAGCATGAACGAGCCAAACAAAGGCTACATCGGCTGGGAAGATTTATCGAGATGGCCAGCAGACCAGAACTTGAAAAAGGGTCCTACACCGACGGCCTTCCAGTCTATGCTTACTGGTCTCGGCAGGGCTGTGGAGCAGGACACATTTGATTTCGGCAACCTAGGTCCTTACAAATCTGGCAGCGAGCTCGTAGATCCCAAAGGAGAGATTGCTTGGCTACCAGCAGATTATGATGATTCGCGGTACGGCTGGAAAAGAGACCCCGGTTGGAAGTTGGGCGAGTGCCTCTGGGCTCAGCACGGCGTCTGGGATCCTCAGAACGACAAGCTGTTAAAGAAAGATTACTTCTTGAGGGTGCCTGTCTCAGGTGAGACAATCACACACGAGTACTACACCAACAACTTCTGGTTGAATCACTATCGCGCCTACAGAGACACGATCAGAGGTATCTTCCCTGACACAATCATGTTCTGCCAGTCGTCGCCTTTTGAGGTCCCACCTTCCATCAAAGGCACGAAGGATGATGACCCGCAGACTGTCTTTGCTCCTCACTTCTATGATGGTATCACCCTCATAACAAAGAAATGGTAAGTCTCCCCACATGTCGCCGATGGTCTTCGCTGACAACCTACAGGAACCGGTTCTGGAACGTTGACGTGGTTGGTATCATGCGCGGCAAATACTTGAGCCCTGCTTTCGCGGTCAAGATTGGTGAAACTGCCATCAGAAACTGCTTCCGCGACCAACTCAAGTATCTGCGTGAAGAAGCCGAGGAGAAGATGGGTCCTCGTCCGACTGTCTTCACAGAGATTGGTATTCCGTACGACATGGACGACAAATACGCTTACAAGACTGGCAACTATACCAGCCAAACGCTCGCAATGGACGCAAATCACTACGCTCTTGAAGGTGCCGGTGTAGCCGGCTTCACGCTCTGGACGTATGTTCCCTCAAACAGCCACTACTGGGGTGACAACTGGAATGGCGAGGATCTGTCCATCTACTCTGTGGACGATAAGCAATTACCAACATCTCTTGAGGTAGACAATGCGACATTGAACCCAGAGTCACCATCATATTCAGAAGGTAGAGCATCCGGGGACACATCAATCAACCCATCAATACTGAAGAGGACATTATCTGTAGATCGAATGAACGCCTCGAAAACACCTGGAATCGATTCTGATGGCGTGGGGATGCGTGCAGCCGAAGCTTATGTGCGACCGACTCAGACAGCGACACACGGACGTGTTGTGTCTTATGGGTTCGACCTCAAGAACTGTGTTTTCCAACTAACGCTCTCTGCGCCCAGCTCAACATCGGAGGATGCACCTACCGAGGTGTTCTTGCCCGAGTATCACTTCCCGCAGGGTAAGACTGAGGTTGAAGTGCTCGGAGGAAAGTGGAAGATCAGCGTGGATGAGACAGAGGGTGCATCACAGCAAGTGCTGAGGTGGTGGCATGCAGCAGGCGAGCAAAAGTTGACTGTCAGGGGTCTCAAAAGAAGGCAAGGCACAGCGATCGGATCAGAAGCAGACGCGGGATATCTGGATCAGTGCAAGGAGACGGGCAAGGCGTGCATAATGATGTAGTGAGACATGATGTTAGATATCGAGGATATTGAACGAAACAAAAGTACCTAATAACGCAGCTGAATCTCAGATTACTTGATCGGGAACAGATTGGAGTCATGTGATATGGTGTCAGAGGCAGTTGCGACCCTGAGACTACCTAAATTTTAGGAAGATACACGATTGAAAATGGCAGTCATTACAGTCTTAGCAGTTGCCGTAGCTGAGTCTTGAATTCTCAACCGACTGTAAGACATGGAAGGCAGTCGCGTGTAAGTACCATGCACAGTGTATAAAGCGGTGGTTCGAGCAAGCAACAAGCAGTCAACAATCTCCTCCACACAAACAAAACTTCCACAACTGAACTCGATTCATCTTCACTCATTTGACGACTCTCCTTATATGGCATCATGACATCTCAGATCGATGGAGACAGGCTGTCGCAGATAACACAAGCTCTTGAAGCTACTTACGACCCGCGTTCGACCAACGATACACGACGAGCAGCTCTCGAATTCCTCGACGGCGCCAAGAAGCAACCAGACGCGCCGCAACACGGCTACTCGCTGGCTAGCGACCCCTCGCAACAACCTGCCATCCGTCACTTTGGTCTGTCACTACTAGAGTTTGCCATCCGCTATAGATGGGAAGACTACGGTCAGAACGAGGCCGATACTCTTCGTAGCTGGATCCTCAACCTCGCCCAAAACATATCCGCGTCCGACCCTCAATACTTCCGCAACAAAGTAGCCTCACTATGGGTCGAGGTTGCCAAAAGATGCTGGGGTGCAGAATGGTTAGATATGGATGCTCTCCTGGTAGCCTTGTGGGAGACATCAGACGACAGCAAGCAGCTTGTATACAGGCAAATGGTGCTATACATACTTGAGTGTCTGTCTGAGGACATCTGCAACAGGGAAGACCCAGTCGCTGGTCTTCGGCAAGATGTGCTCGGTCAGTGCTTGAACGAGATTGTCATCCCCAGTCAATTGTATAAAGACCATCTCGAATCGCGTGGCAGCTCGCAGAACGTGCGCCATACTCAAGACGGTTGGCTTTCTCGCATGTGCGCATTTCTCTTCCAGTGCTCTACAGTCATTCAACAAGGCGACCAACTAGTCGTCGTCTCTGCCACAAAGACTCTCGAAGCCTTGAGGCCGACGGTGACATGGCTCAGCTTGAGAGCCTTGACCGAGACCCAGTGTGTTCAATCTCTGTACAAGATGCTTGCTGCTGGTGATACTACTGTGAAGACTGTAAGATTGGTCCTTGTCATTTGACTGCAACCAAAACTGAACTGTGTTTAGGCCACTATCGATGTCTTGCAGGCCATCCTGAGTCGCCCCTACAACGAACATTTCCGTGAATCCTGGTCTCAGATCATGTTGTCTGTACTGGAACTCGATCACATTGAACTGCTCAAGAACATCCACCTCAGCTGCAGTACTTCCGCCGACGATATCGACGAGGCTAAATACACTTTGCAGAAGAAGCTATCCGAGGTGGGCTCGTGTCCTGATCACCTCAAGAACGATTATGCTGACTTTCGCAGGTTTTATCTATCCTGGGAGACGCTACTGCTGCCAACCCGGGAATCATCGCTACGCCCGAAAACTGTACTGCCTTGATTGACGTGATGATGCTTGCGTTCCAGCATGACAGTCTTCTCGTTTCCATTCCTGTCTTGCACAGCTTCACAAAACTTCTCGTCGCGAAGAACCAGACCATCTCTAGTGCTATGGGTCAGAGAGTAGCCATTCTTCTGGGAACTTGCAGCCAACGTCTCATTAAATACGAGTCACTCTCACACGAAGAGCTGCCGGTGATTCTGTATCTGAACGAGGACTTCGAGAACCCTCCGGAGCTTCATTCCTTCCTTGGAAATTACCGAAGATATTGCATTACAGTCATCGAGAACATTGCTTACTACATGCCGCAAGAAGCTGTTGGCCACATACTAGATCAGACGGTGCAGATGGTTGACACAATCTGCCGAGAGTTCAGACCGCCTTTCGCGCCTACAGGGCCTTCAAAGACGCCAATTCCTGTGCTACAATTGGAATCGCAAGCGTCCGTTCTTAGGAGTACGATGAATGGCTTCATCCAATGGTATAGCAAAGCTTCGCGGCCAGAGTCGAAGTCTGATCAACATACCACGAATAAGATTTATGGTGTAACGCTCACGAATCTGCGCGACTTCTGTTACAAGTTGATGACCATGAAGCCACAACATCCTGAAATAGCTCGCCTTACAACACATATCGCAGTCAACGTTCTGGTAAAGACGTTGCAAGGACAGCCTGAGTTGGTGGTAAAGATCCTGGACTATTGCTTAAATTTACAATATCCGGATGATGGTTCCAACAAGGACTACACAGCTGCTGTCAAGAACTTCCAAGGAGCACGTTTGGGTGAGATGCAACGAATTGCCATGTCATTCCCGGACTATCTTCTTGACGTCTACTCTGACCTCGAAGTTCGTGTCAATGCTCTGATGTCTGCTGAGGGCGCCGATGAGCGCACCAGATGGGGCCTTCAGGCGTTTTTGTTTATCGTTGTACATCGGGCATCCGCTGTTGATTCTCAAGCGCGACTTGCTCGTCTTCAACAAATCATCCAGCCTGTGATAGAGACTTGGCAAGATCCTCAGTTGACGGAAGCTTTGTCTACTTTCTCTGGTTTCTGCGGCGTTGTCGGTCTTGAAGGCTTGCCAGAGTATCTTACAGCCCAAGGATACGCTTCTGTTCAGGATTGGCCTAGTCAACCTTTGGACCAGCAAGGCAAGGCGCGTCAGACAGACGTGCAGATGAAGGTCATGCGTCTGCCTCTCAACGCCACTAAGAACCTCCTGGCAGCTACTACTGAGAAACTGAAAGAGTCATCACGCGAGTATCAGATTGGTGCCCAGGTTTGGGGTCCCGCGATTCAAGCCATGCTCTCAAACGTACTGCAAATGACCAGACACGCAACTTCATTCCCCAACACCAGCAACTGGTCGAACCTCCCTCCCGAGCTGCAAATGGTGATGCAGAAGATGCTTGTCGACAGATTCTGGCAAGCGGGTATCTCGAATGAAAGTAGAGATGAATTCTATGCCCGCATTGCTGAAAGCGGAGACACATACGAGGGTTTCGCCTCTGCTATCCGTGGTATCCCTCGACAGATTCGTGACTGGTGCTACCACATCATTTACGGCATGACCAGATTTGAAGAGGAGTTTTTCGGTCTTAGGGAGCTGCCTGTGCCCTTGGCTGAGGCGTTGCTTACAGATGCTTCTTCTTTATCGACCCATCACTTACAAAGGTTGATTGCGTTGGTGGAACGACTCGTGCAGAGGTGCCCGGCACATCACAGAAAACATTTCATGCCTCCGATATTGTCCTTGTTCTTCTCCCAGACTGACAAGAAGATCAGTACCGAATGGGAAGTGATAGAAAGATCGAGCACTCAATCCGTCGAAGGAGAAGATCAATTGAACGACGAGATGAAGGCTGAAAGCGTACTGCGAGCGACAACCTATGCAGTTGTCAATTTCGCCTCATCTATCCTCGATCATCGACCAACAGGTTTGTGTTCCTCCCGTATCAAATTCTACGTTGATTCACGCATACTTACAAGTGTAGATGTCACACCCGTTACCCAGCCTCAATCCTCACAACTCACCATGCGTGCTCTCATTCTCTCCGAGCCTTCCATACTGGAGCCTCTGATCCTCTTCTGCACTCATGCGCTGCGCATGCGCGATTCACGCTGCTGCACCCTCATCTGCCGTATCCTGCGCTCTATCCTCCCAACCTTCGTCGCCGACGCCCCACCAGCACCCCAAGTCCGCGAGTTCATCAGCACTGAAGTTCTCAAAGCTTGCATCACCTCGCTCAATGAGCCTTACTTTGTCGATGTACAACGGGATCTGGCGAACTTGATCGCGAACATCGTGGCGTTGTACTCTCCGCTCTCCTCCACAGCCAGAGATGTGCTTCTCAGCCTCCCCGATATGGGTCAGCAAAAGGTGGATCACGCGATCGAGAGGATAGTAGGCACTAGCAGTGAACGCACACAAAGAATCTTGGTACTAGAGCTGTTGGAAGGAGTCAGAGGTGTCTCTATCCACGAAGCTGGAAAAATCGATAGGAGAGATACCAAGGCTAAGAGAAGTGCTATGCAACAGCAGTATATGGAAGTTGAGCAAAAGCCTGCTGGCGGCAAGAGGGAGCAGAGTCCGAAGTTAGAGGGAATGGCCGAGATGTTTGGCGGAGAGTAGAGAGAAGAGATATCTTGATGCACTATTTCCAGCCTCAAATGCTAGAATCTATAACTTCCTACCGACTATGACAAAGGGCCCAAGTCTATACTATAGACGGCATAATTGTTTACAAAAGCAGAGGATTATCTGCAGAGAGCCAGCAAGTTGTCACATTCCCAAGTGGGCATTATTGATCTTGAATTGACTTTCTCATTCTCGTTCCCACCAGCTCTATCCCTGCTTCCTTTGACTTCTCTAATTAACATTAGTTCCTTAACCCTCGAGTTCCCTGATACCTCTCTTTCCGTCAAGTATGTCGGCAAGACAAGTCTGCCTGTCCCTTTTGGTTTCTAATCATGCAGCTCTTGATAATATTGTAACAGGATGCTTATACACTATAACCGCAAAACTCGTCCATGACAAGGCTTTTTAGGTAACCGAGATGATACTCAATCTAAGCGGCCAGATTTTTGCACATTCCACTCTTAGTCCATACGATCGATGGTCACACAACGTGAACATGGCAGGCGAAATGGCTACAGAGCAAAACGTTCTTTGCTGGCACTCTATAACAACAAGATATGTATATCATGTTTCATCGTCCAGACTTTTACAACTCGTCCTTGACAACTTCCGCCTTCTGGAGAGCCTCACAGACAGCAGGTGTGCCAACCTCCATACGATAGACACACTTCTCCTCCTCAAAGACCTTCCAGATCTCGTTCTTCTCGGCACAGGCCAGAACGACGGTCGTGCTACGGTTAGGTCCGTTCCAGCAATGTTGACCATTCTCATGTTTCATGGTGATACGCTCGCCTGAACCAAGACCCTTGCCATCAGCAGAAACTTCTTCGTCGACAGTGATCTTATCGAAGCGGACAAAGTTGCCCATGCGTGTGCTGCTGCCACCTTTCTTGGACTTTTGAGTAGTGTGCTCCATGAAGCAGAGTTCGTAAGTGTATTCGCCAGAGTCGACAGAGATGCATTGGCCCTTGAGAGCGCGGAAAACACCATCGGGACCGTATTCCTTGTTCAAGTCCTCATTGTGAGAGTCGAGGTCCCTGCGTTGCGAGTTGACAGCGTCTTGGGCAGACTTGAGGCGGTTCTTTGCATCATTCACAGCAGCCGACTCGCCGCCTTCTGATGAAAGGTCAGCGAGAATACCATTCTCGATCAGCATGACACGAAGGTCGCGCAGCTTCTGGTCCACCCAATCACGAAGAGGCTTGGGGAGGTAGTTTTCGATCTCGTACACTGGATGCTGTTAGTGGACGCAACTGAAGATAACCAAAAGACATGACTTACAAACTTCAACATCTTCGCCATCAGCCTCGAGGTATGACTCCCAGTCGAGACCATTGTCCTTGTCAGTCTTGGTGATCTCCTCGAGGTCTCTGTCATGTGCTGAAGTGTCGTCACCGCTCTTGTCGCGAGCAGCATAGTCTTCCCAAGCACGGACAGCTCTCTTGACACCTTCATCGTTGAAGTTGGGGTTGTACTCCTCCTTGAAAGTCGAAAGAATGGCTTCCAGCTCCTTGACGCGATCTTTGGAGGTATCACGTTCCTGACGGACACGAACCAGATGATCTCTCAGCTCCTCGGTTCTCTGCTTTGCAAGGCCGACAAGCACACCCATCTTGCCCTGCTTGGCGCCCTGGCTCTTGACAATCTTGCCCTTCTCACGACGCTCGACTTCAGCCAACTCTTTCTCCATATCGGTGACGTGAAGCTCAGAAGCGGCAAGTTGGGTCTGCAGAGTCTTGATTCTGTCTTCAACCTCCTTTCTTAGGCGCTGGGCCTCGTTGGTGTATTCCTTTCTCTTCTTGTTGGCGTTGTTGAGAGCACGTTGGCGCGACTCGGTCTTCTTCCTCCACTCCTTGCCAATCTCATCGCACTTGTTCTGGCACTTGACACCGCCAACTCCTTGCCATTCTTCGCTACCATCGCAGCATAGGTCGTAGTCGCAGAAGCCATCGTTGACGCTTGTGTAGGGGACATAGCTGGGCTGGTGACCCTTGTTCTTGCAGTAGAATCCAGGCAAGACTTGTGTAGAGTTTATTTGGTCCTTGTTTGTAGTATCCGAGAGGGTCGAAGGTGAAAGTGGGGAGAGGTAGGAGCAGGCCGAAGTGCCAGGCTCATCGGAGCCATCAGGGCAGTCACAGTAGTCGTCGTTGACCTGAGAGAAAGGAATCTTGATGGAGGGATTTGAAATGCAAGTAAATGATTCAGCATCCTTGTAGAACTTTGCAACTGGAAACAAGAACAGGTGGTGTCAATTTGAGTACGTTTTGGCAAGCTATAATGGTATAAACTTACACTCAGGGCCGACACCACGAGGCCGCGAGGGCTCTGAAGCGGCAGATGCAATTGATGCAGCTGCAATGAACCACGCTCCAGCTGCCTTCATCTTGGATGTCTACAACAAAAGATCAGGACACAACAAGACAGCCTCTGATCAAAGCTATATGCTTGCTTAGCATCTCCAGACCCCAAAGCGACACCTTTACCATCCATCCCCGTTGTCCGTGCGCTTATCGCATCCCTTATCGGCACAGCATCATCATCCTCCCCACACTTTTCTATACCACTCTCCATCTTGCCACTTTAACAAAAAGAGCCTATTCGATTCATGATTGCCGACGATGAAATCGCCAATTACGAAGATTTTCGTGACTGTGTCTCCGAATTGTTGATCTCGAGACTCTCTGGCACTGCAGACAAGAAGAAAAAGAAAGCCACCAAAGGCCGCAAGAATGAAATCAAGCCTGTGAGCAAACCAGAGCAAGATCAAGAGGACAATGATGCTCTGGCTGCTGATTTGGGTGAGACGATAGAGGTGCGTCCGGCTCCAGCCATGGCTAATCGACGTCTTGTATTTTTACTGACATCATTAAGTATCTCGCTTCCGAGATATTTCCTTCCTTGCCTGATGATCTGCGAACCATATCATACAGCGACATCCAAAATGATGCTCAGCTGGCTGAAAAGTACAGCGTGCCTCTGGATTCAGACGTCTACGAGGACCTACTACAACCAATGCCACTCTCTGTGTCAGACTCATTGACCTCCTACGGTCTGATAACCGACCCGATGGACCTGTCACGACTGCTCGAACCTGTCTTCACGTCGTACATCACGAGTAGGACCACCGCACCACCAGAGTTCGTGCCTTCCAGTCGAGCCACCGAGTGTGAGATTTGTGAGAGAGAACATCTTCCTCTTACTTACCATCACTTGATTCCGAGGGCTGTGCATGCAAAGGTTGTCAAGCGTGGCTGGCATGCTAGTTGGGAGTTGAACAAAGTTGCTTGGTTGTGCAGAGCTTGTCATAGTTTTGTGCATCGACTTGCGACCAACGAAGAATTGGCCAAGGAGTGGTATAGCATTGAGTTGTTGTTGGAAAGAGATGATGTCCAGAAATGGGCAATTTGGGTCAGCAAGGTCCGGTGGAAAGCCAAGTAGTATTAGAGTGGGTTCGTTCGATGCTTGCAACTCTCGACGGATTGTAAATAGGCCACCAAAAAGATATGCTATGCTATGTTCATGATAAGTATGCTCTTTCATGCTTCGCCGAAGTTCATATGACCTGTCTGCTTTGCGTGCTCTGTAGCACCCTTCTCTCCCTTGCCAGTCCAGCCACAAACATTGCATTTAATGGTGAAGCCGTGGGTATCAGTAAAGTAGTGTCTTTGTTGCAGGACCTGGCATAGCTCTCTGGCAGCTTGCAGCGCTCCACCATCTTCGCCCTCCATGCCCTCAATCTGCGCGACCTCGAAGATCTTCCTATCGAATTCGGGACTTGTACCGGGTCCAGGCGAGACAGCGACAACGTCGTAGTGGATGCCAGAATAAATAAGGATGCAGCGTCTTGGCTTGCCTTCATTGAAGCGGTCGATTCGCAAGTCTTGAACATTGATGCTGCAGATTTCGATGTCAAATTGCTGGGAAAGGATGGCGAGCTCAATACCGCCTCCCCAAGAATCTTCGCGTTGGATCCAGCGGCAGTAGTCGTCGGGTGCTTTCTCAAGCATGCCGGCAGTGTAAAGATCCGGATTTGATTGAATTGTCTGAGCCACCATAGAGCGCAACTGTTCACTCGGTTAGCTGAGAATACGGTAACCATTGACTGTTGTGACAAACCTCGTTCATAGCATCCAGCGCATCACCCAACACAGCGCTTCCTAAGGCTCTGAACATGCAGCTGTTGTCATCCGGCATCACACGAAGAACAAGAACACCTTCTAGACCAGGCACGGGGACTTCAGGTGGGTCGCTTTCCACATCGTTCGGTTTTCTCTGCAAAGAGAGCGGTGCGGCTTGTCCTCCACTCGCCTGGCCAGAAGGAAAATCACCAGGTCTGTGCTGAGGAGGCTGAATATTCTTCAATGAAGGCAAAGCACCAGGATTTTGAGGGTCTTTATGGCCAGACATAGGGTTATGTAATGATTGCTGAACATCGCGTGGCAAGATGATGAGTTGTTCGCCATCAAGTTTGATGCCAACATCGGTCAACTTGGTCTCGTTATCAATGCTTGTGGTATCCAGATTTTGAGGCGGGTAGCCGTACTTGACATCAAAGTCTGCGACTGAAGTTTTCGAGGATATCTCGTGTTTGAGCTCTCCCCATGTTGCTGTCTCTGGCATGTTGACCTGGGACATGCCCGAAGGGCCGCGAATCCTGATACGCATGATTACTGATGGCTGATGATGTTCCGTGTCTTTTCTGTATTCGATCGATATGGCTGCTGCGGAAATTGTAGCGGCTTAACAGTCTGTCAGTGTATGGCGGCAAAAGGAAGGAGGGACGTAGAGTAAGGTGTCTTGAGTAAGAGGCATTGACAGGTGATAGTGATAGCCGCGGCAAACGTCATAGCAGCAGGGTTGTCCTCTTAGCAATGTTTTCGAGCATCCTGACATGATTCCAGAAACGTACAATTGCTTTGGTGTGAATATGTATATCAGAAATCTATTTGATCAGGTATCTTAGCAGACAGTATCAATTGCGATTTCAAGATCGGAGTCGCATGATGTGGTATTTCGTACAGCAAGAGGTGTTGCACATGGAATCATGGAACGATGGCTTTTTTCTTTACTGATGAGAAGCAAACGAAACAAACGAGATTTGGGTCGAACTCTGCCTAATTCCACATGAAAACTGCAGGAAGCTATCCAAAGATTCACGAGAATCAATGTTAAACAAAACGAACCGAAACATGTCAGGACGAGAAGGAGAGAACAGCAGTGAGAGCTCCTTTAACCATGGAGATGCTAGCGGCGTTATGACCAATAAATCCGACAGGGCTGCCAAGACACGCGCATAGCTGAATCGACGCGCCCTCGATGGTTTCGCGACCTACGATTGCTCGAGGAATTGTCCTCATCGACGACGCTTCTCGATCAGACATTCCAAAGTAGGAGGCTTCGCTCTCTGGACTGCGCAGTATGGCGTCCGAAGCCGCAATGAGCCAGGACAATACGCCCGTTCCCTCGACCGAGGGCGCAAACCAAGGTCAGACCATGTCTGAAGCCGAGCTGGACCAGATGCAGAGCATTCTCGACTTCGTCTACGACTACAGAACTCCCGAGTATGCGCGATTTCTTGTACATGGTTATGCGACTCTGAACTGACATCTGCGCAGCGGCCATGACCCGTCCAAAGTCTTCCATCGCAAGGTCAATAAGCGCGCCCTCCCTCATTACTACGAAATCATCAAGGACCCCATGGCTATGAGCACCATCAAGGCCAAGATTAACAACAAAGAGTACAAGGACTGGTCCGAGTTTGTCCGCGACTGGGCTCAGATTGTCCACAACGCCCAAGTCTTCAACAGAGCCGATGCCGGTGCATACCAAGATGCCGTAACTCTTCGAGATGTTGTTACCACTGAACTCAAGAAACTGGTCGATCTCAAGGTCATTTCAGAAGAGGTTGCTCAGTTCCCCTACTTGGGCGAAATTCCACCCCAGGACGATGTGCCGCCTGAGGAAGAGGACGACGACGAAGACGAAGATGACGAAGAGGACGACGACATTGGTGGAGATGATTCGGACGACGATGGCGGCAAGCGAAAGAGAAAACGAGGACGTCCTTCAAAACGCGACCGCGATTTGGACAAAGACGATGATCCCGAGACAAGAAAGAAACGCGGAAGACCACCAAAGGTCCTCACTCCTGTCGAAGCTCGCATTCAGGCTGTCCTTAAGGGCATTAGAAAACCCAAGGGCGCCGGAGGTCTCAAGATTACATCCTTCGAACGTTTGCCTGACAAGGCAGTCATGCCCGAATACTACGCCGAGATCCGAGAACCCATGGCATTCGATGTGCTCAAGCGCAAGCTCAAGAGAAAGAAGTACCAGTCGCTCGAGCAGTTCATGAAGGATGTTGACCTCATGTTCGACAACGCAAAGTCTTACAACCAGGACGAGAGTCAGATTTACAAGGATGCTGTAGAGCTGCAGGCTGAGGCGCACCGTCTGGCCGACGAGGAACGCAGCAAACCCGATACCGACTATGTCATGGACGAGGGAAGAATTCCTTTGCCCAACGGCATTCTCTACAATGGCGAGCTCTACAAGGTCGGCGACTGGGTCCACGTCCAGAACGCAAATGACCTGACCAAGCCAATCCCGTGCCAAATCTACCGCACCTGGCAAGATCCACAAGGCGGTCAATGGGTAAATGTCTGCTGGTACTACCGTCCCGAGCAGACCGTACACCGCTTCGACAAGCACTTCCTCGAGAACGAAGTGGTCAAGACTGGCCAATACCGCGATCATCGTGTAGACGAAATTGTTGGCCGATGCTTCATCATGTTTACGACACGCTATTATAAAGGCCGTCCGCGTCGCCAACCCGCCGACTTGGACATTTATGTCTGCGAGGCTCGCTACAACGAAGAGAAGTTCAAGTTCAACAAGATCAAGACGTGGGCCAGTTGTTTGCCAGACGAGGTGCGCGACAGAGACTACGAGATGGATCTGTTCGACATGCCGCGCAAGATGAGAAAGATACCCAGTCCGATCGCATACCTGCTCAAGGACACTGATAAGGAGACGGATGACATGCCCAAGCCTGAGTGGGGAGCGGAGAATGCTCCTCCCAAGATTGGTGCTGTTCACAGGCGTCCTCGCGATCCCAGAGACTCTCCACCTCCAGAACCAACCCCCTCGCCTCCGCCTCAGCCTGCCATCGCTCAAGCTCAGGCTCGTCAGTCTCAGCCATCACACATGTCGCCATCCATCCCGGCTGCTACCATGCAAGCCTATTCGCCTGTGCAGTCTCAGATGACGCCCATGCAAACGGCTGCCCAACCCGTTCGTCCCATGCAACCCATGACACGTCCTTCGCACACTCCTGCTCCTGTTCAACCCTACACGCAAACTCATTCAGCCTCGCCCGCACCCATGCCTAGTCTTCAACGCGCCTCCTCTGGCCAATTTAATCCTGCCACTCCTCAGCACATGAGCGCAGTGCCTATGCCTCGTACGGCTAGCCATCCCTCCACATTCCAACCACAGGCTCCTGCTATACCGCCTGCTCCATCTGCCTCACAAAGCCGCTTGTCGTACCGCGATCCCGTGCCCATTGAAGTCTGGACACTGCCCGATGCAGCCAACGCCAGCATCCCACCCGAGATTCGTGACATGTACCAGACGGACGACCAACGCCGCGTACTCTTCTTCTCTGCACCTCCTGTTCAACTCGCCGAAGAGGCCAACGACCCCAACAAGAACCTGGGCCACAGTCTTCACTATATGGCGGAGAAGTCGCGTCGCACTCAAGAAATCGTCGCCCGCCGCAAAGCCTACGAAGAAGGCAAAGCTGCCCGCGCCGCCCAGAAGAAGCGCCAACGCGAGCTCGATGAGGAGACACGCAATGTAGACCACGAGACCCAGAAGGCCAGAGCTCTTGCTATGTTGAACTCTCACCTCACACGAAGCACTGCCTGGGAGATCAAGGCCATGTATGGTGATGAGGATTGGAAGAACGGTATGGAAGCTATGCTCGGCAACCTGGAAGAGCAACAGAAACTCGCTGTTCAGAGAAAGGTCCTCATGGACAAGAACGCTGCGCAGAGAGCCGCTGAGCAGGTTTCACTTAAGTCGAATGGCGTCTTGTTCGACAACGTTGAGAATGGAGCTTTCTGATTAAGAGCAGACTCTCTGCTAGAGATAAGAGGCGATGGCATGGAGTTTGAGCGTTTGATGCATTTGCATTTGGGGGTTCCTTCCGTTAAACTGTACTGATGAATTATTTACATGATACCCCTCTGACTCAGCCGAGGCACAAAACAAAAGGAGAAAGAGCAAACAAAAGATACGGGAAGGAATGGCTAGACTACTCTTTCCGGTTCAAAAGACAAAAACTTTCACCAATTTGGAAACATATTCTCACACAAACGCTCTCACTCCATCAACTTCTTGGTTGACAGAACCTCATGCCCTGATGTGCTGCTGTTTTCCACCATACCTCGAGGAAGCATGCAAATGTCAAGGCGATTGCCTCTGCTGCATCCTCAACTCCATCATTCTGTGAACTCATCATGTGCACACATGGCAAAGCGGCAAGCAAACGAGCAGAAACCAGGAAAATGCAAGGAAGCATAGATAGACAAACGATGGGCACAACTGGATAGGCATGAGACACGGCTTCATACATGGTCCCCTGCATGCAGCATTGCCACATGTTTGAGGCTCTGAGAGACCATGTGAATGTGACATCGGGTCAGCCACTGTTCGAACAACCGAGTGTAGTACAGATGACGAAGAGTGTAAGACCCCGCTTCAATGATCATAGTGATGAATGATCTGAACGCACTACTATATTACATACAAGAAGGCCCTGCAGAACCGGGACTCGGCGGTTGAAACCAAGCTCTTCCTCCTTATCTACCTGCAACCGTGGTGGTCACTAGGTCTCTATGACGCTTGCTGCCGTCTCGATATCACGACAAAATATACCGCAATGCCCACACCAATGGCATCGAGCCCAAGGGCCAGACACCACGCACCTCGGATCCCCCATAGAGGGCCGTGGTTCTGGCTCACATACCTCTCAACGGTACCTGCAATACCCAAGCCAATACTGATGCTGTAATTGACCACAGTAGACACCAAACTAGCAGAAATACCTTGGTGTTCCTTGGCCATAGCGTTACTGAGCAAGATAGTACCAGACGGGAAACTCCAGTTCATACCGATAGGCATGATGAGGACACTCCAGAAGGTGAGGACCCAGTATGTTTGGTGGACGGGCACAAAAGCTAGGAACAAAGTGCCAATGAAGAAACCGAGCATGGCGCACAGCATAATATATGATGTCTTGAACTTCCGGGCCAGCCAACCCGCGGACATGGCGAAGCCGACCCCCGTGATGGCCACTGGAGATATTTGTGCTGCGGCGGCAATGGCGGTGGATCCCCTGAAGCGCTGCACAAACTGAAAGAGGTAGAAGAGCCAGATGCCATGGCTACTCCAGCCGGCAGCGATGCAGGAGAGTGCTAGCACCGCTTCTTTGCTGAGACCTCGGACGGGCACCAAGGCTTGCTGTGCGTGATTCATCTCGAGGTAGACAAAAGCAATGAGCAGCATCACTCCCATTCCTAGAGTGAAAGGAATGTATGCTTTGTTCCATCCTACCACAGGAGCCTGGTTGAGTGAAAAATTGAACAGGACAAGTCCAGATACACCTGTGCAGGCGCCTGCAAAATCAAAAGTGGCGGCGTTGAACTCGCGCGGAAGCGGAGCAGGTATGACCATGAATGATAGGGCTGCCATACCGACGCAGAGGATAGCGAGCACCCAGAAGGCCCAGGGCCACCCTTTCTACGTCAGCTTGCATTCTCACAAAGGATGGAGTCTGGAACTTACAAGCGAATTGCGACAGAAGGGCAGAGAAGATGGCCCCAAACACAAAACCGGTGGGACCACATGCACCGAATGCCGAGAAGACCATGTTGCGCTTCAGACCAACAGGGAAAGTGGTACCAATGAGCGCCATGGCATTCGGTACCAATATGGCGGGTCCTATGCCTTGGAAGCCGCGTGCAACACTGAGCATTATGGAGCCGTTTCTCTTGGGCGCATAGCTGAAGCCTACAATGATTGAAGTGATCGCATACCATATCCATCCGATGATGAACATGCGTTTGTGCCCATACATGTCTCCTAGACGACCTGGCTCGGTTTAGCATCTTATTGCAATCGTGAGGGACAAGATGAACACACCTGCGGGCAAGATGAATGCACCGATTGTTAGACTGAATGCTGCAGTGTACCAGCTCATCGTCCCAAGATCTGTGGCGGCAACACCCAAGTCCTTGCCGATGATGAACAGTGGCGCTACGGACTGGCCAAGTCCGCCGAGCGTGAGGAACTGAGCCATACAGACATTGATGATGAACAAGAGCTCGCGAGCGTTCAGCTTGGCTTTTGCAGGTGTCTCAGGTACAGGCGGTGGAGCTGTCTGGTCCAACTTCTCGACCCGAAGCTCGCGGTTGACGGGTGCTATGGCTTCATCTGAGTCATGCAGAGTAGTCGCTTTGCTTGTTCTGAATGAGACGTTATTGAGGTCGAAGTCAAAGGACACAGCTTGACCGATGGGTGTTTGCGGATAGTTTGAAGCCTGCCCAAGAGTCGTTTCAGAACGAGCGAAGTCGATCCTTGAGGCATGGGCTTCATCAAAAGAATATGCTTCGCTCGAAGAATCTGCAGTTATGTACTCCGGATGTGGAACGCCATTTACTACGTGGCGCGAGTACGGTGATTGCCCGCTCATGGTTGTGTTTCCGTTATACTGGTGCTTCCTTTGAATGTATATCTGGGTGCATGTCTCGTCTTGCAGAAATGACACGAGTGCAGCCCAAATCAGCGATTTAAGGGATCTGCTTGGTGCCTATATGCTTCGGATGCTCTTATCGAATGCGAGTCGCCTTCTCGGTCGTTTGAAATAGCGATTGGTGCTGGCTCCTGCCTAGCTATTTTCGTACGATCCGTCATAGCATAGCCTGGTAGCCGAGGATTCGAGTCAGCATCGTGCTGAGCTACAGCACTGCGAACCTTGGAAAGTTCAGGATCCCGAGCTACTTGACGGAGCAGCGACGAAGATGCAAGCACGGAATATCATCATCTCTTCCCTGTATGGTCAGCAGAAGATCAAGTTTGTTGGTCAGAAAAAGGAATAACACATAGCTCGTAAGCTGTTGGATTGACAATTAGGAAATTGGTTGGAAATTCTTGTTCCTGCTGGCTATGGTTCCCGAAGGATGGTACTTGAGTACTCTCTGTACACGCGACTATGTCGCACAGCTTACTCCATTTTTTCAATCGTGGTGTGTATATTCTTAGCAGCCGCAGGGCTGGAATGGCGGGAGCTGGACCCTTTCTGAACAGATGTCAGACGGATTTATAGACGAGGTTGGTACTGCCTGATAAGGCTGACGACATGTCTCGATGGTATCGTATACCAAGGCTCTAGCTGACGTGCATAGCTTGGATCCATGGTCCCTACGACTCAGTCATCCGAACAGTGTACCATCTATCGATTTGATGAGCCCGAGCTACTTTCTACAAGGATGCTGTTCATGACGGAAGCTTGTCTAAGAGCCAAGTGTGAAGTACCTAGGTAGAGAGTGGGAAATGGAAGGAAGCGACTGAGGCTCGGCCCTCGGTGTTGCAAATCTCCGAGATCCTTGCTCACAACCTATCTTACCTACCTTACCTACCTCTTCCAAGCTTCTGGGTGTCGTCGTTCGTCGTTCCTACAGAATGCGCTATGAGATACCTCAGATCAATTTTTACATTCTGCTATGCCTCTTGTAACGATAAGCCGTCCAACTGATGCCATTACGCTTTGCAGTCTGGTATTGTCCCTTTGTTCGCGTCAACCATCAAGACCTCCGACGAATCTCGCACCGAGTCTCTTAGAACGTACCTATGCCGTCGAGACAGAATTACTCCCAAAAGTCTTGAACTTGTCCCAACAGCAATATGCATTCTCGGACATTAACTGCTGATCATCCTCTTCCGTCCTTCGGAGAAATGTCTGTAGGCCTTGTGAATGTAGCGTGTAGGCTTACCTACGTAGCCAGACATATCCTACAACCTCTCGTACTATGCACAGTCTTTGGTACAACGTCACTCCGACATCCGAATCATTCGTCAGAGGATTGACTCACACGACTGGTGCTAAGCCTTGCTCTACACGGATCCTGGCCCCGCACCCGATGATAGTGTTTGAATGTAGTCTCACCTGGAACCGAGATCTGGTACCTCCTGGACAGCCGTCTAGTGTAAGGCGTAAATAGCCTCTGATCAGATCTTTGCCTTGCGAAAATAAACCCTCACGGCTCTACGGCACGAGAGATGACAAGCCTAGTTAGTGATTACCACATTATCGACTAAGGATTTACTGTGCTCAGAGAGACGGTTCAGGACTGCCAACCAGTGCTCCAAGCCTCGACCAACATGTAGATATACTGCCGGTGTTCGCGCCTTCCCTCCCTCCTCCATTGTAAACATAATTGGCAGATGTACAACCTCTTAAAGAAGACGACGACCACTCCTCGATCTCAATTCACTTAGTTTGGTCTCGGCATCTTACTCTCGTTCTCTTTGACCCCCACCGGCGATGTTGTCTTCTACAACTCTAGCCTATGCCTTCGTCTGGGCGTGTCTAATCCAACACATCTCGGCGGAAGGTTCGAATTCTTACGCTGCCTGGAGTCATCCATATGGAGACTATCAGGATGGCTGGGATTCTGCATCCTCTGCTGTCGTCGTCAAGCCTTCATCTGTATGGCAAGAGACTCCTTCTTCTTGGTCCACTACCCTAGCTGTAGCTTCAAGCATATCTTCCATCGAGTCGCCGACAACACAATCCACCATCGCTACTTCGTTGCCTCATTCTCAAAGCAACTGGAATGTCTCAGAGCAATCAGCATCTGCTTCGAAGACAGGCACTGCACTTACCAGTCACGCTTCCTCCACAACTGGGAATACAGTGACGTACGACTGGAAGCTTGAGTGGATGATTGCTGCACCAGACGGAGTTGCTCGTCCTGTCATCGGTGTCAACGGCCAATGGTATGTCAACTCTCATCTCATTCCTAGTGTTAGTCTTCACTAACCACTCACAGGCCGTGCCCATCCATCGATGTCATGGAAGGAGATCGCGTGGTTGTCAACGTCTATAACGGCTTGGGCAATGAGAGCACGTCGCTCCACTGGCACGGCATTCATCAGAGAGGCACGAATCATATGGATGGCCCGAGTGGAGCCACTCAATGTCCGATAGCACCTGGCCAGAGTTTCACATACGACTGGATCGTAAGTTAGTTTATCACATGGACAGAGAAGTACTGACATGGGTCAAACAGGCCGATCAAGCAGGTACTTACTGGTGGCATTCTCACAACATGGGCCAATATCCTGATGGCCTTTGGGGTCCACTTATCGTTCGTGACCCCAACCCGCCTTTCCACTTCGATGAAGAACTTATAATTACCTTCTCGGACTGGTACAACGAACAAATGCCTTACATCATCCATCAGTATCAGTCTGCTGCTGGTGCGGCAGAGGATGGCACTCCCGATCCATCAGGAGGAGCCTTGGTCAACTCTGGCAGAAACGTCTCAATTCACGTCAAGCCAAGCACAACGTATCTAGTCCGTATCATCTGTCCAGCTGCTTTCAGTGGTCATGGCTGGGTCATCGATGGCCACAACCAAACGACTGTTGAAGTCGATGGTGTCTACACTGTACCTGTCGTTGCCACTGCCGATGACAAAAATGTTCGAATTGCTCCTGGACAGAGACAGGCGTTCTTGATGAGAACCAAGGATGACACAAGCAAGAACTACGCCATTCTTGATTTTATGGACCCAAACATGTTGTTCCTCAACAAAGGACAGAAACCCACAGAGACCTATCCTCTCAACGCTACAGCCTGGTTGGTTTATAACACTAGTGCCGACTACCCACCACCACCAGTCCTATACAACCTCGGAAATGACAACTTCTTTGATGATGTTAACTATGTTGCATTGGACAAAGAACCTCTTCTCGAACCAGTTGATCGACAGTTGGTCATAGACATGTCTATGGAGAATATCACTGGCATCTCCAGGTATGTATGTTGAAGTGTTTACGAATCAATGATACTAACCAGAAGTGAAGATACACTCTGAACGGTCACACATATCTCGGCGCCAAAGTACCTACGCTGTATTCAACTCTCACCGTCAACGAGAGTGAAGCGTCGAACCCAGATGTGTATGGAGATATTAATCCTTATGTGTTCAAGTATGGTGAAGTTGTCGAAGTGGTCATGAACAACCTGCACTCTAACCTCGTAAGTTCAAATTCAAGCGCATGACCCTTCGTCAGTTACTCATACTTTGTGTACACAGCACCCTATGCATCTTCATGGTCATCAATTCCAAGTCCTCGAAAGATCACTTCCCAAAGCTGGTTCGTTCCCCGGAACATACTCGAACTTGCCACCCACGCCTATCAGGAGAGACACTCTCATGGTTCAGAATGAGGGCTATGCTGTGGTCAGGTTCAGAGCCGACAATCCAGGTCGGTATAATGGAAAAGTATTGATACGCAGGGGATACTGACAGAGACAGGTATCTGGCTCTTCCACTGCCACATCGAGCTCCACGTCGAAGCTGGCTTTACCGCTACCTTTATAGAAGCTCCGGAGAAACTCGCTGCCAGTGACTTTACTCTCCCGGCTGATCATATCAATGCCTGCAAGACTTATCCTATGGATTATGTAGGCAATGCCGCTGGCAATGACTACAATGCTCTAAATCTGACAGGCGCGCCCACTACGGTCCCAACTGTTGATTGGGGGTGAGTCCTTTGAGTTCCAGCATCGATACTGTTGTACTGACAAATTCCAGTGCCATCTATCCGCCCGTCGAGGACGACGCCCACAGCTAGACTTTGTTGTACTGGGTAGAATAGTCTGCAGTTTCGATGTTCGCATTAGTACATGGGTGATGATTTTTCAGTACTGATTCTTTTTCATATCCCAAGTTGCTATACATTCCGTTTCAGCGCCGCTCATCGTTGCTAATGATCTTTTTAACTGATTGTATAACACATGTGTACATACTCAGTCTTGGACAAAACACCTACTTGTCATCTAAAGATTGTATGACACTAGATTTCATTCCATGGCAACGAGTATTTTGAGTCGACACGTGTTGTTGGACAGGATCGTGTCAAATTATTCCAATCTTGAATATTACAAAATAACTAGATGAGGAAGTTGGCAGTTGGCAGACAAGGCAGGTTCCTTCGGCGAAACGCGACTGCCGCACGAATGACGTACACATTCACGCGATGAACACGGCAACCATGCGACTCGCATGCTCACGATACTCACGAGTCGACACGATATTTCGAGGTATCTAGACTTCAAGTCGAAGTACTGAAATATGGCACTGTGTGAACCACGGCCGCCGCCAACACCGCTGGAGAATCGGCAAGCGGCGAACAAGACGACGGCTGTTATTGTTCCGGCTTTGTTGATTGGGGTTGTTGGTTATGCCACATGGATTGTGGTCGTTCTCATAGGTGGTAAGTGTTGTCTTTTCTCCAAGGCTATACTAAATTGGTCTTGGAAGGTTGTGCGTTGTGAGAGCGAATTGTTGTGTGCACATGCGATTTCGAGACGGACAAAAATTGAGAATCCATCGCTGACTTTCCTAGCCAATCATCTCATCAAATATGAAAGTCGAAATGGAGCCGGCATCGCCATTATAGTCCTATACTTCGTATTTCTATTTCCTATGGCATTTAGCTATCTACGACTTCTCATTACTATACCGCATCCTGGATACATCGAAAAAGGAACCCCAACTGCTGCCACTCCAGTCAAGCCAGCAAAGGAAGCACCTCCTCAGCATAACATCCAGGCTTCATGTACAAGTACCAAGGTCCAAGATGGCACGAACCAGACCAGCAAGAAGTCTCAACATCTCGCTCCTAAAGAGCTTGAAATTACCGAGTTAGATACCAAAGCTATCTTGAGTGGCGAGCTACCACCACCGCCCGGCACAGAGCGCTTCTATTCGAAAGACGTATTTGCTTGCGACCAGAACGGTCTTCCGATATGGTGTGGCGTTTGCAATAATTGGAAACCCGATCGATCACACCACGGCAGTGATTTTGGTAGATGCGTCTTGAAAATGGATCATTTCTGTCCGGTTCGTATTTTGATCATGGATTTCATTATGTGCTATGCTAACCTTACTTTTGTGATGCAGTGGGTCGGAGGAGTCGTTGGGGAGCGAAACTTCAACTTCTTCATTCAATTTTGCTCTTATGCTGGAATATATGCTCTATATGTCATGATTGTTATGGCTTACTTTGTTGCTGAAGCTAGAGGCAGAGTAAGTGCTTCTTTCACCTTTTTCTCAACCATTCACAAATTTTTGTTCGCTGACTCTGCGTCAGGGCAACACACCAGGCGGCAATTGGATTGCTGGGTTGACACTTGGAGCTGTGTTTACATTGTTCGCAGGCGGCATGGCGATGACTAGTATGAGCCTCGCACTAAAGAATCTAACCACTATCGACAATATCGGCCATCAAAGAAGAGTCATGCACATCGCCGTACTGGTCGACCCGTCCCAACAACGTCAACCTAGACCCATGTCAACAGGCAATCTCAAACCATCACATGTATCAGAAGATGAAGATCCTTGGCAGGGAACTATCACATACCCACTGAGCCTGATGCCTGATGCATCTTCAGAAACTACGTTATCACCGCCTACATCAGCCCCACCTAGGACTTTCGCCATCTTACGCACACATCCTGGCATGAACCCTTGGAACCTGGGAGCTTTTCGAAACTTCAAATCTATCATGGGTAACCATTGGTATGACTGGTTCTTGCCGCTAAGGCACTCACCTTGCTGCAACCACGATCGCGGCGATAGCATGTACGAACTGGGCACTGATGTTGAGCGATTAAAGGCCGATGCTGGCCTGTCGTCTTCCAGCAGTAGATCAGGATCAAGTCGACGCAAGCACAGAAAGCACCGACACCGCAGGGAAGATTCTGAGGATGTAGACATCATGGGGTCAACCCTTGCAAACGTCAACGGCTCGACAGGAAGAGAACGAAGCAGTTTTGAAACAGCTTAACCTATAAGCACACTTTGGACAAGCATATCTATTTTTTTGATATACATAATTTGATACCCTATAAACGACAATTCCAATGATGATCACATCTCAACACAACAAACTAAGATACTGAAGGAAAACAATAGAAGAAAGCAAAGCGCTCGCTACAGTATTCCAGACAAATGTGAACTTCACACCATCTTCGACCGCCTGAGTTCCCACTCCTCAGCCCTCCTCATCTCCTCTTGCGCAAGCCGAATAGCCTTCTCCATCGAAGCTCTCAAACGCCCCTCAATCTCCTCAACCGGAGTCTCACAATTCAACAAGCCGATAAATTTCCCAAACTTGCGTCTCTTGATTGCAATCCTCTCTGCATCTGTAAAGCCCTCAGCAAACTGCACACTAGGTCTTCTCTTCAACATGAGTACGTTTTCGGCCTCTTCAGCAGCCAATAACTTCTCCCACCATTGAGTGTCTTCCACTTGGCTTGCTCGACGCAGGTGTTGGGCTACACTAGCTCGACGTTTGGCTAGCATATCTTTGTCCCAATTCATGCATGCTGGGTATTGGTGTGTATAGATGCTGGGGGTTGATTGATGGTAGTAAGAGGCGATACCGTCGAGTTGTTCCTCGGTCAAGAGATGGTAGTCTAGGAGTGTGCGCGGGAAGTCTGGGTGTGGAGCTCCGGTAGGTAGGGGCACGAGGGGTGCGAGCCGGAGTTTGAGGTGTGCAATACGGGAGGCGAGTTGGTCTTTCTTGGTCGGTGTAGACATCTTTTTGGTTGGTCCACGTAGAATGATGATCACAAAAAGCTGTTGAGAAGAAGGTACGGGTATTGTGTCTTGAATTTTCGACCAGCGAAAAGTGTTCAGAAAGCAGATATAATATGGACGACACAGACAGCAAGGGAGGGAAAGGTGACAATGCGTTATGGGGGTGGGTCAAGGGTGAAGCGATACTTATTGAACAACACTGCCACCTCTTTGAAGACATGTCTTTTTGTTTGCTGCGGCGTCCAAGTCACAATCAGCCACTTGAGACATGCTTCTCTTGAAGACAAAGGATAAATCGAGATTGGGTTCGCATGGTTGCTTTGTCTTGCGGATTTGAGATTACGGATCATGTGCTGGACTTTGATTGTCTCAAAGAGACCTGAGACGCTGACTAAACCGGGCACTCTTAGAAGAAGGGTTCTATGAGCTACATAGGGAAGTCATGATGGGCCGTGGGTGCCTTGTATGGTATACAGTGTGATCAAGGAAAGTACAATCAAGATGGCTCCTTTTCCTGAATCTCGGACACAAAGTGAAGTGAGACCTCTGACACTCTTATATTGATGCCAGCTAGTTTTATTCACGTCGAACCGGTGGAATGGCACAGCGGTAGCAGCTCGTGTGTCTTCCATAAAGCTGGCCAGTCCACCGGTTCGATTCTTCTCGGTTCCATTCAATTGGCACTCGGCCATGAAGGGTCCCAGTAAACCTCGCACGACAAAAATCGAGATGAAAGCTTGCTTTCTCTGCCCTCGCTAGCAACACGGCGGCTAGGTGGGTTTCTGTTTTGTCAATTCCTGCTGTGTTCCTATTTTTGTTCGATCTTTAATTATGCGCATCCATATTGACCATTTAAATTCTACTTGCTGGCTATCTGTGATTATAAAACATGATATGGTCTATTTTCACTCTCGGATTTTGACCACTAAAGCCATTGACTATTTTTGCCGCCCGCTTGAGGCACTCCTTCCAGTGGCACCATCTTGATTGTCTTTTTGAGCTCCTCCCTCCGCTTGTTCGCTTTGCTCTCCCGTCTGTGATCCTTGATCCCTGCAAACACACTTGGTCGCTTCTTTGCAGTGTTGGAAGCTGCAGACGACGATGTCTGCAACCGCAAAGGGTCATATGCTTCGGCCGCTGATATTGGTTGCGGTGCACTGATTACTGGGAATGAAGGTCTTCGCTGTTTGAAGTTTTCAACAAGGTTTGACAACCCTTCAACCGCACTGACTGAGGATTTGCGAACATGGTGACCGAACACTGAAGTCACCTTGTGCGTCAATGATTTCAACGGAGCTTTCGAGCCCTTTGAAGACGCTACACTGCTCATTCCACTATCGGAAGATTGCTTCCTCTTACCATAAGGTGATGCTTGTGAGGAACGGGCGGTCTCATCTGACGGATGTGAGAAAATGGTGGGCAGCGTGTTCATTTCGAAGGTGACCTTATTGCCAGGCTTGTTGTATTCCCTGGCTAGTTGCTCTGCGTCGGCGTTGATGCGATGATAGAAGGCTGAGAAGCGGTTGGAGTCGTCGATGCTTTGTTTCCTTTGTACAGAGGGTGGCAAGTCTTTGGTCTTTGTTGCCTCACGTCCAGAGAATGGCGGTGAAATGGGTATGCTGCCACTTGTGCTGCGACGATGCCTGGCGCCCGTAGACTCTGGCGTCAGGGAAAGCTTGAAAGGGAAATTGAGAGGGCGCTCTTTCCTGTGAGGGCTGTTTCGCTGCTCGCGAGGCATCGTCCGTGGATCAGGAGATCGGCTCGCGGCCGGCGAGTAAGCCTTGTTGCGGCTCTTCTGATACTCCAGCTCTCGCTGTTTGGAAATTTGTCTAGGGTTGAAGAATAGTGGCTGTGGTATAAGCTTCATGTTTTCCTTGATACTGTTGGATGACGCGCTGTGTTTTCTGAAACCAGCAGTTCTGGCGTCTTCTTTGAACAAGGCATGGTATTCATTGGCCAGTCGTTTAGCCTCATCCATCAAACTCTCATTTGAGGTTACATCTAGGGACCTGTCTTCGTAGGCATCAATAACCTTACTCTCATAGTCGTTGATTCGCCTGCTAGACCCTGTTCGTGACTGTTGACGAGACCTGCCACGAGGCTCGTAATCCGTCATTGGAGGCTCTGACGGATGGGTGATCGATATTTCGATTTGAGTCTTCAACTGTTTCTCAACTGGTGACATTGACATTCGTTTCTCGTCGTTCATTTGGAAGTACTCGTCTGACAACTTTGATTCGTGCTTGTCAGGGTCGGTGTTTGCTTGCAAAGGCCAGTCATACGTGGTTGGTGATGGAAGGCTAGGACTCGGAAGGACGGGAGACAGCACCGGGGTCCGCAAAGGCACAATACCTTCGAACGATCTGCTGCCTCGTATTATGTGTTGCTGATGTGTTCTTTTGGCTGCAGCTAGTGCCCTCATCTCTTCTGGAAGAAGCTGCTGCACTCCCGGCGAGCGCAAAGCAGCCTTTGCCTTGTCTAATGACACGGTCCTGATGTGTTGAGTCGCTATACGCAACATTTGGGGCGAAGGGGGCAGAAGCTTCTCTTGCCAGAAGCGTTCTGGAGGTGGTGAAGGTGTTGAATCGCGACTGGGACTTGGCGATGGACTGGTGATTAGCGGTGCACACGGCCTTGGTGGTACAGTTGACTGCGGTGTGTCTCCCAGAGTGAGCTCGGGAGTACTTAAGCTATATACAGACGGCTGCAGGAAAAAGGACGGCACTAAATGTTCCTCGTGCCTCCATGATTCAGGAGTCGGTGCATATTGTGAGACAGTGCGGCTATAGATACTCGAAGTACGTCGAACTAATATTGGAGACGTTCCTGAAGTTTCTCCTATAGGGACTGGTGGCAGAGGTTTCTCTTGATTCGGTGTCGGAGTCCTTCTTATAAATGATTGAAAAGATGGAGCCGACTTCTCGAAACCGTTCAAACTGAGAGATGACGATGAAGGGTTCAGGGCAGCTGGTGGACGCCGCAATTGAGTGTTCGGATGTTCCATCTCGGCGAAGGAGCTTCTCGAGCTACGAGAGGCGCCGGAGAACAGAGATGTCGGCTTCGAATCGATGAACATCGTGCAGCATGTGCGCTATAGGAAGAGGATGGACCATGGCAGGCAAACGCCTGAGACACAAAGAGATACATATTGCAGATTGACGTAGAGGCTTGAACGCTTTGCGAGACAATGACAATGCAGGAAACAAAGGACGATGAACCGAAGATCTGCTTCCGGATTGATAGGGTAAAAGATAGTTCTTTGATGTCGAAGCTGGGATGCAGGCCTCAGCACGAACAAATTGCATTCCTTGAAATCGCACCAACAATGCGTTTCCGTTTTCAATTTCAGCTTCCATAACTTCGATACTTTATTGCGAGATCTTCTAGTCGTGTATTCGCGCCGAGCGAGCATGTAAGTCGGAGCGCTCAGGTAACCCTGACACAGCCTATTTCTGTAAAACCCTGTTTCCATCCTCGAGCGCATTGTTCGGTGTCGTGGACTGCTAGCAACGCCTATCATCAGATCATTAGGTCGTATGGTTTTTGGTCATTAATCGTTATGCATTGAATTGAGCTTTCTCATTTTGCATGATCGACGATCTGTTGGTAGAGGTCGTCTGGAAGTTTTCGTACAAAGCTGATAGCCATGGGCTTGATCTTGGATGCTTGAAGGGGCGGGAATGATCTCAGGATTTGGTTCGGGCTGTGACAGTTATGTTAGACGTGGCAAATACAGTGGATACATGATAGATATACCTTGGACTGGTCAGAAGCTGGTCTCGGATAAGAACCAATTGGGCGACGATGCAGAGCAGATTCAGATGCGGGCCATAGGCAAAGCAGAAGTCCCACAACTGGAGGACCTCAGGTAGAGGAGGAGTGCAAGCACACATGGTCAGGACGCTGGCAAAAGCATAAATGCGAGCCTCCATGCCTTTGCTTGCCAGGTAGGCGGACAGTTTGGGGTCCACAATAGCCAGAATCTTGTCAACCAAAGCCAAGCCTCTATGGACACCATCCATGGAGCCTCTCACATAGCCAGGGCACTCTACTGTGATGAAGCGATCGAATGCAGCGAATGCCTCAGCCTCACTACGGGCGGCGTACAAGAAAGGGGCGGCCATGACGTTCATGCCTTGAACATAGCCGACATGAGAAGCGCCATCGCCGGCCTCAGAGCCCTCTGTGCCAGTGATGGATGCGCGGTGTCTCGAGGTGGGCGAGGTGACCTGGTCCGACTGACCGTCGATGCTCCTGGGTACGGACAAGGTAGGTGGTGACATCCACCCATTGACTCGGGCCTCGTGGGCATCATGCAACTTCCAGGCAATAGCATTGAGGACGCGGGTGAGGCTGTTCTCGGTGACGCGACGGCGGAACAGAGGGTCTGTGGTCAGGGTGCGAAAGGTGTCGTTGCGGATCTTGGTGTAAGCAGGCGAGGCACCCTGTCGCACAAGATCGAGGTAGGCATCAGTGCGAAGTGGAGGCACGTTGAGTAGGATGAGCCAGATGTAGATGCGCAGTTCGGACTGGAGTGGCAGACTTGTCAGATGTTGCTCTGGGGACTTTGTTTACATTTGGGACGCTCACCATGCCATCGCTGTTGCTGGCTATGCCATCTGACAGGACTGTATAGCGCAGCTGCTCCAGACCCGACTCTACATCGCCCACAGCACCTTTGAGGACCAGTGTTTCGAGACTCGTCATGTTGTTACGAATGTGCTATCGACATGCGCCGTCGTTTTTGTCCCATGCACGCATCTCCTGCAGCAGCTCGTACTACGCGCATCGCGTTTAAGCTTTCCCGCGGCTGCTCCCGCCAATCTGCTGCTTGCCAAGATGCACGTGATTCTGCTGCATCTTCTGTTCGTTCATCAAGTCAAGTGCCGGACCTTCGCACCGACAGCGTGGCGGCTCGTCCGCCGTCCGAGGCTCTTTTTGCTTCTACCAAACTCTCTCCAACATCATCATCGAGAAATCACCTGTCTCCGCGGTGCCAGTCAGCCTCCTTCTGCGGGGCATGGAGTGAGAGTCCACTTTCTGACATATCAAATCTATTCCATCCTCTCTTCTTCCTGCGAGTGCCATTCATTTGCAAAGGTCTATCAGTCAGAGCTTAGAAGATGCTCTGCCCACCGTCTTACGCGTTGCCAATTTCAGGAGCACAAATGCCACCGACATGAATTTTTTTGCCCCCCTGGATCGATTTGTTTCCATTGTTCTTTGGTCGTGATGCAACCACTCTGCTTTTCGGATGCGGCTCCTGCTCTTCGCCGAAGTCGTCGAGCACAACGACCATGCTTTGTCTACTGCTCTCGTCCCATGCGCCGTTTCTCTCAGCCCTAGGATTTTCGTGTGCTTGATTCTAGATTTTCGCGTGCTTGAGCCCTGGCGCCATCTCACAGCACGAATGCGGTACCTGGAAGTTGTTCACAAGCCTTGCCTTGTCTTCTTGCTGCTTGGAAGCTGTGAAAATATCGATCTTTGGAATGTCGTCAACCCTTAACAAAGCACGCCATGACATACGTCTGTGATTGGGTCCAAATCCAGCGGGGATCGGTACTAAAGCGAAACGTCTAACCCCGAATTGGTATCACGTCAATGATGTGATACCAATGCTTTGCTGGGCGGCCCACTACTTCCATACGACGACGAAAGGTCGACGTCGTTTCAAAGCTTGATGGCTGCCGGTTGAGATCTGGATCGATATACCTCGTCGTCTCTACCGCAATTCTCTCCTAGTTTGTCTTTTCTCAATTGCATTCCTGCACCTTCTTTCTTTCGTGTGCAGCACGCCTTGTCCGACGCCTTTCGTCGTTCTTGTGATTCGCCAGACCCGTTCGGCTTACCACCGTTCGTCCTAGTTTTGGCTGTTCTGGCTAGAGCCTCTACCAATCCTCGTTGAGTTCTTGATCTTTGGATTGCAGCCCTTCCCGCTTCCAAATACGCCTCCCACACATTCTGGAGAACATCATTTCCAGACCCCGGATTGCTCATCCAAGCCCTCTATTGGATAATCCAACGTTCTTTCTGCAGCGAGTGAGGTCTATAAACCCTCACCTTGTCTCTCGTCAAACTCCTATTTTTCATACCTAATCCTTACACCTGTCAACTTGGTCTCGTTGTGTTGATCCATATCAACTATACACACCTTCAACATGCCTTCTAGAAGGGCTCAAGTTGGCCACGGCCTGGCCAAAGTCCTGGGCATCAAACTCGACTACCGCCATGAAGTCGAAGCTGAGAAGATTACCAGAGGAGAATCTGTCTTTTCCGTCTCCAGTGCCGACACCTTTGTCGAAGCTGAGCCTACAGTCTGGGAGTGGTTCAGGGAAGTCACTCCAAGTGGTAACGACATGGTCACTTATGTCCACAACCTTTTCCCCTTCACCCGCTGGATCGGTCGTTACAACCTTCAGTGGCTTAGTGGTGACTTGGTCGCTGGTATTACCATCGGTGCTGTCGTCGTCCCTCAAGGTATGGCTTACGCCAAACTTGCCGAGCTCCCAGTAGAGTACGGTCTGTACTCGTCTTTCATGGGTGTATTGATCTACTGGTTCTTCGCTACTTCCAAAGATATCACCATCGGTGTAAGTTTCCATCCTCGATCCTGAAAGACTGCTCGCTTACATTGTCTACAGCCCGTCGCCGTCATGTCTACCATCGTTGGTAACATCGTGATTGACGCTCGAAAACACCATCCGAATCTCGAGCCTCATGTCATTGCATCTGCACTCTCAATCATTGTTGGTGCGATCGTCTGCTTCTTGGGTCTCGTCCGCCTCGGTTGGCTTGTCGACTTCATTTCTCTCACCTCAATTTCAGCATTCATGACCGGATCTGCCATCAATATTTGTGTCGGCCAAATCCCTACTTTGATGGGCATCACTGGCTTCTCGACTCGTGATTCGACATATCTTGTTGTTATCCACATCCTTGAGCATCTCGGAAGAACAAAACTGGATGCCGCAATCGGTCTCACTGCTCTCTTGTTCCTCTACCTCTTGAGGTTCGGTTTCCAATACGCTGGAAACAGATTCCCTAAGCACCGCAGACTTTTGTTCTTCTGCTCGACTCTGCGTACCGTCTTCATCATTCTTCTTTACACTCTCATCAGTTGGTTGGTGAACCGCAATATCCCTGGCATCCACCAGCATAACAGCCGGGCGAAGTTCAAGCTTCTGGGAACTGTTCCCCGTGGCTTCAAGCATGCTGCTGTGCCTGATGTCACTATTCCGATCATCAAGACCTTCGCTAGCCAGATTCCCGTCTCGGTCATTGTCTTGCTTATTGAACACATCTCCATCGCAAAGTCTTTTGGCAGAGTCAACAACTACACTATCGACCCTTCACAAGAGCTTGTTGCCATTGGTGTTGCAAACCTTCTCGGACCTTTCCTCGGCGGCTACCCTGTGACCGGTTCTTTCTCGCGTACTGCTATCAAGTCCAAGGCAGGCGTCCGTACACCTTTTGCTGGAGTCATCACCGCCGTCATTGTCCTGTTGGCCATCTATGCCTTGCCAGCAGTCTTCTTCTACATTCCTAATGCCGTCCTTTCAGCTGTCATTATTCATGCTGTCGGTGATCTTATTACCCCTCCCAACACTGTGTACCAGTTCTGGAGAATTTCTCCACTTGAGGTTCTAATCTTCTTCGCTGGTGTTCTCGTCACCGTTTTCTCCTCGATTGAGAACGGCATCTACACCACCATCTGTGTGTCTGTCGCGCTCCTCCTCTTCCGTGTTGTCAAAGCTCGCGGTCGTTTCCTTGGAAAGGTTCAGGTTCACTCAGTCATCGGAGATCATCTTCTTGAAGACAAGGACAGACCTGCCAGCCACTATGATCACGAGAAGGCAGACCGCAACATCTTCCTGCCCGTCGAGCACGATGATGGTTCCAACCCCATGATCGAGACTGAGTCTCCTTACCCTGGAGTCTTCATCTACAGGTTCTCTGAGGGATACAACTACCCCAATGCCAATCACTACCTGGACTACATGGTATCTACGATCTTCAAGCAAACTCGCCGCACCGACCCCAACCCATACAACAGACCTGGAGACCGTCCCTGGAATGACCCTGGCCCGCGTCGTGGTAAGGCTGTTGTTGTTGAAGAGGATAAGCCAACTCTCAAGGCTGTCATTCTGGACTTCTCATCCGTAAACAATGTCGATGTTACTTCTGTACAACACCTCATCGATGTTCGCAACCAGCTCGATCGTTACACCAACCCACAGAAGGTTCAATGGCACTTTGCTCATATCAACAACCGCTGGACTCGACGAGCTCTTGCAGCTGCTGGCTTCGGTTACCCTACTGAAGAGGGTGAAGAATACCAACGCTGGAAGCCTATCTTCAGTGTTGCTGAACTCGGTGGTTCATCGAGTGCTGCTGCTGACGCTCAATATGAGATCAACCACGCCGAGCACAAGAAGCACCGCGACCTTGAGATCGGTCGTTCGCAAAGCAGAGAGGTTCACGGCGAAAGCAGTGAAACTTCTAGCGATATCAACCAAACCATCCAGAACAGCAAGGCATACGGCGCGCAAGCCAACCAGAAGAAGATTGTTGTGCACGGTCTCAACAGACCTTTCTTCCACATTGATCTGACTAGTGCTCTGCAGAGCGCGATTGCCAACATCCACGATCCCGCAGCTACTGCCGATGTTGTCCAGGATAAGATTCACTGATGAATCATGGCTCTTCATGTCTTCTTTAATGTCTTGTGCTTTTTGTTTGATGTTATGATTAGCGATTTGTATTGGATTTATGGTTTGGGGACGGAGAATCAAAAGCAAGCATCATTTGTATATATGTGCTTCGATGCTGTACTTTACTGGCTTTTTGGTTTACATGTTTGTTCGTGTATAGAAGATAGATGCATTTGGATTACTGTACATACCGCATTCACTATCGGCATTTTCCAATCCTCTTCGAATCGCTTCACGCCCTTTCTCGTCTCTTGACGCTGTCACCTCGTTCTATGAGCTTGGAACAGATCTCCATCAGTGATCGATCATCTTGCATCTACACAGTCATGCAGCATCTTTGGGGCCCCAGGTTGCTTAAATGCGAGACTTGCCTGTATCAGGCGCGTACCTGACTATCTTTTTAACGCTCTGTAGCCTCCCCTCGTAGCGCGATTTGTTCGAAAGCTCTATCACAGCCAGGAACAATCACATGAACACACTTCTTGACAGCTTGACACATGTCGCGCGCATCGATTCTGCACAGCCCTGCATACCAAAGCGCTAGGATCCTCGTTAACCACGTCAACGATTATCAAATAACAAACCATCAAACGGGTTTTCCACTAGAACAAGTTCAACAAAGTCGCTTGAACCCATCAAAAAAGCACACTCCACTTCCCACGTTGTCGTTTTTTCCTTGAATCAAGGCATCGCGATCCTGCACGCGCTGTTCAGATGGCTCCTTTCCTCAACGCCTGGTTTTCCAAGACCGCGTCCAACCGTGCCGAGCATCACCGGTTTGCCTTGGAACAATCTACGGCAGGCATTCACGCCTTTTGCAAGTTGGCGTTTTTCTTTCACCGCCCGCAGGTCATGACTTCATCGTTTTTGCCGAAAGTAAAGCGGTGCAAATAATTCCCCAATCGAGGATGCGGAAGCGTGGAGGAAAGTGGAGAGCACAAGTCAGATATTTGAGATGTTATCCCCGAGACATGGCCGCTGGTGGGTCGAAGTTTCGGATGTATTGCAACAGCGTTCCGATGACGGATAGTTAAGGATGGTCAGGGGTGATTCGTATGGGGCGAGTGTTGAGGCAGGAGACGAGCATATATTTGCTAAGTTGTATGAATCGCAGCATGATGTTAGTATAGAGTATATATGCTCGAGATATGTAGAAGGTGGGTTATAGGTGTGAGCAGAGTGGTGATGGTCTGAGCTTGTTCAGTCATGGCAAGCACGCATCAGAACTTCGTGGCTTTGCACAATGAGAAGTCCTCTTCACATGACATATCAGCAACATTATCATCAACATTTTCGTCTATCATCTAAGGACAAAATTAATCATTCCGGGGCATATTAGGTCTCTTCACAACAACTACACACAAGTTTGAAGAAAGAAGTCGATAAGAAATCTTCGATCAGACCAACATGCCGGTCCCAAACACCAGCCAGGTAGTACCCGGCGCAGCGGTCTCCATCGTCCTCAAAGCAGATCAACCCACCGGCCGACAAGTCCAAGGCATCGTCCAAAACGTGCTGACATCTGGAAATCACCCTCGAGGCATCAAAGTGCGTCTCAGCGACGGTAGAGTCGGTCGCGTACAAAGAATGCACACTGGCGAAATACCTCCACAAGAAACTTCCACAACACCAACCTCTGCATCAAGAAATTCAAGACCACCTAGGGAAAGAGATAACCGTCGTTCTAAATTTCAATCTCGAGATATTAGATTGGATGAAGGTGGTGAGGCGCCAGCTGAGGAGATTGATCTTTTTGCATATATGAAGCCGGCGAAGCAGAAGAAAAAGGGAGGTGCGAAGGCGCAGGTGCCAGTTGAGGAAGAGGAGCCGATTAGAGAAGCTGCAGCCATCGCTACCTGCCCTGTGTGCGGTAACTTTGAAGGAGATGAGACGGCAGTCGCGCATCACGTCGAGTCGCATTTTGCTTGATCGAATATCGTCAACTATGCAGACACACCAGCGTCGAGAGCTTCCGGATGTCGCAAATCATTGTCTCCTAAAGTATCGTGCTGCCCAGCTGCATCAGTCAAACCCGCTGCCGGTCTACACGCGAGATATGAGGTATTCTCGTGCTAGTGAAGGTTGCAGCAAAGCGATGAACCGGAGCCTCGCTTCTTCTGCGGCCTTTCCAGGCCTATCGACGAGGTTGACAGAGCGATCATCTGACGGAAAAGCGTTGGCAGACCTGTCTTACCAACGCTAGCTATATCACACGATACTCTGTCCGGCCAGTGATCATTCACTTCCAGGATTGTCGACACCATACGATTTAGCGAGACTTGTTTGGCTTCATGAGGATCGTGGAAATCCTGGTGCCCGGAGTAAGCATGCGCTCTTCGATCATTTGGTCCAACGGAGCTACCAGTCTATATCGGTCTATGCATCCGGAAGAAATACAAGCAGTTGATCTGTAGAACACGGACTTGGTTGCTCGAGGCTCTCTTGACGCTTCGGGGGGACTTTGAAATGATCTCGAACCCACATTATATTCACTAAGACGATACTTTAAATATACAACTGGTTTTATGATATGGCTGCAGCGCAATTTCCAGAGTGTGTTGAATACGTCTCATGCTTGTTTGAGGATAAGAGTGGTATATGTCTTTGCCATAGGCCTGGCGGATCAAAAACTCTTAAGGACCTTCTCAAGTCTGAACAGTTTCTGACAAGAATGGTTAGTGAGCTTGTCACAGACAGAGATAAGCACATCAGTAAGATACTATATCGTTTAAGAGTCCGAGAGAGACCATCAAGACCGCATCTAGTATCGAACCTAGTGGTTGATGAATCGATGGAGCAAGATCAAATATTATAGCAGGGTGGCTACAGCAGCAACCTAGACTTGGCCAAATGGTGCCTCGCACAAAGTCATCCACAACATCTTCGTGCAAGAGAATTGCAGAATCAGTGCGAACAGAATCGAGTGAGCTCGTTGTGAAGGGTCGAATGCTCAGAAGGCATTGACGGACAAAGGTTTGGCCATGTATAGAGAAGTCCGTCTACTGCATACCCAACCTCCCAACCTTACAACTAGTCTTGACACCCCTAATCATCTCACTCATAACCAACCCCGTTCCCAAACTCAATGAAATACCCCAAGGGCCATGTCCCGCAGCCACAAACACACCACCTGAACTTTTCACACCTCCTAACTTCTTCTCCTCAACCTGACACAGAATAGGTTCTCCCCTAGGTGTAACAGGTCTAAAGCACAATCCCTCCCTGAGGACCTTAACCTCCTGCCCAGGAATCCCACACATCCTCTCTGCAGTCTTTTTCAACTCTTCAATAGCAGAATCTTCGATCTTTGCCTCTGTAGCTAGATCAGGCAGAGGGATGCTGCCATCGTTTAATCCTGCAATGTAGATTTCTCCGCCTATGCGGCTGATGAGTTCGGGGCTGAAGCCTGAGGATGAACTGCTGAAGATTGCATGGCAGCCGTTTTGTTCGTGGGAGGTTGTCCAGTGAGGAGACGAGACTACAATGCTGTGGCCTGCGTAGGGAGAGATGGGAGGTTTGAGGGGTGAGGAGGGGAAGAGTGAGCGGAAGACTTTTGGGGTCCAGGCGCCGCAGGCGAAGAGGAGGGATGTACATGGGACTATTCAGTGAATCAGTAAAGAGAGATATGGAGATAATATGGAAAGGGTGAATTTACTCTGTGTTTTTGAGCCATCGTCTTGTTTGACGTTGAGGGCAGTCATGGTGTCATTGTCATCTGTAGATATAGATGTTGGTGTTGCTGGTTGATGAACTTGTACACCTCTCTTCCTGCACTCTTCCAATAGAAACTGTGATAACCTCAAGGGGTCTCTGTTACCTGTCAGCCTCGTACTCGCTACCGTCGAACATCAAAACTCACACTTGAGCAACAGTCTCATCCGCAGAGATAACATCATACCCATCACCCTTCCTCCTCGTCAACCAAGCCGGCCCTTCCCCCTCGACAAACTCATGACTTCCAGCGACTTCAGCCCTGCTCCTGCCATTTTCGAGCCACTCGCCTTCCTTATCTTCCTCTTTCATGTTGTCTTGGCCTTCGGCAAACGAAGCACCAGTACTCCTCGAATACCCCCACTTCCGAGCACCATCATGCTCATCAGCAAGTTGCTTGTGGAGTCTAAAGGATAAGAGACCAAGAGGTGCAGATGCAGGACCATACCAGTCAGCAGCGAGGAAACCTCCTGCTTTGCCAGATGCAGAGGCGAAGAGCTCGGGTGATGATTCAATCAGATGGATAGACGAGCCAGGCTTAGATTGGGACAGGTAGTAAGCAGTGGATACGCCGATGATTCCTGCTCCCAGGATCACTGTAGAATCCGAACTGTTCATCGTGTAAAGTCTGCTAGACAGAGATCGTGTTGGACCAAATGATAAACGCTGGAAAGCCTTCATACAAAAGCTTTTCAGTGATTAGAGCAAAGAATGAGATCGTCTTGTACTCAAGAATACAGACACCGAATACTGTGACATCGCAGAGAAAACCTACTTGTTTGTTCTAGTATAGATGTATACTGAGGCAAAAGAGGAAGGCGGGTGATAGGGACGCTTGGTGACGTGTGCGGGGCGGTGGGGCTCGTTCTCGAAGCAACTTCATCCGAAGTTTTCTTGCCCAGCAAACACAGCTTCTTGTATCAACAACCAATAGAAACTCATCATGGCCGCCAGCAAAGTTGTCATTCTGACCGGAGCATCGCGAGGTAAAGAGAAATAGCGCATGAAAAAGAGGAACAAAAATTGATGGAAATTGATAGGCATTGGTCTCGCGATTGCACACTATCTGCTGAAACAATCATGTCGCGTCGTGACAGTTGCCAGAAGCCGCGAGCCTATGGACAAGCTGAGCCAACAATACCCTGGACAAGTCGAGGTCCTCGCTGGTGATCTGTCGGATCTTTCGCTCGGACAAAAGGCAGCAGACCTGGCAAAGTCCAAGTGGCAGCGCCTGGACAGTATCATTGTCAACCACGGCATTCTTGAACCTGTCAAGCGCGTCGCCAATGTGGAAGCAGAAGAATGGCGACAATTGTTCGATGTCAACGTCTTCTCAGCCATCGCTTTGGTCAGTCGATCCTTTACTGTTGAAGTAGAGGACCAGGACTAACCATCGACATAGGTCAAGGCATCTCTGCCAGCACTCCGTGAATCGAAGGGCAGTATCATCCTTTGCTCTTCTGGTGCAGCCACTGGCAACTACGCCACTTGGGGAGCGTATGGTGCATCAAAGGCTGTGTTGAACCACCTTGCCCAGACTCTTGCAGTCGAGGAACCCGATGTGACCACCTTGTCAATTAGGCCAGGGGTAGTAGACACGGACATGCAAGTATCTATCCGCGACGTCCACCACACCAACATGGATGCAAAGGATGCAGCCAAGTTCAAGGAGTTGAAGCAGACTGGAGGCTTGCTTAAGCCCGAGCAGCCTGGTCATGTCATGGCCAAACTGGCACTCGATGCGCCCAAGGAGTTGAACGGCAAGTTTTTGAGTTGGAACGACGAGAAGCTCGCGGCTTTCCAGGAGTAGTGGACTAAAGACAAACTTTTTCAGACGTTAGTCGAATGTACTTCAAGGTGTGTTTTGAAGCGAGAATGGAGTGAACAAGTGCAGTCAGTTGAAAGATGAAAAGCAATACATTTTGATCACCATATGGCGTAAGCCTTCAGGTTTAGCATGGAATGATTTTGTTCATCACGCAAGGAGAGCGGAGGTGAAGAGGAGAGATTACTAACCTTACGATGCATGAAACTTGGAAAGAGCTGGAAGAGTTGATAATCCTGACTGTACCTAGACATGTATTGGTAAACATGAGACTGACAAGGTGATGGAACAGTGGAAGATGAGAAGAAGGATTTCAGGTAATCGAACCATTATTTTATTCCTCATGGGACTAGGAGGTGTATATAACATAATTTTCTCATCATGTAGAAAGAGGAGATGATGCTCATGCATGACTAACCTCGACTGTTCTAGCTGAGTGTCGCGCCAGGCGCACTCAGCGCGCGCTGCCAAAGTCCTTCATTGAACCATTGCTTTGACAAGGTGCATGATATATGCAGAGCTTTAGTTAAGCAGGAGGATGTGAAAGATCTATCTGAATTGCAATGTTAGCTTACATTCATCATAGACGAGTCTGAGAAATGAGCGTGTTGTGCAAGAATTCTTTCAGAGAGTCCGTTTGGTTGAGACAGGTAAATCACCACGTAAAGGTAAGATAGGGGCGACACGAATGTTCATCCTTGAATGTGTGCTGAGGAGAAGAGTAGGAGGAAATGATCACATACCTTTTGCGCAGTTGGCTGTTGGAAGGAGAAAGCAAAAGGAAAAAAGTCGCGTCAGAAGAAATAGGCTGTGAAGCTCGGACGCGTTGGTGACGGAAGCCGTGCTGCGGCAGAAGCCGTTCGTCATGCTCCATGTGAGACTTAAAGCTGCTGCATTCCCCCAAACTCGCGCGCCGCTGTTATATCATGTTGGCATCGACACTTCTCTGGCCGAATCGTTGATTTCACTGATTACTCAGGCTTCAGAAACTATACTTGAACATGTCGGACAAGGAATTCGCTGGTACGGAAACATTCTTCGCGACGAAACTCTCTTTGCGACCGAAACATACTAACAATTTGCAGGCAGTGACGAGCTCACTCTGCCCAGAGGTACGCGCCGCTCTAGCATCGAGACCAACCGATTAGCGCGACTGACAAGGACAACACAGCAACCGTCCAAAAGATCATTACCGAAGTCCTCGCCAATGACCAGGGAATGTCCTTCGCTAAAGAGACACGAGACTTGCTCATCGAATGTTGCGTCGAATTCATCACTATGATATCTTCCGAAGCGAACGAAATTGCCGAAAAGGACGCGAAAAAGACAATTGCTTGTGAACACATTGTCAAGGCTTTGGAAGAGCTGGGCTTCAATGAATACGTTCCGGACTTGCTCGAGGTCGCACAACAGTTCAAATCACAACAAGCGGTGAGTCGGATACGGAAAAACAACTTGGTCAGGGAAGGTGCTGATACAAGGATAACAGAGTCGCGAAAAGAAGCAGAGCAAGATCGAGCAATCTGGCATGACCGAGGAGGAACTGCTTAGACAGCAGGAAGAGCTGTTCAGATCGGCCAACGAGAAGTTCAATGCTGGACCTGCAGAGCCTGCTGAGCCGGCAGCATGATGAAAGACAAAATGAGAGACACAGCAGCTGGGACCAGAGGCGTCAAGGGCGTTTGGTACGATACGATTCTTTAGATACCCCATCTCTACTGGTTTATGTTAGACTTTGGCGCAACATGGCATGGAAGGAGCAAGACAGCATAAGATCATCTTTCTGCAATCGAACTTTCCCTTTCGAGAGTGGACCCTTTTCGTGATATTGAACATGCAGTGATTGATGATGTTTGAAGAGGCGCATGTGACAGTGACGAATGGCCAAGACCCCACACTCTCGTCGGCCTCGGCCGCCGTCCATCATCGTGCATCCAACCCAGTGCCAGCACCTAAAGCATATCGGCCACATCTTTTTCCCAAACACAATCACCTATATGCACTCGAAGTCTCACGACTAACGCACAGTCATCATGTCCGGGCTCGAAAAGGCTCTCTTCAACCTCAAGGTACACACGCTCTCAGCCACCCCACCACACCCATCGTCATACCTCCGCGACCTCTCACTAACCCACTCCTTCCTCACACAGTTCACCGCCAAACAACTCAACCGCCAATCCGCCAAAGCCGGCAAAGATGAAAATGCCGAAAAGGCAAAACTGAAAAAGGCCATCCAGCAAAACCACGGCGACATTGCCAAAATCTACGCTCAGAATGCTATTCGCAAGCAGAACGAGAAGCTGAACTTGTTGCGCCTGGCTTCAAGGATTGATGCTGTCGCTAGCAGAGTTCAAACTGCTGTGACCATGCGTCAAGTCACGGGTAGTATGGCGAATGTGGTAAAAGGCATGGATGGAGCTATGAAGGCTATGGATTTGGAAAAGGTGAGTGTTATGTTGCTGCCTTGAGCTACTTTAGATGGTGGAACTGGTCGGAAGCAGAGCTGTTTGGCTGACAAAGAGGAAATTTCAGATCTCAGCAGTCATGGACAAATTCGAGTCGCAATTCGAGGATCTGGACGTCGCGACCGGCTACTACGAAAACGCCACCTCCAGCGCTACCGCCGTAGGCACACCCCAAGAAGACGTCGACAGACTCATGTCGCAAGTCGCCGACGAAGCCGGTGTCGAACTCAACCAAGAAATGGCTGGTGCAACTCCCGCACAGGGTATAAAGGCCCCTGCCAACCCCACCGAAGTCGAGGAAGACAACCTGGGCGAAAGATTGAGAGCTCTGAGAAGCTAGACGAGGAAGAGACTCGGAACATTAGAAGATTCGAAAGACCTTTTGATTCAGCAGGCTTGGAGTTTGGGCGTCTTGTTCTGATGCTTATGGGATGGCGTGGATTCGATCGACAGATGCATACCTACTGACTGCTGTGAATACCAATTTTCTACGTTCACAATATCGAGAATGTGCAGTGTGCTAGGACGCTTATGTGGCTGCCAAACCAAATCTTGGTTGAATGACTTGCTAGGTCGATGAGAACACAAGCTACAAGCTATATCAGAAATGTTCGAGAGGCATTAACTTGTCATTTCTATCTCACGGCTTGGAGCCTTATTTCTATCTTCAGTTCGTGTGGCAGCTAAAAAATCAAACTCATTACATCTATGCATAAAACGGAAGGGGCTTCATGTCCCCATGAAAAGCATTTTTCAGTTAGCGAGCGTATCATCATCCAATCTTCAATTGTGTTCATCCTTTCTTTAGCGTCTCAGAAAACCAAGACGTGGCTTGTGGGCTGGTTAAGCAAACTTGCCATTGGCACCACCCTTCTGCAACCTGATGGATCCAGAAGCCAAGCGGTTTGCCTCAGGTCTCTGGACTGGAGGTGCGCCAGCCTGCAATGCCATCCACTTTTCTTCGGGGATGGTCAAGCAGTTGATACCCAAGTAGTTGCAGATGCTGTTGCAGACATAGATGGCCCAGCGCGCGTATACAATAGTGGCGAATGCAAGGTATCCTCTCAAGAACCAGAGCTCAGAGCTTGCCGACAGACCAGGAAGACCAATGTAGGGCAAGTTGATGAGAATGCTGCCGAGAAGGAGTGGGGCCAGCATGACAGTCCACATGGGGAACTCCTGGCGAGTCAGATGCGCAAGGATGATTTTGGTGGTCATGCGGCCGAAAGCTGGCGAGAGGGTGAAACAAAGCAGGGACAAATGGTTATCCTTCAGCAGATGCGAGTAAGGCGATCCTAGCCATGCGCACAAAGAACCAGTGAAAATCAAGATGGGAGCCCATTCTAGCAGGACAGGGAACAAAGACTGATTTCTGCCCTTTCTTGCCTGGTATACGTTGTTGACACAATCAGGAATATGTGCGAGACAGAGTCCAAGAATCAAAATAGGACCCCAGAGATCGAGGAAGCAGGTCTTGCCGAGGAATTGCTCGTGGCCGAAGAGAGAGGCTAGCGGAGATGTCCACAGTGTAGGACCGTAGTAACCAGAGAGGATCATAATGAGTGCAGCAATGATTAGACCCTCGGTGGGGCCATTGAAGTAGCCAAGGAACAGGGTGTGGGTGTGATATGTCTCCCAGGTCGAGAAGAACATGGGCAGTGTGGGCACAAGTGCAGTGAGAGCACCGAGGCGTGTTGAACCAAGACCCATGGCCGATGTTTCGAGGAGCGATGCGAGCGTGCAGTTGAGACTGTCGATACCATGACTGTTTAATTCGCCCCTGTCAGCATTGCTCTTGCCAGATTGAGATAGGAGGTGGGTAGCACTTACTCGAAAAGCTCACCCAATGGAGACGAAGTTCCAGTACGACGAGCTTGCTTGCCATCAATGTTGTCCATGGTGCTGTAAGCCCAAATGCCGAGGGCATAGCTGTAGTAGACCCATGAGGGAGCGGTTCCAGTCAACGCAGGGTCATAGATGAGCATTAGGACGACATTGCTGATGATGCAGAAGAAGCCCAGCAGCGTCACCATGTTGGGAGCCAGCCATAGTGGCAGAAATTCGACGCATGCGTTCCACTGTTCGACACCCCTATGTCAGCCCTCAATGCCTTGTTGCGTCTTCAATGCCCGGTTGTATGCAGGGTTCCGTCATGCCCCTTTCCATGCTCTTGCTTGATGTGTATGTTTGTCGTAGTCTTGCCGAGTAGTTCGAGAATTGAAGGGTCGCGATCAACGTACATAGTGTTTCAGGACATAGCGCGAGGTGAATGACTTGTCAACAGACGAGTACTTGTATAGCTTCAAGTTGGCCAAGGCGTCTTCTGAGAGGGGGCCCTCAAGAGTGGACGAGTCTGTCCCTGTCAGCCTCTTGTATTCTTGCTGCAGCAAGTCGCTCATAGTGTAAAAGAATAAAACTTACTGGATCTCATTTCCAACCGGCGACACTAAATAAAAAAAAGAACCTTAGTCAAGCAACAACAAGGAACCGTCCGGACCGCGACTTGACCGAAAGCCCGCACTGTTCGCAATCCTCTCCTGAACGGGATACGCTGTGGTACGGTGTGGGGGGCCACAACCACAAATTCTTGTGCTGGCAACACTCTGAATCGATTTGATCTCAGAATAGAGACACGTCGTCAATCCTGCTGTAAAAATGCAGAGTGTCATTGACCTGTTGAAGATGCCCACAGAGAGCATGACAGAAGAATGCTCTCCTTGGACACCGCTTAATTCATTATAATACTGTGCCTTTTGACAGCATCGAGATTTCCCAACAAGAATGTTGAAGCAATACCGGTGATGATAGAAGAACAACAGGCTGACTTGGCTCATCGATCTTATGGAGAACATCCGCAATTCAAGACAGACCGGGATACAATACATAGACGAGAGATCATCCTTTTCGCGATTTAGAAATCCATAATGTCAAAACAAGAGTAATCAGGATGATTCACTTGAGTCAATTGATTCACACAGCACACAGATAGACAGATATTCTTTTGACATGATTGTTCATTGAAGTTTTTGACTGCTTTTCGTGTAGCTTTTCCATCTCGCAAAAAGCAAGCCAGCAACACCCTAAACTGCCTGTTTGAGATGCCCGCTGCCATGCAAGCGATCACCTGCATCTCATAAAGAAAAATCGAGCATAGCTTTTTGAACCCAGCTGTACCAATCTAAAACAAATGAAGAAAGAAGAACGCCCATTAAACCGTCATATGATGCAAGACGTTTACCTGGTGGACATGGCCTTGGTAACGACACGCTTGAGGGCCAACTCCTTCTTCTTGAGGTCGTCGGCAGAGGAGTCCTCGATCTCGAGCTGGGCCATGGCGTCGCTGAGAGCAGACTCGATCTTCTCCTTCTGGTTGCGCTTGAGCTTGAGGGAGAGGGTGGGGTCGGAAACGATCTCCTCAACACGGGAGATGTAAGACTCGAGCTGCTGGCGGGACTCGAACTTCTTGGTGAAGGCCTCGTCGGAGGACTTGAACTTGGCGGCATCCTCAACCATCTTGTCGATCTCAGCGGAGCTGAGCTTACCAACGGAGTTGGAGATGGTGATGTTGGCGCTGCGGCCGGAGGTCTTCTCGGTGGCGGTGACCTTCAAGATACCGTTGACATCGACCTCGAAGACACACTCGAGAACGGCCTCACCGGCACGCATGTGGGGGATGGGAGCAAGAGTGAATTCACCTGGAGGAATTTGTTAGCACATTGTCGAGATTTATAAATTCAAAAACACTCTTACCGAGAGAGGTGTTGTAGCTGCACTCTTGTCTTTCACCCTGGTACACGGGGAATTGTACCTATTAAAACAGTCAGCGAGATGTTCTAATGATATAGAGCAAGTTGTGTTGTGATATGGTGAAGTTTTGGCGGAGATATGGTGGACCCTGGAAGGCAACGCTCCCAGCGAAGCCGTGCCAAGCTTTTCGACCATCAAAATGCAAAATAATGAACAAGAACAGAAATGTTCCACTGAGAGTCGAGTGATATCGGGCTCTCCTTGGATACTCCTGTAATTCATTTGATATTCTGCATTTTGATAGTAGATAAGCTGCTCGCGTGTCCACTGAGAGCATGTGAAATCAAGACTCTCAGTGGAAGTGCGAGCCGGCAGCTTTCCTTCGTGCATTGCGATGGCGCATGATGATGGGAAGAACGAATTGGGGATACTGACAGTAGTCTGGCCGTCGGCGACGCTAATTGAGAAGTCAGTATAGTTCAAGATATAGGTCGTCGTGACAAGAACTTACGTGGTGAAAGTGCGCTTCTTGATGGTAGGGACAGTGGTACCACGGGGAACGACGGGAGCGAAGATGTTACCCTCCATGGCAACACCGAGGGAGAGAGGGCAGACATCGAGAAGGAGGAGGTCAGCGGTGTCGGCGGAGGTGGCCTTTCCGGAGAGGATACCGGCCTGGACCGCGGCACCGTAGGCGACGGCCTCATCGGGGTTGATGCTCTTCTCGAGCTTCTTGCCGTTGAAGAAGTCGGAAAGGAGCTTCTGGATGCGGGGAATACGGGTGGAACCACCAACAAGGACGATCTCGTCAACCTTGGACTTGTCGATGTTGGCATCCTTGAGGACCTGCTCAACAGGCTGGATGGTGCCGTTGAAGGCCTTGGCGTTGATGTCCTCGAAACGGGCACGGGTGATGTTGGCGTTGAAGTCCTCGCCGTCGAAGAGGGAGTCGATCTCGACGGTGGCCTGGGTACCGTTGGAAAGAGTACGCTTGGCACGCTCGCAAGCAGTTCTCAGACGACGGAGGGCACGAGCATCGCCGGAAAGGTCCTTCTTGGTCTTGCGGGTGAATTCCTTCTTGAAGTGCTCAAGGAGGTTGGTGTCGAAGTCCTGACCACCCAAGTGGGTGTCACCAGCGGTGGCCTTGACAGTGAAGACACCACCCTGGATGTGGAGGAGGGAAACATCGAAAGTACCACCACCGAGATCGTAGATGAGGACGTTGCGCTCCTTGTCAGACTTGCCGGAACCGAGACCGTAGGCAATGGCGGCAGCGGTAGGCTCGTTGATGATACGGAGAACGTTGAGGCCAGCAATGGCACCAGCGTCCTTGGTGGCTTGACGCTGGTTGTCGTTGAAGTAGGCGGGGACGGTAACGACGGCCTTAGCGACCTTCTTGCCGAGCTTGGTCTCAGCAACCTCCTTCATCTTGAGGAGGACCATGGAGGAGATCTCCTGGGGAGAGAAAGTCTTGGTCTCGCCGAGGTACTCAACCTGGACCATGGGGGAACCAGCGTTGTCGACGATCTTGAAAGGCCAGGACTCAATGTCCTTCTTGACGGTGGGGTCATCGAATCTACGACCGATCAAACGCTTGACATCGAAGACGGTGTTGGCGGGGTTCATGGCAGCCTGGTTCTTGGCGGCCTCACCGATCAGACGCTCCTCAGCAGTGAAGGAAACGAAAGAAGGGGTGGTGAAGGAACCCTGCTCGTTGGCGACTGTGGAACATGCAGGTCAGAATTGCGCGCTCATTGTAGGCGAAAGCTGCAAAAACAGCTCCAGAGAGAAGACATACTGATCTCGACGTTGTTACCATCGTAGTTGGCAACGCAAGAGTAGGTGGTACCTGAAGTTCTGTTAGCAATTTTGGTCTTGTGGGATTGCGCTTCGGCAATGTGAGTGTGCGCAAAAACCTACCAAGATCGATACCGACGGCACCGTCGTAAACCTCGTCGCTCATGATGAAGGATATAGAGGGGTATAAAGGGAAAAAGATGGGGAGGGATGGAAGGAGGAAGAGGTGAGAGGTGCTGGGAGCTTAAGAAAAGGCTTGCGGGTAGGCGATTTTCGATTTTCCGCGGTCTGTGCATCTCATCTTTTTTTCACTTCCCCATTTCGTCCGAGGTCTGGATGCCAAGCCCTTATTCACTTTTACTTCCCAGCAACCTGAACTTGACTCTTTGCAAATCGATAGTCCTTGGTCGGTATATTCGCTGAGAGATGGCCCGAGTTGATGTTCGTCCGAGTGAGGTAACTGCCCTTTTCGTCGAGGCACCTTCCTCGAGACAGACGATTCTTGAGTGGCAACTAATTGCGACTTACCTCTCGCTTAATTCACTGCAACCGCAGCTAATGGCAGCTCGTCAATTCAGGCAGAGGCCAATGTCTGATGAGCGTTCTGCTGCCTGATGATGATTCACCTGGCGAGAAGATGCAATCAGCGCCAACATTATTCTAGCCTCGTTTTTGTCAATGGACATTCATCTGAGGGCAATGTTGCCGCAAGAGTCGGTAGGTACGTTCTCGCTTAAATGGCCCAGGATCAGGCGTGCAAGTCGCCCCTCCATATCAAGACTGGTGGGCATGTCGGTCTTGCCGTGATGAGTCGATTTTGAAAGCTGAATTTGTAGCCATCTTCGCCACTATTGGTGTTGAGCTGTGTCGCGCGAGCCCAGAGCATCTGACATTGGTGAGCTTTTCCCTCAAACTCCTGCACGAGAATGGGTTGCTCAAGACAGAAACTACCGCTGGCATAGCCATTGGCTCTGGGAAAGGGGACCAGTACTTGAGTAGTAAGATGAGTTCTTTGAGGCAAGAGCGACCACAGCAACCGCAGCTTTTCGAGAGGCGTTGGAGACAAAGCATTGATATAGAGTAGGCACCTATACAGACATACCGTTTTCGTTCCGTCAATACTCGAGAGAATGTGAGAGAATGTGTGAGGTCTCAAACACGTCTTGGACCACCTACCGTATGCAGAAGCAATACAACTCACAGGACTGCTCACCAACGAGGCAAATCGCCTGAATATGGTGTGAAGATGAAGCAAATAGCTCGCTTCGATACAGACGTTAGATATGCTGTTGGGGCTTTGACTGCCCTCGAAACCTCCAATTTGAAGGTGTGTTGCTTGGAAGTTACTGGAAAGGATGAAGGGTTGTACTTGCCTCTATATACTCTGCTTTCCTCGACTTATCTCGAAGTGGCTGCTGCATACAGGAGCCATACGAGATTGGGGATTGCTTACGAACGAGGAATACCGCCATGGATATGTTGGGAAGATAAAGCTCTTTGATGAAGACGGTGGATATGATATTGTCGCTACGAGCGCCATCGAGCTCTCGAGTTGAAAGTTGTGTTGTTTGGCAAGTAGTAGAAGGTGTTGGTTGCACTTGCCTTTTTCTATGTTTCTCAGCTGTCCCTTCCTCCTTCGCGAACCGCGCCTACCCCAAGTATATATTATTGCAGAAATCAACCTCTCTACTCTCAACAAAGATCGACTACAATCACTGCAAGCCTTCCACACACGGTCTTAGCACAACAGAATTGTTAGAAGTGTTTGTTATTCTGAGAGCACTGCTTTCTCAATGCCAACCCGTTCTTTGCACAATTACCCGTCTATAAACCTCCAATGCGAAAGCCTTTCCGTTCCCAAACGCCATTGAATCACAGCAGCCCAAGTAAGAATACATGCTTGAACTTCGCTCTATCTGATCCTGTTGAGCTTGATTCTGTTCATAGCAATCTCATCATCGACGGTCTCGGTCTGCGAGAAGGGGTAAGTCAGTAAATTGAGACAAGAAACAGAGAATGTGAATAAAGGAGAACAATCCTACCTTTCCGATGATGCGGTTGATGTGCTTGTTCTGCTCGTCGAGCTCATCGCCCATAGCGTTGCCCAATGCATGCAATGTCTTTGCACTTCTGTGGATAATGTCCAGGTTCTGTTCAATCTCACCTTCCATAGCCTCATCTTCACTATCGGCCTCGAATTGGTACTTGGCTCTGTTGGCCAGAGTGGCTTTGTCGTGTGTCTTGCCGAGATTGCGCATAGACCTTTCCTGGCCTTGGTGACGTGCTGTTGTAGACCAGGCATTTGCTCTCGTGTCATCTGCACGCTCTCTTTCTACTCTGTGCTTCTCGAGCGCAATTGCATTGGCAGCCTCCTCGCGCTTCTTTGCGGTGAAAGGGTTGGAGACGTGTACAGCAAACATGCTTCTGTTCAATGTCTTGAGCTCGCGTGCCTTTTCCTCAGCGAGTCTGTTTTGGTGTGATGCCATGTCGAGGTTGCGCTCTGTGTTATGGATGCGCTCGCCTTGGGCACCCAGACGAGCTAGAGTCTCGCGACCAGTGGCTTCTGCTTGTTCGGCAATACGGCGAGCGTTGCGGGTCGAAGACACGTCTTGTTGTTTGATGAATCTGATCTCGTCTTTGGCTGCTTTGACGTCTTCCTCCTCTTGCTCTTCGGCTGTCAGGTAGCGGTCGGGCTGGCCGTAAAGTTCGCTGGAGCTTCCTCCATAACCTCCAGACATGCCACTGTTTGCGTAGCTGTTGTCAGAGGAGGGTTCTTGTGCGGCTTGGCTGGCTTGTAGTTGTTGTTGCTCTTGTTGTCTCTTGGGAGCATCACCAAAGAGGGCTGCTTTTCCACCATCAGTGCTGATAGTGTCCAAACTGGGTCGTCGTCCAAGGCCACCATATCCTCCAGCACCGTAGCGAGAGGTCTGTGGTTGATCGCTGCCATATGGATTGCTGCCGTATCCACTCTGTTGTGCGTAGTTTCCAGAACCTCCATATCGTGGTGCGCTACCACCATAACCACCAGGCGGGACAGGAGACTTCTCACTCATTGTGGAAATGGTAGAGCGACTGTCGTAAGCAGGAGGAGCAGCTGACGAGTTGGCATATGGGTCTGCAGGTTTGGCGCCATAAGGATCGGGAGTCGATTGAGTAGCGTAGGGGTTTGCTGCGGGCGCTGCTGCCTTGTCCTTGCCCTTGGAGCGTGAGAACAATGACGAGCGAGATGCTTTTTCCTCGGCCGCCTCCTTCTCTTTCTTTCCCATTCCAAAAGGCATGATTGATTGTGTTGTCAAAAAGTGTATAACAGAAGGAAAAGTTCAAAAGATACAAAAGGTTGGAGGGGAAGTTAACAAGAGGGGTCTGATGCCCAATATAGATGAGGCTGTTCACTGGCTGTGCTCCGCCCCCGGACTTTTGATGAAACCACCGTTGAGTTTCCAGAACACCAAAGAGTTGGTCACAGCACAGAGAATAAAAGACTAATTGTTCGAGGTGCAGACAACAGATGTGAGAGCGCTTTTGCAAGCAACAGCTACAACTGAGTGGCTTGGATTCTTCCTATTGTACAACGAAATCCCTGCTTTTTCATGCCCAAAACGTGTCGAAAAGAGCACGTTGCAAGATTGCCAATATCTTCCAGGTATCAGATTATCGTTAATTTACCATGCGTTAACATCAAAGTACTCCTAAAACACGAATTAGTATATGTCAGACTGCAGTGGACACAAGGGTGATGACAAACCTCGCCAAAGAAGGTAACGACCACAGTGCGGTCAGCGAACTTTCTGCCAGCCAGAGCACGCAAAGCCTTCGAAGCAGACTCGTTTGTGTCATACTTGACGTAGATCTTTCCGACACCATTGGACTGTCTGCTACCGCCAGAAGGACGGGGAACCTTCATGTCCAGTACTGATCCGTACTTGCTGCATTCCTCCTTGACGTCTTCGACGATTTCTGGACAAGCGTTAATCGGGTCACGATGAAGCTATCGAGTTTTTTCGCTTACCTTCGTATTCATCATTATCCAAAAGCTCCTCTGCTGTGACCATGTTCAACAGACAGAGCACGCGACCTTGCTCCACGTCTGAGCTTGTGGTACCGGCAAGCATGCTCATGGCGTTCACACTCATGTCTCCGCCAACCTGCTGCACACCAATAGCGGCTCTTGCAGCTCTAAGCGCACCGTCACCCAACTCAATACCGTTTAAGCCTGTGACAGCTTCATCAGTCTTGGTAGGATCCATGTACTCGAAGAAAGCAAATCCACGGCTTGCGCCAGAAGAAGTGTCTTTGGCGAGGACGAAGGATTTGAGCTCGCCGAAAGTTGTAAGCAACTCTCTGACTTGTGCATCCTCGATGAATGTGGGGATGTTGGTCATTCTCAGCTTGTTCTGGGTATCTGGGACGTTCTCAGAGACAATGCCTTGTGTCTGCTCGCTCTCATCTGTGACAGCAGGAACGATGTAGTCCTTGGGACGGCGAATCTGCAGGCCTGCCGGTCTTCCATTTGCTGAGCCATTGACAGAGTCGTTGCTCATAGAAATGCCATCGAAAGCCAAAGCGGTTGTAGCATCTTCCGGTGTCTTGAACTCGCAGAGAGCAAATTCGTGGTCGGGCGAGATTTGTGCTGACACACAAGGATCCATACCTCTGACAATGTTGAGGCCATTGAGCTGGAGGTTGAAGAAGTCGATAACGTTGTCTTCGGTTGCGTTAGGAGGAATTCCATGGACAAAGAGACGTTTTGACTGGCGAGCGTTGGAGGGCTTGAGAGCAGTGTTGGCGCCAGCATTTGCAGGCTGGTTCATGAAAGCCTGGAGTCTCGTGGGGTCCATGGGTTGTTGGCGAGGAGCACCAGGAAGAGGAAACATGCCCGAGAGCTTGGCCTGCTCAGCTGTGACATTTTCGTAGCCAGGAGGCTTGATGTCCCATTGAGTCAGGCGACGCTTGCGCTCGAGGATAGGCACGACATCGGTCAAATCGGGGGTGGGCTCCTTGGGCTTTCTGGGAGGGCTGGGGCTGCGCTTCTGATCGATGGATTGCTGAGGGGCACGATCGCGTCCTCCTCTACCACCTCCTCTGCGGTCGTCAAACAGATCACCTCCACGGTCGCCGCGGTCTCTGCCACCGCGCGGGTCGTCACGGCGGTCTCCTCGTCGGTCAGAGCCACGGTCTCCTCTGTCCCATTCGCGACCACCTCCACGTCTTCCAGCGTATCTGTCTTCTCTCTCGCGCTCCCTGTAGTCGCGGCTCGACGAGTATGAGTCTCCCTGGTATTCGTCTCTGCGTGGGCGGTGTCCGGGTGAGCGCGAGCGTCTGCGTGGTCTGTCTCTCTCGCGTTCTCTGTCTCCACCACGGTCTCGGTCGCGACGGTCGTCTCTGGATGACTAGCACTTGTTAGCTATTTACGATACTGCGCACATGAACAAACATACGTAGTGATCGCGCGAAGACGCGTGTCTGCCGCTGGGACGATCTGAAGATGAAAAGTTAGAAAGTTGTAATTTGTGCCAGTGCGAGCGTAATACCACGGCTGGAATATGAATCACCGTTCATTGTGGCGGATCGTGTAGCACAAGCGGGGCGATGACAATCCAATGAATGGTTCGAAAGAAGGTGCTGTTGTGAGCGATGAATGTGTGTGCTCGATGGGTCCCTTGAGCTTGCGAGTTGCTTGCGCGCCGCTGAGCGGCCAGAGCCAGAGCGTCTGCACCGAGGCCAAGCCGCCATACCCAAAATGGAAGCATGATTGATTATCACCTCAGCCATGTCTACCGCGTCAAGGTCGTGATCCGTCCTCTACGACTCGTGCTTTTACATCAGAATCATGTTGAACCTCCAAGAATGGCAGAAGCTCCCAATTGGACTCGGCGAACTCTGCATCAACACGACTCTTCGCTGTGGACAATGCTTCAGATGGCGCAAGTCGGATGAAGGTGTCTGGTCAATGGCCCTTCATGGACGCATCTTAGCATTGCACCAGGACCCTGAATATCTCTACTACCGCTCCATCCTTCCTACGAAACAATCGCCGACGACAAAAATTGAATCTGACGAAGACACTCTGCCACTTCTCAAACACTACCTCAATCTCGGCCCCAACCTTACCCAGCTATATACCGAGTGGTCTTCTGCCGATGCGAACTTCAGTCGCAAAGCTCCCAGATTTACTGGCATTCGCATTTTGAAGCAAGATGCTTGGGAAGCTCTTGTCGGCTTCATTTGTAGCTCCAACAACAACATCGCTCGCATATCTCAGATGGTCGACAAGTTGTGTACAAACTATGGTCCGCTGATTGGCCAATTCGACAACAAAGACTACTATGACTTTCCCACTCCATCGGCATTGGCGAAGCCAGGGGTCGAACAAAAATTAAGAGAACTGGGTTTTGGGTATAGAGCAAAGTACCTGTACAAGACAGCCTGTATGGTTTCAGAAAAAGAAGACGGGTGGCTGGACGCTCTACGAAACCCCGAGAGTCCAGTCCTAGGCGTCAAGCCAGAATCAGCTGGTGAATGGGCAAATGAGGGAAGAGAAGGGTACAGGAAAGCACATGAAGAATTGCTTGCACTTCAAGGTGTAGGCCCAAAGGTCGCTGATTGTGTCTGTCTTATGGGTCTGGGCTGGGGAGAGGCTGTCCCAGTCGATACACATGGTAAGCGCATTGCTGTTCGTGTTTACGTGTACCATAACTAACAATACTCCAGTTTGGCAGATTGCTGTCCGTGACTACAAATTTGGCAAAGGCAAGCACTCGAGCCTGACCAAGGCCACTTATGACGCCGTTGCGAACAAGTTTCGTAGCCTCTGGGGCCAAGAAGCTGGTTGGGCACATTCAGTACTCTTCACTGCTGATCTCAAAGCCTTTTCCGAGCGACTTGTGGCCAAGATCGAAGTCAAGGACGAGGTGACAGAGGTCAAGACTGAAGATGGCGTACCAATTGCAGAAACCATTGTCGAAGAAGACAAGACTCTGGTCAAGGGTATCAAGAGAGAAGCGGAAGAGGACGAACAAAAACTCGTCGAAACGAAACACAACATCGTCAAGAAAGCAAAGAGAAGAAAGAAGGCATCATATTGAGCATAATATCTAGACGATTCTCCATCGACATTCTTGTCGACGGAAGCTCTACAGCCAATATCACATCATGGCAACACAAGGCACGTTATCATCTTATATCCTTTACCTGTCCCTTGTTGTCTTTGGGACCACGAGCAATGGAGCCGCGGACTTATCGCGCCACTGGAGCCGATCCTTGTGTCTCTGCTCAGGAGAATGCTTCTTCAGAACTCATCGACGTTGGGGTTATGGCTCTTTTGGATATTGTATACCCTGGAGATAGGACGCAGCGCAATTTCGAGCACCACTCTCAAGCGTAAAGTTGTTGTCGTTGTCAACAGAAGGTTGTGAATTCTCGGAGACTGCTCAGCTTGCAGTAGTAGCAGGCTTTTGGAAGCGGCCTTGCATCCAGCAACGGTACATCTTCAACTTTCTTTGTCGGTTGACAAGCATTCTGTTGTCAACACCCAGATTCAGAATCTCAAATGCTGGCATCTTGTTGTCTTCCGAGATCTCGGTGTTCTTAAGCTTCTCAGCAAGCTCATCCTCATCTCCAGTGTGTTCGGAGACGTCGATCTGGAAACTGTTTGCCGGGAGTTTGCCAGACCAGATATCTGCAAGCTCGTCTCGTTCGAAGAAATAAACACGGGTTCCGTCACCACGAATGTAAAAGTTCTCCTCGAGGTAGCGGCCCTTCTTGAATCGGACCTGGGCCAAGTCACCACGGCCGTAGTCACGGAAGAGAACCAGACCACCAGGCTTGAGGACATTCCAAACATTCTTCACAGCCTGTGCCCATTGCCGGGGGGATAGAGCCGAGAAGATGAAGATCATGACGACCACATCGACACTGCCGGCTTCCAGACCCGGAGGCAAGGCGTGTTCACCAGTACCTGCGGCGTCCCAGACGTCTGCCTGCAGAGTGGTCTGGTTTTGGTATGCCTCTTGTGTGCGAATGATCTCAATGGCCTTCTTGGAATAGTCGCAAGCGTGAATCTTCAGCAGAGGGTTCTTGTTCAGGTTGAGAACTGGGTATGCCGTGTTTCCTGCACCTGCACCAACTTCGAGCATCGTCGCAGCACCGTAATCTTCCTTGGTAATCTCTCCCAACACGGGGAACTCTTGGGCCAGCCATTTGCGATCCTTGAAGAAGTTTGCACGGTTGTTGCTGTAAAACTTGTCCCACCACTTTTCGGGATGCTGGTTGAAGCGCTTCTTGTCAAAGTCGGTAACAGGAGCGGATCGTTGGAACTCTTCCTGGCTCTTGATGAACTCCTTGTATGTGTCGTCAGTCTCGACGTGGTCCCATGCGTTGTGAGCAAAAATGTTGTCGCCTTCTTCCAGGTAACGTGTGCCAAATTGGAAAGGGTCGGTACGTTTCTGGTCGTTGTTTGCAGAATCGGTCTGAGGCTTGCGAAGAGGTTGGATCGAGGCGGGCACACCGTATGCTGCTTCCTCTTCTACGTCGGCGGCAGAGTCGGTCTGAGGAGTTGGGGGAGCGTCGGGGACTGTGACCCATTCGCGCATGTGTTCCATGCCCTTGGAGAGCTGCTGCTTGGGGGTCTTTTTTCGGTCTGCGCCCTCAGGCTGCGTGTTCTGGATCTCGGCCATGGCTTCTTGATTTTGTCCAGCGGTCGAGAAAGACAGGTATCTACTTCTGTTTTGCGAATGGACTCTGGATATCTGGCGGAAAAGACTTGTTGCACGACTCGAGTATCTCAGCATCTGCCCATGATCTTGAGATTGGAAAAAGTTCAAAGTACTTGGAGCACGAGGGGTCTGGCAGAAAGTCACCGCCTATAGCGACGGTCGGCTGAATGGACAACTCCGCGTTTATCCTCGAAATCCTAACTTTGCAACTTTGTAACTTCAGAATTCTAGTTTCTGTGCCCACTATCACCGGTTCCTAGCTGGCCATACATATATATCGCTATACCTCTATGATATCTAGCTAGGCACTAAGCTATAAGTAGCTACTACAAAGAGGATATAGAGATAGGAAGGAAAGGGGGCTAGGGGGTAGGGGCTAGAATAAGCAAGACCCGGGGGCTGACTTATCTATATGCATATGTAGACCCCTATCTATTATAGCCTCTGCTACTAAATCAAATATATACTTAACTATAGACAGCTATCTATATAGCTAAAATAACATAGTAATAAATACTATTGCTATCTTCTATATTTGAGATATAACTTATAATTAGTTATCATAGAGAATAAGCATACTAGAGCCGAATTTCTGAATCGCAGAAGTTGCAAATATAGAAAAGAGGAAATATCAGAATAAACGCGGAGTTGTCCGTTCAGCCGACCGTCATAGCGGGTCGGCCCGCAGCCAGGAACAGGCCGACGGTCTCGATCTTTCGTCGATTCTCCGCAGCCTGTCAGCGCGTCATGCAGCCAGACATTTGATCTTTATTGCATGTCATTGCATGTCATCTGTCAATCGACATACAGTACAAGAACCGGCTCCTTCTCCGCATCGTCTTCAGCATATCTCTCCATTCTCACTTGGTCAATTGGCTGCACACAACTTTCAAGATGAAGTCAATTCGTGCTACTTCGGCTCTGGCATCTCAAGTCTCGGCTACAACATGCTCACGAGCAGCAATCGCATCGCGTATCACCCCTTCTACACAGACCCGTTCCTTCCTTCCGAACCCTTTTGGCTCCCAGCCCCTCCAATCATTAACTGCATCCCGTATCCTGCCTTACGACGCAAAAACTCTCTACGCAATCGTCGCCGACATTCAGAGCTACCACAAATTCCTGCCTTTCTGCATCTCTTCCAATGTCACCAAGCAATCCTCTCCCGACGCTGAGGGTAAGACATGGCCCGAAGAAGCGGAACTGGTTATTGGATACAAGGATGTCATGCGCGAGTCCTTTTACAGTCGTGTCTACTGTGCTCCACAAGACTTCATCGTCGAATCTGTGAGCGGAGAAACCAACACCAGCCTGCCCTCAGCAAGCATAGAACACCACACTACCCGCCCCTCTGCAGACCAAGATCCCGCTCGCAACGCTACCATCCTTACACAGCTACGCTCCCGCTGGCAATTGAGTCCCTTTCCTTACAAACCTGGACCTATGGGCAACGACAGACCTCAAGAAGTCACCTCGGAACATCCGCCAAGGATGCAGACTGAGGTCAATCTGATTATCGACTATCAATTCGCAAACCCTCTTTACACCACACTGAGTGCGGCTGCGGCGCCAAAGGTTGCAGACAAGATGATCGAAGCTTTCGAGATGAGGGCAAAGGAGATGTTGGATCGTCCTGCTGCTAGCCCAACACAGAAGTTCTAAAGCACTGTGTGTCTGTTAATGGCATGAAGATTTGATCGTGTTGAAGCAGCATTTGAAGCGGAATTGTAAGATAGACTTTGTAAGAATAGTAAACAATGATATTAGACATGAATCCTGTGGTCTATAAAACAACAAGTGCATCTCCAAATCTTCCAGCTCCTTTCATTGTGTACAGCACACTTTAATCGACTGTGTCGTGACAAGAACACCTACACCTTGACCTCAATCTCAGCCAAGTGTTTATTAACATCGCCAATCTCCCACTCATGCTTGTTCGTCTCCGCCTCCCACTCATCAAACTCGTCCTCTGGCACGCCTACCGGCACACTGGCTCCGCTTCCACCAGCACACCAAATAGCCTGGCCCTTCTTGACCTTGATCCCAAGATCCGCAGCTTGCAAGCCTTCCGCTGCAACACCCATAAACGTCACCTGAGCAGTTGACCAGTCCCCATAGCAGTCATACGTGAAAAACATTCTCAACTTCCTGACTTCAGGAGCCTGCGTCTCACCCCAAACATCCATCAACCTTACTTTTTTGCTATCCAAATCTTTCGAAGACTTTACATCAGCACCTAAATTGTGCATTCCTCCGGGACCACAATCTTTGATGTTTGCAATTTCTTTGCGTTCATCTGGGTATTTGTTTTTTGCATTTTGTTGTCGAGGCTCGAGAGAAAATTTCCAGAGGTGGATTTCATCCCAGTCGAGGGTTGCGCAGATTGCTTCTGAGAATTGTTCGAAGAGGAGGGTTGCTGGGACGCGTAGTAATCTCGTTACTTCTACGGGGACTTCTCCGAATAGCGACCAGATGTGTACCAAGTAGAAAATGTTCTTTGCGGAAGTGGAAGGGGTGTTGTTTTGATGGGCGTGGATTCTTAGAACCAAGTCTCGGGGGTTGGTTATTGGTGCGTTGGTTGTTGATGTAGTTGAGGAAGTTGCTCTAGTTGGAGCTGCTGGTTGTGGTTCAAATTCATCTTCGTCTTCAAGTTCATCCTCGGGATCCACGTTTTCTTGATCGAATTCTTCTTCTTCGTCTTCCGTGGATTTTTCTGTGGTTTTTCCAGTGAGATAGTCCTCGAATGACGTGTCTACAGCTGGTCCTCCCAAGCTGATGCGTTGGCGTTTTGGTCTTCTTTCTGCCATTGATTCTGATGCTGATTGTGAACGTCCTCGTCTTGCTTCAATTTTACGTCTGAGCATCCAAACGCACAAGAAATCATCTATGTTGTCGTCCACACTATCTGTTGAATTTATGAAGGTAGGCAGACGGGTGTCTGAAACGCTGGGGGGGGTGGTCGGCGTTTGAAGGATTTAGCTATACCAAGACGCGTCATGGGATCAGGGTGACGGTTTTGACATTGGCAAAACGGTGTTATGTCAACCAATACTCGACTCAAGATACTGAAATGTTCGAGCCCAAGGGGTCCGTTACAATGAACTCTTCTGACTGCGTCTGAATGGAGTTGTTGCTCCACAGCGCTTTGACACAATGCACGAACGCCCTCAGCATATGAGATTTGATAGATGATCATCCATCTTCTACGCACGCTATCTTTTGATTATGAGACTCTCTAATCAGGACTTCAGCCACAGTCATATCAAAGAGACCTCTGACAAAAGCTGAGGGCTTTATCGTACCAAAAAATCATGCGCGTTGAGGTCCCCTCGTTGTCCCTCTAGTCTCATCCTGCTATAGTCAGGTTGACTCAGACTCCCATCTCACGTCCCAAAGTCTAATACTACCATCAGGAAACGCGACTGCAACTTTCGCCTTTCCATCACCGAAGAGAATCTCAAAAGCTGGTGGGCCAGCTCTGCCCCCACTGGGGTTCCAACGCCGTCTATCTCCATCTTCAGGCTCGAACATCAACAGACAGTCTCCACTCTCGACCTCCCAGACTCTGAGACCACACTTTCTTGCACCTGCAATCAGGACTTTGCCATCAGGAGAAAAGGTGGGAGATGAAAGCTTTCGTGTGGGATCCTGAAAAGTCCTGATGACCTTGCCATTCTCTACGCACCATAGTTTTATTTGATGGCGTGAGTATGTCGCAATGGTTTTGCTATCCGGAGAGAATCTGCTTGCGAAGGTTTCCTGTTCAGGAGTTTTTAAAGTGCTCTGAAGCTGCCAGGTGCGTGTGTCGTATAGATGAATGATTTCATGCTCGTCGGTCGGAACTGCTAGATGCATACCATCCGGCGAAAAACATGCTGAGTAGTATCCTCTAATGGTGTGTTCCAGCTTCCACGACTCTGTATTCCAGATGGACACCGTGGATGTGTTTCCACACCCAGACAATAAAAACTTGCCGTCTGGAGAGAAGTCGACGGAGCCGATTTCTGGTGGGTACTCACTCCTCTCGAATACTGCTGTGATAGATAAAGGTTGATCGCCTGAGACCGATAGTGTATGCAGCAGTTTCCCAGTAGCCACATCCCAGACTCTCATGATCTCAGAACCAGTAGCGATTGATTTACTGTCTGCAGAAAACGCCACTGACAGCATTCGTTCGTCCTCGACCTCTAAGGTGTGCACCAAGTCACCAGTTTCAATGTTCCAGACTCGACCATATCCATCTCCAGATGCTGCTGCTATCCATTTGTTGTCAGGCGAAAAGACTATATCGAAAATAATGTCGTCAACTTCTTCGGATGTGCTTCGAAGAGTACCAGTCTCAACATCCCAGAGTGTGATGAACGAGTCGTCAGTGGCTGCTAGTATTTTCCTATCGGGAGAAAACAATAGTCGACCAACCTCAAAGGTGTGGCCTTTGAGGCTGTGGATCAATATCGCTGAAGCATGCATGCCGAAAAATAATAGTGCCTTCCCTGATGAGTGCAGGCGTCTGGCGTATCTAAAATTGCAAGAAAAAAGAACAAAGAGCAATAGAAGCTCTGTGGAGAGTCAAAAGTGATGTATACCAATGTTGTCCCAAAAGGGACACCGCTAGAGTGGTCCGCGGCGAAATTTGATGTTTCCTTCGATGAAGTCATTTTTGAGTTTCTGGTAGAGGTTCTACTCTTGAAATCAGACACCGCAAGACTAGAATAGAAATCTACGGAGGAATGTTCAGCATCGAGTCATCTTTGTACCTGGTTCATGTTCTCTGGTTGAAAAAAGCTTCAGTGCTGCTGAGTACAGCATGAAATCTAACCCTTGGACAACTTAACACAAAGTCAGCGACATACAGTTATATTATGACACTTTCCTTCATATTCTTTTGTTGTACATAGCTTGTCAATGAAGTTCTTTAACACTTCAAGTTGATACCCTTCCTCTTTTCACTTTCGCGAACCTCGAACATGACTTGGACACCAACAAACAGTGTGCCGCAGATGCCGAGCAGGAAAACCCATCCACCAAGACTCCCTATGATGTTGCCAACCATAGCCTTCAAGCCATCAACACCAATAGCAAATCCGACAAGATTGGCTGCCATCATCATCAAGATATTTCCGGTAGCACCAACGCCACAGATCCAGCGGTAGACATTTGGGCTGTCCTTCCACTTCTTGGCTGGGAAAAGCAGCGTGCAAATGACCTCAGGCAGAACGAATAACGTAATAAGCCAGCCCCAGATAAGTAGCTTGAGATTGATGTCGTGCCAAAGTGCGACGAAGGTAAAAACAGCGAGGAAGTTGCCAATGGCGCGCACTTTGCCTTGTCCACTGCCACCAATGGGAATGTAGATATACCTGACGATCCAGCGGTTGAAACTCCTGTGCCAGCCACGCCAGAAAGCCAGTGCCGAGTAGTTGTCACTCATGCAGCGAACCATGTTTTCAGGTGGATCGATGCCATCCACGAGTGACCAGAGTCGGAAGAACCGCCAAGGGATCAACAACTTCAACCAGATGATGTGGAGGTTGAAGTACCCGAGCATACTCAACTGCATAGGTGTATAGACCTCCCAGGCTGGTTGTGCTTTACTGATGGCAACAGCGTACAGGAAGTGTAGGCACAACTCCATGGTAAGCACGCAGACAAGGAAACGTACACCGTACATTAATGTGCGTTTGGTGCTGATGGACGCAAGAGGGTAACGTGATTGCGAGATGTAGTCGTTGAATGTCAGTATAGGGCCTGCAAGGTACAGAGGCGAGTACAAGGCGTAAGCAAGATAGTTGCGGAAGCTAAAGTCTGCTGGCTTAGCAGATACAGAAACTCTGTCGCGCTCTGACAGATTCGAAGGATCAAGCTGTTTCTTCTTCAGGCTATCAGCTCATATTCCTATAAGAGAGAATTGATTTTTACATGACATACCTCGATAGAAGAAGGTGCGCTTAAGCTCCAGTAGTAATCAAGATTGAAACTGATGAGACGGAGCACAGTAATGTTGAAAAGAATCTCCCAGCGAGGAAGAATTCCGCCATAGCTATCAATCCAACCGGCCCAGCCAGGTGTCTGATTGCTCGTTTCTGAGGCACTAGTTTGCGAGGGCAGAACAAAAGCAGCAACCTCAGCCAAAGGGTAGCCATGGCACAACTCGTTCGCGAATAGGATTCCGACGTTGAATGCCCAGGTAGCAGCAGGGACGTATGCCTTGGGAAGCTGCGTGGCCAGTTTGTAATTGGTGTACAGGATCAACAAGACTTTGAACGCGGAGACACCATGTAGTGCAAATATGAAGATCATAGCAAATGTGATATCAAAAGATAGTCTGTGGTCCATCCTGGCGTCTGCAGCAGCAGAAGGGCTCAAGCCCTGCGTCAGTCCAGGATTTCTGCTGCTAGCAGGAGCAGGCTTGGTATACGAGTCGATGCGCCAGAAGGAGTTGTAGGCTTTGCGGATCAATGGATGCAAGATCAAAAGAAGAGTCATGTAAGGAATGTTATCACGGAAGCCAGCATACTGAGCATCTGAGTTGTCCTTGATATAACTCAGTCAAAAGAACCTTCGAAGTTTATGCATATACATACAACTTTGCGTCCAGGGATCCAGCCGTCTGATAGTAGATGTGAATATCGAGAGTAATTAGGATGAGATTCTGCAGAGATCATTAGATGAAGGGCGTGAGTGTATATTGAAGCATATGTACCTTGAGAAACATCATACACAGCTTTCACCATGAAAATAGGAATGGTAAGAAAGCAGAGGTAATAGAAGTAAAATTCTGGAGTGTTCCATTTTGATGGTTGGGCTGCTGGTAAAGATTGGTTCTTTCCTGATTGGAGTGCTTGCTGCGCAGGAAGTTTTGAATCTGCTAATGAGTCCTCGGTTGATAACTTGTGAGGAGTCTTTGTCGATGTGGTGAAACGGGTGTCTAAGGTGTCAAGAGAGTATAGCTTCTTTATGAAGGAGAGCCACGACATTTTGATTTGAGACACATAAACATAGGCCAAGCCAATTGTTGTGATGTGTTTCGTAGAGCGAGCAACCGCTAGAAAGACTAAATGCTACCTGCGAAGTATCGAGTTGAGGATTAGGGGTGGTATATGTGGTAAAGACCCTTGGACGCGGAGACACATGCCAAAAGCTTGGCAGGCGCGTGTTCCCAGAATGGTGGACGAGCTTCAATTGTCGCAACTTTCGTCCATCTCATTCTACATAATCGCATCTGACAAAAATGAACTCATACAACGCACCTGCACCGCAGGAGTATGCTGGAGGTAGAATACCTCTTTCCGCATCACAGCGACCCTTCCATTGACGCGCCGCAGATGAGATTAATGCTCTGGTCCTCGATCCCGGTTCCTTCACCACTCGCGCCGGCTTTGCTGGAGAAGACACTCCCAAGTCCGTAGTTCCCTCCGTCTATGGTTCTATTGCTGGCGCCGATGCCGACTCAAAATCGCGTTACCTCTTTGGCGAAAATGCCATTCACAACCCTCAACCGCACATGGAAATCCGTAGTCCCTACGACGCAGACGGCATCGTCGAGGACTGGGACGCTGCTTCAAGACTGTGGGAATACAGTATCACCTCGCGCTTGACTGGTGCCCGACCTACACCCGCTGCCAAGAACGGCCTTAACGACGATAAAAAGGAAGGAGACGAAGCTGGAGACGGCGACGGTGATGTTGCTATGGAGGGCATTGAGGAGCAAGAGAAGCCAATGAGCGAACACCCTTTGCTCATGTCAGAGCCTGCTTGGAATCCTGCGAAGCACCGCGCTAAGTGCATGGAAATCGCTCTCGAAGATTGGGGTGCTCCTGCCTTCTGGCTAGGCAAGACCGGTGTTCTGGCAGCGTATGTCAATCCATTTCTGGGACAAGTGTGCAGTACTGATCGTCTTGTAGATTTGCCTCTGGCAAGCCTAACGCGCTAGTCATTGACATTGGCGCCAGCACCACCTCAGTCACTCCTGTGCATGATGGATTCGTTCTCAAGAAAGGTAGGCTTGCACTTTTTCGTTCTGAGTACCCCTCTTTTGGCATGAAACACTTCAATCATCTCACGGCGGTCAACTTAGCCACAAGTTGGACTGTGACGAGGATGCCTGTGACAAGGCTTTATACTGACAACAGCATCTCTTGCCCAGCTAGTTCGAGCCAATTGTAGCTGACGTTCTCACAGGCATTCAAAAATCATCACTGGGCGGCAACTTTGTCTCAGAACAACTGCGCCTGCAATTCTCCAAGATGGATCCCGTGGTCTCTCTAACGCCTCACTTCATGGTGAAGTCAAAATCTCCTGTTGATGCTGGACAAGCACCAAACGCTTCATACATCAAGTTTGACGTTCCACCGACAGACTCGTTCAGAAAGAACGAAGAAGAGCGTATCTTCACATCGTTCAAAGAAAGCATGGTACAAGTCTGGCAAGGCCCTGGCAAACTCGATCTGACAGATGGCATGGGCAACCACGTCAATGTTGATTCGGTCAAGACTCTGCCTCCACGACCTTTCGAAATGCCAGACGGCTGGAACCAGGTCTTTGGTATTGAACGCTTCCGAGTCGCCGAGGGGTTATTTGATGCCAAGGCAGCACTCACCGACGACAGTCACCCTACGCCAGATCAAAAGCACACAATCACAGCAATGGTCCAGGCTGCTTTGGCTGCTGTAGATGTTGAAATTCGACCAGTGCTTTTGAACAATATTGTCCTCACCGGAGGTGGCAGTCTGCTCGATAAGCTCGCAGAACGTCTTCACGGAGAGCTCTCGGCACTGTACCCTAACCCACGTGTGAGAGTTCATGCAAGCAACATTGTGACTGACAGAAAATACGGATCGTGGGTCGGTGGTAGCATTCTCGCAAGTTTGGGCACTTTCCACCAGGTAAGCTTTGCCTTCGTCCGTACTGCACGACAAGATACTGACCAGAGTAGATGTGGATATCCAAGAAGGAATACGAGGAGCACGGCTCTAGCATCATCGAGAAGCGATGCAAATAATGAGACATGGGGAATGGGCGAAAAGGCGTTCTCAGGCATACATACCATAGCCAGCCAAAAAGGGATTATGTTAGTCGGATCGGGAGATACCAGAACGGATAGAGAAGCCAACAAAGATCATATTCAACTATTCTATAAGTGCCGAGGATGACTGAGGAAGTGTGTCGTGTAGCGGCAAGTTTTGGCGAGTTGACCGCGCGAATCACATACCACAAACGCCAAGACACAAGTGAGTCGCTAGCGCGAGTGGGATGCGCGACAAGCAAGCAAGCAGCAAAGCTCAAGTGATGGTCAAATAACTTTTGTTTGTCACTTCACTACGCCCGCTCGCACAAAGCGTTGTCACGCTCCTAATCTTCCTTTTCTAATTCAGGCATCTAGTACGCATTTTGATCAGCATAATACCTGAAGGATCCTACAAACACCACGACCTTATGCGCATCGCGCGCGCGCATCTGCACACAAGCTAGAGCTCGCTCCCACACATCAACCACCATGTCGTCGTGGAGCTTCGCAAACGTCGGTCCTCAAGCCGACGCCTTGGACGAGACCCCCGAGACCTTCCAGGACTCTGTCAGATTCAAGGATATCGGAGGAGAATCAAAGGTCCGCCTCTCGCAGGCCTGGCCAGCAGACAAACAACCTCCTGCCTGGGCTTCCCTCTTGTCTATTGCGTCCACCAAGAAACTCATCGCCGCTGGAACCTCTGAGTCTGTTGTACTAGTGTCGTCTGATACAGTGCGAAAAACATACTGGGAAACCGATGCTGCTAGTGCCGAGAAGAAACCCAAGGATATCACACCCCAGCTCTCCCTCTCGGTCCCACAAGTCTCGCATGTCGCCTTCTCAGCAGATGAGAGCTCACTGGTCATCGCTGCACAAGAAGGAGGAGGTCTGGCCGTATACGATGTCCAAGCATTGCTTCAGGGAAACAATGAGTCGGCATTTCAACTAGCCACCAACGGCATCTCGATCCGCGCGCTTGCACCAAACCCAAGTCCTGACAACGCGCATCTTTTCGCTGTCGTTCTGACTGATGGCAAATTGATGCTCGCCGACTTGAAGCAACGCTCGTTCAGTTCCGTTTTCCGCGAGGGTGTCAGGTGCGTCTCCTGGAGTGTCAAGGGCAAGCAGCTTGTCGCTGGTTTGGAAGAAGGAGGTGCTGAGCAATTCGACCCTCAAGGCACTGTAAAGGCTCAAATCCCCAAACCACCCCAGCTCGCCCAAGCAGCTCCTATGTCGAGCATCGTCTGGATCGCGAACGATGATTTCTTGCTCATTCATACTCCCATCTCTGAGGATGAAGCACAAGATTCATCTTACCACCTGGTGCACAGAGACAAGGCAACAGGCGCTTTCACATCGCAAGCTTTTGCCGGAGATCCATGCATGCCTGCTCTTGATTCGAAGCGTTTCCCCTCACACTTCCTTGTGTCCAGACTGAGAAAGTTCCCACCAACCTTGGACGATATGCTGATTCTCTGCTCCTCTGCTGGAAGCGAAGTTGGTCTCATCACCAACTCTTCACAACCACTGGCAAATGGCGGACCTGCAAACACCTACACTGTTACCAGCATGGAAACCGATTCAGCTCGTGCTACATTGCCTATGAGCATTCTGGATGGCATGTCTGATACCTCCGCTGTCGGAATGGATCTGGATCTTTCTTCAACGGACAAAGTCATGCAGCCCATCCCAGGAGACGATCTCGAGTCAACGGGCCCTCTGCCAGCACTCATGGTCCTGAACAATGAGGGTCTCCTTTGTACTTGGTGGATCGTCTACAAGGACGCTGTTCGTCAAGGACTCCCTTACCCTGGTCTTGCGTCCGTGGCATCTACTCAAACACAAGCTGCTCCTCCTACTCCAGCCACACCCTCCACACCAGCTGCTACAGGTTTTGCAGCATTCGGCAAACCTGCGTTTGGACAGGCAGCTACTCCTGCGTTCGGGAAAACATCTACTCCCGCGTTTGGACAAGCATCAACACCAGCCTTCGGGAAAACATCAACCCCTGCTTTCGGTCAGCCATCACAGCCCGTATTTGGGCAAGCAGCTACACCAGCTTTTGGTAAGCCGTCTACACCAGCTTTTGGACAGCCCTCTCAACCAGTATTTGGCTCCAGTGCACTTGGCAACAAAACTTCACCATGGGGTCAGCCTGCTGGACAGTCCACAATTGCGACTCCACCCAAGGGTCAGGTATTTGGTTCGGCGCTGGGCGGTACCAGCGGCAACACGACTTTTGGATCATCTAGTGCATTAGGCAATAAAACACCAGCCTGGGAGTCTTCGTCGTCCATTTCACAGTCTGCTTTCGGCAAGCCTTCAGAATCTGGCGCATCTGGTTTCGCAAAGTTTACTACACCTGCCAAGGATGAAAACAAGCCATCTGTATCTCCATTCGCAGCCATTGGCAACAAAGATCAAAACAAGTCCTCTTCTCCCTTTGCAGCATTTGCAACTCACAAACCCTCGCCTCTTTCCTTCAGTTTTGGACAGCCAAGTACAGCTGCTGCTACCCCCGAAAAGGCAGCAGAGGAGACGAAGGAGGAGGCTATGGATGACGAGCCTGAGGAGACTCCTCAAGAAGAATCCGCCAAGGAGACCCCTGCTACCAAGGTCGAACCATCTAAGCCACAGACAACCACATTTGGACAGCCGTCAGAAAAGCCGCAGTCATCTATCTTCGGACAACCATCTGAAAAGCCGAAGACCTCATCGCTATTTGGTACAACGCCAGATAAGCCCAAAACATCGGGTCTGTTCGGGCAATCAACTGATAGCACCAAGTCATCTGGATCAGTCTTTGGTCAACCTGCCAAGCAGACTGGATTCCAGTTTGGTAAGCCCTCTGGAAAACCTTCCTCTCCACTCAGCAGGGAATCTTCGCCTGACAAGCCTTCGAAACTGCCTACATTGGGTGGTTTCAAGCTTGGCTCCACTTTCCAAGGTCATGGAAGTGCGAAGGACGACTTGCCTGCTTCTAAGCAAGGTGGTGGATCTCTGTTCGGATCCAGTTTCAGCAACATGCTAGGTGAAGCTAGCAAGCAGACTAAACTGCCTACACCTATCAAGAAAGAGCCTGCTACTGAAGCGCCAAAGTTAAACGACATCCCAGCCAAAAAGGCCGACGAACTCACTGTCGAGGCCGAGGAAGCTCCACTTCCTCCGGACTTCACATCTTCCAAACCCAAGCAAACAGTGGAAGAAGAGGTTCCTCCCATTGCAGGCAGTCCTCCTGTCGACCTTGGCGATGAATCTGGCCAGCTACCAGCAAGTGAAGATGAAGAGGAGGGAGAGGACGAGGAAGAGGAAGAGGATGGATCCTGGGTTCAAGACGATGGTGAAGATGGTGAAGACGAGGAAGATGAGGAAGAGGGTGAATCCGGCGATGAAGAAGAGTATGACGAAGAAGATGAGGACGAGGAAGATGAAGGCGAAAGTGAGGCTGAAGAGCCTGAGAACACCTTCGACATTGAGAAGGCATCGAAGACTCCCTTCGGCTCCCGTCTCAGCTTCCCTTCTCTTTCTCACTCAACGGGCAACGCTGGCAATCTCTTACAACCAACCTCTCCAGTTCCCTCGACAACGCCTGCTGGCTTACCCAAAGGTCCCTTCTTCGCACCGCCGTCAAAGTCACAAGATTCGCCACGCTCGCCATCACCGATCAGACAAACATCAAGCACTCCAGCAGGTCTTCCAGCATCGAGACAACATTCGCAACCAATTACCGTGCCTTCGTTGAAGGGACCATTCAAGAGCTCCAAGTCATCTTCCACACCAAAACCCGAATCACCTCAAGTGCCTGATGCTGGAGAGCTCAGCGATGAGGAAGATGTTCGTGTGCGTGAATTACTTGCTTCCGAGGTTGAGCCATCTATGGATCTTGAGCCATTCATCGCTCATCAAGACTACGTTGGCCGTGTCAACAAGCTTGGTATCGCAGGTCAGATCGAGAAGGTCTACCGTGACATCAACAGCATGATTGATACCCTTGGTTTGAATGCACGCTCACTCGAGTCGTTCGTCAAAGGCCACGAGACTCAATACAAGCAAGCTGGTCGTGAACGCAGTGATCTCGAAGAAGCCGAAGAATGGTGCCTCGTTGAGGTCAATGAGCTCGGTGTTGTTCAGAAAGAGATTGCCAGTGACCTCGAAGCCGGAAAGGTCGATGGTGTTGCACAAAAACTCGACGAACTTGCTGAGCTGCAAAAGGATGCCACAAGACTGCGCACAAGAACAGTAGACATGAGAAAACAGATTGGCGCCCGTGCGGATCCTCAGCAACGTGCAACACACCGTGCTTCACCACTCACCAACGACGCTCAGATGCAGCAGAATGAGCTCAGAGAAGGTGTAGCCAAGGTGCAGAAGCTGCTTCAAGATGCTGAAGAAGCTTTGAGTGTTCTCCGTGCTGACTTGGCCGCCGCCCCTTCCCAAGGACCTGCTACTCAACGTGTTCCCACCGTAGAGGCCGTCACCAACACGATCATGAAGATGACTGCCATGATCGAGCAGAAGTCGGGCGATGTCGACGTGCTCGAAGCACAGATTCGGCGCTTGCCTGGTGGCATCGCCAATCTCAACATTTCCGACAGCAACGAAGACATGCTCCGTAGCAGCATTCGCAGCGTCCGTCCTTTGGAACGCTCGACTAGTGGTAATCTGTTCGGCACACCACCTGCGACACGCGGCAAGAATGCTGTAGCGAATGGCGCCACTCCTCTCGGTATCTCGGGCATGCTCGGAAGATTCGGCGGCTCGTTGCGTCGCGAGAATGGTGATGCTGAATTTGGACGTAGCAGTATCATGCTGGACGGCACACCTCGCAGGAAGATGGCAGATGTGAGCATCGAGGAGGTCAGAAGATACCAGGACAGAGCCGCACAGCGCAAGAGAGTGCTTGCCGCTCTGAAGCAAACTGTCGAGAAGAAGGGTACTAGAGTCACTGGTGTTGGAAAGACCTGAGGTTGAGGTTTTCAGGAAAGTCGTAACAAAGCATAGAATAGGTTTATCGAATTACTAGGGTGGTTGAGGAATGGCAAAGAAGAGTGTTTTATTCTTCGCATCGAATATTTATGGTTACAGCCAGGAGTCTTTCATGGGTAGGCAAAATTAGCTGGCAATGCATGACACTCTGTGCATCAAGACCACTACATTTTGTCGACTGTCAGATGTGCATTAGTTCTTGGCAGAGATGGAGCTTGGAATTGTATACCGCTCGGTCGCAGCTTCCCCGAATCTCCTCGGCGTCATCTCCCTGATTGACTTATTGTACATACCTATACCGAAACACTACTTCAACGACAACGATTGCACGTTCTAGCGCGGCAGGTTATCAACATGGCGGACGCAGAGGCAGAAGCGTCTTACATTGACTACGAGGCATTCGCATCACCGGACTTCCATGCACCATCGTTCGCAAACACGCTTGTCCTTTCCACCAACGACGCCAATGACACATCCCTAGACCTCTCCACACCGTTATCGCGTGTTTTGTTCGACGTACAAGAAGTCGACACACACATCGATTCTCTCACGACTTCATCCGCGTTACCGCTACTGAAGCACACATCGACCCGCGCAAAGGCCAGCACACACGTCCTCGACACTCTTGAGTCCCAGGTTCAGGGACTGCAGCAAGCATACACAAGGCTACATCAAGATGTGGTGGAAAGATACGAGCAGGCTGAACAAGTGCGTCTCGCAGCGGACAGATTGGCCACCACCTTACGGCTTGCCAGGGCTGTCGCAAGGTGTCTACAGATTGGCCGAACACTTGAGGGTAGCATGGCCGATACGGACAAGCCACGTGAGGGTTACCGAACTCTCGCACCAGCAGCTAGGCTGGTCCTATCACTCAGAGAGGCCCTGGCTCCTGAAGACGTAGTGGAGGCTAGGTTATTGGCACGTGTGAATGCCATCACCGCATTACGGACAGAACTGCTGGACCCATCCGAGCGAAGCTTGCTTGCAAAGGCACAACAGAGTGTGCGTGAGTTCAGCATGTCAACTCTGACGGGCACGTCTGGAGGAGCAGGCTCGGTGTTTGCACAACACGACGACACAAGAGCAAGGACGTTAGCAGCACTACATACACTATACCTCCTTTCTCCAGTGAGTCTGCCGCCGAGATCATCCGCCGTACAAGGGGCCACCTTCAATCCAACTGTACTTGTGGCGGCATTGCAATCGTATTTGCAGACCTCTCTCACAGCATCAGTCACTTCTCTAGCACGTGCTCTGGCTACGCTTCCAACTCTTGACCGTACGCTTCTCGACATCAGTGCGAGATGTCAAAATATAGTGGCATTGGAGTCTTTACTGTCAACTGCGAAACCTCCAGTGCACCCTCTTCTACCTACTGCCCCCGACAGTACTACACCTGCTCCGCTTGAACCTCCATCCAGCTTCTTGGGTCCTCTTCTTGCTGCTTTGGACACTTCCTCTCTACCATCTTACTTTTGGCGTTCTTTGGCCTCGTCTTTGGCACCAAGAGTGCAAGAGATCATTGCCCGTGGAGGTGTCAGCGCACGAACTCTCAAGACGAATAGAGACAAAGTACGGGACGCGGTCAGAGAATGTGTGCATAGAGGTAGTCAACTGCCGTCTTCAACAGGGTCGAAGAAGGTTGTAGGAAACTGGGAGAGGGAAGCTGCCGTTATGGTCGGAAGTATCATCGGTTCTCTAGGCCGGTAGAAGCAGAATATCATGACTGTAGATCTTTCAAGCGCAATTACACAAGAATGCATATCATTATTCGTGAGATTGTGGATAGTTGTGCATGCGACAAATTGGGAAGCTCGAGCCGAGGCTGGTGGGTGCCTCGACGCGAGACGCGTCTCCCAACTTGACCATCGAAGTGGCGGGTCTCGAAACTTTGGATTAGAACTGAGGATCCAACTCGACCATGGATTCTAACGATGATGGAGATGTTGGTCGGAGGGCAGAAGTTGAAGATATCCAGGACGATGATTTTGATTCGTCTCCTCGACCAGCGAAGCGACGCAAAACAACTGTAACACCAGCGGCCAAGGCAAAGAAGCAACCAACGACTCGCAAGACTGCTGTGACCAAAAAGACCACTGCCAAAAAGAAAACCGTGAACGAGGATTCTATTGCTGACGACGAGGAGGACGCGTTCGATCCTCCACTTGTTGCACAGAAGCCAAAACGCAAGTCACGGGTTTCAAAGAAGGCTTCCATCAAAGATGATGAAAGTCTGCTTGGTGACTCCGACGATACCATAGGTCGAAGTGCCGCAAGATCAAAACGCAAACCACGCAAACGGGCATCTACTGGCTCTGGATCTGAGGATGTTGATGATGATGAGGACGACAAGAAAGCAGCAAAACCGAAGCATCGTATTCACGTGCCGACTATGGTAGACCTTTTGACGGACACCTTCGCAGATGATGAACCGCCCGAGTCATCTGCTCCGTGGAGTATCAGAGGACCGATCTGGAAGAAGGATGTTCTGGCTACGAAGCAGCCCCCAGTGTTACCAACGCCAGCTCGTCAGCCTTCACTACTCAAAAACACTCTCAACCATTCAGCGCTCAAACACAACGACGCTGCTCAGAATCGTACCACGCTAGTACGCAACCCACTCGTGGTGGCGAACTCTGTATCCGTACGGCAGCCTGTCGTGCCTGAAAGCTGTCCACAGAATGTAGCTGCCATGACGCCTAAAGTACATTCGGATGCCTGGGGCGACCTCAGTGATGACATTGACTCTGAACTCTTGTTGGGCCTGGTGGCAGATCAACCTCAACAGATCGAGAACGTGCCAAAAGCTCAACCTTTTCTGGAAGAGTCCAGTGACGACGACTTCGACACCGAGGATCTCATCATGCTGGATGCTAGTGCTCCGCCCGTGGAAACTGGACCACACGACAAACCACCACCACGCAGTCCTCCTCCTGCGAGAATCAACCTTGCGAAGCCCACATCTCCGCCACGGACAACAAGCCCGCCAGATGTAGACTCTGCAGATGAACTTTACAAGTCGCCAACGCGCAGTCCGCCCCCTGCAAAGACGGTCGTTGCTAAACCTCTCGCCTCGGCACGGAAGACGGCTCCAGAACCACAAACAACAGCTCCACAAATCGTCGACTTTGCAGACGAACTTGCAGATCTACCATCAGATGCTTTCGACTCGGATGACCAGACTCCGGCTAAGAACCTGGGAGGTCCAATCTGTATATCCTCGTCTCCACCTAGAATAGCAGCTGCAGCACCGAAGCCAAATCTTGCTCCTCCGCGAGGTGGACTGGTGCAAAAGACTTTGTTTGGTGGGACAGTGGTGCCGATGGGCCCAGCTACTCAAGCCAACAAAAGACATGCTTGGCCATTGGCAACACAAAGGGAGCCGCCAACTCATCACAAACTTAATGAAGAAGCGACTCAGACCTGGGTCTACCCCACCAACTTGGGAACCACTCGTGACTACCAATTCAATATCGTCAGTCGAGGTCTATTCCACAACTTACTGGTCGCATTGCCGACCGGTCTGGGTAAAACATTTATCGCAGCTACAATCATGCTGAACTGGTTCCGCTGGACGGAAAGTGCGCAGATCGTCTTTGTAGCACCCACCAAACCTCTTGTTGCTCAACAAGTCGATGCTTGTTTCAACATCGTAGGCATCCCTCGTTCGCAGACTGTCATGCTTACTGGTGAGACTTCACCAGGCTTGAGAGCAGAAGAGTGGAAGACGAAGAGAGTCTTCTTCATGACTCCGCAGACAATCATCAATGATCTCAAGACGGGTCTTTGCGATCCGAAGCGGCTCGTCTTGATCGTCGTTGACGAAGCACATCGAGCAACAGGCAACTACGCTTATGTCGAAGTCATCAAGTTTGTTCGTCGATTCAACACAAGCTTTCGTGTACTTGCCTTGACTGCCACCCCTGGCTCAGATGTTCCAGCAGTACAGCAAGTCATCGATGGTCTTGATATCTCACGGTGCGAAATCCGTACAGAAACATCCTTAGATATCAGACAATATGTTCATAGTCGTGACATAGATGTCATCAAGTTTGACTACTCTGAAGAGCAACAGATCATAATGGAGCTTGCCGGAAATGCTATCCGTCCAGTACTATCAAAGCTCGCAAGTCAGAACGCTTACTGGAACAAAGACCCTATGAAGCTTACGGCCTTTGGCTGCACCGAAGCTCGAAGGAAGTGGTTTGCAACTGATGCCGGCAAAAAAGCACCACAAGCCGTCAAGGGCATGGTCAACAGTATCTTCACAGTGCTTGGAAGTCTTGGTCATGCTATCTCCATGCTCAGATTTCATGGCATCACCCCTTTCTACAACGGCATGGTTGAGTTCAGGAACAAAGTTGATGGAGGCGAACTCAAGGGCAAATACGGCGCACAAATTCGCGACGATGAGAACTTTACCAAGATGATGAACATGATGCTGACTTGGACTCGCAACCCCGAATTCCTTGGACATCCAAAGTTGGAGCATCTCAGAACTGTGGTCTTGAACCACTTCCTTGACGCTGAAGAGAAAGCAGCTGTGCCAGGAGGACAACCTTCAAGCACCAAGATCATGATTTTTGCGGCATACCGTGACAGTGCTGAAGAAATTGTTCGGGTTCTGAACAGAAATCAGCCTATGATCAGACCACATGTGTTTGTTGGTCAAGCCGATTCGAAGAATTCGGAAGGTATGAATCAGAAGCGTCAACTCGAAGTCATCAAACAGTTCAAAGACGGCAAATACAACACTCTAGTCGCCACATCTATCGGTGAAGAAGGTCTCGATATCGGAGAAGTCGATCTTATTGTCTGTTATGATGCTTCCGCGTCACCTATCAGAATGCTCCAACGTATGGGACGTACAGGAAGAAAGCGGAGGGGTAACATCGTTCTGCTTCTTATGAATGAAAAGGAAGTACCCGATTTCGAAAAGGCAAAAGACAACTACGAGAAGATGCAAGGCATGATCGCTTCTGGCAAGGATTTCACCTTTCATGATGATAGATCGCCTCGTATTCTTCCAAGAGAGACTCAACCGATTGTGGACAAGAAGGTCGTTGAGATTCCTGTGGAAAATTCGCAGGCTGATCTTCCTGAGCCAAAACGACGTGGACGAGCTCCTAAGGCACCTCCCAAGAAGTTCCACATGCCTGACAATGTCCGAACAGGATTTGTTAAAGCAGGCAAGATGGACGAAGAGGATGCAGAGGACTTAGCACCTCGAGGTGGAGCTAAAGGAAAGAAAGCCAACGCTTCCTCGATCAAGAAGATGTTCCGTCCTCCTCCAGGCATTGAAGCGGTGTCAATACCATCGCTTGATGAGGTTTACTTGAACAAGATTTGTGAGCGCGAGCTTGATCGCAAATACAAGTACGTTCAAGGCACAAACGACCATTCTCTTACCGTTGGTCTACCGCGACTAGACCGATTTTCAAGCTCCTTCCCTGGACCAACTAAGTACATCACACATGGCAGAGGTGCACAAGCAGCTTCTGGTCTTATGAAACGTCTGAGCGGCATAGACAGCGATACCGCAAAAGACTTCGAGGCCAACCTTCACCTGTCAGACCTCGAAGGTGATGTGTCTGAGATGCTGGGAGATCCGACGATTGTAGAGATGTCGGATGATGACCTGCCAGTCGCCACAACTGCCAAGGCAAGGAAGGCACCTGCCAAACCAAGAGCTCCCAAAGTCCCCAAAGCGCCGAAAGAGCCAAAGGAACCTAAAGCACCAAAAGCTTCCAAGGCGCCCAAACCACCACCTGTAGCAAAAACACCCAAGCCTCGTGGTCGACCAAAGAAACAAGCACCCAGGCGGAACAGCTCAGACATGGAAGGATCATGCTCGAGCCCAGAACCTACACCTGCCCACCTGCGCATCGGCACCCAAGGCATCGATCTCGGCTCCGCAGACACATCTGGCGAAGAAGGTCATGACAAAGACGACGAAGCAGACTCCGAGCTCGATGACTTTGTCGTTGGAAGCGATGCGCCCATTGAGTTTGCCTCGAGCTCTCAGCCCCATATCCATAACCCTCCAAAGAAGAACAGACTCAATCTGTTCACTCAAGACGATATTGCCGAGGAGAGTGATGAGGACTTGCCTGACTTTGGACCATCTAGCATGCCAGAAGAAATTCCTGAGGTTGTGTCTGACGGAAATGAGGATGGAAATGTTGCTCCTATTCGCAAAAAGCAGGGCAGGAGAAGACAGGTTGTTGATGATGATAGTGATGAATGATCGGATGCTACATCACGTCCATGGACGATACCTTAGCTTTCTTGCTGCTTAGCACCATTACTTAACTAGATTCTTTAGCAGTCTGTAAGATCGTATTGCCATAGCTCTTGTTTGTCCGATGCCTGTGCAGACTTAGCAGAATGTCTCAATGCTTGAGCTTACGGTTCTTCCTGCTTGTCGATTTCGATTCATGTTCATGTCCTGCCTCTTGTGTTTGCTCATAGGTTGGGCAACTCGTGCCGACGTTGCGCTTCTTGATACAAGCCATTCCTGAAGGTAATCTTGTTGGCAACGATCACCATCTTGTCAACATCAACCGACGAGACGACCGCTTTTTGCATCAAGGGGCACGTCCACTTCCAGACGATAGCACTTGATACTTACCGCAACATACACGTTATAATCAAAATGCCGCGCGTTACTGAGAACGGGAAGTATGAATGCAGAGGATGTCGCAAGGAATATGTAAAACACCAGAGATTTTGGGACCACACACATTCATGCAAATCGAACCGCGATGCATACCTTAAGATCCTGGCTTTGGAATTGGATCCAGAAGGTAGTTGCAGCGAAAATTGACACGCAGAATCATGATTTACTGACCAATCCATTAGATACACAAGTGCAGGAGGACCTTGGGATCACATACGAATATGTATTGAATCCAAAACTCCTCAATGAGGCTGAAATGGAAGTTGTTACTGAGATGAGACGACAAGCGAATAAATGGGGTAGTACACATCTGACTCCGGAAGTTGTGCAAAATCTTGGTAACTGGTCTGATGGGGAAATTATGCGTGCTCTGATCTCCAAGCGTAAAAGGACGCCTGCCGAAGATGATCTGGACGTATCGAATTTGGCACCTCTGCCTAATCCAAACGCAAGCGTCACTTCACACAGGACATATCATGCACCCAGTCCGCCGCCACTTGAAGATCTTCTTGCCAGCCCGTCATTTACAAATCCTGTGAATCATCCACCAGCGCTCAACATCACACATCCACAAGTTTACGCTCAAGATCAAACCTCAGACACTGTCAACCACAGCATTCCTCAACAATCACTTGAGATCGAGGATTCAGTCTACCTAGGGGATTTTACAAGTAGCTTCGACCTAGCTTTTGCAAAGTGGCTTGATGAGGAGAACATCTCGAAGGCTGCCATTGGTCGTTTGCTCAAAGATCCTGCTATGCAGCCGATAACGAGCAAGTTGAGCTGGAAGTCTGTGTCCAAGATGAAGAATCGATTGGAAAGTGTCGAGTTCCACGAGGATAGTGAGTGAGGATGAGAGTCCATGGAGGATTCATCTGGAGCACGATTTGAAAGTAGAGTTGAACAAGAAGATGCATTGGCTGAGGTTCTTACGAGGAAGTCACGGGTCCTGCTTGTCGATCGTCGCTCCTGCTTAGGAATCTAGCGTGTCTGCATTCATGTTTCCCAACGACATTCCAGCTATAGCATGAACAGATACCGGGTAAGCTAATCGACACGCCTGAGAAGGGGTTAACGAGGATTCTGGTTCTCCCTTCGCCTTGATCCTGTTTCAATTCCGATCCATCACCTGCAATTGATAAAGCAAAAAAATCCCCCATCTGCTCACCCCTGGATTCGAACCACGGTCCCTTCACACTACAGACCATATATTCAACTCAAGGCTGCACCAAAATATCTAGTCCTCTGAGTTTGGTGTAACGGTCTACAACTCAAGACTGATGGTAATAAAACCACCGTTCGAATCCCGCCGTGTAACGTCTTGAATTGCTTAACGCAGCCTAATGTCCGTCATTTGGTGGCTATAATCAAGGGATTTAGAATGGGAGTTTTCCCAGAGAAGGTCCTGGTTTTTTGCTACTTTGAGATGAGGGAGAAGGTGACGATCCACGAATTGGTGGTTTGGGAGTGAAGTGAAGGGAAGGTGTTGGTGGATTCACTCTTTGTCGAGGTGATGGTTTGCGCTTCCAAAAACTCCGTGCGGTAATTTCTTTTTTGTCTTCCACTCTGTGCTTTCCATTTCAACGCTCAGATTTCTGCTGCTGGCGCTTCCGGACAACATGAAGCTGTTCGACCGCACCTCGTCCTCAGGTTCTATGAAGAGCGACAAGTCCTTCATGCCCTCTGTCGAGAGTGACAAGTCTTCTCAGAACTCAAAGAAAAGGCAAGTCTGCAATCTTGGGCCATTGGATCATCCTGCTGACTCTTGTGTAGTGCGAAGCTGTTCAACTACATCTCGTCCAAGCTCCCTGAAAAGAATATGTCGAAGCATCACTGATATTCACACATGTCGAGTTTGATGTCTGATTTGTCAGTAGTGAGAGGTCAAGCATCAAGGAAAGAACTGACGCATCGTCTGTGTCCTCGGAGTCCGAGTCGTCCGAGTCATGCGAGGTTACATCAACACTGTTTGGAGAGCAATACGGAAAGACTATGCGTACACAATTCGAGGATGATCTAGACTCTTGTTGTCAGAAGGTAGACGATCTGGTTTCACGTTTTGAGGAGAAGGTGAAATCGAAGACATTTGCAGAGTTGCTTGACCTCCAGGAGAGAATTGGTCCTTCTCACGGTCTTCTGTTTTATTGCTGGGGCGTGGCTCTCCTTGACAAGGCCGTAGAGGAGATGGAGGTCGGCTTGAAGATTCTCGAATGAACACTTCTCAGACTGGCCTACATGATCGAAGATGCTTACCGTCGCGAGAGGTAGGCGAAAGGTAGTGGCGAATAGGAAAGTGGTGTAAGCCCGTGCTTCTAGCTTATCATATTGACGATTGTGTCTCTCAGAGCGGGATTGTACTGTGCAATCAATACAAGACCCTTTTGTCCCGCCCGACATGGTTTGCGTATCATCGTTCACGCCCATGGCAACTCACCCTTTATAACAGTATTCAAAGGTTCAGTTTCCATCCATGGTACTAGAGTGAAAAATGACTTGGTCCCAACTTCTTTCCGAGCCTACTCTCACTTCAGATCTGGTCGCCATTACATCACGATCACTGGCTTCACTGCATCACCTTCCCCTCATACAAATCCTATTTTCTGATCAAACATCATCAGCTCACCGACTCTCTAATACTTTCCCATCATCTTATCTTGACTGGACATTCCCTGCTCCTCGAACACAATTTTCTTGCCCTGTGCCAGTTCTCGGTCTCTTCCGTTGCTGCGAACGCATCATGCATGAGGGCTTCCGTGCACCTGGCTCTACTTCATACGCCACTCTAGAGGCAATCCAAGAGCTTGAGGCATGGTTCGATTCTCAAGATCAGACTAAAACAACTTCCGTGGCCTCGGCTGGGAGGTGAGTTGGTATCACTGTCTCGACATTTGATCACATTGGCTGACTTTGGTGCTGACAGTGGCTCACATGTGATATCTGCTCAGAATACCATGCACGCAAGTTTTGTCCCAGATCTTCTTGCCGCAAGCGACGAGACGCTGACTTCTCTCGAGAGACAGCGAGCTCCGAGGTGAACTTTTCCAAAACTTCGGATCGAAGACGTTGCTGACCAGCATTTAACGTAGTAGTAACCCACGTATGGAGCCCTTGAGACTTGACTCTAGCAGTACAGAAGTGAGGTCACAGACGGGTAAGCCAATCACATCACACCGTCCTAGTGTCCGATCTTCGATTGGAAAAGGTGCCGCTCTTCCTCCACGCTTCAACAACCCAGCGAAGATTACAAAGTCTAAAGACGAGGAAAGAGGCACTGCATCTTACCTGAACCAGCAGCAACTCTACATGCTGCGTCAGCAAGAAACACGAGTCGTCAGAAAACTCGAGACCAAATCGATACCACAACTTCAAATGCTGCAACACAAGGCTTCGACAACACACGCCAGCAACAAGATCAAGAATTTGATTCAAAAGGCTCTCTTCGAAAAACATTTATCCGAGATGAAAGAATGGGAAGGCCAGATCGACGTTTGGTCCAAAGATGACCGACATGAAGAGAAAGCAAGAACAGATGGCCAGGAGATTTAAGGTGCCCAGGTGCTTCTTTGACACCAAATCTTGAGGGAAACTATCGAAATACGGAGAACTAGTCTCGGGCAGCTAAGATATAGTCTCTTTGCGAGGAGCCATTTCAAGTTTGACCTTCCGTTTAGCATAAGCATGAAATGAGGCAGCACTGCAGTTCAAATGGCAAAAGAAAAAAGAGTGACTTCGATGATCGAACTGACTCATCAGATACCTCCCCATGTCTCCGGCATGTAGCCATGACCAAGAAGACACAATAAAGACCATCAAACAAGCTATATACACGAAGAAGTGATTTGCATACAACATTATTGCTCGAGGACTTTTAAATCCTTTCGTCTGTGAGTGAAGAGATCTACAGTAGAATTCTGGAACTGATGACTAGCCACATATGCCTTGATTTTCTTTCACTGCACTTCACCGTAGCTCCTTTCCTCTCTTACGTTCCACATCTGCGGGCCCGTCCTCCTATAATTAGGCACTGGGCTTTCCCATGCTACATCTATCTCACCTACCTCATCTGATTGAAACATCCTTCTCTTTCCTTGAAAACAGCATCCTCAACTTTACTCCCCTTCTTCCCTCCTTTGACTTTCCACCTCTATTGAAATCCATTGTTCGATCGCCTCTCGCGTTCTCGAAGAAGATGGCATGCTTCAAACCTTTTGGGGATGTGGTGATTCACACCATAGAAGAGTCTGACGATCAGTGAGTCTTTTTGGTTGCATGACCTTAACCCCATCTAACAAGGTGACTTCGCAGCACTCTGACCAGCGAGACCAACCAGGACAACACCGTAGCACACGTTAAAGTCAAGCGCGAGTCACCACAGCTTCCTGACATCGGCTTTGGTGCATTCAGACCGAGAAGATCGTTGTCCCAGATGAGAAAGGAGCGTACCAACCACCCACTGGTCACCAGACTCACTGCAGGTCAAAACGTCGCATACACAGACAAGCTGGACAGAATTAAGAAGAAGCTGGAGAAGAAGACTGTTGAAGAGCTTACTGATCTCTACAATGGTTCCAAGGATTCCTCCTTTCACAAAATCATCATGGAGGTCTTCCACGAGAAACGCATGGCTACGCTTGAGGATTGGGAGAAACAGATTGGTGAGTAAGCTTGAGGCTTCATCAAGACATTGGATCAGCGAGGGAATACTACATTGAGGAGGAAAACAGCAATCACGATATACTATCTTTGGGGCTCAGAAGCTCCTCGTCATCTTCCGATATGGATGCAACTCATTTGCGAATCTGCTTTCACTGGCGCTTCTTTTGCTTTCACTATCACTCTTCAATTTCAACTCTTCTCTCATCATAACTTGGTCTTCCAAAGGTCTCCATCGTCTCTTTTTCTCCCATCTGACTTCGATACGCTCCATTGCTTCCATAGAAGAGCCTGTCGCAGTTTGTGCCATTCAAACATCGCTCTACTTTCTTCTATCATCTCCAAGAAACAATGTCTAAACCCCCACAGCCATTTCCCGCGCACACTGCGCATATCGAGGATTCCGATGATGAGTTAGTGTCGCCGCAGTTCTGTTCATAAAACTGACTGACCAAATGACTTCCCAGCATCGAAGTGTTGGTGTTCAAAGATTCCGGCCGCGTAAACAACACCATCACAACTCCCACCATCAACACAAACAACGAACAAAGCAACAAACCTTCAGTCCACACCCGTCTGAAATATCTAGCACCAAAGCCACCACAGAGACCACTCGCAACAGAGAACAAAATGGCACGCGCCGGTTCACGCGAGAATATCCCTAATCATCACAACCCTCACACCCACAAGTAAGCGGCCACGACTGTATTATCTTAAGATTCGTCTAACAGATTGATCTTTTAGAAGCTCTAGTTCTCCCACAGGTCGTCAAAGTCTCTTCGGCGGCCCCTTCGGAGACGATTCAATCGGGGGCAATTCGAATATCATCGATATGGACCAAGTCATCAAAAATCTACTCAAGGAGGAACCCGGAAGCACAACCCCTGACAGTCTCATCGCCCACAGCTCCAGAAGCACTACTCCAACTCAAACCAACACCGTCAACCACAACACCGCCTCAAAGGTCTCCAAATCCAACCCCTCGCACATCGCCCTCTTCGACACCCTGTCGCCATCTCAGAGTCTAGGTCGGAAACGCAAACTCACCTCGATCCGCAACAAACTCAAGGCAAAAACCTGCGAAGAACTACACGAGATCTACAACAGCACCGACGATCCAGACTTTCGTAAGTTGATGAGTGAGGTCTACTACGAGAATTGCATGGAGAGACTTGATGATTGGGAGAGGAAGCTTTGAGGGGTTTTTGTGATTGGGAGACTAATGAGGATGGGGTTTCACACGGTATTGTGTCGACGCTGAGACACAGAGGCAAGGTGCAGACCAACCTTAAGATGAAAAGAAGCAATGGATGGGAGATCGATGAAGGATGATGCAACAGAAGCAACTAAGGACGAAAGGAGAAAGGGGAAAGGAAGCAACAAAGAAAGACCTTCTTGACATTGAGTATGTCAACAGGCCTAGGTATTGAAAGGTATCAACAACTAAACACATTATCCTATCTGCTCTTGCATCGGCCGTGACATTGTTACTGCTCATGGCACAGAGGACAAGAATAGCCACTCCTTTCATCCTCGCTCGCACTGCCATCTCCGGCCATTTCCATCTCGAGACAAACCCTATGCACAGTATGCCTACAAGCAAATACCACCAGCGTCATCTTCTTGGCCACTTCTTCTCTTTCCTTGCTTCTTTCTACCACACCTCCTCCTATCACCGCAGATTTGCCTTTGCCGTTATCTTGTGGTCGGCTCTTCTGCATCTTCTTGGCTATTCTCTGCTCTTCCAGCCTTTCGAACTCTTCCCAAACGGCTTCGTGATCGTTCTCTACGGCACCTACACCTGTGCCCCAAGTGCGCTTCTTGCAGAGCTCGCAGATCTGCGTACGGGGACGCCAGCCTCGGTTGCGTAAAGTGTGAATGCTGTCCATATCAGCAAAGACATCAATATCAAGGAGCGAAGAGGCCAGGTTCAGAACAGAAGACTCATGGGCGTAGGCTGCAAAGACGTCGAGAAGGACAGCGCGAAGATCGGAGAGGGTAGGTGCGTAGGAGGAAGAGGCGCGAGAGAGGAAGGCCCGGAAGATGTAGAGGAAGGATTGATTGTGCTGGCCGCGACGAGGTGTGGTATAGTGCTCGTCCTCATGATCAGACTTGGTGGTTGTGGTTGAAGTGGCGCCAAGGAGGGCTGTAAAGGTTTGTTGGACGGTGCCGCGGATAGCATTGTTGGTTCTGTCTATGTCGAAAGAGGTGTCATCCGCAAGATCATTAGTTACTGCAGATACAGACTTGGAGACAGATACAATGGCGTCAACGAGATTTAGCCAGAGCAGCTCGTCCAGCTCAAGATCATTCTCTTTGATGTCCCAGGCGACATTTGTGCGTTGGCGTGGTTGACGGTGTTGGTTCATCTCTGCGCTTTGTCCGTTGCAGAGCCAGATACCTAGACGCGTGTACTTGTCAATGGCTTCTATCAAGTCATCGGTGGCCTCTTCAGTACTTTGTACGTCTGGCGCCTCTGACGCTGCTTCGATCAGACTGCAGATCGCATTTTGCAATGTCTTCAGATGTTTGCAGAGTCGATCTATAGCATCCCTTGCTAACCCGTCCTGAGCCATGAGCAGGACTGCTGCATCGATCACACCATTCTCTTCCATCGAGGGAAGCACTCGCTCAAGGTCCAGATCACCAGACTTCAGTAGTCCGATATAGTCAGCCACATGCCGAGGGTCGTGAACACACATAAGCTCGACATACTGTTCGCAGAAGCGTGACACCAGAGCTTCTGCAACGGATTCGCTTGCAACCTTCTTCGACCGATGATCAAGCAGGGAAGGCTCGAGCAAAGTACGTAGAAAGTGGAATCGAGTGTACGACTCCCCAATAGCGTCGACGAATCGTTCTAGAATGTCGTCGGCATATCTTGCAAGTGTGTTCGCAGTCTTCGAAGTGTTGACAGATGCCAACTCTTGAGCGTGTTCACACAAAACGTCCTTTAGCTGGCTTGTTTGCTTGCCATGCGACTCTTGTAGAGCGTACGTCAAGTCATCAAAGATTCCATTCTTTCCTTGCGGATCTTCGAAGTATGTGTTGATGAGATCGACAGATCTGTGTTCGGTTCTGTACAATGTCTTGAGCACGCGGTAAAATTGAGCATCGCGGAGTTGTTCGATGAGTGCAGTCGTGACAGTAGGATGATATACAGATAGAAGGTATTCAGCACTGAGCTGACAGTCGTCAACCAAGTCGGCCTCGCGGAAGCTACAGAGCCGATCAAGGACTTGATGTAATGATGAGCTCGACAAAACCATAAATTGAGGATACTTCGGCAAGTTTCTCGCGATGAACATGTCGAGATAAATGGTTTGTTCGGGGATGAAATCGCCTGATGACATGATATCGAGTAGAACACTGACGATATACTGTCGGGTGATTTTCAGTCCGGCACCGTTAGTTTGTGGTTGAGCAGATGTGGTATCATCTTCTTGCGAATCATTGAGATAGGGATCTTCGAAAGCTTCCGTCATCATGCTCATGAAACTTGCCGAGTCATACTCGAGCAAAAGTCGCAAGTAAGGGAAGGCGGGCTCATCTGATGCATCCTTTCTGGTCTTCAGGACGAAGGAAGAGCCTGGAGGCCATCCGGTGATTTCGTGTGAAAACAAATAGCGGTAGATGTTTCCCTTCTGAGTATCGGCTTTTTCGTCATCGAGGAAGTCTCCTTGCGGGTACTTCCTTCCTGTCAGGATGAATGCGAGATAAGGGAACACTTTGACAGCAGACTCCAACGCTGCTTCCTCCACTTGGTCTTGAACGTCTTTGACATCGCGCAGAAGTGCCAACAGATCAGACAATGGAGTTACATAGTCGTTCAAAGCCTCATTCCAGACAAATGCTAATGCATCGTATAAGTAATGTGTCTTGCAAAGCGTTGTGATCTGGTCCAAATCAAATGTGCGCGGATCCAGCCGGCACAAGAGTTCTTCTAGGTGCGCGACTTGATTTTTCGAAACGCAGCTCTCTACCAGATCTTTCACCAAATTCGGTGGTAAAGCTGTGACCTCTTCATCCATGATGTATGATTGCAGAATCTCGAGGAACACCTCTTTTTGACCAGCATCTCTCAGTGGCTCATAGATATCATCAAATAAGAAGCTTTGGTTGTTCATGCTCACGCAAGCATCGAAACACTCCGCCACGAGATCTGACAGCGGTCGTCCACTTTGGTTATTCTCTGAGAAGGAGAAGAGGATGGACGCAGACATGAGTTCAAGTAACCTTCCGTTGACCTGTTCATGACGGGCCTCTGCGTTATCCGGTAAGCCTACTGTAACACCACCAGCCTGTCCAGTATAGTATGCTCTGGCAAGCTGTATAGCCGCAATGTAGTCGCCATGTTCGATGAGTGCAGTCAGTCTATCGGCCCAATTCGACAGAGTGCCAACTGAAAGATCGCTTGCTCCAAGAAGGAAGAGGCGATTCTTGTAAACTCGGAAACTTTGATAGAAAGCATCTGCAACGACCCCATGCATTTCTGAATGTTCGTTGTCGGCTTGTTCGACAACAGGATGCAGCTGCTTCGAGAAGATATCACGGTGATGTATTTGTCTATGCAGAAGATCCACAGAGTCCATAACATGTAATTCACCATCTTCTATGATGATCATCTGCTGGCTAATGGTCAGCACGCCGATGACTGATCGACTGAGCCACTGGACTGCAACAATAGCTTCTTCGCACTCCCAGCTGCTCCTTGACCGGAAGGATAGGCTCGGAGGCTTGTCTCTGTCGGCTGGATCTGATGATACCTGGACATCAACGTCGAGTACTGTCAAAACATTCGACCAACAATAGACGAGCTTGGTTTCTGAAGTGTCCCGCTCGGTCGTACTATTGCTGCTTTTTAACTTGACGGCTGGGAACCAAGCGAGACAGCCACTCATTGCACTGTGGCGTGATATTGATTTTGGTCTCGGAGCCTTATGCTGTGTCTGTGCAACTGGAGTGGTGGACACGATGACCAGCAGATATGGCGTTAGTAGAGCTGTGAGGCCCATGGCATCAGTGGCCTGCTCGACGTTTCCCAGAGGAAGGGGCGCAAAAGCAAGCACGGAACTGGGTTTTATTCGTGCTTCTTCTTGCAGGTTAGGAGTGGGGTAGCGTCCGAGCAAGCGGGTAGTTTTGACAGAACGAGAGATGGCACCCATTCCACGAGATGCGAGGTGAGAAAAGGCCATACCACCATCGTCAGCAGACACGAGAGCAGTACGACGTGTACCAAGGAAGCCAATATGTAGGACTGAACGACCGGGTACGTGACCATCTGGAGAGTGCGGCTGACCATTCCTCGGTATGGGCGGAATGTGCAAAAATGGCTTAGCAGGATGGGCAAGTTCCCAAGTAAAGATGTGGCCTGTGGCATGGCCGGCGGCTATTGCTGAGTAGTCGGCAGAGATGGCGAGAGCGGTGACAGCGCCACACTCGATCGCTTTTGTACCCTGCCCGATGATGCCCTTGAGAGTCTGGTGATAGTCGAAGACCAGGATCAGACCTTTGGACGTGCCAATTGTGATAGACGACGAGACAGCCAAACAGATGGGAGTACCAAAATTGCGTCTGCCAGCTTCTGAGAAAGCCTGCGATGTGATCTTCCGTAATCTTGTCCATCGTACAACTTCCCAAGGAGCATCTGGGGCATCTGCAATATCACTACCGCCTTGCGACAAGACAATCTGAGAGGAAAGCGAGGATTGGCGAGAGTGTGGGGACAGGAAGGCAGGAGAGGCAGCACGCGGCGAAGGCGAGGGCGATGTGAATCTCGAGCTGAAGCGTCGCTCAAATGGTTGTAGGGCACCAGAAGGAGTTCGAGGAGTGTTGGTTGAGGCACGCGGATTCAGACGAGGACGGCGGACGGGTGTCGAAGAAGCTACAGAACCTTGGACGGAGGGAGTGTCATCGGGGATCGAGGCAGACTCGGAAGGGCTAGCGAGGTCGGGAGATTGTGGACCAAGGTCAGCGACGTCGTCGATCTGGTCAATGTCTTGTTCACCAAGTTCATCTTCGAGGGAGCGGATGGGTTGGTCTGGCAAGGGCACGGGGCTGGCGGAACGGCTCACGGTCTCGTCAGCAGTCAAGAACGAGTCCTCATGGTCTTGATTGGCGTCCTGGTGGTAGGGAATGGGGAAGGAGCCATCAGCGTCATGGCCATCCAGAGGGGTATGGCCGGGCGGGGAGCTCATTGACCAACGTGTCGGCCTGTGGACATGTCTCGTTCCCTTCTCTTGCTAGTGCTCTTTTGCGACTACGCCGAGCCTTGATTTTGGTCTTGGATCACAGAGCCGCAGAAACAGAGTCAGGATACAGTATACAAGCGGTGGTTTCAGTCGCGGTTGTTGTAGACGAGCGTGTGGAGATAATGCCTCGACAGTTGGAGCCTAAGTCCATCATCACCGCAACGGGAATCCGAAGTTAACGCGATACCGATGACGCGCTGCCCCTAATGAACCACAATCAACTTTCACAAACAACATCCCATACACATCTGTTCATCATGTCGGCAGCAGGTCCAGAGCTCCCGCCACACCTCCTGGCCAAGAGGAAGCGTCAGCAAAACGAGGAAGAGAAGAACCAGCCTGCCACCTCTTCCGGCGCAAACCCAGAAAGCCTCAAGGACAAACGCCAGAAAGTCGCTGGTCCAGAGCTGCCACCAACAGCTTCGCCAACACCAACAGGTCCCTCATTACCGTCCCCGGTCCCATCCACAACAGCCGGGCCTACCCTACCGCCCTCTGACTCTCGGCCAACCCGTCCTGTCGCCGGCCCTGCACCACCGCCAGCTCCCCTCGATGAGCGTCCATCAGCACCACCAGATTCTGACGACGATTCGTCCGACGATGATGATTTCGGTCCATCTCTCCCTACTGCAGCCGATCTGAACCCTTCTACCACCAATATCGGGCCCTCAATACCACAGCCGGCGGCAGCTCCTGTCAGAGCTCAGCGCGACGAGTGGATGACACTACCACCACAGCAAGACGATCTTGCAGCCCGTATGGATCCTTCCAAGATGCGTGCTCGAGGCTTCAACACCGGCAAGAATGCAAGAGGTGGTAACACAGCCCCGGCTGGAGGAAACATTGCCGCCGCATGGACAGAAACACCAGAGGAGAAACTCAAGCGTCTGCAAAACGAGGCCATGGGTGTTAAGCCAGCCACTGCTGGTCACTTTGATGCTAGAGAAGCTGCCAAGAACAAGGAGAAAGAGGCAGAGGCAAAACGCATCCGCGAACAAACTGTGAGTTTGCTTGTCATTATTACTGCTAAGGGCCAAGCTGACGTACTGCGACAGGAAAAGGCAAGAGGACCGTCATTGATGGCACAACACAGAGAGTCAAATCCAGAAAGCAAGGATGACGACCCTAGTAAACGTGCATTTAATAGAGAGAAGGACATTGGTGGAAGCTCGCTTGGTCTTGTCGACAAGAAGGACTTGCTCAACAAGGCTTCCAACTTTGGCTCAAAGTTCTCTGGTGGTGGCTATTTGTAGAGCACCAATAGCCCTGTACACGAAAGCATGAACAATGACACTTCAAAATTCATTTAAACAAACCATCTTTGCATCATTACTACTTACTATACATCTACTTGCGACCCCAAGCCCTCTTCTCCATAGCGGCCTCAACAGCAGCATTACCAGACAACATACCCGTAGTCATAATAACAATCTTCTTCTTCTCTCCCAATTGCTCGCCCATGAATCTGAGCGCTGCAACCTCAGCAAACGTGACTCCACCCAAGAACACCACAATCGTAGTCTTGCAGCCACCACCAGCACCGCCTCTAAGCGTTTGTCTTGCCTGCGAGGCCTCTGCATTGGAGCCCTTCTGCACTTCATCCACAGTAGCACCCTTGATCCTCGCCAGCACATCCTCAAAGCCTTTCCATCCAGATGCTTGCGTGGTTGGTGTGGCATTGGCAGTTGCGCCATTGACATTAGGTGTGCTCGAAGACCTCGGGTTGGAAAGTCTAGCCAACATCTGCTTCTGAAGCACACACTGCACTAACCTCACACTCAATGGTGCATAGCCAGAAAACACATACGAGATATCCGTAGGATCCTGCTCGTCCACCTCATCAACAAATAATTTCAAAGTTTTGCGCACAGAGTTGTAATCTGTGTTTCCAGAATTGACACCGCCCATAGGGTTGAGGTAGCCAGTGTTAGTCTGTCTCTGAACCACCAAGCCCATTTTCTCGAGAGCGGCGAAGGTGAGGAGGTGTTGGTGGCCATAGGCATACATGATCTGTCGTTTGAGGTTTTCGAGCTCGCGGGGACGGATACCGCCACCAACACACGATTCCAGAGATAAGAGGCGTAGGATAGTAGACAGAGGAATGTCTCTAGCGATGAGTTCTTCGAGATTGTCGTTCATGCTGTTGGGGTCAGCTCCAGCTGCAAAGTTCTGCTGAACTTCGAGGACACGACCGAAAATCTCGCTGCGGGTGGTCTTCATGATTTCTTCGGCCATGGAGGTGTGGATTTTCAGGGAAGCTTGCTCGGCTTGGTAGGATGGCAGTTTTGCGACGAACGTCTTGAGGTCGGAAATTGATTGATCGGCTTTGTGTCGTGATTCGTAGTCTGCTTGGAGGCGACGAGCGGTTCTGTTGAGCAAAGGTCCCACGACGGCAAAGTTGCAGTCACGTAGTTGAGGGTACAGTTTGTCTGAGCTGTCAAGTTGAATCCTACGTTTCGTAGCCGCTTGTGTAGAGTTGCCTGCTGCTGCCGCTGCTCCTTGTGGTTTTTGTGCTTGAGGTGCTGCGCCGACAATGGACGTGTCCACTTCGGTCTGATTGTGGCGGACACCGAAGACCTCATCGATCAAGCCCTCGTATGTTAGTTGGGTCATGAGTGGTGTGAAGAAGTCAACTTCACGGTCGATAATAACAACATTTTCCACGACCGCGCTCGGTGTCAGCCCAAAGGTTGACGGCGATTTGGTAGTGGCAGAGGAAGCGCTGACTTCCTCTTCGGAACGCATACGAATCAGCAGATCTGCGAGTTTCTTTGCATTATCACCTTTTCCCAAGATACGTGGGAAGAGGCCAGTAGATTTTTGTAGGCGCATCAATGCTTTTGCAGTGAGGAAGATCGATGTAGGATCCTTGCGCTGTCCTGAAGTCAGTACAGCTCGAATTTCCGTCTGCACAAGCCACCTACCAGATACAAGTCACTGAATGCATCTTCAAGCTCGAGCGATAGCAGATCAGACTCCAGTGGGATCAGGAAAAGTGGACACTCGCCGATGGTCACCTCTCCAAGTACACCATTCTCTTCGAGAATTCTATCACTGACGAGGGTTCGCCTGGGCACCCAAAAGACGGAGAATTCATGATCGGTTTTGCTTTCTTGACGAGTTTGACCAATCTGTTCTATGGATATGTTAGCATGTAATGATAACATCTCTCAGAACGGCGGCGCAACAGAGAGAGTTAATGATTCATGCTGCATCGACTGGCAAGTCGATGTAACGATTTTGATGTAGGGCACAAGACTGAACGTGCAGGGTAGGTGTAAACCTGCGCACTCTACTTTAAGGCCCATGTGATGGTGAAGCGAACATCTAGCTAGGGATATGCAAGAAAGGAACAGACGGCTCTCGGGACAATCGCAAGCAATCATGACCTACCAGCTATGAGTTGAACATCTTTTGGCTTCTCGCCTCTAGCGAGAAAGACGATGTTGCGTTGAGATTCGTCGACATTGCGGTTCTCTACGTAGAAGACCTTGTCGACTCCATACTCCTGTAAAGTGCTGAACTTGACGAGCAAGCCAATTGGACCAGCAAGAGACTTTTCAATTACAAGGTTCTTCTTGCCAGGTACCTGCGCAATGGATGTGAGTAGGTGTTTGAGGAAGGCAATTGACCAGTGTCCAGGTAGCCTTACGTACGCCTTCGAGCAGTTGGAGCAGATCTCTACGCGCCCTTTCGGTGATGTCTTGAGGTTTTATCTCTGCATGGGGCGCCATCACATCCTGCAATCACGAAGGCGTGGAGAGAAGAAAGTCAAGTTGGTCCAAAGTCGCGGATGTTGAAGTTGAGATGAAACAAACGTGTGGCCATGACATGGTCGTGAAGACGACAAAAATGCCAAGAGCATGACTCTATCGCGTACAATTTCCATGGCCGATCTTGTACCCCTCCATCTGCTCTTGTGACTCTTGATTGTATACCTTTGACTGACTTTGCATACTTGCATGAAGGCTGCTACATCATTCGCAAGGCCTTTCATTTCTCAATTCCGACTTTCACGGCCTACATCTCAATACCTGGCCAACCGCGCATTTTCTACATCAATCTATCACCTGAACCGAAAAGAGCAATTCGACATGGGCAAGGACAAGGGAGACAAGGGTGGCTTCCAGCTTAAGGTGCCCAAGGGTACCAAGGACTGGGAGGGCAAGGACATGGTCATCCGCGACAAGATCTTCAGCACCATCACCAACGTCTTCAAGCGTCACGGTGCTGTGACTATTGATACGTGAGTCAAGGGCTATGCGAAACATTCGATTGCTTGATATGCTGACGCCGCATGCAACAGTCCTGTCTTCGAGCTCAAGGAGATCCTCTCGGGCAAGTACGGTGAGGACAGCAAGCTCATCTACGATCTGGCCGACCAAGGTGGAGAGCTGTGCTCTCTGCGCTACGATTTGACCGTCCCCTTCGCCAGATGGCTCGCCATGAACACCTCCGTCCAGAACATCAAGCGCTACCACATCGCAAAGGTCTACCGCCGTGACCAGCCCGCTATGACTAAGGGCCGTATGCGCGAGTTCTACCAATGCGACTTCGATATTGCCGGTTCCTACGACCCCATGATCCCTGATGCCGAGATTTTGAGAATCGCATGCGAGATTTTTGACGAGCTGGGCTGGAAGGGCAAATACACAATCAAGCTTAACCACCGCAAGATTCTTGACGGTATCTTCTCGGTGTGTGGTGTTCCCACCGACAAGCTGAGAACCATTTCATCTGCTGTTGACAAGCTCGACAAGTCACCATGGGAGGAGGTTAAGAGAGAGATGACTGAGGAGAAGGGCCTCGATCCCGAGATCGCAGACAAGATTGGAAACTACGTTGTTCGCAAGGGTGGAAGAGATCTGCTCAAGGACCTCCAGGCCGACGCAACTCTCAGCGCAAACGAGTCTGCAAAGGCCGGTCTTGAGAACATCGAGATCCTCTTCAACTACCTCGACACATTCGGCGTCCTCGACAGAATCTCCTTCGACATGTCACTTGCCCGTGGTCTCGACTACTACACTGGCGTCATCTACGAGATTGTTACTGAGGGTTCCGCTCCCAAGACCTCAGAAGGCCAGAAGGTGCAAGCCAAGAGCAAGAAGCCCAAGAACGAGGACGAAGACCGCAGCAACGACCCCAGCGTCGGTGTTGGTTCCGTCGCTGCAGGAGGCCGTTACGACGAGCTTGTCGGCATGTTCAGCGGCAAGAACAACCTTCCCTGCGTCGGTATCTCATTCGGTGTCGAGCGCATCTTCAGTATCACAAAGGCCAGAATGGAGGCCGAGGGCAACAAGTCTGTCCGCACAAACGAAGTGGACGTCTACGTTATGGCCTTTGGTGGTAAGGGCTTCGAGGGCCTCCTACCCGAGCGCATGCAAGTCGCCAAGCGTCTATGGGATGCCGGCATCAAGGCTGAGTTCAGCTGGAAAGTCAAGCCTAAGCTTCCTGCGCAATTCAAGGCTGCCGAGACCAACGGCGTTCCCTTTGCAATTATCCTTGCTGAGGAAGAGCTCAAGAACGGTCAATTCAAGCTCAAGGAGATGGGTCTGCCTGAAGGCCACCCCGAGAAGGACGGTGTACCCTACAGCATGGACAAGCTCGAGGAGGCCGTTGCCGCCAAGATCGAGGCTAGCAAACAAGCACAGTTGACCAGCGTCGATGCAGTCGCTGACAAGCTCGACACAACGAACCTTGACGCTGCTGCCGCTGCCGCTCCTAAGACCAGCTAGACGAAAGCACATGATGTAGAAAATGTTTATCTGAGACAAAAGAGATAAAAAGTTATATGAAGATACCCCTTTGTTTGGGTGATGATGCAGCACATCGGCATTTTTGTACAGTCGTAGCGAACACTATGCCCTTATTCTGAGATACATACATTGATGGTTTAATCTGACTGTCCTCGGCTCTGTGAACGATTTCAGCTTGAAGATTGGATGTGAAAAGTCGACTCATGTTTCGCTTTTCTTGATGCTGATCTGTCTACTTGATCACCTGAGGATGAAGCGGTGTGTCTGATCAACAACGCCTCCACTCGATAGTCGTGATATAGCATGTCGATTTTCAAGCAAGTGCTGATTAGGACTAAAACTATTGCTGTCAATGCTGAACGGGGATCTCGGGAAGATGAAACACTACTGTAGATACCCGAGGCGGAAAGAGATCAGCAGTACCTGGGGAAAGGCCAGGTGAGGAAATTTACACAGGTACATTCACATGAAAGAGATGAGGATAAGAGCAACATCAGGGGTGTGTATTGGAATAGAAAGATCATTTCATTTTTCATTTAAAGCAAAAGACGCCTCTCCCAAGATTAATGCCCCTAGTCTGAAGTGTGTGTTGCGCCATCGCTAAAATTAGGAATGAAGAAGGTCAGGTATCCGCTAGTCGCTTGCTATGCATCAATTACAGAAAGGGTGTAAGGTATTGAGCAAAAATAGAAGAAGGAGAGGTTGAAAGAGAACAAGTAGAGAATCTTGGAGCAAAGCTTCTCTTACAGAAGAAGAGCAAAGCCACCGAAGATACCAGCAGCGACGGCGAACAGACCATAAGCCTGGCCGAGCTGGAGAGCAGCAGCTGAGCCAGTCTTGGTGCTGCTGGTGCTGGTTTGAGCAGCACCACTACCACCAAGACCAGAGTAGATGGTCTCGCCGGCAGAGTTTGTGGATTGGCCTTGGCTGGAACCAGTCTTTGAGGCTGTTGCCGAGGAAGAGGTGGATGTGACGTTGACGCGAGTGGGGTTCTGAGCACCGCAAGGGTGTTGGGCTCTGCAGTTGTACTCGCAGTCGGTGTTACCATTGCATCCTGAGATACACTCGGTGCCCCATTCGGTACAGATGTAGTAAGGGATAGTCTGGGAGTACTCGGAGGCGTTGGGGGCGACGTTGTTTGCGCAGATGCAGGAGTAGTCGAGGGTCTCGGGGTCACAGTCGTTCTGAGATGGAAGTTAGTACAGGCTTTCTGTGTCACTGTGCTCGGATGGTATACATACCTCAATGGTGTCAGAAGAGTTGGCAGCGGTTTGAAGACAGATCAGAGGGCAAGCATTCTGCTGGTTGGTGCACCAGACATCTGTGACAGATTAGAAAGCTGTCCATACAATCAAGGCCAAGTGGCATGACAAACCTCTTGTAGACTCAGGAACAGCAGTGACATTGATGGTGTACTGAGATTGGGCAGAGGCCAACTTGGCAACGACGGGCAGGAGGAGAAGACCGAAACCACGCATCTTGATAGATTTCTGCTTGAGAGAAGTAGAGATACTTTTGCAAGAAGTAGTGACAGGCGAGTGTTTCGAAGAGAGAAAGATGTTCTTCAACAACGAAAGTGAGTGAGAAAAGGTATTATAGCTGACGAACGAGCAGACAACGAAAGAGGTGGAAGTGATATAGAGGTTGCCCCAGCAGGACAGACGTTGAGTCTTTATCCTGTACGCTCAAGGGCCATAGCTCGCCGCTTGCTTTACTTGCTAGAGCATAAACGGGGATGGCGGGCGGCGAAAGCTGTGGTCAACGCCCTTCCCGTATCTGCATGCGTTTCTGGGGTCGTCCGACCGCAGGTTTAGGTGCATCCAGGCCTATCAAACGACGGCATGGTCTGGTACAAGTGGAGTCCCGATACCTGCTATGTGTCCTACTGTGCACAATAGGCCCGCAAAACAGGCTCTGTGTCTCTCTTTTCAAGGGGATATGACATTTGTCGGACCATAATGAGCAGACTTTCAGGGTAGCGTGATCTTTTGAGTTGCATGCCATGATTAAAATAGCGAGTCAAGAAATTTAGAGAACTTCGGAGAATAGCAGAGCCGAGGAGCTGTGCCTAATCTTGTCTCTTGGAGATGACCCGATAGGACGACACCCAGGGCTCAGGCCAAGCCTTTCTCACGCGGCTCTGCTTTCTCCAACCTCTCTCGCCATCTAACGTCGTCTTGACGCGCTAACAGTTGACCGAGCGGTTCGACCAGCAAACGCTTACGACTGTCATCCGTTCAGAAACCACTTCTTTTTACCCCATGGATAACAGCACTTCTCCAGAGTACAGGATCAGCTAACTCTATCTATTTTTTTCTCCCCAACACGGATTGATGGATGGAGCCTGCGGAGTCGGAAACTCTTGTTAACGGCAATCACCCCGCAAAGGACCAGCCTCTGGCCGACGGTGCCGCCGCCACCTCTACTACACGAGAGGAGCAGGAAGCAAACGCCTCGGATCACACGGCCGCGTCATCAGTCACACCTGGCCATGAGTCTACTCATGTAATACCGCCGTACTTCAATGGTGGTCGACTCGAGCGAGCAGACTCAGTTACGCCAACCACAGGACATGGCATAGATCTTGTTGATCAATCAGATGAAGACCATGAAATCGGCCGAGCGTGCTGGGCAAGCAATGTCTCTGTCGATGACTACGTGGTTGTGAGTGGTCCTACAGGAATAGGTGCATACGTGGTATGGAATTGTACTATCGAAACGTTCAAAGGTGGCAGTATTACTCTTCGCAAAAGGTCCGTTGCTTACATGTCATTCCCTGCCAGTATACCATGCTGACTGCGTACCCCAGATACTCTGAATTTGATACGCTCAGGCAGAACCTTGTGAAAGCATTTCCTCTCTCCGAAGCCTCTATTCCAGAGCTACCGCGGAAGAGCCTTGTTTGTAAGTTGGTCTTGTCGATTCATCAGTCTTCATATTGCTTACTTATCTTTGACAGCACGGTTCCGAACCAAGTTCCTTGAGCAAAGGAGGGCAGGTCTTGCCCATTTTCTCACGTACGATGACCTGGCAATTCTACGATGATTTGTATGCTGATTACCATTCAACAGATGCATTCTTCTCAACCCACAGTTCTCACGATCCCCAATCGTTACGGAGTTCATAAATACATGAATCCGTTGCGTTCTGTACATATCGATACGATTGAAAGTTGACATTTAGCGACTGACTAATGGCTAATCACGAATCTCTTTCTATGACATGTCTTCAGCATGTGCTTTTCCGTGTGTGTATATACAGCGTTGACAGGGTTTCTCACGCAACAAGTATTTCTAAACGATCAATGCCACATACAGCCTCAAACCTGTCAATTCTGTTGTTCTGCATAGCCTATTGACACTTTCGGTCTCATAGGCGAGCGTGTGCGGTGTCTCTAGGACGTAAGAATGTGACCTTGAGTGTTGATGCCGCTCTTCTGAAAGTCTGATAAGCTGTGCTGACGTGCTGCGTCTGCCATGGGCCTTCTTCCTACAAATTATTTATGTGAGACTCGATGACTACCAATGATCTGTCTAGTCTGCGTTCTATCGCTACACGAATTGTAAATCAATTTGATATTGGTCTCATAATGACATGTCGCATGCCTAAGCAGCCATGTGCCGAAGAGAAGAGGGGATTGCCAAGATTATACGTTGGAGTCAGCGAAGGGAGACGCGAGAGCTTGATGACCCGCAACGAGTCGGCACTCGTTTCAAAGTGACATTAGCCAAAATCACGGACAGAAGAGGAGGTTCAAGGCTCAAGATTGGATCGCAGCCGCAAAGTAGGCCGGCCAGATGTTGTCGGATGACTCCACTCCAAATCTGGCTGTCAGGAAAGGTCCCTGAAAGCAAGCGCGAAACAGGAGCAGCAGGTGCAGCAGACCAGCAGGATTCGGCCCAGCAGCACTCAGGCCACGCTGCGACGGACCATAGCAGCGGAGTTGAGCAAGAATCATGGTCGTCTGCCATCAAAAGCATGGTCAATTCTCTCAGACCTACCTCGACCAGGTCACCCACTCGGCGCGCCTCCGCCAAACACCCCACACCACCATCCTCCAAGCTCTCAAGCACATCGCCGCACCCCCTGCCCGACAATAACGAACCTCTCGAGAGCCCGGCACAGGGCGACAGACCTGCCAAACGCCTCAAGCTGACGCTCAAAGGGCCGAAGCTTGCTGCGGTGCCTGCTGACATTGGCGACACAAACGCGACCCTTCCGTCTCCGAGACCCCCCGTCAAGCTGACTCTCTCCGAACCACATGGTCCTCTACTGCAGACTACCAATGGCGTACGCAAACCTCTGAGTGTCACTGAAGACTCAATATCCGCCCACACGTCACCTTCTGCAACTTCGGCTTCGACTTTGAACCCTCCACAGAGACAAACCCGAAAGACGTCAGAGAGGCGTAGTTTGCGCTCTCAAGATGAAGGTCCGCGGTTGAAGAGCGAGCTGGCTGTGTACTTTCCCAACTACGAGGACATAATATATGACTCCAACAAGGAACCGGGTAGGACTAACACGAACATCTATACTAGTCATGGCTAATCCGGTACAGAATTCATCACCACGGACACAATCATCCACATCAGTGACGAGCCTTATGATCCTGTACAAGATCCGAACTTCAAGGCTCATCCTACAGTGAGCAATTCCAAGAATCAGCGCGCTTCAATCTCGCCTAGAAAAGCCCCACCTTCGCCAAAGCAGAAAAACAAATATAATGGCGCCCAGGTCATTGACTTCTCGTCGATTGAGAAGAGCGTAGGCCATCATCCAAAAGATCCTTTGACAGATGCGTTCTACTTCAAATCGCATCGTCGAGCGGAGCGCAAGGAGAAGCAGTTACGCAATATCGAAAAGGAGAGAGCAATGCACGAAAAGGCCCAGCTTGAAAGGCTCCTCGACGCCTTGCAAGGGCACGACTGGCTGCGCGTCATGGGCATTGTCAGCGTAGCGGACGTAGACGCGAAGAAGTACGAGCCAAAGAGGAAGTACTTTGTTGATGAAGTCAATGCGCTCTTGCTGAAGTTCAAAACGTGGAAAGACGAGGAAAAGCGAATACGGTATGAAAAGGAAGCTGCTGCCATGGCAGGGGACGATGACGAGGAGGAAGATGAAAGTGAGAGTGAGGTGTCTTCGGCCGATTTGGATGCCTCAGCAGCTCGCCAACTACAGATCGAAGCTTCAGGAGGAGCCAAAGGAGCGAAAGACAGTAGTAAACCCGGAAAGCTCAAAAGCAAGACGCGAGCCTCCGCTCCAGTCCCCGAGCCCGAGCCCGCGCCTCCACCTCCAGCTCCTGTCCCAACGATTTATCGAGAGCCAACACCAGAAGGTCCTTTTACCAGCTTCTACTCAAAACCCCATCTGCGAGCGGCGGCCTTGGGAAACACCAGACATGGTCGAACCCTCACAGCATTTGGTGTGGCGATACCGGAGGTTGAGGAACGCGACTTTGCTCTACCGGAAGACTACGTGACCCCGGAAGCATTGAGAGATAATGCAAGAAAGCGTAGGAGAATGAAGCGCGAGACGGCAATGGATTCAGGCAAGGCATGAGAGGACAGATGTACAGGATGACATGTTGTTAGCATACATGAGGGCGTTTTGGCGCAGGGACATAGCGAAATACCCTGAGGGATAACATTTTATGGTTGCTTGGTTCATATAATGGCAGTATAAACCATATTTAGATGTCGTTTGTTTTGTCACGCGATGTGTCTGTGTGAGTGTGACAACCTGGCCCACAACACATGTTATGCTTCTGGTGTCAATTTTGATGAAGGCGATCTAACTTATTCCACAGGTTGTCTCGGCCAAGTGACAGGTAAAATAAATTCAGAAGATGGTATGGTATGGGAAGCCATGAAGAGTTTCAGAGTGAGCAGGAGCTGCTGTAACAGCAGGCAGTCGCAAAGGTGGCCCGAGCACCTTCACAGTTCGTCCGTCACCTTCGACGACAGCGCCGAACGTGAGAGCTCGTTGGACCGTCGATCTGAGCCTTGCGCCCGCATCAAATCAAGCATCTATACTCGCCCTCTCACGTCGCCTTATAACCCGCTCACCTCTCTCACCCCTCGAATCTTCATCCGGCGCTGAACGAATACCGTACTCACGCGCCTTCATCGAACGCCGCCCCCACCACACACTACCAGGCGTCCTTTCCTCGATATACGCGAGCGCAACACACGACAGAATTCAGCGAGCCAACGCGACCGTATCGCGCATGTCTAGTGGCATGGGAAATGCAAACTGAGCTGACACTTGGTCAAGAGGTTGCGCGCAGTGGGCGCCATGCCAGGCTACTTTGACAACGCCCTTCCAACCGAGCAATCACTGGATCTCGGCTTTTCGGTTGTATCGCAGAAGGTTGACTTGACCGTCAACTTTGCAAAACAGTCCATCTCTGGCTCTACCGAAATCACCATCCAACCGGAAATCAAGGATCTTAAGACCATCCGATTGAACTGTCGCCAGGCTCGTATTTCAAGCGCCAACATCGAGGGCTCAAAAGTAGAATTTGCCTATTCCGACCCATACCGAAAGATCAAGCTTCCTGGGAGAACAACAGCCAACCAGCATGAATACCTCCGTAGCAAGATCGAGGGCGCTATCAAGCAATCGCCGGACCCTGAACTAGCCCTGGAAATTCCTTTGCGCGTCAAAATCAAGGAGCTGAACAATGATGCCTCTTCGGCTCTGGCTAGGGATAGCTTCAAAAGACAAGAGAGTGATTATCCTGGCCAGGCCGAGACTCCGACGACATCACATGGTCAAGAACCATTGCTAAGATATGCCCCCTTGAGAGTCACGATAGAGTTTGAGGTCACAAGTTTCCGGGATGGTCTCCATTTTGTTGGTTTCTCGGATCAAGATTCACGGTATCCACATCTTTACACCAGGAATACACTGGGACCGGGCGCCGTCTGCTCTGTCTTCCCATGCGTCGACGATGCTACAACCCGCTGCATGTGGGAAATCTCAATACGATGCCACAAAACGCTAGGCGATGCTTTCAAGAAGACACCGCAAAGGACTTCTGCCGAGGGGGATGTGGAGATGACTGGGACCGACCAGAAAGAAAAGAAGCCGCGGGACGAATACCCGATTAACCTCAGCGAAGATGAAAAGTCCTTGGACTTGAGCATTGTGTGCTCAGGTGAAATGACAGACGATGTATGCAGCCTCAAACATATTCCAGTATTGCGTTATCTGACAGATTTCAGATTCTTGACCCTCAGGATCCTACTTGGCGGACCGTCTCTTTTGCCTGCTTTACTCCGGTCGCTGCTCGTCACATCGGCTTTGCCATCGGTCCTTTTGAGCATGTTGACCTTACTGATTTTAGAGAAGTTGATGAGGACGACAAGCTTGGCCAAAACGCTATTAAAGTAGACGGCTTCTGCTTACCAGGCAGAGCGGAAGAACTACGGAACACTTGCATGCCAATGGCCAAGGTACGTATTCTCAAAACTGCCAAACCATTCTTTAACCCTTCTGACAACCAGATCAGGCGATCGATTATTTCGTCGTTGTTTACGGCTCTTTCCCATTCTCCAGCTACAAGCTCATCTTTGTTGATGACTTATTACAAGATGTGGCGCACACAGCTTCCTTGTCAATCTGTAGCACGAGACTACTGTTTCCGGACGACATTATCGAACCGCTGGATCCAAACACTCGCGTACTCGTACACGCTCTTGCGAGTCAATGGGTTGGCGTGAATGTTATTCCCAAAGAAGCTCGAGACATGTGGGCCATCACTGGTGTCTCTGGTTTCATGCGAGACACATTTATGAGGAAGCTTGCTGGTAACAACGAGTACCGCTACCAACAAAAACTTGCCTCTGAACAAGTATTCGAGCAAGATGTGGAGCGATACAGTATCCATCAACTTGGCGCTCAGCTCGACATAGATCCTTCAGAGTACGATTTCATGGCTCTCAAGTCCGCAGTGGTTCTATTCATCTTGGATCGCCGACTCACCAAAGCGAGCGGATCTTCGGGTGTTGGGCGAATCATCACCAGGTTATTGCTCAACGCCAAGACCGGCGAGCTACAGAATGGCGAACTTGCCACTGATTGGTTCCATCGTCTTTGTGAGAAGCTAGGTCATACCAAGCTCGACGCATTCTTCAAGCAGTGGGTATATGGCGCTGGTTGTCCACTGTTCAAAGTGAATCAGCGCTTCAACAAGAAAAAACTGGTCGTGGAGATGAACATCTACCAAACGCAGCGCGAGCGTAAGATCAAGCCTGACCTCCAGCCTTCGAATTTCATGAGAGAGGCGAAGGAGCAGGTCTCGGAAGTCTGGGCTCCAGAAGTTTCGGACCCTTTCACTGGACCTATGACTATTCGTATCCACGAAGCTGATGGCACACCATATGAGCATATCGTGGAAATTAAGGACACGCATACCAAGATCGAGATTCCTTACAACACAAAGTACAAGCGTCTAAAGCGATCGAAGCGTGCGAAGGAGCGAGCCATGGCTGCCAACGGCATTGATCTTGGTGGGGAAGCTGAAAACGATGTACTGCTTTACTGTCTTGGTGACGTTCTCCAATCAGAAGACGAAGTCAAAGATTGGCGCCTGGTTGATTGGGGCAAAGAAGAGGAAGATCGAATGGGCCAAGAAAGTTATGAGTGGATCCGTATGGACGCCGACTTCGAGTGGATTGGCAAGATCGATTTGATCATGCCCATCTACATGTACGTCAGTCAGTTGCAACAAGACAGAGATGTCGTGGCACAATACGAAGTAAGCAGCAACGAGCTTTGAGAGTGTTTGATAGCAGGCTAATCTTGTTCACAGTCACTACAGCACGTTCTGAAGCAGAACGCACATCCTTTGATGTCTACCATTCTCGTCAGAACACTAATGGATCGTCGATACTTCCATGGTATTCGTACGCTAGCGGCTGAGGGTCTTACCAAGTGTGCTACACCAAGCTTGAACTGGGTAGGCCAGTATCATCTCGAGAAAGCCTTCCAGGAGTTCTTCTGCTTCGCCGATTCAACCATGCCTCGTGCTAATGATTTCTCGGACCGCATGGGCTATCTGATCCAGAAAGCAATTCCAGTCGCGTTATCTCATATCAAAGATGAACGTGGCAAGGTACCAATGAGTGTGAGGAGATTCTTCGTTGACAAGCTCAAGTTCAACGATAACTCCAACAACGAGGTAAGACATATGTGCCGATGCTGATTCATCAGATGTTGACAGACAAACAGTTCTCTGATTGCTACTATGTTTCCACGCTTATGCGATGTCTCGCCGAGTCCTTGATAGCCTCTGCAGTGCCACAACAGACCTTTGCCATCAACCCCGATGACGAAGATGACTTGATGCAAGAGAATCTTGAGGATGAAAAATTCCAGAAAGAAGCCATCAACGAATTGGAACGCTATCGCCGCATTGACGAATGGATTTCTTCTTATCGAAACATTTATTCCGTCACAGCCCTCGAATGCATGCGAAAATTGCTCGAACATGGCGTAGTGAAGAACAAGAAAGTCGAAATTCTGCAGTACACACAATCTGGCAATGCCGACGAGGTCCGCCTAGCAGCATGGGATTCTCTTGTGCAACTCAAGCTTGCAAGACGACCACAGATCCTCAAATATCTGCTGTATTCGTTATGCGATGATCCCTCGCCCTACTTCAGAGACCAGCTACTACGAGTACTGGGCCAAGCTCTAGGAACGATCGCTTTGAAAAAAGAAGAAGCCGAGAAACCGGCTCCAAAGCCCATCGAAACTGGAGGTCTTGTTCTCGAACAGGAAGAACCCTTGGCTGTCCAACCATTGCCAGAGGACCTTGCTGGAAAAAGTCCACCTGAAATCGCTTTGGCCGTCCTTAAGGCTGCTCTTATAGATGACGAGACTTTCAAGGCAGCGTTATGGCATGTTATACAATCGCCGACGCTGGCCATACCTGAAGTGGTATCGTTCCTGGATATTGCAGCCCTGATCTATGATGCATCGAATGGTCTCATTGTGCGCCTCCGCCTGCCTCGCTTCTACACTGCCAAGCACCTCGGCAAAGGTAAAGTGCAATTTAAGGAGAAGGAAAGATACCGTACGGCACCAACTACAGGTCTTGGTCTTGATGAATTTGAGTTGGTGCAGCAGCATAATCTCAAGTATAACGGGCCACTATCAAAGGCCGCTAAGGATCATATTAAAACTCAAAAGCAGGAGAAACAAAGACTGGAAAGCGAACTGGCAGCAGCACAGGAGTTGCTCCAGAGACAGTTAAACGCGCAGCATCAGATCCTACCTCCGCCAGCGCCAAAGCCTGTAAATGTGCCCACCACGGCCATGTCTCCTCCGCCACTGCCTGTATCTACTCCAGGTGGCTCTATGAAAATCACCCTTAAACGCAAGCAGAGCTCAACGGCTGAGCCACGTGCGAGTAGTCCTAAGCGCCCTCATCTTGTTCAACCTGCGACAAATGGTACAGGTGGAACAATAAAGGTGGAAAAGAGCCCGAGTCTCAATCTGGGAAAGGTACATGCGCAAACACCATCGCGTACGGTGTCTGGTGCATCTGCCCCTGGATCCTCTGCACCATCGCGAAAGCCCACAGCAGGTGATAAGCCGGGCAAGTCTAAGATCGTTCGCCTGAAGATTACAAAGCAGAAACGCCTGCAGAAGATTCTTTCACAAGCACCTCAGCCCGGCTACAGACCGCAAAAACAGAAAGCTGCTATCCCTGCCAAGATCAACACATCTACTTCAGCACGGCCCAGCCCTGCATCATCAGCTCCCGGTGGTTCGCATAGCGGCAGCAACGGGGATTTCTTCGCCAGCCCTGAAGTCACCTCTGCACTCTCCACTGGCGCAAGTGTCGGTGCGTTCAGAAGCTGGAATGGCATAAGTGCGGTCAAACAGGAGACAGATTCGGCACCATTGAGCGCAATAAGTCCCATGACAACAATTCCTCCAGGAACCAGCAATGGTACTGCTACTGCTACTACTACTGGCACAATGAGTCCACGTCCCTCAGAAGGTGGCGAGGAAAAGAAGCCAAAGTTCAAGCTCAAGTTCGCCAAAAAGCCGCCCGCCCCCTAGATGGACAATTGACGGTTCCCTCTTCTCCCCGATCTTCTTCATATCATTTTCCTCTTCTTGTCTCTTTTCCTTGTTCTGTCTTTCTCTGCTAGGGGAGGTTGTGCCTTGATGCGAGAGCTTTGATTCAGCATGGCGTTGGGCGGGATTTGAGAATGGCAGCAACAAAAAGTGAACATAACCCGAGAAGAAAAGAGAGCAAGAGCGAAGGAATCACAAGAGACCCAAAATCAAAACAAAGTTTTTATTGAATTCATGGAAGCTGCTTGTGACTGTTTGTGATTGCCTTGCATCAATCCGGCTTGAGTAAATATATATGCAGTTGGTGAGTCGCTCTCGCAATTGTCTACTTAGCCCTGCAGAGATTAGATGTGACGAAGCCATCAGATGCTCTCTCCCATGTGTAGGTGTCCATTTTAATGTTCTATAAAAATACACAATAGTTTCCAGGGACGCAGGTACATTCATAGAGAAAGGTGACAATAGTAGCTCTCTCTAGACACTTCTGATTGTCGCTAGACATTCTGCATTTTTATAGCATATCAATGATAATCTGTTCGAGATTGTGCTCTCAGATTGTTTCTTTGACTCGTGTATGGACTTGGGAGTGTCTTGTATTAAATTTGTATTCTAGCATTTTTGGTATCTTATCATTATATACTTTTACTCTTCGGACACACAGAAGGCCTTGAATTCTGTCCAGGCCTTCTCGAGGTCGTCGTTGATAATGACCTTGTCGAAGACACCAGGGGTCTTTGCGAACTCGAGCTCGTTCTTGGCTTGAGCAAGACGCTGGGTGATGGCGTCCTCAGAATCGGTGGCACGGCCGCGCAGACGCGACTCGAGGATCTCGAGCGATGGTGGTTGGAGGGAGAGGTAGCGGGCGTTAAGGTCCTTCTTCTTTACTTGCTTGACACCCTGTGATTGTTTTTGTTAGGGACGCAACCGGAGAGCTAAGATCGTGAGTTGAAGCATACCTCCATCTCGATGTCCAGGATGCAAGTGCGGTCCTTCTGAGCAACATCCTTGACAGCTTGGACGCTGGTGCCGTAGTAGTTGCTGCCGAACTGAGCGTGCTCGATGAAGCCGTTCTGATCGACCAGCTTCAGGAACTCCTCCTTGGTGACAAAGTGGTACTCGACACCGTTTTGTTCTTGGCCTCTAGGTTGACGAGTAGTGTCTTGTGGATACAATCAGTCTCGGAAGCTGATCAAGGAGATGTAGTTGAGTGCGTACGAGAGATAGAGAAGCCGAAGCGGTCGGGGTATTCCTTGAGCAGACGGTTCAAGTGAGTCGACTTGCCAGAGCCAGAAGGCCCGGAGATGACGATGGGACGGTTGGCGTGTTCTGGGGAGCTTCATGTCAACCAATGGCCTTGATACTGCATGTGCGATGGCGGTGTGGACGGACCAATGGTCATTCTGGCGGTGGAATAGGTTTGCGACAAGGACTGAGTAAATCTTGCGACGAAAGAGCGACAGAACATGGAAAGAAAGAAGTTAATGGTCTAGAATGTTGATATGGCCCTTGTCGCATGTGAAATCTAGGGGCGCAATCTTATCTCTTGGCTACAACTTGCGGGGTCTTAGCCTCGTTAGCTCCTTCCTTGTCAGAGCCGCATTTTGGCTTTCGTCCAAATTCTGATGCTGATATTCGTCGTTCATACCACAATCTCAACAACCAAGAAATGGCGACGGTAGCAGGTGCAGTGCAGTATGACTTTTTGGAACCATACAGAAGACTTGCAGATACTGACTATCGTGTTCCACAGAGTATCGAGGTCAGACCTCAATGGATCACCACAATCATCTCGAGCATCATCCCCAGATCTAGATACACTGGAACGACTAGGCGCAAATCTCCAATTCGAAGTAGTCGACAATACACCTCAGGCCGTACAGACGATAGAGAATCAAGAAGACGAAGACGAGGAACTCGAGTTCCAACTATTTGCTCCCACAAGATCTACAACCGATGCCTCTACTCCTGCCCCAGTCGCTCAGAAGATTCGTATTCGCTCGCCATCAGAGGAAGTCAGAGAACCAGGAATCATCGGTTACGGACGACCCTTGAGTTACTATCATACTGGAGAGCTTGATCCCGTACGCGCTAAGGAATATAAGGTTGCTGCTGTGTCAGGTGCAGACGTACTGGCCATGTCTAAGCTACAATGTACTGGCTGCGTGTATCCTTGGAAAGTCGTTACCATCCCGTCTTCACAAGCCAAAGCAGCTCTCGCAGCTGCGGCAGCCCAGAACCCTGCAGCCGAAGTCTTTATACCAGATGTACCAAAGAAGCGTACCCGTCTGGGCAAGAAGGACAGAATAAAGAAGAGACAGAAGCTGGCTGCTATCAAGGCAAAGAAGGAGGAAGAGAGCAGGTCAAAAGAAGAAAAGGAAAGAGCTGAGCGTGAAAAGAAGGCCAGGAGAAACAGAGAGAAGAAATTCAAGAAGAGAGCCAGAGACAAGGCCAAGAAGGCTGCTGGAAAAGAAGGAGACAATGCAGACGGGAGCGATGCTGAGTCTGATGCCGAGAGCAATCCAGATGTCGAGATGGCTTCATGATTTCGGCCTGACCCTGGATTCGCACGTTAATCATACCTTCCTATTACCCTGGAGCTGCCCGTAGGATTTCTCAGTCCAACTGCACAGACCTGGATCATCTCCAACTGGCCTATCCCTGGTCCTACGAGGCAATCAATGGCCAGTCAGGCTGTGATTATTGTTCTATCTCCGAACCGAAGCTGGTAGCAAACAGCAGTGTCAAAATGCACAAAGGAGTTCACCAACTATAACTATCCATTGAGAGCAGTAGGAGTTCCCCTTCTCTACAAGCAAAAGCCATGTGTGCAGTCTCAGTTATTGCTCACTATGCTCTCAATTGGTCTTCACGTGGTGCTGCTCACTTGTACTCACTCCTTGGCACGTCTCGCCACAAACTGCCTCACTCAGCTTTGCGCACGGACTTTTTCTCAGTGTCGTGCACGGACCACAACAACCCCATCAAAACCAGCAACTGCAGACGAGATGGCCACCACCAAGATCAACCTCTCCGCACCCATCTACGGGAGCGATGGCACCGGCATTGTGCCCAACAATGCCGACGAGAGACTCGAGCCTGCTGGCGAGCTCCTCTCCGTCGTGCAGCAGGCTTTTCGTCGCCAGCTTCGCAAGGCAGGTCAACAAGGCGACGCCATGAGAGCCATGTTCGGTAAGCAACCTACACCATTTCTATTCCCCTCGTGCGTTTCGTCAACTAACGATTGTGTTCCTAGACATTGGCGAGTACGGGTCTGTCGAGTTTGTCGGTCAGATGCCAGTGGGCTACACCCACGTCAGACTTGATCCGGATGGTCGCCGCGACATCCGCATCTATGGCCATCCCTCCGGCAAATTCTTCAATTCGGCAGCCAAGTTTGTACCGCACGTCGTTTTCTTATTGCGTCTCAAGGTTGACCCCTGCGAGTGCGACCTCTGCGGGCATTGATTCAGGGGAAGGGCGGTCGGAGACCTGGGACTCGAGGGAGGAGGTGGTGGGATAGTCGTGATTCTATTGCTCGTACCAATATAATCTGAGACTTTCCAGGCATTGAAACTCTTCATGTGTACATTTGTGATATCATTGCCCCTGTTGTGTACTATGGAGGTACCTTAGACACACTTTCGAACGACAGGTAGGTCGTCAATTAGCTTGATTCGACATCCTTTCTTCCTTCCCACCAGTAAAGTTATCCTGTCGGTATACAAGATAGTCTACTATACTAGAGCTGGCACCAGGAGGAGTGTCCTGAGAGAGAAGCAACATTCAGGGGTCAAATAGCACAAGCAATGAGAGCTGTACGTGTTCCCGCACTCATTGCTAGCCAAACGTCTTTCTGTAGGAATGCAGCATAGTTTGTTCATTAGTGATAGGTCCGCTGAAAGTGTCCCTAATCATCGAAGAAGCCAGCAAACGGTACAATGGAGATTTTCGACTTGTCCTGCTCGAAGGTATCGTGAAATACCTCAAACTGGTGCGTAGCCATCTCGACCATAGGAGAAAGACCGTAAGTTTTGCACGGTCATGGACGAGAGTGTTTCCCTTGGTGTACGCGGGGATGCGGCGAGCAGATCAATGTATTGGAAGAGCGTGCGACAAGGCAATGCTGAGCTGTTCTGAATGCACCATTGGTGATCGAGCGACGAACAGATGAGGAAACAAAGAGGATGAGATACTGTATTTATATGACAGGCAAACATGTACAATCATGATCTCTCATGAACCAATCTTCCAAATTTCCACACTTGATCAACTAGCAAATGTCTTCCGTCACCATCAACTTCCTCGGACAAGACCAACAGATCAGCATCAGCATCGGCTTCCAGAGATCCCTTGACACCTTCCAACCCAAGCATCTTAGCTGGCGTGACAGTAACAGCTCTGACAGCTTCGGCGATACTGGCATTCGACCAGTTGAGAAAGTTGTTTACACAGTCTAGCAAGGTTGCACAACCACCAGCAATCTTGTCTGTGCCATCGAGTGTCAGGTTTGAGCCTTTCTTGACAATGCTGTCGCCATTTGTCCAGTTGTATGTGCCGTCTGGCAGACCAGCAAGACTCATGGCATCGGTCACTAGAATCATGCCTTCGGGGTGCGCCGCGTATGCTATCTTGACAGTGGTGGGATGTAGATGAATTCCATCTGCGATGACACCAAAGAAAGGCGTATGCGTGGAAGGATGGCCCAGGATGCCGAAAACACCTGGGTTTCTGTGGTGTAGCGGCTTCATGGCATTGAAGAGGTGTGTGATCATCTTCGCTCCAGCAGCTACAGCTGCAGATGCTTCTTCGTAGGTAGCCTCTGTGTGACCGATACTGAAGATAATGTTGTGTTTGACCACCTCTGGGATGATCGAGGTCATGTTTCCGACTTCGGGTGCGGCGGTCAATTTTTTGATGTTGGACAGGTTGTGGACACCGTAGCAGGCTTCGAGATCGGCGAACGATGTAGCGGACTGTAGGACTTCGGGGCTGTGGATGCCGTTCTTGGTCGGACTGAGGAAAGGGCCCTCGACGTGGGCGCCCAGAGACTCTGCACCTTCATCTGCGTCACGGGCTGAGCCTGATGGGCCCAGGTACGGCAATGCGCTGTGATACAGTTCTGGCTTCTGACTAGTGATCGTGGGTAGATATGATGTGAGGCCAGTCCCAATCAATCTTCTATTTAGCTCTTTCAGACCCTTACGGTAGGACACGGGATCCTCTGGTGCCTGTGAGAAGTCGAAACCAAAGGCGCCATTAAATTGTACATCGATGAAGCCGGGAGAGACGATACGGCCGCCGAGGTCAATGACTTCGTCTGGAGCTGCCTGATGCTCGTAAAAGACTTCTTGGCTGCGTAGAATGCGACCCGTGACTGAGGAGAGCCATAAGTCTTCCTCTACCAATGTATTGTTTTTGACTAGTCGGCATCCAGTCAATCGGGTGATGCCACTTCGGGGTCTTTCTGGTGACACGGCAGCTGGCATCCTGGTCTAGAAGCTGTGTCGAGACGGGAGTTACGTCGGGGATTGAATGGTGATGTGCGTGTGTTGAGCTTGCAAAGAGTATAAATCAGGAGGGAGCAATTGGGCGACTCTGCAGAAGAAATGAAGATAGATAGGAAGAATATTTCTTGACTGAAGAGAGCGAGTATTTACAACAGCGAGATCGGCAACCTACCAATGACACTGTGAATCTGCAAAGGATGCATCCCAATCTGACGGAAATTTTATGACATGATTGCAAGTACCTTGATCCACAAGTTTATGCTGGACCTATCGATTCGACAGTGCTGCAACCTTGATAATTCACTGGTCAGAGTCAATCTTCTCGATAAGGAAGTATAGCATAATGTCGCATTCGAGAGTTGCGACAGAAGCTTGAAGTAAGATAGCCGATCATTCCACGTGGGGAAGACAAGCATCTGCAATCAGTTGTCCCCTTTCGTCTGGTTGCTACATGGTGTGGTATCTGACAAGAAGAAGGAACGACAAACGACCAGATGTGGTTGCGGTCGGCTTATCGAAGCGCCTCGGCAAGCACGGACTCCCCGGCGCGTGCTTTGGCCGAATGTGGAGAAGGCGGGCACGAGGTTACATCCACTCCACCTGCAGTTGTTACTGCTTATCATTACGAGAGGGCGTTTCGTTACATACCACTCCACAGCATGAACTGCTTCTTGCGGATGCCACGCTACCTTGTCAACCTGTGAATCAGCGACCGCTACCGTATCTCGGTTCCATCGGGCAAGCCCTACGGCTTCGGGACCAAGCTTCTCGGCGCTTGCACGCATGCCATCGTAGCAGATACCGAAAATGGGGACCTCCGACGCTACTAGTGAGCTCTGGGAGGACATGGACAGGTAAGCTGTCAGAGTCGTGTGGAAGAGCATGCGATCATGCATCAAGTGCGACCTGCTAACAAAGGCGTTTCTACCAGGGCCTTAGGCCAGCTGTTCATGATGGTAAGCGTGATCGATGATATGTCCTTGGGTCAGTGATTGACAGTCGCATGCAGGGCTTCGATGGGACGGCGGTGACTCCTCAAATACGTACTCTTATACAGGAACATCATCTTGGGTCGATCCTATTGACAGCCAAGAATCTTAAGTGTAAGTATGCCATTTTGTTTGAGAGTGATTTGCGGGTAGCCACTTCCATATCTATGCATTATGTAGGGCTGCGATCGATTGTTCAGGCATAAGGAAGTAGCGGTCAGCTTCAGTAGACTTCCTTTTCTGGCCCTTCCCGAGCATATTCTCGAATCATCATCGCTTCCTAAGGTCGATCGGACAGTCATAAAGAAGACACGCATTGCCATACAGTACACTGACAACATACTCAGCTGCCGAAGACACAAGCGCTCTTGTTTACGAATTACAAAAGTGTGCTTTTGATGCAGGCCACCCGGTGCCTCTACTCATTGGCATCGACCAAGAAAATGGAGGTGTCAACTCTCTCTTCGATGACATATTCATTCGACAATACCCATCAGCTATGGGAATTGCTGCTTCAGGAGACCCTGAACTTGCATACAAAGTCGCAAAAGCCAGTGCAGAAGAAATTTCGGCATGCGGAGTGAACTGGATTATGGGACCCTGCCTGGATGTTCTCACCAACACACGAAATCAGCCGCTTGGAGTCCGCACGACTGGTGATGATCCAGTACAATGCTCTGAGTACGGAGTTGCATTCATGAAAGGCTACCAGGAAGCTGGTATCTGCACCATGGGCAAGCATTTCCCATCATACGGCAATCTTGAGTTCTTAGGCTCTTCTCTGGATGTCCCTACGATCACGGAATCTTTGGAACAGCTCAGCTTGAGCGCTTTGATACCCTTCCGCGACGCCATCAAACAAGGACTCGACTCTATCATGGTTGGAGGTTGCGCAATGTCATCAGCTGGACTCAATGTCATGCACGCTTGTCTTTCAGATCGAGTTGTAGATGGATTATTGAGGAAGGAGCTTGGCTTTGACGGAGTTGTTGTTAGCGAATGTCTTGAGATGGACTCGCTCTGTCAGAACATTGGTGTCAACGGTGGCACAGTCATGGCTGCGAATGCTGGCTGTGATATCCTTCTGCTTTGCAGATCATTCCAGCACCAATTGGAAGCCATCAACGGCTTCAAGCTTGGCTTGGAAAACTCAATGATCACCACCGACAGAGTTCGTCGGTCTCTCAACAGAGTGCTGGCAATGAAGTCAAGATGCACATCTTGGGAGAAAGCCCTAAATCCCCCAGGTGTTAGTCTCTTGTCGAGACTTCAGCCATCGCACACGAGTCTATCGACCAAGGCATACAACTCGAGTATAACCGTCGTCAGAGACCAGAATGGCTTCTTACCCCTAACAAACATCATTGAGCCGGAAGAAGAACTGCTACTTCTCACACCACTTGTAAAGCCTCTCGCTGCTTCTGCAGCTGCACGTGAAATATCATCACATACTTCTGTTGATTCGCCGGAACCACAATGGGAGCGAGGCAACCCAGGTCTGAGTGGCGAAAGAGTGTTCCGCGAGCTCGGTAGATCTCTTGCTCGCCAAAGGACTGGCAGAGTCCTCCACACCAGCTATACAGCAAACGGAGTTCGACCTCAGCACGAGAGCCTGATCAACCGAGCAAGTGCTGTCATCGTTGTCACAGCGGATGCCAATAGGAACATGTACCAGAACGGCTTCACGAAACACGTTTCGATGATTTGCAACATGCAGTATACGGCTGGCGGCGAGAAGAAGACCAAGCCTTTGATCGTTGTGGCTGTCAGTTCGCCTTACGATTTCTCTACAGATACGTCGATCGGAACATATGTCTGTACGTACGACTTCACAGAGACCGCACTGGTGTCACTTGTCAAGGTATTGCACGGCGATATCACGCCGACTGGCTCGTTGCCTGGCACAATCAGCCGTAGTGAAAAGCTTACTCAGTCAAAAACACATTGGCTAGTTGAAATCTTCAACGAAGAACGAGATGCACTGGCCTTGGATACATTGATCAAAGAGATCATCGAATGGTCATCACCAAACCAACGATCAGAGCTCAGAGGAGCAACTTCGAACTCTTTCCTCTTGCGTCAACAAAATGTTCTGGAAACGCATTTTGTCGTCCGCAATAGCAGCACATCAGCTTTGTACGGATTCTGCTCAACGTACTTTTTCAAATCTACCGGCACCGGAGCGATTGGCGCTCTCTTCGTCGACCCAGGAAGACGCAAATTATCTATTGGGCAAAGTTTGCACGATCGTGCTATCAGAACCCTGCTGCAGAGAGAAGGCATCAAGCGCTTCCAACTAGGCTCCAGGCTACCGAGCATATACCTCGGTATTCCATCTGACCACAGCTCCGAACGCAAACGTCTACGCTCGTGGTTCGCAAACGTAGGCTGGAACACTGCCCTCTCGCGCCCTGTCTGCAGCATGATCATGCGCAACCTACAATCCTGGTCTCCGCCAGAGGGGATGGCACAATCACTCCAAGGCGCTAGTGCAGAATTCGATCTCGTCAGAGGATGGGAACATTCACGAGCAATCTTCGACCACATAAAGACAAACAACCGCCAAGGACTGGCCGAAGTCTACAAGCTCGCTCTCTCAGACCCGAATTCCTGCGGCATTGTGCGTGCTATACGTCCAGAAGACGGCAGCATAGTAGGCACGGTAATCCTCTACAACGCCACATCCGCACTCGCCGAATTCATCCCCGCCCTCAAAGACGAAGGCTCAGAGTACGAAGTGTCTGTAAGTGGTGGTGTCAGTTCTCCAGTGATATCACCTTCTGCAGGCGAGTATGCAACCATTTTGCAGAGTTTAATCTTGTTGGGAGTAAAGCAAGTCAAGAAGTCAGGATGTGCAAGTTGTGTCTTGGATTATATGGACGGAGATGGTAATTTCGATGGACTCTCGGCTATGGGATTCAGTACTATGCATACGTTTGAGGAGGTCAGCTGTGATGCGGCGACGATCAAGTCGAAGTAAAGGAGAAGAGGGTGATTTCAGGAGCGACGTCAGATATAGCTATGAGTATGCATAATGGTATCTAAACAGTGTATATTCCCCCAAGAAAGTCATTCCTTTCATCACAGTTGGACCTCACAGATGCTGCAGTCTATGGCTCTCCTGTTCTGACTTGACAGAGCCCAACTCTTCCGGTCAACGCATATCCAATAAATCCAGCACATCTCAGTAGCAAAGACGAGAACAGTACTGATGATCTCCCAAAGTCACAACGGCAGATTATGAGTGTCGGAACAGGAAGATGGGCATGGTGAGGAGGTTCAATGACCTCGTTTATCCTTGACCGAGCCCGGATCGTGAATTAAATCGGATATCTCCTTTTCACTCCTTTGAGACCCATTCGTCTGCTGATTGTCATCCCGATATCAACTAGTAGTCCTCGCATGTGATTTCGGGGTGGAGACCTTAGGGCGCAAGGATAATCCTGATGGCAACTACCCAGCATCCTTTCCTAGGTGCAGGCGCAAGATGCACATTGCACATTCGTGGATCCAATTGAGCCAAACCTTGCATACCAGAGCAAATGTTCAGATCTTAGACTCGAATGCCGAGGCTAATCGACTGAGAGAATCGCTGTAGAGCTGCAAGTCTCTAGTCATGATGATATGTTTGTATGAGTACAAGCGGGATATCACTTGCTCATCCCACATCCTCACTGAAGTATCTCTTGTTTTTGAGACGACTCAATCGATCACGAGCCTTATTCTCAGGTAGAGGATTGATATGATGAACGACGTGAGGTCGGTACACAGCATCGACAGGTGGTTGCCAGTCATCCAGACTAAGAGGAAAGTACTCGTACAGCAAGTCTGCACTCTCATCTGGGCTACTTCCCACCTGTAGAGCTAGGGCAGACGGGGTACTTGCAGCGCGACCTGCTGCTCCACGCTTACCCAGATTTCCGGTTTTAGGCGGGCTCATAGAAGATTGTTTGGGTTCCTCCTCGTCAGTCAAGGACAGCTTCAGTGGCACTCGCGCTGGCGCAGGCATATTTGATGGTTGTCGTACTAGATCAGGAGTCGAGACAGCATAGTCCTTGGGTTCAGAAATCCTTGCGGTTGGTGGTATCGCAGTCATTGCGCCTTGCTGAAATGTGTTGTTGAAAAGCGCGGGCATCTGGAAGTCGGAATTGTCGAAGGCTGCAACAGCCGGAGTTTCGTTTCTGGGAACCGTGGCCATATTACTGCGAGACGGCTTCCGAGCATGAGCAGTGTCTGCTTGCGATGGTGCGCGTGGCTTTGGAGTGCTCGTAGTAGGCTTCTTCGCATGAGTGCCATTCCCGGTGAGCAGAATGTCTTTCCTGGACTGAAAGTTCCTGGGACTTCGACCTCTCACAACAATCGGATTTGATTTGGTATGGCATATTGTGACCTTGCCACCTGTTGCTAGCGTGGCCACAACTTTGAGATGAACGATGAAATGCTGTTGTAGCTCTTTTCTTCTTCCGTTGTTGGCTGTAGCGCTACGAAACTGCAAGCGTTTCCAATGAAACGGAAATGTTGCGAAATTTGAGTCTGCGTCTGAGGAATTTGATAAATCCAAGGGTATTGACGGAGGTTCTTTCTCAGCCCTTTCCTCGACAGCGGCGTTTCCGTTAGGCGGCGTCTTCCAGGGAACACAGATGATCTTTGTAGGACTTCCCTCAGCAGATTCTGTTGCCGATATGATTAGTTCTTGAGAAACGATAGAGATTTGTTCCGCCTGCTCAGTAACGATGTTGCGTAGGGCCCTCGGAACCACGACACTGCCCGAGACCTGGAAGATATTGCGACGGTAGCACATCAACTCTGTGTTCTCGGTCGGCTTGACCCAAGCTGACTTCTCGGTGAAGAAAAGTCCCAGCAGATCAGCGGTCAAGCTTACTGATACCTGGCGGAAATTATAATCGAGCAGAGCAAAGTCGTAGACGGGCGGAGTGAACTTCAAGTATTTGTGACCTTGCTCTATTGCTATCTCTTTCGCGTCTTGAGTATCTTGGGCGTCTTGAGTTCCTGTTTCGGCAACGGTATCGAAGGCTCCAACGGCATCGGAAAAGGCGTCATCGAAGGTGCTGGAGATTCGCTTGAGGGAAGGTGTGGTCTGGGGAGGTGGCAGTTGGTAGTATTCATCTCTGTGCGAGTATGGTCAGCGAACACAGTGTAGCCGACGTGAACTTGGCGAGCATAAGTACCCTGGATAGATGGTTTGCGAATCGTAGGTCGAGTATTGTTCCATAAAGTCATTTGGCATCATCATCATATTGTTGTACATGTTGTTGGAGGCGGAGGCGGTGTTATCGACAGGTTCGAAATTGGTGGCCATGTAGGTCATGGATATCGGGTCGAAACCCTCCATGATTGCGTCTGAGTATACTGTCTTTGCGAATGCGATATGATGGTCGAAGCATGTGATAATGCTCGTAGAGTCGTAGAGAGGAGGAAATAGACACGGAAGTTACGCAAGACGTCAGGGAACCTCTCGAATATGGCGACAAGTAACTAAGTCCAGTAATGGAAGTTGCGACAAGATAGAAACAGGTTGATTGAGGAAGTCGCGGTTTGCTCGTCTCCGTGTGATACGTCGGACAGCCTGCCGTGCCTGCTCTTTGCTCACTGAACTGGCCAAGCTTCAGCGTGTGTCACTCGACCTTTCCGAAATATAGCGACAGCTAGTTCCGAGCTCTGCCATGTCAGAACGTGTTATGGAAACATGGTTGGAGGGGAGAACGCATGCGACCATGATAATGCGGAGATCGGGTCCAAGGCTCGCTTTCCCCTCTCAATCAGGACGCTTCCGACAAAACGCTTCCCCAAATCACTTATCTTATCGCCCTCGGCTTAGAGATCCCGAGGGAGTACTCATGTTATATCTCAATTGCATCTGCTAAGATTGTGTGTTGATAGACTCTTTTTCTATGGATTGTGTATTAGTATTGTGAATTTCTTGCGTTCAACTGTCGCTAATGCCAAATATATCAGTCGGCTAAATGTAAAACCCTCTACCCGCATGTGATATGCAACAAATGCTCCCCATCCCTATGTCCTTGACGCCTTTAGAAAACACCGAATGCACTCTGCTTGGTTTCAAATAAAGTCCTGAGCATCGATCGTGCTATGTTTCGGATTCCGATGCAGCGGCGACAGCCGCACCGAACACCGAGCTCTCTAGAGCCATCTCGATCGAAATGGCGCCTCGACTCTGGCCGCTTATCACAGCCAGCTCATCGAGATAGTCTTGACATCTTGAGCGGAAGCCAGGGTACTTCTCCATCACTGTACCGTTGCATGCTACTGTTGCTTTCTCTCGAGGCTGACTCGCAAGCTGGGTCTCAACAGTATTTGAACAAGCCAAGAGATCTCGTTGAAGCGACCAAAGTGCGTGAACAGCTGTAGCAACCAGAGCAGCTGCACGACCAGACACAATTCGACTGACTTGCTTGACAAAATGAAGATCCCGAGAAGAAGGCATGCGGCCTGCAGGCAGGGGATGTGTAGATGCGAAGGCTTTCGCAGCGCTGCATAGAGTGGATGACGGGTCACTCTCGAAAACAGCAATCGTCCCAGTTCCCAGTGAATATGGTTCCTGAAGCTTAGCAGGCATCATACCACCGAACAGGTCAGCAGTCTCGATGGCTTCAATCAGAATGAGGCGCACCAATTCGCCTAGATATCTTCCGCTGACCCTGTATTCCAAAGGCTGGAAGTCTGGAAGATCATGGGTGGCATTGAGATACTGGTCCCATCTCGAAGCTGGAAGCACGTCCCTTCCGAACATACTGAGCTCAGTGTTGACGAGCACGTCCTTGGCAGCCGCATGCCAGCTCTCTGGGCGACTACCATATTTTTCTTGTGCTAGTGCAGACACAGGCAGATAAATAGCCGAGTTCATGCCAGTGCCCAAAATGAGTGATAGCCGAGTCGAAGGGTCTCGATAGGCTTGTGAAAGTAATGTTGCTGAAGAGTCATTAATGATTGCTTGGAGTTGGACCTGAAGACCGCGTCGCCTGCAAGAGTCCATGAGAAGCTCGTATAAATCCTGACCCTCAACACCATGAGTAGCACAAAAGCCCTTACCCATAGTAAGAATATAGCCAGTGCGCGTGGAGGTTTGTTCGATAGGAAATGACCACGACATTGCCATGGATAGGGGAACCTCAACGTCATTGTCTGAGCCAAGCACTTCTTGTATTTTGTCGGCCATCCAGTCGAAGAAAGCCTTGCCTTTCAAGTCCCGTATAGGTTCATCTATGACGAAGCTCTTCATCCTCTTGATGTCCATTCCATCTCTTGCGGAGTCTTCTCCGCCAAGGTGTACGAGAGCGATGCGAAAAGTCGAGCCGCCGACATCGAGGGCAACAAAGTCGCCGGATTCTAAGCCGGTAGGTAAAGCATAGTGAAAGGACGGCAGCATGCATATGTTTGACGATTGTAGTTTTGTGCGGAACTCGGCCTTGAGTTGTTCTGACATGGCGTGCAGGCTCCTTGGACGCAGAGGTGCCTCAAAGAGACTCTCGACGTCATGCAAGAGTTTGTCCATGCCCCTTGTGCGCGAGCTTTGTGTTTCTATGCCAAAAGCATCTTTGTTGGGCGAGGGCAGTTGCAAAGGTTGGATCAACGAGGCGAGCATGGCAGTTGGGCGGACGGCTGACGTTTCTGTCGACTTCGGCAAGTAGGAAATGACAGTATGGCGGGTTGTCGAGGTGGCTCGATTATGGTGACGGTTGCTTGCTCGATGAAAGGATGCTTATTGACCTGTCGACCAGTCACTTTTTAGATGTTGTGTTTAGTTATGTATCACGGCTGTAGGGATAAAGACGGTCCACTGCAGGCGTTTCCAAGAGCGCAGGAATTGCGACTAGCAGGAACTGAGGCAATACGAGAGCTGCCAGACGTGCGTGATGGCTCGCGTCCAGCACGGCATGGGGCATGGTCAGTCGAGTTGCAGTCGCAGTGAGATGTTTGGTTGCAGTGAGGCATGACAAGTGGATCAAAGCGGCGGGGGAATTCCCTGACGCTTCACCGTTCCATCGACCCTCTACAGTATTCGTACACACAACAGCCTATTGCGATACGCACGGCTCTAGCGATACGCCCACTCGCATTGTGTAGCCCGATACGGTTTGGTTGCACTTCTAGCCGCCAGACCATCCGCCTGTTGTAACCTCCATATCTTCACTGTTGTTTATTATTCCTACTCTTCACGGTGGTCATCACCTCCCCGCATGCTAAACTATGTAAACGCGTCAAGAATATGCACAATACCACCACGAAACTTGGCTGTCCAGACTGAAAGCGACAAGGCATCAGCTCTCTGTGATTATACCTTTGCTTCCGAGAAGATTTGTGTCTTTTGATAGTAGACATTCCGCTCTCTGCTACAGTCGGAGTTAGATGCAAGTCGCAGACAGCTCTTGTTGATGTTACATCGGTACCGTGATCGGCAGCAACCTTTGGTCCGTGATCGCTTGTCAGCCCATGCTTTTTATCCTTCCTACTCGAGCAGAGCCGTGCGGTCTTCCACCTCGCACTCCCGGCAGGATCATTGTGGCTGTCATTTTGATAAGCGTCTTCATACCGGAAGGCTCTGCCTATCGTCGTGAGTGCGTCTAATCGGATGGCGCATGCATCCTGTCCAAATGACCATTCAGCCAAGCATCTTACGTTACACTGGACAATATCTGATATTCAAGAAATCCTTTGATCATTACAAAATACTAGGTACGCTATACGAGGGAACTAGCCTCTAAATCCAATTTCGTCAAGTCATTCGCTCCACAGTTGTAAAGCAGCATTAACCGAAAGCGTCATCGAAATGACCTGCTCGTTCTTCAGACCTTCTCGGAATCATGAGCCGCAGCTTTACCATCCGCTGTGCCAATCACCTCTTCAACTGTCTCGTCCGAGAACTTCACATCTTCCTCAACACTGACGTGATCCTTGACTCTGATGAGCAGGACTGGTAGAGCACAAACCAGAGCGCCCAGCAAGAGGCCCCAACTTGAGGCAAACTCTCTCATGTACGCTAGGTTCTTTGAGTCAAGACGCCAAATGACAGCAGCTCCGGCAGACTGGATGCCCTTGTAGAAGCCGGCAAAGTTGGTGAGCTTGCGACCGTTGTTGGTCAATGAGCCCATGAACCAGTACACACAAGTCTGCCATGCGGCATCGTAGAAGCCGTAAAAGATGTACAAGAACATGGGACCAACGTAGCCCGAGTCGCTCCAATCTTTCGAAACGAACGTTTTTGCTGAAACGGTTTCACGAGTGTAGCCCGTCTGGAAGGCATATCCGCCGCCAAAGATTGCGAGTGTCAGGATCAGGATGGCAACCCAGGCGATCTTTGCTCTGACTGTTCGACGGATTTTGGAGTAGTCCAGACAGTATCCAAAGACGAATGCCCCAACAATCTGAGCAGTCCAATAGAGGGTATTATTCAAAGCTCGAGTCCTTGTGTCGAAGTATGCCAGGTTGACACCTGAATTGAAGTTACAGTTAGCAGGATCCCACAAAGCTGTACAGCAATAACATCACATCTATGCTGAGGAACCGTGTCAAAGATGGGGGGGATTGCTGTTCTGGAGGAAGGTTCATCGTCGACCACCCCACACCCCCGAAGCAACCCCCAGCAAGGTGATGGTGTTTCTGCCTTTGTATTGAGCCACTTACCATTGAACTGATAGGTATAAAACCAGTTAGAAGCGAAGAACATCGGGAAAAGACAGATGATGTATGGGTCGCTTCTGATTGTCTCCCAAAGTCCCATCAGCTCGGACTTCCAGGTGGGGTTTTTCATGAGGATGATGCGAGAGCCATCATTGCGAACAACTGATTTGGCATCTACTAGACACCAGGCCAGTGCAGCACCACATGCTGTCAAGACGATGAAGCCAATGTAGGTTCCGTCGGAGACTGTGCCACTGCTAGTGGCGTTGATGTTTTCACCGAGAGGAATCTGTCAAGGTCAGTAAGGATTGTTGACTTGAGGGGGCTACTTGGCTCACCAGACTTCCTATGACAGCACCCAGGTTGAAGATCATCCAGAACCAAGAGATGTATCTGCCCTTGGAATTCTCGGGAGGGTAAGACATCATGATAGCACCCTGAGCTGACCACAGCATACCGGCACAGCAACCAAGCAGAGCACCTGCAAAGATGTTGAAGCCTGTGTTTTGAGTGTGGCTGTAGCAGAGGAACGAAGCCACGTAAATGCAGTAGCCCAAACCACCAAAGGACAGCGACCATCTAATGCCGATGGAGTTGACGATACTACCAGCAAAGAACCCTTGTCACTTTGTCAGACATGACTCGATTGGCTCTGGGCATGTATCACTTACCGACGACAGAGAAGCAGGCGTAAAGAGCAATGTTGGCCTCATCAGCAGCTTTAGCAGACACTTGACCACCTCCGCCCATACCCGACAGAGCATTGAACATGCCAGGGCACAAGAAACAGACGAAAGCGACAATTACCAGCTGGGTGGCTGGGCTAGCATAGTGAGGTAGTGTTACGGGACCGATCTTGGTCGATCTGTACTTTCGGCCGATGGGCATGGCAACATCTGCAGTGCCATTGTCGACAGAATCGCTGGCCGATTCGATCTCGTGTAGATTCTTCTCGGTCGAAGGAGTCATGTTGACTCGGATGGGAGAAGAAAAGGCTTGGCGGTAGTAAGAGACAAACAGAAGAAAGTGTCGTGTGAGACTGAACGTAGTATAATAAGAGACAGTCAGATGCGGGGGCGGCAAGGGCTAGGTTTTCTAGGCTTGGGAGAAAGTTTCCTAGGAGAAAGCACGAGCAGGTGGTACATACGCAACTGGACGAGCTGGAAATAGCGGTGGGAGGCCGTGGTACTTTATGTCAAGTTCGTGTAACCACTGCAAGGCTGGCTCCAGTCAGGTGTGTAGGAGCGTGAATTGAGATAAGTAAGGAGGAGTAGTCTCGTGTCAGCCTTGCTGCAGATAACACCAGCGACATGGTTCGTCGCGTGCCCCAGTCTCTGATCTCCGCAGCTTGACTTTCCACGCAGACATTAGCGGTACAGCTTATCTCGCCCCAATTTTAGCCACGTCTTGGCCCGCCCCACGCCGATGTGTCCTTGCGTTCTTACGTCGGCTCCGCCGTTATCAGCCGAATGCTCCCGAATGGTCAATCAAAACTCGCGATGCAACCACAGCTTGTTGGCCGAGCTTCCCTTCATGTAACACCGTGATAGGCACACTGGTTCCACGAGGAGCGTCGTGGTACAACCTGTCAATGTCGAAGGCTGCGACTGTCTGGGGTACTGGCATCACTGTTCAAGAACCTTATCTCATCGTAAGTAGGTATCCATCAAATCCTTCTTTGCGTAGCATTCTCGTCGAGGTGACCCTTCCATGGCCTTTGGCCTGAGGATTGATGAAACCGTGACAGTCGATCAGCCAGTGATATCGGCTCAGCTTGACATGTGTGCTTGTCAAACCTGGTCTGTCGATGATGAGGTAGGTCGTTCCTGGTGTTTCTTTTGATTCAATATAATCCCATGTTCGCCTTGGTGCCCACCTCGTCTCTCCCGTAGCCCAACCCTTAGAAACACACATTGTCAAGAGCCATACTTCCTATTCACAAAGATGCGTCTTATTATCCGAGACGACAAGGACACAGCGTCCGCATTCATCGCAAGCTATATCATTGGTTCGTGGTGAATTTGTCTGGCCTGTCGCACAGATCCTAATCCTACTAGATCGTATCAAGGCCTTTGGCCCGACTCCAAGCAAGCCATTTGTGCTCGGTCTCCCCACAGGCAGTTCGCCCGAAGGTGTATACAAGAATTTGGTCAGGCATCACAAGAATGGCAACATCTCTTTCCGCGATGTCGTGACTTTCAACATGGTAAGTTCGAGACGGCACTGGTCTTGAGATCAATGGATTACTTCGAAGCTAACCTGTCTTTGACTTGCAGGACGAATATGTCGGCCTCCCTCGCGAGCACCCAGAGTCGTACCACAGCTTCATGTACCGACACTTCTTCTCTCATATTGATATACTGCCTTCGAACATCAACATTCTTAATGGCAACGCTCCTGATCTTGAGGCCGAGTGTATTGCCTACGAAGAAAAGATCAAGCGTGCAGGTGGTATCGAGCTTTTCTTGGGCGGCATTGGTCCTGATGGTCACATCGCTTTCAACGAGCCTGGGTCGAGTCTTACGTCTCGTACCAGAGTCAAGACACTTGCCTACGACACCATCGTTGCAAACTCAAGATTCTTCGGTGGCGATATTGCCAAAGTGCCTCGTATGGCGTTGACAGTTGGTGTGCAGACAGTAATGGATGCAAGAGAGGTGATCATCATCATCACTGGCTCACACAAAGCGCTGGCACTTCAGAAATGTATCGAAGGTGGTGTCAACCACATGTGGACATTATCAAGTCTGCAGATGCATCCACATGCGATGATCGTCGCAGATGACGATGCCACACTGGAGTTGCAAGTGAAAACTGTCAAGGTATGTGAGTTTCTCAGCTCAATACAGCGACATGCTAACAAGACACTAGTACTTCAAGTCTATTGAGCAGGTTGCATCGACACAAGGCTTCACACAGGTTTTGCCTGACATCAGCATCACCACTTCGAAGCGCGACTCTATCATTGAGAAGCTGGACAGCCCTCGCTCGCCCGAATCATCGTCTCCATTCGTCATCACTTCAAGCTCCACGCCGACATCTCCCACATCCATCTACAGTACAAACAAAACACTTTCTATCAATAACAAAGACGCTAGCTCGCAACGGCCAGTCACGCCTGAGCCAGTGCTCGATAGAATGGCTGATAGACTACCGCCTTCGCCATCCCCTGCCAACACCAAACTGTCTGTGAATACACCACTACAGCGACCTGTCACGCCAGAACTGAAACTGGATCGCATGTCAGACAGGCTTTCGAGGACACCTGAGATGAGAGCGGTGACCCCCGATCTGGTGCCCGATCGTATGGCGGACCGTCTAGTCAGGACGCCACAGGTTGCAGGTCAAGGTCTTGATGGCCTGGTGGTCGACGAGTTGCCTCTGAGCAATATGGGACAAAGAATTGCTGTCTGAATGTGTATATACCTGCTGCTGCATCGCTTCAAGATATGAGTGTGGATTTCTCATGCCGTCCTCGAGCTTTGTCCTCCTTGTACAGCATTCTTCATATCCTTTATTTCTTGCTGTTCATGTCGGCGGTGCCACCCTGTTCTATCCTTCTCGTGCATTGGGATGTATATATTGCCAGCTTTCGCGTGCATGGGCGAATATTATTGTACACAAGATCCATTGCTGATTCACCAGCACCTATTGCCATTCTTGTGGCTTGTTTTGGCAAAGCTTTGCCGTGATGTCTGATGTCTCAGTCAATCAACAGCGTTCCTTCCAGAATGGTAATCACAAATTTCAAGGACCCAGCGCTTAGCTCGAAGAAAACGTGCTCCATGGTGATCTGTCTCCTTCTGACATGGCCAATCGATATCCACAATCCAATTTTACGACCTCTTTTATTCAAACTCGAATGGACGATCATAAGACCATGAGGAATCACTCCACCCGAGTGCAGGAGATCGGATTTGCACCCCACGTGTATCCCTTTTTCCAACGGGTCATCTTCGACCGAGATCAAACCTTGCTTCAAAAACCCATGACAACATCTGCAGAAGCTAAGCCACCGAGTTTACCAAAGTTTTGGTGACTTCTTGGACATGCACAGCCAAGTAATTGGAAAATGCAGATCTCTCGCGTTCGGCTAATATACAATGAGGGGTATAGGACAATTTGACCGACGAGAGTGAGTAGAGATGCAAGGTAGGATCGAGCATGAAGAATCAGGCGGGCATGCTTCGGGTATAAGTATATTGGGTGTTCCTCTCGATGGCAGGTAGCTTTGCTAGAGAGAAGCTTTTACCAGCAAGTCATGTTTCTGTCTACTCAACTGCTCGCTGCAATCGCCAGTGTCTCCACCTTGTGTGTAGAGGTATCTGGCGCATTGCTGCCGGACAGAGATGTCTCTTCTTTGGTCTATGGGCGTCAGGAGACGACGAACGCATCTTCATCGTGGCCGTATGGTCCTTTCAGCACACAAGGCCGCGATATCGTCAACGCAAAAGGCGAGGCAGTGACCTTCGCAGGTGTCAATTGGCCCAGCAGTGGCGAGACCATGGTCCCTGAAGGCCTTGAATGGGCATCGATCGAGGACATTCTGTCGCGAGTACAGAGTGTAGGCTTCAACTTCATCCGTCTGACATACGCAATCGAGATGATAGACCAGATTTATGAACGAAACGGCTCAGATGTGGGTCTCGAGATCACAATGATTAATGGTCTTGGCTATGAGAATGGGTAAGAGACAATCCCAAACCCAGCATGAAGAGCTTTAGTTACTGATATGATGCAAAAGAACAAAAGTGACCAACGAGATTATAGCCAAGAATCCAACCTTCAACAAGGATACTACTCGCTTCGAGATCTGGGACCACATTGCCCAGGTTGCACTGTCTAAGAACATCTATATTCATCCTGATGTGCATGTCGGCAAGGCTCAATGGTGCTGCAACAACACAGATGGCAATGCCTGGTTCGACGACTACAACTTCCCTGTTGCAAACTGGAAGCGTGGACTCCAATACGTAGCTAATTGGGCCTCCAAGCATAACAACATCGTCTCCATGTCTCTACGCAACGAACTTCGCAGAGCCATCAACGAGACCGCTCCTACCTCTTCTCTCGGCTACAACTGGGTAACTCTGGTCGGAAACTACACAGCAGCCACCGATGCCATCCACTCTGTGAATCCAGACCTACTAGTCACCTGGTCAGGAATGCAATACGACCAAGACCTATCCGCCCTGACCCAAGCCAAGAACCTCAACACAGCGCCCTGCTACAAATGCGACGCCATTCGCGATGGCCTGCGCCGCGACCCCATAATCTTCGACCTAGCCTCTCACCCCTGGTCCAACAAAGTCGTCTACGAACTGCATCTATACAGCATGTCCGAAGACCTCGATACAGGCTCCTGCCCCATCGTCTTTGCCGAACTCTACAATGCAGGCTTCAACGCATTAGGCATGGCACCTCCTCCCGCCTGCAACATTACCAAAAACTGTTCGCCTGCAGTAAGAGAAACCCCAGTCATTCTGTCAGAGTTTGGGGCTGCGCAGGATGTGACGTTGTTTAATGATACCTTGATGAACTGTCTCAAGGACTTTACGGTGCAGAATAATGTTTCGTGGGCCATGTGGAGTTTGGCGGGGAGTTACAGGATTAGGAGTGGTGCGCAAGGTGTGGGTGATACTTGGGCATTGGGCAACTATGACTGGGATGGATGGAATTATCCTGAAGGTGTTGAGAAATGGTGGAAGCCATGGATTCGCTCGATGTTCGGCTAAAAGACCAGGGAGAGAAGTTGTAGAATACAATGGAGACATGATCCATTCTTTTCTGGAATCAAGCAAGGCGTCTCCTGTGTGCACAAAGGGCTGTCATGAAAGCACCGTCACTGGCAAAAACTGAGAAGAATCATTTTTCGCATTTCCATCATCAACAAGATTTGAAACTTTTTTTTAGAAACTTTCCTGTGTCGTGCATAAGGCAGAGTTCTTCTTTTTGACCCACGACCCATCTACTCGTTGTAGCCAAGAGCAGAGAGTTCTTTACGAACACCTTCCTCAGTTGAGATCTTGGATACTTGGGTGTTCTCCAACTTCTCACCGCCGGCCTGGCGCATCTTCAGATCGTCAATGGCGCGCAGCTTCTTCAGGAGAGCACGGACCTTCTTGTCCTGGCTGGACTCGACGGCCGGGCTGCTGACAGTGACCTCGGGAGCAGCGGCAGGTGCGGGTGCCTGCTTGGCGGGAGTTGCGGGACCATCACCACGGTGGGACTGGCCGCGTGCAGGTCCCTGTTGTCCAGACTTTGATCTGCTGCGCTCTCTGCGCTGCTGACCATCGCCGTTAGCCTCAGGAGCGAGACCAGCAGCCTTGGCCTCAGCCTCCTTGGCCTTCTTCGCCTCTCTCTTCTTCTTGTTCTTCAGAGCAGCCTTGCTAAGGTTCTCATCACCGTCGGCGCCAGCAAGACTAACACCACCGCCAGGAGCGGCGCCGGAAGCAGAGGAGTCGGCGGTTTCGGCACCAGGAACCTCGCGTCTTCTAGGGCGAGACCCGAAACCGTTAGCACCAATGTTGGCGGATGAAATACCCTGGTTGATGAAAGCAGCGCCACCCTCATCCTCACGTTTGAAGTGCAATGGGGTAGATGATCCACGAGCACCAGGAGGTCTGTAAGCACCCACAGGCTTGGAGGGAGCCTTCTTAGTGGCGAGGTGAGCGGCGGCAGACGCGTGAGGAGCAGGAACGTTGGCAAGGGGGTTACCCAGAGGGTGCTTCTCAGCCGACTCAGGACGCCAAGTGACGTGGTAAAGCTCATTCATCTCCTCGTTGTACATGAACGAACCTGAGACGTGCCACATACGGATGCCGTTGTCAACACGTAGACGAGGGCTGGTAGTAGCGGTGAGAATGTGCTGGCCATCGGGAGACCACTCACAAATACTGGCGTTGCTGGCCTCAATGGTCGAGACCTTCTGGTAGTTCTTCTCCATGTCGTAGATGTCCATGGTACCAGCCAAGTTGCCGAAACCAGCGACAATAACGAAGCGACCGTGAGGAGAGAAAATAATGGTGTTGCGAGGACCAAGGTTGAAGCTGTGCTGGGGAATAGCACGCTGGTTAAAGATGGTCGTCTTAGCAGGCATGTAACCATAAACGACACCAAATTCCTTAGAGTTGGGCGACCAGGAGACGTCGTGAATCGGACCATCCTTGTCCAGGGTGATGCGCGAGTCAAAGGCACCGCTGGAGCTAAGAATGTACATGTTGGTCTCGCCGTAGTAACTCTTGTTGGTCTTATCGACATCGGTCTGGGCCAGGACGATTAAGCTGGTACCCTCGTTGTTCCACTTGAGCTGGACCTTGTCGGCCTTGAAGAAGGTCTTTTGCGAGACAGGCGAGGCGAAGTGGGGGACGTTGAAGACCTTGACCTGAGCAGGCATGCCCTTGCGCTCTGGCACAAAGACGGCAATGTTTGCATTGCGGCCCTTGGACAGAGCAAAGTCTTGAACACCCTCGACGCGCAGTTTGTTGTGAACAGTGCCCAAATCCGACGTCTTGTAGAAGTGCACCTCGTTAGTGACGGCACGGGCACAGAACTCCTCGTCCAGAGTGTATTGCAAGTTCCAACCAGTCTGGTTCTTTTGCACGAACTGGCCAACGACTTGGCGGTTTGCGTCGTCGTCGAGTGTACGCCAGACCTTGAGGTTCTTGACGGCATCGCCATTCTCGTCCTTGGAAGGCCTCTGCCAGGTAATAATGTAGGTACCGAGGGGTGAAAAGCCCAGTTCGAAGACGTTCTGGGTGGGCAGAGTCGCGACCGTGTTGCCTTGGGCTGCGTCGACCACAGTCACCCTAGACGACTAGTCAGCATGGGTGAGACAATTGAAGGAGGCAGGAGACTCACTGGTCAGGAGAAGCCCAGGCGAAGAAGCGGCCGTCGGGCGAGTAGACACAGCAGCGGAGGTTGCCCTCTGGCCGCGTGAAGCCTGGGAGCGCTTCATATGCAGGCGCAGCATTCAAGATGCCAACACCCTTAGCCGTGCGATCTGCGACGTGTCAGTCGTGTCTCTTGTCTGACTGGCGTGTCTCGAGGCGGCGTACATGCGAGTTGGGTAGGTTGAGCCATGGTACTAATCAAAGCCACGGGCTGCAATAAGTTCAATTGTCGATAAATCTGCGAGAGCGGCGGGGGGCTATGGCGAGTGCGAGTGCGCGGATGCGGATAGGCAGGCAAAGATCTGAGTTGCGTAGGCTAAGATGAACTAAATCACCTCAGAGTGTAGTAGTAGACGGCAACACTGACTCCAGCTGGTATGTGATACTCGGGAAGCGTAAAGAACAAGGACGACCGCGAATTATTATGATTCGTGTGACGTTCAGCTTTCCACCCGCCAAGCTCGACCAAAAACCTTCCGACCACTTCCACCATTGTACTTTTCAGAGACAAAGACTTTCAACTTTGTTAGCTTCACGAGTATAGCAAAATACAGCAACACCGCGAATACAAAAGGTTTTAAGTTTGTCATTCTCGTCAACAAAGCTGTACTAGACAACCCAACTCCTAGCCATACAGGCCTGTTCTCCCAAGAAATTCCGTTCACAAATTCGTTATCATCAAGGTCGTGAAATATCGAACGTCGAGCCCCTAGGATACTGCAAACGCCATGTGAATGAAACTTTCCATGTCCTTCGATCCGGCAGACGGTCGTCGCCTCCACCAGCTTTCCCTTCTGGGCTGCTCTGCATGTGTCGAAGGAGTTGGTGAGGCTATGACAGGAGCATCTGCTGTAGCTTCGTGTATAGTTGAAGAATCGATCGAATTGCTGCGACTCATTGCTGGCATTCTAGTCAATGATGGCCGACGAGGTTGCTGCTGCTCGGTCGGACTCTCTACAGCTAGCTCGCCAACCATGTGACCTAGCACTCTGTCTGATTGCTCTCCTTGCACCAGTCAGTACACACTCGTAGGTCCTGTTCGAAGTTGCTCACTCTTGTACTCAGACCAGAGCGCTGAGATGTAATCTTTTCGGGATGTCGTTCTGGGAGTCTTTGGTTCTTGCATCATTTGCCAGAGTCCAATGTCTGCCATGTTTGATGTTATGCTTGCTATTTGTATATTGGTTTGAGGTACTTCCCAAATATGGCTTATGCGAAGAAAAGGCTCTATATATACCATACTATGGACTTTACCTGTTGACGACATGGGGACAAGCATCAGGAGATCCTCTGTGCCAAGAATCATGATATCTCGAGACACCCACAGATGCTACTCCTCGATTTGATCGTCCACCAGTCGACTTATGCACAACATCCCGAGCCATCAGTTGCTTGCTGCGTCAAGATCCGGAATGTTGTCGCCGTTCGGAATGGCTTTCTCCGCACGACAAGTGCCGCTCTGGGATGCTCATCCTGATCTCGGAACATTGAGTGCCTGCCCGCCTGTAGTATACCAACTTACAGATGAAATATGCTGTTCTAGATTCACCGTCTCGGTCTATAGCGGGAAGATGGAGTATAGCCTGGGTCTCGTAGTATAGCTTCAGGTTTCGAGCCATAAGTGTGGGTTAGTGCAATGCGCGGATTTAAGGTGAAGAGACGGGGAACCTCGCCATGCCCCTGACACACAAACAATGTCGTGCTACCTCAAGATGATGCTGTGGTCAGGAGGTGTCAAATAGTGAAGCAGGAGTGAGTCGCTGGAACAGAGCCCTGAGGCAACGTCAGCCAACGAACGCAAGCACGGTCCGCGCCCAGACTTCTACCGAGCTCGTTCGTTGCTGCCACCGTTGCGCGCTCCTGCTTCTGGTGAACCTCGTCGAACCCCTACGCTTTCCAGCACTCCATCGTCTTATCACCTCAAACCCATCGACATCGCCGCAGCTTCAAGCGCAGCACACAGGTTTGGCAGGACCTTTTCTCTCATTCTCTGTCGAATTAGTTGCGCAAGGGTCCCCTTAGTCGTTCTCTTCGGGCGCGTTCCTCTCAAGCTTCTCTACACCACCCATCCAGAGTGTTGTTCTACTCGCTGCACACTGCCCACAGCCTTTCGCCAATCTCGCAGCACCAGCTTCCCAGATACCAGCTATTGTCAACTCTGACTAGCCGACATCTCTTCCGTGCACACTCATCACCCGCACTCACCAGCACTACCACCTTCCGCTTCTTATACCACCAGTTCTGCACGATCCCTATCTCGATCGCCCTTCGCCCTGTCCACCCCGATCCCGTTTTCTTTGGACATCAGCACACTCCCCCAAGTGTACGTAAAAGACACGAATAGAAGGACCTATACAGAACAAGATTCTCGCACAACTCACTCGTAGCGTGATATTTGTTGTCCACGCTTGATTTACACCAAACATGTCGACCTCACCAGTTCCTGCGACCGCTCCTTCGCAAAAGCGCCCCCTCGAGGAGCCTTCGTCACCCAACGGACCTACCGATCAACCCGACGCCAAGAGACCTGCTCTTGACAAGGTCAAGGACGAAGAGCCCGACCAGGAGGCCGCTCCTGCATCGCCCTCTGCAACTGATGTCAAGCCCGAACCCGAGACTACCTCTCCCGCTGCTGTCGCCGCAGATGCAGGATCGAACGAGGCTCCTGCCGACTCCCACGGAGATACAGTCGTGCTTGACGCTCCTCCTGCTGGAATGCCTTCAGCCACTCAAGTCCTCGAGACACAACCCGTCCAATCTACTGCCGCCAACGGCGCATCCGCTGGTGCTCAAGATCAATACTCAGCACAACAGCAAGATGAGAGTAACTGGCTGCACATCAGAGCCATCATCTCGAGCGCTGAGGCTGCCACAGTCATTGGAAAGGGCGGAGAGAATGTCACCCAAATCCGCCGCATGAGCGGTGCCAAATGCACTGTCAGCGACTACTCACGCGGCGCTGTCGAGCGTGTATTGACAGTCAGTGGTCTGGTCGATGCTGTCGCAAAGGTAATGTTTATTCAGACCATTTGCATAAGTGAAACTAACAAGCTGCTAGGCCTTTGGCCTCATCATCCGCACGTTGAACAACGAGCCGCTCGAGGCACCCTCGACTCCTCAGTCAAAGACTTACCCTCTGCGCCTACTGATCCCGCATATCTTGATCGGCTCGATCATTGGCAAAGGAGGTGTCAGAATTCGCGAGATCCAGGAGGCTTCTGGTGCTCGCTTGAACGCTTCTGATTCTTGCCTACCATTGTCGACCGAACGCTCGCTCGTTGTTCTTGGTGTTGCAGATGCCGTCCACATTGCTACCTACTACGTCGGTAGCACTCTTGTTGAACAATTGACTGAGCGTTTCGGAGGCCCTGCTGCTTCTGCCTATGCTACTCGTAGTGGTGCTCCTGCTGGTGTCGTTCCTGGAGGTATGCAGGTCGTTCCCTATGTTCCTCAGCCTGCTGGTGGACAATGGGGCCCTCCAGACCACTTCCGCCGTCAACCTCCTACCCAGCGCGGCCCTCCCCCTGCTGGCTATGGTATGCAGCAGCAACATCCTTACGGCGGCGCTCCCACTCCTGTGCATCCTCAAGCACCTGTTCATTACCCTGCTGCATCGCCCAGACAGCCATATGTTGGCGCAGGTCCTCACGCTCCAGCTCCTCATGCCGCTGCCTACCCTGCTCAGCCCACCGCTGCAGCAGCAACTGCCGCACACGCAGGACCTCCTCAACAGCCAATGCAAGGCATGGTGCCTGGCCAGCCTCTGACTCAGCAGATCTTCATCCCCAACGACATGGTCGGCGCTATCATCGGAAAGGGCGGTGCAAAGATCAACGAGATACGCCAGCTCAGTGGAAGTGTCATCAAGATCAACGAGCCCCAGGATAACAGCAACGAGCGTCTTGTCACCATTACCGGAACTCAAGAATGTAACCAGATGGCACTCTTCATGCTCTACTCTCGTCTTGGTCAGTAACGTGAATCTTGCAGAAATGATCGAACAAGAAGCTAATCTGTCAAATAGGCCAGGTTCAGGCGGGCCAAAAGTAAACGCGAAACGAAACGAATATTCTGGCGAAATGACCACCAGGCCGCATCCGTCAGTGGAGTGCGCATGAAAAAGTTGACGACAGGACCAGTCAAAAGGCAGACTTGGAATGTATTTTTAGTAGAGGCACGCTGTTGGCCAGATCCGGAGCGCCGCAACATGGAGAAGCAGGTACGACACATTCCAATGCCACAAGCCATTGTCCTCCTAGCACCCGGTTTTCCAACATCGCACGGTGATTTGTGATAGGATGCTAGTAATACAAGATTTTGATTTCCCCTGATGATGATGACGATGACGAACATATCCACGTTTATTGACGAAGAACATACAGTATATGAGATTCAAACATGAAGAACAATTATGTATCTTTTGGGATAGAAACTCTGGTGGCAACGCTGGCCACACATCTGAGACGACTTTTAGGAAGCTTCCGCTTTCGGACAATTGAGCAAACATGGCATTCGATGAACAAAGCACACAACGCATGCGACAGTATTGAGCACCAGCTGTGATTGATTTAAATGTGCTTTTCACATGGAAGATCTGCCTGATCGTTTGCTCAGCAGATCACACTCCTGATCGATCACAGTGTGTTTCGGGTTTGCTGGCGTTGGCACACTCTCGGGACCGCTCACACTCGTTTGTTCCATCTTAATTCTCGACTAACTCAGCTGCCCACCTCTGCAGAGAGATATTCTACATACTTTTACGTCGTTGAATGCTCGAAGGACACGGGCACAATCTAGATCAATTACCACTCAATTACAACCCGAGACCAATGGCAACAGCTGGGTCCAACACTACATCGGCAATGGCAGACACACCTCTTCGCGGGACTGGAGTGCGCTATGCACCTACGCCGCTCCACCCTACAGCGCGCGGCAATATTCGAACGAACTTCAAGAGCTTTCACGAGGTCGCAACCGTGGTCGTTGGCGGACAGCACGCGCCAGACTCATTAACACGTGGCCAAGGACAAACAACCTACAAAATCCACAAGGATCTTCTGACAGCCGAGTCACCTTTCTTCTCAGCTGCCCTCAATGGTGCCTTTGCCGAAGGCCTTGATCAAACTGTGCATCTTCCCGAAGAGAAGCCAGAAATCTTCGAATGGTTCTTGTGGTGGCTGTATACGGGTTCACTTACCACGCCCACATCCACAAACTGCAGTGTTGAACCGAGACATCACCGGCTACGCGCCGTGGATGCCATGACCGGGTTTCCAGGTCATGGAATGCCACAACACGTCACGCATACGGATGGAGACCTGCGCAATTCGGCCGGCTCTCCCAAGTACTTCCTACTGCTCGATCTGTATGCTCTGTCGGACAAGCTCATGACAACTACACTCTGCAATCACATTATCGACACGATAGCAAGACTGTCAGAGAGCACTAACTCTGTACCCACCCCATCAGACACATGGATTGTTTACGATACGATCCGTGACAACGCCCCAATGCGCAAGCTAATTCTCGATCTATTCGCATACAAGAAAACAGACAAGTTGCTCGAGAGCCACAAAGACGAATGGCACCCGCGCTTTCTCCGAGAACTGGTCGTCAAGCTCAAGCGACCTGGTCTCGAATCATTGGACAGACACTCATTGGCACCATGGCGCCCCATCAGCTGGCAGAAGACTAAAGCATGTGAAACTTGTAGGGAAATACTTACGCCCAACATCAGCTGCGAGAAATGCGAGATTTGCGAACGAGCTTTCTGCTGTGGATGTGCTGGTGCTGGCAGGACGCCTGGGCTTGGAGGAGATGTGGGAGCTTGCAAGCCGTGGTTGAAGGGTATGTGCTCGAGATACCACGAGCATGCGCCTGGAGAGGAAGGAATGCAGAAATGCTGATGAGCATAGAGGGAGACGGTAACATGGACACAGTAAGGATGGTTCAAAGAAAATTCGGGATGTAAGGAAGTGCAAGGGAAACGGACAAGGGAGGAAATGTCGACAAAGATTTGCTGATCTGAGAAGATCCAATATGGAGGGATAGCTTGACAATATGGAGGAATAGCTTGAATGTAGCTCTTGATGTATATCGAGAATGGCCTAATATATCTAATCTTGATGCAATTGTTTCATATGCCCCAGAGCCTCGCTGACTCGGCCTGTCAGCGAATGTCAAAAAGGCGGGCCGAGTGTGGGGAAGGAGCAATTGACGCAACTCAGTGAAGCAGAGGTGGGGGTCTCCTTCCTTATTATACAACACTCATTCCAGACATGGTACAGAATATAGACACAGCCGCAGCGTCGCCGTCGCTCAAAATGTCCAACGTCGGGTCCCCGAGCCCGCTACGATCTCCGCTGGGTAGGAGAGACAGCAGAGACATGACATCGTCGCACCGCCAGTCATTCAGCGAGCGAGGCATTCCCAACTCCCCACGCCAGCGCAATCCCTCGCTATCGCAGCAGGCCATTCAGGATCTGATTAACAACCCTCCTGTTGGCCGTAAGGACGATGCTCTGCCCAAGTTTGCTGGCCGCGACTGGCGTAGCATCACTCTGGGAGAGATCTTGGTGCCTGACGAAGTGCGCTTCGTCGAGGTCGACAGCACCATTGAGGCCGCCACAAAGGTACTACTCCATATCCCGACCTCGATTGAAGCTGTATCTAATGCCTCTTTAGCTTCTGATCGAGTCTGGATCGCCCAATGTCATACTCATCCGTGAATCATCCTCGTCCCGCCAAGCCATTGGTCAGTTCGACTACGACGACCTCAACGCCTACCTCCTCCTCGTAACTGGCCTCGCTCGTCCTCAAGACTCGGACCTCGAACAAGTTGATAAGATCGTCTCCCGCGCACGTACAAACCAGCCTGTCGAGCTTGGCCACGTCAAGGATCTACTCGGCCGTAAAGAGTCGCTTGCTTTCTGTGATGCCTCGGCCACATTAGCTCGTGCTGTCGAGATTTTTGGTGGTGGCTGCCATCGCATCATTGTTCGCGCACCTGATTCGGAAGACGTCGTGGGAATATTGAGTCAATTGAGGCTGGTGCGATTCTTGTGGGAGAACCGAGCCAGCTTCCAACCTGTCGAGCAGCTGCACAACCGTTCGCTCAAGGAGCTCGACCTGGGCAGTCACTCTGTCATCTCTATCAACGGCGATCGTCCTCTCAAGGATGCTCTGCTTCTTATGCACAGCGAAGGCATCACCTCGCTGCCTGTGCTTGACAACCACAAGAACGTCATTGGTAACATCTCTCACGTCGACGTCAAGCTTCTTACCAACACCTCGGCCCTCCCTCTTCTCGACTCCTCCTGCATTCACTTCATCACCGTCATTCTCTCTGAACGTGGTATGAACGACGGCCAGGACTCTTACCCTGTCTTCCACGTAAACCCCACTAGCACCTTTGCGCATACCGTCGCAAAGCTCGTCGCAACTCGTTCTCATCGCATGTGGATGGTCGACGCCCCCTCCCCCTCCACATCCATCCCTGCCTCTCCACACCTTGGTCCCTCAGTCACGGCACCCCCTCCCGTGCTCTCTCAGCTCTCGTCGACTACTGCCGGTCCACCATACACGCCAGCCCAGCCCAGTGTGTCCGTACCAGCATCAACGCTACCAGGAGCCACACTTGGTGGTCACTTGAACGGCGTTGTCAGCTTGACGGACGTGCTCAACCTCTTTGCTCGTGTGTCCGGACTCAACCCGTTAGATCCCGACGAGACAAGACGTCGACGTCGCAGGAGCAGCAGTCACTCATCCATGCGAGCCAGCGTTGATAGCTTCAGAAGCAGCCTCGATATGGGTCAGCATTCAACGCGTAACAGCAGTCAACGCAGATAAGCATCTTGACTTGTCGATGCTAATCACTCGTTTCTTGTTATACATTACAGCACATTTTTTTCTTCTTCGTTCATGATGATATGGTGTACGCAGCAGCGGCGTTTGTTTCATAGCACGGAGGATTGTTGTGTTTTCTTGGGCGGACATTGGTTTGATTTTTCCTGTTTGGGGGGGCACGAGAAGAGCTGGAACACAAGTCATCCAGCGTGTTTCCTGCAGAAAGGGAAAGAAAAAACAATAGAAATTGCATGAATCAAATGGCATTCTCTTTTCCTACTCTTTAGTAGTGGTTCCAATGAGATTATTCGTGCTTGTCATGGGATGGTGAACCACGCTTAGAAAAGTAGAAGAGAACGAACAACACACTGAGTTTCAATGAGCGATCAGTGGAGAACAGAAAAAAAGATGGGGCGGTTCATGAGCAAAGATAGTTATGAAATTTGATTTGTATTATCAGCAAGTAACAAAAAAATTCAATACTCTGGCACGCAAAGAATAGAAAGAGAAAAAACGATAGGAACAAGAGAACAGAACAGGGAGAAGAAAAAACAAAAGTAGGGAAACAAAAATAAAAACTCGCAAGCGGGTATCAGAAAAGTATCGACAGAGACCAACGCAGGTTACAAAGCAAAAAAGAAACAGGAAAACAGAGTTTAAAGCAGAGTTAGTTGGTCTTGGAGGTCCGACCGTATTTCTAGGAGCTGATTGCTTTGCAAAGGATCTTTGGTGACTGAATCTTTTTGGTCCAGGATTGAGAAGATGCTCTGTGCGGTGAGTGTTGGCGTGTCTAGTTTGAGGCGGTATGGCGATGATACTCTTGATCACCACATTCTACAGTAGGGTAGGCATCCCGAGTAGTCCAAGGGACCAGCTCCTGGATTGTCATCCGCAGGGACACCACCTCCTTGATCATCAATAAATGGAAAGGAACGGCGGGCTTGGTGAACGCGAATTGTCTTCATCATCGTCGCCGTTGTCACCACCTGCTTGATCATTCTCACCCTCATCGCCAGCATCACCTTCGACAGCAGTTTTGGAAGTCGCTATCTTCAATCCCCCGATGTCAACACTAGCAGTGTGGCCTTTCATGTATGGTGTGCCATCGGGGAGAAAATCATGGTCGAGGTCGTAGAGAAAAGCGCCGTTCTCATCTCTCAATGGGAACTGAGCCGTGCTCCAAAGTTCATTGTACCCGTATTCGAGGTCGAACTTTTCGTCGGGGAGAACTTCTAGCTCGCGGAACTTTGCTCGTTTGTCTGCCTCCCATGCTCGCGTGTAGATTTCTGCGTTTGCGAGACGCTTTCGCTTCTTGGTCGCTGCCTCGACCTCTTCAAGTGTTGGTGGCGTGGTCTTTGGCGAAGGCTTTGCAGCTTTCTTCTCGTCGTGTTTTCGTTGTTGCTCTTCAAACCATGCATCGTTGCCAAAAGTGTCCATACCATGGCGGTGTTGCAGGAATGCCGGACTTGTTGTGATGCTTTGCAAGACTCTTCTTGAAGTTGGTCGCTTTGTTGGGTCGAATTTCAAACAGCGGGATAGCAATCGTCTCAGATCCATCGAATAATCCTGACCAGGTAACTCGCCCTCCCAATCCAAGATCTCGGGTTCCATTTCCTCGACTTTTTTTCCAAGACGATACTCGATCTGGTCCGGTTGCATGGTCAACTTCATCATTGCTTCGGCCACTCTTGCAATCTGCCAGACGTTCGTCCAATCATGGCATCCCATGTTCTGAGTCTTGGGATCATCGTACACATATTGCGCATCGATTTCCGGCGGTACGTAGCCCCTCGTCAATGCGCAGATCAGTTTGGACTTGCGATTCAGTTCATCCTCAGAGTTGGTCAAACCTAGAGCAAATGAAGTCAGCAAGTCTCTCAAATTGCGTATGGGTGCACTGCGAGTCTCCTTGGATATGCTGTTCCTTTAAATACTACTGAGCAGCCTCGACTGCATGGCATAGAATCAAGCAGGCTCCAAAGGTAGTACATAGTGCTAGTGCAGTGGGTTGAACTTACATCCGCCTCCGAGATCAGCGATGTGAGGGCGAGGATAGATGGGAAAGCCCGACGTGCGTGAGGGCGGGGCAAGCAATATGTTGTCGGGTTTCATATCAAAAACGACAATAATGTCTGATTTGGTAGATCCTTCGCGTTTCTGGGCTTGCTCTTGCAACTGCACAGCTCCACTAAATAAGCAGTGAAGAGTGTGCCAGATGAAGGGTTCCGGGTTTGCCTTGCGGGCCTGTTCTCCATTAGAACACAAGAATGATAAAGAAAATATTCGATTTGAAGATACCTTTCTATGGGCGTACATTAGGTTGAACATGCTTGAATAATCATACAAAGGCATGTATAATCTCCAGTGGTTATATTCCGATCCTCGGAGACTAGGGAGCTGTTTTTTATAGCCCCACATGGGCACAGAGAACATCTCTTCTTTCGAATTAGGCTCAGTCATGATGCCTTGAAGATAGGCTTCCTTGCAGAACCTCTGGTCGCTGCGAGCGTGACCTAGCTCAGTTTCTGGGTCAACGTCAAAGTCGAAGCCTTTGCGAACGAGCTGTTGGTAGACATTTTGATAGAGACCCTCTTCTTTGGTAGAGTGCTTGTCGAAGCTATCCTTAATAGCACACGTCTTGAGAGGCTTCTGCGTTACGTTGTCAAGCAAAATCCACAATGTGACCTCGCCATAAGCGCCTCTACCAAGTGCATAGCCGCCAATCCAGGTTGTGCCGAGTGGCGGCTTTGGGAGGACGTTGATGTATTGAAGGCCATCGGGGTTTGCGAGAATCGCGGCCCTCTGGGCACTACTGAGTTTCAGTGGACCCATGCTGGCTGAAGTGATGATATATCGGTCAGGAACAATCTTAATACCAGATTGGGGAGGAAAAGTTGAACATGCTGGAGTGCGAAAGTTGTCTGAGCAGACTTCAGGTCATGATGATAGCTTTGTCCGCTTTCGGCCATGACCATTGTGCTTTGTACTGCTAACTCGAGAATATTGGACAAACAAAGATTAGAATGACTGGTGAGAATTCAGCAAGACAATGCAGTAGGATGTGCTGGCTGATGGATGATTTGATGAAGCATTTCCGCATCCGGACACGTCGATCTAGTCGAGCAAGCAAAGCCTAGACAAGCTCGCACGAGTACTTCCTATCAGTTCAGACTCGCATCAAGACATAGTTGATATGTATCGATGAGATGGAGTCGGAAGCAGAGAATATAATCAGACGCCATGATAAAGTGGTGCTGGTAGAGAGACTAGGCCGTACCTTGGCCAGAGGTTCATCATATTGACGAGGTGCAATCATCGGAAGAGACAAGACACACCAGGTAGACGCACGACACACCACGGTAGCAACAAGAATCTAGGAACAGAAATTCAAAAGAGTTCACGATGAATTGATAGGAAAGAGACGTGCAAGGAAAGAGGTGCCCATGCGTCGCACTCACCGCCTTTGCCGGCAGACCCCAGATTGTGACCGAAACATCGTCATTCCATCAATCTTGACTTTGGAAGCAGCAACAGACAATTCAGTCCAAACCACACACACACAATCCAGCCATCATGACGATACCGCTACTACCACGCCTCGGCGCACAATGCGCTCTCAAGACGATAGCCACAACCACACGCGCGCCCCTCACAACAACAGCAACAAGAAGCTTCACCTCACTCCCGCCCTACCCACCCACAAACCGCGACACTCCCGCCCGACCACCGCGAGCCGCCATGCCCATGCCCTTCGTCACTGAGACCGTTGGTGGGGGATGGCACACCTACGATATCTTCTCGCGCCTCCTCAAAGAACGCATCATCTGTCTAAACGGCGAAGTCGACGAAACAATTTCTGCAAGCATAGTCGCTCAGTTACTATTCCTCGAAGCCGATGCACCGCAAAAGCCCATCTCCTTATACATCAACTCGCCGGGAGGTATTGTGACGGCTGGACTGGCTATCTACGATACTATGATGTATATCCGCAGTCCCGTTAGCACCATCTGTATGGGTCAGGCTGCTAGTATGGGAAGTTTGCTGCTGTGTGGTGGCGCAGAGGGCCAGAGATATACTCTACCGCATAGCAGGATTATGATTCACCAAGTCAGTGGTGGATACCAGGGTCAAGCTTCCGATATCGCCATTCACGCAAAAGAGATTCTGCGTGTGCGTGAGCAACTGAATGAGATCTACCTCAGGCACTTGACGAAGAAGCATACCATGGAGGAGATTCAAAAGTACATGGAGAGAGATTACTTCATGGGTGCCAAGGAAGCCCTCGAGTTTGGTATTGTGGATAAGATCTTAGAGAGGAGAGAGCAGGCTGGCGAGGCACGATAAACATTCTTCATGTCAGCATCAGATACATCTTCTGCGTGGCAGGCTGAATACAACAACAACAACAGTAGTTGGCACTCTGTCCTTGAACCTGAAGCATTGGGCAGAAGACCTCTCGTACCGCAGCCAAACCACTAAATCAATATACAAGAACTACCCATACAGATGGGACCGAGGCAAGCCCTGATCGTTCTCGTTTCCTGTCCCGATCCACGATCAGCGTGCCATGGACCGTTTAATCTATCCTCTACACTTTGGACCTGCAGATTACGTCTTAACTGGATCCCGCACCAAGCCCTAAGGCTGCCCACAAGGCTGAAACATACTCAAACTCGACGACGTAACCAACCTTGTCGATAATCCATGCTGTTATCTCTTTCCATGGCAGAATAGGCTTCAACACGAGGATATCGAGAATGAGTAGTGAACTGATGTATTGATAGAATTGAAGGTCGGTATCTCGTTACATGTATGGGTATATATAAAACAATCAGAAGAAAAAAAAAATCGTCCAAGATCCACAAGAAGCTGGGAATTACAAATGTGTTTTCGTGACAAAAGAAAAGAAGGAAGCTCTACTTAGACAACTTCCAGCAGAGACTCTTCACTAGATCGACTCCGTGATCGATGGGCAGAACGGAGTTGGCGTGGCGAAGTCGGACTCATGACATGCAATTCCAATGCTTCGCCAGTAACACTGTGTCTATTTGTGGAGATTTGCAACTCCTTGGTTACAGTGACGAAACCATCGTCTTTCGGTCCCATGTTATGGCCAGAGGTGACATAAGATCCAGAGACGCCTTTACTGCCGCTCAATGCCATAGGTGTGCTTCTGGGAGTTCTGCTGCGAGAGGACGAAAAGTTCGTTCGTGCTTTGTCGAACCAGAAGGCAAACAGAGGGCGAAGAGTTGCTAGACAAGCGGCGGTGATACCGAGGCCGAGTTCAACGATGGATGTGATGCCGTAGTCGGGAGCGGAGACCAACAGATCCTGCATTGGAACGCCAATGACATCGACATAGGCCAGACGCACAATAGAACAGATGCTGCCCGAAACACCAAGACCAAGGATAGTGCATACCGTAATCTTTTGTTGCCTGCCCATTTGTGCAGCTCTGACGACGAAAATGGGAACTTTGGCTGATGTTAGTCCAGGTATTCCGAAGGACCATGGGTATTCAATGACTTACTAATTGCAAAGATCCAATCCGTGACTGCGTTGAGTACTCCATGGGTGTAGTTGAGAGGTCGCAGGACGGTCCGGAACGGTCAGCACTTTCCTGCAGCTTCATTCTTGCCATAGTCTCCTGGATTACCACATTGGAAGATGGCGATGAAAAGCCAGGCGGTTCCAAAAAGAGTATATAATGTCACCGAGCCGATGATGACCTGACGCTGCCACCTTTCGTTGATGACACGAAGGAAAAAAATCGCCAGACTAAGCTTGAAGATGATGGTCGTTAGGATATAAAGACCGAAGATGCAAACGACCAGCTGCAAGTGTCGTTAGAAAATGGTCACAGGATTGTGCGAGCCAACATACTGTCAAGATGCCATTTACGGTGTCTGAATCCGCAACGCCTGGGGGAATTATCTCTGCCCTCGCAATGGTCATGAGCAATGAAGTTGTTATCACAAATAAGACCTATTGAGTCAGTATCGCGTTCGAGGGATGCGACTGAACACCAGTGCTCACCCAAGTAACCATCATAAGCCAATCGTCCCATCCAAACGCTCGAATCATCCAACCTCTAACGTATATTCTAGCAAACACTGTGATAGCAGACAGAGCCAGAAATACTGCTGAAACCGCGAGCATGTCATACGACTTGAGCTCATGGAGAGTCGGTATCGCTTTAGCCGCAGTCATGACTGCTGATCTTGCACCAGATGATGCCCAGTCGAACAATAGACTGTATCAGAGCAAGTGCGACTACCGACAAGAGGGATACGGTTTTGGGTAGACAAAGGGCAGTGAATCCGGATATCTTGGTGGATTAGAAAGAAAGACGAAAAGAGAAAGTAGGGAGGTAGTACCTACTATAGGTCGATGGCGAGAATAAGCTCGACCAACCAGATTGATGGGAAGCGAGGGCGACTTTAGTGTTTTGCTATGGTCTCAGACAGCACAACCGGGCATTGCATCAAGGGCGTCCCCACAGCGGCCACTTTTTCCGGCAAGCATATCTAGCAGAACAACGTGGCATGACATGCCCACTGTTGGGTCGCATTCGCTCCTGAATCAAGTCGAGGCGTAGGTTAGTAGCGAGTCAATTCGATATTAGCACCTTCCATAGGTTCCACTTGCAGTTAATGTGATGGTAGAGTTTGAGTGGTCATGGTAGCTCGGGACTTGTAACGCTTTACTGGCTGCTTGGACAAGGCTCTTCTCGTCTCCCGCAGGGTGGCTTGAATTGAATTTTCCTGTACGAACGGCGATATCAAGCGACCCTAGCGAAAGGGCAACAGGAAACGGAGAGCGGCAGTCCCATTGTATGTACAGACAAGCTTGTTTGAGCTCGCCAAGCAGGGCTTAGTCGCGCACAGGTCTGGCCAGGGTCTGATCTGAGCATGAGCGCGGAGGATCTGCCGGGCTGCACATCCCGAGTCTTTGGGATGATCGCGCAAAGATGATGGTTTCATGAGACGGCGAAATGGGCATTTCATGTCCTGCGAAAATACTATGATTCGAGATGGCAATGACAAGAAGGTCCTGACAAGCACGTGTCTGAAAGTTTCGAAGCTGTCTTGAGAACGGACTCCATTGACGGGCACGGATGAACGACGAGAAGTAATTTAATGATTCAAGATCAAGGTACGGCAACCGGGTGCTGGGTTCATGCAAGGCGCAACCCTACGACGATCAAGCAGTGAACGGCAGATGAGAAATGGAAGGATACCCGAGAGGTTGATTTGGAAGCAGCTTCAGCTTCCCTTCCTCGACGAACGAAACGGAAGGGCTAGAATAAGATTTGCGATAACGTGGAAATGGTGCAGACAAAGGAATCTATAAAACAGTGTGATTTTGGGAGCGACGCTATGATTGATATGGAAACTACGCGAAAAGCAGTCTTGTTTTGGAAGAGACGTTGGTCACAAAGACAAGAAATGTAAAGCGAGCGAGCAAACGCGAGCTGACGTTGGTAGAATATTTGAGTCTGTGCCCAATGGAAAAATGGAAGGTCGGCTGTTTGACAAGAACAGGTAAGGCGGCAGGCGGGATGATGGAAAGCCGAACGCGTTTATGAGAACGGGCGTCAAAAGGAAAGCATGCGCTGCAAGGTACAGAAGCAAGACCAGTCGCCAGGGGTTTGTTGGTGAAGATCAGAAAGGTATGCTGGAAGGAGAACATTTCTCCTTAATAGACCCACGGCATGGAAGCGTATGCATTTCCTTGCGTAAGAGTCCACGACTGATGGGGCTTTGCGAAAGCAAGCACCGCAAGTTTGGTTAAGAGGGACAAGAGGAGACAGCAAAGGGCCCCGCCGCTCGAGATCCACGTGTTTGTGGTGGATCAACCCCTACGAAGGCGGCGTTCGCCGTGCGGGAAGGCCGCTGTGCACTGAGGCGCTTGTGGTCCAGCGACTCATCTGGAGCGCTGAATGCTTGGTGAAGTGTAACGTTCCTGGCTGCCTTGTTCAAGCAGCTTGTGTGTGCAATGAAGCTGTGCAGACAGTGAGCAGCAGCTGCGCACCTTCCTCACTCGACACATAATCCGGTCTTGCGCCGGCCGTCATGCCGCCAAACAGAGATGACAGCCCCAGCACCCAAGTCGCTCTCCATCTGTCGCAACTAGACATGGGCGCCGACACTCCCACCACCAGAAAGCGGCCTGCAGACATGGCCGAGATCGATGAAACTCCTGGCGCATACGACCAGATGATACCCTCTGCCTCTCCCTCCAAATCACCTACACCTAACAACCCCACCTCACCGCGGGGTCGCCTGGTCCTCCATCCTCCCCGCCGTGTCACTTCTCCTCCACCTCCTACTCCGATTGCTTCGCCCAATCTCGAAGACGAACATGATTTGTCTCTTCCTACAGCTATAAAGATTGCCCAAGACAAATTATCTGCCTTGCGCTGCGATTCGCCAACCAACCCTACTGAAGATGATACCTGCAATCAAGATGAGAACATGACCTGGCAACAAGATGAGATCACTGGACATCATATCGACCACACTGCCGACGACGATGGCGAAGGCATTAATGGCATTGGCTTCATACCAACACCTGCTATGGTCACTAAGCGCTCCGAATGGCGCCGGCGTCAGATTTTGGAATGGCGCGCTCGCGAATCAAGAGAAGCAAGACAACGACGCTACGATAAGCGCAAAACTTCACAACGTGATTCTGCCATCTCTCTCGATGAGGGAGGCTCTTTCAAGCGCCGCATGGTAAGGTTTGCGGAGGCCTGACCGTCACCGTCCTGCTCCTGTTATACGACATTTTACGATCTGGTGGGCTACAATGCTTTTTAAGGAATTGCTTTTATTGCTGTCATTGGCGTTGCGCGGTGTTGCTACAGGATACCCATAAACAAGAAGGAAACCAGGCCGGGACAAGGACATGTGATTTTTTTTGTAGCATGTCGAGACGAATGATATGCATGCTTTCCAACCTCAAACAAGATTAGCTTTTGCTAGGAGAGGAGGCTGTGTCAAGATCTCAGCAGAGCATCTGTAATATCTTGCCTCCGATCCGTACTCGTATGCACGAACTCAGCCCTGGTTGCGATGAAACTGATTGCCAACACCATCGCTCTCGCACGACCTGGTGCATCGTATATATTGATACGAAGCGTACGAGGCTCGTGACATCGTAATATCGTACACAGCCATCACTCGGATCTGAATCCCCTTGGCAATGCCATCTTATAAGTAATCTTTGGTTTCCACCGAACACTTGATCTTGACATGCTCTACACTGATGTGTACACCGATGTTTCGCGACATGAGCTTCCGCAGTCTTCCGTTGATGAGATGATCACTTCGCAAGCGCTGCCCGATCCAAGATCAGGTGAGCAAAGATATTCCGATAGCGATTTTTGCACAACTAAGATTGGCAAGTAAGAATCACGATATGACTCACGGGCATCTCTCAATGCGGGAGACATGACCTTTTAATACTTCGATCAGATGGTGGTAAGCATGTGGTGGTCGAGCAGCTGTTACAAAGAATGGCCAGGCATGCATGTGCTTGGTCAAAGCTCTACGGGATCTACGGTCTCCGTGACTCCGTCAGCCGTTCGGCGCCTGGCAAGCTCTCGCCGAGCCCTGCCTTGCGTAACTTTACCCTGACGAACTCTTTTGTCAGCAATATTCTTTCTATGCCTCGGAATCTTCTTGCCTGCCAACCGGAGAGACAAGAGATATACATAGGGCCTGATCAGCCGTCAGTGAGTAATGATTGATCGATATCGATTTGATTATGCCACCTACTAGAAAGGCGTAAGATATCACGCGAATTGCAATAGCATTGATCGTCGCTGATTCGTTGTAGCCATCACAAATCACGAAATGGTTGTAACCAATGCAAAAAGAGACACGTCAAGGTCAAGAGCAACCACAGCTTGTCGAGTTGAACATTCAAGTTGATTTCCTTCCAGTGTGATGAAGTCAGGCCAACTTGTGGAAACTGCGTGAAACGAGACGCGACTTGCAGTTTCTCTTTGAACGAGCAGAGCCCTTCGACTGGCCATGAGGATCGAGACACGCCACCGAGTGCTGTCGATGCTCAGCACAGGATCCTCTCGCGGGCCGAAGAGATGGACCTGATACACTTCTTCATAACGACCACCATCAAAACTGTTGTTCACGACCCTAAAGACTGGCACCTGTGGGAGCATAACATTCCTCAACTGGCTTTCCAGAATGAATATCTGCTTGACATCCTTTTGGCCCTGGCCTGTGTTCATCGTTCCAAGCTTCACCCACTCAATGCCAAGTTTTGGGTCCGATGTGCTATCGAATATCAAAATCGGGCGTTACCAGTTTTCTACAAGGTACTTGGCGATGTCAACGATGAGACGTGCCACGCTGCTTTTGCTTTGTAAGTCTCGCCCAGTTTTGACATAGAAGCCTGAGAGCGGTCAGATGCAGATGAAAAACATCTCGGTCTCTAGGGTGTCTAGTTCTTCTCCCTTCTGAAGCTGGCGATACTAACAATGAATGCCTCAGCTCTTTCGTCACAACTATGGTGGAGATATCAATACCTCATCCAGACATGGATCCCATCGAACAGCTCGTGGGATTACGAAACTATTTTAGAGGAACAGCAATGCTCTATCTGACAATGCTGGAGCCTCTTAAATACGGCCCCATGACACCCTTTTTCAGACCCAGAACCATCACATGGGAGTACGACTCTGAAATTCGAAAGTCTTTCCATGACAGAATTACCGCACTTTACGACGTAGTTGCTGGAAGTCCCGATGAGAAAACTTACAACGAAACCATTGCGCTTCTATTAAAACAATTCTACGACTCACCATTCGCCGTTATGGCCTTTTCACTACTCGTTGGGCCAGACTTCTTCCAGCTTGTCTGTCAGCGCGAGCCTCTAGCCGTACTGATTTACATCTATTGCGGCGTCTTGTTTACCAACATAAACGAATGGTGGTGCGATGGCCTTGGAAAACGAATCGTTAACGAGTTGTCGCTTTCTGCAGAAGTGCTGGAAAGTAACCCGAAAATGGCGTCTGCTCTTTTATGGGCTAAGCAGCAAGCCAGCAAGTCCACAGAGCCGAATCGAGTCCTATTTTGGCGGATATTTGTGAGTTGAAGAGCTCCGAGACCGTGTGGAAAGATTTGCTGATGGTTCGAAGGACTCCACTCAGCCCAACGAATGCGTCGAGGATTTGCTGCACCCAGACGATAACTTGCATAGTCTTCGTTCAAACAATGTTTCTACAGTAACGACACCCGATACCGGTCGACCGAGAAACGGTAGTTCGAGAGATTCAGACATTCAATGCTCAGCAAGCATAAGATAATCACTTCATACCGCGATAATATTGTATCACAACCGAGCGAGACATGCTCAAGCAATCGCTTTACGTTCCAGCATCCCTCAGACTTTGGGGACACATTCAGGCATATGGGCAACCCATTGGGCAGGTTGAAGGGAGCATGCCATACTAATTTTGAGGCTCGCGCTGATGGCTTTTGCTCTTGGTCTGAATCATCATACGCAGGGCAATATCTCGCAATATAGATTTTCATTCGCTACCAAATCATATGTTGGCCAAGATAGCTTTCACACTTGGCAAACTGTACCACCAGCATTCCCCACTTTCCACTGACCGGTCAACTCACGATTGGACGTATATCAATGCAACTAGTACCACGGCATTACTGACTCACAGATCTCAGCTCTCCTTCACGTTCTGACTTTGTTTTTGCTGCTTCGACCTAACAATGAATGCCTCGCATCTCGACCACATTAAAACTATCCTCAGCCCTTCCGAACTTGTCGACCCGTCATCCGACCAATACAAATCCGAGTCGCAGACATGGCAAGCACATCGCAACCTTCACCCAAAAATCCTCGCTAGACCAAAATCAATCAAGGCTCTTGCTGCTCTGATTGCTTTCCTCGCTACCTCGGACCTAGATTGGGCGGTCCGGTGTCAGGGAATTGGCGATGCGAGTGCAAAGGATGTGCTTATTAGTCTCATGGCTTTCAAGGAGTTTGCATTTGATGCTCAGAACGAGAGTATTGTGATTGGTGCGGGGCAAACTTGGGGAGAGGTGGAGAAGAAGTTGGAAGAGGAAGCGCCTGGGTATCAAGGTATGCCTCCTTCGCTGACCTCCACCATCTCGTACTATGCTTCTTGGATGATCTGGTTTCTAATCACTTTAGCTTTCTAGCTCTGAGTGCACGATGCAGTTTTGTCGGTGTAAGCGGTATGATCCTGCACGGTGGTCTCTCTTGGATCTCATCTACTTATGGTCTGGCCTCCGACCCTCAAAACTTCGTCGACGCTCAAGTTGTGAAGCTAGATGGTAGTATCATCTGGGCATCACAAGAGCCAGATCTTCTTTTGGCTCTTCGCGGTGGCGGTCACGGATTTGCCATCGTCACGGCCTTTAGGTTGAAAGTGTACAAATACTCACAAAACATCTACAGTGGAAGTATAAAGTTCCCGCGGTCTGCGTTGCAGGAAGTTGCAAGAGAGGTGGAGGGGTTTGCGAGGAGGATGGAGGAATGGCCTGGTACGGCAATGTATCTCTATAACACTGACTTGATGGAAGGGTCTTTCATTGGTGCTGCTGCTCAACCTGGTATTGCAATCTGGTTGTTCGATCCCGAAGGCGAGGGACATGGAAGAAGGATATTCGACTGGGCTTTGAAGATCGAAGGAGCTGTGGACGAAACCAAAACTATGAACTTGAGACATGTAAATATCCATGGTGGTGAGTTTCTCATCCCTTTTGTCTGGGTTTTCTGTATGGTGTCAGTACTGATGCAGAAGTCCGTAACAGACAGCGTACTTGCAGCCAAAGGAGTTTGCTCAGCAAACATGTCCAACATCACCATCCCTTCCGCCGCCATGACAGAGCAACTCATCCTCCGCGCCTGGGATTGGCTTGACAACACAATCGCCCTCGACCCCAGGAGACTCCACACTGGCACTTTTGTCCTGCTCGAGCTGTTCCAGAAACAAGTCTTTAGATCCGCCAACGAGAATGGTCAGTGTGCTTGGCCACACACAAGCAACCAGCATCTTCTGCAATTGGGTGTGGGAAGACTTGATGAAGGTGATTATCCCACGAAATTGGACAAGGATGCCCTTGATATGCTCAAGAATGCCGGAAAGTTGATTGTGGGTGATGAGTTTCCGCCTGCAGACTATTTTATCAACTTTTTGCAGCCATGGAATGATCGTAGAGCGGTAAGATGCAATTATGTTCCGAAGTCTCTTAATGTCAAGTTGCTGATTGTCGTATCAGGTCTTTGGCGAGAACTATGACAAATTACAAGCCATCAGAAAAAAGTATGACCCTAGAGGTGTTCTGATCAGAACGAACGAATGATGCTCGATGAGATGGTTTATGGAGTGATTTGCTCTCTTTGTGTATGATTTCATTATTATTCGTTATCCATTACTCGTTATATGCTCGCTAAAAGACAGTAAACGCTTCAAAAAAATCGCTCCAGATCACACAATGCGTAGCCGTTCTCCCACATCCAGTCTGACAATCTGTGTCCTGTGATTCGCTTTTCCATGCTTTCCGTTCTGATGCAATGCCATGTTTTTATTTTCGTCATCCAACTTTTGCTGTGCTTCCTCTGCAGAGTATACCGAACTCTTGATCCATGCAACAGACCAACCTCTGTTGTCCTTGACCTCGTCATGCGCGCTGATCCAGTACCGAGCTCCCAGTTTTCGCACGATTTCAGCGCCTCCAGGATATCCTGCCGCTACGATGCCACCCATAAACCAAGGATTCTCCTCGGTATTGATGGAGTGGAACAGGGCAGTCAACGGCAATGCAGACTCCTTGGCCAAGAATGACGATGCATATGGCTCGATCGCAGGATATGCGACGCCGTGAGGGCTGTATAGAACACTGATTGTCTTCTCGAACGGCGCAATAGTAGGCAAATCTCCTTCGAGTTCCATGGGTGAGTCAGGAGGTGTCAAAGGATCGCTTCCATCAACCACAAGGTCCAAGAAGTTGCCTGCCATTGGAGAATCTTGAGGGGTTGGTGGGAGGTTGAGCAGATTGACGACAGAGCCATTCACGGAAGTTGTTTTGCTATTGGGTGCTCGGTATGTGAGTCCGATCGCATTGTGGAGCCTTGTTGGGTCCATTTTTTGTGGCATGTACGAAATTGTGACTTCACCGCCCTGGCTGGTGAGCGAGTATCCTGGAATTGGTATGCGTATAACAGATTTTTCGTCTTTGCTGTTATATGGCTGCATCGTTTGAATGGTCGCATGCGTGAAGTGTTTCCATGACCGAATTGATTTGGCAGCTACTGGAGTTGCCAGGATGTGGATTCTAGAGTCTGCTGGGAGAGTGCATAATGTCTGTTTGTGGCAATGATCAGGTTTATCCTGTGAGATGATGATAAGATCCGGTTGTGGTATGTCCCGTAACGATGAAATGCACGGCGAAGTTGTGTGATGCGATATCTGGAAAGATTCTTTCCAGACCGAAGAACTCCCTGTTACCCAGGGATCGATTAAGACGGAGAAAGAGCCAGGAAACCGAGCCGAGGCATGAGCAGGCGCGAAGGAAGGGATGAAATCAATCAAGAATGTGGTGTCGGCATTAAGAGGCTTCACATTTATGGCCATATCGACAAACCACGAAACTCCTCACAAGAGCAAAGAAGGAGAGTAGCAGACGACAAAGGAGAAAAGAGAAGGTGTTGAGGCATGTTTGAGTGAAACCTTGAAAAACGACCTGGATGGTTCCCCGTTGAAAGACAGAAACAACAACCGAACTAAAAGTGGATTCGAGGACCCAGATCTGCATGGAGCCAAGCCACCGGATCGGAACCCCCCTGCTCGAGGCAACCACACGCGGGCCGGCTGAACAGCTCAAAGAACTCCGGAAGATGATCGAGGGAGGCGAATCTCAGAAACAACAACGTCGCCGCGGACCTTGTTGTGATTTACAACTTGTCTGCTCCGTTCTCCGTCTTGCGTCGATCTTTTCAGGTGCGATAGCCTATCTTGGACGCTCATGTCTCGAATCCTGACCGTCGGAACTCCAAGCGAGTCGGATCGCGAGAATCGGCAAAGATTACTATCCTCGGGATTCGCCTACAATCCCTTGCGAGATCCGACTGCGAATGGCAGCTGCTCCCGACTTCTCAACCCGAGTGACTTCATGAGGCAGGCACGACCGCGTAAAGCTGACAACTTCATCTTCTGCCTTTGGTTATGTCGGCGATTTGAAAGGCTTGGTATTGAGGTACTTGCTGCCTGTATCACTTATAGCGGCTCGATATCGTGTGAAATTTCCCATTCGACATCCTTGCGTATGATGCCTGTCTGAGAGCTGATTGACTGGTTCTCATCCCGCTGTTCGTGATGGACTGACGTCCTTGTGCCTAGCTTTGAGTTGAAGCTGAGCCCTTGCGATGGCGATCGCGCTGGCGTGATATGATGTCGTTGATGAGATTTGATTGGACCCATCAGAAGATATGCGCCATTGACCTCGTTACGCGAAGCACTGTGCGAGTCGTCCGTCTTTGCGACAGTGATGTTGTCGAAAGGGCTCATGAACGATCGAAACGAGGGTATCGAGGCGCTGACCAGCGACCATGCCAACCATATCTGGATATAGATGGCTGGCGGTATGAAGGAAAAGCCCTTGTCTGCGGCATGGACCGTCTGTGAGAGTCGTCTCATGTGCATAGCGGAGAATGCTATCACCCTGGACTTTATCAGAATCGTCACACTTCAGATTCAGGTGGTTACTCACGCGAGTCTGAATGCGAAAGCAGTCATGACAAGCATCTTCGGTCGCGAGCCTATCAGAACACCCGATACTAGGTAGGAAGGGACGATCATGAGAGCGGCTTCTGTGACGATATCGAATATTGTTATGGCTCGCCATCGAGCCATCTGACTTGAGATCAGTAGAGCACTTGATCGGCCATATTGTTATACTGACGTAAGATGCACACTTCGTTGCCTGAGAGAAGTAGTGGTATGGCGAGCAATTAACCAAAAGAACGAACAGAGCAACCACACTCCACGCAATTGTGATGCCCAACAACGACCAGCACAGTACAGCATTGAGTCTTGTGTTGTGAGTGAAGAGACGCCTCACGAACAGTGCTAGCGACACTTTGGAGAGCGTGTATGCCAGGACGAACATGATTTCAGCTGCGTAGACAGTCTGCGCTGGTCAGTCGACAAAAGGTGTCGTACCGCTAACCTTGGATACTCACTTGGTCGATCTTCAGTATCTGGTCCTGCTGGAGTATTCTGCTTGACTGGCCGAACCCTGCCTTCAGGCCAACGAAAATAGGAATATGCTGACAAGCTGCCATAAACTAGACATCATGGTCAGATGAAACACCCTCGGGAGAGAAGCTCGACTCACTGTCGCCAGCAGCAGCACCCAATCATCAGAACCATAAAGACCCCATCTATCAGCAGAACGCATTCAGTCAATGATCCCTTGTCTGGTCTTCTCCCTAACTCACCTGACCTTCAGTCGTACAAGCAAGGTGCCAAATGGATATATCAAGGACAGTAACGCGACAATCCAGACATAGCCAGCATGATCTGTGTCGCTGATACGAGCGAAGTAGGTAATTCCAGGCGGCAGAGGAGCACCGTTGACTGTCGTTAGGTTTGTAGCCATGTGGGCATCTGCTGCTGCAGCAGGTCAAGTGCAAAGTAAGTAAGCCGATAGAAGCACATCACCAGATAGTGCGTTTGCGAGGTGCGCATGCGCTACATTTGTCTCTTTATCGCACTGCCACTTACTTTTCTTATCCTTCGAATGAGGGCTTATGCCTTTCGCTCACGTTATCGCCGATGGAGGACTCATTTGAGATTGATGCTCGGCTTGACGGACCCCCGAAACATAAGCTTGGGACCCTTGGTCTGTTCGTGGCTACACGTATTCCTCCTGTCGGCAGAAGCGACCCTTGTCGACGTTCAAGTCAGCCTAAAGCACGCAAGCCACTCGCGTGGCCGGTTCATCTCGCCAGACGGGCCGTCCGAACTGTCGTAGAGCCACACGGCATACGATACCGCTCGTCCTTAGCCGTACCCTCAAAACTGATCGACAAGGCACTTCATGGCGTCTGCAGGTGAGATGAAACTCGCCTGTTTTCACTAGCGATACTACTTTGTGGTGAAGGAAGCTTCGGCTGCTATATGGGTGGCTTTCGAATATTCGCTTCTAAGCATCAGAATCCTGGGAACCACTCTAACGGATCGTATTGACAAGTAAACCCTCAAACAAGATCTCATCAGGTGAGAGAGAGACATTGATGTGCAAGTCTGTGATTTAGACTTCAAACCCTGCATCTGCGACTTCGCAGTTCGTCGTCTGGGAACCCAACCCAGATTTCTCACCGAGAGACAACATTTCGGTGGCGCAAACGAATATACCGTGGGTATGGTAAGTGATTCGGCGAAGAATGCATCCGCAACGGCGAGCGTGAGATCGGTGATTCTGATCATCGACCTACAAAGACCGCTGCCGCCGCCCGTCATGCGCAATTCGAATTGGGAGAGTACAATGACTCTCCTAGAGATGAAGAGATGGACGAAACGCCAGACGCATATGGTTCCGTGCCAGCAGACAAGCGCGACATGATGCGCATGGGCAAGGAGCAAGAACTTCGTGTAAGTGCTAACAAATGGTGATGGTACACCAGCGGATGTCGCTGACACTTCAGTACAGAGAGTGTTTCGTCAAGTTTCTCTGCTGTCATTCACTGCCATTTTGATGGCAACATGGGAATTTGTTCTCATGGCTTGTACGCAAGGTCTCGTTGACGGCGGTCGTGGTGGCTTGTTTTGGAGCTATATCTGGGTTATGATCGGTTACGGATTCATCATTGCTAGCTTGGCAGAGATGAGTTCCATGGCTCCTACATGGTAAGTCGTGAGTGTTTGATAGATCGACTGTCGCTGAGCCAACCCTTGCAGTGGAGGACAGTATCACTGGGTGTCAGAGTTTGCACCTCCAAGTTGCCAGAAGTTCTTGTCGTACATTACAGGATGGGTATCGACGCTTAGTTGGCAAGCCGGGTATGTATTACATCACAACATGCTTAGCAAAAATACTAATGTCCATCTAGAAACGCTTCTGGTGGCTTCCTCTGCGGAACATTGATTCAGTCGTTGATCGTGATCAAGAACCCTGATTACGCTGCCCCTGGCTGGCAAGGCACATTGCTCGTCTTCCCTGTTATGTTGGTCTGTGTTGTGTTCAACATCTGGTTCAACCATTGGCTGCCCAGTATGCAGAACGCAGTGATGGTATTGCATGTTGCTGGATTCCTGGCCATCATGATCGTCTTCTGGGTACTCAGTCCACATGTTCCTGCGAAAGATGTTTTCTTGGACCTCCAGAACGGTGGCGGTTGGCAGACGACGGGCCTCGCTCTCATGATCGGTCAAGTCTCTGCAGTTGGTTTCCTTGGAGCCTCGGACGCTGCGGCTCACATGTCAGAGGAAGTCAAAGATGCTGGATTGTCGGTCCCAAGAGCTATGGTAAGTGATCATGGTATACTATTGGTCCTCGAACATGCTAACATTCATGGAAGTGGTGGACTTATATCGTCAACGGTCTTCTCGGCTTGATCATGCTGGTTTCATTCCTCTTCGCTATGCCATCTGTCGACGATGCCATCAACGATCCGACTGGCTACCCAATGATGTACGCCTTCCAGCAGGCAATGCCCATGACCGGGACCATTGTCCTGGCTGTGCTTATGATGGTCTTGTTGATGGCTGGTAACATTTCTTATCAAGCTTCAACTGCAAGACAGACATACGCGTTCGCCCGCGACCGTGGCTTTCCTGGGTCTCGTTGGTTGGGCTATGTCAGTCCGAAGCTGATGATACCCGTGAATTCTGTGATTTTCTCTGCGGTGTTCACCATAATCTTATCATTGATCAACATCGGGTCTTCGGCTGCTTTCAATGCAATCATCTCGCTTGGTGCTGTAGCACAGATGGGGACATACGCCATTTCCATCACCTGCGTGCTGTACAGACGTTTGACAGCCCCGCACCTTCTACCCAAGGCGAGATGGAGCTTGGGCCGTTGGGGAGTATTGATCAATATTCTTGGCCTTCTCTTTGCTTGGGAGGCCTTTTTCTGGTGTAAGTGATACAGACCTTCCTCTTAAAAACTAGAGCTGATGAAACTCATAGGCTTCTGGCCTAACGCCCAGCCCGTCACTGTCGACAATTTCAATTGGGCGCCAGTCATGTTTGTTGCAGTTGTTATAGGAGCCCTGATCACCTACTTTGTACAAGGCCATCGTGTGTACAGCGGTCCAGTAGCCATCGTGCAAGGCCGTCAGGAGGAGTCATAGCCGGTATGACAGTGACAACAAGGATGCCAACCTCGCTGCCTCTTCTTGTACATAGATCTTGAAACAAGGGTGCTCAAAGTTCATAGATAAACGGTCAAATTAGGTTTCGACTCTATTTTGGCGTTGCTTTTCAGCCGTCAATGACCGTGCGCTCAACGAGCATGTGAAGGCCTTCTTCGGAGCTGGCGGCGACAGAACACAGCTGTTGCGACCACTGAGCGAAGCAGCTGCGACGACGTGCAAGATGTGTTGATGGCCCAGAACGAGACAAGGACAAAGTCGTCCAGCGATGTTGTCTTGGGCCAAGAGGCAGCTGAATCGCAGCCAATGGCAGATTCCCAAACGGGCGGTGAAGTCATTATCTGCTGGGCTGGGTTTCGGCGGCGTCGCGGTCAGAAGAATGGTCCAAGGGTTGTCGGTCGCGTCGGTCGCTCATGTCTGTTTCGCAGCCTCCTGAGCTGCCGTGGCCTGTGCCTTTTCTGCTGCTCTCTTCTCTCTCAGGTGCTCGCTGCTTGCCCCGCGTGTGTGGGGCGTTTGTTGCCAGCTTCTCTCAACTCTCCTATCGTCACGTATCTCTTCGAGTCTATACCTCTTCAACGCGCTCTGTCTCTCACGTACGCCATATTGCTTCTTTGGCGTGCTGTGGATAAGCTTCAGCGAGCTCCAATCGAGCTCCATGACAGCTCCTTACCCCTCCGGACGTACCCGCGCCTGAGCTGGTAATCCGACCTGCCTCTGTCCCTTCGCCCCGACAGGCTTCAGTCATCGTCATCCGTTTGCGTAGCTTGGATCAGGTGCCTTGCGGCTGGTCAAGCTGACAGCTCGAGCTGCAAGACTCGACTCCTCAATCGACATGCCTCCCAAGTTGAACCACACGTCTAACCATCACGCGTCTGATCCGGACAATGAAGTCGTCTGTCCGATCAAGTCTGCTGATGGCAGCAACTGTCGCAAGAAATGCTTGGGCGTGCGTCTCCCTATTTCTTCTCTCTGCCTCTGCTCCGTCTCCCAATATTCACTGCTTTGTTGTCTTTGAACGTGTGTTTCTGTCTCTGTATTTGTCCCATGCCCAATGCTGTCCCGTCTGCCCCGCAGCTCGTTCCTCCAAGCCGCAATGCTTCGTCGTATTGGTCAAGTCAACATGGGAAGGCGACTTACAAAGACATTATAGGAGAAGCGCTTCCGCTCCATGCAGGAGCACATCCGACGAGCGCATCCGGAATACTACATTCCCAAGCTGCCGGCAACCAAGGAGAGCTTCGACTTGATGGTCAACTCACCACCGTCTGAGCGGCCTCCTCGAGTAGAGCTATGGTCGCCGACGTCTGCCCCTCGCCAACCGCGATCACAGCCTGCAGACCACCACCGTAACAACGACCAGTACGCAGTTGGAGGACCCTCTGCAGGTGTGTTCAATGCGCCCTTGAGCGTTGCATATGACGGGCTGAGCTCATATGGAATTCAAGGCGGGCTGGGCCCCGTTCAGATAGCTCCCGACGGCTACGGCTTGCCAGCAGAGTACCGAAGGGGCTCCCTCATCCCGGCTGCGAACGCGGCTGCTGCACTGGCACAGCTTCACTATGCTCGACCAGACGGAGAGTGGGACAATGATCAAGTAGGCCCTGACTGCGTTGATGACGCTGCTCCGAGCGCTAAGTACATGCGTCAGAACTATTTCAACGACCATGTGTCCGACGCAAAGAGAGCTCACATGGTAGATCCCACGCTCTCAGCCGGCCAGCAATTCCTCGATAGCCAATACCAAGAAGATCAGGGAACCCCGACGGGCCTGTCGCTGCTCAAGTCGCCCTCGAGTCGTCAGAACACCCTTCCCCCCATGCAGCGTTCCATTTCCCATAGCTCTCATAAGAACTCGCTGACACAGAGTGCCCGCAAAGCAAAGCACGAAAGAGACAAGATCAAGAACGAGAACCGTAAGGCCCTCAGTGCCGAACCTAACATGTACGGCAAGAGATGGGAAGATTTAATAGATGCCGCGACGTCGGCTACAGAAGAGGATCGGGACCTCACACCTGTACGTTGGACACACCTCTCTTTTGTCACGACCGGTCGCCACTGACAGTCTGCAACAGCTACCCGTCTCACCCTACAAGTCACCACAAGTCGGTGCACGCACACCACTCGCTCCCTTCGCCCTTGGCTCTCAATTCCAATCATATACTGCGTCACCCTTACAACAAACCCTCACACCTCCTCCTGCCGATGCCGATGGCCCTCCTCTGGACATGGGGCCGTTCCCCTCAGTCGAAGACAACCCCGTCTCATCCTCTATCGACTCGAATCAATCAGGCAACAACTTCCACATCATGCCATCACAAAACATGTCTTCAGACTCATCACCCATGTTTTCGAACCCCGTACAAATATACTGCGCAGGCTGTAGGAGGCTTAGTATTCTCAAGGAGTGTTTCGCATGCACAGAGTGCATCTGCGGCCTCTGCTCAGGTTGTGTCGATGCACTGATGGCAGAACAGTCCCGCGGACGCATAGCACAATGTCCACGGTGTCGCACAATGAGTGGACGATTCAAACAGTTCCAGCTCGACATACGCTAGGGAACTGCCCCGCTCGATGAAAACCTTTTCATTCTTTCTCCGACTTGTTTAATATAGCACAACTTCATTGTTATCCCTTCTTGGTGGCTGGCTGTCTGATTGTGAGGTTTGTTTGGCGCTGGTAGGCGTTTTGCTGGTGGTTGCTTATGCATTGTTTCTTCATGGACAAATGGGATGGGATAGACTGCTGTGGGAAGCTGGGCCTGGAACGAACAATAGGAAGAACAATCATTTCTGGGACATCCGGATAATCATGTGCTTCTTTTCACTTCATTCATGATCCGTGTGCCGCGCGGAACTCTCACTTGATCGTGTTGCAATCTTCCGTTGTCTTTCAGTCGTTGGCCCCACTCATACTTCTTCAGTCTCACTGGGAATCTCTTGAACACTTATTCATATTCTGACTTCGGTCAGCCATCTACCTCCTCTTGCGCGTCAAGAAACTTGGGTGGAAGACGGCAACAAATTCATCCTTCGGTGTCAATCGGCCATCTGTTACTTCCTTCCTTGAATACCATCCTGGTCACTTGCATCATCATGTCAGTTGCATCGGCTCAGCAAAGCGCGGCCAAACCATCTACAGGCGCTGTCTCAACACCTGACAAATGGCCCTCGCGGTATGACTACTTCCCGCAGCAAGTCTTGTCTTATGCTTCTGTCACTAACTCTAGTGACAGCGAACACTTCAGAGAAACAGTGACCTTCATCGTGGGGACAAACAAGAAGACCTATGTCGTACACAAAGATCTGCTCTGCTTCTATTCGGATCACTTCCGCGCTGCTTTCCAAGGTTCATTCAAAGAGGCTACTGAACGCAAGATTGAACTCCCAAAAGTCAGCGAGGATGATTTTGAGCACTTCCAAGTCTGGCTCTACACGCGCAGGCTCGATTTCGCAAGCACCAACTTCTACACAATCGCCCGACTTTGGATCTTTGGCGACCAATATCAGATACCGCTCCTCCAAAATTGGGCTGCCGATAGCTTGATTGCCAAAAGAAAGAAAGAAAACGCGTTCCCTAGTGCTGTAGTGCCTCTCATCTATGACCGCACTGTACCTGGATCGGCTTTGCGCAGAGTTGCTATCGAGGTCGCTACCTCTCTCAGACTTCAAGATGAACCCAAGACTCATCTGCAACCAGAGAATTGGTCAGTCGAGAGCCTCATCGACCTTGTGCGCGCTGTGGACAAGCGCCCCAAAGGCTTAGGACTGTACGAGCTTCCAGTGAGAGACAAGTGCTTCTTCCATGTACACGGCAAGGACGAGCATTGTTGAGATCTCGGTAAAGAACAAGGACGCCACGAAGACTTTCTTGAATCCAATCAAGGTACGACAGAATCTTGTCCAAGGGGTTGAGATTTGATCTGACGCTTTCAAAGACCAATAGTTTCAATCGTCGTCTCCAGTAACATGATCATCATACAAAGGCAAATCAAGAGCTCACTCTCACGGTTGAAGCAGACAATTCTTTCGAGTCTACATAACTTGGCAGGTGCAGGAATCACTTCGATGAGGAGGGAGTTTTGCAAATTAGCACACTCATTCATTTTCACAGAATGTCACGCAATACCCGATGGATCAGCTTCAAGCTCTGACTCAGCTTTTCCCAATCAATTTGTTAGTGACGGTGAATGATTTTCGATGTATGAATAAAAAATCGCATGACAACCCAGACCATGAAGATCTTAATCAAATTCGACTCTCGGAATGTCGATTACTGCTCAGTGAAGATGAATGCCGCACAGGTTTTCTGGCGTCCTTACTCATTCTACACATATTGCAACCGTAAGATCACGTTGCACCTTCCTGTTCCTCTTGATCTACTGACGTGAACCACTCTGCTGAAAAGGCTCACTGGAAGTTCGATCGACTGTCACCTCAGCACATTCATTCTCACACCACGCTCTCCCGTCAGCAATTCTATAAAAGACCAGGCAACCGTCGTCTACCACATCAGCATCTGATCAACCACAACAGCGTCCCAATTCCAGCTCATCATGCCGGCCCCATCGACCCGACAGTCTGCTACCGGTCCATCTACAGGCGCGGTGTCGACGCCCGACCAGACACCATCAAGGTAAGCCATTAACTAACATCTGATGCCCAGCACTTACCGGTTCTTGTGGGCTACAGTAAGCAATTCCGAGGCAAACTAGTCACAATCATCGTCGGCAGTACCAGGGAAGCCTTCTCAATCCACAAAGATCTGTTGGTGTTTTATTCCGACTACTTTCGCGCAGCCTTCAACGGATCCTTCACAGAAGCAGCTGAGGGCAAGATCGAACTCCTCGATGTTGACCAAGAAGTGTTTCAGAACTTCCATGCCTGGCTTTACACGCGCAAGCTCACCGAGCCTCTGAGCTGGAAACTTCTTGTCCACCTTTGGGTCTTTGGCGATCGCTTCCAGGTGCCCCTGCTACAGAATTGTGTCATGGACGAGATCTTCGCCAAGGAAAAAAGAGACGCTGAACTACCTCTGTGCTTGATGAAGGTTGCTTACGAGAACACTGTCAACGGATCGCCGCTTCGCAAAGCCGCAATCGAGCTTTTGACCTTCTACTTCAAGATCGGAGACGATGTCGATGGTATCATGACAGCTGACAATCGTAAGCACTTCACAGTGGAGATGCTTCAAGATGTTATCAAAGAACTTGATGCAGCTCGTAAGAACAGGGTTCGTTACGGGAAGCCTCCAAAGAGAGACCAGTGCTTCTTCCATGTTCATGGCAAGGGCGAGCGCTGTTGATTGACAATTTCAGCTCGGTGCATCTTCATACTAGAAATAAGAAGGTGAGCTTCAAGGGGAACACACACAATGATGACCAAGCTGATACAGAGTAATAACAGCCGAGACCATGATCCCACAAGCACTTTCCACATTCAGCATTCAGCATTCAGCATTCAGCATTCAGCATTCAGCATTCAGCATTCAGCAT